AGGAGGTTCACCTTCAACCACTGACACAGCCACACAAGGCTGTTCACCACAATGTCGCTGTGCTCAAAATGATCATGATCATAATCATCGAGCATACTTCGACCTGTCGTCCCACGTAAGTAGTCCCGAGCCGATTGATGCACAAAGTCGATTCTGCTGCCGCGCTGTGTCACAAACGAGACACACCGTCCAATCACTTTGTCAATATATCGTCGGTCAACAAGCAACCCACTCACACTGCTGAGCTCTCGCACATCCAAAGGACGATAGGTCATCATCATCACTTTCAGTAACCGCACGCATCCTTGGACCAGAGTCGACTCTCCGTAACAAACCTGTCGCAGGATTCGATCGTAGAAAGGTGGTAGCCCAGGCGGCAGATCTCGAATCACCGTCAACGTATCCTCCCGCCCTACACTTTCCAGCTGTTTGCACATTAAACTGACCCATAAGAAAGTATCCTCGGCTTTTATATGTAGCTCGTCCTCGATCCGGTGCCGAAGATCAGGGCCATACTCACACAAACGATCCAGTTCTGCCACCTTGTGCGAAATGTACGTCCGCACGGCCTGCGAGAGGTGATCCGAGTTTAGTTCGAGACTGACCCTGACCTGGTCTGGCCCAGCTAACAGCACTCGCTCCGCGCTGTCCAACGGTCGACTCGTCACCAGCCATTTCAGACGGGATGGCCAGTCCAGTGCTGTCCTCACAACTAGTCGAAGCAGCTCCGCCATCCCGCTGTCCTGGCATTCGTCCAGCGCGTCCACCATCACATAGAGGCGTGCATAAGTGCACCGATGCAGCATCTCCATAAAGATGACCCACAGACCCCGCCATGATGAGACATTTTCAGTGTATCGCTGACTGGCCACGTCCCATCGGTCCCGCAGTGATTGCTTAAGTTTCGGCTGCTTCCTCACTAGTTGGAGGATCAGACCCTTAATGATCGCGTCAATCGTGTTGAGTTCGTAGTCCGCATCTTGACAGAAGAAGTATATCACCGCGTATGAGTCTGCCATCTGTCGCGATTGTTCTTCCAGCACTTCGATGAGACCAATCGACATCATCGTCTTCCCTTTCCCGGCACCGCCTTTGATCCACAAGAGTCCCACGTCGGACTCATCTTGCCAGCGGAGATATTGGGGGTCCTTTAAAATCCAGTCGAAGGACTTGTGCACTAGTTTGTCTTTATTCTCTTTCAGTCGGTGTTTGACCGCCAGCGAGTCGGGGCATCGGAGGGCACGAAGGCAGGCGCGGTCGATGTCGTCGTTCGTGTGGCCTGTACATTATCGTAAGCTTGAGCCATATACGTCCTCCGGACTTGCTGTGACGCATACTTGTGCTCAAGTTGACATTGCTAATCAGGGTTGCTCCAGCTTCGGCCTTGTTACCCGTAATTTCAATTCTGTGCGCCATGGTGTCTCATAAGCACACGTCCAGCGCATACCATGCCTAGTTGAGTCAGCAGACGCGTAAAATCATGATCGGGACGAATCGTGTTGGACGGCAACAAAAGAATGGGCATCAGGCTGAAGTGTGATATGGTAACACGAGATTACCTCCACCAACCTCTTTAGCTGAAATGGAAGCGCACCCAAAGGTGCATCGCTGAGCGCATCGAGGCCACCAGTGGCTGTGTTGTGGCTGATGCATCTACCAAGGGCAGGTTGACTGTTGGAATCATGGCTTGGTTTAACCTTACCCCGCTCTTGCCGGGAAGCTATACAGACTCAGCGATCCCACATCCTGGATGCGTTATGCCAAAACACTATACAGTGATATACTGTCCGCATAATGGCGGGAGTCGGAGAGGCAGCAAGCATCTTAGCTCTTGCGACCTTCGCCTATGATACGAGCAAAAAGCTGTACGAGGTCGTTTCCAGTTTCAAAAGTCGACGGACAGATATCCAAGAAGTCCAAAGTAGCCTTACTGCCCTGGTCTCTGTGCTCGAGCTGGTCCAACAGCAGATACTGGAATCGGGCGACGAATGCAAGTATAAGCCACTCTGCCAGCCGATGCAGTGCTGCATTTCGACTTGTGAGGACATGCAGAAATCGTTGGATGCATGCACTCAACGTCCGAATGATGTCCACGCCAGCATTCGTGACTGGCTCAAGATGCAGTTCCATGGGAAGAGCTTCGCCGATATGAAGCAGCGGCTTGCAAGCTATCAGTCGACGCTGAGTATTGCGTTTGCTTCCGTTAACCTGTAGTGATCTCTCCACTGATGACGATACAATGCTGATGGCCACCAGTCAAGACCACGGTACGACACAAGAATCGATAGAGGAGATGAAGGGTCTGATCGAAGGCACGAAGCAAGACCTGATTGATCAGGCAGAGAAGGTTGAAGATGCCATTCGCGATGGAGCGGAATCGTTGCGAGATCGCCTTCAAGCCGATAGAGCACACTTGGAAGACGCTCTCCAAGCTCTCGCCCAATCACAACAGGTGGCGGATGCTACACGCCTGGAAATTGTGGTCGAGAAGAATCGAGCTGGAGACGACAGTCATGCAATCTTTGGTACCGACAATTTGCGACCTCAATTCGGTCTAAGGGTGTCAAACAACATGGCAGGAAAGAGGGCGATCACGGCGGCTGGTGTGCACAGCCCAGAGACACTGCAGGCACTATTATCCGGGAAGCCAGAGGTAGCCCTCCTTATGCAGACACTACAACAGCAACCCCAGCGATCAGACGAAAGAATGCCACAAAATACACTGAACACGATGGTGCTGACCCAGCCAATCCCCCCGACGTGTGAACGACGATCGATCGAGCATACTTTGCCTCAGACCAACGTCTCCGAGGCGACCGTGTCGCCACAAATTGCCTTTATACCAAGATAGCCTAGATTACAAGTTGAGCAAATGAGGGCTTGAATATACAAGTTGAGGTCTTTGTGAGGTCTTGTGAGAGCAATGTCGTGAAAGCACTGTCGACTTTGGGTAACATATCACTGACTGCGCTTGAGATGCACATTTCGTGGTCTTCTTTGGTACACTCTTTTGGGGAATTAGGGAGCCTTGATTTGATATCCAGGCACTATCTAGGAGTAGTCCTGACCTCTACTTGATAATTTGCAAATCATTCATCGTTCCAGTGATCATCGCTCCGGTCGAGGTACTCTTGAAAACGGTAGGCCAACTTAAACCGGCGGATTTACCTTATATACTCCAGTTGTTGGGCGTTCTAGACTGTCCACCGAAATGCAAGGTGCTTGCATGCGGTAAACTCGGAATGGAAGGGTAAGAAAGACAATCCCCTGTACTGTTATCTTAAGGCCACGGCTGTAGGTGGGACTCATTCGTGACGAGTGCGGAAGATCATAAGCAGCGGTTGCTGACGACGCACGGACATTGTGCGAAAATGGTTCTATGAGCCATAGAGGGCCGATGATTGTCGACGCTTCTTCTGTGTCGATACCGTCGGCGCCGTGGAGGGGTTGTAGTCGTGGGGTCAAATCGCCCGTCTGTGCGATTGACTCGCTGAAAAGGTTGATTTCTGACGCTGTTCTCAAGCATTCCGCCGCAGACAGCCGCTCGTGAGGATTCCACCTGAGCATGTACAAAGTAAGAAAATCAATCAAATGGTCGGACTCCCAATCATTGGCGCTCACTACGAGACTTTGGCACCAGGATACGCCCTCGGATTGAAGAATTTCCTTCTGTTTGGCTTTTCCCTTCTGCTTGGTGTTTCCAGGCTGATTCATTTCAGGGAGCCCATAAACGAATTTCATCACAATCACGGCAAGAGACCAGATATCCACGACTTCTGTGTAAAATTGACCGAGGAAAATTTCTGGAGCGGCGTACATCCAAGATCCACAGAAAGTCTTCAGATCCAACCTGTTCTGGGCCAATCCCAAGTCCGCCAAGTTGATGTGAATAGGAGTCCTAGAACGCAAGAGGATATTTTCTGGCTTCAGGTCTCGATGTGTGATGTTCTGGCCGTGGAGACAAGAAAGACCTTCCAGACTTTGTTTGCAGACGACTAACATGTCAGTATCGCAAATAGAAGAGACTTGGTCTTGCGCCGCCAGACTCCCTAGCGGTAGGTATTCCATCACCATAAGGGGCCTTGGTGTAGTACTGGAGTCGACGAACTCCACGATGTGGGCCTAGGGAGAATCAGCAGACTAATAACGCAGAAAGATTTTCAGGATAGACGGACATGGTGGAGACATTTCATGATCTCAATCTCCTTCTCCCAGCCTTTTTCGTGAAAAAACTCTTTCTTCGCGTATTCATGCCCAGTACTGGCATCAACTACCTTCCGCACCAGTCCGAAAGCGCCCCTTCCCAATTCTCTTCGTCTCAAATAAACAGGTCGTTTGGTGGGAGAGAGAGATTCACTCGGGGCGAGTGAGGTCCCTTGGCTCCGGAGCGCAAGGTTGTCGAAAGCCGCCAGATGTTCTGGAGGAGCGCCGGCTGGACCACCGCAGGCAGAAGATGAGGACTGCCAGTGTGTGAAAACACTTCACTCAGCTGTCTTTCAGATCAAGAAGCGACTGGAATGTGAGTTGACAAGCTGATGGTTGAAGAAGTTGGATTCACCATCTGAAAGATGGGTTACAACGTTGTTCATTATGCCCCGCATAGAAAAGAAGTGGCCGGGAGACAGGAAGCCAGGTAATAAACATTCTCTCTACATCGCCTGGTCTCTCATCCTTCTCTTCTGTCACATCAGGCATGAAAGAATGGCCATTAGACGCCTGGATTTGGCGGGTTCTTGCGAAGCACCGCCTTTAAGAGTCTTCATCACTTCTTGCCTCGAACAGCTTCACATTCGCTCCCCGAAGTGGGCAGACTGGCAATCTCAACAGATCCGAAAGGTCGGGAATGCAATGGAAGGATTGATCTGGGTGTGCAAGGCAGCCACTCAACTCTGCATTGGTCTCGTTGCTTCCTCCTGCTGACAATCTCTTCATAGAGAACAAGTATTTCCAGCCTTCCAGCTCTCTGACTCCTCTTGAATCTCGCGATATATGCCCCAGATGCCGAAACACAGAAGTACCGAACCTTTTGTACTTATCATAGCAGCTGAGCTGTATATGACATAGCTCCTTTTCTCGGCGCCATATAATACAACAATCCAGTCCAACCTGGAGAGATGTCCCGCAGTCTACTCCAGTGAAAAGTGCTTGTCTTTCTTCCACGATTCAACCATCAGCCCCAGCGCCTTGCTCACAGGCTTTTCTTGCAGCTCTCTGGACAGAGAAAGTGGGAAATCAACCACAGCTTGTCGCAAAGCGGCAACGCCCGCTGCACCGAAGAAAAGAACGAAGCGATCAACAGCATTGTTCTCCAGCATCGACTTCAGGAGAATCAGATGACTAGTCTGGACTTCTGATGGAGGCGTGTTGATAATGTGTGCAAGGCTCGACCAGTAGTGTATCGGCGGCCAAGGATTGTGGACTTTGGCCTTGGAAAAATTCCGCAGGGCAATAGATGCATAGCCAACACCCAAGCCGGTCAGACGGTCATAGTGCTTGTTCTCGGTGACAAAGGCTTTCTTGTCGTCCGACAGTTTCTCCAAACGCCAACCAAGGCGCAATCTTCCCGCAGATGTTGTTTCCGGACCATAAATGCCGAAGAGAGCAGGTGCTGTCGCATGGAACTTGCACATCAGAACCGAAATGAGCGGGACAGTTGCCGGTTGGTTCGCGGAAGGAGGGGAGATGCCCTGAGCATTGGGACGGTCGGACGGAGTGTTCCTCGCAAATTGCAGCTCGGGCATAGAAAAGATTTGTGCCACCAGGGTGCCAACAGGCTCGGCAGCTTTGGAGTTGACTGCGCATTCGCCGACAAAGGTACTGATGATGGCTTTGCTGAAGAACGAGAGCAGGTACAAGGCCAGTGACGGAATTGTGGTCCTTCCTTCATCATGCAGCGAAAGGTGCGGAGGAAGATAGTCGTTTACCGAGACCGGGGGCGAAGGGAGTTCACTCAGGGCTCTGAGCAATGTCATCTTCACGCGGTCATGCTGCACCCACAGTCAGTACTCAACGGCTTCCAATACTCCATATCAGATCAAGACTTACTGCTTTTTTATTGCCGACTTTGTCGTCAGTCAGTTGCCCAACACTTGTCCGCATTGCTCGGCGCATATCTCCCACGTGTGGTTTCAGAGTCGGCTCCTTCTTGACCATCTCCCAAAACTCCTTACGGAATACCTTGAGCTTTCGGTGGATGGCCAAATAGCTCTGGTGCAATCGTTCCGAGTCCGGCAAAGACCCGGATGGCTGGTTGCCGCTTTGAGCGGGCCGAGCTGTTGCAGGGCCAGGTGGTGGAACCTTCGCCGACGCCGCTTGCTTCTCGGCTTCTTCCTTTTGAAGAGCTGCTGCTCGCTCTGCTTGCGCTTGCGCTTGCGCTTGTGCTTGTTGTTCATCGCGTCGCCGTTTCTCCGCAGTTTCCCTTTCAATACGCTGCTTCTCTTCGGCTTCGGCCTTCTGCTTCTCATAGATCGCCTGTCTTTCAGCTTCCGCCTTGGCTCGCTCTTCGCGTTTGCGGCGTTCGTTTTCTTCTCGGGCCTTCCGCTCCTCCTCGGCTCGTTTTCGTGCCAACTCCTCTTCCTGCTTCCTTCTTTCTTCCTGCTCTAACCTTCTTCGTTCCTCTGCACGTCGCCGCTGTTCCTCTTCTTCCTGTTTGATATATGCCTGGAGAACAGCTTCGGCCTGTCGCCGGACGATCTCATGTTGTGCATTGGCAACATTTAGTTCAGCTCGGTGCACCTCTGCTTGAGCAAGCTCTCTGGTATCGAGTTCCTCCTGCTGCTGTCTCCGTTGATAGACATGAAGTTTCTGGCGTTCGACTTCGTGAAGGTGAATTTGGCTGAAAGCGCGTTCCAGCTCAAATTGAAGCTGCCTGGACGGGCTGTCGTCATTTCGCCGTTGCCGGGGGCTGCTCCTGGCTGCTAAAGGCGACGAATGAAGTTTGGCTTGAGCCATGTTTGACATTTTAAAAGCTATCACGTGACTTGAATATGTGATTCTCGACGCAATGAACAAGGGTGTCGTGAATGCTCCCCAACGCCCTTGGAGGAGGATCGAATATCGGTCTCTAGAGAGCACCACTGGTGCTTTGATGTAGAGGCTGGCCTATTTTTCCGGGCAATAACGTGGCCTCCCCGTCGGGTCCGAGACTGCAACGTCTATCGAGTCGTCAAGCAGCGGCTCATGCTCACACTGCAGCTCAATGCCTGAATTTCTGCAGCTGCGTTCCCGGTAGGTGCCTTAGTTGCAGAGGGATCACTACCTTGAAGAAGCTGCGCTATATTTGTAAGGGCAAATCTCAAGGCAAGTGAATGTAGGTACACACTGACCCAGCATGGAACGCGTGTCTGAGGCGCGACAATGTCCAGGATTTGAAAAGTCCCTCCGAGGAATTCAGTTGAATGCGGACAATAATCCGGATCGAAACGGATTGGCGAAGTAGTGAAATTACCGACGTGAGGCCTGATACCAACGCGAAGTGAGCGGTTGACACTCAACTGGAAGCAAACGGGCTTCAATATTGAGGTGTTCGACGTTGAGGGTTGTTGTGGTCCGTGCTATAGGATATACCACTGTAGTACAAAATCTGTTATCGCTCCGAGGGGAGAGGAGACTAGGGTTTGAAACGAGGGCGAGGGTGGTGCTTTTGTGATTGATACTTTTGCCTGCGCCTGCGCCTGCGCCTGCGATACGATCCGCCCGCGACCACGGACTTGGCACAAGCTCTGGCGGCGGCCGCGGGCATCACAGGCACAACTCAGCACCTTGGTACAGGAGAACCACCTGTCACAATAGGTAGTATACACCTACCTCCTCAGACGCCTAGATTGATTGAATTCAAATTCTATAAACTAGAAGACACCTTGCGGAAGGACCCTCAGAGAGGCGATAGTAATGCACACAGTGCTAGTAGAAATCACTAGACAAATAATTATGCATACCTGAGGTACCTACAGGTACCTTACCTATAACTCAAGGTGTCAACTTACCTGGACATTATGAGAGACGCCGCCCCCATGATATACTAGTGGCATCAAATAGCCTCCCTAGCCCCTAAACCCTTCTAGGCTCTGTGAATGCCATCACGGGCAGAACCCGCAGCCACAAGCCACCTACCACCGACTTCTTGGGGCACTCAGCGGCTAGGGTGGCTACTGCTAGGCTCTAATCAGACCCTCTATCTCATTCATTCATTGTGAACCACTCACTGGCATTGTCTGTACGCCCATAACACTTGGAACGTAATCGGCTGCGTCTACGTACCACGTACTGTCACAGGATATTTCTCCAACGCACCTCCTCGAAATAAGTAAGACACTTCACCTTACTAGCCTTCGTCCCATCACCATCACCCTCACCCTCAACCATCACCATCGTCTTCTCTATCTCTCTGCGTCTTTCTTTCTTCGTCCGTCCTCTCTGTGAACATCTCGCCATCCTTTCTCTCCTCTACACTCGCGAACAGTCCTTCCGATATCCAGAGTCTCTCTCTTGTGCTGCCGCCTGTCTCCAGCGCGGCTCTGTCCTCCGTCAACTCCGTTTCCTGTCTCTCCTTCGCGTGGTCTTACATCTCCGAGCCTGCAGTCGTACTCTGCTGTTTCCAACACTTGAACCCTCTGTTGCGACCAACAGTCATCAGCTTTACGCTACTAGTATCGCCTTTCTCGAATCCCCGCAATTCTTCTGTCATACTTGACACCTCGCCAGTCTCTCCACCTCAGAATCTGACCCAGACATCCAATAAAAAAAATACCTGGTTGATCCAGGGTTGTCAGTCATCGTCGATACGACGTCTGTGTCTTTCCGGGAAAGAGTCGGCAGACAGTGACCAGCATTGATAACTATCAACTTGCACTTCTTCCGGTCCTCGGTACGTTCCCTCACTGCAATATATCCTAATCTGGCATCACCGTTATTCAACGTTCCCCCCAGTCATTGTACTGCGGTCGACATTGAGCTCACTTCCTTCTGCTCATTACTGCAGCCTGCCCGATAAAGCAACGCTTGCATGATGGGCAATGAAGTACTAGTATAGCAATACTGACTCTGCCCAGTTCCGAAAGTCTCTCTGCCTCTGTCCGGTGCCTAGATCCGGTTTCCCTTCTCCACGCTGTTCCCTTAACTTTGGGATTTCATTTCTGGCGAGATTCCATCACTGGAGGAAACAGGACCTAAAGGTTGAAGAGATCTGAAAATGGCACAATCAGGTGCAGGCGGTGTGCCTGGCCCTTCAGGGCGCAGACTACATATTGCCCATCGCCGCAGTCCATCTGAACTGACGCCACTCATGATGGAACAACTTGCTCTTCAGCAACAGATTGAATTGCTCCAACAACAGCAGCAACAGATTGCTGCCACACATCAGCAATACGTGAATATGGGCATGATACAGCAGCCTCTGCAAGGCATGCCTGGCTACTCGCCAATCCAAGGCCAACCTGCTCTGGCAAGCATGTCTCCGAACAATACCAGTTTCCAATTCCCTCAACTCCAACAGCAGATGGGAATGGCGGGCCAGCCCCCTACTCAGCCTGCAGCTCATCGAAGAAATCAATCCGCCCTTCCAGGCATGGCGATGGGTCCCCCACCAGCGCCGTCTGCTGGCCAAGCTTATGGCGAATTCAATCAGCAAGCCATGGGCCAAAACCGCGAGAACAGTGGTGGGCGCGGAAGAGGAGGGTCTTCACAAGGCGGACACGCTCGACGTCATTCACTTGCACTTCCCGAAGCGAAGAAAGCCGCAGAACTTGCAGAAAAGAAGAGAACAGCCGCAGGCTTTCAATTCCCAATTCCTGGAGCTGGTGGCACGGTGGAAAGTCCTGTCGCGGCCACTCCATCGGACGACAAGTCGGCAACCACCACCGGTCCGCAGGGACTGGGTTTGCAGCGTGCTGGCAATGCCAGAGTTATGGGTCATAGTCGTAGTCAAAGTATGGCTACTGCGGGCGCTCGAGGAAGTGGTGCGGCTGGCCGCGGTGGTGCTGGTGCTGGTGCCGGTTTCCAATTTCCAGGTCCGATGGGAAGTGCCGACGCCCAAGGTCAAGGCAATCAGTCGGACCTGCAGCGTCGTGGAAGCCAAAGTAGCCATACCAGACAGGGATCACGAAATTTTGACGGCAACTGGCGCCAGCACAACAATCAGCAGAACAATGACCAACAGCAGCAGCAAATGGGTCAGTTCGGCCAACCACAGGGTATGGGCGGGGGCTTTCAACCAGGCCACCGAGTCCGCGGATCGATGAATCAGTCCATCGGTTCAATGAGTGGGTTCCAATACCCCGGGCAGCCACAGTTGGTTCAGCTGCCTCAAGGACAAATGATGTTACCGCCGCAGATTTTTGCTGGTCAACAGCTGAACGCCTTGCAGATGGCACAACTCCAGGCCATGCAAGGTGCACAGCTTGGCGGATTGCAGGCAAGCCAACATGCTCCACCTATGGGTCTGCAACAGCAACAACAGCAGAGAAAGACGCTGTTCACCCCCTACCTTCCCCAAGCCACTTTACCTGCTCTACTGAATGATGGTCAGCTCGTTGCAGGTATTCTGAGAGTCAACAAGAAGAACCGTTCCGACGCATATGTCACAACCAGCGATCTGGATGCGGATATTTTCATTTGCGGTAGTAAGGATCGCAATCGAGCGCTAGAGGGAGACTTGGTTGCTGTTGAGCTGCTCGATGTCGATGAGGTCTGGAGTCAGAAGCGTGAGAAGGAAGAGAAAAAGAAGCGCAAGGACATCACGGATACACGGTCATCGGGCAACGCTCAGAACGGCAAAAGTGACACCGCCTCGTCTGGCGACACACAGTCCATTGCACCCGATGGTAGTATTCGACGACGAGGCAGTCTACGTCAACGACCAACGCAAAAGAAGAATGACGATGTGGAGGTTGAAGGGCAGAGCTTACTTCTCATGGAAGAAGAAGAGATCAGTGACGAGCAGAAACCACTTTATGCTGGCCATGTCGTGGCGGTCATCGAGCGTGTCGCGGGGCAGATGTTCTCAGGTACCCTCGGTCTCTTACGTCCGAGCAGTCAAGCTACCAAAGAAAAGCAGGAGGCAGAAAGACATGCTCGTGACGGCCACAACCGATCTGAGTCTCGTCAACAAGACAAGCCAAAGATTGTGTGGTTCAAGCCGACCGACAAGCGGGTGCCCCTGATTGCGATTCCTACCGAACAAGCTCCACGAGACTTTGTCGATAAACACATGGACTATGCCAACAGAATCTTCGTGGCATGTATCAAGCGTTGGCCCATCACCTCTTTGCATCCTTTCGGTACACTCGTGGAGCAACTGGGTGAAATGGGAGACCTTCGCGTCGAGACCGATGCTCTCCTTCGCGACAACAACTTTGGCTCTGATGAGTTTTCGGATGCGGTTTTGAAAAGTGTGGGATGGGACGACTGGTCTCTCAACTCTGAGGGTGAGGAGGCTTTGGCTGGTCGCCGGGACCTCCGCGCCGAGCGCACTTTCACTATCGATCCCAATGGTACCAGTGAGCTCGATGATGCCCTCCATGTCAAGCCTCTTGGTGATGACCTGGTTGAACTCGGTATTCACGTCACGGATATTGCTCACTTTGTGAAAGCGAACTCTTTGGTCGATCGAGAGGCCAAGAAGCGAGGGACTGGGGTTTATCTTGTGAATCGTGCAGTTAAGATGCTGCCGCCGAAACTGTCCTCCGGTGTCTGCTCACTTCTACCTGCAGAAGGTCGTCTCACCGTCAGTGTGATATTCAATGTCCACACCGAAACAGGCAAGATCGAAGGAGAACCGTGGGTTGGCAAAACCATTGTTCAAAGTGCCGGCAAGCTGGCATACCGTGAAGTTGATTCCGTCATTAAGGGAGATGGCAACGTCCAGCTGGAAGGTGCCACGATCGAGGATATCAAAACTTTGCATACCATCGCCAACAAATTCCGCGAAGCCCGGTTCGGTCATCGATCAGCCAACATCTCACCGCTACGCTTGCTCTATCAACTCGATGACGAGAATGTGCCCGTTGAGCAGAACATTTTCAACAGCTCTGCGGCACATGAAATTGTGGAAGAAATCTGCTGCAAGGCCAATTTCTTCGTGGCACAAAAGATTCTCGCCGCAATTCCTGACAAGGCTCTCCTTAGACGACAGGCACCTCCTAATCCGAGACGCCTTCTCACGTTTGCTGACCGAATGACCCGTGCCGGATACGAGGTTGACACCAGCAGCAGTGGCACTCTGCAGAACAGCCTCTTCCAAGTGGAGGATCCTGATGTACGCAAGGGTATGGAAACTCTCTTGGTCAAGACTTTGCAACGAGCGAAATACTACGTTGGCAACCAGGTCGCAGAGGATCAGCGTCAGCATTATGCTTTGAATCTACCCATCTACACCCACTTCACCAACCCTAGTCGTCGTTATGCCGACATTGTGGTCCACCGTCAGCTGGAAGCGGTCCTTACGAATAGCGAGTTCACCGAAGACCTGGAGAGCCTGGCCAAAACTGCTGAGCAGTGCAACAACAAGAAAGACTCCGCCCACAGTGCACAGGAACAGAGTGTGCACATCGAGTCGTGTCGACTCATGGACAAGAAGAGCAAGGACCTTGGAGGTGATCTGGTCAGTGAGGGCATTATCATCTGTGTCTATGAATCGGCCTTTGATGTCCTCATTCCGGAGTATGGGTTCGAGAAGCGCGTTCATTGTGATCAATTGCCCTTGAAGAAGGCCGAATATCGCAAGGACGAGAGAGTTCTTGAACTCTATTGGGAGAAGGGCGTGCCCTCATCTGCCTACGTTCCTGAAGATGAGCGACCTCGAGCCTCAGCTAGTACCAGAGGTCCGAACAATGCACGAGACTCGGAAACGGCGAAGGATCGTGCCAAAGAGCGCTTCGAAACACAGCGAAAGCAAACCGAGAGTAATACGATGTCGACCGACGACGTGGAGGCTCTATTTGACGACGAGGATAGTGCCTCTGAAATCACCGAAATGGCAGCAGGAGTCTCGCTGAATCCTCCTGTTGACCGCTCCACTCAAAGCCTTCCACCGTCTCCAAACCGCAACGGAGGATCTTCTCAAGGACCTACACGAACACAATCCGACTCGAGAATTGCCAGATCCGGTGGTGACCTCCCAGAGGACCATTTGTCAGACAAGGAGAAGTATCTCAGCTACTTCAAACTTCGAGAAGAAGGGGGTGAATACATCCAGGATGTCACTGAAATGACCCGAGTGCCAGTCATCTTGAAGACTGACCTTAGCAAGAGTCCTCCGTAAGTTGACCCATCGACAGGCCTCATGAACTGCTTGCTGACCATGTCTGTTAGATGCTTGACCATCAGATCCATGAATCCATATGCCTTGTGATCACTTCTAGGATCGAGATTGGGCCGCCGAAAGCGCGAAGCACGAACAGGTCTCGGGGAGACGGACATACTCAACTTGGTGGTTCGCCACGACATTTTCGTGTATTGACAAAGAAGCACGTTTTAGGCAAGGAGGTTTTGCATTGTTTGAGTTGGGAGTGGCATGCATACCTGGAGCCGAGTAACTAAGTGGACAGCCCGGTGGCCATTAGGGGTGGCAGTGGAGCAGCAGTGCAAAGAGTGTCGGCGTACCCAGACGTTGTGGGGACGAGGAAGGCGAGATATGTCGGTGTCTTGAATGTTCGGATCAGGCGAGCACAAGGTAGCTGAGCCAACGAGCGAGCGAGCGAGCGAGAGCTGTAATCAGGATGATTCTCCTTTTAGCGCTGTATGCAGAAAAAAGTTCTATCTCAATCCCTTCATCAATCATACTACGTGTGTCAACGTTGGGGCGTCATGGGTCATATGAATGTGCGGGTTGCTCCCCTGATAATACCACGCCAGTACTGGATATGTCTCTCGCCACAACAAGCGACTCGCCTGTCGTTCTCGAGTCAAGAATCATCTACGACGTCTGCGCAACATGCTCAGACAACGGCGTCTCTGTCCAAGGACTAGACAGTGTGGAAATCTAACGGCAGTCCGTCTTTCAATCGCCGCCCTTGGTGATCCTTTCAAACACGTCAACACCGTAGAGGCCCAGGGCGCTGGCACAAGCGACAGCACTGGCGCCGACCTTGCGCATGCGATCAAAGCCGGCTTTGTCCTCGACGCCGCCGACGCCGATGATGGCCAAGTCCTTAGTCTCGGGATGCCGATCGAGCAGACGACGAAACGTGGCGACATTGCCCAACGCCAGAGGATGGAGTGCGGCGCCCGCCATGCCGCCCACGCCGGTGCCGGATTCACTGGTCAGCACGGGCTCCAGGGCGTCGTTGAGCAGCAGCGACGAGCCGAGGGTGTTGGTGGAGGTGAGGAAGTCGACGACACAGCTTTCGCCGGGCTCGGAGGACTTTGCGGCCTTGAGGGCGGCGACGACCATCTCGAACTGCGAAATGTGCGTGTACGGAGGCAGCTTGATGCCGACCCTGGGCGCACTCTCGGGGGTGGCCATGCGGCCGCGATACGTCGATTTCGAGTCGCCAATGGCCTCGAGGAACTCGGCCAGTTGGCCGGGGTCGTAGGCCGGCGGAGGGGCGTTGGCGATGTTGGGACATGACAGGTTGACTTCCATGGCGAGACGCAGGTCTTCGTCCATCTCGGCCGCGTTCGCGATCAGGGCGTAGACCATGGAGATCTCGTCCGAGGTGCCCGTGACGCTGAGGATAAACGGCTTCTTCGTCGGCGTGTCGGTGCCCAGGTGTCGTTGGCCCACGATCTCGTTGATGATCCCCAGGTACTCGGACAGCGTGAGCGGGGAGTAGCCGAGCGTGTTCAACGTCGACACCGGTCCCGCTGAAGACGACGACGACATGTCAGCAGAACTTGATGTGTTATCGGCGCCTGTGCTGGAGCTGGACGCGGTGGCTGTAGGTTTCGAGTCTTCGCCCTTGGGAGCGTTCGCGGGGATGGTCGTGCCGGGAGTGAAGAAGGTATATTGGTGCACCGAGTCATCGTGTGAAAAGCCTTCCAGCAAGCTGGTGCGGATGGTCACGGCGCCTGTGTATGGACTGTCGTAAAGTGCCTTGATGTCTTCGAGCGTGGTGGACCATGGGCACGCCGAATTGAGCAGCGGAGGGTCGATTTTGAGCTTCGACGCCATGTTTGGACACTAGGTCTGCGTATATTCGAGAGTTATGGATGGATATAGCTTCGGTCGCGTTGGGCGTGAAAAAAAGGATTGACAAAAGGAACTGGGGCCGAGATGGGCTGAGACCTGGATATCCCTTACTTCATATCACTCTTTCGGTGATTTATCAGCTCAAGACCGCAGTGAGTTGAAGTGGCGGTGCTTCTTGAGTCGGTGAAGGTGACCGTGACCGTGACAGTGAGCTGCGAGATGACGATGCTGTTGTCCTTGAATGCGACTTCGTCTTACTTGAGGCTGCTATGGTCTGCTCTGTTTCTGGACCATGTGCGGTAGTGTACTGTATCCGATGTGGAGAGAGAGAGAGAGATTGGGGGCCGAATGGAACGCCAATGGCGCGCCTCATATACTAGTTTCCTCCAAAATGGCGAAGGTCTGAAGTGCTGCTGCTGTCAGCTTCTTGCTCGAATTGCAGGAGCGCTTTGGTATACAGAGTTAAGGGGAGCAGCGACCAAGGATGTGAAGAGATGTGCTATTATTATATACCCAGCTTCGCTTATCGAGGCCATCTTCCTTTTTCGATACGGTCAAAGAGTGGCTGGCGTTTGGTGGCTGCCCGGATCTAGGCGAAATCGACTAATCATGATGCAGACGAGGGAGGCCGTGTCTCAGATCTGATAACAAGGCACCATGCTCTTTCGTCTGAGCTGCTGAGTTACCATCAGAGTGAGACATTGCAAACGAAGCAAAGGCAAAGAAGCTCAGAAGATTGGATGGGTCATTCATCTTGATCTTGATTTTCATCTATCGTGAACAAAGAGCAGGCGAGGCATCTCCTGGAGTGAGAGAACTCCTGTCAGGTGCCCTGCACGAGGCTGTATCCTTGACTATTTGGCTGTGTCGTCTCCGGTTCTGTGTTACCACATACGGCCGCGACCTTCGGACCTGCAGTAGACAAGGCCAGCGCCGAACACCGCTTACAACTTTTGCATGGCGACGACATCGGTTGATTGAACATGGTCCTCGTCCTCTTCAATCTTCTGCTGCAGGTCATCAAGGCCGACCTTGTCATCTTCGATGACCAAGTTGATCTGCAGTTTCTTGATACCGAAGCCGACAGGGACCAACTTGTGAGCACCCCAGACGAGACCGTCCATCTCGATTGCCACCACATTCTTCACCAGCTCGTCCATATCAGTCTCGTCATCCCAGGGCTTCACATCCAAAGTGACAATAGATTTGGCGGCAGGCTTGGCCTTGCCCTCCTTCTTTTTCTTGTAGTCGGCCAATCTCTTCTCACGCTCCGCCACGACTTCGGGATCTTCCTCCTCAGACTCGGAGCCGAACAGATCGACCTCGTCATCCTCCTCGGCGTTAGGAGCATCCTTGGGGTTTTGTGTCACTTCGACGGCCTCTGGTCCGTAGGTGGTGAACGGCTTGGATGGGTCACCCGAGAGGGTGGAGAAATCGGCTTCATATGACTTGATGTGGTTGTACCAGCGGTAGGCGTGGGGGTACTTCTCAACGGCGGGAGCCTTGTCTAGAGCCTTGAAAGAGACGACATCGGCCTGAGTTGGCTGGAAGCTATAGATATTCTGTCAGCGACCAGTTTGGAAAAGGTTTGTCCAGTATCAATCATATTCGCTCAATAAAGATCAGAAGTGCAAATGCTTGCGATTGGAAGTAGTCATTCTGTGGTGTCTTAAGCCACATCATCAACACGGACCAAATTGGTTTCATCCTGCGAGTTGGGAATGCGAAACGGGGAGTTCTCGAGAGGTTGTCACATACCCAGCGATGTAAGAACGGGTTCTGAGCCAGTTGTTGAGCACTGTGTTCAGGTCAGTCGGGGAGATTCCAGAGATTGCGGTCAAGTGAACCTACGCGTCAAGCCACTGTCGGAAACAAAGTCGGTGAAACCCATGTTGGCTGTTGCTTCTTGTACTGTTCACTGTTGAGAGAAGGTTGAGAAGTGTTCCAGGACAGTGTTGTGGTGAGATAATGGTTGGATGGTATACAAATCGTCTTGCCAACGATGCGCCAAAATCAGAAAAAAACCATGCATTCAAGTGCCAAGGTTTGGTGACTCGCCCAGTTTGGGAGTAGGATATCGCCGCTCTACATGCACCCGCAGCTCGCGCGAGCTGGGTGATGATTACTATTGAACGGAGGGACAGCCTTTAGAAAAGGATCGTAGTACTGTTTATCCTTAGCCCTTCGAATAAGATGTCTACTCCTCCACTCCTGTATCACCGGACCCTATGTATCTAAGAAAGACTCCAGGACCCTCTCGACTCAAGCATTCCTATCTTAAAGCGGCGTCTTGAATCGACGACTACTTTCGGGGAAGGCGCCATAGCTCCGGTCCTTGAACAGATACTTACAGCTTCGTGGCCTGGGTAGGTAGCCCTATCGAGACGAAGATTAGATGTACCTCATCTTCACGCATGTACTATCGTGTACCACTCTGCATCTGGTGACGATACAGCAGGTTTAAGTGGCAAGGCTGAAAATAGAGTATTTTGATTGGTCAATTCCATTGCCCTGTGCAGTGCTCCGTCGAATTTCAGGGCGGCGCTTCTCCAAGTCTCGGCGCGCTAACCCACATCGGGCCACATCCACCATGAGATCATTCGATTCGACGAGTCTCGAGAGTTCCAGAAGCAAAAGGCCGCGGTGCCATCCGGATGTTGAGATTCATTTCAGACATAACTATCCTTCGACGTCCATTTTCCTAGCTATTATGTCTCTTCACACGTTAGATCACCGATAATATATGCATGTACAAAAAGCGCCGAGCGCTACAATACCGCAACCATGAACGCAGCAAAATCGTCGCTTGCTCGACGAGCAATACAAACACGCTCATTTTCCACCCCGTTACGACGAACCACATTCACTCCTTTATTGACCAATGCAGCGAGGTCTGCAGTCGTTACTAGATCAGTTCTACCCGCAGTTTCCACGATACGGACATATGCCAGCGGCAGACCCCATCCGCCGGGTGGCACCCATCGAATGGACATGGGAGGTGGGGAGGAGAAACCAGCGTTGGAAGAGTACGGTGTCGACTTGACGGCCCGAGCCAAGGCCGGGAAGCTTGATCCTGTTATTGGAAGAGATGCAGAAATACACCGGACGATTCAGATCCTCTCTCGCAGAACGAAGAACAACCCTGTCTTGATAGGGTCTGCCGGCACCGGCAAAACCGCCATTCTCGAAGGTCTCGCTCAGCGGATCGTCAGGGGCGATGTCCCTGAAAGTATCAAGGGCAAGAGAGTCATTTCTCTTGACCTCGGACAGCTCATCGCTGGTGCCAAATTCAGAGGTGACTTCGAGGAGAGACTAAAGAAGGTGTTAAAGGAAGTGCAAGACGCACAGGGTGGTGTCATTCTCTTCATTGACGAGTTGCACACCTTGCTTGGACTCGGAAAGGCGGAGGGCTCTATTGACGCCAGCAATCTACTCAAGCCAGCCCTGTCTCGTGGCGAGCTGCAATGCTGTGGAGCCACAACTCTCAATGAATACCGTCAGATCGAGAAGGACGTCGCTCTTGCTCGTCGTTTCCAACCTATCCTGGTGGGCGAGCCCTCAGTCCAGGATACCATCTCGATTCTGCGGGGTATCAAAGACAGGTATGAGGTCCATCACGGTGTTCGCATTACCGATGGAGCACTAGTGGCCGCCGCAACGTACAGCAACCGCTACATAACCGACCGATTCTTGCCCGACAAGGCGATCGACCTGGTCGATGAAGCTGCCTCAGCCTTGCGGCTGCAACAGGAATCGAAGCCCGATTCAATCCAGACACTCGATCGTGAGATCATGACAATACAGATCGAGCTAGAATCTCTGCGCAAAGAAACCGACGTGGCGTCCAAAGAACGTCGCGAGAAGCTGCAAGAGACTCTTGCGGAGAAGAAGAAAGAAGTCGACCGATTGAGCGAAATCTGGAATCGCGAGAAGGCAGAGATCGAAACCATCAAGAAGACCAAGGAAGACTTGGAGAAAGCCCGGCATGAATTGGATCAGGCTCGACGTGAGGGCAACTTTGCACGTGCAGGAGAGCTCCAGTATGCTGTTATTCCCAAGCTCGAGTCTCAGTTACCGAAAGAGGGCGAAGAAGTGTCCACTACCACCAAGACAGGCGAGACATTGATCCACGACGCTGTGACACCGGATGACATCGCCAACGTCGTGAGCCGAACGACCGGCATTCCCGTCAACAAGCTCATGGCCGGTGAGGTGGAGAAGCTGATCAAGATGGAAGACAAGCTTCGCGAACATGTCCGGGGTCAGGACGAAGCGTTAGCTGCCGTCGCAAATGCAGTGCGTATGCAGAGGGCTGGTCTCAGCGGCGAGAACCGTCCGATGGGAAGCTTCATGTTCCTCGGCCCTACTGGCGTGGGCAAGACGGAACTGTGCAAGCAGCTCGCCAACTTCCTATTCAGTACCGAGACCGCTGTCGTGAGATTCGACATGTCTGAGTTCCAAGAGAAGCACACCGTCTCCAGGTTGATCGGCGCGACGGCAGGGTATGTCGGATATGAAGACGCCGGCCAGCTGACAGAGGCGGTGCGGCGGAAGCCGTACGCCGTGTTGCTGTTTGATGAATTCGAGAAAGCCCATCGCGACATCTCCAGCCTGTTACTGCAGGTCTTGGACGAGGGCTTCTTGACCGACAGCCAGGGCCATAAGGTCGACTTCCGAAACACTCTGATCGTCTTGACCAGCAATCTTGGTGCCGAGGTCCTGATGGGCGCTGGTGGCGACGTCGAGAATGTGACTCCGGAGCAGAAGAAGGCCGTCATGGAAATCGTGCAGGCCAGCTACCCGCCCGAATTCCTCAACCGGATCGACGAGTTCATCATCTTCAACAAACTGTCGCGGTCTGCGTTGAGAGATATCGTGGACATCCGGGTCAAGGAACTCCAGGGCCGACTCGACGACCGCAGAATCAAGCTCAACATGTCAGACGAAGTCAAGGACTGGCTGTGCGAGAAAGGCTACGATCCGAAATACGGTGCCAGACCACTCAACAGACTAATCCAGCACGAAGTCGGCCGGAAGTTGGCCGACAAGATCATCCGCGGCGAATTGAAATCCGGAGACACCGCGACAGTCATCGTCTCCGGGGACAGAGAAGTATTGGAGCTGCAGGTTGGAAAGCCCAACTAAGGTTGCAGCCACAACTTTCCATCCATCATGAACAATCGACCCGCGTCATGGACTGGCCGTCGACGACTGGTCTTTGTGACAGGTGCTGTTCAAACAAATGGCGACTGAGTGGCAACCCCCTATCGGCAACCGCATCCATTACTTGGCAGCGGTCTAGTCTGTCTGTCCTCTATCTACACCAATGATACCCAGGCGACAGTCCCTGTCTCTCTATCAAGTGTTGAATGTCGACCGGCGCAGCTTCACGATCTTATCGAGATTCGCATCATCTACTTCTGCGATCAAGGTTTCCTTTCATCAATTCTCCGAGTCTCAGGACCGCCATTGTGCGCTTCGGTGGCATCAAACACCCGCATACAATCGCCTTGATCCTTACTTGAATTGATGAGCAACGGAGACAGCAAAACCCCAACCTACAATCGGGAATCGGGTCCTGGTGTCCACGACGTTACGAGATTGCACACGAAAACACGAAAAAGAACCCAAAACGGTTATAATATGGTACTATTGCCAGCATCTTTCAGCATTGCTTATTGCATCAGCTCTGCATGGGTCTTTCGGAATTCCATTCAAGAAAGAACCCTGGCGTTCTGGATCTGATATCTGATATCTCGAGAACTCGTATCTGATACCCTCGACTCAATCCTTTTCTTGTGAAATAAATTTACTTCCATTGGACCTCGGGTTTGATCATTTGTATATATATACTGCCATGAATCGAGTCACGTAAGGGGGAGGTGGAGTCATCTTTCTTATCTTGGTCGTGTCTCAGGTTTTTCGACATGGTACCACCGTGTTTCAGACTGAGTGAGGATGTACTACTAGTACGTACCTGTAGTATCTGATGTAAATATGGATTAAAAAACCAGAAAGAAGCTTGTCTACTCCCGGAATCCGAGGTTCCCGTTCTTGATTTAACTTCCAGTCCGTCATTTCCTTTCCTCTAGTACCCCAGTCCTCCTTAGAACTATACTCTGCCCTTACCTTCAATTTTCATAATCCTATGGTATTACCACCTTCGTGCTTGCTGCTGCATGACATCTCTTATGTTCGCGTTCTGCTTGTAAGTTGTGACTAGAATTTGCTGGCTGTGCTGTGCTGTACGGACAGATTGCAGTTGAACTTCCAGTCCTGGCTGTCAGCTCCCACCTTTTAAAGGGCTCTTTTCTGTTAGAATGCAGAATGCAGAATGCAGAATGCAGAATGCAGAATGCAGAATTGCGAACGCTATATAATCTTGTTATAACAAAATCTGGTACTACGTAGTAGTTGAATACCTTTTTCATTTGGACATTTTGGTGCCCGTTACATACAACTTGAAAGGGCCAATAGTCCTTAATGGATCGGTGCCCTTGCCACCCACTGCTGGGAGCACAAATGTATATTAGGTACCTAAATTAGTTCTCAGGATTACAGTGTTTTATACCTCCTCCCCAACCTACCACAAAGGACGTACAGTATACCAACTCAATGGAAATCTCCGGACTCCAGCCCTCGCTGATCTCTCGGTCCATGTCTCTCTATGTTTCTTACTCTTTATACAATTGGTATCTTCAATCGAGCAGTGAGATCTGCGGGTTCTTCGTGGTTGAGGAGCTTGGAATCTTCTCGCCCCAGAGTCCAGACTTGTATTATCCATGGCACTAATCAATGACAAAGACAACTTCTGACTCGGACTCGGACTCGTTCGTAAATGCGCGAGAACCCGATGAGGGTGCCGTACTCCATTCGATTTCGTCCTGGAAAATTGTCGTCACATGGCCGTTGTCGACTTCTGTGGGGTTCAACGACACGTCGAGACAAGAGATGAGGCGCCATTGCAGTCATGTTTACCGATCATATTCAGTTGTTGCCGCGGTGTCCCATTCGTCCCTCGTCTCTTGTCTTGAACAACTTTGTTTTCCACATGTCTTTTAGCCCGAATATTCTGTTATGTGGCCAAGTGGTCCGATTCGGTCGGCGAGGGCGCGCGCAACTTGCTGGTGCTTCAGTCAAGGGAAAACTATTGCGAGTAGTGCCGCGCGCGGTATCGAATCTGGAAGGAATGTCTCGATATGCCTGCTGCTGCTGCTGGGTTTGCAGTTGGTATCAGTTCCACGGCTTTCAACGACCCTTGAGCATGGAGCAGTGGGGCAATGCAAAACACAACCGTCCACAGAAGCTTCTCCATTCCGACACAACGTTCTTGCAGTTATGTTGATACATTTCTCGTCATGCTCATCACAAGCCGAGTCAGAGCGACGTTGTTGTTTCCGGCTAGCCCAGTCTTCGCCCTGCCGCGCCGTGGATGTAACTGTAGGTGAAGGGAATTGCAACTTGCAAGTTCCACAGAGTCCGTAGTCGAGTAATAAGTATGCTGCTGTCGTGGGCTCAGCTGATAATTGAAGGAAAGTCCTGCCGGATGTGACATCAATGTCTTGGAAAGCCTCATGCAGGCGGTGAAGAGGGAACAGGTGATCTGTACGTAAAACTCGCTTGACGCTGAAAGATCCCCAGATTCCCCCGTCTCGATGGTTGCAGAACTGCGCAGTGCGCATTTGCTTGCAATCAGACAAGAAAAGATCTTTTTTTTCTTTCGAAAGTCGGGTGTTGAGCTGAAATTCGTATCGACATCTCTTTGAAGCCGACTTCGACCAAGCTGGTGGCCTCCGCTGCGGCAACTCCAGACTTGCTGACGGACACGGAATTCCACCGGTTCAGAGACCCGTTGAAGTACCCTGCGAGGGACCCTTATTCTTCTCTACCACGCGCATTTCGACGTACTCAAAGCTGGCGGAAACAGCGCCGAACTTTCCTGGATAGATCGTCCTTCAATATATCGTCCTTCAAGAGGGAAGCCACCAACCGTGGCAGACGAAAAGAATACAATGAAGCCTCGATGGATGATGTGTACAGGAAAATTCTGAACAATGTTGTACAAGAGAGAAGGCGCAGAGAGTCTGTATATGGAAAAGGCGGCCCGCGCCCTGTCACACCATAGACAGTGACCTGAGACCTGTGCTCATGCGTAGCGACGCTTTATCGAACATGTTGCACCCTTGGTCTTCTGCTCAGGGGAATCCGGCCCTGCACCACAATCGATGAGAGTGTATATAACCAATTTCCAAATCGAACGTAGTCACAGCAATTAGTCTTTGGCGTGCTGTTGAACCGTATCCATGCAAACGCTAGAGTATTATTTCACTTCTCGTATATGGCGCCCGGCGAACAGAGTGGACGTCGAGACACCTGTTGCTGCCTTCTCACTCGTAGCCTGGGAGTATCGGAGCTCCTCTTTGGCGTCGCCAGAAGTTGGCTCTGTGGCCCCATTCGGCAGTCAAGAGCCAACCACCCCATCTTTCTAATACGTTGGCAGAAAACTCCCAAGAGAACTCATTCAACCAGTCCTCACCCCATACTGTCATCTGTCCTGTATCTTCAATGTCACAGGTGATCGTGCAAGCCTCGGTAAGGAAAGTGTTGGCGTTCGCCGGTCCGATCGCAATCAGTCGATCTCTAAGGGCGGGCGACGGAATCATATCGATGTAAGCATGATGGGGAGTAGACAGTTGTAGTTGGCTGGGTTTCAAGGAGGCAGGTAATGAAGGCTCTAATGCTGCGAGAGTTGCAAGGTGTCGTTGTGGATTCGAAATGATAGGTATTTCGAGCAAAGGTGCGAATAGCTGATGGAGTGATCGTCGGATCTCGCGGACATTGTTTGGCACCACAACAACCAAGTTACTCATGTCGGTGCTGGCACCAAGGAGAGGAGATGTCGCTGGAGGGGGAAGAGCGCCTGGCAGAGGGCCACGCACGTAAGATGTGGACGGACCGGCTGGACCTCCATAACCGCCTGGTGCTGCCCCTCCAAACTGTATAAAGGCAGACGGCGAGCCTCTCAAGTCACCTGGACTGACAGACGGGCCCGGTGAACTGGCTTGAGATCCGTATGCCGCCTTCAGAGTTTCATTTTCTTGTACAAGCAGTTGATTTTCGCGGCGCAAGCGTTCGACTTCCTCCACTTGGGTATTGTTCAGTTCGCGCTGGGCGGCTTCAAGCTTGCTCAGGTGTTCCTTGCGCCTTTGTCCTGATATATATACCGGTCATCAGAAGGCGTTCGCCAACAGAGAAGAAGTTCAAGTATATAGAGCGACGCAAACAATACTTACGAAAGACACGCTGCGCGTTGCGGTTGTATTCCCTTCGGCGCCGCTGGATCAGTAGTGTTGCCAGAGATTGGAGACGGTTAGACTAACCTCTTCTTCGCTGCCTTGCTCGCTTCGCTACCTGACTCTGACATACTGGCAGTCGCAAATAATCTTACTGTTGGTATGGTAAAAGAGGTCTGTGACGGTCGACATTGTTCAAGTAGCCCGGATAAATCCTGGATCGATATGTACCATTTCGAAGCAAGCAGTTGGTAAGGCCGGACACTCTGGGAACGATCCGCAGAAGTAATGAGTCGGCGACCAGGACTTGTCCACCAGTGACAGACAGGAGTTCACAGCTGAGAGTCCAAGGACTTGGTCACCTTGACTGACTGCTTCAAAGCAGCTGATGTGGGCAACATCAAAAGGCAGTGGAATCACTTGGACGAGGCGAGACTACCGGATTTGATTGGATAGAAACAAGGAGACCCTGAGAGAATAGCGCAACGGTCAGTCTGCGAATGGTCAAGCCTGCTGGCAATGTCGGTTGGCAGTTAGGTGATAAGCTCACACCTGAGAAGCGGCATCCGGGCCCAAGGTCCAGCAACGGTAGTGCTATGTCTGTGGGGAGACGCGCCTCGCTGGGGCTGCGTTGTGACACGCAATTTGCGCTCTGAAAAGGAAAGTTCGACTTTCGAGTATTGGCAATGTGTGTCTCGCGCTTCCACTAAAGGGAGTACGTTTCCGACGAGCGGAATGGAGATACACTCAGCCACAGCCCTAGTTGAGCGCCATCAGACCTGTAGTTCGTCCGGAAGAAAGAGGATCAGACGCTGCCGACGTTTAGACAGATGGATAGTATTCAATCATGTTTGAAAGCTGCAATGGCCGGAGGTCTGCATGCATGCAATGCTTAATCGAGGCTGATAGACTGTTCCTGGCGCAACTTCAGTAGACCAAGCACGAGGCACAAAGGGACCATTGGAACACGATCTGCAGAGTAGACACGACCACGTCCGTCAGGTGACCAGGAACAGACTCGACCAAGCAGTCAGTTCTTTAACCGAAGCTCACCAACACGTAGCCGACGCACTTGCCAGATGCTAGATCGTCGCTGTCCGCAAGCCGGCAGAGCCCTTCGCCTTGGGCTAGGGTGGCCCACCCTGAACAGCCAGGATGGATTGTTGCGCCTGTGAGTGGATTGGTTCTTGCGAGAGAGGCAGGTAAAACATTGCCAGGTGCCGTGCAGATGGGAACCTCGGAGGGATGGGGATCTTAGATTCAACAAGCAAGGACGCTGCAAAGGGAATAGCCCGAGAGTCTGGTTTGGGACCCATGTTCCACCCCAGCTGGCATCGAGTTCGTGATTACGAGTCACAAGTTTTGTGCCCTGGTGGCGCGCTAAACAAGCCACAAGTGGGTTCTCTATGTTCGGCTGTCAAGCCTTCAGCCGCGGGAGTCTCCATGAACCTGGCCGGAGACGGCTGGCCCGTGGCGTCGTAGCTTTTGCAAGGCTTGCCACAGGATCCATCTCGCATACTGGCAGATGGTGTACATGTCGGCTGAGCCTCTTCAGCTTCTCCAGACCTGCTTGTCGAGTCATGTCTCGAGGCAAGGATTCTGTAGCTTGGTGTGACGACAGTATAGGCATCATGGAGTTGCACAGCTAGAGCGTGATCACCTTCGAGACTGGCCACAAAGACTTTGTAGTTTGGGCCCCTGCAGGCTGGACATCATTGTTTGTCTCAGAACACTCAGTGCAGCGAAGCTCTGTCCTCGGTGGTGAGTGGCCGGATGCTTGCCTCTTGTCAGGCTGAGGAGAAAGTTTGTTCAATCGATCGACAAGGAAGAGTCAGCTCACGAGGATTGCTGTAGGTTGCGGTGCTAGGCCGAGGTCGAGAACCCCTGTACAGCTGGACGATTGGGATAGCTGGAGGGTCTTGGAGCGAAGATCTGGTTAAATCTATCCATCGGTTAGTAGTCGTTGTGATAGCGCCGAGTCTATAACACAAGGGGTTGCCCGGCTTGCTCGGCTGTGGCAGTCAATTGACAGAGTGACAGACGGCATTGGACCAATATGGGCAGGCGGGCCGCCGTTTGAGCATGGTGGAAGCTGGATGTTGTAGCTAGGTGGTTGATTTGCTATCCTTAGCATCGGTGCGTGATCCAAGCGTGTCTTAGAGCAGCAGAAAGAAACCTGTACACGCTCCACCGGCAGGGCTGGATAGATTCTGGATTTTGATTCCGCAGGGTGGACACGAGGATACGACGATGTGACGATGGGACGATGGGACGATGGTGAGTGACGGATGGGAACAAGGACACCGCAAGCGAAATGGACCTGGAATTACCCGACGGGGATCCGCGGGCGCCTGTCAGTGCGGTCTAGCAGGAAGTCGAGATCTCTTGGTGCAGGCTGCGACTGCGGCGACGGCAGCGTGCCTGGCAACAGTGCTGGTGGTAGTGCTGGTAGTGCTGGTAGTGCGGTGGGATAGTAGCGATAGAGACCCCTGTACCTGAGATAGGCACTGTGGGCAGTTCCTAGTAAGACATCCACTGCTAGCAACCCTATCTGCATACCTATCACAGCAGACAGTGCCTGCTCCCAGTACTTTGTTCGCCCTGACTCGCTTCCCCCAAGTCTGCAAGCCATCACCAATTACAGCCTGCGGTCAATAACAGAATATTGTCGCTGAACCTTACCTAAGGGTATGTCTGAACGTTGTGTTACTACCTTGGGTAGGTATCTGGGAGGTCTTTGCGTCCACGCGGTGCTCTTTGACCCTCCACACTCTGCCCACATCCATTCCCTAACGAATAATGGACCCGTGCCTGACAGTGTCGGCTGCCGGCCCTTGAGCTATCGAGCTAACAACACCGCACGGTGCAAGAAGCCCAGATTTGGTGCCGGAATATGCCTGAAGAACTGGACGAAGATACCACTGAACGGCATCTCGGTTTCGGCCTTCCTCCTTTCGCCGAACCAGTCTTGAAGGACGAGACTCTTGCCAACTCAACGATATCTGGGCAGGTCCTCCCGGAAGCGTTACCCTCGAAGCGCCCAATGTTGTGTCATAAGCAAGCTGTCCTTCCTTATAGAAAAGTGAGGCGACGTGAGTGCTCCACATGAGGCTGCAATCAGAAAGAGAGTGCCCTGTTCCGGACGTGGTGGAACAGTCGAACGCGCCGCAGTCGGTCAGCATTATAGTACCTGATAGAAAATGGGCCGGGCACAACTGGACGCACCTTACCCACATCAAAACCCCCATAGGGTTGAATGTCCACCTACCTCCATTTCAGTCGAAACGACCTAACCAACGAACGCCAATGGCGCGTAGCAGGCAGGGCCAGCCCTGTGAAAAAGAAGAGTCGAGATGCGTCATTTTGACGAGACTAGGTGCAGAAGAACAAAACTTTTCAATGGGGCTGGTCTATCACTCATATCCATCCCTGGGAGACAAAGCGTCAACACTATTCTGTATAGAGGAGCCCTCGTTGCTTTTGCCAGTCTAGCAGTGACGGCCTCTTTCGCCAACTTCTTCAGCCCACCCATGCCCCCCATCGGCCTTACTGTCGAGAGCATACGGTTGCCAACGATTTGAAATTCTATTGCGTTGGTCTGATACAGTCGTCGGCTTGATGGCTTCCGCAATGACCACCAAATGAACATCCAGCTTATGCATTTTTTGTGATCATCAATCAGCGCAGCGCAGGAGGAGCAAGCTATCAATGCCGCTGCGTTGTTTCGCTGTTGTCTGTGCCGACGCTACTCAAGCCTCGAAGGCTGTAAAAATTTTCAGTGCAAACCTGGAAGCGTAGCGCTCCTGTGGAAGTTTCGCACCAGAAACGAGTCTCGGAGTGGGCTAACAACTGCGAGGAGCACAACATAGCATTCCCAAAGCCGTTCAGAAGACAACAAAGTGCAATCGAAAGTGTCGAACAGGTGGTAGGTCCAACGCAATGTTTGCTCCTTTGTGTTTGCTGAGCAATGTTCCGCTTGTAATGGTATTGCCATTATCCGCCGTGGGCAAGTCCCTCGATACTCTAAGTTGATCTTTTGCAGCCTTGCCACCAGATGTCGGTTTCCAATCAAGACTGTCACTTTGGCTGAGCTCCAGGCTGGACGGTTATCCGACCCAGACCCAGATGATGCCAATAACCACATCCAAGCCTTTGCTGTCCGCACCGGGATATTTGTAACTCCACATGCCATCCTTCTCGTTGTTCCAATACGCGCCGCTGGCCGCATGCATTCCTCGTCGGCCACTTGTCTTCTTGGTTTCATCGCTGGGCGATGACGGAGTAGCCGCGTGCTGTATGATTGTGCTGTTGACGACATACTTGAATTGAGGTTGACCGGGGGTCGATGCCGTGGCAGATTTCTGAGTGGTCTCCTCCACTAAGGCACCCAGAATGCTGTTTATGATGGTCGTATTCCATGACTCTGTCTCTGGATGTGAATATGCTTTGACACCGGCAAGAGCTGCGTCGCACGCCTGGAAAGTCTACATGTCAGCTTCGGGTTACCCGGTGGTCTGCTATCCCGCCGCAACAACTCACACTTTCTGTTATCTCCTTGAGCCGGGTATATGGTACAGGCGGTGCAGCGGTATGCTCAGACGCCATTTTTGCCGAGATCTTGCCGCCGGCTTGATTTAGGCAAATATAACCTTCCTGCTCCTTGCGGATGAAGTCTTGCAGAGACGGGGAGATCAGGAGATCCTCGGATGTAGTGACTGGTGTTGCCTTTTCTTGCTCGGTTCCGACTCTAGTTGAACAACGTACAGGAGGAAACTCAACGTTAGAGGTAAGTTGTGAAAGATAGTCGCTTCCACTCTGTAGGCCGGTCTCTAGCCCTGTACCTGTGGCGCTGAGGGAGACCGTGACAAAGTCTTGTTTCCTCAACCTGACAGTGTCGTTTTGCCTCTGGTGAGCAAGTCCGTCCCCGAGGTCCTCGAACTTCTTTTCTTCCTCCTGTTCTCGTTCCCGAAGCTCTGCTTTCCAACGTTTCGTCCGTAGGCTGAACGTCGAAGCCTTTCTAGCAAGTCGTCTCCGAAACTCGGTGAATGGGTGCTCGTGGTGCTCGATTTGGTTCTGACGTACAGAAAGATTGTTCGGGTCCAAAGCTTGTTGGGGAAATGTCTCAGGAGGCCACTCAGGCTGCGCTTTCTGCAGTCGGCTCCTTACGAACCTGCCAGGCGAGTCTGCGTCGTTGCGTGGATCCCATGCTGCGGCGTTAATGGTAGATCTGACCTTCCGTAGTAGGGTGGACATGTTGATCCCCAGAGTGCAATTAAGCACGTGCGCTGCCACTTGCTCCTGCAACAGCGACCAACGAATGGGAAGTTGTAAAGTGAGCAGGTGTTGCACTGGCGCTTGACAGGGCCCCGCAGTGCCGTAGTAGTAGTAGTATGAGGTTATCGATGGAAGAGCAGACAAGAAAAACGTAGGGCAGGCAGGTAGTAGGTGTCTTTCCTTCTTCTCACTTGCAATATCCAATCTTGAAAACTTGCAGTCCACGTACTTGGTGTGTATCTTTGAGATCGCAGTATCATTTCTCTCTCACTTGAGCCACTGTTGTGTTGTGTTGTGGTCTGGAAGGACCTGGCAGATCGCAAACACACTCTACCTGCACCCATCCGCGGAATCACCCTCGGTTACCTCCTGATACTGCAAATAGCTCGACGGACACCGCAGCCCCTTCCCGAACTTCCTCAGAAACAGTGTGCATACGGTGGCACTCCAGCCTGTGATTGGAGTTTCCAGGAGGAGCTTCGGTTTCGGTCTTAGATTACGGAAATCAAGGGAACAAGACATCGCAGTCCGGCCTGACCGCGGAGGTCTCAAGTCAGAGCTCTACGTTTGTGAAGACAGCACAACAGGAGGCCCAGCCCAGCGACAGTGAATATCCTCCCGAAAGACGGCGTCGATCCGCGTTATTGTCGAGTGACGGGTCGATTCGGGTGCATCCCAGAGATCGAAAGTCACAGAACTCGATCAATCGCCGGCACGTTCGAAACGGGAAGCAGGCCATTAGGACAGCAGAAACAACTGTTCCTGGTACAGCCCGACCTGCGCGCCCTCCTACAGACACTTCCTCGAGTTCGTTTTCTTCAGAGCAGTCATACCGCACAGCCCGCTATTGTACAGCATTAGAGAATCACAGTACACACGCCGCCATGTCTGAACAGCCACTTCTCCAGAGCGCCCCAGGTAGATATTGCTACGCTTTCTCCATATGACATGATCTCGCTGACGCGGCTTTGCAGGCAAACGTATCGCACTCCCGACGAGAGTGGAACCCAAAGTCTTCTTTGCCAATGAGAGAACCTTCCTCTCATGGCTCAACTTTACAGTCATCCTCGGCGGTCTGGCTGTCGGTCTCCTCAACTTCGGTGATGCCGTCGGTCGCATTTCTGCTGGCTTGTTCACGCTGGTAGCCATGGGGGCTATGATATACGCGCTATTCACTTTCCATTGGCGCGCGAAAAGCATCAGAGTAAGAGGTCAGGGTGGGTTCGACGACAGGATAGGGCCGACGGTATTGACTCTTGCTCTTCTCGCTGCCGTGGTGGTCAATTTTGTCCTCAGGATGGTCGAAACCTAAGGCTTTCGAAGTGCTTAGCTACCTTGTCCCTCGGGCCGTGATGCCCATAGGCGAGAGATCGATCTTTGGAACGGGCGCTTGATGTGTAGACTTGGAAACAGACAACGCCGGTGGGGTCGGTGGTGAGAAGGCTGTATCCATGATAAAGGCTTGGATGAAAATATTGTCCGGATTGCCATGTTATGAGAGCATTTCGTGCTCGTAATTAGCGGACTACATTATTAAGTACGTACTCGGGTATCACTGAGTGAGAGGGCATCTCTGTAAAATTGAAGGTTGCCCTCATTTTGCCTCCTTTTCCTTCCTAACTCCCTGCCCACGAGGCCATGCTCTGCGCTCTGCTTGTTTGAGTTCTGGGTTTGTTTGTTGATCAAACACAAACGGAGGTTCCCGTGAGATCAACAAAAGCTCGATAATGCATGAGCCCTCATGCTTCGGGTGCATGATGTACCGATCTCTCCCCGGTGCTGTCCATCGCCGTAGGAGCCTGAGGTGGTGGTGACTGACCATGAAGCTCCCAGTCGATAGGATCCCAGTCCGAGCCATTCTAGGGCGGATTCGAGTAGTCGTTGAGGGCGACACAGACCGCGCCGCGGTGGTGGCCGCTGTACTGCCTAATGATACTGGCGGTGCCAAGCTCCCACAGACGAGCGTAGTGGTCGCTGCACACGGTCACGAGGTAGGCCGAGTCTGCACTGAACGCACAGTCCCACACCCAGCGCTGATGGTTGTCGAGGACAGTATCGCAGGGCAGAGGGCGGCGCTGGGTGATCAGTTCGGTTAAGGTTCGGAAAGATGCAGGGGACATTGTGGGAGACGTTAGGCTGCCTGACGAGTGAGAACGGGAGTCTGGTGTGGCCACCGCACTGAACCCGCCGGATACGATGGGGTTGGGTGTCGAGTTGGAGCTTGTCGTGCTCGTTCCATTGCCGTTCACGAAATACTGATTCTGCGAGGCGTCGCCGCGATTTTGTTCATCTGCATTGGAAACGCCACTGACTTCGGGGATGGCCTCCAGGTGCTCTTCATTCATGTCGATCTTCCAGATGCGCACGGTGTGGTCGGCACTGCAGGTTGCGAGGAGTCTGATATCTGGAGAAAGCAGCAACCGTGTAAGGTAGTCCTTGTGGGCTTTGAAGACGCGGCACGGCAGGAGGGTTGTGGAGTCCTGGTTTTGATACATGCGCCAGATGTAAACGTCGCCCTAGAAGAACAAGAGGTCAATGAAACGCCGAAGGAACCCTAAAAAAGCCCGGGTTAGCAGGCCGCTAGAGGTTTCATACCAGGTTGTTTCCAGCCGCTAGCAGAGAGCCATCACTGGCCACGCTCACGCTGGCCATCGAAACCTCCTCCACCGGTACGAGCTGGTGTGTGCATTTGCTCTCTCCAAGATCCCAGATGCGAATATTGCCGCCTCGATCACAGCTCACTAGTTCGCCTTGGTTTGGGTGGATGACCACATCGTTGACCGGGTGGGTGTGTTGATAGTTGCGCTGAACCTGGCCCGACCTTGTATCCCAAACTCTAACGGTCGAGTCTTCGGAGCTTGTCACCATCCATTTTCCCTCACAGTGAAATGCGACTCCTGTGATGTTGTTCGTATGCCCCTCAAATTGCATTATAGGGTTGGGGTTCGAGGATTTGATGTCGTAGAGCCGCACCATGTGTCGGCCGGCTGCGGCAAGATACTTTTTGTCCGGCGTGATACATAGCCGGTTGACTTGGGATTCGGGATGCTGTATGGTTCGCGAACATATTCCGGACAATGCCTCCCAAAACCTAAAGAGCAGCGATAAGTTGGACGATCCGCGGAGTGTTGGCGGGAGCCTGCGAACCTGATTGTATGGTCATAACCAGCTGGAAACAAGACATTAGCAGATTTGTTGAATGAAGGACCGTGGAAGACCTACCCGTGCATAGAATGACACTCATGCTGCCTGCTCATATCCTGGCCTTGTGTCTGGTGCACAGCGTCTCTCACTCCCCTAGGGCTTCATGGTTCTCACCAACAGAATGCGGATGCGGGGAGACTTGATGCTCGAAGGATGGTGGATGGAACTTTAGAGGGAGAGTTACAGAGCGGATTTACTTTGACTAAAAAGGTTTAGTTTCAGTATTTTAGCATTTCGGATAGAACTGTGGAAACCTTCTCCTCCTCGTGGCCAATAGATAGCGATAGTCTGATAAGAAGGGTTATCGGCCACTAAATCCCCGTGTGGCCGCTTTCTTCAACCTCTAGAACGAGTCAATATCAACGTCGCGAGCCTCGTTTGTCCTTGATTGTTTGTGACAAGCAGCACGCAAATTCGGGCAGCTTAAATTACAACTCGCATCGCAACTCATCATGGACAGACCTAGCTTTAAGCCGGGTGACACATCATGGCGGTATATTAAGATTTATACAACTTCGGTAGCTGAAAGGGATCCCAGAGGACGGTCCAAAACAGCCTTCACTAGAAGGGAAGATCATGTTGCCCGTACCAAACAAAAAACGGTGAATGGTGAATGGTGGATCACAGAAAAATACATATGCCTGGCATTCACTGCCTGATGAATAAGGCCTGCGTGACTGTTTGCACGGGTCGCGCAACGCGGTTTGGTATTGTCATTGGCAGTCCCAGGTGATCACCCTTCTAGCACGCTGTCTTCCGTCCACAATGGGATGCAACTCATTCATGCTTCAATACGATTGTGCGCCACCGACCCTCTTGCCCACTCCAGCGAGGCTCTATTGTGTGGAACGGATGTCTTTCAATAAGAGCATTCTCTCGTTGGCTATCCCTTCTCATGCACCTCGAGCTTGATTCTACAACTGGTTCTCCACAGACGACAATAGGAGTGGAAGCTCTTGTGACCTTCTTCATAAAGCTCGTCCTCGTCCCTTTCGAGTTCTTCATCTTCTTCCCATCATACATCTTTCAAACTCGACAGGACCGTTGGTGCTGATTCCCATGCTCAATCTTGTTGATACTCTTGACACTTCAAAGGTCATTCTTGCCCCCTTTCCACAGAACAACTCGTCCAAACCGAAAACAGCGCGTACTTGAAAGCAGCTTCTGAGATCATTGCTCGTGGGACCGTCCTGAACAGACAGATTCTCTCAATCCACGATCTGACCATACTTGACCGTGACACACCACCACTTCTTCACCAACTTTGTCACCATAATCAACTCAACAAACCATGGACCAACAACAAAACAACTTCCATCAGGGTCCTAGCAATTTTGAGCACGCTGGGGTTGACTTCGACAGGTACCTCGACAACCTTGGGAACCCGAACACCGTCAACAACTACGGGGAGAGCAGCACCCACAACACGGGGAACGTTGGTCACATGAGTGGGAGGTTGCTCAACCAGGGCTTTGTCATGGCCAATGCACCACCGGGAGTCCCCTTGACGAACGCACAGTCGCAATTCAATGGATACAATCAGTTCGACCCCGCCAGCTTCAGCCGGAGCCAGGGCTACAGCCAGCCATCGGCGTCTGCAGCACCAGTCATGATGGCTCATCAAGGCCAGGTTTTCACTCCGCCCCATGCTCCCCCCGGAAGAAAACGGAGTTACCAAGAAATGGAACAGCAGGAGGCCTTCAACGGCTTCCATCGCCAGCAAAACGCTTTGCCGATTCCGGCACCGAACATGGCACAGCCGGAGAGAGCAGAAATCCTACACCTCCAACAGCAGATCCAGGCCCTCTGCCAACAGCACCAGCAATTGGAGCGAAGAAACGCCGCCGAGGTCCAGCAGCTGAGAGAGGAGGCCCAGAAGTTGACCACGCAGATCGGAGCGTTCCAAACCCTTTCCCAGCGGCTTATGCAGCAGAACAAGACATACAAGGCATATTACAACATGCTCCGTGGGTCCTTCCACTTCAGAGTCAAGCCAGATGGCCTGCTCGAACCTTGCCTCATGACGACCGGTGAGCCGGCCGACCTTTCGCAGCCAATGCCACAGTTCATGCAGGAATATATGGTGCACCTCCGACAATACGTCAAGGGTCAGGTGATCAGCGCTGACACTCGCTTCTTGATGCCAGAGAACAACCAGCCAGCCTCTCAACTGATTCCTCCAAGACTTCCAATCCCACAACTCGTGGATCTGAACAACGAACAGGAGGAAGAGCTGGCTGCTGGTGCCGCTGCCGCTGCGCCTGTCATCATCTTGGACCCGAAAGCACCGGTGTCACTCCCCGCCGGCTCTCTGGGTGCGGTCTCCGAGGCTCTGCAGTCTTCTTCTTCACAGTCTTCCGGCACCACGTCAACCACAGCCCAGACGACCCCTCCAGCAACAACGGCAGACGGCGACGCTCGTCCCGAAAAGCGCGTTAAGCGTGACCACTGTGATGCGCCGTGGATGTACCGTTCCAAGAACGATGCCCTCAACAGAGCAATGGGCCACCTGCCCAACCCGCAGACCGAGATGTTGCACCAACAAGCCGCGGCAGCCCGAGCAGCAGCAGCAGCAGCGCCTGTGCCCGTTGAGAACAACACCACCGTCAGTGGCCCCGCCGCCGCCGCCTCCTCCGAGACTGCCCCTGCTCCAGAACCAAAGCCTGTCAAGAAACGTGCACGCAAAGCACCCACCGGCCCCAAGCCAGCAGCAGCAGCAGCAGCAGCAAAAGCTTCTGGTTCTGGTTCTGGTTTAGGTCCTGGTCCCGGTCCTGCCAAGAAGAGCAGGGCTACCACGGCCCGCAAACCAGCAGCACGTGGTCAGGGCAAGGGCAAGAAACGCGGCGATGCCGCCACTCGGCCTCCCACGCCTGTGGCAGAAGAAGCGGCAGCACCGGAACCAGCACCAGCATCTCCCGAAGAGACAGAAGATCTCGATGAGGCCGCGGAGGAAATCGCGAGAATGTTTGAAGAATTCGACGAGGCAGAAGGCCAAGAGGCAGAAGGAGCGACTGGAATGGAAAATGCCGTCGCCAGAGCCAGCGCCAGCTACGATGACCCGCCAAGGGTGGCACCAGCAGAAGCAGAAGCAGAAGCAGAAGCAGAAGCAGAAGCAGAAGCAGAAGCAGACGCAGACGCAGAAGAGCCTGGGCTTGGGGAGTACTCTCTCAGCGTGGACGAGGGCTTGTTTGACGACGAGGACTTTGACGCCGAGGTCGCGGTGGACTATGGGGAGTTGGATTTCATGTATTGGAAAGGCGGAGGGGTGACAGGTGGGTCAAGGGTGATAAGGGAAGGTGACGCTCTGAAGGAGTGAAGGCGAACAGAAATTCAACAAGGGGACACAGAGGAGGCGACACGGATAATGAAAGCGGCGGGATGGAGGAGGCAACGGATGTGTACAGGACAGTACCAAGGGAGGAACCAGAAGCAAAAAGACAAACGTGGAGGGAGATGGTACAGGAGACCAGGGGGCAAAAAGGGGCAGATGGACAGGAACCATCACGGGTTCCAGCGAAACGACACAAGAACGAATATCAAGAGCTTATGAGAAACGGAACAATGACTTGATGACAACCTTATACCCACGGATCTGCTGGACAAATCTTGATGCGAAAGAACATGCATGATGGAGTTCAAGCAGGACTTTTTTGACACGAGAACAGAGAAACGAGAAACGGAGCGCTTTCGGGGGCAGGTTTGGTTGGTTTATGTATTCATATCCTGCCTGTCACCATTGCAAAGAGAGCCCGAATAGATGGAGGCAAATGGCACATCACCATCAGTATCAGTATCAGTATCATTACGAGCATTAGTCACTACTCTTGTCTCTTGTCACTTCGATAGGAGTCGCAGTCAATACTGGATAAGAGTATGCTTTATGTTTTTTCTAATTCCAACTTCGGCATGTGTATATTGATTGACTTTCGGCCGAAGCTAGAGCTACGCAACCTTGCGAAATACTAGACTATCTGAGAACAGGGGTTTCCGCCTTTCGAAGGGAGGATCTCTCGGCCATGATATTGATAATGTACCATTGCTCCACGCCTTCCATTCCCATTCTGGTGGGAAAGAGACGTGCTCATTCATATCCGACGCTTCGCTATAAGTCAGGTGGCATGGCATGGCATGGCATGACTTTGGTCCAACCGACACTCCATGCTTTCTCTTCGGGCTCATCTTCTCTTCTTCCTTCCGAAACCGCTGCGGTTGCTGCCAGCACGGCTGGTCTCGGAGATGACACTCGCGGAACGCTTATGGGCACGGGGTCCCACGGAGGGAGCCAGATGTTCCTTTTTCTGGACCTCATCTTGACCGGCACCTTTTCCTGCATGTTCTGCATCGTCGCCTTCTGAGTCGGCAGCTTCCTGCTCAGCATCATCGTCGCCGTCTGAACCGTCTGCCTCCTCGTCATCTTCGTCTTCGTCTGACTCGGCTTCTGCCTCAGCTTCAGCCTCCTCGTCCTCTTCTTCTTCCTCATCCACGTCGCTGTCGTCCTGTGGTGTGGCCTGAACCTCAGCCTCGTCGTCTTCATCTTCATCTTCATCATCCTCGTCCTCTTCCTCGTCCTGTTCACCACCCTTGTGCCCAGACTCATCATCCGGGTCACTTGCTTCCGAAGAGTCGGCCTCGCTGTCGAGGGCCCTAGTAGAGTGCTTGGGACCCGGTCCACTTTGCTCATCTTCCTCTTCTTCTTCTTCTTCTTCCTCCGGTCCATCATTTTCTTCATCTCTGCGTTCATTTCTTTGAGGCTGCAGGGATGAACTCTGGCCGACGTCGTCTCCATCGTCATCGGCATCTGCGTCGCCACCCGCGTGGTCATGCCTGTCAACCTGCGTCGTACCATTCTGGATAGCACGGTCACCATCTTCGGTCTTGTCTTCAGTCTTGACTGTCGGAGCGCCGTTCCCACTGCCAGTATTCTGCTCCTTTTTGGTAGTGGGTATTGAATGGTTCTGGCCGTTCTCAAGCTTTGAGTTTTCGTCAAGATGGCTAGAATCGACTTCCATGGCATCAACGGCAGGTGGAGGGTTTTGCTCTTCCTCCTTGGGCAGACCGAGTCGGATGCGTCTCGCCTCTTCCAGAATCTTGATTTCGGTAGCAACCTTTTCGTTGACCTTTCTGGCATCCAAGAGGACATTGATCTCGCTCACCAGTGCCTCGAATACACGACACACCCGTTGAGTAGGCATGAGTAAGCGAGGGGGTATACCCAACTCGGTCAGAGCGGCTTGAATCTTGGCTGTCTGCGTCTGGCTCTTGGCCATCATGAGACGATTGATCTTTTCGTGCCGGAATTGCACACCACTAGTAAGTCTCTCTTGCGGATGCGTTACACCAAAGCGTGCCTCGTCTTGCGGTGACAGTACACGGACACTGGGCTGGGATGTCGACCCCTTCTTCTGGGGTCCTGATTCTTCGGCTTGCGTGTCCATAGTATCCCTCCGAGAATACTGGTTGGGGTGTCTTGCCTTGTCGTGTTTGGAAGCATCTGTGGGCGTGGCTGATGCTGTGCCTGCTTCTGTCCCGTTCGGCGGCGGAGGACGCTTCAATCTCTTCTCCTTAGCGAGGAGTGATTGCAACAACATAGACAAACCTCCAGAAGTTTGATACACTGCGGTTGATTGCTCTTCATTCCTCCTCAACGGAGGGACCGGTTCAAGTCTCGAATAAAGCTCGGCCCTTAATTTGATGAGATCTTCCTCGTGTTTCGTGATGCGATGAAGTTCTTCGAGCAACACTCGCTCCTCCTCGGCCTCATCCTTGGTGCGCTCAAACAGCTTCTCCGCCATGGTTTTGCGCAATGTCTCTGTTCTGGCATCGAAGTTCCGCATCTTCTCCCACAACTGAAACTCGGCCTGGGTCATGTTGCTCGCCGGGATCTGTACCTCGAGCATTTTCGCGGCGATGGCGTAATATCGTTGTTTGAGTGCTTCCATGGAACGCGCTGGATATTTGCTCGGACGAACGAGTTCTGTTCCATTAGCCTCGCCGTCCTGCGGTAGCTGTGTTGCGCCAGAGATCTGATCCGGGTCGTAACGGTCGGCAATGACGACCCAGCGCAGATCGTACTCGCGGCAAAGGTTCATCAGATAATCCGTCTCTTCCTTTGTCCAATCCGTCGACTTTAACACACTCTGATACTGCTCGTCTGTGTAAGAAGGCAATTGCACTTTGACATCCCACTTGTGTGAAGGAAACTCTTCTTCAAAGCGCAACTCTTGCATGGCAGATGGCGTCGTGGGTTCATCTGTCATTTCCACATCCGCCGAGCCCGCAGCGTTTGTGATTGAAGGTTGTCGAGCGTTGGAGCCAGGAATAGAGCGTTTCCAGTGTCTCAACTCTAGCCCGTCTGTTCTTGCGCCATGCTGGAACGGTCTCTCCTCCCAGTGTCTCGTTTTGAAGAGTTTCTGAGATATAGAGGGTCGCGACTTGTAGGATTTCTGTTCGACAATAGCAATAGGAGGGACCGAATCGCCCATGAGGGCCTGAACTTCTCGCTTGACGCCGGTCATTCGTAGTTGAGGTTCAACTTGTCGCTTCTTCTTTGGCGCAGGCTGCCGAGGACCAGCCTGGCCCAGGTTCATGATGTCGCGAATGTCGCTGGTCGACGCCATGATGGGCAGGTATGGGCTCGTCAGTGGGATCTACTGAGCTGCCTCGACAGGACTTGTTGATGTCTGAGGAGTTATTCGAGGCTGCTTTCCTGTTCACGCGTCGAAGAGTTGAATGCAATTATCGAGGTGCAGATGAGAGGCCCAAGGCTGCACGTGATTTGTAAGTCACGTGAATCATGCTCTCTTCTTTGATGATGGGGTCTTATAGATTTGAGATACGTGGGAGATTGCACGCGTCAGACTGATAGAACGCTATAACAAACAGCATCAAGATTGGTGCAAGCTGCTGAATGAATTCCTCTCAGCCTATATAAAAAGGCACCCCAACATCACAGCCTTGCGTCGAGAAGTTCAAGTTGACCTCTGACACGACCACGTGACTGCCACCTTGGCGCGCTCTCCCTCCGCAGTCTGTTGCAGTGTGTGTCTGTCTGTCTCCCCCTGAACTCGGTCGGACCTTGACACGGACACAGACACGCCTCATTCATTATTTGGCAACATTTTGTCCACATTGATGAATCTCGCGCTCTACCACCACACCGACACCACCGCCCGCAGTCCTGTCCCCTCCGAGCGTCCCGTCGATCGCAAACAGGACGATGATGAAGTTCCTCGTGGCGACGCTCGCTGCGGTGTCGTCTCTCATTACCTCCTCACAAGCACTGTACTTCTACCTGGACGGGACAACACCAAAATGCTTCTACGAGGATTTACCCAAGGACACGCTTGTTGTTGGTGAGTTGCCCTACAAGGAACAACACTTACACACACACCCATACTCATACCAATACCCATACCCAATTGCCATTCTTCTTCAAAGCAGACAGTGGCCGACTGCGACCAGTCCATAGCCTGTTCTAACATCAGAGGTGGATGAATTGTAGGAACCTACCAAGCCGAAGCGTGGAACAGCCAGACGAATTCCTTCCAAGTGACGCCCGAGCTACAGATACAAATCACCGTCGATGAGACTTTCGACAATGACCACCGCGTGGTGACGCAGACGACGACATCTTCGGACGCTCCGACAAAGTTCACGTTCAGCGCCGCCGACAGCGGGCTACACCGACTGTGTTTCACGCCCTCGGGCCCCGCGGCGGTCAATCTTGGCGGCTGGTTCTCCGGCGACGGCGGCTCGACCATGGGCGGCGTCAAGTTGACCATCGACATGGCCATTGGCGAGACCAGCAAGATCGAGAGCGAGGACAAGAGCAAGATCGACAGTATCGTCGCGAAAGTGAGGGAGTTGAATGGCCGGTTGGCGGATATTAGACGGGAGCAGGTCTTCCAAAGGGTACGTAAGAGAAGCAACAAGACTCGCACTGAATGCACGAATCCTTCCCACGTAATCGACAACGCAGCATGCTGAACGTGTCAATCTACAACACCTACTCAGCACAATCTGCGACGGATGAGAACATGACATGGGCTGACTTGTTGTTTTGCATCACAGGAACGCGAAGCCGAGTTTCGAGACCAGAGCGAGTCCACCAACGGGAAGATTGTGCGGTGGACGTTGATCCAGTTGACCGTCCTCGGTGTGACATGCGCGTGGCAGTTGTCGCATCTACGGTCGTTCTTCATCAAGCAAAAGTTAACATAGAGGGTGTAATGTCTGTACGACTCAATCATGATCCGGAAGTTTGACTACAAAGATGTTATCTCCTGTGATATTGTGCCTGGAACTGCAACGCTGTGAACATTCGCTCAATCAACCAGGGATCATTCGCTTGTCCCAAAGAGTTGAAACATTCATGTTCTACTCGAACAGCGCCTGACTCCAAACCCAATGCAAATTTTGGCCACGCCGGATCATCTACGATCCAAAAAAAAAGCGAATCTTGGACGCCACGATTACCTTCGCTATGCAATGCCAAACCACAGGATCAGATATGAAGCTCAGCAAGCAGATTCAGATATGCCCAGTTCTCAACCCCTTCGTCTGGCCCGCGGTCCGGCAATATTTGTCCCTGAAGACTCGACACCCCACCTACTTGTTCTCCTCCCTGAATTGCTAGGACTTCCAGCGGAGGCGCGATCGCTCAACGTGAGGCCATCTATACCCAGCAAGTTCCTGTCTGACAGCTGCTGCTGGCGCGACCCAACATTTGCGCCAGTAGACCTGGGTGTTGCGGATGACGATGACTCGAGCAGCTCATAGCGGCCTCTAGACAGCTTTGGCGTCTGCCACTCCCATGCCGTAGAAGTCGTGGCGATCGACGATCGACTTTCAATCGACTCGGTGGAGTCGCGACGGCTCAAGGTCGGTGTGGCCGATGGGATGGGGCTGTGCCGAGTCTCGATGGTCTCTGTGCTCGGTGGCACTGGTGTCTCGGTTTCGTAATGCTCGTGAGCAGGGCCAGTATCGCTGCTGGAGTGATTCATATGGAGGAATTCCTGCGGCAGTAATAGCCCTACCACTGCAATTCCCAGCTTGTTCCACAGATCTCGAAAGAGTTCGCCGAACGGTTCGCGTAGCATTGCAATGCCGAGCAATAGAATCGCTTCGAGCGTGAACAGCAGCAGGCGAGAGAGTCGAGTGCGGATGCCGCCAGAAGCGAGAAGGTATGCCACATGGCCCACAGGAATGGAGACACTGAGCAGGACAATATAGTAACCGAGCTCCGAGGGGTTTGGTGAAAGGGTAGCCTCGAAGGTCCAAGCCGCAACCGCAATCAAGATCAAAGCGAAAGAAAATCTGCTGAATCTAGTTCCAAAAGAGATGATCTTCGAAGTTGGTGGCGATGTCACCAGAGGTTCTTTTGAGTATGAGTACGAGTGTGAAGAGGCGACAGTAGATTTAGAGGTGGGAACATTTGGGTCCAAGGAACGGTCTTGGAGCGAGAAAACCGTGCCAAAGATGCTTTCAAGCCCAGTGTCAGCCTCTCTATCATGGCCGAAGAACTTTGGTTGTGCAATTGCATCGCTTTTTGACTCGGTCTTTCGCGAAGGCAGGGCCGGATCTGTTGGGCGATCGAAAAAACCTGGAGGTAGACCGATGGCTTCCTTTTGTGCCATGCTGCGCGCAGTAGCATTCTTGTGTACTCCTCGCACATTCAGCGCGGGCAACGTGCCATGGAACGGCGAAGGCCCTGTCGATCGGTAGCGCAGCTCCTTTAGTTCGGGCTCAAATGTGGGTTGGGAAGGAGTCCAGTCCATCAACTCTGCGCTGTCTTCCGGAGGAGTCGGAGGTTTCCAGGCCTTGTAGGCCGGTGGTGGCGGTGTGGCAAGGGTCCCAATGCTGAACGGCCCGGATTGAATATCCTGCGTACCTGGGTGAGCTGGACCCGAAGGCGGAACAAACTGGTTGCTGGACAACAGCTGAGCTGGGTCCTGCTGCCAATTGACGGCTGGTGAGGTTTTCACCTCGATAATGGCGTAGACAGACCAGCCTGCAATGACTGCGATAGCGACTGCAAAACAAGCATGAAGCATGCAGCGCACCTTGGGATCGAGAGGTACATGGACCAGCACAATCCATGCGCTGAATCGCAAGCCCAATAGAGCCATTTGTACCAGATAATACTGTTTCAGCCCGCTGAGATTTCCTTCCTGAGTGGAAAGCCTGTACTGCCACCTCGGATTCCACCAGATTGACAACAGCCCCAGGTTGAGGGACAAGCCAACGAGAGGTTCCACGATATCAAGGCATTCGGAGACAAAGGGGCGATGCGTCAAGCAATCCAGCGGCCGTAGTTTCAGTGTCGGTGTACGTCGACTGACTTGGGAGCCATACAGATGCCAAACCAACTGCATAGCCAGGCTAGAGAAGTACGCCAACCCTGCAGCAGTGACCAGAAGACTCCTCCAGCCTAGTCGACTGGCAATCCTCCTCTGGCGCGACTTTTCCAGCACTCGCCGTAGGTGGTCGCTTCTTGCATTGTATGTTGCCTGATGTAACTGCGCCCGGACCCTTGGTTCGCAGCGAGCACAGCATTGCGGGTAGCGGAGTTCAAGACCTTTCTTGTATTCCGGAAGCTGGGCCTCCAGTTTGTCATAATCAGGATGGTCGGGGTCCGGGAGGAATTGGGACAGGTTGTATGTGTATAACTGTTGGTTCTTCAGGCACGTCGAACAGAAGATAGAGTCTGGGGAGGTAAAGTCGTCTGCAAGGGGATCGGATATGACAGGTTGGGCATAACGTTGTTGCGTCGGGGCTACTTCTTCCGCAGGGACATCGGCTATTTCTCCATTCTGGAAGTGTCAGTGGCAGTCGGAACAGCATCTGGTGATTGTAACATACTTCGTCGAAGAAGTTCACCGCGAGACAGTGCTCACATTGGAACTTGCGGTCTTGCTTCTTGCTATGTTTCGATCTGCGGCCGCAGTAGTGGCAATCGAGGCGCTGTCGCAGTTGGACCGGCATTATGCTGCATGGCTCGTGATTGATGTGAGAGTAGGTAGATGCCAATACAGCTTTATCAAAGTTATTACATTCGGACCAGGGGTTGTTTGCAGGAGGGAATAGATGTTAGATTCACCAGTGGTCGGTTGTCAGTTGTTCCATCCAAAGAATCAACGGTCTGCCATAAGCAGTTTAGCGTGGATATCGGAGATAAATCGTCAGAACCCTAATCTCCGGTCAAAAGGACATCCATCTTCAACTTCACATCTGCACAGGACACATTGCACGCCATAGACAAACAGCACGTCTGCAAGACTATGGCTCGGTAACATAAATCAATCAGCGTCGGCAGCAGAGTCCAGGACAAATCATTTCACAACCAAGGCTAGAAATCATCCTTTGTAAGGACGACCGACCATGTCTTTCATCTACAACTGGCAAAAACTACAGGGGCTGTAGCCTCGTCGAGCGGAGTCCCGTCATCCTCTTCCGTTCCCATCTACCACACCTAATACAACTCAGCCTGCCATCCAATCCTTCCTCCGCTCGATATGGAAGAAGATCATTACTACCGAGAAGACAAAGCCACCCAAGCAAGCCTCCAACCCTCTCTCCGACCCACGAACAGCCTCCTTCCGAACCTCTCATCAACCAGCCACTTCCTCATCCTCATGATCACCTTGACACTCATTCTCCTGGGCATAATATGGTTCCGACTCGTCTCCATACTATCTCGAGGCCCGGCCAAACCGCGTCCACGGCCGCGCCATGGCCTCCCCTCCCCTCCCACACATCTCCTGATCATCCTCGGCTCAGGCGGCCACACAGCCGAGATGCTCAACATGCTTTCCCAAACCCCCAATCTCCCAGACGACTTCACATACCGCACGTACGTAGTGAGTTCCGGCGACGCCTTCTCGGCGCTGAAGGCCCACGAATTCGAACAATCGCTCCTCGCAAACGTCGGATCACTTTCTTCGATACCTGACGGCACCGAGCCAAACTACGACGTAGTGACGGTCCATCGGGCCCGGAAAGTCCATCAGAGCATCCTTACCACGCCCATATCCAGTCTACGGTGTCTATGGGATTGTATTGCTGTGCTGAGGGGCACACATCCCGACTTGAGCGCGAAAAAGAGTCTTGACGGTCGTCGTCGACTACGACGTCCAGCTCCAGACTTGATTCTCACCAACGGTCCCGGCACGGGGGTGATTGTCATTCTGGCCTCCATTGTTCTGCGGTTCTTCGGAGTCGGGGAGTCAGGGAGGCGCATTCGAGGAGGCCCTTCCACAATAGGCCACAACAGCCGTGCAGCAAAGTCTACCAACAAGTCTGCGCAAATCGAGGACGCTGCCTTGCTACCAGAACAACGAAGTTCCTCAAGCGCCCAAACTGGCGGGCAGATGCGCAGTATTTTCATCGAGAGCTGGGCGCGCGTCAGGACCTTGAGTTTGAGTGGTCGTCTACTGAGACCCTTTGTGGATCGCTTCATTGTGCAGTGGCCGCAGCTGGCTGAGACGGGAGCGTCCAAGGTGGAATATATCGGACCGTTGGTGACGTGATGCGAAATCGTACATGGGTTCCTCGAATTGCTCGTTCGAGGCAGTCGAATTGCTCGGGGAGGACCGTGTTTGCACATACTACTCTACGTGGAAGGGCAAAAACGATAGCATACATAGACCAATACAACAGAAGGCCATCCTTGGAGGAGTGTCCTTGTAGCCGATACACGATGAATTGAGTGCCATCTGAGTAGATTATAAGTTTCTTCCGACACAAATTGAGTACAGTAGGCCAACCTCGCTCGTCTATAGCTTTTTAAAATCTCCCACATATTGTACAACCGGAGACCAAGACTTTCGAGTCAACTCGCTTCCTCAAAGTCTGAAATGGTATTTTAAGGGCACGCAAGCGCAAGCGCAACCGCACGCGCCCACGGTTGGACCAACAATCCAATCAGCACGATCTAAGCAGCCAGTGGCTTCTGCCTCCGCGGCGCCTTGGATTGTGCGGTCTCCATGATTATTCTCAACGTTTCCTCGTCCAAGCCTCGCTTCTTGATTTCCTCGGCCCTCTTCTCCGCAAGTTTCAGTTTGTGTTCGGCCAACTGCTCCAACGGCGATTGGAGCTTGCGCTGCTGATACCAAGCGGCGCGGGCATCCTCCAGAACCTTCATGCGCACATACTCGTCATCGTGCCATTCGCGGTCGCGGGCATATTTGTCGTCGCGCAGCTCATCCAGGATTTCTGAGCGCGGCAGAGGCGGGTCGTACAGCGAGGGCATGAAAGACTGGAATTCGACGTCAAAGCGGTGCGTGTCTGATTCGAATGCCTGGTATGTGGGCGCATCAACCTCCGGCCAGGGGATCTCAATGTCCTCCCCGGCGATATACCGCGTGTGTCGGGGTAAAGGCGAGTACGGCTCGCGTTGCAGATATGGCGCACCTCCGCGGATAAGCTTTACTATTACGTCGCGGTCGCGGCCGGTCTCTTCGTCTTTCAATCGGTAGACTAGTCGCACCGAGTCGATCGGTATGGGTAGCTCGCTGCTTGTGAAAGGGCGTCGTTCCCGCTGCGGCGTTCCTTCGGGAATCTCAATATCGGCCTATACTCGTTGAACGGTTAGAAACAATGCATCCTTCGGGTAGAAGCGCACAGTGGAGAAGCGTACCATGTTCAGTCCTTCAACTGTCAACACCCTTTGGTCGGCATTGATACTCTTGACCCGGCCAATCTTCCCCAGCAGCTCCTGTTTGCCGTAGACCACACAGACACGGTCCCCTTCGACAATGTTGCCTTCGTTGCCCACGCCCTCCCACTCCTTGTTCTCGCCTTCCAGACCTTCAGACCCAACGGGGTCCCAGCCATTTCCTTTGGGGCCTCGTCGAGCACGCTCAGGATATGTTGCACCCTGGGCAAGCAAGCCGGAGACCGTGCCGAAGAGCTCTTGCTGCTTGCCTACGTCTCGTTTCGGCGCCAGCGGGCCTGCTAACCAGTCCTCCCTCCGCTGTCTCCGCTCATCCTTGATCATTCCCCGTTCTGTCCTATCCACGGCTACCCGCCGTTGGTCGTGTGATCGCCATTCTTGTTTCACTTCCTTGAGATTTTTCCTTCGGGCACTTTTCAGAGCTTGGTTGCGGGCAAGCAGGTTTATCCGTAACACTTTCTGCATTTTGGAAAAGGTTCAAGGGGGTTTCTCCCCGACAAGGCAAAGAGGACGGGTGCAGTGTTCGTGGGTGTAGCTGGAGTCAAGCTGAGCCGCGGACTCTACACATGCGACTGGAGCCGCAGCAGTCGAGTGCGCGTTGACTACAGGGTCGTGGCAGGAAGATAGAATGACCAAGAGATGTAGCTGAGAATGTGACCACTTGAAAAAGAAGCAGCAACACACCGTTACTGCGTTTATCAGTTCCAGGCGTCGTAGTGATCGTCTTGAAGTCGACGGGAAGTTCAACTTCGAACTGCGATTGAATTGGGCGGAACAGGGCTTGGCACGGATCTCGGCGAAAACTCCGCTCAAGATACAACGACATTGGCATCTGCAGACATATACTAGTAACAGAAGTCCCAAGACTTCGCCATGATGTGACCGGGAGTGTCTAGCGGTGGTTGGGGCACGAAGGAACGAGTGGTCAAGCTGAACTGAAGCTCATGATCTTATCTCATGGTATTGGCTGCATGCGTTGCTGTCAAGTCCTGTCCAGGACAAACCCCCAGCGATCACCATCCACTCCCAACAGGAGATTCACTTTTCTACATTGAACGGCACAAGAACGTTGTCCACATCAGTGATGCAGAGCAACCGCTTAATCTCCTCAACGAATTTCCCAGTTTCAAGTTGTATGGTTATTTGTTACTTAAAGACACCCTCTTCTCTAGCGAGCGGAAGGGGCTACTAATTATGCCCTGTGCATGTAGGACAAGGTGCCTGTGAGACTATTGAATCTCCTCCCAATAGGACGATGATGGCCTTCGCACGGTGAGATTGCTGTACATTGCCTTGAGTCGAGAACGAGTGTTCCAAAGGACCAGCCTCCAAGCTCATCCGTGTCACAATCCACGTCCACGCCAGCAATCTGCACATGTAGCTGGGAATAGCATGTTTCAACACATCCTCATCCGTCTGCACTGGTGCCTTTTCTTTTCCCGATGGTCCTCGCTTTTGTGCTTGGTGTACAATGAATGCATCACGCGCCTTCCGCGGATTGCAAGTAGCCTCCTTGCTTTTCGTTTTTGCTCGACATCGTATTACAGCATCTCAAATGTGCCTTGCCCGTTGTCGACATGATCCTGTGCCTTCACGCAGCATTCCATCTCGTTCACATAAGAAAAATTGCTGGGCCGAGGTTTGCAGCACACCTCAGACGCCTTGCTTTCTCTAACCAGGGTATCTATGAAAACAGAGCCAATCGTTGGAAAAATGAAGAACGATAGCGAGAGTCATGGTGGGTATCAGATCTTCCTTCTCTGAGGGGCGCCCATCATCATTCCATCTTCATCCGAATCGTCGTCAGCATCATGACCGTATTCGTGGCCATTGTTGTGCCAATCTTCGAGCGAGTGTCCTGTCGCAGTCTGCGTGGGTCGATCATGTTTGGTGATGGTGTCGGCAGTGCGCATGAAGGCAGGTTCGATCTCTTTTCTTGAAGTGGGGACATCCACCGAGGGCGCCATGAACCCTTCACCAGGTGGAGAGGAAGCACCTGACTCCATACCGAAGCTCGGATTGGATGTGCTCTGTGATACACTGCTGGCACCGCAGTCATCTACAGAGGATGCTATGGTGCTGGCGGAGGGTCCGGAGGATCCTATCGAGAATGGCGCTGGTTCGTTCGAAGCCTTGGTCCGCTGTTTCTCCAGAAACATGATATCATCCGGGGATGGCGGACATTCGTTGACTGGGGACTGACTTGGAAGTCTCGAAGCTGCCTCTGCGGCGGCCTCGGCCTGTTGATGCGCTTCTCGAATGAGCCGGCGTTGATTCAGGTCCCGAGCTTGTTCAAAGGCTTCTTCCGTTGATGCGGGTGCTTGAAAAGCACTTCGTGGCAAGGCCGGGGCCTGCATCTGGGGCTTTGCCGGAGCGGTGTTGTCGTCAACCGATGTAACGGGAGTTTTCAGTGCTGCTGGTGGTTCTATGGCACCTGCGGCTGAAGCCGTGCTAACAGCAATGGTGGCTCGGGTATGACCGTCTCCTTCAGAGGAGTGACGGCTTGACACTGGTGAGCGTTCACTTCTCTGCGAATGACGGTCTCGGCTGCTGAGTCGAGCCAATGTCTTTGCAGTCCCTTCCCAAAGACCGTCAACCCTGGCTTTCATACTTCTTTCGCGAGTGACAGGCCGATCGACAGAAGGTGATGACTCGTGGAGCGGCAAAGGCGGCCTCTGCATCTGTGACGCTCTAATTGTCTTGATTGAATCGGTGGTCGAGAGAACAGAGATGGCTCTACCGGGGCCTCGAGGCCGTCCTTCACGCTCAGCCATTGGGCTGACCCCTGTCGACGCTGCCTTCGGTGCCGACAAAGACTCGGCGAAATATGTCTCATGTGGAGACGTGTCAGGACTGGCGGTTTGACTCTGGGCTAGGGGATGCTCGGTGTTCTCTCTCGACGTCTTGAGAGCAGCTAGAACTTCGTCGCCACGTAGACTGGTCCGTCGTCCCTCTCGCATCCTCTCACGCTCATGCTTTCCGGCAGTGCTCGCCATGGACGGCGAGGTCGACCCGATTGACTCACTCGAATGACTGGCAGTGGTGGCTATACTAGGAGCACGTCTGCGGGTGTTGCTTCTGCCGAGGAGGCTGCCAGCCAGTCGTCCAGCGGTGTTGAGCGCGCGCTCGATGATATTCCTCTTTCCCACCGCATGTGACAGCTCCTTTTCGTCAATTTCCAGAATTTTCTTTTTGCTTTCCTTCTCCATCTCTGGTGGGCCTTTGAACCACTGTGAGGGATCGCGCATACCTTCGACTACCCACTCATGTTGTTTCGCTTCTTCAATAGTCATGCGCTTCGCAGGGTCCTTGATCAGTAGTCTGCGTATGAGGTCACGCACCGGATCTGGTACGGCTTCGAACTTGAGTTCATAGTCTAACCGCTTGTTACTGTTGATCGAACTTGGGACCTGGTATGAGGGCTTGTCGCGCGACATGTCGACAGGGACAAGACGGCTTTTGGGCAGAAAGACTTCAGCTTTGCACACTGCTTCATGAAGTCCCATATCTTCTGTTGCGTAAAAGGGCAGGCGAGCATACACCATGCAGTATAGAGTGATACCTAAGGCCCACAGATCGAGAGCCCCCGTGATTCTTGGGCCATTCTTTTCTTCGAACATGGAAGGATCCTCGTAGCAGAGTTCAGGAGCCCAAAATGCCGGCGTTCCCACAGATCGCGCCAACTCTTTCTCGTCGTCCAATGCCGACACATCGTGTTCCGTAAGCTTGTTTTCTGGGTCTTCGTCGGTTGTCGGGCGTCCGAGGTATGAGACACCGAAGTCGGAAATCTTAACCGTTCCATTGCTCGAAACAAGAAGATTGGCCGGTTTGATATCGCGATGAATGATACCGATGAAATGCAAGAACTCCAGACCGGACAGTGTATCTCGGAAGGCTCGACGAGCTTCTTCGAGGGTCATCGCAGGGACATAGGAATGCTCATCGTCGGTCTCATCAAGATTCCACTCCGACGACATATGGGAAACGGCACTAGCTGCGATACTGAACTTCCGACTGCTGTGGTATGCTTCAGGGGCATATGCACCGTACATACTCCCAGCGAGAGCCATATCTGGGTAGTCTTCGAGAGATCCAGTCCTGCTGGGGTTATTTGACTCATAAAACTGCCGTGAGCCAGAGCGGGAGATATCGGAGAACACTTCATCTTCATCCAGCTCTTCTCCGCCATGCTCAAGACTCCAGTTTGGTATAAAGCTTGAAGCAGCAATCCGAGACTTCTCTTGCTGTTCGTGGCGGCGCTTGGCCTGGGCCACATAAAAGAGGTCGCGTTCAGAAGGCTCGAGTGGTACTTCAATGCCCACACGTTCCTGAACAAACCTATTGTTGTTGACCGCCAGAACTTCACGAACACCTCGTTTGCGCCATTGTATCTCGCCCCGTTCCACATATTCGAGGATCAGGTAGACCTTGTTCTTGTTCGGATCGTCGATAACCTCCAGCAAACTAACAACGTTCGGATGCCTGGCTTTCTTCAGAATGGCTACCTCTCGTTTGGTGCGGTCTTCTGGCGCACCAAGTCGACCTAGACGTCGCTTGACTGAGTATCTTGGGACGATCTTGACCGCGACCAAAGTGCCCTTCTCAATGTCTCGTCCAAGCTTCACTTTGCCATGTTCCCCACGACCTAGTTCCTGAACAATCTCGTAATTGTTGATAAATTTATTGCCCGAAAAGGTGTCATGCTCGATCTCGGCAGTATGTGTCTCTTTCGGTGTTTGGAGATGATGTAATTGAGGGCCGAGTTCAGTTAGAGAGGAAGACGAAGGCACCCGAGCTTCTGGACTGAAGAGGCCAGGGCTCGAGATGGGCGTATTATCTGCGGTCTTTGTACCCTTACAGGCGGGTTGCCCATCTCGAACAGGTTTGGCCCAGTTCGACATCTCGTTGTAGAGGAGATTCTGTGCCGGATGAGAGCTTCTGGTCCGGAGGGGAGGAGCTGGCCTGGAGGAAGGATATTGGCCTTGTAAAGCTGCAAAGGACTGGTCAGGGTAGGTAGGATGTTCATTAAGTGGTGATCGTTTTGAAGCTGAGAGAGAGTGCGAGAGTGACTTTGAGTGCGAGGGGCGACGCCGGCGCGGATACCCGTATGTTGACTTTGTGGAGAGCGCCCGATGAACCATGGACGTCCCAGCCGGCAAATTACGGTCAACTTCCCGCTCAGCCATGGACTTTAATGAAGTTGAGGATGTCTGAGCGGATGGAGGAAGTGACTGATGCGAGCTGTCCGGACCGAATGCCGGAGACACAGCAGAACCCTGCTGCACATTCGCATCTAATCGATCGAACGCAGTCTCATCCACGGGTTCCGTTGAGATCTGCGCGGACAAAGCAGTAGGGGTGTTGCGCTGAGTGCTGCTAGAATCTCCACCTGAACTATGAGAGGCGTTTCCTGTCTCGGGCTCTTGTATGGTGATCTCATTGTCGCGAGACCTGGACTGGCTTGAGCCATTCGCATCTGTTGTGGCATCTAAGTCGCGACGTGCTTGCCGAAGGTCTGAAGCCCATGTTATACCCACGTTGTCGGACATTTCTGCAAGCCCAGCCTTCTATGGCGGAACCTCGAGTGCTGCTCTTGAACATGGAAGTTTCATTCCACAACCACGCTCAGGTTTTGTCCACACCTCCGCTCAAATCCCTGGAACTCGGCACCAATACACATATGCCATCTGATTCTCGTATGATCTCAGAGCATCAACACTTTCTTTGACCTGTATTCAAAAGGTGGGTGTCCGTCAGGGCAGGATGGGTGAGGTTGGGTTGAGGACGCTCCGGCGGCAAGCTGTGAATCTCCTGCTGGAGAATGGCTCAATTTCTCTGTATAGAGTAAGGGAAGGCGTCTGTAGGTCGAGAACCCCGCAAGTCGTGCGACAATCAATATCAATCAGCAAGTAGTTTTCGGGACAAAGGTCGACAACGCTTTTATGGCGGTAGAATGACACCAACAACAGGCAGAAGGGTTGTGTTTTGAAGTCAAAAAGGTTTAAAAAGGCGTCGAAAATGTCTTAAATCAAAGGGAAGATAAAGTCAATATAGACAAAAGGGAAAAAGCTGTGAAGAGTGCAAGAAGAGCGCAGATGGCATGCGACTTTCAGACTCGAATTGAAGAACGGCAGTGGAAGAGGCACGGAGTCAGAGCGTATGAGGAACTGGAAGCACAAGCACCCAAGCACAAGCGCAAGCATAAGCACAAAGCACCCAGAGAGATGACGGAGGAGAAGCCGGGAAGTGCCCAAGCAGCCAAGCTAAAATGCCCCCCAACCCGCCAGTGCCAGTGGGAATCTCGAGGCTGCCTAGCGGCCCAGCAAGCGACGAGAGGTGTGCGAATAGCCTACTACAATCTACAGTATACCTGTACCTACTATGGGTCACTGCTAAAATGTGGCTACAGGGCTTTAGGCCCTAACTTAAGGCTCCTTAGCCAGAGGGCCACACGGCACTTGGGCGGCACTTCCTAGTGACTGTCCAGCTGTCATGCAGTGGGCCGTATCAGACGAACAGACTGGACCACTTTTTCCATATATTTATAACAACTTTAGTTGTAGAGCAGCCATCGGCGGGTGGAGGACGAGCGAGCGAGCGAGCGAGCGACAGGCGTGCATTACGCTGTGCATCTAATCTGTGGTAGAATTAGGTAGGTTAGGTTAGATAGCGAGGTCGGTATCTACTCCGGTGCAGTGTTGTATACCATAAAGGTACGCATTACTTTTTTGCCTTCGTTGAGGCAAGCTGGCCATCGACTGCACCCCGTTGCTGCTGTTTCTTCTCTCCCACTCTTGCTATCCATTGCTGCTCCGCATTTTTGCGTACCCAACAGAATTGCCCTGGATCCCCTACCACAAAGTCAGGGCTCCCTCGGCCCCTGCAACAACTTGAGACCACGGAGCAGCCTTCAAGGAATCCTTGACCTGGAAATGGCCGTTGAAATCGACCACAACCTCTCACGTCTCCTCGCTTCGATCCGCGTCCTTGAAGGGGTAGCCTGCCTCGTAGCCATCCGATCACTCTCTACATGAACACGGCACTTCAGCTCGAGCAAATTACAGGGGCAATGCAGCGATGTCGATTTCAGTTTCGGGCCATCTGCAGGTGCAACCCGTGTAGACTGCAGCATGCCTGCGCATACCTGAAGACAGAATGCAAACAAGTCGAAGTCTTTCTGCCTATCATCAGACCACTACCAAGTCTTTGTGGAAATCCACTGCCGCCGAATTGGTCGCAGAGGCTGCCAGGGCAGCTGTAATCGCGGTTGAGGCAAGTCTTCTGGGTTGAATGAGGCATGAGCAGTCTAATGAAAAAGTACTATACAGTACCACGCTCATCTTCGTATGTCCTAGCGGTTTGTCATCTTTACATACCGCCCGGCCTGTTGGCAACTGTCCTGTCTCCAACACATCGGCCGCTGTACAAAAGGTGTCCAGGGAACGCCTTGTTAACTCCTTACCCTGTATTTCACCCTTGCCGCCATATCTTCCTAGCGGCAGAGGAAAACCGAGATATCACAAGCCTGTGGCACCTTCGATGATCCTGACATTCAAGAGGCGGTAGGTACACGCAAGTTGAAAGAGATAGCAAACGCCTGTTGTATCAACCTTCCGGACTGGTTACCTACCAGGAAGGTACCTGACCTATATCATTTTTGCGGTGCCACTTATTTTCTCAGGTGGCTTGACGCTAATAAAAGTGTGGAGAGATGAGGATGTCATACCAAGGCCGCGAGGAGGGTGTGCAAACCTCGACCAATAAGTGAAAGGAAACAGCACGCCGCTGACTAGAAGCGGACGGCGCGAGGAAGCTAAAGGCACCAACAATCGATCCCGCCGCCTCTCGTCAGTCTTCTTTGCTGCGGTCCACTGGTGCCAAATCGATTTCAATCGAGTATGAACAATATGTCATTATCGCCACGTCGTGGGCTGCTGCTGGAAACCAACACTGACTGGTCCCATTGCAAGAATAACAGCAGTATAATCCTACCAGTCACGCTCCTTGACGCCGAGTGGCTGATCATAGAGCACGATCGAGACATCGTGATCAGGCTGTTGGGGATTTTCACATGCTTTGGCAGCGAAACGTTACACGATACGATCAGCCATGATTGCCACTGTCTGATCGGCTAATCCCGACTCGGCCAACCTCTAGAAACAATATCACCCGGTGATGTTGTCCCGGCATCTTCCAGTGACCTTCAAGACATATTGCCTAAGAGCTGGGGTTCCCTCTCGTCTCTTGCCGACACAAAGCAATAGGTCACTGTTGTACAGCGGTCATCAGCTCCTTCTGCCACAATTCTATTCTGAAACTCCACAATCGACGCGGCGCACATGCCGGTGGGGACGGCCATTCCATCATGCCAGCTTAGGGCACTGCTAGGCCAACAGTTGATTCGTGACGGCCGCGAGCTATCAACATCACTGTGTCACCCAGTTGCCTCTACGTACGTGACACAATTTGACAGCAGCTTCGAGGCCAAGCATTATGACCGACTACAGAGTACTCTGTCCTGTTCTTGTTGTGCAGCAAACTCGTATCAACTCTTTTCTCAAGCGCCGAAATCGAAGAGTTCTACCATCACCATGACCATCCCACAAACATGGAATTAAACGGTCTACCAGACTAACTGCTCTTTCATCCTGTCGAACAGGCTGGTACTCGGCTGGCGAGCAGATCACCAATGATGTGTCACCTGCCTACAGCTGTATCCTTGCTTGTCGTCCTCCGTCGGGCATATAACAAGGATATATTTTAACCCGCAACTCTGACTTTATAGCAAGCATGAATGCACCACCATTGAGCAGAGGAAGAGGGGGCCTCGATGTCCCCATCCGTCGTCTCTTATACAAGACTGCATCGCCTACACGGTCCAAACTTGGGCGGCCAGGATTCCCCATGTTGAAGCCAGAGACGCTAAGTGGACAGTACACTAGGATGGTTTCGCAAGTCCCCGTCTCGACACAAGACCCCCCCTCGCTTGCGGCAGGCCCTTCCTTTAGACAAAGTCTCAATGAACACTCAGATTTCACGAACAGGACTCGGAGAACATATTAATCTTCTGAGGCGTGGTCTTGATGTCGCGAACAATACTTAGTAACAAGATGTGGAACCCTCAAGACTGAACTTGAACCAGAGGGGTAGCGAGCGGCAACTTCCAAAAGCATGGCGAGATCAACGCGCGCGGGCCAGGAGATAGGGGACAACGGAACAGGGGCTCTTTGATCTGCGCTTTCATCGACTGACTCCCTGTTTCCTCAACGCTCAATGCTCAACAACATGTGGTTGCCCCCAACGGTTAGTTTGGCCAAAATACTGGAGCGCCTCGGGGCTCATGGCAGGCTAAAACTCTCAAAGAGCCCCTGGCACGCCACGCCATGCGCAAACCTGGGGGGTGTCGAAGCGTCAGTAGAGTCGGGCTCCGATCTTCTACTGGCCCGGTGCTTGAGCCTTGCTGTGATGGGAAACGCCCGGTTCACTCGGTTCAGCCACTGCGGAGATGGCAGGCGCTCTCATGCGCGACATCCCCAGCATGTATTTTTTGGCGATCAGACGACGTCTGGTGTCTGGTGCCTCGTGCCTCGTGTCTAAAGGTCTCGTATCGCGGCTGGTTGTCCAAGGTAACAACAACAATGTCTTGGTCTCCGATAGGCGTCGGTGACCGAGATCGCCATGCTACTACTGCGGATTCAAACACATATATCCCCCAAACCAACGGCTGGGATTTCTATTAGGGCCGTTATCACTTGACTCCTTCGAGCGGGTCGCTCAGACATCGCAATTTCGCCACGCTTCCTCCAGTCAGATTGACTGTGTGCGTCTCGGTGCAGTAGGAGCGGAAGAGGCGGCCGAGCTAGTCGCTGCGGAACACTTGAGTGCAGCCCTTTCGTCCGATGGATCAACACTGACGGGCTCACTACTGCTCCTGAATCCTTTGGAGCCTGATGCATGTTGATCTGAGACGACCTGGCCGACCTGCACCGATGCCACAGACCGCGAACGCTGCCTCAAAATCGCTTGATTGCTCCCCTTACTTATCATGCTTATTTACTTACCCAGATACCTCTAACGGCTGGACACGTGAAATAATGGTGCTTCAATATACCTTTGCGGGCAGGGATACACGGTCTCAGGACGGCCATTGCCTGGAAACATGTACTTTTGGAACTTTCTGCTGGAACAGATTCACAAACAGAAGACCTATTACGTTTTGCTCGAGAGCGTTTAACTGTGTGTTATCCGAAGCCTGGCTTCCCCTTTATCGAGGCAAGACCGGTGGAGGGCTCACGTCAGACCAACCATGAGGCTGCCAACTACCTTGAGCGCAATCCATCATCTTCCAGCTGCTGATGGCTTAAATGAAGCTCAGCCCTTTCGCACGGCGGGATTGGCATATAAACAAACTAGGTTTTCTGTCATCGCGCCAACGACACCACAAGATTCGAGCTTCTAAGCTCTGCTATGTGCGCCATCTCGGAAACATAGCCTCCACCCTTCTGACCAGCGCGTCAGGGATAGATATGTCCTTAGATGACACGGACGGCGTACAGTCATCCACCTGGCTGTCTCCTTGTCCCCGCACAAGCAGATCCCTCCAACTCTGAACTTCGTGCAAGTTGACATCCCGGTGCCCGAAATCCCTTTTTTGCTTCTGTTTCTGCAACACGGTTGCGCCGTCCGAGTCCTTGAGCGTCAGCAGTTCCAAGACGCCATGATTGGCCTGGAAGGCGACGCTCAGCCCGTCCAGAACGCCAGTGTCAAAGTCGAAGCGCGGCGTCTGTCCAAAGCGCCAGGAGTCTGATAAAAGCTCCGCCACTCCCGCAGCGACCTGGGGATTCTGCGGATCGGCACATTCTGCGTCGTCGAGCGTGATTTCATTCACGCCGGGACTACGAGGTTGGTCGGCTCCATATATATCCCAGAACTCGCGGACGATGGCTTCAGTGATGTATCTGCTCACTTCAGATCGTTGGTGGACGTCGGGGGCCCACACCAGGTTCGCGACTTTACTCCGAACGCTTTCGACGCCTTTGGCGTGGATGAAGTCGCGTCCTGGACTGCGTAGCAGCTCCGATATCCGGTGGATATAGGGGCTCGAATAGAGCAGTGTGCCGTGATGCAACGCCCGGCCGCGCGTAAGCTTGTATGCACTCCCGCTGACTTTATACCAGTGACTGTCCTCCGCGACGTCAGGTCCGCGGCGCATGACAATATCATTGCGGTTGTTGACCTGGACCTCGAGCCCTTTGTATTCTGGAAACATGGAGCCGAGTTTGCCCTTGAGCTCCGACGACATGAGAGCCCGCACGACCATCTCGGCGTGAGTGCTTCGCTTGAACGATTTCGAGTTGGGCACGATCACCGAGTAGTTCAGGTTGCCGGAGTCGTGGAACACCGCTCCACCCCCGCTGCGACGACGGACTAGGTCGATCGGTACTGGGGGATGAGGCTCGTCAAGCCGAGACCGTAAGGCGTTCGTTGTAGTCGGCCTATCCTGCTCCTGCTGCTGCTGTTGCTGCTGCTGTTGCTGCTGCTGTTGCTGCTGCTGTTGCTGTTTTTGAAGTCCCGGTGTTTCCTCTTGATCCTGTCTCAGCGCTTCTTCCGGCACAAGACCCTCCTTGAGCCTATTCAGATCCGTTTCCAGCCATGGATTCTGATTGCGCCCGATGACCACACACGGCCGATTCGTGTAGAACAGCAAGATCCGCGACTCGGGATGCGAGTGCGTCAGCAAGTAATGCTCCAGCGAGAGGTTGTGGTATGGGTTTTCCGACTGGAGGTGGAATATCAAGGGAGACGGCCCTTGCGAGATGCGCGATAGGTCCGTGAGCTTCCAGGAGGGAGCGTACGAAGGATCGGAAGCATCCGGGGATAGCGAGAGCGAGGGGGACGAGGTGGACGGTCTTGCTGCTGTTGCTAAGGATCTAGATATTGCACGCCTACATGCAGGCGAGGCGTGGGCGTGACATGGTCCGCAACGAGCGGCCGATGATGGGGAACTATGCCAGAGAGGGACGTTGAAACTGCGTAAGCTAGCTCGAAACCATCTTGAGGGTGTCAGGGTCGGCGAGAGGGCCGTCCGCATTTGAGTGAGAGCGTGAGCGTGAGAAGAGAGGCCGGGCGAGACAGCAACATAAAACTCGAGGACGACTTGTTCCATGTCGATCAACATCTTCATTCGATGATGCATAAAACCCGTTCTGGGAAGGTCGAGCGAATTCTCCGATTCTGCCGCAAGGGGATAGCAGCTTCGCAGCCTTGTCATGTGACCTCGTATATTACTCAGCCTCGGCCGCGCCGCGATTCAAGACCAACTTCAACACTACGATGTGCGGATGTCAGGATGTCAGGACGTCTAGGAGATGCCCAACATCCCTTTCATTGTCTCTCATGTCCATCCGCATATTGGACGTCTGCTCCTATCAAGTTCGGCCTCCTCCCATACCCCTCCTCCGCCTGGCTTTCTTGTGACCAAGCACCACAGCTTCAAGCTGGATCTCAACCAGTTTATAGGTCCGCTGCATCCCCGACGGACGATGTGACTGATGAGGACCTGCTTTACTGGCCTCACTTCTTCACTTGCATTCACAGATGTCGTGATTGTTGGTTGCGATGCGTCCATGATCTTGTGCCCAGCACAACCGCCTAACTGTCCTCATGTCCAACCGACTCCTTGCTTCCCCTTACTGGTTTCCACCTCCGCTACCTTCACCTACAAAAGCTTTGTGCCTGCCAGCTGCATCCGAAGAAAAAGAGCCAAGCTCGCCGGACTCCCCTCCAGATGCTAACTCGACAGGCATGAGGTCAACATTGGCGTCAGACACAGGTTCTCGCCAGCTGCAGCCAGTCGGTGAGTACAGTCCCTTGAACAAGTCACTCGTCCGGTGCGCTCGTCCCGAGGCTATCTCCTGATGTAGTTTCTCCGAATAGAGGAAATGCCTCACGACCTTCCTGACGTCCTGCCAGCCTGCAACACCCATCTCTGCCGCCTGATGCTGATATCTGGCTTCGAACCATACCTTGTCCTCGGTGTCCACTGGATGCACCTTTCCCGCTAGCGACCCTACGTATAGGGCCCACAAGCGCAGTCGGGTGTAGTGGCCATTGTCGCCCTGGGCGTCACTTTCTTCCAGCTTCTTGCGGAGTTGGCCGATGAGTTTGAGACCAAACCGGACGGGCTCGGGCGAGCCCAACACCATGTTCGCCATCAGCGCCGTGGCTAGGCACACGTAAGCTTGTGCATGCGGTCTCTGAAATAGGTGAGGATATATTGAGAGATTGACGGATTGGTCTGCGATCCTCGATATGCAGTCGAACTTGCGCAACTGTCGCCAACGGAGCAGCTGATCTTCCATGGGGACATCGTGACTCTGAATATACTCGTCAACTTTGAATAGTTCACGTAAGTCGGTCACTACCGCCTTCATCACAGGCTGCTCGATAAGTGAATCGATCCCGGCTGCATGATCTCCAACAATGCCGGCTGACAGCAAGCGCGCCTTCCATGGCTCGCTGAGTCCACCGGGTGTCCATTCCTGAGCAGGGAAGAGGGGTCGAGTTTCATATTTCAAGGCAAAATAGCAGTCGCACGAGAGGAGATCTTCCCGAAACCACGCATGTGTCAGAATGATGCCACCGGCTGCGGTGACCAATTTTCGCAGCATTTTCAGGTGTGCGCGCGCCACAGATGTATTGTCAACGATAGTCTCCGAGGAGAAAAGCTTGAGAATGGCCTGAAGTGTGTTCAAGTCTTGAGGCCCCGGTCCTGCCACTCGCTGCCTCAGCTCGGTCATAGCTTGGCCTTGGAAAAACCGTGACTGATAGGCGAGACTATAGTTATCGGATACGGCGGCCAGGGCTGCCGTCAGTAGGCTCAAATATGCATTGGCGTAGCAGTTATCTTGACTCATATTCGCAATGTCATCCCAGCACCGGGCTATTTCGTAGGATCCTTGCGCTCTATCCGATTCCTTGGGCCAGTTCTGAGGAATGAAAACATCGTATGCGAAACTGAGCAAACTATCCATGAGTGGCGCCATGGATGAGGCAGAAGGACCAAAGGACTCGTCAGTAAAATCCAGTGGTGTATTGATACTGCTGAGCAAGGAGGTCGGGTCATCCTCAAAGACAGCCGATCGAGTCGACGACGTCGAATTCGAAGAAGTCGCATTGCCGCTGCCCGACGCCTGACCAACGCTGACGCCAGGGTAGCCAAGCTGGAGTGGCTGCTCGGTCAACCACGGATCGAACCCAAATGGAGTGATCATTGATGCAGCAGCCGTGCTTTGCGCGGCATCTCCGAAACTGGTCCTCCTGGGGATCTCGTAAGGAACTCGACGTACTGACTGCTGCTGCGACCTTTGAGGTAGGGTGTTCTGCTGTTGTACCGGCGGAGCCGACAGAGGCCCGACAGGTACGTTGGCGGAGGCTCGCAGCCTTCTGGCCTGCTCCTGTTTCTTCCATCGCTCATAGCGATTCATGACATGCCAGGAGACGGCGGCGCTGTGGTCCTTGGAGTCGATGTTGCCGGCATCTTTGTTGACAAAAGAAAACTCGCCTCGAAACGGCGCCGGCTGATTAGGCGAAGGTTTATCCTTGGACATGGTGCTTGGGTATAGATGATAGAGGATGTTGTCGGCCGAAGGATTTTGATATAGAAGTGCCGCCATGTTTCCGACCAGATACCTGATGGCGGTTTTGTAGGAAGAACTTCATGATGAAGATGCAATTCAGCCAGCGAGGATGGACGGTTCTTCTGTATCGCATTTCCCATCATTAGCTGAGCATTTGGATATTGATGGAAACCCATGCCATATAGTCCAAGGCTAGAAGATGGGTCCAGGCACAGAGGGGCAGAATTCAGGAGACGCCATATTTCCCGATCTAACCCTATATTGAAGGGCGTCCTCGAGCTCCGATTGGTGGTGCGGAAAGAGTCGCCAGACGGTGCGATGTATCTTGAGCTTGGAGCAGACTGATAGGAGGTAAAATGCAGAGGTGAACGGTAGGACAATGCGGGATCAAGGGACCGTTCCAAGATACCCTGGTCGCACTCTTAACGCTCAGATAGATAAGCGGCTGTTCGGGTCCCGTTATGCTGATGGTCATTCGAGGTCTGCTTACCTCAAAATTGGGTCATTGCAATGGTTGGTCAAGCAGACCGCTCCCTCCGATGACAGATCACCTGAAGCTGTGAGAGAGATCATTCAGAATTGGATAAGCCAGCAACACAGCCACATACTGTTCCTGTGTAGATGGCATGCTGGCCATGCGATTGATCCCTAGATAGCTCTTAAACTGAGCATTGACAGCCAGCTCAACCTCTCTTTGACGGAATCTCACCGAGAGGGCTTAGTAAAGTGTTGCATCAGTGGCTGTTGACACCATTTGTCATTCGTCCTGTCACTTTGCAGCGCCTCTACACTTCCATTCCTTCCATTCCCTTCGGAGTTCGAAAGGCTTCGGAGTAATCGACGGGCGAGACGTTACCCAATGTTCACTGCTCTGTTCTCCTACAGTTGAGCTAGTTGTCCTGCAAACAGGAGACCAGGATTATACACTGGATGATCATCAGCGGTGCGTAGGTGATTCACATGTTCGTCTAGGATTGTTGGAGACTGTCGTTGGTTGTTGTGACAGGCCCGCAGGAAAACCCACGCCTCAGGTAATGCAGAAAGAGCTATTGTCTCATGAAAAAGGTCGTTCTGATTGGATGTAGCTACAAAAGCTCAAGGTTTCGAGATCGGCCTGATGGATTGGAATCGTTGCCCACCTTGAGCAAATAACTGTTTCAGTGGATCGTTGTTCAGGCCATACCGAAGACCACATCCTGACCAGGGCCGCCCACTGCGTTCGGATCTAGGAGATCCCAACCAGCGACATAGCCTTCTGCTGATACAGACCGTGTCTCGCTGACGCTGAAATCTTCCCAGTTGACTGTCCCCACGTCGAATGATGGTAGTCCATCTTCAAAGCCATAGCGACTGCCGAAGCGCAATTTGTCGAGTTGGGCGGGCCCGGGATACAGAAGACGAGTGAGTTCGGCATCTTGAGCCGGGCCAAACGATGACAAAGAAGGAGGGCGGTTCGAAAACACTGACTCTAAAAGTGGTCCCAAAAGGCGTTCGTAGACTCCTGCATAGTTAGAGACCTCATTCCATCCTTGGGCGGCGAGCGCGAGGAAGTTGGCCGTAAAGACTTTAGTCATCTCGAAGATCTCCTGAGCACTGAAACGGGCGGAGATGGTATCAAAGCCGTGGCGCAGGCAGAACAGCACCACCATACTGTTTTCCAGTACATGGTGGGCAATCAGCCATGAGCGCCGATAGAAGCCTGAGACGATATGGTCGCGGAGTGACTTTGCACTAGAACATGCTGCTTCAAAGGCGACCATGAGACTGCGAGGCCCGGGCATGGGCATACGTGGCGAAGGGCGATGGAGGTTCGTCAAGCCGTGTGCAAGGGTAAATTCTGTCAGTTCGTGGCCGTCGTTGTAATCCTCATACCAGGCTTGTAAGCGTCGTTCCATCGTCACAAGCCAGTCGTCCCAGGTCTGACCGGGCTCCAATGGTTTGCCTTGGAAGTGCACTTCGGTCATAGCGGACTGCAGTCGGCGGAACTGAGTCCAGCGCATCATATGAGTTTTGGTCTCGGTTCCAGTCTGATCGATGCCATCGGGGTGGATGTGGCGATCATCCAGAATTGATGGATAATGTGCATCGATGGTCTGGTCGGGGATCGTTAGCGGGCGCTGCAAAGCTGAACAAATTGCACGATCGAAACCATAGGCCGACCAGAAAATGCGCCTCCGTAGGTCCAGAGTGAGCTGATCGAAATTCAAGGCTTCGGGGGGTTCCCTATGTAAACCCAGTTCGAGGCAGGCACGCATGGCGGCGCCGGTCAACATCCACACATTTGCCAGCCTTGGGTTGATGGATGCATATTGAAGGACCAGCAGAGTCACCTGAATGCCCGCCAAATCAGACGGGATTTGAGCTTTCTCAGAAAGGTGCTGAATGCCTTCCTCAAAGAGGGAACTTGAGAAAACCATGTGTTTGGCTTCATGGCCAGTTCGTGCACTGCCGAGAGTTGCCGAAATGGAAAGCATGAGATAGATGATCAGAAAGTCGAACGATGGTGGCACGGTGCGGTTTCTCTCGGGAAGCTCTTGCAAGGTGTCGATCACACGCTCGAGTTGCTGCCACAACGTTGGTGCATGCAGAATGGGAAAGATAGGGTAGACTCTGGTCATGTATTTCTTGACCAAACTTCGTAGAATGGGGGTGGGGATACTTTTCAACATGGCACAGCTGACTTCGCTAGTTGCCCGAGAGAAAGACCTTCTTCGGGTTTCCCGGGGGCTCCCAGATGCGATGGCCTTGGACGGTGTTAGACTCATTCGAACTCGTGCGATCAAGTCTGTGATCCCAGGCCCAGTTGGCAGGATCGCGAAGATCATGGCTTGAATTTCTCCACACCTCATCACTTCATCTCGAATAGGATCCCGCGCCGCCAACGGAGTAGTGTCAATAGTCAAAGAGGCCCGTGGGGTTTCATCGTTTCTAGGTATGTCCATGATGGACAGAGCTGAGTTCTCCATGGACAGGCCATCGTTGGATGGCATCCCCGCGAGGATATCGGAAGCGTTGAGTTCCTCAAGATGGCCATTACGGGCGAGTTCTCCTTCGACTTTGGCAATTTCGGTTTCGAGATGCTGGACGATGCTTCTGGGGATGTTGGGATCCTGGTCTTTGGAACTAAACCCTGTGCATTCTGATTTCGCTGCAACGCATTGTTCACATGGGATTGCGCGGTCACATTTGATCTTGCGGCGCCGACATCGGGCGCAGGACAGGACAGAGCGGCGGCATTCGGCCATGTTGGTGGTTCTGGGTCAAGGTGATGATTCAGGCCATCGACATTCGCGGCGTCTCGAGGCGTTGGTGGTGTCGATGGAGACGCGGAATGTGAATCAAGTGACAGAAGAAACGTTATTTCAACGGCGACGGTTTTTGCAACCCCGAATCGTGGTCCGCAAGAGCAGTCGCCAACCTCGCTGCGTGCGTTATTCTTCGGCCTCGGATGAATGAAGATGGAATTATTCAACAATAGATGGGCAATGGAAGATTCAGGTTAATAGCAATAAGACTTGGGAACGAATAAGGAGTGGATGATCTGACAGCCACCGGTGGAACTGGACGTGCCACTCGATCGCTCGAGGGAGGAATGGTGCTTGTGCCGTGCGCCCTTCTCTTGTTGTAGTAACACGGTGTTTGTTTGATTGCTTGATTGATTGCTTGATTAATTATTGATGTGGCAGGCGTCTATTTGTATCGTGATAGGTGGAAGAAATGTGAGAAATGTCGACATGGCAGGGTGCGCCCTCTTTTTCCTTATCGCAGTTTGACCCCGCCACTAAACCCAGTACTAATATTTAGTAGTATCTTGGGCAGATGGGGATCTCGCTATCTTCCACTGCAGTGTGTTATTAGTAGCCACTAGTAGTAATCTCTGAACTTTCGTTGCCTGCGCCTGCGCCGCCATGCCAGTATCGTGCGAGTGTCCGCCCAGTGTCACTCTCGTGTCCCTCTCCCTCTCCTTCTCCTCCAGCTTCCTCCACGCTCGCATTTGTTCTCTCGCATTTCAAGTTACACCCTCAGCGGGCACCGCGGGAATGTCTAAACTTCACCATAACAATAGCGGGAACTTGTGAGAACAAACGCACCCTGTACTTGGCTTTTGATACAAGGCTGCGGCACACCAGGCGCACATGTCCTTGGTCCTTCATTGATCCATCTCCCCAGATCGGACTTGGTCTGTTTATAAACACAAGATGGACTTCGACCACACGACCATCTCCGAAGCAGAACTCACTCGTCTACTGCCTACTTGTCAACGATGTCGTCGCTTGCGGCGCAAGTGTGACACAAACCTTCCAGCCTGTCGTCTATGCCAGAAGGGCAAAGCTGAATGTACCTTCTTCGACCATGCCTTGCAACAGACTCTGCCGCGAAGGTGAGCTGAGACACCGCCTCATTCGTCCTGAGCCTTGTGCTGATCCTCGTCAGTTATGTCCATTCGCTGTTGACCCGTCTGAGTCGGCTACGTTCCGTTCAGGCCGCGGTCGATGGCTCCAGCGAGCCCTTGACGTCCCTACCGGTTGTTCACCATGAACGAAACGCGTCCCTAACGTCCTCCCATGTCGAGCCGGCTCACAATGAATGGGGCACTTATACTAGCGAGCTGTCTTTCGACAAACACTTCATAATTGAGCATGCCAATCCCACGTGTTGGCAGTTCTTGGGTAGTAGCTCACCCTATGCTCTTGTTGTCGAGGTCCTGGTCCATGCTCAAGCGAAACTCGGCTCCATGGTTCATCATCCAGATTATGCTGGGCCGGAATTCTGGTTGAATGCTCAAAGCACCGAGGTCGCGGAACCGCTGCAGCCCAGGCCCACTCCGTCTCGCGCCGAGGTCGAGATGCTGGTCAACCTGTACATGTCTACCACGAATCGTCTAATGGTATTCTTCGATCCTGATGACATCGCTCCTGAGATTGACACATTTCTACGCCACCATGGGACGAATGCCAAGTACCTGTCTGGAAAGGAGGCTCATGAGTTCTTCCGAGTCGCGATGATCTGTGCGGTCGCCTCCGCCAACAAGGCCAGACACCATTCGGTCTATGACACGGAGTCCATGGCGTACTATGCCGAAGGCGTGCAATGTGTCGAGGAAGTTACATCGGACGTATCTGCCGACGCGCTCCAAGCTCTTTTACTCCTGATCGCGTTCACCCTTTTCCATCCCCGAAAAGCCGATCTATGGAAGTTACTGGACTTCGCGTGCCGTCTAAGTGTCGAGCTGAATTACCACAGTGAAACCAACGACGAGTACGAAGACGAGAAGAGTAGGAGAAAGCGCAGGTCTATTTTCTGGGGGCTCTACTGTGTCGAACGCACCATGGGCCAGCACTTTGGTCGTCCCTCTGATCTGGCGGAAGAAATCATTACCACTGAATATCCTGCCACTTTGAATGCAGCCACTCTGGCCGATCCCGAATCCCTACAGCTTGTTCTGATCTCTCACTACTACCGTTTGACATACCTACGATCGGAGATCTTTCGTGAACTATACCTTCCAGCTGTGGCGCCTAATTTACCACGCATGTGGTACGAGCAAAGTCTTGACCACATCTTGTCATGGAGGAGGGAACTCGAGTTTGTTGAAACAAGCCTGGGCATGGGTAGCATGACGTGTGATATGGGCTTCCACACATCCATATGCTTCCTGTTCCAGCCACTACTGCTGCGTGCGCTGGCCGCGGCCAAGGGACCTATGCTCGGTCCGGAGATAACGGAGGGCATCCCGCGGGAAAGCTATCATTCCGCTGTCAAATTGATAGAGTCTTACGATAAGATATTCCGTGGGGCCGAAGGAACTCCTTTGGGAATGTATCCCATCACAGTCAATTCTGCACACTACATACAGCAAGCTGCCATTACAATCATGGCTCATTGCCTGCTAGCGATCGATGGCCGACTCCCGGTTGTGACATTCTCACGTGAAATCAGTGGTGACACAGAAGGGCCTGTGGATTTCAATGGCATTCATGAAATCTCGGGAACATGTCTGATCTTACTGAACACCCTGTCTAAGAAATGGCCGGGCATGGTGGGCGTATTGGATATCTACAAGACTCTTCAGTCGCAGGTACTGCCCATCATGATGCGCAGTGGTTTAGGCTGAGACAAAACCCGTTTGTGAGGCCAGGACTTCACGGTATTCGGTATTCGTGGCATAACGGCAGTACATTGATTTCTTTCACCTCAGCCAGAATGCTAATATAAGGACTTCTCTGGCATCAACTCTGAGCCACCCTATTTGCAAAGATGTCTTGACGGATTGAACTATTGTCCAAGACACAGATTGGATACTACTCTCAACAGAATCCGGCACTGCAAAATTGTCGATAGTTGAAACATCAAACAAAGAAGGTCAAGACGAGCAAAGGGAACAAACGGGGAGACAGCCATCGCGAGAGGCACATCAATCTGCCCCTGACTCTCAAACCATTTGTTCAAGGGCAAACAGGCATCTGCTCGTTACTCTACAAGCACACAAAGACCTACGCAGGACCAGATGGTATATATCTCTTCGTCCACGAATGCCTTTATTTGCTCCATCACAACCCAGAACAAGAGCGCACTGAACCTTGTGACGGCCACGACATCTATCTTTTCCAACGCCTACGACATTGTCCTGCGTTGGGCTCTTCCCACTTTGACATCAACCAACAGACAGCAAATCATCTGGGCTCAAATTACTGTGACGAACCAGCGACGCCAATAACGGACACTGAAGGAACCATAAGATGGCACCACGAAGAGGACTGAACAGTGCGCTCACAGCCACTTGCGCCTCACCCGAACGATGCTGACGTCTTCCTCCCAGGCATACCCAAAACTCGATACAGCTCACGCCAATCCGCCAAGGCAGCAGCGATCTTGTCATCTAGCACGGGCAACTGTGTGCCACACTCTGGTGCCAAGTTATATCTGCGGTTGCCACGAATGAAGAACCCGGAAACTGGGATATATCACGGGCAACGCCGGAAAGATACCAACCATGGGACGGCGAAGGGTGAATACAAACAAGGGACAAGGTTACGCATCACACTGAAGGACGGGAAGGCTGTGAAGGTGCAGGTTGTCAATTAACGTTGGCTACCACAAAAAGCAAAAGGATGATCTGTTGACAATGATGGGGGATGCTTGAAGATCAGACTTGTGGAGCAGGCTGTGCAAGACATTCGTCCAGTCTTGCCAACCGAATTCGTGCCGTCTCTCGATTTTGGGTCGTGGAGCTGCTGCTGCCGGCGGTATATCCTTGAGGAGCTGCTTGGGACTGACTATAGAGGTCGACGGGGGTAAAGCGTGCTAGAGTAGCTGACCAGGTAGAGAGTCGTGGTAGACCTAGCAATATCAAAACTGCCAATGCCGGTGGCTATGTATGTCTCTCGCGTTCGTCTGTAGCCAACAGTAGCGGGAAGGACAGCACCATAAGGCCTCTCACGCAATCAGGCCCTGGAACCAGGAGAGGCTGCGAGATAACGCTGGAAAATCAATGAATGGCAGGGATGGGTGGACTGATGATGAAAGTGGCATGAATTATCTGTTATGAAAGTGGCCCATTCATTATTCGGCGATGAGCGAGGTGACAGTTGGGGCAACCTCCACAGAAGCAAATCATGAGCTCCATCATCTCGAAAAGTTAACCGGGAAGATACTAGATAGTCCCTTTCGCAAACTTCGACAAGGCCCTCTGCTGGATCGAAATTATTGTTCTTGTTCTCTTCCCCATGACTATGTGAGAGATCTTTGTATTGCACAGTCTACGCCGCCATGGCTAGTCTTTTCACCACCGTCGCCTCTCTGGCCTCGGGCACCGATGTCCCTCTCACCACCCGCGAGGCCCTCTCCGGCATCTTTGGGTCTGTCTCCATGGCCTGCTGGATCTTCCTCCTCGTGCCGCAACTGATCGAGAATTACCGCAACTCGTCTGCCGAGGCCATCAGTCTCGCCTTCATCTTCGTCTGGTTCATTGGTGACATCTGCAATCTCGCCGGTGCGCTCTGGGCCGGTCTGGTGCCAGTGGTGGTCGCCATTGGAGTGTACTTTTGTATCGCCGATGGCGTGCTTATCTCGCAATGTCTATACTACGGAATCATCAACAAAAGAAGAGAAGGAAAGGCGCTGTTGGATGGATCACCCTCTTCGTCCAGCGGAGTCGCGCAACAGGCCAGGCAGAATGGACACCACGACGACGAAGAGGACGACGACGAAGAGGAGCCGCTCCTGAAGCGCACCCGAACCAACAGCATCACGATCCCCGGTTCGGCGGACAGAAGGCGCAGCAGTCACAGTTTCCGGCGCCGGAGAAGCAGCGTGGCACAGAACGATCAGCTAGCGAAGATTCTGGAGGAGAGCGACGAGTCTGGGGCCAGGCTTTGGTTCAAGAATGCCATGAGCGTATTGGCCATTGTCGTGGTCGGCGCGGCGGGATGGGCTCTGGCTTATGAGTCGGGCGCATGGAAGCCGTCGCCTACGTCCAGGGATACCAGCGAGGAGAATATGGCTGTCGGCGCACAGATCCTGGGCTACCTCAGTGCCGTTGCGTACTTGGGCGCCAGGATTCCTCAGATCATCAAGAATGCTGGGGAGAAAAGCTGCGAAGGTATGTACAACTTGGTGCGAAGACATGGCAACCGCTGATCATATAACTAACACGACTGTCCTGCAGGTCTATCGCTACTATTCTTCATCCTCTCCCTCTTGGGCAATGTCACCTACGGCGCAGGCATCTTGTGCCATTCTACCGAGGCCGCCTATGTCAGGAAGAACCTGCCCTGGCTCATTGGCAGTTTGGGCACGATTGTGGAAGATGTGATAATCTTTGCTCAGTTCCACATGTACCGAGATGGAGGGGAATCCGAGTCCGATGAAGCGGTCTCCTGATACAAGAATGAGGAGGAGCAATGTACATCTGAGCTGCTCTTTTGCAACGGAAACATGTTAAGAGCAGACAAGGGACACAGAACTACACCACGTACGCGGGGATGATATGGCAGAGCCTGCATGTTCATGACTACCTCAGCCGCCATGAACATCGAAGAACAGATCTATGGCGAGCTTCGGGCTTGACTAATCATAATATAATATAGCTGTGTGTGTGGTCATCGGCACAAATCGATGCGACGCTTTCCCCAGCCTGAGATGACGGTTGCATATGAGATGGCTGGTGAAAAGCAGTACGTCACTGTCGCACGAAACGAAAAGTGCCTGTCGAAATGCGGGAAATGTTTGACAGATGATTACTCTGCCATAGACTTCGAGATGAAGCGGTACGCGCCAGATCTGTGCCAATAGCAATGATATATTTCTCGTCGGCAACAAACAACTGGATGTGAGACATTAATGTGCAATGTTGATGTCCACGTGACTGCCTCCTTCTAGCCGAAACAAGGTTTATGCCGCCCAGATTTCGAAAACTCTGGGCTTCGGGGGACCAACTTTTGCCCTGCAGGGAGCTAGGTGCTAGTTAGTACTACCTTAGGGGCGCGGTGCTACTTGTTACTTGTTAGTACACTGCACAGTACTGTAACAGCGAGCCTGTAGGCAGCCCAGAGCCTGGGATGCAACCCCCTGGGTGTCGGTGCGTCTAACCGGAAACTTGAACCCAGCTGCTGTTTAGGGGCTGGGGCTTGGGCTGGGGCTTGGGCTTGGGCTTCTGCTTCTGGTGCGCCCGTCATTTTCTTTCCACTTACCCACCGAGCCACCCACCGTGCTGTGGCCCCGAAAACTGCGACTGGCCCACGCTTATTCCCGTTATGTCTCACTGCACGCTGCTGCAGCGCAGGCACACCACTGGCAAGACTGCACTTCCACTTCCATTTCTCACGCTGGACTACGGTCCTTGCATTTTAACTCTCTTCTCAATTGTCACACACTGTAGTACCACGCTCGTTTACACACAGCTGACTGACACCTTTTCTTCTCCCACTACAACACCTTTTTCTCTTTGTTCTTCTTTGTTTCAACTAAATATCACCACTTTCACCTTCAGCACACAGTCTTCGACGTTCCCGTTCCCTCCGTATTCGGCCTTTCCATTGACGGCTCACCCTTTTCCACCCGACCCTGACGATCGCTCCTGTGCACGTCTCCTTTCAGGCACACACTTTGCAACAGAATCAGATCGAGTTTCTCAACCTCTGTTTCATTCGACTCTATCTCGAGATATTGCAGGACTCGCTCCTCGTCCGTCACCATGCATAAACTCTCTTTCCTTCTGTTTGGCATGTTCTTTGCATCCGCCGTATCCGCCGATGCTCTGGACGACGCAATAGCCCTCTTCAAACGCCAGAGCGTTCAATTGTCCACTGGCGGCACCGACACCACGGACACCGCCGCCGCCACGGCCACGGCCAGCGAAACATCTTCAGCTGCACCAACATCCTCTGCAAGCGATGATGACTTCACGTCATCCACTCTCGTCACGTCGCCAACGGCTTCTCCTACCATCGTGACAGAGTCCTCTACGATCACTCAAAGTCCGACCCAGTCTCCATCGACTACTATTGTCGTGACCACCTCTACCTTCACCCCCACCGACTCCGAGGGCTCTACTACCACCACCGAAGCCTCCGTGTCCACGGTCACCACCAGCACAATTACGCCCTCAAGAACATTGATCACAACCAGTGCTACTCAAGAGGTCATTACCACAATCACAAGCGTCAGTGCCGGAAGTACCGTCCATATCACCAGTACCAGCAGCAGCGTGGTTCCTGTCACCACAAGCGTTGACCCGGCCTCGTTGACCAGCGGTAGTGGAAAACACGGCAGCTCTGGACTCAGTGACACAGCCAAGAAGACAATTGGAGGCGTGGTTGGCGGCGTGGGTGGTGCCCTGCTTCTCGCTGGACTGGCATATACCGCCTGGCGGATTTGGGGCAAGAAGAAGAATCTTCATGACGATGACTTGTACGACCCCAACCTTAACCAGGACAAACTCAGCGCAAACACGGGATCCGAGTCCACACCTTTCCGCTCGACCTTGGACCAATATCATCAACCAGGGCCTGTGAACACCGCTTCCAACTTCTAAAAAAGTCGTGCCTTGTTGATCTTTCCACCGCAACCTCACGATCATCACGAATTCCTGTTTGTACTTAAAGCGTGGAAGGGGAACATCAGAGGTGGCTGTTCCCCTCAATTATCTGTCGGCAAGCGTCTATCCTAACTGGGCTGGCGATCAAGGCGTGGGAAGTTTGTTCTTTGCTTAGTGAACCTAATTTGTGCGATATGCACCGCACGATCGGTCAGGACTTCTATCTTGTTTGATTTGTACATAGGGATTGGCACTATTCAACCAAGGAATGGCGAATTGGCTAAAGGTTAGGTAGAATACAAAGATTTCTCTATGGTTTTTGTTCCGTTGTTTTGGATGAGGCCGAGCCCTGGCTGTTCTTGTTGTGTGTGTACCTGAAGCAGCCATCGACCCTGGTGATCAATTCCAGAAAACTCACATGCATGGAACGTTGAAGAGCAGTGATCGTGAGCAAGTCAGCCATGTCAGCAAACTCGAGTCTGCAACGCTGGTTAGCCTATAACGTGACCAGTAAAGCGGCGTCGAGCAATTAGACTGAAAAGGGACTAGTGTGGCTGCGCCAAACGCGTCCTCACTGCCGTCTGCTGCCACGGGGTCGTCGCGCATCCTGATCGCCAGTGTCAGTGTTCTCTCCACGCCTCATACTGTTGCACTTTGGACTTCTTCAGTCTACAACTCGGATAAGTAAGGAGTGAGCCAACTCTTCAATTACGGAATCACGGCACTGTGCTTCGAAACAAAGACAAAGTCCGCTCCTTTGTTTTCTTGCTTGGAATTCTCTCCCAGAGGGAGCAGACAACGAGGCAGCACGTGAGCGCCGGTCCTGAGCAAGAGCCATGTTCTCACTATCCCCACCAACTCTACCACCACAGCCGAGCAATTTCTTCGTCGCGAGCCGACCTCGATTCCACCATCAGACGCTTCAGACGCCGTCGCCACTTCGGACGTCGAGAAATGCGAATTTGAACTTGATGCCCAAATCCAGCACGGCGGCTGCGGACAATGAGTCACAATATTCGCATTCGTCTCCGTTGAGGAGTTCTTCGCCGTTCGGACCGGGCCCGCTTGGGGCTGAGGACCAGCTGTCGAATGCATACAACCATGAGAATGGGAATGAGAAGGAGAATGCGATCGCGAAGGAAACAGAGAAGCGAGATGTGAACACTGCAACCGGCGCTGTCTGGCAGAAGCAGAAGACAAAAACACCCGATGCAAAGGTGAAGGAATCTGCTGCCAGTGCGGTTTTCATGACGCCGCCCGAGTCAGGCAAAGGTTCTTGCTTCAGGTCGATCTCGAACGTGCAGGACTCACGGTTCGCGCAGACTGGAGTGTCGTTGCCACAACTTTCTCCGAGCACGTTTCGGTTCGAACCACAGACCGCGGTTTCAGATCGCCAGACGTCTAACGGGTGGGAACATCGCTCTCGGGATGCCAGTCCCGCAGCCGCATTGGCCCGACGTGCCGCTCAAGGAAGGGAAACTAAGAAGACGCAGTTCCTCGACCGCATTCGACGCCGGCGCGACGATTCCCGCACAGAAATGTACGGCGATCAAGTCCTTCGCATGGATTTCGTGAGAGAGCGAAGACAGTGGGAGGACGAGATGAATCGACGGGCTAGGATGGAGGTGGAGGCGGGCATTGCATGGACGGGCGAAGAGGACGATCTGGATGCAGATATGCAAGACACTCAAACAGCCACGACGAAGCCACGGTGGCCAACGGCAGATCATGAGTTCGGTCAAGATCAAGGGGACCCAGAAGCAGAGATGTCGCCCACCGAGGAGTATAACGTGGATGATGCGCTGGTCGAGTATTATGCGGACACCATGCACGACCAAGGCGCAGAAGCAGAATCTGTTCCTGCAGGCCGCGGTGCCGACGATGATTACCTGATCGACGACGACGATGAAGAGTATGATCGCTTGTTCAGGGAGATGATTGCCCAGAATCAGGTTCGGATCTTGACGCAGTCCTTGCGCGACCAGGTCCAGGATCAGGTCCAGCAGCAGATGGAGGGTGGCCAACACGAACAGCAGAGTCGGGAACAGAACGAGTCGAGCATGGATTGGTCCTGAACTAGGCACGGTCTGGCTTGAGCTCGGATCTTCTCCCATGTCTGTTTTTGAGGAAGACTCCGCGTGCATCTGATGTGCCTGCTGTGGGGATATCTGTACGGTCTTGTGTTTTTGTCATTGTCGTTGTCAATGTCATTGTCACCGTTTTGATCTCGATTGGCAGATCACAGATGGCGACATTGTCACTGTCGTCGATTTCTCTGACAAGGGCATCGTTTCTCACCACGATTCGAATGTGCTTGTGAGAAGTCTGGTTGCCACGCGGTCTTCCAGCGGCGGCAAGCTGGTCTTGGAACCCGGGACACCACACTGCAGCGTGGCCACGACTGTCTTCATTCACCACTGGCATGGCAAGATACCTTGCCTGATAGGTAGTTAGAGGTGGTACTATTCCCAGTATCCATCCACCTGTGACGGATAGGATTACACTTTGAAGTCTCTGAAGTTCTTTTGTCCATTACTACTACTACGTATCACCTTCATCCTACTCTCCTATGTCATGATACCTGCCAGTGACTGAAGGTTACCTAACTACCTAAAGGTACCAATGCTCAACGTTCGTCCTGCGTATCGTTCATCTATCCCTTGCTTTCCTTTCCATCCTTTTGATGGCTGGTTCGACTTTCTCGATATCAGATACGGTTTGCATCTTCGCTGCCTCGTTCTCGTATGTTTGTCTACCATATATCCTCAAACCTCTGACTGCTCTGGCTGGTTCGCCCGTGCTGCCTTGTCAACTATCAACTGTCGACTACAGCAGCTGGGCACTCGCGTTGATTGTTCCATAATCTAGCACGGTCCACTAGTCCTAGTTCTAGGCGAGAAGAGAATCTGATTATATGATTGACGGGCACATAGACGGGGTTTATTGTGTTGTAGGTACCTACGGCACAAATGGATATGTATGCATTGTTACACTATACATAGGTATATATGGATGTGAACACGCTCACCCCAGTCAAGAAATCAAAAGAGGTGCCTTTCTGATTGCTCTCTCTTTTCTCGCTCTCTTGCTCCTATTCCCCTGTTCCTTTTTCAATTTGCAGTAACGGGTCGGGTCTTGTGTCTCACCCCTCCTAGTACCCTCAGAAATCTCACGAGGATAACTGAGTCACTGCGTGGGACAGCCTTCGTCCAACTTCTCGGCATCATCGCCCAACCCCAGCCCCGGCATGCCGCCGCCCATGCCCGGGAAGGGATTGGCAATCAAATCCTCCGGCGGCGCGCCCTCGCCCTGCATGGCCTGCATCTTCTCCCAGACAAACTCTCGACACTGTGCACTGTCGTCGCTGTACGCGGGCTCCTCGAACTTGGCGACGATTTCGTCGACGATGACGCGCTGGCGCGAGAAGCGCTCGAACTCGGCCGTGTCGAGGGTCGGCCGGTTCTGCACCAGCCACGCGGGGTATTTGGTGCTCAGCTCCTTCATGGGCTCGTACAGCATGTCCTTGTTGGTCAGCTGCTCCATCATGCCCAAAAACATCTTGGACAGGTCGCCGCCGTCGGATCCGTCGCCGAGACCGGCTCCGCCTTCGGATTCCAGCGCGCGTAACATCTCCGCTAGCATGTCTTCTTCCGACTTGGTGGCTGAGGCTTGGGCCGTCGCGCTGGTCGCTGCTGCGGAGGAGGATTCCATGCGCGCCATGGTCTTGCGGATGGTGTCTTCGAATGACGAGCTTGGCTTGGATGGTTTTTGTTGTTGCGGTGTTGGTTTGGTGGTGGATGTTGATGTTGATGCTGATGGGACCACTTCCTCAACGCTCGGAGATTTGGGGCTGGCTTTGGATTTGGTATTCGATTTCGTTTGTGGACTTTGGGATTTCGGTATTGATGTCGGTTTGGATTCGCTCTTTTGTCGTTCATGTTCGTGTTCGCGCTCGCGCTCTGACTCGGCCATCTCGGCGACCTGTGTGCCTGCGTCCTCGCCCAGAATGGCTTTCAGCAGATCCTCCGGTTTGACGCCCTCCGCTTCCATTTTGTACGTGAACTCTTCTAGTTCGCGGCCCATTTTGGCTATGTCTTCCGGCGTGGCGGCCGAAGCGGCCGGGTCTAATGACATCTTGGTCATGACGTTCGACATCTCTGCCGTTAGTCGCGCCATGAATTCTTCTTCGCTTTCCGAGTCGCGAGGACCTTCGGGGATTGAGATGTCTGGAGGAAGTGCGGACTCGGACGATAAAGTACTGGAGGCGCCCGCTGCTGGTCTGCCTGGTCCAGACGAGGACGGGATAGGTTGCGATTGCGATTGCGATTTTGATTGCGAGGCTGTCGCAGCGGAGAATTGGTCGAGCACATCTATATCATTCTGTTAGTCTGGGGCTCTTCTCTTCGTTTCATACTATACCACAGGTCTGCCTCAGGACAGGAGTGGACTCTACATACCATCGAGGTCGTCAAAGTCTGGGTCCGAGTCCGCATCTTCGGCTATCACTTGGGGCTGGTTCTCGCTGGGATGATCTGGCTGTGTCGTTGGGATGGATGGAGGTGTCTCTTGTTTTGACTCTGGGTGCTGTGGAGGCTCGGCCATTGTCTGCGGTGTCGAGCGCAGTTATGTCGCCCCGTGCGGTCGCTACTGATAGTGTAGTGGGAGTGATGTGATCTGGAGCAGGGTGATGTTCGTTGTGAGGGGACCTGGATCTGAGACGCTGTACAGATGTACACAGTAAGTAGTGTGGTATAGTTGTCGAGGTAGGAACAATAACTACTCAGTCGGGCAAGGAAGGATGTTCACATTCAACGGCAAGAGTCCAACGACATTCTTGTTGCTTGTTTCTTGTTTCTTGTTCCTTGATTGTTGGTGTCGTTTAGTCCTACACCGGCACTGGAGAAGTAGGTACCCAATGCTGGCACACCGGGGCAAAGCCCGTGAGCATGTCCTCTCTCTTTTTGTCCATTCCCCGCAGACCGAGGCAGAGGTTGACCGGCTACATCTGCGCAGATGCGCCATTACAGAGCTTCTGCCCAGACTGTGTAATTAAAAGCCAGACTATACCATATCCAGTAATATATTGTCTCGGTCAAGAATACCTATTATAACATGGCTTCTCTGTCTTCCTCAGGACCCCTACTTTTACCACTCTTTTGCTATACAACCGCCCACCTCCTTGGTTTCTTTCTCCACGTCAGAGCCCATGAGACCGTTTTCGACACGAGGCTCTGCGTGCACTCGTGCCACACGATATATATGTCCAAAGCGGTTCTATAATCTACAACCTCGACGGCCGTTTTCAGATAAAAAGGGCCCAGGCGACCCTCTCCGAATCCTCTTCTGCGGCTCCGATGCTTTCAGCACGACTTCTTTAAGAGCTTTACATGAATACTCCCAGACGCCCGAGAGCAACATCCTCTCCATCGATGTCGTGACAAAGACAGACAAACGGACTGGCCGTGGTCTGAAAACCCTCACGGCCCCAGTCATCAAGCCCGCGGCACTCGAATTGGGTCTCCCATTGCATCAGATCGACACGTTTACAGGGTGGAATCCGCCCGAGTACCGTACACACGGCATCCCGTCTATCAATCTGGTGGTGGCCGTGTCGTTTGGTCTGCTCATCCCTCCGAGGATCTTGAACAATGCAAAGTATTCCGGTCTCAATGTCCACCCTTCACTACTTCCGGACCTACGCGGAGCGGCCCCTATCCAGTGGACCATCATCTATGGCCGCACCACGACCGGCGTCTCTCTGCAAACCCTGCATCCTCGCAAATTCGACGAAGGGGTCATCCTAGATCAGACCCCGGCGCCGGGCTTGAGGATCCCCAATCCAGACATCATCGATGTCACGGAATTGACACATCTACTTGCACCGGTGGGAGCGAAAATGCTAGTCGATGCCGTTAGGAATCGCCTCTACATTCCTCCTTACACCCCTGTCCAGCAGCATTCGGGAAAGCCGGCGCATGTCTCATACGCCCCTAAGATCACGCCGCAGATGTGCGCTGTCGATTTCAACACTCTCACCGCAGAAGACATACTTCGACGGGGCAGAGCAATCAAACCATTGTACGCACTGGCGGAACGGCAGTCAGAGCCTGGCTGCTTGACCAGGATCAATTTCGGAACAGATATGAGAGCTCCTAGCGTCGAAGACGTCCCGGAAGGAATGAGAGCAGAAACTGAGTCTATCCCAAATGGTCTTCCCTATGCAATCATTGATATGCACGAAACGGTGGATCAAAGCTCAAAGCCATTGCTGGTCAACACCCTCTCTAGCGAGAAGCACCGGGATCATCGGGTGGTCTTTCCAAGGATCACTGTTTCCTCATTCAAAAGGGGGTATGGAGCCGCGGCAGCGGCTCGTGCAGGCCTCTTCACCGAACCACTCATCTATGGAAAGTACAAATTGTACCGGTTCTCGCAACCACTGTCTGTGCAGCCCGCATCAGGGGAGACGAAGCCAGCTGTTGGACTGGCTCAACCACATATCCAACGCGCCAAACTATGAAATCACGAGTCCAGCATCTGCTTATATCAGCATTCGGTTTACACGGGAGAGAATCGAACACACCAACGGCAATCTGTTGGCCTGTCATTGACGTATTTTTCGCGGTTGAGATATATGCGTCTGCACAGTCGTCGAGCAGAGTCTATTCGTGTGAGACTGGAAAAGATAAGGTTTGAACAGAACCAACCTCGCGCTTCAAGGCGGCCCTGTTTTTAGTGGCCTCAATCCGCTCTTCGCCATATCTGAGGCCCTGTGAGCAGCTTCAGCCACAGCGAGCCTCAGCAGACTGGGGAATCAGCTTGTTGTACTCACCCACTCCGTTAACAGAAGCCCCGGCAATACAGCATTGATCCTGATCTTTGGGCCCTGCGTGGACGCTAGGCATTTCATGAGATGGAGGCCAGCGGCTTTGGTGACGGAATAGCCCATGCTGCTTCCGCTACAAGACTTTCCCTGCAGAACGTGAGTTTGCTTCTTGGTCAAATGTGGACGATGACCTACAGCAACCGACGAAGATATGATGAAGACACCACCTTCTGGATTGGCGTTGAAGATAGGAGCAGCCTCCTGCATCAACACCAATTGGGACATAACATTGATAGACCAGCACTGATGCAGTAAGCACAGAACGATAGACCGACCTGGTCTGATGATACCTTGTTCCATTCATCATGAGTCAGGTCATTGATATCGCCGAAGTTGGCGAATCTGGTCCAACCGACATTGTTAATGATGATGTCAAGCCCACCGAGCTGTTGGACGGTTTCCTTGACTAGACGAATGCTGTCGTCGACGACTCCAATGTCCTTGACGATTTGTATCAGTGACAGCACAATATAGTACCCTGACGCCTGGAAATCCCTACTGCTTGGATGACCACAGCCTTGACCCCAAACTCGCTTTGGCATTTTTCAGCCACATCGTCGGCTCTGTCTTTACTGCTCACGTAATTGACCACGATATTAGATCCTTCCGCCGCGAACTTCTCGCAAATTAGAGCTCCAAGGCCTCTGTGACTTCGTCATTGCCCGTGTACGATCATGGAATTGCGGGTGCTTGCCTCGATCCACCCGTCACCAAAACGTTCCGACCCTTCAAAGTATATGGCATTTTTTGGGGGCGGCAGAAGCTGCTCTTGAGAACGACTAGAGAGGCAGGAACGTCTGATCGACAAGTACGAGCGTTGGAAGGGTATCTTGTTGTTCTTTTGTGAATGTTGACTTTGCGGAGCGTCCCAGTGTTGCATGTACACGGTGACAGCAGTGGTAAGAAGCGTGGTCGAGGACAGTGGTGGATGGATTTCCCCACATCCTAGGGAAGTTAGATGTCAATGTGGCATGGGAGGAGGATGGCTGTCTTTACCGCGGTTATAAAATGGTAGTTGGCCCCCCAACTTGTCAGCTGGAGAATTCCCTTGGGGACATCGATACATGTCTCCTCTGCATTCTTGATGGCAGAAAACGTGTCAGATGCCACACATGGTATCTTCACGCTGGGCTGGAATCAAGGTAAAGGGCCAGAACTGTCTAGGAGGGAGCTTCGCCTTGGTCAAGGCTGCTCAGCGGTGGATGAGGCGTTCGAGGGAGTGGTGAGTTTGAGGCTGTCAACCATGAAGATGGCGATCTAGTATCGTGAAGGTTGCAACAAGTAGGTATGAATGAGATGGATGATGTTGATCTGCTATCTGAGTAGCCATCATGGTGGTTGTAGGTGTTGCTCTTTCCCAATGTTCCTGCCGCGTTCGATCTCTCCCTCGCAGTGACTGCAATCCCTCCCCGTTAGCATCCAAGTCCCCTACTGCGCACCTACCTTCAGCTGCATCAGGGCCTCTTCCATTTGAACCCTCTATCCCCTCAACTTCTGTGCCTGTTCGCTCTGGCATCGAGGCTTCTTTTCCCTTGGAGATGAGCCTTCATCTCGTGGGTGAAGTGTCCTGAAGACTTCGCAGACGCACCCTCAATCGTGCACACCATGGCTTCCCATGAACGATCCCGGAGCAGAGGCTCATTCTCGATCTTCTCCTTCGACACAATCAGGTCTCTCAGTCGTGCTGGTTCACGACAAGGTCAGTGGGAACCAACCTTCCTTTCCATCGCTGATCCCATTATAGCTGTTCGAATTCCCTCCCGAGCTGAACCTCCAGATCGATCCGAGTCCAAACTTTCTTGCCGATGCGACCCTCAAGACCAGCCTCCGGCATCACCTGGGCCTGATTCTATTACTGAGGTGGTTTCGGCAGCTCCTCGAGCCACATCGCCAGAAGGGGAACATACACCTGATGAGAGGGACAATATGGACCCCCCAGAAATCCTTGTCCACAAACGAGGCGATTCTCATCGGACCGCACCACGAGCCCGTCGACTCTCCTGGCTTCCATTCGGCAGGTCATCCTCCCAAAAGCAACATCCTCGCAGCCCTTCTGTGTATCTGCCCAAGGCTACCAGTGCATCCACTGTTGCTAGAAGCGTGATCTCGGCCCCAGTGTTGACTAGCACCACCAACGCCAAAGTGGCTCGCGTCGAAGGGGTGTACTGTCGAGAGATATCCGATCTGGGATTCGCTCCCCCGGCAGGAAACTCACAAGGGGAGCGTGCAAATCCTCCCACGCAGCAGAGTAATGGACATCCTGCAAACGCTGGTGGCCTGCAAAATGCATCGGTCAAGCGAGGAAGGATGTTGAGGCTTGGGGATGCTGTCAAAAGTAAATTCAAGGGGCCTGTCTTGCGTAGGCAATCCGAAAAAAGCCTGCGGCCAGCGATGGCAAACGGCACTGACGAACCAAGCACCCTCACAATGGAAAATGGCATTGCGAGACGTCGAACAGAAGCTTTCAACCTGTACAAAGGCAAGATTAAAGAACTTACAGGAAGCGGTAACATTCGACGGAAGCCAGTCAACAACAGCAAAGCCTTTGGTGCGCACCCGGACCCGCCTTCTCTCAGAAACATGACGGATCATTTGCTGGCAGACGAGAGTGCTGAGCAAAGTGATAATGACTCTGCGTTTGGGTCTTTGACGAGGTCATTCGCGAGCGCGGTTGACAAGCTGGACTTTTCATCGTCTCTAGCACATAACATGCCCTTCCTGCGGTCCCGATCATCCTTCTTCAACTCAAAGAAAGACAAGGACAGTGGTGAACAGAGTGAAGCGAGACGACAAGTCTCAGGAGCTTCTTCTTTATTGCGATCTCCCTCTGCCAGTCTCTCGTCACCGTCCACCATGACTCTCCCCAAGAAGACGCTTGATCGTTCGCCATCTGGTCAGAACGCACAGGACGACCACCCAGGCGAAAGCAGTCCATCAGCCAGTCTTGTTTTTGACAGCAGAAACAATGCATATCTGCCATACAAGCCCATAGATGGAGATATTGAGCGTCGTCATCCTCTGCGAATGAACCCCTCTAATCGCATGGCTGTTCCTCCTGTTAAGTCACTGCAATCACGGCAAGCAAATCAACTCATGGACGATCAATCACCAATCCCTCGTCAGCAACGCACGAAGATTCCGGTCAGGCAGAGTGACGATGAAGACGAAGACGAAACTCTGTCTCTTGATGATGCTCCAATCTACTCTCCCTCTCTCGGCGATCTCAGTCAATATGCTAGAGATACGCCGCCTTCAAAAGCGACTTGCAAACCCGGGGCTTTGGGTGACAAAACTGCTGGTGTGACCCCTGATCCCACGCCCACTAGGAACAACCAATCAAGCGGGCAGCAGCGCAGCGTTTTGAAGAAGAGCAGGAGCGGCATCGGACTGTTTTCAAGATCCAAGTCAGTCAAGAAATTGACCAAGACAAACTCGAGAGCCGAGCGAAGCGATGATCCAGACACATCCGGCCCAAGCACTCCTTCACCTCTGCACCAACGAGACATGACCCGGAGCGATAGCACAGGCAAGACAGTCAAGAAGAGCCGGAGCCTTCACTTTGGTGGGCTTTTCAAGCGACCTAGTGAACCGGATCTAGGGGCGGCCATCCCACGCGATTTGAGCGTGCCCTTTCAACCAGCGACACCTTCACCGCTCCGAAATGTCACTCGAGCTCGTGGAAACGATGGCAAAATCCATTCACTTGCCCAGAATCGCCGTTCAGCGTCGGGCCCTTGAAAGGGAGGTAGCGAGCCACAATGAAGTAGACCAAATCCATGAGGAGAAGCCAGAGAAAGATTGGCATGGCAATCACAACCCTACTCAGCTGGTGAATATGCGGTGAACGAGTAAGGAAACAGGTGCGGATGAAGGAGTAAACGGGACAATTCACCTTTGATTGTAGAGCTATCAGTGCTAGACAACAGCGCGCTGGGTTGACCATGATGAGCTTGCGACCGACAAGGCTGTGGCTTTCCCCGTGTACCTTGCATGGTGTTTGCATGTGGAGTATCAAATCGAAACTGGGCAGAAAGAATGGGTTCGAAAAACATAGCAAAAGCGAACTACACAGCTGCTGGAACTTGATGAGCTGGTAGCTAGACGCGCAAAAGGCTTCGAGTCCACTGGAAAGAATTCCCACATCCTCACTGTTTGTTGTTAAGCTTTTAAACGGGTGTTCCAGATCAGGGCTTATTGATAGCATGTATGGATTGCAATCCACCCATAGATACCTGTAGTTGAACGGAACCCAAAGCAGAATGCTGTTAGAGATACGACACAAAGGAAAAGCCGAGATTTGAGCAAAAGGTGCTGGTCGAGCCCAGAGAGAGCTCCAACAGGCTCCAACAGGCTCTTATAAGCACCTGGATCTCCGACCCCTTGCTAGACGCCACCAACCGATGGGGCTTTGACGCCTTGGACGGGTTTGACGTGTCCCACAGCGCGGACAAGCCTCCACCAACTTCCAAAAAGGAAAAAGGGATGCCAACAACTTGAACCACCCAGTCAAACCCGCTCGTAGCACCTCATCATCCTCCCGCGATATCCTGTACAAGTAGGCCAGAAGTATGTATGTAGTAGAAGGGCAGCCCAGCGAGGGACCTTGGGTACTCGAATGCGCCCTTGGCGTGAGGAGATCGGAGCTTGTTGCCAGGCTTTAGTGATCGACTTTCCAGCCCGATTGGAGGGCGATGCAGTTGGATAGATAGATATACATATAATAGGCAGAAGAGAGGGGCGGAGAGGAAGGTGAGTTTGGCATCTAGGTGGTCAGCCGAGTGTCGATAGATACTGATGGATCTGGTACCAGCAGTAATCTATCCTACCGACCAGTCGCGGGCCATGGAATTGCAAATGCAAAAGAAAGGAAAGTGTGTGCCCCGGTCTAACAAGATGCACCGTCTCCTTGCTATACTAGTAGTAGCACTGAGATAAGGAGCAAGACGGTGCTCTCCGTAGACATGATGGTGGAGGTCTCTATCGCGAACATGATAATAGTATAGATTAGATTGCTACTTAGTACCGAGTGGTGGATACCTCAGATAAGGTATAATGCTTGTACCAACTACATGCCTACTTCCCTGCCTCTTCCTCTCCATCCTCCACCCTTCACCCTCCACCCCTCGATCCTTATCTCCCCAGACTGGATTCATTCACTCACCTCACCTCGATGCGAACGCGGATCCCAAAGACCAAAACGTTCAACGGGTATGTGTGTACGCCGAACCACAAGCACCACACTCGCTTGAACAGGAACGGACCCAGACAAGCTGACACCCGATCATCAGATGCTGGACGTGTCGCCGTCGTAAAGTCAAATGTCCCGGGCCCCGGCCAGTATGCAGTCGCTGTGCAACGTCAGGTCGGACCTGCGAGGGCTATGGGGCCAAGCTGTACTGGGTCACAGATTCACATTCCGAGCTGGAGTCCGCTGAGGCCAGGGCTTCAATCCGTCAGAGAATCGTGCTCCCTCGAGGTGTGTGTGATCCGTCACCTTTGGCAAAACTCCGTACATACCTGTACTGTCGGAAGCTAGGTAGGTACTATTGTCTGCACAGCTCCTAACGTCGACCAAGGCACCAACGTTCTCGACCGCTATGATGAGACAGAAGCGAATCGGATGCTACATGTTCTCGAACAACGTGTAAAGGTCCTTGTCCGGGATTCCACGGCGAGCACTGGGCCCTTTTCAGTCTTCCAGGCCAGCCCTGTGAGCATTGTGAGTGACGCTGGCGGCCATTATGATGACGATAATGAAGAAAATGAAGAACTCGAAAAGGCAACGCATGATCAAAGCGCGTTGCATCAAAGAGAAGAAGAAGAGCGTAGTATCATCACCAGCAGAAATATTTGCATTGACCCTGAGACCGAAAGCGGCCATTCTACGTCTGCGTCCACATCTGCGTCTACATGGCATACGATCGCACTGCCGCGTCCCCCCAACCGGTTCTTCCCCTTCCCATTGGAGCCTTCCCAAGACTCGGACTCAAGTCCTCTGGTGCAGGAACTCTTATCTCACTACCTGCTCCGGATTGCCGACATTGGCCAGGTGATCAACCACCCGCAAAACATTTTTCGTTCCATCTATGCACGGTATGCGATGCAAGTGTGGACACAGCCTCTTTTCACCACCGAACCTCTACCTCGGGCCACCTTTTCCAGTCATCAAGCCATCTTCTGCTCTATCATCTCGACCGCGGCGTATCATCGGCGGGGTTTACGCTCGCGCAAACATCCCCATCGCGAGTTCTACGACCGAGTGGGTAGCGTCTATCGGCTGCGCGCCTTGCAACATCTGCAACAGGCAATCGCCGAACCTTCTACACACGCCGAAGCCTATTGTGCGATCCTGTCGGCTATTCTCACACTGGTGAATTTAGATGTAAGTCAATCTGTCATGAATAGCGGTACTTCAAGTTGTTCTATGGTACTACTGGGGGTACACTAACACCGAACCTGGCAGGTCATGGAGGGGAGCTTGACCGGGTTCTTCGCGCACCTCCACGGTTGCCATGAGATTCGGTATTTGGGGATCCTGCAGTCGCCACAAGCCGATTCCATGCGACCTCGCGCACGACAGCTCGAGATCAGTTCCATCTTCATGGACACCATCGCATTGACGACGGCCAACCATCTAGACATCATGTTTGGCTTTCCCGCATACTCCAGCAAGCCGATCCTCTTGGACACGCCCTTCACCACGACCGACATTTTCCTGGAACACAGCTACGGCGTGACCGCGTCGGTGGCTTCCATGGTCTACGTGACCAACAAGATCTGGTTGTATGCGCAATCGCGCACCAATTTCCAAGACCTTTCTCCTGCCGAGGTCGACGCCAGCCTCACGAGTCTGACCGAGCAGCTCGACACCTGGTCTCCGGCCTCGGAAACTTATGCGTCCGTGGCCGTCGGTGACACGTGGACCAACTCGTTGTTGAAATTCTTGTCGACCGCCTTTCACTGTGCCGCCCGCATCTACTTTCTGTCGTGCTTTAGGCTAGAGTTGCATCCCTCCCGCCGCGACCCGTCGTCCATGCTCGCCCACTTGTCCGAGCTCACGCTCCAGGCGTTGGAGCAATCCGACCGCGCAAGACCCCCCAATTCAAGAGCCGGCGCTTCTGCTTCTCTCTCGTGGCCCGCTTTCGTCGCCGCGTGCGAGGCGCCCCCGACGGCGCGGCCGAGATGGACTCGATACTGGCAGACCCTCCTGAAGCACCAGATTGGCACCCAGCAAGCCGCATGGGAAACTGTGCAAGAGGTCTGGAGGAGGAGAGACAGACCCGGCAGAGGCACTCATGTCTCCGAGACGCCCATCTTGGCCCGCCTGGGAACCACTCAAGTCATTGAGCCAAGTTGGGCGAGCGTCATCAGAGACAATGGGATCGCAATTATTGCCATGTAGCCAGTCCTATAAACTCTCGGGAAGTAGTGTATTCCCATCATGATCTTGATTCTTCTCAGCCACACCGCCCGTAGGAAAGGCGCCACTCATATACCAACGCTGGCACATCGTTTAGTTGAGTAGCTCATTTAGTCTGGTAGTTACTATCGCTCGCCGACCGACCGAGGAAGATACGTACTTGTGACAATGGAAAAGTAGTACTAGTACGTACGATCTGAGCACTGCATTTACGAGAGAAACGTCCACTTTGTGTACCTAAGATACTCTAGGGAGACTCTCAGCGTATACCTTAGTTGTATACCTATGCTTATACTACATGTATGTACTAGTATGTCGTTACAGCTGGGACGTGATTGAAATCATTATCAACTACTACCTTGGGTAGGTACCTATCTAATACAGTATACTCTGCAGTGTAGGACGACGATAAGATCCATGTACGTGCGTCTTTTCAACTTCAGGCAACAGTGTTGATGGGTTAAGGGGGCGGGATCATTGCTGGCGATGCTAGAATCACAATAGACTCGACGTCAGATTCATGCCTCTCTCTCTGTCTCTCTCGAAAAAGGCAATAAGTGGCTCTGACCAGTTGTTGCCATTTGTGAATACTAGCACCTAACTTGAAGAGCCTGACACTGGGACTACAGTACAAACAATCGCCTCTAGAGTGTATTACTGTTCTTATCAAGCGGCCGGTAGTACTAGCAGACTTTTGGCGAGTCTCGTCAATCATCTGTGGTTGGGACATGGGAGAATCTTCAACACCAAATACAGTGCCAGGATCCTGCTGTATCATGTCAACTTGCCCTCCATACCTAAGTTGATCAGTAGATTCGACCAGTGACTTAGAAGAAAATGTGCTACACCCCTTCACCCAAGGCCCTCCTTCCCTCGACACTAATACTCTCAATCGGCAACGCGCCCACCATCTTCCTCTCGTTTTGCGTGCTCAACACAAGCTTGTCCTCCATGCCGTCCAGGTACTTGTAATCATCCGGCGGGTTCCCGGCCAGGAGATCCTTCCAATGGCCACGGATATATGCCTTGTTGTCTGGCGTCGAGGGGCAAGCCGGGATGTAGACGACACTTGCCGGCCGCGTGCCATTGTGCGTCACTCCCACGGCATGACACATCTATCAACGACAGTCAGCACCTGTGGTGAAAAAGGAAATCGGCAATCTCTACAGCCCCTGCCAATACTTACATCTGCATGCCACCAGATGGTATCACCCGGATATACGGTCGGAATGTGGACCAGCGTCTCTTCCAGCCGGAGATGAGGATGGCTCGCGGGACCCAAGAGCTGCGAGTCCATGGGATACGTGCCGGGAAACCATGCGGAATCGTCCAGCTCCCATTTCCGCGGATCCTGCCAGTCGCCGTCCGAGGGCGGCTTGAAGAAGGGCCGCAGCATCATGTAGGCCGTAGCGAGATGGATGTCCGGCACGACCATAAGGCCGCCCTCGCCCGGGGCGCATTCCGTCAAGGCCGTCCACCCCTGAAACGTTCGTAGGACGCTGCATTGGGCGCCGCCGGGGAACATGCTGGGTCTGGCCTGTCGTCGGTGAGTCAGGTCGTATGGGTCGTAGTCTTCGGGATGCCCTGACAGGATCTGGTCGTATGTTCGGCGGTACTCGACATCGGCCCATCGCGACAAAGATCCGCCGTCAATGTGCGGTCCCAGGCCGTCAAAGTCCTGCCCGGGCTGCCGAATCCGCAGGGCATCCGGGTAGAGAATCGGCTCCCATTGCGCTTCCTGCTCCGAGGCAGAGAGCGTGGGATCGCTAAACAAAGAGTTGAGCAGCCGCTGGAGTCGGAGCTGGTGCGGATGGGTGCGTAGTTTCAGCTGCACGGGACTCTCGTACAGATAGAAGATGGCCGGCGACTCTTGGGGCCACCCACTGACGCTGTCGTTCTGGGCGATGAACTTTGTCAGATCTTCAAAGTGTTGGCTGGCTTCCTCGCTCGGAATCACTCCCCGGATCACACAGCATCCTGTCGCCTTGATGTCTTCCAGCGCTTTCTCATTCTTGGCCGTTTCGATGATTTCATCGTAGTGGAACACGGGCACCGCGTTCGTACCCGCCTCGGCAATCTGCGCCATGACCGAGCTCAGTGCGTCGCATGTTTTGACCCAGGCCTGGCACAGCGCATCTGCGCCATACTCGGAGATGATGGCCTTCTTGAGGTCGTGTGAATGTCTGTCTTTGCAATTGCTGTCTGGCTGGGCGAAGGAAGGCCAGCCCGTTGGCCATTTCGATTCGATGACTCGACCGGGCATGCTGGGATGGTGAGTTAATTGTGGCAAGCCAGATAACGGGTGTAGAGATACAATCAATCAATCATCAAGTGCTTTCTTTCCCCTTTAAGTATTGTCCGCCCGCTAGGACTCCTGCTCAACGTCAACTTCAAGTTCGTCGAGTCGGAACTCGACACTGAGTAAGGGTCGGCCGCTCGCTCTCCGATAGGTATACCGCGTACACTCAGCCATCCTTCCTGGCTGACCATGATGCTTATCATTATGCTGTACGCTGTTCACCGAGATGTAGATAACTCCAGTGACTAGCCGGATCGATCGATAACAGTTCGCTGATGGCTGCCCGTAAGAGTTTCTCAAATATACTCCGTTATCTAATCCTCCCTTTGTTGTTATACTAGTACGCAATTCGCTAAGATATAGCGAGATAGATAACTCTATTGTCTAGCCGCACCAATCGATAACAGTTCGCTAACGACTACCCATGTAATCCTCCTTTTATCATTACACTAGACGCCATTCGCCGAGATATAGATAAGTCTAGGGACCACCCGGACCAATCGATAACAGTTCGCTGATGGTTGCCCGTGTTATTAGTTTCTCGAATATCCTCCATACTGCAAAGTTGACGGCTTGTCTTTCTCGGGGGACTCGACGTCCTCCTCTGTCCTTCTTATCAGCTGAATTGCAGGCGACGTGGACTCGGAGCAAGTCAACGGTTAACCACTTCACCGCTCCATTCGTTTCTTGAGCATCTGATCGATTGCCTATTCCATGCGGGCTGTACTGACGCCCTGCTCCATGTGCAATTTGACTCACGGGCCTGTCGTCTGATAAGGATCGAGCAAATGTGCCGATGTCCCGTCTCACAGCCGGAAGGCGTATATGCAACTCAGGAATATATAAAGGAAATGACCAAAAGCACCCGGTCGGTCTGATCTTGTCAAGCGTTTCTCAAGCTGGTGAAGTGCAACCATGTCCTCCAAATTAGCCGAGACGCACGACAGCGAGAGAACACCATCACCCTCGCCAGCACCCCCGAGCACACCGGCGACGCGACAATATGTGTCGAAGCTGGTGCCGCAAAGCCCCAAGGCTATCCTGACGCTGCTCTTCCTCGTCGCTACTTTTCAGGCCGTCATCAACGGCTATTGTACGTCGATGATGAACGGGCTCAACATCCTGCCCTCGTACACCGAATACTTTACTCTGAACACGACCACGCTCTCGCTCAACACCGCCTCTGTATGGATCGGGGGCATCGTGGCGGGCTTCTTCTCGGGCCAGTTCTGCGACTGGCAGGGCCGCAAGAGTACCATGTTCTGGTCTGCCGTCCTTTGCATCATTGGCGCGGTCATCCAGACCGCCGCTCAGAACATTGGCATGTTTGTGGCTGCCCGGATCATCATCGGCCTGGCGTGCGGTTGGGCCGGCGTGGGTGCGTCGACATACCTTGGTGAAACGGTGGCAGTCCAATACCGCGCGTACGTGCTGGGCTACTTTTGGGACTGTTGGTTTGTCGGTTCGCTCATCTCGGCTGGAATCACCTATGGAACCAAAGATATTCTCAACACGTGGGCGTGGCGGACTCCTTCGTTGATCCAGGTCGTGCCGCCGTTGCTCGCCATCATCATCCTGCCGTTCATTCCCGAATCTCCGAGGTGGCTGGTCTATCAGAACCGGGTGGACGAGGCTCTTGAAGTGCTTGCCGTGGCCCACGCCTGGGGCGACAAGACGCACCCGGTGGTTGTCACCGAATACCGCGAGATCACACAGACCCTCCAGTTCGAGCAGAGCATCAGCTCGACATCGCTGCTCGAGACGATCCGCACACCAGGGAACCGGAAACGCCTGCTGCTGTGCCTCAGCGTCGCAATCTTCTCCATGACCATGGGCAACAACATCGTATCGTACTACCTGGGAACCATGCTCGACGAAGCCGGTGTGACCGACTCCAACTCGCAATTACAAGTCAACATAGTCATGTCCGTGTGGTCATTGCTCTGTGCGCTGGCGGGGACGCTGTTCGTCGACAAGCTCGGTCGTCGCTGGATGGTCATCATCTCCACCGCTACCAGCACCGTCTTTCTCTACCTGACGGGCGCGTTGTCCAAACTCTACGGCAACACCAACAACCAGTCTGGCGGTTACGCCGCGGTGGCCATGATGTTCCTGTTCATGGGGTCGTATTCGGCTGGCTGGACACCGCTCTCGTTCATGTATCCGGTCGAGGTGCTGAACTATTCCACGAGAGCCATGGGAATGGCTATGTATACCTTCTGGGCCAACGGGATGGGGCTGATGATTACCTTTGCTTTTCCCTATTCATTTGCAGCCATTGGGTGGAAGACGTACATGATCAACGCCAGCTTCAACGTGCTGACACTGATTTATGTCAGTATATACTGGGTTGAGACTAGCGGAAGGAGCTTGGAGGAGGTCGATGCCCTCATGGATGGAGAGAAGCACGCCGATGTGCCGGACGTGTTGGACGTTTTGAAAGGAAAGGCGACTGTTTGACCGATGCGTCTGAGACCTGCGAGGAGGTCTGATGAACGACTCGAGTGGTGACGTGGGATCCCATGGTGTGCTCGTTGTGAAAGAAAGAGAAAGACCGATGCCATTCCGGGTGATCACGCCTTGGAAGCCGATGATATTAAAGATTGTACTACAGAGAGATGTCACTATCCTTGATAGATAAAGGCAAAGGTGCCATTGCCTGATGTTGAAGTTTTGGCAGATATAGAATTTAGGATCCACCCTACATCATCATACATGTACGGTGAAGTATATAGAGAGTATACAAGGCACTATTCCGCTATGAGGGTCCTTACTTGCTCCAGAACCAATTTCCGGAACGCGTTGGCGACACGAGTCGGTTGGAGCTGGGGTTTTTCCATCCACGTTGGTCAGGATACAGTACTAGCATACCTCAGGTAGGTAGGTACATGTCTAGCAGCGGAGTAGTATAATAATAAGAGTACTGTTGGCCTCTGGTGGGCTGTACTCCCTGTGTGTTGGGCGTCGAGTGTCTTGCTTGCTGCCTGCGCCCTAGGGGCTCAAGCCTTGGCCACCCTTCTAGCCTCCTAAGCCTAACCTTAGCCCCTTGCCTTGACCACAGCAGGTGCGGACTACTAGTACTACTAGTATCTGACACTTGTGACTGGAGTATTGTAGTGCCGATAAGCATCACACCCCGGCACCGGGGCACCTAGCAGGCCGGAGGACTCTGCGACCAGGAAGGTTTAGGAGGCCGTAGTGGTCCCCAAGGTTCCCACACTGCAAGAATCCCATCCCTGCCCAAAGGTTGCAGTGCAGTGCCAGCAGAAATCCTTTTGATGCTTGCCACTTCCTTTTCTTTCCGCAGTTCTATGCATAAGGTACCTTATTGTTGGGCGTGTAAAAACAGCAGGAGTCCTGCTACTAATACTACGACGGCGCTGGGGGTCTTGTCTGTAGGCATTCGTGCAGAAAGAGGACCTGCTGGCCAGCCAGTGCAGTGCCGTGCCACGCTTGTAGCCTCCTCCTTGGCAGGAGCTCCAATCCGATTGCTCTCGTCCTCTGTCTCGTCCACGCCCTTCACGACTCACAACAAACTGATGTTCTTGTCGACATTCGCAACTCCCAAAGTCCACGCATGACCTCAAATTGTGTTTGAGTCTTTATCCAGCGTATGTGACACTGGTCTCAACCAGCTGTATGCTTTCATTCTCAGCCACTGACGTCCGCAGTCACCACGCGGTTGCGGAGGTGAAGCGCCTCACAACCCCCAACTCCAACCCGATCGATACCTCCGGCCCCTTGTAGCCGCATACCCGCCAACGACCTCACCCTCCTTCACAGCACCGCGGTTCGGGTTTGCTGTAGTGCTGCAGAGATCATGGCTTCATCGTCGTCGAATGTCGTGGGCGTTCATTACCGCGTGGGAAAGAAAATAGGAGAGGGATCTTTTGGCGTTATTTTTGAGGGCGTGAACCTTCTCAACAACCAGCAGGTTGCCATCAAATTCGTGAGCATCATGCTGCGGTCTTGTCTGCAACACAAACTCATTTCATGGGATAGGAACCAAGAAAAAGTGACGCCCCGCAACTTCGGGATGAGTACCGAACATACAAAATCCTGTCTGGCTGCCGTAAGTCATCATCCTGATGTGTTCCGACTTGATTGTTGAACTGATTGGCAACCTAGCCGGCATTCCCAATGTGTATTACTTCGGGCAAGAAGGTCTGCACAACATTCTCGTGATTGATCTTCTCGGTCCAAGCTTGGAGGATCTCTTCGACCATTGTGGCAGACGCTTCTCTATCAAGACAGTAGTCATGGTTGCCAAACAAATGGTAGGCTGTCATGGAGATGTCCTCGGAAATCGCTAACCAGCTTGCAGCTTTCTAGAGTGCAGACAATACACGAGAAGAACCTGATTTACCGCGACATCAAACCCGACAACTTCCTGATCGGCAGGCCCGGTACCAAAGCAGCAAATGTCATCCACGTCGTTGATTTCGGCATGGCAAAACAATACCGCGATCCGAAGACGAAGCAGCATATTCCTTACCGCGAACGAAAGTCCTTATCCGGAACCGCGCGCTACATGAGCATCAACACACATCTAGGTCGCGAACAATCCCGACGAGATGATCTGGAGGCTTTGGGACATGTCTTCATGTACTTCTTGAGAGGTGGTCTCCCATGGCAAGGGCTGAAGGCAGCTACAAATAAGCAAAAGTATGAGAAGATTGGAGAGAAGAAGCAGACGACCGCCATCAAAGATTTGTGCGAAGGATTCCCTGGTAAGCATCCATTTGTGGTCCATAGTGTGGAGAGGACACCAAACTAACTTGGGCTCCAGAGGAGTTCAACAAATATCTCAGCTACGTCCGGAATCTAGGGTTCGAGGATACTCCAGACTATGACTTTTGCCGCGATCTGTTCACTCAAGCCCTCAAAAACACGGGCGAAGTGGAAGATGGAGAGTATGACTGGATGAAGTTGAATGGTGGACGCGGCTGGGAAGCCATGAAGGCCCATCCATCTGCCCACGCACTGCACAACATCAACGGCCCGCCCGATGCGTCGGCTCGAGCTCTGCATGGAGCGTCCGCCGTCCGAGGGCAAGAAGGACAACGCCCGTCTCGCGACCGAGGTGCAATTTCGGCGGACCGTTTAAACGCGGCGCAGCCCCCGCCCCCAGGGTCACCGGCCAAGCCAGGAGTGGCAGCCATGGGGAAGAACGCTCGCGATCGCACAAGCGGCGTCGCCGGGGGCAACCTTCCGAAGAGAAGTAGTGGATTGGCCGGGCAGCTGGACATGAATACTCCCCCGGCAAGCACTCAAGCCCAATTCCAAACCAGCAATGCCAATTTGGTAGGCCAACAACCAAGAACGAGTGCCGCTACCGGAGCCTTGCAGAACAACCAGGGCCGTCCATCCCAACAGCATGAGCAGCATCCTGGCTTCTTCCAAAAGATGATGAAGGCGCTCTGTTGCGGTAGGTGCTACCAAGAATCTGACCGAGGCCAGTTACTGACTCTTCGACAGGCTGAACCGCTCAATAGCGTGCCCGCTTATGTTTGAGATTTTTCGTCTTTCCAACCTCTCCAGGAAGGGATGTTGTATGGACGGCTCCCCGAATTCCCTCCGAACCCCTTAGTACAGTTTGTCCATGTTGCACTCTGCATCAGAGTGCTTTCTTCTAGCCCAACACCTAATGTCTACCATTCGATCTCGACCTATGCCACCGGCGACGGCCTAGAGACCAATCACCCGCCGGTGCACGGAGGCAGACACTCGTGACGAGTTATGATCAGTTTTTGCGACAAACAGACATTTGCTCCGTTATTCTCTTTCAAGTTGTCTACTAGGGCAGCGGGGTGTTGACCGAGAAGGCATGCATGGGTGGCGAGCAAGGCGTTTGCTAGGATTGTGTATACGAGAGCAAGATACACGGTCTATGAAGCAAAAAGGGTTTCGACAGCGAAGGCTGAAGGCTTGAGGCTCGAGATGACCTTGGAATGGGACATGGAATCTGCAGGCCGCGCTCATGCCCGCAAATGGCGGGTTGTAACATAGAAAGAAAAGCGCAGCACAGACTAAAGAGGCGCAACCCAGGCGAGCCGCATGAAAGTCCCATACACCAAGATTTGTTCAGTTGCAGGTAGTTGATACGTGATCTTTGCGGTCACTGGCAACAGACGAGCATAACGTCTGTAACTTGTAGCCGGTTCCGTTGCCTTTTTGAGTTGGCGGGTCGATTCTTCAAGTGGTCGCCTTGGAGCAGTCTGAGTCTGCACTGCCACTCTCCAAGCCCAAATCCACGGGTGTAGCAGTAGCGCGATCCACAAACCACATTCCCAATGCCGTGGAAAACGAGGAAGAAGGAGAGAATCTCGCTAGGTTCGCAACGTCATGATCTCCAGGTACAACGGATTGCAGGCAGACGTGGTGATTGTGGCATTTTCTTCTTGGTCGAGCGTTGGGTTATTGAAAATGTTCTGTAGTAAGGATATGGATTTGGGCATCAGACAAGTACCTAATAGACCGGCGGGTCTGGGCGAAGAGTTGTTGGGTACAATACCTGTAGTAGGTAGGTAGGTAGGTAGGTAGTTGTCGGAGGAGAAAAGGCATGAGCTGGCGAGGAATTAGAGACCTTCTCTCTCTGTCTCTGTCTGTACGTAAATAGATGATAGTGTGATAGCACTTTCACTACGCCTGCTAGAGGCTGGTGACTGCCGAGAGCAGAATGGCCGAGACTTAGAAGCTCCTCTAAGCATCTTTAGACGCAGGCGGGAACCTGGTTTCATCTCACGCCCGCACTCTTTCTTACACACTGGCACTTCACTAACCTTCTCGACTGCTGCCGCACCTCGTCACCGCCGACAACATCAAGCAGATACCAGGTAGTCACCGACACCGTCAACATCCGCCTCAGAGCCTTGCTCTTCTTACCGTCCGGCCCATCACCTCCCACCTTCCGCCTTTGGACGTCACGCTGACTCTCACGGCTCGCGATTGTATCTCCGACTTTCATTTCTCGGTTTACCAGCGCATCGCTCTACAAGCCATCTCGCCGCCGTTACCACCTGTCCCGTTTTCCATATGATACACTCGATGGGAGTCGCATTACCCTCCAAAAACCGTTCCTGACTCGAATTTTCAATTGGAGGCTCCGTGCGACATCTTATAGTGATTCCACTCTGGCACAGCCTCACTCCAACGCTGGGTATGGACCCATGGCCTGCACCGAACTCGCTTTCCATGCGACACCTCTCGTGCTAACTCGTTGCGCCACAGGCTGCCTGGCAAGGTACACTCCTAAGACCCCCTTCGACTGCCAATCGACGTGTCTTCGACTCCTACGAGTCACTCCGATCGCGAAAGACCTACCTCAGCCTGACGCTCCAAGGCATCCTCGCCCGTCCTGCCAGGGCGTCTTCACATTACTATTCTTCCGGTCTGCCCGGACTGCGGCATCAAAAGATGGACAATACAAGGGGCAGGTCTTCTTCACGAGGCAATGCAGAACACATAAGTCCTCAACCCTCCCCGAGCAACTACCCGGGTGTGGTGCCCGGCCTGGATCCAGCCATCCAGCAAGCTCTCACCGCGGGTAAATTCACCACGTCGCAAGGCTTCAACAATCAGTTTCTCGATCCGCAGCAACAAGGCGGCGTGCAATCCGACCTGACAGAACCCCGATTCTATCCCAACAACCAGTTTCCTCAAGATCTCTTCCCGGAGAACCAATTTGCAGGCCAGAATCTGGATCCCTCCTACTCCGACAACTATTTTTTGTACCAGGGCGAGACTATGCCCAATGAATTCAATCAAACATATTCGCTCGACCAGCCGTATGACATGAATTCTCAGAACAACAACATCAATCCCGCCGACTTGAACAAAGCGCCTTCCCCGCAAGATCACCAATCGCCTAGTTTATATCCTCCCGAGACCCTCCCGTCACAGCCGGCGTCACCTGCTTCGACAAATGGACAGCAGTTTTATACTCCGCAGCATTCGAGGCATGCCTCTCTGGATCCTTCAAGTGCCTATGGCGAGAGCTTCATTGGGGCAAATTTCCAGCAGCACCGGCGCGCGGCGTCAGATCACTCCGAGATCTCTTCAGCCAGCCATTCCCCTTACATGGCTCATGCGGAGCTACACGAACCAATTGACCTCAACCACTCGCCTTTCCTGCCTGCTCAATCCGACACCAGCAATGCCTTTGGGATGGAGACTTTCAGTCTGGCCGAGCAAGCCTCCTACCGTTCTCCTCGGCTCATGCCACACATAGACGCAAGTCTTCAGGGCCTCGGATTGAACCAAGATCTCAGTTTGAACCAACCCATGCGAATACCTGTTCCGGATGTCTATGCCAACCAGCCAACTGCGTATCCTCCGGTTGTTCCCAGCAATCACCTGCGCAACGCCTCCGTGGTTTCGGATATTGGCCAAGCCGACCAATTCGCCCCTCCAACCATCAATATCGAACCGGCTCCTGTTTCAAGGCAGCAGAGTTTTGGCCCTCAAGCCGAAGGGACCGAAGGCGCTCTCAGTCCTCCCTCTACAAGCAGTACGTTGATGGTGGAGTAGCCACTGAGAGCCGATAGCTAACCTGTTGATATAGGAGGGCGCAACCGAAGCAAATCCGATGTGACTTTCACACGGCCACTGTCCCGGTCTGGTTCGCCCGGACTCGTCGCTACAAATAGTCTTGCGGTAAAATCCAAATCCCCTGAACGGAGCAGCCGATCGCTGTCACGTGAGTCTTCCCCCGGTCCTGGCGTGGCTTCGGGTCGCATCGATAAGAACCGCCGGGCTTCTACGTCGTCTGTCGGTCAGAGCCGAGATTACATTCTGGATCTGCTTGATCCCTCCAGACCAACTGCCTCTCCTTCGGGGACAAGCACGAGAGTTCAGAAACATCCCGCCACCTTCCAATGCACCCTATGCCCTAAGCGGTTTACGCGGGCGTACAATCTACGGTCTCATCTGCGGACGCATACAGACGAGAGACCGTTTGTCTGCACCGTGTGCGGCAAAGCCTTTGCCAGGCAACATGATCGCAAACGTCACGAAGGCCTTCATAGCGGCGAGAAGAAGTTTGTCTGCAGGGGGGAACTTCACACTGCCCCGGGTCAATTCTGGGGTTGCGCCAGGAGATTTGCCAGAGCGGATGCTCTGGGTCGACACTTCCGATCCGAGGCTGGCAGAATATGCATCAAACCACTACTGGAGGAAGAAAAGGCAGAACGTCAGAATAGGGCAATGATGGAGCAACAACAGCAGCAGCAACAGGTGCAGTTCACCCAAGGTGGATTGCAACCTGTACCTCAGCCCATGATGATCGGCATGGACCCGACCACCGGAACTGGAGGATTTGCTTTACCTGCTGCTCTGCTTCAACAATATCCTGCACTTCAAAACATCGACTGGTCTCAGATCTCGACGGGAGACGATCAAGGAGATCTTAGCGATGTCGGTGGTATGAGTAGGGCCAGTTTCGACGGTTCCAGTGGTGGAGATTATTTTGATGAAGACATCAGTGATGGTTATGTTAGTGGCAACGGCATGGACTTTTCGAATCCGGCACAGCAGATGTATATGGGAAGTTGATCTGATTCGCGATGACAACGACGACGATAACGACGGCCTGTTCGGTTGGGCCCATTTACCTTAACCTGCCACTGCAATCTACCATATGTTTCCCGTGGGCGTTGAGCGATTCATTGACTGTGGATAGATATTTTGTTTGCGACCACAATGACGGCAAACGGACCCGAATTGGATGGGGATTGCTTTCTCAGATACCACTTTGTTATGGGATGGATCAGAATGATGACACATTTTCACTTCCAATGCCATGGCGAACTCCTTATCCTCAACCTGTTGACAATGGAATGCCATTGTGGCTCCCGCCATATATCTATGATGACTATCAGATACAGTGTCCTCCCAGCGGCCAGATTGCTGACACTTTGCTATATACAGCGGTCGCCTCGTTTTTATCAAGATGCTGGAGACTTTCCACGGCACACTCTTGTCGGTCAAACTCTTCACTGTCTGGATATCATGGCGACCTCCCTATGAGCAAGGCTGACCTCCACGTCATGTCCGCCAAGCGATTGATATTCACTGTTCTCTCAGTGAAGACTGATGTTGTGCTTCTTAAACTGCGCCGCGCAGAGATGTTCCTTTCTTCTTCCTTCTCGCGCTCATCTACCTCTCTCTTTCTCTCTTTCTTCCTTTCTTCCTCTACAATCACCACAAACATTCGACCATGGGTCGAAACAACTCCAAGAAGAGTGCGCGTGCTGCGCGAGCGACGAATGAGTTCTTTGCCTTGTCTCCTCCTGTTGCCGCTCCTGTTGCCTCTGGCGCTGCTGCGTCCTCCTCGTCCGCTCCTGTCCCTCCTTCCGGCGCTCAAAATGAGCAAAATCACCCTGTCTACACCTTGCTCGCCACGGGCACCCTAGAGGGCGACATTGAGGCCTATGAATGCGTAAGGCGCCATACCCGTTTTCATTTGTTGCAAGTCTACCGATCTCAAAACTGACGCATCATCTCTTCTTTTAGCTTTTGAACCTTGGAGAGGCGCTCCGTGGCGACTACCTGGCCAACAAGGCCTACTTTCGTGAGGAGTTGATCTCCATGTTCATCGGTGCCTATGCGCACGTCAACATGGTCCACGGAACCACCGTCTGGACTGTCGACACGGGCATCATCAGCCTTGTCGCGGACAAGATCCAAGAGGGCGCCCTGATTGGCTTGTTCACCAATGGCAGTGAGCAGACGGGCCTTCTGCCTCGCGACATCGTCATCACCGCACCTGACCAGATTGACGAATACGATACCGTCAGTCTCATTGTCGACCTTCTCCTCGAGCGCGTTGACCAGGACGACCCAGCTGCGTCGAGAGATTTGAGCACACACAGAGAAAACGAGGCGTACTTGCCCATCTTTGCTCTCGCTCTCATCAACATCTCTGCCACTGCTCGAGCCTTCTACTTGACTGATCTCCCCCACAGCCATCTCTGGGACGTTCTCTGCCGCTTCAGATCTGGAAGCATGGACGTCCGAGGCAATCTCGTCATCTCCGGTGCTGCGGTTTTGACTCGTCAGGAATTGGACTCCATGTTAAGAGCTCTGCGCGACAATCCTCCTCGTCCTTACGTTCCTGCTACCGACGGAATCATGGGTTCGGCTTTGACGAGATCTTCGGCTCCGGCTCCAGCTATTCCGGTGACTAGACCTGGGACTCCGCGTCCAGCTTCAGCTGCGACGAGACCTTTGGCTCCGGTTCCAGTCACAGCTGCGACTTCGGCGTCGACCAAGACTACGACCAAGGCGACGACTGCCACTGCTGCTCCTCCTCCTGCGAAGAAAGCAGAGCCGGCCAGCAAGACCAAGAAGGCCGCTGATTCTCAGACTGAGATCCGTAAGTTCTACTGATGCTCTCTTCTCCTCTCCAGTTTGTTTTGCTTTGCTGCCCAGATCTGTACTTTGTATCTCCTCGATCTACAATTTTCACTTTGATCTCACTTTCAGCTTCACCAAACTGGGCTATCTGTTGAAATTTCATGCGCTGCGCTGTTCAAGGAAAACAAAATGGAAACTGATCTTGAATCTCGTCTAGCCCTCATCGACGCACCCGACAACGGAAATGGCCCTCCTGCTGGTTCAGCCGCCATGGCTCGCCTGGCCGAACACCTCCAAGCCCTCGTAAACACCGACTATCCGAGCGCCAATGCACGTCGCGAGGCTTTTGAACGTGCTCTGGCCGATATCCGAAACTCCCAGACCTTGCAGGCTGCGAGGGAACATCAGGGCATCCAGAAGCCGACTTCTGAGTCTGATGCGAAGAAGAAGGACGCGACCTCTGGAGCTGCACAGGCTTCTACATCTGCTGCTACTCCTGCTTCTACTCCTGCTTCTACTTCTGCACCTGCTCCTACTCGTCCTCGTACCCGTCGTCGTCGTCCATCCGTCCACCATCTCGAATGGGACAGCGTGCGTCGCCCTGCTCATTGGAACGGTCAATTCGAGATCGGAACCATGCCGGGCTGGGCGGGTGAATTGGAACAAATGCAGATCGAGGGATTGAGAAAGAAGCAGGATAAACAAGATGATACCGGTGTTGGTGGTGGAGAGAGCAGCAACAAGATTGACAAGGGCAAGGGAAATGGCAAGACCATTGACAAGAATGTTGGAGCTGGATCTGGACCCGGCAAGAAGGACAAGGCCAGCAAGAATGTTGGTGTTGGTGCTGGAGCCGACAAGAAAGCCGAAGCCAGCAAGGCCAACAAGGCCAATGGAAAGGGCAAGGCTAGGGTTGTCGAGAGAGAGACTGACGATCTCTATGGCGATGGATCCGAGGCTGAAGATGGAGGTCAAGCTCAAGCTAACGGTCAAGCCAAAGGTCAAGCTCAAGCTGAAGCTCAAGCCCAAGCCAGCAAATCAAATGACAAGGGCAAAGGCAAAGAGAGAGCTGTCGAGAGAGAGACCAACGACCTCTACGGCGATGGATCTGAGGGTGAAGATGAAGCTGGACCTGCAACCAAAGGTCAAGCCGAACCGAGCAACCCTGCAACCGACATCATCAAACGCGCCAAAGAAACCTTTGCTCAATTCGATAACAGCCTCAAGAAATTCGAAGCCAACCTGGAAGAACATGCCAGATGGTTAGCCGAATTCAGAGCCATACACCTCGCCACGGTCGAAGACGAAGCGGACAAGGACGACTCAGCTGCAGGTGAAGATGACAATGCTGCTGGTCCAACCGGCGGCGAGTCTTCCACAGCTGCTGGACAAACTGAAGCTTCAGCCAACAACCAGAAGGCTCGCAAGAACAAGAAGAAGGGCAGGAAGGGCAAAGGCAAGAAGTGAGTCTCGTTCTTGGCTCGCTTCTCTGGCTTCGCATTCAACTTCGAGGTGGTTTACGACTATGCCTTACTGTGCTTGCCAGTGCTTGCAAACTTCCTTGCTCGCTTGTCGATCTGCTTCTGCTTGGTCTTGGTTTTGGTCTTGTTCTTGGTCGGACTAGGACCCGAACACGGACTGACTGGTTGGGATGCGAGAACCGAAAAGGACGGAGAGAGAGGGATGCTTTCTCCTGGATTGCGGATTGCGGATTGGCGATGATGTTATGAGTGATTAACCAGGCAAACATGCGACTGGAGATGCGATTGCGATTGAGACTGCGTCTGCGTTTGCACAGTCTTTCCTCAGAAAGGACTCATACGATGAGTTCAGCAGAAACGTTTCCAGGGAAAACAAGCAGCATGAGGTCCATGACAGCAGGTAGTTAGCTAAGTTAGCTATCAATTATGATGCTACTGCCATCACAGACTGCCGAGTTTCAGCTTGAGCTAGAGCTTGATCTTGATCCTGATTCTGATGCTTCTTTTCGTGTTTCGCATGAGATACCACTAACTACAGTCTACTCGGGTAGGCAGTAAGTCCTAGCTTACTTGCCAGCGTTGTTGCTGTCGCTGTCGTTGTCGAAATGGGACAAAAATAAAAGATAGTCATTAGTACCAGACACTGTGACATATTCCCCGAGAATGTCTGTAGAGTAAGATTAAGAGTAAGAGCAACTGATCTGTGATGACATTTCTGTAGAGTGTGAGCCTTCCTGCACCCTTCAAAAGAGAGAGAGAGAGACTTGAGATACTAGTATGTAATGATTCTATAAGTGATGAGAGACTTCTGTGATCAATCGAGTTTTGTTCTGTTTATTTTCTGTTTGACTATGATTCCGAGGTGTATCTAGTATTATTTGATTACTCATATACTGATGTTGATATTGATGTTGACTTTATCACACCGTCATGTCCTATATTGTTCGCCTTATCCTTAGTACACCTCTGTTTCGAGGATATCTTTTCCCAATGTCCGTTCCATTCCATGCCCATCCATATCTTATTCATGAGAGTGCCACCAGGTCAACCGAGGCACCTTTTTCGAAGTATCTGTTTCCTGATCTATTGTCTCTACGACCCTGGCTTCAGGCTTGTATTGATGATGGTGCCAGACAGGGAGGGAGGCGATTGATTGGACGTTGTTGGACGCGGTCGTCTCGTCTATTTGGGTCAAACACCTTCATATCCTATTCCTTCCATTTCAGATGGACCACTCCCCAGTCCTGTCTCTAGGCGACTTTGATGGTTATGGATCGGCCTCAAGGGAGATGAGTATGAGCAGGTGGTATTGTCATCATTGGTACCCCGGTGTGTAGACAACGATAGAAATGAGGTGGAATAGACCACACGTCCTCATTGAAGCAGCTCTCCTCACTTGGTTTGGGTTAACGATGTGAGAGGCGCTTCCTGAACAAGACTCAATGCGACGACATGGGACAAGGATAATAACGCCAGCCGCGTCGCCCTGTCAATGCAACTAGTTCAATGGAAATTTGGATTTAAAGTGATCCTGGGAGCTAGACGAGGTCCCGCTTCAGGCTGGGTTGCATTATGCCTTTGTCTTCGCCCAGATCCAGCTCGACCGTCTCTTGCGGTGGTGATGGTTTGGTTCCGGACGATCGGTTCGGTGGGGGAGTGTAGGCGCTTGAAAGTCGGGGGAAGCACCAACCTGGATGGAGTATGGTTTGTACTAGAGTTGCGAAGGCTACCATGCTGTTGAAAAGAGGATTGTTAACATGGTCATATATATCTTGCCGTTGGGAAGGGAAGTTGAGGAATAGAAGATAGGCCATAGGAGGAGAGGAGGCTGGGGAGTGTGGAAATCGTGAATGCGGAAAAGGGGGTAGAGGTGTCTCAAAGAGTTGAACATCAGGTAGCGTACCATCCATCCAAGGCGATGAAAGAGGGCTCATTTTGCATAATCTCATTGCCCCAGCCACCAGCCATCTCAACAATACGATAGACACACCGGATGAAAATGGCAGTGAATGCGGCGGCGAATCCCATAGCGAAGAATCTGAATTTCAAACTGCGCAGAAAGCCGATCGCTTCGGACGACAACGGCTCAGGAGCCCTTCGGCGGCGTACAATGTACCAGGTGGCGGCAATGCCGAAGAACAGAAGTGTCACAACTTGGAAAGCAATACCGGCCATCATCAAATGGTCGCCCACCTCTTGACGCGGCCTGTTCGACAAGGACGTCGCGGCGATCCCGCCTCCAATGGCCTGGATCACAAGAGACACCAGGTCACCGGTGATGAAGATGTACGTGTACCATCTCGGTGGGATGCGTGAGTATTCAGGGCCGAAACACAATGTGACATGTTTCAGGACGAGGTAGATGGCGGCCGAGTTGAATGCCGGGCCCAGGATCAGACAGCAAATCTGGATCTGGAAGCCAATCGAGTTGAAGGGGTTGTTGTATAATATCACCCGCCCAATATATCCCAATGCCTGGTCGACGCTGCCCAGAAACATGGCGACCAGATAGGTCCATGTCTTGTACCGGATGCCGGCGTACAGTTGCAGAACAGCACACATGGCGAACAAGGCCACGAAGAACGCGTTCGCGCCGATCGATGGGTAGTATCCGTAGATAGAGTGTTCGACAGGGCATTGCGGCGTTACTTCGGTGCAGAGCCGGATTGGGAGGTAGGGGGTGCTGCTGCTGGAGGCGGACATGGTTGAGTGTAGGCCCTGAGAGACGGAGTAGCACCGCACACCAAGATATCAACGAGAAGAATACTTGTCTCAAGAAACAGAAAGAAAGAAAAGGCTGGAAGTCAGGTTGAACGGAATATTAGTATTGAAGTAGACCTCTAAAAGAAAACCCCTGTGTCCCAGGCTCGTTGATCAAGACTGATCTCCACCAGGCCCTGCAAGCATCATCGTTATATGCTGGTTGGTGCCCAGGGAACTTCCATACCTAGACTCTTCCCATCCTTTGCCATGACGGTTTAAAGCTGCTGCCTGTCAAGTCGGGCGCATATGCACGCAGAGCTATAGCGAGCATGAGTCGGCCCAAGGCTCTAATTCGGCTGGATGGGATCCGACCTGCGATCTAATGGTGTGATAATGCGGATACGTGAAATTGAAGGGGGCCTTGGGACGGTAGATACGAGCAGTCGTCGTATTCCACCAGTCAAAAGTCTTTCCGAATACGAGCCTCGCATGGGAGGAAATGACAGTCTTTGTCCCGTTCCCCGGTCCCCCCTGGGGATATATCAGGTCAACTGTACTGTATGCAACGAAACCGCAGGCGCTTGGTAGATATGATGAGTGTGATGATCTGTATCTGCTCGACGGAAACGCATTGATTGTGTCAAAGGACACCTGAAGCGTTTGGTGTTGACCGGACAAGGCTCGCCGTGATTCTCCCCGGTTGAAGCCATACCTGCCCACACCATTCATTTTGATCTTTCGCGCATAAGAGGGTAAGCATGAGGTCTGGCGGTTGAGCCTTTCATCCACCAATAATTGCATGTATAATTGCATGTTTGCAAATGGGCAACACCAGCAGCTGAACTGAGAGACGGTTCAGGGTTCAGGTTGTCGACATAAACTACAAGGCATATCGGAGTGCGGAAGAACTCTTCACCGATGCCAAGATGTACTAGTAGACGAGACTCGCGATTGTAACTATATTGGGGACTAGTGTGGTATTAGCGGACATCACAGTACAGAGTCGGAAGTACCTACCTACATAAGACACACAGGTACAGGTAGGTCTTTCTTTCTACTCTCCCCCTAGTATGGCAGCGCCGTGACCGTGACTTGCAGCTGGAATTGAACACGCGAACTTCAGATGAAGCATCGCATTCCATCCTCCCCTGGAGCCTCTCTGATTCCTGCGATGTCCTTGCTCTTTGAAGCCTAACGAATCGACAGAGCATCCTTCACACGGGGACATCGTACGATTCGCTGCACACCGGACCAGATCACCGAGCTCTAGACATGGCATTCACTTGCGGTCACGCCTGCCATGCGAAGTCTTGCCGCCACGTCTCTGCACGAGTATACCAACTACGACAAACGAAAGGGCACCTCCAGGAACAGGACTCACAATAATATAGGGGACGAGGTGGTCAAGATCGGGGGAAAATGACCATGCAGTGCATGAATAAGCATATATAAGTTGACGAATCATCCCACCCTCTCCCTGCGGATCAGTTCGACGGCCTAAGGCACGGCCCTCACTTTCAACCTGGCGAGGCCTGGCCGCACATGAGGCTGAGGCATTCCACAGCACGTAGTATTCCTCTGACGAAACCGTGAGGCTCACCTCTTGACACTGACCGGATGGAGACCGCGACTGTCCCTGGCGCAGTCATCCAATGACACAGAAGAGCCTTTAGGTCCCTGAACTCTACAGACCTCCCCTGGCGCGTCCAGACAACAGGTTGTATATACTTACACTTACAGAATTGCAGGCTCAGGCCTCATTGCCATCGCACAGACCTTGCGGCAACTGCTCGGAAGCTACTCCCTTGGATTTCTGACACGGACGGATGGTGGCGAGAGATGGTGAAGACCGTGTAGAAGCAGAAGCCTCAGCATATCGCTCGTGTCGCATTGTGAACCCCGCTCGTCAGCAACGGCTTTGCTTGGTCTGCCCCTCGATCGAGCTGCTCCACTGCCCGTGTGGCTTTGGAGTAGTTCTAACACGCGACTTCCGACAACCTCACCTGGTTATTACATTGTCCAGCCGATGATGTCAGCAACAGCAATGCAACATGCCGATGAAACGCTCGATATAAATTGTGCCTTGAATGCCTGAAAGAAAGGCGCAGCGAGGAGTATCGTGCCGTGTGGTCTGAAGGGATTACATCTCCCGATATACAAGCTCGGCGAAGGCCAACAGCAATCGGCTGTCGGCATCTAATGTCGACCGTGCTATCGATATCGCTCTCGACGCGTGATAAGAGTACTTGACCATGCCACACAGGATTTCTGTTGTTCAACCCCTAGATTGTGGAAGCAGTGCCGGCACGGGTCAGCTCCTGGATCTACACTCCTTTGCCACCAGAGAAGACAACTGTCAATAATAGGCGTCCTCTATCCAATGGAGAATTCGCCCATTAACCCCCCCAAGCATTGGACCGCGGTCTCGGACGCCTGTGTGGATGTGCCGGCACGATCCACGAGCTCCTAAACGCGTGCTCTCGCAGATGGCAAAGCTGGTCGCTGTGGCTGTTTGCAAAAAAATCGACCTACACTGTGGCGATATCTCCGTCAAATCTCGTTTTTGCCACGGGGAAGTGTCCACTAAACGCTCTAGCTGGATATCAAAGTTCCCGTTGAACTGCAATAAGATTGTCCTGCACAGCAGAAACGGACTTTTGTGCCAGGTCTAAGGGGCTGGCAGTTGCCAAGAATAATGCCTGTACTGGAATGGAATTCGATGACAGCTGTCAACCGTCACTAGGTTTGAGACTCGCGCGAGAGTTCGATTACAGAGCACCAACAAGGACAGACTATGGGTACCGAGAGCCATAGACTAGTGACCACCATTGGTTGTTTCATCCATTTTGGAGAGAGCACTGACAAGCACAGACAGCCTCATCAGGGTGTTGAGTCGCCCTAAACGGGCTAGCACAGTAATGGTCTCTCTGCTGACAGCCTTGTCGCCCCTGAACTCAGACCACTAAGATCAAACAGCCAGCCGCGCATCCCACACCATCGTTGTTGAGGTCCCCTGTTGATTATTGTCTTGCAGCTTGCATCTTGCTGCGTAGCGACGTTAACAGGTATCTCATATCTTCCGTCCGCCTCAAAAGCATACATTATCCAAACGACGACCATCAAGATTCTACGATCAACCCCCCTCTGCTACGCAGCACAGAGATGAAGTGACTCCAGTCGCCCGCAAAGGTGGGTTGGTGCTTGCGGAGCAGGAGGACTACATTCCGCTATCTGGCATCGCACAGACAATGATGGGCGGAGTTCTCGGTCCACAGGGGCTGGCGGTAGAGGCCCAAGCCCTTTCTGTTGTGCACTGTCCAGTGTCAACCATGCAGTCACCGCGCTGGACGGAGCTGTCAACTTGAAATCATATCTTCACGATAGGGGGGTAAAGAGATGGCCCGAGTGCTATTCCCAAGCTCCTATTGAGACTCCAAAAAGCGACATCTCCCCATCGATGAATTGCCAACTGCATAGCACTTCTTCGTGTTAGAATCAAAGTCTTTCCAATCTACTCCGATTCCATCCAACGCGTCCCTTGATAGCTCAATGGACGAGTCCAAGATGGCATCATATATACCGCTGGTCAGCGAAGGCGGACCTAGCTCCCCAGTGGAACACGACCCCGAGCACATCCCATACGCAGATATCGACCTCGAAAAGAGACCAGACGAGGATTTACCGAGATGGTACCAACGATTACCCAGGTGGAAGACGGCGTCCAGATGGGACATGTCATCGGCGTTCTACAGGTCACGGCCGAAGTGGGAGGATATTCCAGACGCCAAAACCTTTTTCTGGCTGTTCCTGTCCTATATCATCGCCGCGCTTCCAAGATTCTTGCAGCCCGGCGGCTTGAAGATTAAAAAAGAACTACATCCCACTGCATATCTTGACGCCCTGCGAGGCTGGGCCGCGCTGTCCGTCTTCCGATATCATTGTTTCGCCAACAAGACATGGCTGCTTGAACAGCCGGTCATCCGAATGGTTCTCAACGGTCGTGCCATGGTGGACATTTTCTTCGTCATTTCCGGCTACGTTCTCAGTTACCGACTACTCAAGATGATGCGCAATCAACAACCAGCCATGCTCCGGGCACTTGCTTCGTCGACATTTCGAAGATGGTTTCGCCTGTACGCGTCTTGTGGTGTCGCTTCATTCGTCACAGCCTACATGACATACCTTGGATGGTGCCTACCCGGACACCGAAAGCCTACCATCTGGCTCCAACTCCATGATTGGATGTGGGATTTCATCGGGTCAAGCAACCCTCTGGGCGACATCAAGGGATGGTGGTACCCGGGTGTCTTCCGCACGCACTACCTCGATCAGATGTGGACCATCCCCGTCGAGTTCCGAGGATCGATGCTTCTCTTCTGGTTCTGCGCGGCCGCGGCGTTCCTGAGTATGCGGGGCCGCCGTACCTTTGCCATGGTGGTCATCGGACTCTGCTACTGGTGGGGAATCGTCTACGGTGCCCTGTTTATCTTCGGCATGCTGATCGCCGACGTCTCTTTCGACCGCCACCCGGAACGCCTTCAACGCATCAAGCTCCCCCAACAACAACAGGAGGGCGACGGCCTCGAGCCCAAGCCTCGCAGACAATCCATCCCTGCCAAGATTGGCTGGGTGCTGTTGACCATCGTTGCCTGCTTCATTCTAGGCCAACCGCCTGATGGCCACTGGGAGTATGCCTGGGCCTGGCCGACTCTCAGCCACGCCGTGCCATACTGGTACCCGATCGAACTGGGCGAGCACTTCTGGCTGAGCATCGGGTCCACTCTCCTCGTCTTCTGTCTAGACAATTGTCGAATGCTCCAAATCCCTTTCGAACTCAGCTTCTCGCAGTACCTGGGCGACCTGTCCTTCGGCATCTACGCCATGCACAACACCATCCTTTGGGTTCTGTACATGCCCATTGTGCAACCTTGGTGCTATAGACACTTCGGCGACGGCTATTGGTCCGGTCTCCCAGGGATGCTGTTCACCGCCATCGTCGTCCTCTGGGCCGCCGACTACTTCACCCGCATTGACAGCTGGGTCGTCTGGTTCGCCAAATGGTTGGAGGATAAGACGTTCATCAAGTGGGAATAGAGTGATGCCGGCACAGAGCCACTCACCAACACTGGATGGCCACCACAAATTTGATAATTTCCTGTTGGGGGTTGGGGGTCACTGGCAGGTCTCAATGTTTGACGGCGTTACGAAAGAATAGCGATTGCTCATGTTGATTTCTTGCCTCGATATTCTCTTCTATATGACGAGCAAAACTATTGTGATCTTTTCTCTGTTGTGTGACGACTTGAAGACGGCGCTCCGGGGATGCTGAAAATGACTCTTTCCTTCACATATTTTTCGGTCAACAACTGCATATAGTTACGATAACTGTTGACTACGAGATCAAATACCATACCATACTATACGATTTCACCTTCTCTACATATTTACAGCTCTGCTTCTTTTCACTACCTGCCCTTGGTCTCGCCGTCATCCTTTGCCTTGCCGCCGTCGTTGTCCAGAGTGTTTCCCTTGTAATTATCCCTTTCATTGCAACTGCCGGTGCCATTGCCATCAGCGGTGCCGTCTGCTGGTGACCACCGCAGACCCCAGGCAACCAGAACAGTCCAACCGTGCACACGTAGCACTGGCTAATGTTGCGGGCGGTTGCAGCAATCCATGTTCTTATTGTGAGCAGTCAAAAGCACTAACTCTACCTAGGTACTTAGTACGCCACTATACTGGCGGAGTGGTATCCAAAAGCGGCGTGGGCTAATTACTCTGTATGTGGGGGCCTTCCCTCGCGGTGCCGATGGAAGAGGCGGTCGGCAAGGCATTCAAGGGCTTGATGGAAATAAAGAAGGAATATATCAAGATCCTAGTACAGGGGAGTCGTGAATGACCCAACCGGGAGACGGCATTGCACTTTGAGGAGATTGCAATGTCGAAAAAGGTCGGAACTGTTCGTAGACGTTCACATAGGTCCGAAAATATCCGTAACCAGGTTTCAAGGAGCATTGCACTTTGTCCAAAATGCAGCATCGAAAAGGTTCGTACAATCTCGTAAAAAGAAGATATTCATCTAAACTCGCTCTCCCACGTATTATATTCTTGCTGTCGATACTAGAGGGGAGGCTGTGCAATGTTCATCGACTTGTATACCCGCCATTCACGAAGAGGGTTTGGCCTAGAATTCGTGGAGGAGGAAAAGTCAGCGCCTTTTGTCGAACCAAAGAAAAAACCAAAACCAAAGAATGCCATATTCCCCCCTGGAAAATCCCATGTGTTTGTCTGTGTCTCCCTTCGTCCCAACTCCTTTTGGGGCAGAGGGGGGAGGCTGAAAACTGGGGAACACGTTTACCGTTGATCCACGCGCCTTCGGTGCACAGGAACTTGTAGAGGGGCGCGACGTCGTCGATCTTGGTGAGGCGGCCGCCGATGGCGTTGGACTTGTGGAATTCCACGGCCTCGGGGGACTCTTGGCCGTAGAAAAAGGCTATTCCCCTGCGAGTTAGTTTTTGTGCTTTGAGATGGGCTTGGATGTCGTGAAGAAGGAGTGAAAGTGAGAGAGAGAGAGAGAGAGAGAGAGAGAGAGAGGAACAAGAGGATTTCCTCTCAGGGGTTTAGGGGGGTTGAGATGCTTACGAGTATCCTATCCATCATTCTCACGGGTCAGCTTCAATCCAGCGGCGCAGGAGTATCAGAAGAGTTGGAAAGAAAAGGGGCTAAGTAGAAGCAAAAGAGAACAGAGACACATACCATGGGACCCGGGGCGACGGCATTGACGCTGATGCCCTTGGACATCAACTCCTTGCTGAGGCTCTTTGTGAACCACTCGACGGGACTCTTGCTGCCCTGGTACGCCGTGTAGCCGGGCGCGTAGGCGGCCAACAGGCTGGTGACAGTGTTGATGATCTTGCCGCCGTTGCGCACGCGTCTGGCCGCCTCCTGGGAGATGAAGAAGGCCGACTTGGAGTTGACGGCGAACATGGTGTCGTATTCTTGTTCGGAGATTTCCGTCAGGGGTTTCTTCAACACCATGCCGACCGTGTTGATGACGATGTCGAGAGAAGCAAAGTCGGCGGCGACGGCGTCGAACAATTTCCCCACGCCGCCCGCGCTGGTCAGGTCGCCCTGGTAGAGCTTCACTTTGATGTCGCCGTGCTTGGAGGCCAGCCCGGCCGCCAGCGTCTCGGCGGATTGCCGGGATGAGGCCGAGTTGTAGTGCAGCGCGAGGTGGGATCCCTCGGCGGCGAAGAGCGTCGCAATCAGGGCGCCCAAGTTCTTGCCGCCGCCCGTGATGAGCGTCGTCTTCCCGGAGAGAGACATGGTAGCTTGGTTGGACAGAGATGAAAGGACTCAAGAGGTGACAGGTTCCTGTGAGAGAGGTCACAGTAACAGTATTTTTGACCTTCCATCTCCAGCCAGAGGACGCATCCTTTATATCTTTCTTTTTATTCGTCTTTCTTTTTGTTCATCTCTCTTTACGTCAAAGACATCAGGCCGGTGGACGAGATCCAGCTCCCCATCTCCGTCGAGACTCTAGGAAGGAGTACATGGTTTCGTGTATCGAGATATCTTTCTCCACAGACAAGGCTAAACCGATGAGAGAAGCCTGTATGAGCCTGTGTTCGCTACGGTTCGCCATATCCGGATGCTGCAGGTGGTCGTGGTGGGGGGGGCGGGGGGGGCGGCACTGGTGGGCGACTTGCATAAACCCAATACGTACTAGTAAGGGATCCCCTTGACATAAAATATACCTAACGTACCTACAAGGGCGTCCAAACCCTCCTCTTCCTCATCGGCATCCTTGTCTATCCTCGAAGCTTGTTCACGCCATTATGGTGGGTTGGCTTCTCCTCGGCGACGCTCATTTGGACTGGAGGGAGGGCTTTGTGGGGAGCGGATGGATGCGAGCCGGCGGAACTAATAGAACTGTTTTGAGAGTATTTTGTCCTGGACATTACGGAGTCGTTTACAACGCTATACGACGCTAAAAAACTAGTTCCCGGGTCTAAAAAACATGGATATTACGGCTCAGCACGTGATGTAAAATAATAGTATCTTATTAGCTAAGAAGGCCTACTCCACAATATCCCGGACAAAACTCGAAAAATGTCCTAGAAATTCTCGAGTTCGCTAGAGGTTTTGTCCTGGACAAAGCGGGGCCTGATTACTTAATTAGCCCCTACCTAGCGCTACTTAGCGCCCCTCTATGTCCTGGACAAAATCTGGCTTCAAAATAGTTCTAATGTCTGAGGGTCTGTCTACCATGTTGAATAAGATTATGGATTGTGGTTTCTATGTCAGCTCCATTAGGGAACGCGGTGTGTCGGGCAGGGCAGCCGTGTGGATCCCTCGCCGCTTTAACTGGGCCTATATCTTGAGCCTGCGTCCGGCAGCCGGGCTGGTCGTCGTCTTTTCCTCTCGTTTTCTTGCTATTACACGACGCGGTATCAATGTCAAACGGGGCTCGAGTTTGTTCTCCTTTCTCCTGCGTCTCCTTCCTAGAGCCCGCCCGGTCATCTAATGGCAACAATCTCGCAAACATGCCGTCACGCCGATCTATGTGGACTGAGAACTTCCTGACGCCGGTGACAAGGACAGCTTCCCGTTACAGCCAGCCCGCTGACCTATCCTTAAATCCCCAAAATACTGGCGCCTACCGCTGCTCAGTACGCGAAATCTGAAAATAAAAGGAGTATACCTGCCCAGCTGACCGTCTGCAGGCGGCAATCGACAAAAGACCCATGCATGACGATAGCTTGGCTAAGGAGTCGAGCTTCCCTTCTAGATCCTGAAAAGCTTTACGGGTCCCTGCCACCATCTCGTGTCTGTGCCAGCTTGTGCATGAGTACCGCTCCCGCCTGGAGCTCAGGCCGCCCGCAGCGAGATTGCCTCAGCCATTGGCACTGCCTCATGTGTTTGATGGATTTGCTGTAGGGATTCAATTCTCTGCATTATACAGCCTATCAAAGGCTTTTGGCAGGGTCATCGAGAGGGACGCGCGTTTCTTGTGTAACAGCGGCAACTCCGCCCCAGACCTGCCTGCCGTCAAAAGCGAGCGAATGATTACATGCGAAATGCAGGCCAACCGAGGCTCTGGATACGATGACTTGCTTTCCATCCGAGCACATGGCTTCAAAAGTAATGATTCTCCCCCTTCTACAGCCTCCTCTATACCGGTCGCAAACACATAGATCGCAGCGATGGAACAAACAGCAGCAGATCTGAACAACGAGCCTGTGCTCGACCCGACTATCGTTTCAATCAGTAACCATGGCCAAACACCACGCCGGAGGCCAGTCCCAGCCAGAATCAGTGCTTGGGATCCAGCCTTAGGAAAGCCCGAGAAGAAACCTCTTTTCGCGGTCAGTGATCTAGCGGCCGTCGCATTCTCTTTGATTTCCTACCTTCTTGGGGTTGTTACCATTATACCTGATTGGAGTATTTCATGGTCTCTGCAATATTCGGGTCAAATCGTTGTCATTGGTTTGATCCTAGGCATCATGGGTCAATGCATGTAAGACTTCCATGAAGCTGTCCTTGACTCCATTGAATTGCAGCTTATCCCGATACAGACCTTGTAGGCTAACGCTACTCCAGGCGTACAGTCCTTCCATATGCCTTTGTCCTCTTGGAAGCCCGCTTTGGCAAATCAAGGTTACAAAACTACGAAGCACTATTGACAGGCAGGGCGTTTTTGTCCACGACCAGCCTAGGGTGGAGACTCGCATTGATCATTGTCGTTGCCATCCCTTTAGGACTCTCGGCGGCATACAAACGATTCTTAGGGGGCACCAGTAGCGCAGAGGTCAGCGTGAGTCTTCTGAGACCTGAGTTTGGGGTCTCTTTCCCGCGGCTTGGAACCTGGGCACCGCCTGCTGACTCTGTCTATTTGTCCATCTCATCGATGAGCGCCTTTCTCACCGCCGCTCAATATGACCCTCAGCCTTACCCTACGGAGGACAAATTTCCAGTGGCATATGGATATAACACACTGCTACTCAGCAACACATCCGCAGCTATCCTGGACGTTCCTATCACTACCACCTTGCTCGATCTACAGAAACGAACGCATAATGGTGAAGTTTGGCACATTAGTGCAACGGTCAACGCCTACCTGGCAGTCCAAGATCTGTCGAGTGATTTCCGGACCAACGACACGACTTGGAGTGATTTTGTAGAAGGTTCAATCGACCACAACGGTATAGTAACGGGCGGTCTCCGCACGATTTATCTCTACGCTGGCCTGCGCGATCGCCTGGGCATGCTGCCGTGTCGCAACAACTCGGAATTTTTCTACGGCATCTACACCAAGTCATCTGATTGGGGTGGCATGACATCTTACCACGACTTGGATGATGAAGACATTGCGCGTTTCAGGCGGACAGCGAACAAGTATAGCTTGAGCCGAACCACATGCTCAGCCCGTTGGCATGTGAATGAAACAATGATTATTCTTGTCAGTGGCGAGTGCGATCCGAATCCCATTGCCGACTCTTCGATTCTATCTGGATCGAACATGGGAGTTATAGACTACGACGCGCTGCCTTTTGGGCAACATTATTTTCACCATATGGCACCAAACACTGGATCGACGCAGATGGACTGGTTGAACGCCACATATGTTATGTCGGTGGCTACGATGTACTGGGCGAGAGCATTATACATGCTTGATGATGGCCAGAGCTTTAAGGACTCGCACTATGCTGGAACCTACACTCCTACGACGCCAAATTTGTCTCGATTCGGCCTACGCTGAATGCAAAAAGGTATAATGGACTTCTGTACCTCGTCCTTGCCGTCGAACCAGCCATCACACTTGCTGCCCTAGCTGTGACGGTCTGGCTGCATAGGGTGCCTTTGGGAAAGGGATTCGGAATCACGGCCGTTCTCTCAGGCTATGAGCCTGACAAATCCGAGTCCATTGCAGGTGCCGGATTGTCGGGGAAGCTCAGGACTCCGGTCACTTTGCACGTATACCCGACGGTGCCAGAGCAGCACGATATATCGCCAGAGGTCGGCTCAGATGAGATCGCGCATATCAAGTATCGGCTTTCCGGCGAGAGCAAGGCAAGAGAAAGGGCCAGGCTGCAGAAAGGCCAGGTATATTGGTAAGATTGATGTGGGACTTTGAGATATGACTTTGATAGGGAGGGATAGTGGATACCACGAATTAATAGCATTTCCGGGACATTGGTTGCAGACGACCAATATATTAGTATCGCTGATGGAAGAGACTCGGTCTTATACCGCTGGATTCCCCTAGATAGCCATCCCATAATCTGTCACCCACACACCGTCTGCCAGCGTGGTCATCGAGAGCGATATACCGTACTACCCTCTCGTCAAATTGTCACTGTGCCCGTGGCATTGCATACTGTCATCGGCCCAAGATTGTCGCAAGCGAAGAATTCATTTCTTCCATGTGCCGCAACACGTGGGAACATGCTGATCACTGATGGATTCCAGAGCTCTACAGAATTCGGCGCGGGATGCATGCGGATCATGCCTGGAATTTGCCCCAAGTAATCACCATGCCAGCCTCGAGCTGTCTCGCATGGCACAACGCTGCTCGAAGACGCCTTCAGCACTGCTAACTGAACGAGATATACCACTGTCCGAGTCCACCATCAATAACTAGGCTCTTCATCACCAGGAGAGAGACCTCTGCATCCTGACCAACGCCGCAAATGCATCGAGGTATCCATCATGTTCACGGGCTATCCTGCCTGATCGAAGACCCTTCTTCCCCTTTTTCACCAACGCCTTTTCAATTATGCCGGGGGCCAATTCAACTTTGTTCGCTCGCTGAGCGATGCCGATCTCTTGATGTTGTCCTCAGCGTTGACAACTTTCTCACAGAATTTCCAAACCTCGCTGGTCCTCTGTGCCTCTGTGCCTCTGGGTGGTCTTAACAGAACAGATTGATTAAATCATCCACAGCGTCTTCAAACTTCGCCAACGAAGCGACTCGGGTTGGGCAGAAGAAAAGGCTCCAACCTTGGAAATGACGAGTCCGTCAGGTGCAAATGGGTGTTGAGAAGGAATGCCGAATTCGTATCGATGAAAATGAGGAGCCTCGCCAGAAACCCTCCCAGACCAAGGGCGTCCAGACCTCCCCTCACTCTCAGCATGTCCTCGACTCCTTTCATGTGCGAATGATATGCATCCTCGTCGCCGAAAACCGCCTCATAACTCGCCATCTTTGCGGTTGCAGCAATCAGTTCATCTCGAACCACCATGCCCTGTGAAGCCGATGACAGACTCTCTGCTATTCCCCGGAGAGCGTATTGTTTGAGCGAAAGAATGGTCTCGGGAAATGCCATGTCTTGCCGCTGTGAGGCATAATGAGACGCAGAGAACAGGACAATGACTTGGAAGACAATTGGGGAGTTCAGAACCATGGGAAACCATCGAGTCCGAAGCAAGGCGGTTTGACCTTCTCCTTCTCCATCAATCTCAGGGATGGCCACGGCGAGGTGTTGAAGATCTGCACTGGTCAGTTAAAACTTGATCATCGTGACTCTGTATTGGATTGTAGTCCGGATGTCCCACTGCACTTACAATTATGCAGCACCGCGGAAACGAAAGGTTGATGATAGACCGCACTCCTCGAAGCCGGGATCATTCCCGTCCCCGAAAGCGAAGTCAACAGACTCCTGCTGGACTCGAGACTCAGACCTGCTGCTTGTTGCTCGCCGCGTCCAATTTGGACAGTCCAACTCGGATATTTTCGTCGCCGTTTCTTCTTGCCCGCCGCGTTTGCGTTTGATGAGGACGACAATCCATCGTCTGCCGCAGATACGTCCTTGAGGGAAGCGGCCTTAGCTGCATGCGACCTAACTTGCCGACGAACCTCCAATGCTTGAGCCTTCTCTACCGGTGCTGCATCAATGAAGGTGAGGATTGGGCGGCCCATCCCGTCGGGTGCACATGCATCCAATGCGTATGAGAGGAGGCACCGATTATCACACAATCACACAATCACACAGGGTCTGTTGTTGGCCTCCCCCGGGCTCAGATGTTGTCATTGGCATCTGAAGTTGATTCTGCTAAATTACTTGCAGACTCAGAGGTCAGAACACCTCTCAATAAGGTTCCGACATGGGCGCGCGAGGGTGAGTGAGGGTGGGTGAGGGTGAGTAGGAAGGTGGGTGTAGAGGTGAGAGAGGGTGGGGTGCAGAGGTGAGTCGCGAGCAGGAGGGTCTAAAGCAGCACGCTTAGAGGTTAGTCACACGTGAGCTCGGGGCAGATTTTAGTACATACATGTTATCTTAACGTTCAGGTTGTCTTTAGGTGCCAAGATTTCCCGCCCCGCAGAAATTTTTGGGCGTCCCAGTATGTTACTGCACAGGACAGAGGGCCTCACTACTCAGTTATTGATCGATCTTGCTTTGTGAAAAGATCCAGCCAAGTCTGCAAGAGTCCTTCAACCGGCTTATTTGATCTCAAAAATTCTTGATGCACCGTCCTCATCGCGCCACGTAATTCCTTCTCCCTGGTGCGGGCGATCAGCATTCTGCGCTCGTCTCAAACGCTATTCCCCAAATTTCGAGCAAACTACTACTCTACTTCTCCGCCATTGTGAACGTCCATCAAGCGAAAGTTTTCCCGGTCAAGATGTCTGTCGAAGAAGCGGTCACGGACGCGCTGCAGACTCCGGTCGATCAAAATGCCCAGGCAGCGGAGGATGCGAAAAAGATGCTAGCCGAGCTGCAAGGCGAGTCAGAGTCTAAAGAGGAGTCAACCGAAACAAATGGTGCGGAGGCATCGAGTGGGACTACAGCGGAACCTGCCGATGCGGTCTCAGAAGAGGTGAAGGGTGAATCTGGAACAGAGACTACTGTCGAAAAGAGAGAGGATTCCAACGAGAAGCAGGAGCGTCGAGATCGGTCTGAGCATAGCGGTCGGGGTCGTGGTCGGGGCGGTCAGAATGGCCATGGGTCTCGCAACTACCGGGACAACATCAAGTCAGACCTCGTGTCACAGGAAACCAGCAGTGATCCGGTGGCTATTCGCAAACAGGTACACACCAATCTGGTACGATGGAGGATGATTGAGCGTTGAACTAACTGCCCCTCCTAGGTTGAATTCTACTTCTCCGACTCAAACCTCCCACACGACAAGTTTCTTCTCGGAAAAGTTGGCGGAAGCCGGAACAATCCTGTAGAACTCAAGATCATTCACTCTTTCAAACGTATGCGACACTTCCAGCCATTCGAGGCCATTGTCGAGGCGATGCGAGAGTCCAAGTTCCTCGAACTCACAGATGACGAGACATCTGTTCGCCGACGAGAGCCACTTCCCGAGAGCCTCAACGACGGGCCTGACCCCAATGCAGTGCGAATCTTCGAGGACCGTGCCATGCCACGGACTGTCTACGCCAAAGGATTCGGCGAGGAAGTCCCCAGCACGCAGTTCGATATCGAGGCTTTCTTTGCTCCATATGGCCCGACAAATGCTGTGCGGCTCCGACGCACTGATGACAAGATCTTCAAAGGCAGCGTCTTCGTCGAGTTTGAAACCGAAGAACTGGCCAAGGCATTTCTCGATCTCGACCCGAAGCCCCAGTTCAAAGGCAAGGACCTGCAGATCATGAGCAAGAAGGAGTACTGTGATAAAAAGGTGGACGACATCAAAGCGGGCAAGATCCGACCTAATAACAGACACGAGAAGAACCGCAGAAATGACCGTGGTGGTCGAGATGGCCGCGGTGGTCGGGACGGAAAGCGAAAGCGCGATGACGACGACAGCCGAGACTGGAGAACGCGCCGAGACGAAGATCGAAAGCATGGATTCAGAGATGACAAGAAACGTGGCAACAGAGATCGTGACTTCAAGGGTGGCCGGGGTAGCAGAAACAATGGCCCCGAGATGGACGACAGGTGAGTGCCAGTTTGAAATGATTCTAAAAGCAAGGCAAACAAGGCTAACCCAATCATAGAGGCATCCCCACTGTCAAATCATCGTCGCAGGAGTCTCCGAAGCCAAAACATGACGGCGGACGAGATGAGGCACTCGCGAAAGCAAAGGCTGCGGTCGAGGCCGAGACAAAGAAAGATGGGGATAGGCAACAAGCGGCAGACAACGTTGAGAACACGGAACAGAGCGGCGCCGCCGATGCCTCGAGCAAGACCGCCAATACTGTTGCCGAAAGTGTCCAAGCTGATGCAGCTGCCACTACGGGAACGAAGCGCGCGAGAGAGGATGACGACGGCGAGGCTGACGCTGGACGGGAGTCCAAGAAAGTGGATTCCAAGTCTGAATCATAGTCTGGACTGTCCGGTGTGTACCCAGTCCCTGGACCAGAGTGGCGGAACAGTCGCAGCAATCATGGCTGCCGGAAAACCATGGACAGACTGGTGTCAATCGTGGCTGCATCATCATTGTGCCCGCTCGTTGCATTGTTCCTGGCGTTTGGACGAACAGGCATGAATGCCTACTATTGCAGCTGGTGTGGTATCATTAAGGACACAAGCGTGCTCTGTCAGTAATCTCATGGTGAAGATGTTTTAGAGATCATGGATAAAATCATATTACCCTGCGTTTGATGTGCAATTCGAGTGAACCCTCTTGTCGTCTGGTAGGCGGCATGGCACGTTGTTTGAGATATACCTCTAGAGTGCGTTCTTCCACAGCGCAGCGACTAAATCTGCCAGCCAGTGTTTGTCATATTGGCGTAGAGTTTGAATTTGCTTCCTCTCACTTCTCTTGCACAGACAGTTCTTTATGCCATCCAGATTGTTCACCAAAGAAAGACGATTGTTCACAGCATGAACCATGGCCCCTGAAGGCGTTCACGTGACTGCACCCTCCGGCGACCGGGGCGTGCCAAGCCCGGCCAGTTTCTCCGGTTCCGAGTCGCTGGACTTGAACTTCGAGATCGAACTTGACGAGACTCAGACTCCGGCCCAGGTTCAGGCTCAGAGTCCTCGAGTTCAACAACTGCCCCTCACTCCTGCAAGCGAACCTGTCAACCACCTGCCCGAGAAACCCTTGAATAATCTGTGCGGATGTGGTGGCATCGAGCCTCACAGTCATCAACTCACGATGAACGGGGTCGGCAGCGGTGAGACGGCGCGGCGGCAGGGTCGACTACCGAACTTTGTCCAGGTCGCCAAAGGTTACGTTTTCGAGCAGGAGATCCAGGATTGTCTACGTGAGACTGGTGTCACGCAGGCCCGAGAAGATAGTATCAGACTGGCCGGTGTGCAGTGGATCGACAATGTCAGACGAGCATTGAAATTGTGAGGCTTTCTACCCAGTTGCTTGAACTACCAGCGAGGCAATTATGTTATCAACTTGTTGTTGCGGGTTATCAAACGTCAAGATCTTGCTGCTGACGACCTGATGCAGGCCCGTCAAGACATTCAACACAGCAGTCGTCTATTACCACAAGTTTCGCTTGCAACACTCCGATGGCGAGTACAGTTTCGTGGTGAGTGCGGGGCGGCTTCACTTTGGCAAACGCGCATACTGACACGTTGATGTACAGGACGCAGCAGCCGCGGCGTTATTCACGGCCTGCAAGATCGAAGACACGCTCAAGAAATCGCGGGATATTCTCTGCGCGGCGCATAATCTCAAAGTCCCACGCCCAGAGCATCTGTCTCCCGACGATCAGGTACGCATCACGAATGCCTCCCAATTCTCTGACAAGGTAGCGCTATGGGGACGCTGACAGCTCATATTATCTATTAGGTCTTCGAACATCAATCACGTACCATCATCGGTCTTGAACGACTCATGCTCGAAGCGTCAGGCTTCGACTTCCGCAACCGCCACCCGCAGGAATTCCTGATCAAGCTGGCCAAGTACTACGATTTTCAAAAGTCCTCTCCCGTGGTCAAGACAGCCTATGTCATGAGTCTGGACTTGTACCGCACCTTCGCGCCGCTCAAGCAGCAGACGGCAACCATGGCGTTCGCCTGCCTCGAGCTCGCCGGACGCCTTCTGGGCGAAGAAAATCAAGACATCTGGCAGGGTAGAGACTATGCGACCTGGAAGATTGATCGCGGGATGGTCATGGAAACCCTGCTTGACCTACTCGAACTGTATACGCACCACCGCACCTCGACAACCGTCGGGCCCGATTTCCCCGTCGACACGTTTCTCGAGGTCCGCATTCCTCTGAATCTCGAGTCCGAAGAGAAACATCTGCCACGGTACACAGAGTGGGTTGACAGACCTGGCGACGCGCCTTACAGAGGCTACGGCCCGGCCGGTGGACTCAACGGCAATGCAAAAGCGAATGGGTCGCATTCTCGCTCGTCCAGCAAGAACGTCAGTCCGAAAGACGCCATCACCAGTCCCAGCACCAATAGCAGCTCCGGAGTCGCCAGCGCGAGTACCGCTGCAACTAGTATTCCGGGCGGGATTGCCGCAGTGAGACAGCGTGTAGGGGACCGTGGCCGTGAGGGGACGGTCCGCTTCATTCTCAACCCGGATAGAGAGCGGGATGAGCGGGCGATTGTCGAATTGTTCCGCAGACCGTGAGTGGGCTTTGCGCTCGCGCACGACTGACCATCTTCCTCTCAATTCAATTCGCAACGCTATCCTCCCTGCCCCTTTCGGCAGAGGTTGAGTGGATTAACTGATTACGGCGCCCCTGTCACCCTCAAGAAACATACCGCACAATGTAATATTCGCGGAACAGAACGTGCCCTCACTGATCTGTTGTGACCGGAGATGGACCAGGAGCTGGATCGAGCTGTCTTATGCAAAGAATGGATCAAGATGTCAGGGGTCGTGGATACCAAAAGACGACGGAAAGGGTGGACTTTGATCGGGCTTTACTGTATGTACCTATTGTATGAGTGTCACATAGGGGCAGGGCCGTGGTAAGGCAAGGCATGGCATGGCATGGCGCAACACGGCTCAAGGATGGACTGACTCGGGCATTTCCATGGCGTGAACAGAGAAATGTCGGAGCAATGGAGTTGGGGACATGGAATTGTTTGTACTCCAGCCCTCTTGCGGCGCTGCATGATAAAATGGTTGATTCCTGCTACTGAGAACCGGAGCCTGAGTATCATACTGCGCGGACAACTGCTATGTGTCATCTGCGTAATCGTAGTCCTAAGCTGAGGGAAGTATGCTCCCTGAATGCATGTGCTGCGCAGACCTCTCGAGCCAAACAATAATCCACTCACAGGCCAGTCCAGTGTTGGCGACCTGCAAACCTGTTGCCAACTGCGCCATCGCACAGTCGTCCAACCCCAACCCTTTTTATACGATCTAGAGACGAAAGAGAAGAAGGAGTATCTTCACACTCCTTATAAACTCGCCAGCATGGCGGAAAGTTCGCCCTTGGAGTACTTCACAACCTTCCCCTTCCCCTTATCGACCTCGTGATAGCGATCCCAGAATCTGGCGTACAAAGGCTCGATCATGGCCTGGATCTCACGACTCATAGAGCTCCGGACTTCATTCTCCATGTGCAGGGATTTATGCCTGACGACCAACTCGTCGAAACTGGCATTGAACAGCTTGAACTTCTCCTTGATTTTGTCCTTGTCTTTGGACGACAGCGACTTGATGATGCTCGTACTATCGATCGCTTGGCCGGACAGCGGCCGCGCCGCCCCCGTCGTGTGGATAGTATCCAGTAGATACGTCGACGGATCACGCCATGCGGACAAGTACAGCGACGAACCGGATTTGCGGAAGGCGTCGAGCTTCGCATTGTGCGGATTGATCCCCAAGTAGCGGGCGAGGTCGGGCGACGACTGCACGGCGCGAGTGAGCACGGCCACATTGTTCAGCTGGAAGATGCCCTGGAGGGATTTCTTGGAGTGTAGCATTTGCGAACGGGCATTGAGGGCGCCGAGAAGCGTGTCGACAATGTCGAGAAGATAGTGAGATAGCAGGGTCGGGTTTTCGGTCGAGGGGGTCAATTCGAGATTGAGGCTCGAATTGGACGACATGCCGGCGCCGGCGGTGTTTGCGGAGCGCCATTTACCGTCCCCAATCGACGCCAACAGGACGAGCAGCGGCCGGTCGAACGTGGCGAGGTTCTGCAGACGTTGCGCGGTCTGCGCGACCAGCGGGATCGTGCTGCCGTTCGGCGGGAGCGTCGTGATCGAGTCTGCCTGTTTCTTGGTCTGGACGATCAATTCGCCGAGCGAGGCGCGGGCGGTGTCGCGAACGGGCCGAAGCGCATCGACGATTTGAGGTCGCAGTTGCCCGGTGCGGGATTCTAGGCGGTAGCCCAGAGGGGTGATCAGGTCGAGGATCTCGTACGCGAGGAAACAGTCGGTCAGGATGCGCGACTTGATCACACTGTTCAGTTCGGAGAGGGTGCGTGTGAATGTGGCCAGCGCTTTGGCACAGGTCATGGACAACACTTTGCCCGCGTCGCCGCGGAAGATCCGGGATGTGTTTTCGGATTCTGCGAGAAACATGGCTTCCACTGCGTTGGCGTAGGCGCCAATGCCGCTGGAGCCTTCGCGGTAGATGGCCGAGTCCTTTTCTCGGCGTCTCGACGTGCTTATCGACGCAGTGGCGAGATTCTGCAGGCTGCTATGCAGATAGTCGCCTCGTACTTCGGCGTAGATGCGCGCTGCGGCGTCATCGTCACGCTGGCCCAGTCGCGCGGACTGGGCGCCGGCCGAGGCGATCGCATTGGCCATCTGGCTGAGATACTGCACTTTGTCTTGTGCTATTGTTGGGAACGGGATCTGTTTGGTGATGTAATGCAGAGGCTCGATGGGCTGGGCATCTTCCTGTAGCATTTGCCGGTATGTATCGTTGAGCTGGTTGATTCCCGTTAAGAGGAGGTTGTGGAACTCAGATATGGCTGCTTGGTTGGCTCGCAGGTTGGTCGAGCCTAGATCCGTCAGAGCCTTGTCGACGCGTCTCAGCGCCCCGAGGTATTGCGGCAGTCCAGAGCTCTTCGGGCCTGCCCGAATGATCCCTTCTTCGCGGCCGCGCGCGTCGAGCGGCTGCCGCAGTCGTTCGATGGCTTCATTGACCTTTTCGATGTTTCGACTCGTGGTCTCCAATTGCTGCGTGTTGCTGTAGATCGGGCCGATCGCTTCTTTGACGATCTGGCCGCTGACTTCTAACCGCACCAGACTGGCGGCGATTCGCTTCGTCAGGTCCTTGGTCTTGGCCAGCGACGCTATCAGCACTTCCACCTCTGCACTTTCTTCCGCAAACGCTGCGTTACGAGGGGCTGCCATGCTGGCCGTCGTTGACGTCGGCGAGTGAGTTGCTCCACCTGCCTGGCGGCATCCACCGAGCTTGGGTCAGACTCTGTGCTGATGCTTGAGGGTACACTGCTAGACGGTCACGACTCTGCTCTCAGGATCATGTATCAAAAGGCTGGTATGACGAAGGATGTTACATGTACTATAGTGTGCATGATTGTATGGTGGAGCGGGTGAATGGAATGGATTGATGAAGGTGGTCGTCCCGAGATCGGGAATCAGATGTCGGTGGATGCTACAATAGAGACAGTTGGCAGATGATTTCCTTTTTAGCACACTTCATCATTAGAGTTAAATGGCAAGGAGACCGTAGCTGTTACTTTTGGCCTAGTTCAGGAACGCAGCGGATGCCATTCCCGTACATTAGCATCTTGGTATCTTGGTAACGTCATCATCACTACCGCGTCTCAACAAAATCTTGGATGCTGAACGCATCGAAGCAATCAACTTGAAGTCAACGCAGTTGACTTTTACTCGTCAAACCTTACCTTCCAGAGCATGGAATTCGATATCTGTTGACAGCCTCTCTTCGCAGCGCTTAGGTCGCTATGAGCGCTGCAAGACTACTCAACTCCTCTCGCCTGCGCCAGACGGCTTTTGTGGCAGCCGCTTGCGCCGGCGTCCATAGCTACACGCGAAGAAGTCCTCTGGTCAAGCTCGACAGTCCGCCGGGCTCTCACGTTCCTCAAGATGCCTCTCTCATATCCTACGGTCGCCGCCTGCAGAGCAACCTTGTCCAGGCTGAAGATCACAAGTCCGGGCCATCCCGCGTCGGTCTAGAACCCATTGCCGAACCCAAGGATGCCGAACACTCCACGCCGGCTTCAGACCCGGAGGAAGAAACGTCATGGGCGTCATTCTTAAATAACTTTGCGGCTGTCAGAGATGGTATTGCGGCAATAGAATGGGGCGCCATTCCGGACAAGATCACCGACTTTGTCTTACCTAGCTGGGCAAGACTGTTGCCTGAGGGGATCCAGAAGTTACAGTTCGAGCTGTCCATGCAGCCAGGCACTCTGGCCGACGAGATATGGCAAGAAGCCAACGACCCAAACATCAATCCAGAAATATTGTGGAACGCCACTGTCCGCGTGGGAGACACTCTGGGCAGAGACGAGCTTGAGTTCCGTCGCAAGAGAAAGGAACGTGTCACCAAGGCATTGGCAAGATATCTTGAAGTGGACGAGGGGGAGATACATCCGGACGATGTACCCACCATCGCCATGTGCGGGAGTGGTGGTGGGCTGCGAGCGATGGTCGCCGGGTCCAGCAGTTATTTGTGCACGCAAGATGCCGGCCTCTTTGATTGCGTCACCTACATGGCTGGAGTGAGTGGCAGTTGCTGGCTCCAGTCCCTGTTCTTCTCTTCCCTCGGCAAACAGGATTTCCGTTGTCTGTTAAAGCACTTGAAGGGTCGCCTGGGCACGCATATTGCTTTTCCTCCAGCGGCGTTAAAACTGGTCACCAGCGCGCCGACCAACAAGTTCATCCTGAGTGGCTTCATTGAGAAATTGAAGGGAGACCCCGGCGCGTCGTTCGGCTTGGTCGATATCTACAGTCTTCTGCTCGCTGCCCGGCTTCTCGTGCCTCATGGTGACTTGGATGTTCACGACCAGGATTTGAAATTGTCGAACCAACGGAACTACCTCGAGAATGGTGAATATCCCATGCCAATCTACACTGCGGTAAGACATGAGATTCCGGTTGATGAAGAGGAGGTGGAGGAAGCAAAAGACAATCTGGCCCTAAAACAGGAGATCAAGGATAAGGCGCGAAAAGAAGCATGGTTTCAATGGTTTGAAATGCATCCTTGGGAAGTATGGTGTGAAGAGTTTGGCGCGGGGATCCCGACGTGGAGCTTGGGCAGACCGTTCGACAAAGGTCACGGCCAGCTGCTCGATACTGGGGTTGCCTTGCCAGAAATCCGGCAAAGTCTTCTACTCGGCATTTGGGGCTCGGCTTTCTGTGCCACTCTGTCTCACTATTACAAGGAGATCAAACCGGCATTGCTTGGAATTGTGGGTTTCGCGGGATTAGATGGCCTTGTGGAGGAAAAGAACGAGGACCTGATGAAGATCCATCCTATCGACCCAGCGACTATTCCCAACTTTGTTCACGGCATGAAGGGTCAACTACCCTCCACATGTCCGGACTCCGTGTTCAAAACTGATCATCTTCAGCTCATGGACGCTGGAATGAGCAACAACCTACCGATATATCCGCTCTTACGGCCCGGTCGTGATGTTGAAATTCTCATCGCGTTCGACGCATCTGCAGACATCCAGAAGGAGAATTGGCTTTCCGTTGTCGACGGCTATGCCAAACAACGTGGGATCAAGGGCTGGCCAATTGGTGCCGGGTGGCAACAGGCGTCGTCTGAACCGCAGGATACTGCCCTAGCATTGGATGAAGCGCAAGCAACATCGCCGCAGGAGGCAGCCATTAAGGTCGCTGAAGCGCGAGAGGAGAATCGAGAGGAGAAAACATCGAAACCAAAAGATGTCGGCATCTCAAAAAGCCCGACCACAGGACAACGTCCTGATGCAGAATCGGTGCTAGGTCCATGCAATGTTTGGGTTGGAATGAAGAGTGAACGGTCAAGTGACGATGAACCTCCACCGTCCAAACGCCTCGCATGGGACGATCCGGAAGACTCGACATTCCACCTCACGAATCCCGAAGCTGGTATTGCAGTCATATATTTCCCCCTCATCCCCAACCCGAAAGTCGAAGGAGTTGACCCTGACAAGACCGATTATATGTCTACTTGGAACTTTGTCTATACCCCGGAGCAGATCGACAGTGTTGTGGCGCTGGCAAAAGCGAATTTCGAAGAAGGCGCCGAGGTCACCAAACGGACGGTCCGCGCCGTGTACGAGCGGAAGAAGAAGCTAAGACTGGAGCGCGAGGCCAAGGCCAGACAGAAGGAATGGAAAGTCAAATTGAGGGAAAATGGGGACCATTTTGGTGGAAACTAGGGAGACGAAGCTATTTGCGACAGGTCCTATTTTCTCCGTTAGGCTTCAAAGGCCTCTGAGGCCGACCACGAGTAATCGAACACGCAAGTTATCGCTACGACCGAGCCATGTGAATGTTGCCCTGGAAACATCCCACTTGGTCGTCGGTCCAGAAGGATGACCGATCATGAGGAGACCATACGCTATTAAGCGTGAGGACGATCAGACTACTCTCCTCGACTTCATGCAACGCGGGACATGAATGATTAACAAGCCATTGCAATACATACAAATGACTAACTAATATTACACGTACCATCTTGGACGAATACTCCTACTCTCAAACGCCAATAACCGGCCTCCCAAAACCACGTCAAGGTCGAGTCTGCTTGTTTCAATCCCAGTACTTCTTCAACAACTCTTCCTCAACCCCAGTCCACCTAGCATACCAGGCCAATATCTTGACGAAATAATTGGTCATTCCGCCCGCGAGACCTGGAAACCTCATATCTCCCAGATTCGCAACCACAGCAGTGTGCAACAAACTGGATGGCAAGCCCGTCTTGGGATCGCCGAGGCCATCATTGTTCAACCCGTACAAGATGTACAGGCTCTGCTCGAACCCGGCGTGGGCCGGCAGCACCCAGCCCCTGAACTTGACTTCTTTGTCCGACTCATTGAAGAAGCGATGCTTGGCTCCAATCGGTACGTCGACCGCCTCGCCGGGCTTGACGACAATGTGGGTTTGTTTGGCCCCGTCGCCCAGCATCACACTCAGGTCTCCGTCGATGGGTTGGAATCGTTCGGCGTATGTCGTGTGATAATGCAGAGGGGGTCCACCGCCGGGAAGGCAGCTTGCTGTGGCCACGGCTTCGGCGCCGTTGGTTTCATAGCCGTATTTGTCCCAGGTGACGATCTCACCGAAGCGTTTGTTGCATATGGTGCGTCGCGCGCTGTCGAGGACACCAGGTGGGACTCTTCGATCTCGTTTGAGCATGGTGTTGCCGGTGGATGTGGACGTTTTGCGTTCCATTCCGTTTGGTTTCCCTCTTTTTTAGAGACAACGGGGATTTGTTATGGTTGAAGACGAGACTTCGGATGTAACTTGTCTCTCTTGCGAGTGGGTGGGCGAGTAGTTTCAAATTCAATGATTCAAAGCGTCTGCGACAAAGTATCCAGTGTGTCCTGCTTCTCGACTCGGTCTTCTCTTACTATATATACGCTTCATGAACAGGCATCGATCCGGCTGTTGATACCACTTCGGACACTCCGTAAGATCTTGCACCTGATACGAGATATAGTCTTGTCTTTGCTATTATTGTCTTGCCGAGCCTCTGCTGGCTGATTGACATCTTCAGGCTATCCCTCCCCATGGTTGGTATGACTGTGTACCATATAACATCTAAACCCCCAAGACCACGAAGATTGCATGTCATATCATGTCCAAGACGCTTGCAGCTTGGTTCTGTGTCATCCGTAAGCCCAAGCCCAAGAGTTATCGGGGTTTGGCAAAACCACTCTCAAGGCAGGGTATCGATCCAACCGAGTCCCAGTGTAGCAGTGCCACTCCTGGCGTTGGCTATCTAAGTATCTTTGCAGGATATACTTTTGTTCCAAGGACCAGAAGGGCATCAGCTCGTGGCAGACACCAAGACGAGGACTATCCGCTTTGGGCTCCCGCGTTGTCCTCCCCTATTTGGGGGCTATGCTTGATTTGCAAACAGCAACCGTAACCATAACGGTTGGTGGGTGCAAGTGGTTCGGTTTGGTTTGATTGAAGTAGGTATGCCGCAGCAGGCAATGCTCGGTTCGAAATGATGAAACTCCTGTTGACCCGGTCGGTGCCTGAGGCTAGTATGACTGCTAGGAAGTTTCTCCGGGCGTGCTGACACCCCCATGTGGCGACATTCTAGACGACAAAAACATCAGGGGTGGAAGATTGGCTGATGTGAGATGTGGAATGGACAGACAGGCTGAACTCGATGGCAGTGGCAGTGCATTTTCTGGGCGATGATTTCGATGCAGACATACTGGATATTCAGGTACAGTACCTGTGGCGGTGTAAGTACTATGTGTAGGTAGTTGAGGTGGTACTGGTAGGTCAGTGCAATGTACTTCTGTATGAGGCCAAGATGTACATAATCCGAATGAGGAAGGGCGTTGCGGAGGGACAATAACGTATACGTACTACTCCACTTCATTCAGCCTGAGAGTCGAGCAAAAGAAGATGAACCGCAGCTTGACTGGGCAGAACTTCGGACCATCGATGGCTTATGGACATGCCTGGATGGACCTGCTTGTTGTTGAGATTGACGGCCTTCTCGAAGGAGAGATGGAGTTGAATTCAGGTTGGATAGTTCCCGCCCCTTGTTCCAGCGACAACCCTAACCCTAACCCCAAAAAAGATATGCACGTGACTTCACGTGACCTCTGTCTCGACGTCAATCATTGCAACTTATCACCGTCCATAGCATCAAGATGTCTCGGGTTTGCCCTACAATCACTTTCACCACCCTTTACTTTTACGGACATCATAGCCCGTCATCGTATCATAATTGGATACTGGATACAGGACACATGAGCATATCCCACGCAAGATGAGGCTGGGGCCGCCGTCGTCAACATGGCAGGAGCGCGCCAGGTGGTCTTCCGCATCTTCTACAGCACCTCATTCACCGTCGTCTTCTTAATCCTCGTCAGTTTCATCTGTGTCACGCCCGCCGATGCCCTCTACGAATCCTACAAGCGGAACCGACTGCTTGACATCTTCCTCGTCACCGGCGCCTATGTCATCACCGCCCTGATCGCGGCATTGATGTATGCCTCGCGGCTCTACACGAACCGTTCGGTGCTCAAGGACATCCCAAAGACATTCATGCCCATTGAAAAGGAGGATTTACCGGGAAGAAGAATCTACCGACTAATCCAGGAATGTCTGGAGCGAAGTGCTGTGATAGCATACCAGGCGAGGCCGCGGAGCCGGAGGATCGAACACGAAACCATCGCCGCAGGTGCCAGGATGCTTGCACTGACACAGTCGCAGTCATGCACCGATCAGAACATGGAGCCGCCATGGGGCAAGATAGCACACCCGGGCTGGTCGTCGCCGGCGTCCAAGGAGATGCCGAACCTGGAGTATGCTACCGTCGTGCACGAATTGACGGACCTGATCGAAGCCAAAGCCGTCAGTCTTGCGCCGATCGACCCAATGGTCGAACCAGGGCCGGACGGAATCCCGATGCCCGATCCTCGCGTTATCGATGAGCTCGCTCGGCCTCCCGCCATGGGGATGCGCCAATACCTGCGCCATCTCATCGAGCTCGGCGTCGTCCCGGATACACCGCTGACCGCGGAGTTTCTGGCCGCGTACGAACGCGCACGTTTCGCCCCGCAACCACTCACGGAAGAGGACTTTCAAGCGCTGATGCGCATGTTCGCCGAGCTACTGCGCAATATGAGTCCCGTGGACGTCGAATTGCTTGATCTGGCTGATGATTCTTCCTACGAGCCGACCCTGTCGGATATGTCGAACGTCAGCCCTCATCGTCGGTACGCCGACCCCGAAGCGTCGTCTGCTGCATCGACATTCTCAAACTCGGGTTCGGTCCGACACCATCGCCCTCCTCCGCGTCGCGTCTCAGAGGACTCGGCAGCCCCCTCTCTGTCGTCCGCCGAACATCACCACAGCCATGACGAAACCGTGGATGATGATGATCTGGACACACGCTCCCTCCATACCGCGCCGACATTGGCTCCTCGCTCCGCCTCCAGACTGACGCTGGGCTCAAACTCACGTATGGTCTCTGCCAGGTCTCGGCTGAGCTTGCACCCTAGGCCATCCCAGGACTCGTTGCACTCCGGAACTTCGTCTCGGTCGAGGAGGTCACGGCGGAGCAGGCGCTCGAGCAAGAGCATTTTCCGTCTGACCAGGGACGGTGAAGGCGGTGGTTTGCCATATATCATTCAGCGACCACCGGGCGAAGACGACGCTATTACGTTATGACACTCTTCAGTGACGACGATGATGAATGTAGCATCTAAGACAATCCTGCAGATAATGTCTTCAATACCATTAATTGTAATGCAACTCCGGAAGGCTTCTTTCTTATCGGGGTATCATGCATAAGGACTGAGTGACTTAACCGCAGTAATCAGCGAACGGGCCACGAAATAATATGAGGCTGGAGGACTTGAAAGTGCCTCTCCACTCAGACACCGCAAAGCACAGTTTCTACAAGCATAAACGATAAGAGGTCGACACGCTTTGTTGTAAGATGTGGACTTGAACCCATGTAATACTATGGACAAGCTAGACACAGTCCGGTCCTGACACAGTTCGCAAATCATTCCCAAAGTCAAAGTTCGGAACAGAACGCCCGTCTTTATGCAAAGCGATCCCAGTCTATCCAGGGGCAAACCACGGCTACCACCAGTATTCTGATTACATATCGAAAACATTCGTTGTCCTCTGCACTCTTCACACTCTCGACAAGCTCACTCGGTCGCCAGAACGGCCCCGCGCCCCTTGAAGCCCGGGAATGCCTCAATCAGCTCGTCGGCCTCATCAGGCGTGACGCTCTCCTCGAGCATGCTGGTAGCCATAGCAACGGTCTCATCACGGATCAGACGATCGACATAGAATCCCTCAGAAAAGGCCAGTCTCGTGAGGACAACACGATGCTTGTGCACGCCGCCGTTGACCACGGAGAGTTTTTCCTGGAGATTGATGTCCTGGCCATGGAGCTGCAGGACATGATAGAGCAAATGGACGCCCTTGTTGACAATCTCGGCATGCAAGGCGTGCGAAGGAGTGAGCTCGTACATGGCCGAGACCTCGTCGTAAAGGCTACGCACGATGCGTCCGATGGCGCTCTGGTGGCCCGCAATCAGGCGACTGCCGTGATGAGACCGGTCGTCGTGTGGGTGAGGAGAGGAAGTGATGGCGATCCTGATCAGAAGATCCATCACCTCCACACGCAATTGACACAGTTCTTCCATCGTGTTAGGAGGCAATCCTTCGTCGACTTTCGGCGTTTCCCAGAGCAGATAACAGATGCGGTTTAATACATAGTCCTCAATCTGGTCTTGTTGGTCGTCGACGCAGATGCTGCTGAATGTCGAAGGAAATGTGCTGGTTGCGAGCAAGCGAAGCATGATCGTGATGTCCGCGATCGGCTGCCAGACGTTCAGCAGCATCAAGACGAATTCCGGGTCGATTACGCGCCAGAACAGGGAAAGCAGTTCGGGCTCATCAGACACGGCATATGCGACCGTAAGAAGCAGCTCTAGGCAATCTGTGCCGCTGACGTCGTGGTTCAATAGAGACTGGGGCGTCTGGCGCACCTTGCCAAACGTTGCGTGGTTCACGGGAGAATGCTTGAAGCGCGTGTTGGCATTGATGGCGGCCGAGTTTTGGAGAACAAGCGCAAGAGGAGCCACAGTCTCCGTGTCAAGGACAGACATATCGAGGTCGATGACGTGGTTGATGATCTGGATGAGAGATGCGACAGGCTTGTAATACTGCTCCTTTAGCGACTTGGACCACAAGTCGGTGAGTATTTGGAGGACATCACGGGGTAGCCGGTTGCCTCTTAAGCGAGCTGTAGCCTCGATGAAAGTGGTCGAAAATGTCTTTGACGGTGCACTCGGGAACGAGAACCTGACCAGACCTTCCACCACCGTCTCCGTCGATCCCCTCACCCGATACTCCAGGATATCTTGGAGAAATTGCAGATTCCTCTCGGCCTGCTTGTCTGTTCGGACAATGGTGACTGGCTCGTCCTCTGGCTGTATCGGCACTGGTGCTGCTGGCGGCGCCATCTCAACAGGAATCGTGCTCGTCGCTCGAAGTACAAGCGGCTTGACAGGACTGGGGGCGTCGGCTTTCCGCTTCCTCTTATTGGCAGCAGGGGGAGTCCCAGGTTTGGAGCGTCGACCGGACTTTGATGGAGATATGGCCATTACATCGTCGTCGTCGAAGCCGTCCCGTAGAGAGCTAACCATACCACGCTTGGGGGTCGTTGCGGAATTGTTTTCCTTTGTGGATTGTTGCTTATCCCGAAGGCGTTGCTGCAAGGTTTTGATATTCTCAAGCTCCTGGTTGTGTTCCTGTTGCAGGAAATTATAGCTTGTGCTGAGGGTTTCATTCTTTTCCATCATTGTGTGGAGAGCGGCAGTATGTTTGGCAGATTCCTCTGCCATCGTCTTCTCTAGAGCACTTATCTTTCGATCATAGACCTTGATCTCTTTCTCGAAGTTGGCTCTGATGATGGAGATTTCGCCCTTTTGCATGAGAACAATATCTTTCGTCGCTTGAAGCTGTCGATTGAGTTCGTCGCGTTCTCTCATCAACTCCTCAAGGCGCAAAAGAAGTATCTCACTGCCTTGAATCTGCGGCGGCGCGTGGGGGCCTTCTTGCGAACGGTCATCCAAAAGCATCTCATCCGGTCTAATGTGAAGAGCCTGGGAACGGCGTTCGAATGGAGCTGGTGGGTTTGATCCATGTTGACTCTGACCATTTCTTGGATTGATAGTCCTGTGAGGAGCCCCATTGTACGTCTGACCATGGCGCTGTTGACGGAACTGCTCTCGCTGGATGGCTTCGCCGGGCTGTAATCGGCGTAATGGGTAGGCTTCATATTCGTCGACCGGAGTAGACACGCCTTCTTCTCCCACCAACTCGAAGCTTTCATCTTCAGATTGTGGCTCAGTCAGATGCCTCTGAATAAAGGGATGTATCGGCTGTGGTCTGGCGTTCAATGGTACCTGTGCCTGAAAACGGCTGTGCGGCAAAGAAGTGTGGTTGTCCTGGACTTTCGCAGCAGCTTGAGCCTGCAAGTAAGCTTGTTGGGTGGAAAGAAAGGCTTTTTGTTCAAGCTCCTGAAGAGCAGACTCCGACAAGTTGTCGAAGTCATCGTCGAACAGATCTGTCTCGTCTTCGTCGTCTTCCATGCCATTCATGTTTGACCTCCATGGGGAAGGCAAAATATGGTGTTTGACCGTGACTCATGCGCGAGGGACTGGTGGCATGCGTCTAGTGCACAATCGCAGGCAACCAGTAGGCCGGCAAGGCGCATGAGACGCGGTGCATTTTAGGTATCAGTGAAGTAGATGTGGTTGTGATGGTGACGACCCTGGCCACAAGCGACGCTTCTTGGTGGGCGTCGAGGGCGTTCATTCTGCGCGTCAACAATAAATGATCCGGTGCAGTGCCTGCGCCTGCGCCTGCGCCTGCGCCTTCGCCCGCCAGTGACAGTCAGGGTCCAAAACCCTTCATGCACAATGATTATTGTGCACCTCAGGCTGTGCACCGCATCCCAAGATGACGCAAATCTCTACTGCTAGTTCTGTGGTACTGCTACCCAGTTTACTAACACTTCCAAAGTCTATGGTTATAGGTATAGGATTTTGTAACTCTTCCCACAGCCAGTGGTTCGACCACTGTTCTTCTCCTCGTTGATACCCGGTGACCTCTATTTCGCGTGAACAGAGTCCTGGTCACAACGTGGCTTTGAATTAGGAAAACCCACTCTCCGACGGTCTGCTATCTTCTCTGCAATCATCCTGCTACGATACAATTTCCGACTGGACAACCCACCAACAAGCACCTCAGGCAGCACGTGTCAGCGGTCCCCTCTCCTTCGTCCTCCACGACATATCTCCCCCATTGATCTCCCGTTGCGATACCAATTTGCATTCCGAGCCCCTCTGTCTTCGCGAGACCAAATTCCGCGAACACATTACGATGGCTCGACATAGATCAGTCAAATTTCAACATCGTGGGAATGGAAATGGCAATACCAGCGGGCACGATCAGCGAAGACAAAGCGTATCTACAGCTAGCGAGAGTGCCTCTGACCCTCCGAGTCCTTCGAGGGATGGTGACAGCAGTCGAAATGGTTCCATAGTCAAAGGAGACACGCCTCCGGACGTGTCCGACTATGAAAAGAAGAAGGCGACCTTTATCACACGGACAATCTGGACCTTTGCAATGATTAGTGGATTCTTTGGTGCCATGTTTGCTGGACATGTCTATGTACTTATGATCATTACCGCCGTCCAGATCATTTCGTTCAAAGAGGTCATCGCCATCGCTCAGGTCCCCACGAGACAGAAGAATCTCCCGCTTACCCGATCTCTGAACTGGTACTTCCTTGCAATAACAATGTACTTCTTGTACGGTGAAAGCGTCATCTACTATTTCAAACATATCCTGCTGGTCGACAAGGTCCTGCTTCCTTTTGCAACCCACCATCGCTTCATCAGCTTCATGATGTACATATTCGGTACGTATATACTTGTGTTCCTCATCATCAATCGCTGACCACATCTTAGGGTTCGTCTTTTTCGTCGGCTCGTTGAAGAAGGGCCACTATAAATTTCAGTTCACTCAGTTCGCGTGGACTCACATGGCCCTCTACCTCATCGTCGTCCAGGCACACTTTATGATGAACAACGTTTTCGAGGGCATGATTTGGTTTTTCCTTCCGGCCTCGTTGGTCATCACCAACGACATCACTGCCTACATCTGCGGCATCACATTCGGTCGCACCCAGCTGATCAAAATATCTCCCAAAAAGACGGTCGAGGGCTTTGTGGGCGCTTGGATTTGCACCCTTTTTTTTGGATTTGCCCTCACCAATCTGTTGATGCGGTACAAATACTTCATTTGCCCTGTCAATGACCTGGGCGCAAATATCTTCACCGGGTTACAATGTACGCCCAACCCGGTCTTTGTGCCCCAGCCTTATCACATTCCTGCATGGACTGGAAGGGAGTACACGCTTTGGATCGAACCCATGCAGTTCCATATTCTCATCTTTGCGACTTTTGCATCGTTGATCGCGCCCTTCGGAGGCTTCTTCGCTTCCGGGTTGAAAAGGACGTTCAAGATCAAGGACTTTGGCGACAGCATTCCCGGACACGGAGGCATGACGGACCGGATGGACTGTCAATTCATCATGGGACTCTTCTCCTACATGTACTACCAGAGCTTCATTGCCATCTACCGAACGAGCGTGGGGGCGGTCATCGAGTCTGCAATCATTGGCTTGACTCCTGAAGAACAGGTGGAAGTGGTCAGAGGATTGGGGAAATACCTCTACAATCAGGGGATAGTTTCGGAGAAGGTACACATCTAATCACCACTTTGCTCATGCGAACCAACGCTAACTTGTGACAGGTCTTGCAATGTCTCGCATCCCAGCTTGCCAAAAGATGAAACGATCGATGACTTGGCATGGATGTTTGGATTTTTTGTTTTCGACGACTTGTCGGAATAATTTCAACAAAGGTAGAGGGTTCTGGTCACTTCAGTCACGACCAGCATGAGATCCCTTCGAGCGACGAGTCCCTTTCGAGATCTCACTTTCGGCGACTTCCCCGCATACTTTTGGCGAGCGAGCGCTTTTCAAACTTCAGGAGGTGCACAGTCGCCTTCTTTTCGTAACTTCCTTGTCACACTTGAAGCCTGGGTCACGGATTGAGTTCTGTGATCAGAAATTGGCGTGTCAAAAAGTCCCGTAGCTTTTAATAGAATCGTTGAAAACGGTGCCGTTGCGCCAGCGTAAATCCGGAGTTCGATCGTAGCAGCGTTTATTAGCTTCAACTCTGCCCTCTTCCTCTCCCACGACCGCGACCACCTCTCGCTTGACCACGGCCTCTGTCACCCCTACCACCCTGGCCGCCCCGGCCCCGTTGGCCGTGACCACCTGGCTGATTGTGTTGCTGCGATTCCCTAGCCAATTCGATGACCTCTTCGGGTACTCGTAAGTATTTGATCTAAGTGATCACGTCAGTAAGCAAACAACAGCCGACATCTTGATGTTTGGCGGATGGATTGGGCAAGCACGAACGTTGTTTCCTCTAACGTAGGCTTCTGGCAGTCTCCAAAACCTGTCGCCTTCTGGACTCGTCTGGACAACCTCCTTGAGAGTCAGGTTCATCCACGTGTCACAATTCACCAGGTGGCCGTTGAGCGTTTCGCCGTTCTTGAGCTCGACCAGCATGGGGTGGCCCTGCGCGGCGGTAAGAAGACCTAATGGAAGCTGAATACCAAATGTCAGATAGCATGATCCACGACGGGAAGGAAAATGCTGACCATTTTGGTTCACTCTGATATGATTGTTTCTCGAGCAGTTCATGCGGCAACTTGGGCTGGTTTGAGCAAAAGGAGGGCGCGCGTCGAGATTGTAGCTATCAATGTCCCGCTCGTGAAATGGGATCCTGAGTGAATGACGGAAGTGAATGATTTGTAGCTTGGACGGAGAAGTGGCAGTGTAGCGACAGTCTGATCTTGACAGCAACCGGGTGGCATGCAGTGAACCTCGTTACCATCATCCTCCGTCAACAGAATTGATACTTGGCATTCGATCCACTGGCACGGCAGCCTCGAAGGCCTTATGTAAGCAGATATACTCATCACATGACGTATTACACTAATTGTACAATGCCCTGCCGTAGGGGAGCAGACTGCGGTCTTATCGTTCGGCCGTAGAAACTGCTGACGCGGCTGGAACAAGTTCTGATGTGCCTAGTTGGGGGGCCGCGCCGCCGGTTACAGTGAGTCTGGGACAACTTGAAGTTGAAGGGGACACGCGGCTAAGTCTCTACTAGGCTTTAAAAGGCTTCCCCAAGAAAACAAACTGGAAGGGCGCAGGAGGCGCAGGAGGCGCAGGAGAAACGAAGTACGTAGAGGGAATCCCCCTTGCCCCTAAATAATAAGGCTAGGGATCCGCAACTCGCGCAACTCCACGCAACCCTCGATCGATACTCAGGCACCAGCCAAAAGTACTAGTAGCCTGGGATTCCTCCTCACCCTCTATTCTACCCACCATCCCATTCCATCCCATCACATCCCATTCCACCTTCTTCTCATCGTTCATCTTTACCATCTGATCCAGGCATGCAATTCCGGCTGATGATGGCCTTGTAAGGCAGGCATAAGGCATACCTTTCGGGGACCGTCTGCTTCCTCTCCATTGGGATATGTCGCAGCCTTGACCCTTTCTATCCTACAAACATTGCTGCCTCCCGCTCGTCCGGACCTCTCTCTCAGTCAGGCACCATGAAGCCCTCCTTGGCCCCCGCTGCTGTTTTATTTTCTTCCCTTGTTGCGGGCCTGCCCAGTCCCCATCCGTCTTCGGTTGATTCTCCTCCCAAAGACATCGCAGCTGTTGCTGGCTCAACAGGTATACCAGGGCCCCTTCGAGTACGGGCACGTGTGGTGTCGCTGACCAAATCCAGATCCAGACCATATTACTATTCATTTCCGTGCTCCTTGCCCGGGCTGCTTTACTGGCAGTGATGATGTGCTGGTGGGTTCATTGCTCAATCTGTTCACCAGGGGGCAGTCCATTGACTTTGTGAAAAGGAACTTACACTTGAAATCGATGCCGCCGACAAGGAATGCAGCGGCAGCGCCCCGCGTCTCAATGGAGTTCCTCTCGATCCTGCCAACGGGAATGATGTCGCCGTTGGACAGATTTCCTTCAAATCGAAACTGTCGGATGGGTTGACAGACAAGATTGTAAATGCTTCCTGGCAGTCGACATGTCTCAAGGGTGAGGCTTCTATGATCACCGTCCGGTTTGCCGACGCCGCCAGCCACAAGAATGTCAAGGACGTTTCTGGTTTCACCACTTCCTTCAAGCAAACGGGCCAGCCCACCGTTTTGCGCCTTCAGGACAAGCCCGTCGATCAGATTATCTCTCCAAGTGATTGTGGTGATTGGCTCCGTCCCAAGGATGAGGGCTTGTCCATTATTCCCATCATAACTGAACCGGTCAGTTCTATCGACGGACAACTAGAACTCGAATACGTCAAGCTGGTGCACCTGAAGGAGGAAATGGACCAGCTGCATGATCAGATGCGGGAGAACTGTGATCGGGTAGCGTCTCTCATCAAGCAAGAGTTCAGGGCATGCTCGAATCTCAAATGTCTCTGGCAGACCGCCTTGGGCAAAGCTCCGACAATCAAGAAACTCATCGCCCTGCGTTTCTCACATCATAAAGGTCGGGTTGCTGGATGTACGAATGGCGAAGGTCAGAAGGCTTGTTCCGCAGCAGACCAGGATGATAGACCAGCCGAGGCCGATCTTCCAGAGTCAGGTAAACCATCTGAAGAAGCTGATGAGGTACATGGTGAAGTCGGGCCGCTTCCACGTCCACCGGAACAAGAACGCCCAGCAAATGATGGTATCGACGAACCCCCACCACAAGACGGTCCAGAAGAGCATCATCACCCTCCATTCGAAGGCGAGCATCCTGGTCCTCCGTTTGAAGGAGCACCTCCACATCCGCCTTTCGACGGAGAGCACGGCCGCCCACCATTTGAAGGAGATCATCCTCATCCCCCTTTCGGTCCTCCGTTCCGGGGAAATCATCCTCCCTTCGGACCGCCTCACGGACCACCTAAAGGTATGCCGCACCGCCCTCCCGGACACCATGGTCCACCACCTCCGTTCGGTCCCCATGGACGACCTTCTGGTCCCCCTAGGTTTGGACCGTTTGGACACGGAGGACGGAGACACAATTCCGAGATTCGGCTAGCACTGGCAGTGATCACGCTCATCCTTCTTGTTGTACTCTCTGGGCTTGCATTTCGCCTGCTCCACAAAAGCGCATGGTACCGTGATCCTCGCCGCCAAGCTGACCGAGCTGCCCGAAAAGAAGAGCGTCGAACTCGGAAACTCTACCGCAAAGCTGCATATAAACATAAATGGGCGACATGGTGGAAACGTTACCAACGCCATCGCTCCAACGACGATTACGAGGAGAAGCGAGAGATGATCCTCGAACAAGAAGGGGGGCTGGAAGATGTAATGCGAGACGAGATCCGCACTTTGCGAAATGCGTCTGATCTTGTTAGAGATCTTGTGCGGGTGGAAGAAGGCAGGGCCCGACGCAATGCGTACAATCCTCATCAAACCCCATATCCGATCTCACCTGCCGAGCTGGATGCCGGTGTCGGATGCAGTAACTATACGCATCTACCTCCATCATACATGGTACCGCCACCACGGTATGAACAGGAACTCGAGGGTGACTTGACTGTCGTCGACGGCTTCCGGTATACTCCAAGCAACACGGAGGAAACCCCAGAGAGCAGCATCATTGATTGCAATTCGCGCCTGAGTCTTGACACTGGCAGATCCACTGTTTTCACCAAAGACGGTCGGGTTTGAATCGTATCTCTGCATGCAGTCCATTGGCTGCCGGGATATTTATTTGTACGACACCTTTTCCAGACGGACCGGTCATCCTCGCGCTTGAGTTTAGACGCTGGTTCTGGAGGCGCACATATGTTTTTGTGATTCTGGTTAGGAATTTGAGCTGTGAGGTGTTTCCGGCTTCAGACGCTTTGTGCTTATTGGGTAAATCAGGCCCCGAATGCTCTGTATATATATCACCTCTTGCTATTTGACACCACGAAACCTAACACTGCGCCATGTCAGCGAACTTACCACGAATGTGCTCGTATCCGACGATTCCTCTGTTATCGTTTTACCAAAGCTTTATATGGCAACAATGGTGACACCATGGTTGTGTCGCGGTAGGCGGCAAACACCTAACTTGGTTGATAGCTAAGTACCTAGGTATGCCATTTGGCTGCTTACACGCTGCTCAGTACTACTAGAACGAACTCCCAAGATGCTCGGTTGCACTCCCCTACAATGAAGGAGAGTATTGTCATTGGCCAGCACTCAGCCTTGTCTAACTTCGGCAAACCTCCTGTATTTGTCTCTAAGCCCGACCTCAAATTCATCCCGAGGCGCGATTCCTCGAGCACAATCACGACCACTAGATATCGCGCATTTACAACCATGTATAGCTGATGCATAGGTTGATCGCTCACCATGGTTTGATACAGAACCGCTGCCCTTTTGTACTGCGCACCCGTCTCCAATGCGCGCCGTTACGGGTGCAGGCCCAACAGTTGAACGAAGGCAGAGGAAGCGCTTCGCCCGTTAAAAATGACGGAAGCACGGAGAGCGCAGCTGCATCTACACTGCAAGAGCAGTTGACCCTCCCCGAAGAACTGAAGGATACTGCAAGCCATGGACATGTGGTTACGCCGAGGGAGGACATCGATACCCAGAAATACTCGAACAGGTCGACCCAAGACTTTGGTGCATATGTTGCAGGAGGAATCACGCAAGATGTTGGTGTCGCGCCAACCGCTCCGGTCAGAGAGTCTGCAGTTCAGCCGCCAAAAAAGGAGGAAACTACCCAAGAAGAGGGAGACAAACCAGAGCGTAAATATCTGAGGAGAATCCCGTTACCTAAACGCTTTCCACCGCTTCTTCGAGAGATTCAAAGCGTTGGGCACGACCACGAGATCTCCAAGACAGATCGCCCCCGGAAATCCCTGGACAGGTCTGTAGTGTCCACGGAGATCCTCGAGGCTGAGTTACGATGGGTGTCACGAAATCACCCGCATCCAAAAGCCGTCCGCAATATCCTGGAAATACTCATCCGAGACCGCAAGGTGAAGCCATCGGCGGCTCACTACGAGGCACTGATTCTAGCAAATTGCTTTCCAGAGCTTGGGACTGTGGAGAATGTGAAGATGATCTTGGAAGAGATGGAGCGCGAGGGTATCTTAATCGAGCCTTCTATATATTATGCTGTTTTGACGGTTAGTTTTGCCCACTCACATGTCTTGAATGGACTCGCCGCCGGATTCTGCCTTCCAGAGGTCATCGCCCCTGCATGAGACACACGATTCTAACGAAGATGACAGGTCCTTACGGTCCATCCAGACACGTATCTCCGTACGACTATCATCCAAAAACTACGTCAGCAATGGGTCTCGATCCCAGAATTCTATGCACAATTGAATGCCGTTGCCATGATCCGAGAAGGCCAGCTGGAACTGGCAACCGTGGAACTGGACAATTTCCAGCAGAAACGGATCCCCATTGCGTCTTGGATCTGGGTCATCTACGTCCACGCCGTCTGCGACCGCCGCGACTTCGAAGCCCTGTTGCAGATCCTGTACAAACTGCCTGACGAAGGCTTCCTCTTTCCCCGTCCGACGCTACTCCATCTGCTGGTTACAGCCAGCGAGCACGACTCCTTGGACGTCACGAAGTATCTTTGGCACAGCTACGTCGAGAGCATGCATATCGTGCCTAACGAGGACTTGTGCATGACCGTGTTACGGCTGGCAGCCAAGCATCAAGATCTCAAATTGGCCGAATCCATCGCGGTGGTGTTGGAGAGTGTTGCTGGTGATCGGCTGACTATGCCGCCGAGCTTGGTTGACAGGCCGCCTCCGACGAAGCATGAGACGATGAGCTTGACTTTTGATTCACCGGATCTTCCTGACTTCGAATGCGACTCTCTGTCGCAGTACAGGACCGGTTCCAATGACGCTGGATTCGAGACTGTGACTGGTGCCACAGGTCTCTGGGGTCGCATGGCGTCTTCGGCTACGTCTGGGCCAGATTCCATGTCGGAATCCGAACGAGAGTTGCAGTCAGAGCCCTTGGCCATGGCCTTTTCTACTCCCCTTCCACTTCCACATCCAGCTATTCGACTCCGCTCACGCAATTTACCGGAAGAAGCTGTTCAGATCATTCGCGATTTGGGAATCAACACCGATCGCCGCGGGAGGAATAGGAGACACAGGGGTATCCTGTATCCGCTGTTCAGGAAGGAGAGCGGGCTGCGAGGCGCGCGATCCGATCCGAGACAGGCACTCATGCAGGGATGGGATTGGCGCAAGAAATGAAAATTAATTTACTTTACTGAACTGAACTGAGCTGAATTCAATTGAACCGAATCGAATAGCGTTCAAGAGTAATGTCGTGACTCGTTGCAATGCTACACAGAAAGGTTCACGGTCCATTGGCTGTGCTTATATACCTTTGATTCATGTCTTTCTGCCCTCCGCGGTGAAGAAGAGAATGCATGTCTACGGTTTCATTTCATTTCATGATTCAAATAGAACTCATGTATCATGTATTATCGTGACTTGTTGAGTTGATGTCATCAATGGTCTGGTTGGGAGAGCATTCCTCCGTATCCATGGCGAGACCAAGCGTATCTGCGCATCATGACTCCGTCGTCGTTGTTGTTGTCGTTGTTGAAGAAGCGGCCGGCGGTAACATCAAATCCACCACCCAAGGCGCATGAGACGGCTTATACTGCAAGTCCATAATACTCGCGTTGACAAACAGTGTCTCTTGCCCGAACTTGGACTGCAGATCCACGGCATCGATGTAACTGTGCCTGCAGTTCGCCTGGGTTTGAGTCTGGGTTTCAGTTTGGGTCTGGGTTTGTGTTTCAGTTTGAGTCTGGGCTAGCTCGGACGAGGGAGTGACGCTCGTTTCAGACACATTGTCGTCTTCGACATGCCATCTCTTCCGCACCGCGCCCCTTGCTTCGTGGATATGTCCGAAACAATGCACCTGAGGACGACACCGCTGGACGGCCTTGCGGAGGTGGTCGCAGCCGACATGCTGGCCGGTAGACGTGTAGTCGAGGATGCCTTGTGGAGGGCCGTGGGTGAGCATGATATCAATTCCTATTCGTTTTCGTTTTCCTTCTTCGTCTTCGTCTTCATTCTCATCTTCATCTTCATCTTCACGATTCATGTCGTGTTTGTCAATATCGGTAGAATCTGTAGCCGTAGATGTAACAGTAACAGCCGCTTCAGTCCTTATGTGGCCGTCCTCGTTCTGCCCCGGCTCATCTTGACCCTTGCTCTTCCTCCAGTCGACATGGCCATCGCGATCTTCACGACGACTTCGTCCAGCCAACTCTTCTGCATCAGAGTCACCACCTCTTCTAGACCCGATGCGATCTCGTTCAGCATCTCGTCGATATTCCGTGGTGTGATTGTAATTGTAATAATCCGGGTTGAAATCCGGTACAGGATTCTTCGGTTTCTCATCCTGGTCAGCACTTGAACCAGAGCCAGAGCCAGAATCATAGTCGTCCTTCGTCTTCGTCTTCAATTTAGTACTCTCCTCCTCCTTCCCTTCCTCGACACCCGTCCGCTTCGTCGGATTATACCGATCAACCTCCCTCTCATAGCCAAACGCCCAACACCAAAACTCCGGCTGATACGCACTGGCATAGACACCCAACCGCGCCCCATTCTCAAGCACATACTCGCCCACCCCTTCCTCGAGATAGCGGATCCCGGCACTCCTCGCCTCCTGCCCGACATACATGTCGCGAATCATGTCGAGTGTCTCGGGCGAGTATTTGGCCCACGAGGCGTGCAGGGTCGGATGGTTCTCGTAGTACGGCCGGTCCAGTGTGATGTCGTGGTTTCCTGGAATCACGATCTTCAAGTCGGCGTCGACGGATTTGATCAGCCTCAGAGCCCGGGCGTGTTGTTCGATGGAGCCGTTCATGGTCAAGTCGCCGCAGTGGAGGAGGACGTCTGCGCGAGGTAAGGGATGGCTGAAGGGGAGAGTCTCAGCCTCTTCATTTTTGTTGGATTGCTGTTGAGGCGATTGATGGTCTCGTCGGGTCTGGGCCACAGGGTCGAAGCTGGGGTCGGGGTCGACTTGCGTTTCGGGTTGGTAGCCTTGTGGAAGCGCCGCGTGGGTGTCGGAGAGAATAAGGATGCGGGTTTTGATGGGGGTTGTGGTCATGGTTGGATAAGACAAGAGAGAGAGAGGTTGGCCTTACTTGTATACTATACTATATCCGTGTGTGTTGAGAGAGTATTGCTTTGTAGGACAGGACTGTAGATGTTGCTTGGATTTTGTGGATTGGATACTAGTTATTACAGGAACCGTTCTACCGGGGATCTGTGACAAGACAGACACTTTGGAAGATATCAGAAGATCTTTGCTGGGTCAGATAGACAGAATGTCCCTTGAAAGAGATGAGCTGGGACAACTTGGAAGGGAGTTGAAACCCTTGATGGTCCGATAGTCGAAATGCGATAGATAGGGTCAGGACGGTGATGTTATGAAGGTTTGGTTGAAGGGGTGGAGGTAGGTTTGTATGGGCGAATACAGATCGAGGAGTATATACCTTACCTTAGGCTGTCTGTCTATATTTTACACATCTCCATACAGGCATTCCACTTTCCCTTACCCAATCCAGTGCAGGGAATTCCTTGCCAGAGCTTCCTATTCAACAAGTGGACCAAAATGGCCTGCCGACTCATCTATTTGTATAGAAGATGTTCAAACGCTAGATCCCAAGAAAGGCTTGAGCAAAGTCCTATCTCTCGTGATGGGATATCAAGCAGAACCCCTATCGCTAATGTTATATTACACGTCGAAAGATATGATATCTCTTAGTCCTATCTCCTTCAACCTGCATGCTCAACTATCTCACTGACCAGAGTGCCGTTTTTCACCACACTCCTGATCTGTTCCGGGAAGGGCACTTCCTTGCTGTCCTCATCAGAGCCTTCTTTCGGAGGTAACACCACGTTCACTGAACTGCATTTGCTGGTAAACATTTCGGTGGCCAGACTGTCGTTGGATAGATATATCTGAGCTCCATCCACTTGGTCCAGCATAATGGTGGGCACAACGCCATCGACCTGGACCTGGAATTTGGTGGCCTTAATGACGTCCAAGCTCGACACCAGTGAATCGACCAGTATCGATAGACCCGCACAGTTGTCGATGGAGATGGCATTGGCTTTGCCGCTGACCTTCACTATACACTTGTTGCACTTCGAGATCAGAATACTCTGGTTGAGTTCCGCCGGAATCTCAATGATGTCAGACTGGGTGTTCTCGAAATTCTCAATAACCCATTTGGTACCGTCAAGCTCCTTCCGGCCGGGCTTCTTAGACCTCATGCTGTCGGGTTTCTTATTTGGTAATGGTGATTTACCGAGACCAGCCGAAGACACTGAAGTTTGAGAGGCGGAACGCTGAGGCACCGTAGAGCCTGTTCTCAAGGCCGGATTCTTGTGGGTCATCTCCGACTTATCGACCTTCTTCAATCCCGCCGTGATCGCTGAACCTTGGTTCAACTGATTGAAAACAGCCGACATGTCTCCGGCCTGTCCAGCGCCACCAGAAGGCGGCAGCGGAGGCGCTGGAGGTCCATCGTCTTCAAATTTCGGCAAAGGTGGTGGCGGCGGAGGGGGAGGCGGTCCTCCAGCGGCACCAGCTGTTGTGGGTGTGCCGGCGCCCGACTGTACCTGTTTGAGAGCTTCAATGGCATCAATACCGTCCTTGTTGTTCCATGTAAGACCGGTTGGAAAGTATTCTTTGACATATGAAGCGAGTGAGCGGAATATCTTGTAGTAGGCTTGGATATACTCGACATGAGCCTTGTCCCTACAGAGGGTCAGTTGAATATAGTACGTTTGAGGTGAATAGACGTACTTCTCCTTGTATTCTTTCAGGACCTTATTGCCATAGTATTGAGCTCCTCCCAGGGTGTCCGTCACGAAATCCCCTGGTCTTTTCTCCACAATCCATCCCAGAGCGACAATGCCTTCTGACACGGCGCTGAGATGCGTAAACAGCGGAGATGGACGATTGGCTTCTCGAATTTCGTCGACTGCAGATGTGTACCGATGCAGTTCGGTCATCAGTTCCGGAGGTTGTGGATCGGGCTTTTTGGCTTTCGTCGAGACGAGGAGATATGTTCGTTCAGCCTCGAATGCATCTTTGACAGCTTTGGCCTGGAACCAAGTCAGCTTGGCCTCGATGCTCAATTATGTCAGTCCTACTTGTTCTGCTACAAGACCGCCAATATTATTGGCAGCTTTCACAAACCCGTCGACATCTTCTTCAACGATCTTGTCAAAGGCCTCGACCGACTTTGGTAAAGGTTCCGGGGCGGGTGCCGGAGGTTCAGGGGTAGCGGCAGAAGCAGAAGGAGTGGCTACAGCAGCTCCAGCCAGGCCGTTTGTCGTAGTGGCGCCCGGCCCATCTATCGAAGTGGCAATGTCCTCCAGTCGTGAAGTCGCAGCTTCGAGTCTGGTCAGGCAGATATGTTAGTTGCATGTTCCAATGGGAGGGTGACATGAACATGTGCCAGTTGCGCCACAGGACGTAAACACAGGCTACTGGAGCTAAGTTTGGACAAACCTTTTGATCAGAGTCGTCAGGTTGTGCATACTGGTTTGAGCCGCCATCTTGAGGGCGGTGGCTAGAGTAATCGAGAAATGGTTCCTGGAATCTTACATGTCCATGTTTAAAGTGTCCCAAACGGGGAGAGGGAGTGACGCCGGGGAAACATCCGGCGGAGCACAACAAACGCCGGAAGCTGCCAAGACTACACATATCTCCTCTTGTCGTACCGTACTACTAACCTCGTGAAGCATCTGTGGGTCTAGGGGCCAGCATAGACCTTATCTACCATTTATCGGACCCCCGATCATATCTCCCCGAGATATAGCTATGTACCTACCTACCTAGGTAATTTGCTAAAGTTTGAGAACAGCTCGTTCAGCAAGTCACTTAAGGCGGGAAAGGGCACCTCTTGTACTTTTCTATGACAGGCACTGCTCCAACAACGACCTTAAACTAACAAGGTTTGTCCGGGGGTTCAAGGATAGTTTCACAATGACCAAGCCTGGTGAAGTTACCAAGTGGTTGGCAAGTCAGGATGGACTGCAGAATCTCACAAAGACCACTGGACCACTCCCGACACCTGGCAAAGATGAGGTGCTTGTCGAAATACATACTGTCTCTTTGAATTACCGAGACACTGAAGGTAATTGATGCTTGGCCAGACGGACCATTCGTTTCAAGGAGCATCTTTGCTGACTTTCCGTCTTCCGGCCCTTTGCAGTTACCATGGGTCTGTACACGCACCACAAGTACGTCGGGGCAGCTCCATCGATAGTCCCGTGCTCGGACATGTGTGGCACTGTTGTCAGCATTGGCGAGGACACGACCTCATGTCCATGGCGCGTTGGAGATCGCGTTTTGTCAACCTTCTCCCAGTCACATCTTACTGGGCAGGTTAAGGCCAAAGACTTAGCGTCCGGCCTTGGGTTGCCTTTGGATGGTGTATTGCAGACCTACAGGGTATTTCCTGTTACAGGGCTAGTCAAGGCCCCGGATTATCTCAGTGACGAGGCTGCTTCGACACTGCCGATTGCAGGAGTCACGGCTTGGATGTCAATCAATGGCATGAGACCAATGGGTTCTCCAGGAGGTAGAGGAGAAACCATCCTGGTTCAAGGCACGGGTGGCGTTTCAATCAGTGGGTTGCAAATTGCACATGCTGCTGGCGCAAAAAGTAAGTACCACAATAACCCGGTCGTTTCTTGGAATCGACGGCACAGTTGTTGCGAAGTCTTGGACATCTGACCTATCTTTATCAGCAATCGTCACATCGTCTTCAGATGCCAAACTCGAACGTGCCAAAGGCTTGGGAGCAACGCATACCATCAACTACCGGACCCACCCCGACTGGGAGAAGACAGTCATGGAGTTGACCAACGACGAAGGTGCCGATATCATCCTAGAGGTCGGCGGCGCCAGGACCCTACGCAAATCGTTTGATTGTATTGCATTCGGGGGCATCATCGACTGCATTGGCTACCTGTCTGGGAAGGAGGACGACCCCGGTGATAGGCTGAATGTCAATGTCCTGGCTCTGAGAAGAAATGTCACCCTGAAAGGCATACTCAATGGTCCAAGAGACAGATTTGAGGAGATGCTCCAGTTTTATCAGGAACATCAAATCCAGCCTGTCGTAGATAAGGTGTTTGGGTTTGACGAAGCAAAAGAGGCTTTCCAGTACCTGTACAGTGGTGGACATTTTGGAAAGGTGGTCATCAAGGTAAAATGATGAGGTGAAATATTGAGTGTGCTGCGCCCCAAAAGAAGACTGCTCCGTTTATGGTCGCTCAGGGACAACCCAATGGCCAGCTGCCATACAGGAGACAAAGAGAATGATGCTAAGCACGAACCTCTTGGCTATTAGTAGATACTTTGTGTGTCGTTAGTGGGTGACGAAAGTCTCCTAATACAGGTAGTACCCATATAGTCCTAGACCGAAGCCTAATGTTTCTATACTCGACAGGGCCAATGGTGTCAATGATCAGGCTCTTAGACACGAGGCTAAATAACCTAACCTAGATTATATACCTTTTAGTAGCTTGGCTGAAATTGACGTATAAGGCGTCCTTCCGCCTCGGCCTCATCATCCCTGACCACCATCTTTCATCCATCAACGACACTCATCACCAGGGTTGCGGGGTCGTTTTCCTTTACGACCACTTGGTGCATCTTACAGTTGAAATAATGCAAGGAGCCCGGATCTAGCACGCTGCCACCGTCTGGCTTGGCCATGCAGAAATCGGGTTTTATGAAACAAGAAGCGACACCAACGTTCGGTTTCTCATCGCTGCTTGATTCCTGTATGTTACAAGAGCCCCTCTGGGCCGGAAGGCAGGATGTCTGAACCTCCGAATAATGATCGAACCCCGCCGAATTCCGGCCAATCATGCCGGGAATGCAGACGACGCAAAGGCAAATGTGATGGGAAAATGCCTGTATGCTCGATCTGCCAGAGATACAATCGACATTGTCTATACGACAAACATAGCCGGTCGTCTCTGACCAGAAAGTGAGAATCCCAGCATCTGCCATAGGCCATGATGACCTACTCCAGCCCCATCTGACCTGTCGTCTAGGCACCTTACAGAGGTCGAGGAGCGATTGGAGAAAGCAGAGGCATTGTTAAGGACATTCTTCAGTGATGCCGAGTTAGCCCAAATGCTAGTCCATGGCGTCTCCAACGGTGTTGATGCCACAACAAGGCATTCAGCCACATTTCCCGGAGCGGTGGAGAGTCCTTCCGCACAGCCTGGACCCGTCAGCAACGCTTTTACGGCTCATCCGGCTCTGAATCCATCCACCGCTGGCGCTCGAAGTCTTGATTCATCTTTCCCCCCTGGGCAGGAGGCAGACCAAAAGCCGAAATTCGGTGCTATGCAAACTTCCAGATCACTGTACTCCGATGCCAGACAGAGCGCTGCTACCCCCTTGGAAAGCCACCCCACCGCCGAAGATGATTTCGAATGGGACGAGCGGGAACCAGCCCGGGATCTCACTAACCCAGGTGGAGACAGTCGAACTTTCGAAGATGAAATACAAGCTGGTATCCCCAACGTTACCGACGGCATGGCCACCCTGACGGTCGACGACTCCAACACTGGCTTTCTGGGTCCAGTCTCCGGAGCGGCACTTCTACGCTTGATATGGATGGGTCACTCGACGGACGGTGCGGAAGACAGGCAGTATGTAGGGACAGAGCGGCGCAAAAGTCTTGAAGAGCTTTTCAAGAAGAACCAAACCGACTACGCTCCATCGCTACCCTGGCTTCAGACACAGCCTCTGATCACGCGAGCGATTGCAGACAATCTTATCGACGCCTACTTTACGCTTTACCATCCAACCTTTCCAATTCTACACGAGCCCACCTTCCGCGAACAATATTCAACACATAATGACCGTCCGCGCCAAGGTGCGTGGCACATACTGGCCAATCTTGTGGCGACTCTTGGCTCCTTTGTGTCAACGGGTTGTTTAGACGATACCCATATCATATTATTCAACGCCGTCAAAACTAACCTCACGATCGACTCCTTAGAGACCGGGAGTCTCAGCCTTGTCCAAGCATTTGCAATGGCCGCAAACTATCTGCAAAAGAGGAATCGACCTAACAGCGGATACAATTATGGAGGTATCGCTCTCCGTCTAGCCATTTCACTTGGCCTTCATAAGGACTTCCATGGATGGCAGACCGCTCCTTTCAAGAAGGAGATTCGCCGGCGGGTGTGGTGGTCATTGTGCGTTTTGGATGTCGGGGCGACTGTCACATATGGTCGACCGTTGAACTGGCCACAGATTGGAGTTGAGACTGCGTTCCCACTGAATATTCATGAGAAGGTGAGTTGCAGCACCTTTGGTGGTCTACTTCACCAGATGTACCCTCCATCAGTCGCTCCATGGCCGGTCTAATAAATGATGAACAGGATCTGACACCCGCCTCCACCGTGATGCCGCCCGAGGCAGAGGAGGTCACTCTGTACACCTACGTTCGCACTCAGTCGTTATATCATCTCCGAACAATGCGCATCTACAATCGACTCATTTCCAGTCCTGTCCCTTCCGCTGCCGAGCTCATTTTATTGGACGATGAACTTGTCCAAGGCTGGGTGACGAGTCTCCCCTCATATTACTGTGACCGACACCTCCCGCTTCCCAAGGAACTTCTGCTTGGTCATGCCATCGGCCGATGGCGGTTTCGACTGCTCCGGATCATCATGTACCGCCCATTCTTGGTCCGATGGGCACAGGACGGCTCTGGGTCGGTGAAATCTCTCGCATCTACGTCCCAAACCCTGACCCCGGAAATCATCCCCACCATCCGTTGTTTCAAGGCCGCCGAAGAGTGTATCTCATGCATTCAGCAATTTTGGTCCACTGGGACCCACACCAGGCTAGCTGCCTGGTATGTCTTGTAAGTGACCCCAATGTCTCTCAAGCATGTATTGCATCTACGTCCTCATAGCAATGCAACGCCGTTGTCCATTCGTCCGAAGGCTGTCTTGATCCTCGCCCGTGATGAACAATGTTCTACCACTATATGTGCACAGCTATGCATAACTCGCCTGCTATCCTAGCGGTCTTCCTCGTGACAATGGCTACATGTCCAGTCTCCGAAACATTGATATATGATCAATACTAACGTTATCTTCCACAATGACCAGATACTTTCTTCTGCAAGCGGCCTTGATTCCCATTCATTGCTTACGCCGCAACCCTTCTCACGTCGATGCCGGGTCATGGCGCGCTCAGATCCAGACGGCGCTTGACATCATCAATGGAATGACCAACTTGAATCCCAGCGCCCCAAAATGCCGCGACATCATCTGCCGACTATGCGGCGACACTTTCGTCGGACCAGACTCTGCGCCTGGACCATCACACATGCGACATTTCTCTAAGGGGCCAGCACCAACAGCAACACAGCCGTCATGGAATGGACAGGAACAACAATACAACAATCTTCGATCGGATGACCGGCTTCCAGAGAGTGCAAGTGGCACCGTATCTTCGACTGACTATGATTCTTGGCCAACAATGTTTCCTACGGCTGGTTTCGCAAACCCAGCATTCCCGTACTCGACAGCAGCACCGACTGAAGGTGTCGACGCCGACGCTGCCACAGGCAATAGATCAGACTCTGCAACGATGGATCCGTGGATGACAGAGGTTGATACAGCCATTGACAACTACAACGTTTACTGCGACCGGCTAAGTAACGCTGCTATGGCCGGCATGGGGCTAGGGCCACAATTTGGTGAGCTTGCTGGAGACAGACCCGTGGTGGGCGACGAAACTCTCAATTTGGACGGTACGGAAATTGGAACGGGTGTGCAAGATTGGGACTGGGGGTTAATGCTATGATGGCATAGAGATAGGGTTTAGTATCTGGTGACGTAGATACGAAATCGTCAATATAAAAGGGGGACAGGATTTGCCGATTTGGAAAAGCGAACAGGAGGAGAAACGGGAAAGAGCCAAAGTCAAAGCTGCCTGCCCCAATCCTATATCCCCAGTTGGATATATCATAAATCTAGTCTCCACATCTCACCCATTTTCGAAAGGGCTGTGTGAAGGTGAGCAGTTCGTCCGGGCACGCGTACCACTCTCCAGAAGATGCGACGACTAGCTGTCTTGCATAACCGAGGGAGTCCATGTTCCTGTATCTGAAAGGACGGCGCTTGATACTTGGCTATAGCCGTGGAGTATCCAACAGACTATCCAACAGAGTATCCAACAGAATATCCAACAGTACACCTCACAACATATCCAACAGCGAATACATTGTTATTAGCTGTAGTCTGTGGTCACCTGGCTCAGCTTGCACGAGATTGCCATCTGGAAGTTTTCTTTTTTGGAACAGCATCACCGGCGTGCCTTCTTCTTGGGGGTGAAGGTTTCTTCATCTCTCTTTCTGGTGTGTCGGCTCTTGGGCGCCGATGGTGTAAGGACCGGTCGGGAGATGGAATCCAAGAGAGCCAGGATCTGAGGAAGGCGGTCCTTGAAGCCAAATTCGACGATATTTCTGACGCTATTTCTGAAATCAACCACGGCTCTCGACGATGATAGGTGGAAATATTCCAGTTCCGTGCTGTAAAATTGCTGATTCTGGCAGTAGTGGATCCAGATCACAGCCACCATGGCGTTGATATTACAGGAAAAAGAGACGGACTCGATTTCAGTATGTCCGGTTGGGACCATGTCAAGGGACAATAACTTCTCCATCGCGTTCACACATAATGCACCAGTCGTGGCATTTTGGTTTTCTGCCACCCAAGAGGTACCGCGGCAAGCCTCGGATTTGAACTCGACAGTGAAGTATGGCCAATAGCCAGCTCTACTTGGTTGCACAAATGGATGGAAGTCGGGGGGCAGGGAAAGGAGACAACCTTGGCTTCCTTCCTCGAAGGAAAAGTTGCTTCGGTCTAAACAGTAGTGTAGGTCAGGCCTCGGTGTTGCGAGTGGAGGAGCGGAGGGAATCTGTGGCAGTGCTTCTGGGTCGAACGGGATGTTGCCAGCTTTCCTGATCTTTCCCGAGTAAAGAAATAAGCCCGGGAGTAGCTGCATCGACATGTATTCTGCATAGATGGTGGATTCGTCCGCATCGTCCAGCATCCGTATGGCGGTGACGGCAGCTTGGGCTTGTGAATCCGGCATCGTCGGAGAGTTTCTGGCTCGGGAGATGATTCGACGTCCATATTCCAGGATAGACGGAGGGATCTGGGCCGGCCTTACCACGATCTTGTTATGGAGCAGATCCTGGCGATAACGAGGTGACCGGACACGAGAGCATGTGCTTGGTTTCTTGGGAAGGTCGGAATAGGATGAGGATGCAGATACAAGGTCGGATATGCCTCCTTGATAGGGAAAAGGCGATTCATTTCCGCTGTACGAAGATGGAGGCGTCGCGGCCAACATCGCAGGGTCCGTGGTCCTACAGGCATCAACGGGAGCGGAATGATGGCGAGGCAGAGGGTCATGATCATGCACATGTGCTGACCGCCGCGGCAGTGTTGGTGGGAAGAATTTTTGGTTTCGCAACATGGTTTGCAACAGATAGCCGTCGGAGCGAGAGCGCGCTTTGAGTTTGGACGCTGGAAAGAGCTCGGGGAACAGATAGAGAAGAGTGCGCCTGTACTGAGTGTGCCGCAAGTCCTTGTCCTCGATATCATCGAATATAAAGCTTCTTATGGGAGGCCGCTGCGGACGCGGGCAATGGATTTCTGGCGGCATGATACTGAGACGATAATCCACTATCGCACGGAGCGCTTCTTTGTTTTCGAAGAGCTACATGAGTTTATATGGGTGGAATATGTCAGGCGAGACACGAAGATTCAAATACCTACCTAGCTCGAAGTATCAAATCCCAGAGGCATAGATTTCTTTGTTGTTTCGAATTGTCCCAGGCACAAAGAGCTATTTTGGTACATTGCTCCGGAATAGGAAGTACAATTCACGGCACGTGACTTAGCTCCAACCTTATCATGATAAGGCTCCACTAGTGGGTGGAAATGCTGCCATGATTGGACCACGTAACTCCACCTCAATAGACGTACCTCCACATTATAGAGGGTTTCGGTTTCGGGCCTCTCCTGTCAATATGGGGTTAGGGTACTCTCTGCGACTCTGCGCTTATACCTTTGTCTGCACAAGAACAAGGTAAACAAACAAACATCTAGAGAGTCACCCATGAATGAGACAATCATGACAAAATGTCCCGATCAATCTAGACAGAAGAAGTCTTTGTCTAATACAACCGGCACGTCTTCATTTGGTATCTAGCAAAGGACAATTTTTAACATTACAACGTAGTCATCAAATCGAGCCAGCAAGCGTATGCCTCGAACTCAAATATAATTGGATCCTTCTTGTCTCGTCGCTTGATCAGCCGAGTCTGGACGGGTGAGACAGGTGAGACAGGTGAGACGGCAAAGACAAATATATGGACAGACTGGCCACTGCTTCTATGACGCCGTCGTTGGTCAGCCAATTTTTGAGGGAGTACTGTCCGGTCTCATACTGGCACGTTGATATCCAGGAGTCAGTGTAGTCACTGTATGGCCTGCTCGAACATCGTCTTCAGATAGATCCTGTTCATGCATAAACGATTAAATAGACTAAACCAAGAACCTAAATCCCTTTCGGGCCGCCTCTTCCGGCACACCCTCTCCAGCGCTCAATACACTGTCGACTTTGTTGGCACCATTGCCATTGCCATTGTTGACAGCACCCTCGACGAACTCGCCGCGGTCGAGCTTTTTGTTCAAGCTAACAAGCATGAACCTCAATACTGTCGCAAAAATAATGGCGATCGCAGCCGTCGTGCAGCAGAGAGACATGGCCACTATGTATCGTGGCCCTGCGGAGCTGGGAAACATATAACTCGCAAAGATCGAGCTGGTGTTGGAGACGGCGTTGATCGCAGCGATCGCAGCCGCACGTTTCGCGGCAGGGCGAGGCAAAGTGTTGGAAATCCAGCCCAGACAGACAACGTAGCCGGAGTAGATGCCGGGAATCATGAGCATCATAGCAAGATAACGGGGAGCCGTGGTTGTGGTTGCCGCAGCGAGGATGAAGGCGATCACAGCAAAGTATAGTGGGCCTGTGATATGGAAATACCGTTCGCCTGTGCGGTCGGCGTGCCAGGCGTTGATGAATGTGGTGATCACGCCCAGGACATATGGTGGGCAGGTGAGTAGGAGAGAATTGATTTTGGAATAGCCTAGTGTCTCGACGACGGTAGGGAAGAAGTTGGTGACACTGCCGGAGAAGACAATGCAAAAAAGGATGATCATCTAGATAACCACAGAGAAGGAGTTTGTCAGTCAAGTTCACGTAGATGACAGGATTGAATGCGACAACAGAGAGAAAGGTGTCAAGCCAGGGGCGGGGTAGTTGATGTGTCGCATGCGGTGCGCAGGGCATACGAACCAAGATCCACATCTTGATATCCTTCGCAGCGAGTTTAGCTCCATGGAGGAACGACTGGTGTTTGCTATCGACCCAGTCGTCCTCGCCGATATCTTCTTCAAGTCTCCATGCGGCCAACGTCTTTTCTTCTTCGCTCAGCCACGCCGTCGTGCGTGGGAAATTGGGTAGGATAAAATATGCAATCATGGCAACACCGATGGTGATGGCGCCTTCCACGATGAACAGCCATCTCCAAGCTCGAAGACCATGTGCACCATCAAGCCCTTCGGTAATACCGGCAGCGATGAGGCCGGAGAAGGCACCGGATAAAAGAGATCCAGAGTAGAGCATGGCGGTGCGGAAACCAAGTTCTTTTCGAGTGTACCTGGCATCGTCCTTGGGTGTTAGTCATGGACTTGTGGGAAGAGAACACGCGAGAGGGGACGATCGAAAAGACTAACCAAGAGGAGAGATAGTATAGACACCCAGGAAAGTATGCGGCCTCCACAAAACCAAGGAAGAACCGGACAGCGATCAAGCCCCCAAACGATTGTACTCCTGCTGTGGCTGTTGATATGATACCCCAGATAACCATCGCCGTGGAGAGATAGATTGCTGGTTTTCCGAACTTGTTGAGGAATAAATTCGACGGGACTTGCATCAGTAGATAGCCTACGAACAGGATAGACACCGCAGTCTGGTATTGGGTGCCGTGGAGGTTGAGTTCCTCCTCCAGCCCAGCAAGTCGGGCCGCGGCGATGTTGTTTCGGTCTAGGTAGTTCAGCTGGTCACAGCGGATGAGCTTTTCGTCGTTCTTAATGGGTGAAGTAGTGAAAGGAACTTACAATGTAGATGATGATGATCATGGGGATCAGACGAATGTCTATCTTCCGGACGAGAGCTTTCTCGGCAGCGATCCGTTGCTCTGGGTTGAGCGACTGAATGTAGGCGGGAGCCTCTTGTCTCTTCCTGCTCGAGACATATTCTGCATTTTCGACATCTTGTTTCACCGAGATTGTAGAAATGTTATCCGGGAGCTCCTTGACATCTGCCATTCTGCGACTTCCGAGAGAGAGGGAAGTTGCTGGGGATGATCGATTGGAGGTTGACAGGAGCAGAGTGACAGGAATGACCAGAAGAAACAAAATGACAGAGTTCTTTCTTTATCGATGGCTGGGAGGCAGAGGCATTTGGAAGTCTGTGGCCGACAATATATATCTGAGCTCGGCATGCGCAATGTGCAGGGCTTGCTTGGGCTTTGACGTTGATAAGAGGATGTAACTGATCGAACGGGTAGGGATGTCCAGTGTAACCCCAGCCCAGGGGCTAACCCACAGTAATGCCCCGTAAAACAAGGTCCGGGGACTGACCCGATGCCTCGACACGGTCTAACTTCGGCCGACAAGAAGGAAAGTAGGACCGTACCATAAAGATAACATGACATCCTTCCGTGCAGTCCGTGTCCTGACATCTGCAACACCTATACTGAAAGAATCAGCGTTTCGGCCTTGGTCGGCAAATATACCGGAGGACGGCAAGTTCATGGGACCCGGGGGCGGAGCGGAGAGGGTGGGGGAACCCCAAACCACCCCCACACCAGGTCAACAGTCAACCACGCCCTAGAACCAACTGGGAAATGTCCCCCGGTATGATCTTCGCGTTTGGAACATGCCAGGCGGGTACATAAACCCTGCTGGCAGAGGCTTGATTGGCACATATGTGTTGATGCCCTGTTGGAAACCAGAGCACCTCTGAAGTCACTTGCCTGCTTCGTGGAGCGATTGGGCAGCCGAGTGCGTGGCGTGATCAGTGTCCCCAACATTCTGTGGCCGCCAGCCTCGCTTTTATCGGGGCATTCCTTCAGAATACACCCAATGTGGTGTTGGAAAGATTTCGCGGCTTTGAAAGCGGCATCCGCGGATGATCCTTGAGCGGAACGCGGGATTGGTTCTGCCTCATCTTTTCATCCAGCAGCACAACTTACAAGGGACCACGAGATGTGATACGACGTTATCCCAACATAGATCCAGAAAACGTGGCCCTCGTTAGGGAATCATGCCGATGGATAACCGTCCCGGTTTGTATAGGTCATGAAACCCATGACCACTCCATCATGTGAGCAGGCATGTTCATGTCGAACATTTCAAAGGAGGGTAAGGGCTGGTCTTGAATTGAACTGTCATGTCATCTTTCAGCTCATTTGTGGGCACCTTGTGCATCTTGGGGAAATCTTCGCCGGGAAGTGCGGCCGGTTGATCCGGTGGCAGCTCATCTAATGCCATTGGCCCAGCAGCATCTGACAACCAGCCGTACTAATCAAGCAAGTACCGAATGACACCGCCGTGGGAACCATGAGTGTACTGGTCGTTGAGCGTGGCGATGACAAAGTTTTTGGCAGACGTGGGTTCTGTAGAGAGTACATTGGCCTGCATAGTATTGATCAGCTGAAATATTCACCGCGACTTACCGAGATACAAATTCTGAGGCAGTTGATGATCAATAAAGACACTCCGGAAACAGTTGCAGCAACGTAGCATACGGGACCAATGCTCCCAGATCTTCCTCTTGCTGTCCCGAATATCAAATGAGTAGTCGGAAAACCGGTCTGCGGTTTTCAGATCAATTCGTTGTCATGACGCAAAAAAAAGTAGCCGGGGACGGGCGGTAACTGGCCAGATTTCTGCATACGATGGTTAGTAGATCGACCCCTGAGAGCCTGGAGTACGAGAATGGAATGCCTCAAAGTCTCAGAGGTTCGACCCTGTGGGCCCTGGTCATCACCGGAAAACCGTGTCGAGATACCGACTCTTCCTGGGCAGGGGTACACCGCTCTTTAGATGGAATATTGCCACCGCATACACCAGAAAGCGGGGTTTGGGGGTTTGGGACAGCCTGGCGCTGGGGTCGGGCAGAAATGCCTAACTGTAACAGTACCTAAGTACATATGTCTTACTTGCCGCTGTGGGACTCTTGAGGTCGACCCCGGACTGCTTTGATTGATGTAGTTGAAAAGGCAAGATATATGAATACCGTTGTGATTCCTACAGCTACGGGCTGCTGCGGCATTCAATCATTCATGAGCGGAAAACTCCGGAGCCCGTGCGGTTGAGCCTCGGCCATTCTGGTAGAGGCAGAGGCTCCTCGTCTCATGCTGAGGCTTCCAAGTGCTTCTGTATGAAAGTAGTTGTTCAAATCTGAACCTGAGGAATGATGCTGAGTGGTTGACTGGAGACTAGTAGAAGGATAGATTGGCTCTCCAACGATCCTGTGGAAATACATCCCACACGTACTGGGTATCTGACCTGTAGATGGCCTGTGAAGAGAAGAGAATTCTGAAGCTTGACGTCTAATACTGACCGAACCCCGGCGTCGCAACCAGTCAGCACAATGAGTTCTGTCGTTAACGGCGACAACATTGTCGTCGTCAAAATTCGCCAATAATATTGCGGCCCGCCGACAAGGCAAGTATTCCGACGGTCACATGTCAGGCTGGGGGCCACCACAAGGCTGAGCGACATTCCCACCGTCACTTTTTCTGTTAGTATTTATTCACCATTCTTTAGGAGCAAGATGCCTGGCTTATGATATGATAAATGTACTGCTTCGACCTGAAGCTATAACAACATGGCAAATGCTGCAGATAGATTTGCATTCTGCACGTTGGGGATGTTCATAATCGGTCTGGACTTCCCAGCTTTCTCTTCATATCAAACCCACAAACATAAATTAACACATCTCCGACAGACGAGATCGAATACCTCAACGGCAGAGCGCGTGAGCAAAGCATCATAGGCGGTGCAGGGACTTACGCGGCGCTAGGAGCTCGGCTAGCAGCCGGTGCTCAACAGGCGAAATATGTCTCATGGATCGTCGACGTGGGCTCCGACTTCCCAGCCGAGTTCAGAGCCTTGATCGACTCATGGCATACGAACTGTGTTTTCAGACTCGACACGGCCCGATTGACTACTAGAGCTTGGAATGGATATGGGCCGAATGAGTATCGAGGTAAGTATTCGCCTAGGAAAGAAAGCTCGAGGATCGTTCTGTTCTGTTGTTCTTTCTTACCTGTGCTTACTTTCCTATCCAAGCGTTTAAATATTTGACACCCAAGCTACGGCTCGACCAAGACTCATTATCAGATGAGCAAGTCCTTGCGCGGTCGTTTCATATGGTTTGTTCAGCATCGCGCTGCATTTCACTTGTTGAGGGGATTATGGCGCGGCGAAGGAGACTCGCCATCGATGAACCGCGGCCCGTCTTTGTCTGGGAACCTATACCGGACCTATGTTCACCGGAAGAACTCCAACGGCTACGTGAAGCAGCCACATTTGTTGATGTGGTCAGTCCAAACGCGGACGAGTTTGCTGCTTTTTTCACGTCTATGCCAGAATACGCAGATCGGCGGGCGGCAGTGGGACACCTGCTCGGCATGGGGGATGCTCAGCCGCTGAAGACTGTGCTGGTCATCAGGGAAGGGGCACATGGCTGCACAACCTACTCGGGGCGGACATCCCTCCATTTACGGGCCCACCACCAGAGCTCTGAGAGAGTTGTCGACCCAACAGGCGGCGGGAACACGTTTTTGGGTGCTTTGGCCATTGCGATGACAGGGACGGCGTGTCCGGCGCAAGACACTCTTGATATGTCTGATGTTGCTGGATCGGCTTTCCAGCAGCAAGGGTTGTTGTTGGCACTCCTACACGCCACGATCGCCGCTAGCTATGCGATTGAGCAGACAGGGATGCCCTCTTTGTCAAATCCTGACTGTGATTGCTGGAACGGCCAGGCATATCTAGAGCGCTTCTTAGAGTACCTGAAGAGGGAAAAGGCACACATAGCGGGGCAACTTTCTAGACAGGTCGTATCGGAAACGTAGTAGGCAGCATTCGACTGAACCGTGTGTCGCAAGCATCTACCACAAGTGCATTGGAGGACGTTCTTCAGGGTAACCGTCGACGCCATCCGAGTCCTCCTATGGCTGGAACAGGGTCCAACCCATTGGAGCAGATACTAATATGTACAGAAGCTGCCAACCGCAAAATGCGACCGCAATTGTCTTGTTGTAAATCCCTTTCCGCCTGGTCAAACGTGCTGCTTTTCCGCACTACTGCTCGCCCCTCACACCCAATGCTACCGGACTTTGGTTCAGTCGAGCTTATTCGGCAGGCTAAGTAGCTTGCGATTCGTCAATCGATTGGGGGGACTCTTGATGGCATGGCGTTTTCCGGCGATGAAGAGACATTGTCGTTATATGGGGAAGCGGTCACTGGTGTTTTACTGGCCTTTCTGTGCTTTATCGTGCTCGATGATCTGTTTGCTCCAACTGTAGAAGAAGAATCGTCAGCACCTTGCATCCAACATCTCATCAACTGTTCCGTCACTCCCTCGTATGGACATCCTCCTCACCCGCGGCCGACAGTTCGCATCCCGGTGACCTTTTCCCGCAAGGCGCAGTTGGGAGTAACTCATTAGGTGCACTTACTATCGACTTGGGAAGAACGCTTCCCGCTCGGGCATTCTGTATCTGTGTTCTCTCTCTGCGGAGACTTTCCACGCGAGGCCTGCGCAAGCGGCGATGATGACACCAAACACCGCGGTGTTGGCTTTCCAGTTCTTCGGTTGTCCATACCAGCCACCAGCGGGCGACCAGATGTGTTTCGGATAAGGGATCTTGCCACCTCCACCCATGTCTGCGGACAATCTGGATATTGAGACGGTGCTGAAGTAGACGTGGAGTTGTCGTGAGGATCGAACAAGGTTCGAACGGATGGATTCACACTGAGCTCAACCCCATCGATTGAGGTGCAGTTTGGTCTCGACGGCGATTGGCTGTGGTGAGAAGCTACGGATACGGCATACCTTCCCCATTCAGAACGCCAATTGATCTACAGCTTCGCCGCTTCATCAGCCTTGGTCTCGTCTATTGCTCCGTCTATAATTATATGACAATCCATTCCTCGAAGGTTGCAGGCTATTCTTTGAAAGACAAACCAACAGCTTGCCTTCAACTGTCGATCGCATTCATTGCCAGGGTGTACTCGTCGACGAGGATTGCTTCTCCAGTAGAGCCGAAATCCGGCAAGTTTCCATAGCTGTCAACTCAGATCGCACGGCTCTTTTGTGGAAGGCCTCCTTCAGTCAGTCTTTCCTCTTTCGTACTGAACGACTCGCTATACCAGATCCTAGGCGAGATCTGTGACACGAGGCAGACCACATACGTGTTTGATAGTCGGACCAAGAGGGGCAAGCTTGGCGTGTTTGCCGTCAACGAGAGATCGACGTTATCCCAACAGTTATCTGGATTTCAAGATCACTTGTAGCCAGGAGGGAGTGTATAGGTTGTCCTGTAGGAAGCTCAGCGGCGCGGCATCTCGGTCACTACTTCCCAATTTCTTCTTGAACCTCAACTCCAACATGGCCGACAAAGCCCCTCCCTCCGTGGCAGCAATTGCTGTTTCCTCGGTCCTTCTGGGCCTGCTGGCAGGCTACTTCATTGGTCAAGGCAAAGGCATCGGTGTCTTTGGCGGTCCAAGCAATAGCAGAACGAGCTGGCCGAATAGCTACGACGTCAAGGTCCACGCCGACTCGAGTGATGACCAGGCTGACGATGAGGAGGATGAGGAGGAGGAGCAGGAGGAGGAAGAGGACGACGAAGAGGACGGTGACGGCAAAGAGCTGAATGATTTCAGAAATTCTACAGAGGAAGTGAAACTGGTACTGGCTGTTAGAACGGACCTTGGAATGGGCAAAGGTGAGTAGAGGCCATGCACTGGTCACAGTCCGCACCAAAAAGCTGAGCTAACATGTTCGTAGGTAAGATTGCAGCTCAATGCTCTCATGCGACGCTCGCTTGCTACAAATACCTCCTCAAACATCCTACCTCGACGCCTTTGTTGAAACGCTGGGAGTGGGGAGGACAGCCCAAGATCGCCGTTCAGGTCAAGTCTGAAGAGGAGTTGGAAACTTTACAAGCACAAGCCATCAGTTTGGGTCTTTGTGCTAGGATCATCCACGATGCAGGCAGAACGCAGATCGCTGCTGGCAGTGCAACTGTACTAGGAGTGCTCGGTCCGAAGAGCGTTGTTGATCAGGTTACTGGGCATCTGAAGCTATTGTGATCTTTCTCAAATCAGGAACACCGGTTCGGGGGCGGATTTGTAGCTCGTTCTCCGTGATGAGTGCACAGCCTGTGCCGGTCGGTATGACCTTCAGCGCTACGAGCTTTCATGTCTCTCTGGGGGCCACCTCTGCACGACTTTTCTTGCGGCTTCGAGGGATTGTCTGCTATTGACCGGCTGCCTGTCATCTCTACTTTCGAGGTGCGGCGTGCACCGCGTCTCAGCAAGAAAAGACGATATCATCCACCCAATCCTGGATCGCATTGAGGTGCTGAGCACGAGCATGAAGGACAAGCTCATATGCAAGAGCGCACCCCCTCGGCTGAAAATTACCATGGAGCTCTGCGGCTCGCTTCACCTCGCTCGCCTCGCCAACGAATGGGATCGAGGCGAACAGGTTCTAAGGCTGTACGCCAAATGAATGAAACAAACCTTCCGATCCATGGCAGACCCCATGTTAATTGGCCGAGAGTTTGGGGGGACGGTCTCTCAAAGCGATCAGTTCCAGCAATCTGTTATGGGGAAAACTGCCAATCCCTGCCACCTCGATAACATCTCCGGATAAAAGGATGCAAACGACCAATCAGCAATGCCTCGATCAAATCACACATTATTCGAACGACGGCTCTGAACGCTGGGCAGTCGACCCTCTACTGAAACCCCGGATCGAGCACCCCCGGATTCCCCCAAACCCCGCATAGTCGTGTCCATTCTCACCCTGGGGTACAAGAAGTAGCAGATGCTATATAAGAAGAACTCAGCTACTTCCCTCATAGCTGTCTAACTACCAATGTAGTTCGAGGATTTGAGCCATTTGCCCAGTGAAGAATCACAAGCACCCGAATGGCTCCAACAGCGACCTCGAACGGGTCACATTTACTCTCCCATATTCAGGATGTAGCGTTGGCATATCCTTTGCAGCTTGTAGCTGTCTTCATTCTTTTCCGACTGCTATGGAACAAGTTCCAGCCTCAGCTCGTCAGCATACCTGGCCCTCCTCTCGCAGCATACACGAAACTCTGGAGGCTGTATGATGTATGGAAGGGACAGGCTCACCTGACTGCAGTGGCCCTGCACAGAAAGTATGGCCCTCTTGTTCGAATCGGCCCCAACCACGTTTCGGTTGCGGATCCGTCCTACATTCCTGTCTTCTACAACATCAAGGAGAATTATACAAAGAGTGGATTCTACCCGATCCAATGTGTCTCCTGGAAAAAACAACCTGAAATGAATTTGTTCTCCACCCGGGATCCAAACTATCACAGAGTCGAGAAGCGCAAAGTGGGAGCAGCATACAGTCTACCCAATCTCTTGGAGTCCGAGGAGGCCATTGACTCATGTATCAAACTATTCATGGATCGTCTGGACGAGGTTGCCGGAAAAGGTCAGCCAGTTGACCTGGGTGCTTGGCTACAATACTTCGCCTTTGACGTTGTTGGCGAGGTCACCTTTGCCAGTAAACTAGGCTTTCTCGAGCAAGGACAGGACGTGGACGGCATGATGAAGGCTATTGAGGGGATGCTCACTTACGCCGCTCTTTGCGGCCAGGTGCCGGAATGGCACAAATACTTACTTGGGAATCCGGCCTTCACCTGGGTGATGCCGGCTATGGAAACCTGGAATCAAGTACTTGTTTTTACTCTCAAGGCGATCAATGGCCGAGCATCGATCAAGCGAGATGGTGAACTGATCAGCGCCGACACGGGGGGCCGAGATATGCTGTCAAGATGGGCTTCGGTCAAATCATCAGATCCTCTGAAGATGAGCACGCGTGACATCATTGTCCATTTGTCCACAAATGTGTTTGCTGGTATGATACCTCTTCCGTGTCCTTCCCAGTCCAGGGCCTTCTAACAGACTCGACAGGAAGTGATACCACAGCAATAGCGTTGCGCGCTGTGGTCTACTACCTCTGCAAGAACCCCCATTATATGGCAAAGGTCGTGGAAGAGATCGATTCTGCCGATAAACAGGGCCAACTGAGTACGCCCATCTCGTACAAGGAGTCGACAACTTTGCTTCCCTACTTCAACGCCGTCCTCAAGGAGGCCATGCGCATCCACCCATCCGTGGGACTGCTCATGGAAAGGCATGTCCCGCCCGAAGGGGTGGAGATTCAGGGCCACTTCATCCCTGGCGGGACCATTGTCGGCATTAACCCTTGGGTAACAAACCGAGACAAGTCTGTCTTCCCAGATCCTGATGAATTCAGGCCTCAGCGCTGGCTAGAGGTTTCCCCGGACCGATTGAAGCAGATGGACAATATTCTCGAACTGAATTTCGGCGGCGGGAGCAGGAAGTGCATTGGACGCAACATCAGCATGATCGAGATGCAGAAGGTGCTTCCACAGTTGTTCCGCGAATACACGGTGGAGTTGACGCACCTGGACAAAGAATGGCACATTGTCAATCATTGGTTTGTGCAGCAGGAGGGCGTGGTGTGCAATCTGAGGAGAAGACGGAAGAATTGAGCTGGTCAATCACCAGGACCATATATCGTGATTCAACGGTGCCACGGCATCATGGCTCGATTCGACAATGTTGATTTCGCCTTGCCAACTACAACCTTGAGACTCTTAAGGATAGCATTCTGCAAAGCATGAGTGATAAGCCCCCTGTAGTGCATGAGCCCTACTCAGTCTTGTTCCATCAACCAGCTACGCGCTCAATCAAATATATGTCTCTCTCGTTCCCTTCTCGTTGCTCCTATATATCGCATCAATCATCTTATGTCTGAGCAGAGCATCCTCAAACGTGGTGACACTGCCGGGGCCCTTGTCGACGAAAGCATCCCAGGCCAAACCAACATTATAGGACAAGTCGTCGGCTCTGTCGACCAGGACCTCGTCCAGTTTCGCGCCAGGCTCAGCCTTGACAAACTTCAAGGTGGGATGGAACATCTGGACGTGGCCCTTGTCCGCCTCGAGCACCAGACTGCCCTTGGTGCCATTGATCTCCCAGTAAAAGTCCTTGCCCGTGACGGAGGTTCCGCCCTGATAGACAACCGTGGCGACGCCTCCCCCTTTCACCAGATGGCCGGTGAGAGCCATATAGTCGTGGGCCGTCTTTGGCACTGGTTTTGGCTTGGACTCGGAAGTTGACCCATCCACCAACAGCAATTCCGGCCGATTGTTGGCCAGCGTGGCCTGCACATCGGCCAACTCGCCCAGCACCCAACACAGGGCGTCCATGGCGTGTCCCGCGGGGATGGTGATCAGGTTGGCCCCGTGCTTCAGGGGCAAAGTGTACAGCATGCCCGGGGTGGTCGTCGGGCCAAAGATCATCCCCGACCCGAGCATGGTGGTGCCCAGAATCTCGCCCAGTTTGCCCGCGCTCACCATCTCCCTGGCGCGCCGGATGCTCGGGTTCTGCCGCGCCTGCAGGCCAACCATGGTCCTGACCTTGTGGGCGGTCGCCAGCGCCGTCAGCTCCTCGGCTTGCTGCAGGTTCGCGGCCAGCGGCCACTCGACGAAGATGTCCTTGCGGGCCTCCAGCGCCGGCTTGATCAGCGCGTAGTGCTCCGGCACTTTGACCGACACGATCACCATGTCGACGTTCGCGTCGTGCACCAGCGACTCGATGTCGTCGTAGCATGCCGTCGTGTCGGCGGGGAGATTGTATTTCTCCACCGCCGCCTGCGCCGCTTGCTTGCTGCTGTTCTGCAGCGCAGTGATTGTGTAGTCCGCGCTTTGCTGAAGGTGCTTCAAGTGCGAGCGGGAGGCCCATGATCTGTTGATGATCAGAAAGTCAGTATGAGTATGTATAAAAGATGACCGGCATTGACTTTCACTTACCCCTGAGCAGACAGACCGACCACACCCAGACGAATGGGCGCCATTTTCTTTCGCTGAAACTCACTGGTTGACTGTTGGGCTAGAGACTGGTATTGGGTTGACTGGGGTATCTGGTTGGTACAGAAGAAACAACTCCGGTACAGCTAGGACACCTACCTCGTATACAACGTCTCAAGCTACAATTGGAAGTTCTGGCATGATTGATAATCGTCCCCGAGATGCGGCAGATTGCGGGAAGTACATTACCTAATACTATACGGGGTAGAGAAACAAGGGGATAGATTGCTTTTCGTCAGTCCGAGGACAATCATGTTCACATCACCGGCGGAATTCCGAATATCAGGTTCAACTATATCCTTTTCTCCTTATTGAGCAGGGAAACATGTGAACCCTCTTTGGAGGAAATATCCGGCTGTCTAGCAAGAGAATCGAGATTGTGGTATCATCCATGAGTTACAGGCACACACGCGCTCCGCTGGAGACATGACGAGGCTGACTTCGTGGATGCTCATGATCCTGGATTTATGACACTTTCTATATGGCTCGTTCAGATGTCGATGGGTGGCGGTCCTATATAGGCTAGAAAATCAGTGTTGGTTGGGCCAATGCTCTTGCAGGAGCTAGGTAGGCAAGCCGTTGTGCGTCTTCCTCCAGCCAGATGCAGTAATGTCAACAGTATGATCGACCTGGTACTCCGGAGCCCCTGGGTGATATGGATACAGTCCGCCAACAAGAACGCAATCAGAATAGATGAGCTCGTTTCTTTGCTATCCCTGATAAGCCATCAGTTGATCTATCCCACAGACATCCATCAAATCCACTCTTGGGGTGACATCAACTGACAGATTGTTTCTGGTGGGAATATTTCCCAGCCAGTTCTTCACTCCGTTGCTGATATGTCTGGCGATACTCGTTGAGCAGATCCAGTGAAATCTTGGATCCGCCACACACGACAATCACGACTTTCGAGTCCGGACTCAAGCCCTCCAGATAATGTCTCAACCTCCCATCGTATGCTAGAGCCACGCTCGCCCCGCATGCCGACTCAACAAGGATCCTTTCGTCGTCCAGAAACCGCCAGCATGCCGAGGCTGCTTCGGCGTCCTCCACGACCACGGGTGTGACGGTCGGCCGTCGAGCTTCTTTAAAAGCGTGGTCGGCGACTCGAATAGCACCAAGGGATGTGGCGATGGATGTGATCCCCGGAAGGGTGACGAGCCGGCCTTGTTGAACGGACTGCGCCAGAGAGTCTGCGCCTAGAGTCTCGACGGGAAATACGCGGACGCGACCACCCCATCCCACGCGGTCGAGGCCTTGCATGACCCCCGAGAACAGCCCGCCACCTCCGACAGAGCAGACGATGGCATCTGGGCTGCCCTCGTCCGGCATCTGCGTCTTGATCTCGTCCACCATGGTCGCGGCGCCCTCCCAGATGGCCGGGTTGTCGAACGGGTGGATGTAGATCCCCTTCTCGCCGCGCTGTTCGGCACCAGGGATGACGACTTCACGCAGATGCTGGTCGGCGTAGAACCAGCTGTCGCCGTGGGAAATGACCTCCGTGGCTCCCGCGGCCCGGAGCTTCTTGATCGTCCCCTCGTCGGTGCTGGTGGGCACCACGACCGAGGCTTTGTAGCCTAGTCTCGTGGCGGCCGTGACACACGCAAGGCCTGCATTGCCGCCGGACGAGGAGTAGAAGTGGAGCGGTCTCGTATCCGAGGGGTCTTGTTCTCTGATTGATTTGAGCACCAAGTTCCCGATCCCGCGCGACTTGAATGAAGAAGAAGGCTGGAGGTTCTCCAATTTAAGAAAGATGCGGCTGCCAGATTGGTTCAACGTTCATTCAGGGCATTCAGAGGGACGCCGGTACTCACCATCCGGCGATCTTTGAGAGTACACTCGACTCGAGTAAAGGCGTCTCAATCCAGGGCTGCTTGATCGACGCCATGTCGTCCACGCTGTACTGATTTCTTTCAATCATGGAGGACTTGGCCTATATGCGTGTTAGAAATACGTGACAATCGTCTAGGTCGAGATTGTAATCTAAGATCTGATTGTGACGCTCAGAGACTATCGAGATGGATGGAAACGCGCCCTGTTACATTCGATGTTTCTGAAGATGAAATAGAGGTCGCTCGGCTGGTGCCGGTTAGCGGAGCTGCAGAGGTCATCTCACGTTTGATCTTCGGATGATTGTATGCGTTTACATTGGTGTATGTTGGTCAAGGGTTAAGCAGAATACAATCTTCTTTTCGTCTATGTCGAGACCAAAGACACAATCATGATGATTCCAGATGCGTACTCTGTAGACCCCTTGTTGGGAGACGAGATGGGAAGATAAGATAGGAATCTGGCGGACGGTTAAGTCGTGCTGGTACAACATTGAACCGATAGTCCGTGACAGTCATTGGTTGAGTATCTTATCACGATACCCACTAGTAAAACTGACTACTAGTACCTTATCAAAGTAGGTACATTCTGTGGCTACCTTAGTCTGATAAGGCTTCGTATCTCTGTACTAGTACCTATACTAGTAGTACTGCTACTCTGATAGAGGTAAACGAAATACGAGGCTGACCGCGGATGTCAGACGGAAAAGATGCCGTTACTACTATTGGACGTCGACTGCGGATAACCACCGACCAGCGGAACCTGCCTTTCATTCATCTTCCCTACTTCCCTACTCAAGGTTCACTCCGTTTCTTCCATGCCTGCTCGATAGCACAGATCGCAAGTCCCATCATGGGCTCATCTCCTCTTCCCGTGAGCTTGCAGAGCAAGTTCCAGCGACCCCGAGCGGCATCCCGATTGAGAGACCTCCGAGGCAACGTTAACATGTACGTCCCCCGTCATCTGATGCCAGGAATGCCCGACTAAAGAAATTGATTGCCTTAGACTTCGCAATATCATATTCGCATTATTCCTCCTCCGCATCGTGCGCAAGTCGTTCTGGTTCCTACGAGGCCATGGTATCTTCGGATCGGTCGTCGTCCTCTACCGACATCTCCACAAGACCGCCTATACGGTGTTCCTCAACCTGCCCGGAGTTAAGTCCCAGGTGTCGAAACAGTTGGAGGTCGCAAAGAAAGAGATCGAGGACAAACTCGTACCGACGGGCCCCGGAGTCACTCGCTACCTCCAACTGCCGAAGGAGCCTTGGACCCGCGATCAATTGAACGCCGAGTTGGAGTCGTTGGCGACGATGAAACGAACCCGGTGGGAAGAAGGAAAAGTATCGGGCGCAGTGTACCACGGCGAACAGTTCCTGTTGGACATACAAAGCGATGCCATGAAGCTCTTCAGTGTGGCCAATCCCATCCATGCCGACGTCTTCCCTGCCGTCCGAAAGATGGAAGCCGAGGTGGTGGCCATGGTGCTATCTCTGTTCAATGCTCCCGCGTCGGGGGCGGGCACCACGACGTCCGGAGGAACAGAATCGATTCTGATGGCCTGTTTGTCCGCCCGACAGAAGGGCTATGCGGAACGCCGAATCAGAGAGCCTGAAATGATCATCCCTAGTACGGCTCACGCCGCGTTCCACAAGGCTGCCAGCTATTTCAAGATTAAGCTACACCTTGTCGACTGTCCCGCACCGGAATACATGGTGGACATCAAGAGAGTCAGGAGATTGATCAATCCCAACACCGTGCTGCTGGTCGGTTCGGCGCCCAACTACCCGCACGGGATCGTCGACAACATTCCGGCCTTGTCGAAACTTGCGGTTTCCTACAAGATTCCACTGCATGTCGATTGCTGTCTGGGCTCCTTCATCATGCCCTGTCTTTCCAAGGCTGGCTTTCCTTCGCCATGGGCGGACGAAGGCGGCTTCGACTTCCGCCAACCCGGCGTGACTTCGATCAGCGTTGACACGCACAAATACGGCTTTGCGCCCAAGGGCAACAGCTGTGTCCTGTACCGCAACCGCCAGCTACGTGAATACCAATACTTTGTCTGCCCGGAGTGGTCTGGCGGCGTGTACGGCTCACCGACCATAGCTGGGTCACGACCGGGCGCTCTTATTGCAGGATGCTGGGCCAGTATGATGTCGATCGGGGAGAAGGGCTACGTGGATGCGACGCATAAGATTGTCAGCACAAAACTCACCATTGAGAACGCGATCAAGGAACATCCCGTTCTCAAAGAGACTTTGCGCATCCTAGGCAGGCCGATGGTCAGTGTCGTGGCCTTCGATTCCGCAGACCCTACCATTTCCATCTATGACATCGCCGACGCCATGAGCCGCCGGCAATGGCATCTCAATTCGCTGCAAGACCCTCCCGGTGTGCACGTTGCTGTGACGTTGCCCATGACTCGTCCTGGATCCGTGGATGTGCTGATTGATGATCTGGTCGCCGTGGTCGCGGAGGAGAAGGAAAAGGCCGTGGAACGAATCAAGGCCGGCGGGCCTATCGACCAAGCCAAAGCTAAAGGATCTAGTGCCCAACTTTATGGCGTCGCGGGCAGTCTGCCGGACAAGTCTATTGTCAAGGAACTGGTGGTGGCTTATTTGGACACTCTCTACAAGGCATGATTGCCATTGCGAAGCAGAGGTGCTACAACCGGCCTCCCTTGTCCGGACGGTACACTGATCCTCAATACTTTTACATAACGCATATAGTGGGCCAACTACGGCCAGCTTGGAATTATCCACTACACTACATGTCACAGAGTAGTTTAGTACGAACGCGCCACAATTCGCCTCATGTTGTTTGATGGATGGATGTGAGCTGGGTTCTCTACTCAGTAGTCGATCTCACATGTTCCATCATTGCTCAAGTCCGCCACCGCTGGATAGACAACCTCTAGGATCGTTGCATTCGTTCCCGTCATCTGCTGCTGCTGTTAACGAGGCAGATGTGTCAGACCTCGCTCGTCCCACGGTAGGCCTTTCAATCGAGGATAGACCGTAAGCCTCGACTGCAAGTGAGTTCGCATTGGAGGGGAAGTTGACCAATCGAACAGTTCAACCGAATCCATGATACAGACAAGCGCACGAAACCAGTTCTGGTTCTGGCTTCTGGCTTACGGCCTCTAGAACGTTGCCTCCAGGGGGCATGCCAGCAGTCAGTGGTGATGCCAGGGGGTTCAGCCTCGGCGAGATACGGAGAAATAATAATCCGGGCGGCCATTAATCCGGCGCCATCCAACGTTCAAGTTCACGTCTTGGGACTCAACTGACGAGGTTCCCTTGTCCTGAGGACTCAAGAACGCCCCAATAATCGATGATGCCTTAGACCAGGAGGTCATTGTCAATGAGACGATCTCCACTTCCCATGCTGCGTGACTCTACGTTGCACCACTGCATGCAGTCAGCTCGCGCCTCAACATGAGAATGTCTAGGCTCTCTGTCCACCCCGGAGTGTCACGTCTTCTGCACTCAACGACCCCTTGTCCTTGAAGGCCAGTGCTCTCCGGCACCTTATCGACTGCCGCGTCTCGATATCTTATCGCCGGTACATTACATCTGGCATCTGGGTTTAAGAGACATGCGCGTACCAGTTACCGGTCTACCCGAGGTGGGATTGCAGTCATCAGGAACCAACAAGGGCCTGTTGAATTCTCGGCTGTGATGGCGCCAATATGTGCTTCAATTGCCGTTGCCGTCTTTCACCGTTGGTCATGAGCACCTTCAGATTCTCCGTCTCCAGCTTCGTTCAAAAGCTACACGGCAGGAGAGGCGACAGCTCTAGGGGCCTTCGTTCGAAACCCTCCCACTATTGGTACGATCCGACGTTCCGTCTCTGGACCACTGAAGTAGCTGGTCCCCGGAATGTCCGAGCTCGGTCTCAGGATCCGGGGCAGACCCTTGCAATTCTGGGGACTGGCCACTCTGCGACTGGCTGTTCCAGACTTGACAGGGGCTTGAGTCTTGACAGAGGTTTGAGTCTTGACAGACTTCAGCCCTCGCTGAATCTCAGAAAGAGTTAATCTGCGGATCGTCTGACAATGATTTGTGGAGTCTATCTCCAATCGCTCGAACCCCTTGTCTATATCGGAGAGAGGAAGGTCGGTAGCATACGAAAAGTTAAGTACCCATATAGGTATGGCGAGGCGATTCCATCACACTTGTCAATGACGTCCGCCCGATTGCCAACAAGCCAGCACTCGTGGCAGGATCTAACAACCAAGCCGACATATACCGTGCCGTCGGCATTTGTTCATGTCTGGTGATTCGCTCCCCGGCCAATGCGGATGCCAGCGTTCAACCACCGGCTAGCTGCATGAATCTGCATCGACCCCATAATGGGGACTCCAGACTCCAGACTCCAGACTCCAGACTCCAGACTCCAGACTCCATCTGAATCGTCATTATGGGAGATGCTTGCTCGTCCTGACCGTGAATTCAGCCGACAGGACAGCCCTTGCTGGCATTGGCGCCTCCACCAATCTTGAGTTAGGCTGTTATGCAGACTCCATCAGTCCAGTCAAATTGAGTAATTATGAGCATGGCTCGGTGAAATTCCAGCCTCGTCCACCCCGATGCTGAAAAAGTAGGTATATATCCAATTCCCTAGTAGGACCCCGTTTCCTCACAACCCCAGATTCCAGTTCTCAAGTTCGTCTGTGAAAGGCCAGTGATCCTCTGCCAGATCTGTGTGATTGAACGCAGATAGCCACTCTGGGAGCTCACCAGACCATACAACACCACCATCACAATCATGACTTTCCTCTTTAAGAAACCGGCAGACATGCCCGGATCTGCCGTGCCTGCGATCCTCATCGGTGAGATCTTGAGCGTCCCCACTCTTGAAGGTGATCTTGTCTAACGGTGGAAAGGATGCTTCGTTGCATTTGGCGGTGTTCTCTTCGGCTACGATACGGGGACGATCGGAGGAATTTTAGCAATGAAATACTGGCGCAAGCTCTTCTCCACAGGATACATCAACCCGAAAGACCACCACGCCGACGTGACTGCATCGCAGACGTCGGAAATCGTGTCGATCCTGTCGGCGGGCACGTTTTTCGGCGCTCTATTCAGTGCCCCTCTAGCAGACAGGTTAGGACGGCGATGGGCGATGATCTTCAACACCGGGGTCTTCACATTCGGCGTAATCCTGCAGACGATCGCGACGCAAATCCCGTTATTCGTAGCCGGGCGGTTCTTCGCCGGTCTAGGCGTCGGACTCTTGAGCGCCACGATCCCGCTGTACCAGTCTGAAACGGCACCGAAATGGATCCGAGGCGCCATCGTAGGGTGCTACCAATGGGCCATCACGCTTGGCCTGTTTCTTGCCGCGATCGTGCTCAATTCCACAAAGGACAAAAACGACACAGGGTCCTACCGCATCCCTGTCGCCGTGCAGTTCGCATGGGCGATTATTTTGGTGGCAGGCATGCTCATCCTGCCCGAGACGCCGCGGTTCTTGATCAAAAAGGGCAAAGGAGCGGCTGCGGCAAAGTCCCTGTCCCGACTGCGTCGGTTGCCCGTCGACCACCCGGCGCTGATGGAAGAGCTGGCCGAGATCCAAGCGAACCACGAATACGAACTGACCATGGGCACGGCGTCGTATCTGGCCTGCTTCCAGGCGCCGATCAGAAAGAGACTGTTCACCGGCATGGCGCTGCAGGCCCTGCAGCAGTTGACCGGCGTCAACTTCATCTTCTACTACGGCACGACGTATTTCACCAGCGCGGGCATCAATAACCCCTTCACTGTCTCCGTCATCACCTGTGTCGTCAACATCTGCAGCACCGTCCCAGGCCTATATCTAGTCGAACGCTGGGGTCGGCGCCCGCTCCTCATGTTCGGCGCCGTCGGCATGTCCGTGTGCCAGCTCATCGTTGGCAGCGTGGGCACGGCTCGCCCGGACGAGTCGGCCGCGGGAAACGCCTTGATCGCCTTTGTCTGTCTCTACATCTTCTTCTTCGCTTGCAGTTGGGGCCCGTGTGCTTGGGTTGTGACCGGTAGGCTAGCCCCGGAAATGGAATTGCCAGAACAAAAAGAGGAGAACGGCCATTGCAAACCCTATAGAGGATTTTTCTTCCCAAAGCTGACATACTGTTGTATAGGTGAGATCTTCCCGCTCAAAGCTCGTGCAAAGGGCTTGTCCATGACCACGGCTTCCAACTGGCTTCTCAACTGGGCCATCGCCTACGCCACTCCGTACATGGTCAATGCAGGACCAGGAAATGCGTAAGTGTACACTGTATAAAGTGACATATTCTTTGCTTCTCCACACAATTCACCAAAAAAACAAACTTGACCTTTTTGACGTTGACGTTGACGTTGTCTCTGACTCTGACTAACTCTCCCATTCTTATCTTTCACAGAAACCTCGGCTCCAAAGTCTTCTTCATCTGGGGCGCCTTCTGCTGCGTATGCATGGCCTTCGTCTATTTCTGCATCTACGAAACCAAAGGCCTGTCCCTGGAACAGGTCGACGAACTGTACGCTAAAGTCTCCTCCGCCAAGAACTCGGCCGGGTTTGTGCCTACCGTGCATTTCGTCGATGTCAAGGGGGTCGGCGCCTCGGAGGCCAGGCGCAGTACTTTGGCGGATTTGGAGTTGGCCGCGGTGAGGAGGAAGAGTTCGATAGTCCATCAGGAATATTTGAAGTCTTGATCTGGTTGTCATATATCTATCTACCCATTCATATTGAATCTATGGACAGTGGGGGCCAAGAGAGGATGAGGACCACTAGCAACTAGACTGGGAGGAGGGTTAGGGTAAGGTGAAGATTCGAAAACCAGGTACTATGATCATGCCACGGGTATAGGGTTGTATTGGGTTTATATGATATCGGATAGTATAGTATGGGAAGAAGAGGAGAAGATAGCACAGGAACCATCAAGATGGAAGAGAAAGAGGAGGGAGAGGAGGGAGAGTAGAGCAGAGTAGAGCAGAGTAGAGCAGACAAGAATGGACATGACCATTGACCAGTTCTAGATGTACTTTTCTACGAGATAGGGATCAGGTCATCACATCCACTACGTTTCTGGTTCATGTCGTGTAGTGCATCAAGCTAATTTGGGAGAATCAAGTTTTTGCAGAGAGTTCATCGATGGCCAGAACATTTATGACTTCAATTCAATTCAGTTAATTTTGTCTCGTTCATTGTCTCGTATATCATAACCTTCATATCTAGGCTGGAAATCAGCAGGCTTTGACATCCCAGAGGACATCTTGTTCTTGCGCTCTGTTCTGTTCTGTTCTGTCTGTCACCCATGACCCCCGTCTCCACCTACGCCAGTGAACCTCAAATGTCATGTATATTCATTCGGTCATTCGTAATTCGGTCGTTACCTGCATAGCCGTCATTCCTTCTCTCGTTTCCCGGGAAGCTGTCGATTCTTGGGACCAGATATATCGATCGTAGGTTCATCAGCTGAATTCTGCGTGTCTGCAAGTCGTGTCGTCCATGGCGTTATGGAATTCGTTATCTTGCATGTTGATTCGTGACTGTCGGTTCAAAGTATCGCAAGTACCCACGGGTACCAGTCACGCTTTCCTAGGGGGATGTAGATACGACTTTGGCTCTGCGTTGATTCGTAATTCGTTCATTCGTTCATTCGTTCGTTCGTCTCTCGTGGCCCACAATCCACTCCTTCCTCTGGCATTAGGCTTCTCCATTTCTCCAATACCGGCCCTCTCTCTTTCTGATATTGTGTTTCTGTCCGTCAGAGTCTCTTTCGGCTTGCCATCAATTCTCACTGTTGGTTTGCCCGTTGGTCTATCTCTCCGTCTCTCCGTCACTCTTCGTCTCTGTTCAAGAACGTGCATCGTTGTGGGCTCGCAAGTTCGCATCCCCCGCGGTCCGTTACTTCCCACCCCGTTTCCGCAGTTCTCGTGGCGCTGCCGTTGCAATGACTTGTGGTGCCGGTCCTTCTTTCATCACAGCAACATCAGACCGTCTCTTTCGCTTCTTCGAGAGAACTTCCACGGCACGTTCCGCCGCCCTGCATTGTGCCTCGTCCTTGCACGTCGCTCTCTTCGCATGTGTAATTCTCTCACCGTCAAGCATGACTTTACATCTCCACCGCTTCACAACATCAACGTCGACTCGTTTCTTCTCACTGGCCAAAAGCTTGCAACCCGGCTGGATCTCGCTGAGCAGTTGCTCGGGATGGCGGACGTCCAGATTCGCCTCCGGCGCTGCCGCAAACCGCTTGACTAGATCCATGAAACCGAGAGCGTCCAAGATGCGGGTGCAAGCCTCCAAATCGCCGCGTGAGTCGATGAACACGGCGCCGAGAACCGACTCAATGACATCCGAGTACGTTTTCGGTGCTCCGATGTGTAGTAGATCCGACCAAGGAAATTTGCGGCCCTGCTTGAGCACGTGGATTATGTCATCACGCACGTCGTCGTAAGCTGCCAACGTGGTTTCGCGACGGACTGGATCCTCACGGTTGCCAATACGCCGTATATGGTCGAATAGATAGACGGTCCTGGTTGATTGGCGATCGACTGTTTCGCGTGTGAACGGGTCAGTATCCAGCTCGTACGCAGTGCAGGTGTAAGATGCTTGGAAGGCGAAGAATGCCAATGTCGCGTGGCTAACGAGCGCATGCCGTCGGAGGGTCATCTGTTCCGGATCGAGGTGAAGAGGACTGTGGAATAGTTTGGTCTTGACGATATGGTCGAGAACAGCGTCGCCTAGGAATTCGAGCCTATCGTACGACGAGACTTGACCTCCGAGCCAGGATTGCGTCAGCGCTTCGGCCAAGAGTGCGCGATGATCGAACGTGTACCCTATCAAAGACTCGACGGGTTTGAAGGGTTCGATATTCATATCGGAATTGTCCATGATAGGTACTCTGGCTATGTTCTCGGACAGGCGTCTCCAGGGAATCTCATCAATGAAGAGTTGTAGGGCGCGGATGACCTTCTCTTCCAGAAAAGACGTAGATTTGAGCGACTTCGCTCCATCCAAGCTCGCAGCACCGATAAGGGCTTCAATCACATCAGCAAGAACCTTTGATGAGAGATGCGTCTTGACAGATGATCCCTCGGGGATCTCTTCTTTGGTAACTCCGGCTGTCCACTCGGCGCCGGAAAACCGGTGCTGCGTGAGAAACTGGTCGAGGCCCAGCGTTCTGGTAGCTTGTTGCAGGCGGGCATTTGAGACGATTCGCTCACGAGCCAATGTCAGCAGGCTTTCAGGATGGTTGGGGTTGTCCACGAACACCTGGATCGAGGCGTAGAACTTCAGTAAATCGTCCCCGATGAACTCAAGACGTTGGTAGTTTCGGGTTGCCACTCTCGGCAATGTCAGAGCTTCAGATACCATGTCTATATCCGTGAAGCCCAGTCCTGCTAGAGGTCCGTTGCAAGCGGCCATGGTACGTAGACAACCTTCGAGCATATGCGTAATAGAGGGCACCAGCAATATAAGACGAGCGTATGGGACGGGAAGCCCAAGAACTGTACATCGACCAACTGGTAGTGAATGCAACACAGGCACATCCATCGACGCAGAAGTCACAGGCGGAGTAAGAATCTCCAGTTTGCGTGACAGTCTGTTAGCAAGGATTTCGAGACCTTCTCCGTCGCTCATGCCATCGGAGGTAAATCCACCTTTTTCTGGTCGATAGACGTAAGGAATGTGTTGATTGCTGTGCACTATAAGATACTCTCGACCTTTGGTGTTCAACAGGAGACTTCTTAGCGGTCTGGTGATGGAGATATCCTCATACCAAGCTTGAAGCGATTGTTGTTTGACGTCTGGCAGCAGGAGAAAAGGAAACTGATGTTTCTGGAATCCTTGCAGTCTTCTTCCTAGGACGATGCCCAACAGGTACAAGCTGATTTCTTGCGCCAGGTCCAGCGGACAGTCATAAACCTCTTCCCCTGAGCCTAGTGACACTTCAACACAGTCCAAGTGCGTTGAGTACAAAGGAAACTTGGCTCCAGGAAGCTTCACCGGGAGAAGCAGGAGCAGAGTTGGCATCGGGCCAGTTTCGCTCTTGACTTGTAGTCGATGAGCATAAACAGCGCGGCATCTTGTCCAACTCTGCAACACTTCCGGCCAGGGGTTGTATTGTTGCTTGACAACGTAGATGCTCTCTCTCTCTTCTGTATTTCTCATGTCTGTTGCATCCTGCTCTGCATCAGTATCTTCTGACCATCGTACGGGTTGGAGGTTTTCTGTAACCAAACCGGCCGTGTAAAGCGCCAGGTATGCTTGGAATGCCGCATCTCTCTTGGCCATCTTCTCCGTCTGCCAGTTCGATTTGCATTGTGCTACCTGCAACTTTGCTGGGAGAACACTGGGTAGATATACCCTTGCAGACACCTCATTCCCAACCTCGCCATCGATGCAGAAGGTAGGGTCACGTTCAGATTCGTCCTTCTTAGGCAACTTGGCGCAGAATCGCTGCAGCAGCGGACGAGCGTTGTCGAAGGTCAATGTTGCGCTGTCATTCGTCCACGTATTTGGTTAGCCTTCACTTGCAGCAGGAAAGATTTGAGAAAATGCCTAGGTAGAGAAGACTCACCCAGTTGAGTGGACGCGGAACACAGAACCATCGGGCTCGTCGCCCTGCTCAGTGTTTTGGCGTTTCTCTAGATCATCTGCCGTTCTTTCGCATTCAGACTTCATCGCGGTCTCCAAGGCCTGCCATTTCTTGACTTTGCTCTCGAAGTCGACTAGTGAGCGAAGTATGACAAACTTCGAACTCTGCTGTCGTGCTCTTCCCCTGCTTTGCACAAAGCTGCGCAAATTGGGGCGTTCGTCAAAGCATATGACCAGGTTCATGGCAGGCACGTCGACGCCTTCCTCGAGTACAGCGGTCGCTACACATAGATTAAGCTCTCCACGACGAAATCGCTCGAGGTTTTCATTTTGCAGGCGCAGTTCAGCAAAATCGAAGGTGCTCTGGTATGCAGCATTGGATAACCCAACGAATGAAAAAGCCTGGTATGCTCGTGTAGCAGGGTGATTGTTGATGACTTCGGTAAGAGCCCAAGCCGTCTGTCTTGCTTGGACGAAGATGAGGCCTCTAAGATCGGCTCGGTTCTCTTTGGCGAGAAAATTGAGCAGAACATCCACCTTGGGAGACACATTCCCTGCCACAGCCGCATTGTTGCAGTATAGTCCGAGTGAAGCATGCAGCGGCTGAAGGATGGAATTCATGAATCTGTGGATGGCTTGAGCTCTGTACTGTTGCTTACTGCCACATGAAGCTTCCGAATACAAGCAGCGACGAAAGCACTACAAGCCCAGCTCCCAAGAACTTCATAGATGGTGCTAGCTGATCTGACAAGCGATCGCAATTCTGTCATGGCGGGAGTTGCCTTTTTTCTGCGTATATTCTCCAGGTCCTCCTGGGCTTTGGAATGACGGCTTTCTTGCAATGTTTTTGTGATTGGATCATCCGTGACCTGCAAGCATGATACTATATTTGACAAGATGGTCAATATATCTGGTGCAGGTTCTAAGTGTTCGTCGAATGTCAAAATTTTCAGCTGTGGCATATTCACAAACGCAGTATACTCTTCCAGTTGCTGCATGGGTGCTCTGCATTTGGCATCAAGATTGGCCTCGAGCTCGGTTATCTCGGCCGTGCTTCTCTTGGTGATTGGACTGGCGGATAGGCCTAGTATATGTGGTAGCTCATATGCAGGGTCGGTCGTCTTGAAATGATGATAGTGAAGTCGCATGGTAGCATTGGGCGCCGATCTGGCCACACAGTGGTGTGCTTCGTCAACGACAAGCAACGAAATACCTTTCATAGTCACAAAGCCCGCATTGAGAGCTTGAAGTAGGATTGCAGGAGTACAGATAACAGCATGGATATTATGCAAAGCCTTGTCCCATAGTTCTTGAGTGTTCCAGAACTCTGCATTATCCATGCCTGTGATGAGTCTGAACTGAAAAGCAGGTAACTGCCGCGAGAGGAAAGAGTGCTGCTGATAAGCGAGAACAACGCTGGGAGCGGTGAACCAAACTCTCTGTACTAGCTGTTGAGCTTCTGTAAGAGATATATCGGGTAGAAGAGTACCTTGTTGGGTGAGCGCAGCAGCTCTGCCTCCATCCTGAGTTTGGCTCTGTATAATGAGTAAGGACACTTGCTCCGAGAACCACGGGAGGAGAGGTAGCGCAGCTTGCGCGATCTGTTTGGGGGATAAACAGGAAGCACTTACACCTGTGTCTTGCCGCTACCAGTACCCATCTAGATAGAGTCAGCAGGACTCACCTTGAGCATCAATCATCCTTACAACGGCAATGATGTTGCCCTTCATGCTATGCTCAAACATCTCGATCTGGTAAGCGCGTGATTGTAGTTGAAGGGTGTCATTCTCCCCATCCTCATCGGTTGAGTCTGACCAAGCATCGTCCGCATCGAGCTCCATAGTGGAATGAGAAAAGCAGGGAAAGGAAAGCTGACGCAATGCTACAGAAGGAGAAACAATGCAAGGCAGACAATTCCTCAGGTGAATACAGAGAGGGCTCGAAAAAAGACCCAGGGTTGATGAGTTGCAAGCAGCAAGAAGCACAGCATGAGGTATAGATGAATGCAGAAAGTTAATCAGGATCCAGCAAGGAGTGAACAGAAAGCAAAGTCAAGGTGATCTGTTGTCATACGGTGAGATTGAGGTAACTTATTGGAATGCCAGTGAAGTGAAATGAAGTGAAGTGAAGTGAAGTGAATGGAAGTGACTGTAAGTGTCCATGTCTTGTGTAGCATGCTTCTCTTGGCGGCAAGGCTGCATTGGTGGAAAAACAATATTCCGTCGGATCATAAGGCTGAAGACAGAGAGGAGTACCATTGTTCAATCGATAGACGTGGGAAATGAACAGAAGGACCACTCCAGCATATCAGTAAAAATATGTAGACTTCAAACTTTGAGGACCAGACTCTTGCGCATGTGTCCAAACATGTTCCATCTGGGTCTCTGCCACCCGTCGCAAATCAACAAGGGCGCATTGGCGGGATTTGGCACTCAGTTGCTTCATTGACGTTGATCTTGTTGCAATTCGCTTGCAATGGACTTGAATGCTTTCCAAAACTAGCACTGCAGATCATCTTCATTCTCTCTGGGTTGAAAATGAGATGGCGATAGTCTCCCATTGCAGCATACGGGTGACTGTTGTCGCAAAATAACATACAAACCCGGCAGCAATGCCCCCATGGACGCCATGCTCACTCGCACAAACCTGAATATCGTTTCCCTCGCAATACAGCTCCCATATCTTCCTGCTGATGCGGAGACCGCGTATCCGTTTGCTCATTCATACAACAATGACGGCTCGTTGCTTTAGGGCATGCTCTGCTTCATCATAGATGATCCCAACTCTCCTCTGGAGTCTGTGCATTGAGCACTAAAAATCCATCCCAACAAGGTATCCTTCAAAGATGCGCATGAACTTGGCTACAAAGGCCTCGAGGTGGAAGATGACTTTGCTGCCTAGTCGGATACGATGTTCGTAGAAACTGGCCCACCGAACGACCTCCGGCTTCAAGCTGTCGTCGACTTCGGGCAGCGCTACCAGCTTAAAGCACAGGGTTTTGAGGACCATCGTTGCCGGAATACAGTGTGTCAGCAGATCGTAGAGCTTCGCTCTTGTTGAGAGAATCATTGCCGGTGTGCGTTCGCGAACGATGTCTCTGGCGATCTGTTCAATCAAGATCTCCCAGTCTGGCGGGGGAATAGGCGTTTTCTCGCTCGGCTCCGGGTTCTGTGCATAGACGGCTTCGAACATAAGCAAGGCTTTGCGCAGATTCCGGCCTGATTCTTTCGCAATACGCTCGTTCAATGCCGGGATGGCCTTCCAGTTCTCCTTCTTCGCCGCTTTGGCGAGCGCATCACAAATCTCGGACTCGGTGGGCGCCGCAACGCGCACGAGCAGCGTTCGACTGCGGATTGGGGCAATGATTCCTGCGGTGCTGTTCGCCACCAAAATCAGCCGTACATTGGCACTGTATTTCTCCATTGTCCGTCTCAATGCGGCCTGCGCGTCGCGACTGAGTCCGTCCGCCTCGTTGATCACCACGACCTTGAAGCGCTGCTTTGCCGAGAGATCGACCTGTTGGGTTTGTGCCACCTCTTTCAGCAATTCTTGAATCACTACTCTGTCATAATTCCCTACATCGCTCGGGGTGATTTCAAGATGGTAGACGGAGGACACAATATTGAATTCGAGCTTGCGGTTCGACGATGTTGTAAAGATGCGAGCGTCGATTTTGATCTTTTCTACACCACTACCGTACAAGGCTCGGAGTGTTGCGAGGATGCGTGTCTTTTTTCCTGCCCCGCTCGGTCCATAGAATAAAAGATGAGGAAAGTCGGCGGACGCAGCCTGAAATATTGGTATCAGTCAGTCTTTTTCAACCCATGACCGCACATCGATCGGAGGTCAACGAAGATCAATCCTTCCTTACCAAAGACGCTAGACGGTTGGACAGATCTTTATGGTATGTGAGGGCATCGAGAGAGCGAGGACGCAACTTATCAACCAACAACGCCATTGCCGGATATGTGGATGTGGGATAGTATTGTTAAGATAGAACGAACGGGTTCTGTTTCTCCCCAAAGCCACATCGAAGACGCGTCGGCGTCGGGAGAAAACGTGACAGCGCGTATAGTGGTTCAAATGACGTAACACCTCACCATCGGTTTGAGCGTGTTCCTGACGAGGCTGCAAAGATATCTACCTCAACTTGTTTAACATGTTTTCATTGAAAGGGGTCGCGGCTATTTCCTCTCAACAGACTTCATGATACACATCCATGCCTGAGGATCTTATGGTCATCACTGAAAGCAAGCAGGCCATGTCGTCCAGTCTTGTGCTTCATTGGACCCGCGGCCCCGTCAACATGTGTCACGTAGCCTAGACTGGCCAGCTTCAGGCTTTGATCTCTCTATCGCTCCTCATCCGTTTCGATTCTCGAGGCAGGAAGCAACGCGTGCATCAAGCCAGGAGATTTGGCATTCAACTGCCGAAGGACACTCCTATCGACAGGCTGCATTCCAGGTGCGTCGACATTGCCAATGACTGCTCTTGCCGCCTCCTTTGCCTTCTCGAATTCCTTGATCTCTCGCAATATTTCCGGAGAGCTCCGTATCCGCCTCATCAGCGGCAGCATGTAATCGTATCTGATGCTCTTCATCCCTTTCCACCACTGCCCGTAACTCTGCAGAAGCTTCATGATATTGTCGTAAAGTTCGTTGGTTCGGTTTTGAACATCTGCGTCGACGCTGTCGAAACCCAGCAGCTGCAGGAAAGGGTGATAAACATAGGCATCGAAGATACGGGCCAGGTGGACGAGGGCCTTGCGCTCCGTTCCCGATGGCAGTGCGGTGTAGCTTCAAAGAGGTCAGATACACCACTAACTAGCGATCGGCAACTTACTTCACAATCAGTTTCGCCCTCTGTCGGTAGATGGTCCATGTATCTTGTGGTGCGGGCTCAACCACAAATGGTGCGAGCGACTTGATGTATGCAATATTTCGAACCTGCTCCTGAAGTCTATTGTCCACATCTTGGAGTTGAACTAAAATCGGCCGACTTTGATCCAAGATTTCTTGTCTATGGGAGTTGGCGTGACCTGCGACGTCTCGGCTAGTTGGCAGCAAAATCCTAGCAAGGTCGAACACTTGCCGTCCCAGACTCTTGAGCCAATCTTTACATATTGCGGGGAGATCGGTGCTGTCAACATGTTGCAGGAAGTCGGCAAGGTTGGGCACATCTAGAGCTTCTGCGGCGCGAGGCATTGGCCGGAGTGGTGTAGTATTGGCAGTTGATGTTGATTGGATCGAGAGGAGGCTTTCATCATGATCAGTGTTATTTGAACAAGGCGACGAGAAGTGCTCTTTGTCGTGCGTCTCTTCGATGAGATTAGATGCTTCATCGAATTTGATGTCAGGAAACCGTGTGAAAAGCGTGTCTAGGTCTGACTTTGTGCGTTGAACCAAGTTTGACATCGCGACAAGCTGAACATTGACCGCAGATGAACATCCAGTCCGAGTGGTTGCGGCGACAAAGAGAACGTGAAGCCGGTCAGGGCAAATAGCTTCAGCAGAAGCCAGGTGATAAGATGGGGATCCGAAAGGGTGCCATGGGAAACACGGTAGGGTTGTGATGGGTATGGGAAGTGCACCGTGGAAAACACTGTAGCGCTGTGATGGGACAACCAAGAGAATATCTTGCACTTCACATAGCGATGCCAACATCCGGCGCCCACACTCACGGCGAGTCCCACGCCTCTGCACAGCACATCAGGAAACAACATGGGCAAAAAGATCCGTACAATCTTGGAGGAGACACAGAGCATCTTCCTTTTCTCAAAACACATTCCATTACTCATCTTTTATCATCTGAATTTACCAAACACGTTCCGTCGCAGGTCATAATTGAGGTGATCAGCATTTGGGAAGGGAGTTTGGCCCTGCAAACTGCGCATGAGGTAGAAAGCATAACGCCGTCGTCCCTCACAGGCAGTAAGCTATTGCTCTTCGCCCAGTGACTGATTGGCACGCCATGGAAACGGATGTGACAACTCAAAGTAGGGCGAGTGTTGAGGTATGCCAATGCCTGGTGATGACAACCTTTTGCGTCAAGAGACTTGCATTCTGGGAATCAAGCTCGCCGTTCAAAGATCGGCAAATGACCAACCCTGACTATGAGCAGCATCGAGAGCAGAGGTGAACCCGGCCGAATCCCAACTCCCTGGGATATGATCTCGTCTATCAGTCGGATCTCCCATCTGGGCCATCTCATGGTCATACGCTGGGGTCTGTTCCCCGCGCGGACGTCGATGTTCCAGTCCAGACTCGTCAAACTGCTTCGGTATATCTTCCAGCCTTGAGCTAGATTTCACGGTTCTTTCCGAACCTCCTGTCTTTCCGCCGTCCGGCACATCATCCTGCTTCAAATCTTGAGTATCAACCATCTTTGAATGGCCCTCTTCAAACTTATATCCTGCGGGAGGCTTGATGTCGTCGTCGTCTCCCGGTAATTGGGTGTCAACAATGTTGTTTCCAATGCGCTGAAGAGTTTTGGCAATGATAGTCTCAACCCACTGATAGAACAAATACGAGGCGGATAAAACGCCCATGACCACCACGATCCAACTGATATTCACGGCACGATCACGACCGGTAGCCGACCTCCCAGATATCCTGCTGCTAACAAATCCGGTATTTCTGAGGTTCCACCACTGAAAGGGGTTCAGGAGGGCGGTCCTCAAGAAACTCAGGACGCCCATAGAAACAAGGCCTTTCATGAAATGTTGAGCCCATCCAGAGAAGGTGTTCTTCGACTCATTCACGTCGACTTCCTGCCAGAAGTCTTCATGCCCAATGATGGTCTCGTATGGGTCGGTATAGAAGTTCAGGATGGGATCCGCAACGAACCCAAATATAAACATGAAGATGAGCATGACAAAAATTGTCAGTACTCCGGAAAATGTTTTGCTGCCGAGATACTTCTGGAGGGTCAGCCGGTTGAAGTTGAACTGGTAGCCGCACTCATGGCATTTCCACAGAGAGCCAGGCCGTACGCCTTCAGTTCTTGACCTTCGTAAGCAGAGTTCATGGATATATCTCATTCCTCCCCTGCAATGGCACGGTTTGATAAGTCGGCCATATTCATCGTCATTTTTATATTCGACAACAGCACGCTGGAAGGCAGGAGGAAGGCCGGGCGGGTACAAAGTGACCGTAGCAGGAACATCTTCGAGACACAGCCGGCAAGTTCTTGCCGGATACGTCCATGTCGGCGTTTGCTCAGGAGTGGTTTGCGCTGGAGACGGAGAGTTTGAGGGATGCTCTGTAGAAGTCATGCTCAATGGTGGATAATATCTTCGCCTAGAAAGCGTCAATGTCTGTGGCACGTAGATCGAGCCAGGCGACTTGAACCGCACGCATGGTCTGGGAGGGTCAAGTTTAACGTGTAGATTCGGAAATGTAACAATGAAAATCAGACAAAGAAGGGAAGTTCATAAGAATAGAGCATGGTGATTAATAAGTGCTGCTCCTTTTGAAGCCTGAATAATGGGTCTTTCGACTTTAGGAAAGGCGTACGACGAAAGGATGAGGAAGATGTGGGCAAAAGAGAGAATCTTCTTTTGTCCACGATGGTGACCCGGGACGCGATGCACTGCAGTGCAACTTGAAGTTGAGCGGGAATGCCAAGCCCGCAGTCTACCACAGCTGCAGTGAATGGGAGCCTAGTACAGCGCAGCACTGGCATTGACTGGCAACTTGTCCTGTGGTACTACGGAGGAGCAGTGCAGCCAGCGGAGTTCGCCAGTTGCAGTTACGCGTTGATCTTGCAGCCTCGCGGAGACACGGCGCATCTAAGCACAGAGTCCATCAAACGCAGCTTATATTGTTCACTACGCTCTATCACACTCCGAATCCCCAGGTCCTTGACTGTTTGGCTTCCGTTCGAAGCATATACTGAGGACTTTACTACCGTTATCTGCTTTGCCAGAATGGCGGACCGATATTCCTTCTCGCTCACGACCTTTTCGCCCAGGTAGGCTCAAGTCGACTTCATAACCAGGGTACAAGATTGCTAACTGTATGCAGCGGCAAACTTGTTCAGATAGGTAAATGCGAAACCGGTTCGCCCTCACGGATTCGGACTGATAGGTATCTGCAGAATATGCTCTCAATGCAGTCAACCAGGGTGTCACCTCATTAGGCATAAAAGGTACCACTCTTCGCAACCAACCTTCAGTGTTAGTATGCTCACAGATATCTTCAGCAACAAATGGCATCGTTCTTGCAACAGAAAAGAAATCCTCGTCTCCCCTGATCGACCCTCCTTCATTGTCAAAAGTGTCCCTCATCACACCCAATATTGGCATGGTCTACAGCGGGATGGGTCCCGATTATCGAGTCCTTGTCGACAAAGCCCGAAAGGTGTCACATACGAACTACAAGCGCATCTACAATGAGTACCCGCCCACCCGAATATTGGTCCAAGATGTGGCGAGGGTAATGCAGGAGGCGACGCAGTCGGGCGGTGTGCGACCATATGGTGTGAGCTTGCTGATAGCTGGTTGGGACGATGGCATTGAACCGGAAACGACCGAAGCCAAAGAGGGCGAAACTGACGCCGAAGCAACACTGGCCAGCAGAAAGCCCGGAGGCATTCTCAAGGGCGGGCCAAGCTTGTACCAAGTCGACCCCAGCGGGAGTTATTTCCCTTGGAAGGCTACTGCCATCGGCAAAAGTGCGACGAGTGCAAAGACATTCTTGGAGAAGAGATACAATGATTCTCTGGAGTTGGAGGTAAAGACTGCAAAGGATATCGGGTTGTGGATTGAGCTGACGTTGATCCTTAGGATGCCATTCATATTGCGCTGCTGACACTGAAAGAGACCATTGAAGGAGAAATGAACGGCGATACCGTCGAAATCGGAATCGTGGGCGAACCGGCTGACCACTTACTCGGGTATGAGGGCGTCGAAGGAGCTGTTGGTCCCAGGTTTCGAAAATTGAGCAAGGAAGAAATCGAAGACTACCTGACGAACCTGTGAGATACCGGCTAGAGAGCGATTGCCAGTTCGCCGGTGACGGCTGTCCATCCGTATCCGGAGTCTCTACCACCTGGAGAACCAGAGGGCGTGGAGGATCTACTTGCTGTTGGGTTGTATTTCCCGGGCGACATGAACCCTCTTCACACCCGTATTGCTGAGACGCATGACAGTCTCGCAACAGCAAAAAACCAGATGGCGCCTGAGAATTACGTTCAGGTCAAGGAGACGGGTTTAAATGCCAGCACCTACAGTATTTTAGAGTAATCACCAACCGCGATTCCTCGAGCCCTGGTGCATTGTTTTTTTAAAACTGGTTTCCTTTTATGCAGGCGTTCAATTTTAAGGTGCAACAAGAGTCCCCCCGAGCCCGCTCATGGCCCCCTTGCGCGCAAATGTCCCATACATAGACACTCTCCAGCAGGGTTAACCGCGTGCTCTTCTGGACCGGCCTGAAGCGACACGAAGCAGTTGCCGTACGACTAGTAGTAGTAATAATAGGTGGTTACACGTAGTAGGTAGAAAGATGCTCGCATGCCTTCAATGCGGCGACTTTTGTCATGACAAACGTGCTTTTCGCCTGCGCTTCAGCTTCAAGCGACAACATCTGAATTATCTTCTTATTACACAACGCACTCACTCCACCTCCCCAATCATCCTCGCCGAGCTGTACTATCGCTTCATGAGAAAGGCTCTGTCTGGAAATGGCTCGAGTCTTTTGGTCGTGCCCCCATACCAAGGTTCCCGGAAAAACTCGTTGGGTTTGACAAGGCATGGTGTCAATGCTTACACCCGGTTCAACATTGTTGGCTTCTGGATCCCGCTGTGGCGTGAAGTTGCCAGCTGAACATGCCCGTCAGGCTCGCATCTGTTCGGTTCTCGGCTCTCCATCTCATCTGTTTGTGAGACCCCGACCACACGAGGCGTGTAGACTGTCAGCTGAGCGGCCCTCTCACAAGACTTCCCTACTTCGTAACGGTGGGTTCCTCCCACCAGTATTCTGATCCATCTTAGCTGAAAACCATCGAGCTTCCCGAACCATTGTCGGGAATTCTCAGCTCTGACTGGCTCTTTCCTGTTCCCCGATGGCGCGAGGGATGGCTTTCGACTTCAGTCTTAGCGACACAGGCCGCTGCACCCTCTCTTTTTGACGGCCAGCCAGCCAATATGCAATTCTTCCTCGCATGTTTGTTTAGCGAGTTACGCCAATTTGACTCATACGCGACAGGCCACGTTCCGGGATGTTATCTCAGATCTTTCCCTCCTGTTAGCATGTACCACGATCCCGGATCTTCGAAGGGCTCGCCCTTCCATCCACTTTTTACTTGAACTCGTGCACTGCTTCCGAACATGACAAAAAAGTGGCACGGTGGCACGGTGATGGGAGTATATCAGCGATCCATCCGCCAGATGTTCATCAAAGGTAAGTTGCTTCTCAGTCTATGTACCAGGAGCAGACGCAGGAAATCCACCAAGTCAGCCTTTGCCAACCCATTTTCTCTATACCCCGTCTCTGAAGCATGGAAGAGCAGCATGTTCGCATGATAGAAGGGACCAACATCGCGAATTACCCAGCGCAGACAGTCTACGTGCTGGGTCTTTGTCTCATTCTTTGTGTTTTGCTTGTCCTTCGCCGCTCCACGCGCCACGCTTTACTACCGGACGCAGAGATCGCCATGTCAGAGCCTCTATCAACGTACTCGGACATGCAAAAGCCATACAACCGGCCCGGAGACCATGGCGCCGGTGCTCAACAGGCCCATCTCACCGATTTGTTTGGATCTTTTCCTGAACGGACGTACATGGACACCGGCCCTTTGACCAGTGGATATCTGGCAGCCAAGGCAGATATCGAGGTAGCTGACAAGCTACACGCTGAGCGTGAAAAACAACAGCACCAGCAACGACAACAACAGCAGCAGCAGCAGCAACAGCGCAAGCAACAAGGTGCTGCAATTGATATCAAAGTGGAGGCGAACAGGGTTCCAATGAAGCAGGACGAGTCTCACAGACGAGCTTCCTACCCCCAGACCAGCGATGCGCGAGCTTCGCTCCACGCAGCCTCCAATCACGATGACACGGAACATTCTCTGGATAGTCATGATCCAAACCTCATTTGGAGGCGGCGGACCATGATCTTTCTTGGGAGAGCTTAAAGAACGCCCTTTGCTTTGAGGCATGGTCTGCGCCGTTGGTTGTGGTCGTCGTGACGAATGACCCTGGGACAAAGCTTGAGAGCTCGCTGGCACGAGCTCTGCTCTGAAGCCGATGCGCTGGATAGCATCGCTGAAAATTGTTGGGAGTGTATCTCTCGCTTGCAACAACCGCAACCTCTTAAGGCAGAATTGCGTAAGCGAATGATGGCCTGCTTGACGGCGTTTTTGGATTGATACGGCTGAATCGGTGGTCTTACTCGCGTACATGACCTTCAGGGCGCACAAGGACATATATTAGTGCCATCTACCTCTTTGGAAGGTCGGGATAGTGTTGTGTGCCAGGCACGCGAAACTACATGTTCGATCTGATTACTCTGCTGCATGGAAAGGGGGAGAACCAAAGGCTAATAACGGCTGTGAATTTTCATCTGATTGATTGCTCATACTTATTCATCTGTTGAGTCCAGCTATGCTAGAGCTTCCAAGTCTATTGTCACCTTTAGATGCGTCAGTTTCCTGCCGAATAGGAATACTTGGGAATACTCCTTCACCACTCTGCCAATGGAGCTGTCATCGCAGGATAGCATGACTATGAAGCCCAACGTGAACAAAACTGATCATCGGCCGAAACCGAACCAGCCCTTCTTGGCCGGTTTCTGATCCTCGGACTTCTTCTCCAACCCAGTACCAGAGTGATCGTCAACTTTACCGTTGACTGACTCTTGCTCTCCTTCATACCGCTTCTCGCCAGGGTAGGCAATGTAATTCCACGCAATGTCGAAGAACAGCGGCTTCACAGGTATTGGGCGCAGCTTGGGCGGATAGTTAACCAGGTTTGTCAAATCGACATTGTCAATGTATTCGTTTCGGTTCAGGCGCTCGAGCAGAGGAGCGGGTTTGAAGGCGGGGTTAGAGACTGCTTTGCCATCACTCGAAGTTGATGGCTGTGTCAAGGCTTCCAACTCGGCCAGGGCGCGGTACTGCGTGACAAGCTTGCTCAAAGTCGATGTGAGTTGGGCTGAGAGTTGACCAGACACGTCCAGTTTCGGTGGCAAGTTGGGGGAAATTGTCGACTCGGGCAGGTCAGTCGACGCTGCCTGAGCCAGCTCGAGCGCGCGTGCGTAAAGAGCCAACGCATTGACGATATGGTTGTTGATTGTGTGGGAGCGGCCGATGGCCAGGCATTTCAAGGCTCTGAAGTAGGCCTGCTTTGCATCGACTTCGGCGACGAATGCACTGTCTGCGATCACGCCTGGGAGCTCCTTCACGGCGTCGAGACTCCGAAGGATCGAGTCATACAATGCAACTCGCTCGCGAAGACGTGCCAGTTTGCGGCCGGAGCTTTCCTCCTTGACGGTTCGGACTTTGCCATCTTTGCGTGGTTTCATTGGGTGTTTCTGTTTTTCTGGAGTGAAATCCAACCCATCCCCAGGGCCGCAGAGAACTCTGTTCCGTCCAATGCGCCATTCGATCACGGCGTAGTTGACGGCAGTCCGCGTGATTTGCAGGGACTGCATACGGGCATCACCAGGGTCGACACCTTCAGCAAGAAGCTCGTCGATAGCTGTCTTAGTGGCATCTGCCGCATCCTGACGCGCGGTGATTATCTCTTCGTAGGCCCCGGCGAGGTCCTTGATGCCCGCAGACTCCTCTATGAATGATTCGTATGTGGTGGCCAAGGCATCTTCTCGTTCTTTCGAAATCCCTAGTGCTTGGGAGACGTTGGCATCCTCTAGCTTCACGTTCCTACTCCTCCACGAGATGCTGAACGGAATCTCTTTGGGGCCTCCCTCCGTGGGAGCAGTTGCATCCGGTCCTCGGACAAAGGCCTGCGGATGAATTGCTTCCACCTCTTGACGGAGAGCAGCCTCGGAGGTTGGAAAATGCTCAATAGCAATCTCGCCAATGGCTATCGTGCGCGGCATCTTCAGCTGATATGCTGCATATCGGACGCTTGGGTCCACGATGCTGGACAAAAGTTCCTTGTAGGTATCTGCCGCTTTGGAACTCTGTGCCAGCGCGGTGTAGATTATGTGCGCAACAGAGTAACTCTCGATACATGCTTGCCAGTGCCCTTTTTCGAAGTCAAGACTTCCTTTGAGCATGTAGAGATATCCTCGTGCCTCCAGGTCGTCGATATCCGTGGCTCCAGTTATGCTGCGATCCTGGAGGATAGAAACGAGATTTTCGGCGTACAAGATAGCTCGTCGTAGCCTCGAGGCGATCTGTCGCTTTGTCGAACCAGGCATCGGTTTTTGTGTGTTTTCGGTGGATTGAGCTGACTTCATGGCCATCGCATCTGCCCACGCTCTCTCAGAGCTGGCAAGTAAAAGTTGCACCCATCTAGACATAAGATCAGTCGAAGTCACGCTTGTAGATTTAGTCTCTCCTACTCTGCATTTTGTGCAACGCTTTCTGCGGTGACCGGAGATTTTGGATTGTACTTGCGTCCGCGGTTGGTGGCTCCTAGTCTACGCCTGAGGTTGTGAATGCGGCGGGTGGCTTGGGCGTGATAGACACTGTAATCGCCTCCTAAAAGGGCGCGGTCACGCTCAGAGACGACTGAGCTTGTGATGTTCATCGTGGGCGCAGACCGGGGCGCTTTGAGAGCGATGTGGTTGTTGCAAAGGGAAATAGAGGAGGGGCTGTCGGCGTAATCAACTTGTTCGATTAATTTGATGTGCGCAGACGAGCAGAGCAATTGGCGTGTTATGTTATACGTAGGAGTACTAAGATCTTTATCCGCCTGCGGTCGGTGAGCCGGACTGTGAGCGCAGTTCAAGTTGGAGAAAGAATTCTAGCAACTACATCTCAATCATGCCACGACTTCCAGCTACTGTTTCTTAAACCTATTTACTTTGCATTTCGAATATCACATCATCTCCTTGCGTACAAGCTAGATCTTTCCCAAATGCATCCAGGGATTGGGATTGTATTTTATTGACTCTGCTAAACCCTTGGCCTCTCGACAGGTCTTGTCCGCCACATTTTCCGGTATCGTCCTTCGAATCCGTTTCCGCATGACCTAGACCTTCTCGGCGCCCCACGAAACGTCGACCTTGAATTAGACAGAACATTCGCTCGTGGCATGCTCGAGCGTGCTTCGTCATGCGTTGAGCCAGTTTCTCATCTCCTACTTCGCCGACTGGAACCTCCTGTTCGAAGTCGTCGTATCCTTGGGCCAACGTTTTGGAGAAATGAGGCGGACGAGCTGTCAGTACCACACTGGTGGCCTCTGTACCTGGACAACATTAGGGGCAAGTCCGCGAGTCGAGGCCGGCTTGAGCGAGAGCGCTACTTTGCTAGGTCCCGGCACCCTGCAGAAAAGGCGAAATATAGCACAAGTCAATATTCTTCATTGGTAACCGATGCGCCAGGCGAGTCACCAAGAGCCCGTGCGAGGCCAACAAGGCGTGAGGCAAAAGAGGTTTCGAAAGCGCGACGTTTCAATACGAATTCCCTGGCACGGGTGGATTTTGAGGTCGAGAAATACGTGAAGAGCCTGCCAGACTCGCAGGCCCAGGCAAGCCCGTCATCAGACATTGATCCAACATTTGCCGATGGTACTAGCTCTACGGCCACTATCCATGATGAGAAATGGATAGATTCTGAGGTCGAGAGCGTCCATGAACCCTCTTCCACAAGACGCGATCCTGATTTATCGAATGTTACCACCGCCCAGACGGTCAATGATGCCGAAAGACAGCTTCGGCGGATGCTCCGCAGCCATGGCTCTAGTGACGGCCAGGGGACGGAAAGCAAGAACTTTGAGGCAGTTTGGGCATTATTCAAGCGGCTGCCTGATCAGGAGGCATACGCGGCCCAAGTTTTCCATCTCATGTCTAGTTCAACAGCGCAACAACATCTAAAGGTTGCGCTCAGAGCCTTCAAGCTCATCCCACCTGAAAAGCGGAGCGCAACAGACTATGAACGCGCTGCTCGAACGGCCATACAACGGAATGATTACCGACAGGCAATCTCAATCAATGCAGAAGCGACTTCCCGTGAAGCAAATCACCACTGCAGTGCATTCTTACTGTTGCATACCGCCTCTCATCAATTGTGGAATGCAGCGGCACAAATCTGGTCTACATCATTTGAGCCTCTCAAAAGAAGTCGCCAAAGATTGTCCACATCGCTAGTTGGGGAACAGTTGCTGAAACAAGCGGACAAATACCAGAACCTGCCCTTGGCCATCTCGAATCTTGCGAAGGAAATTACAGATCGGCGTGCAGTCGTGATGCACCAAGCTGGAATTCTATTGCAATTGGGTCGCGACCTTCTACATATTCTTGTGACAACTGGCAGGCTCATGAGCGCAGTGGAGCCTGCGCTATTGATCTCAACCTTGGACTACTATGAGGAGCTACAATCGCTCAATCCGACCGTCCATCTGGATGCCATAAATACCCTTCTCAAGTCTGCCAGGAGACCAGACAGGGGGAAATTGGCGGGCGTGGTCTATCATCATCTTCGGGACAACTTCCCGCAGTTCCAACCACCTCCTTCCCTCTACGGCTCGATCTTGTCGATTCTCTCCAACGAAGGTGCTCCTTTCGAGGTCTACATGTACTATTTGCGCCAGTTCGCTTATATACATGGTGCTGCGGACAAGAAGAGCTATCAAAAAGTCCTTACTGCGCTTGCGGGGCAGGGTGATGTTGACGGTGTCCAAGCCGTATTTGTGGAGCTGTGCAAGGTCCACTCACGCCCAACAGATGTCGCTTATTTCACACCACTCTTATACGCCTACGCCCGGCTGGGCGACGTCAAAGGTACTGAGCGGGAGTTTGAACGATTGCGAGATTGGGGGGTCAAGCCGACCTTGTATTGCTGGAATATTCTCCTCTATGCCTACGCGAGGTCTTTCGAACCAGAGCGAGCCTTTGACATCTTCGAGAAGATGAGATCCGAGGCTGTTCTCCCCGATGTATACACCTTTGGGACGTTAATGGGGATAGTCGCACGGGCCGGAGACGTCGATGCCGTCCTGGAAATTATCGAGCAAGCACAGCAATATCAAATCAAAGGCAGTTACGAAATGATATCTGGCTTGGTACAATCCTACTGCCTCAATGGCCAAGCAGACATCGCTGAAAGGCTTGCGGAAGCGACCACCAAGTCCAGGTTTGAAGGCGCGCCGGTCAAGATGTGGAATTATCTCTTGAGATACTACGCATTCCAGGCCGACTCTGAAGGCGTGCTGAGGGTGCAGCAAAGCATGGACTCCCTTGGGGTGAAACCGGATGGCATGACTTATGCTGCCCTAATGGCTGCGCTTGTTGTCATTGGCAAGTCTCGGGACGCCGCCCAGATTCTGCAGGGCCTCAGAACGAGTTCTACCCTCACCGCTACGCCTTTTCATTACTCAATAGTCCTGCAGGGCTATGTTCAGGAAGGGAAGAGAGATGAGGCACAAAAGATGTACCGCGAAATGGTTAAAACCTTTCCAACACCGAGTCCTAGTGCACGTCTGGCTATGCTTCACCTGCAAGGCGTTCGCAGTCTCGACGCAAAAGAATCAGCCAATCATGCCAGCGACTCACTTGGGACGATCCTGTACGAGTTGGCACAGCAGGACCGGGCGACCAAGCAACCGCAACCAGGATTCGGGCGGCGTACAGCCGTACATGCGCTTCCTTCGATTCATTTAGAATTCATGGCAGGTATTCTCGCGTCCAGGGGGAAGACTGAACAAGCAGATAAGCTCCTTGGACGATTTGAGTCGCTGTCGGGGTCATCATATCTCGATCTGGACCAAAGCGCTCAAGAATCGATCGGCCTGTTGACCACGCGGCTGATCATATCCACCCAACAACGGAATTGGGACATGGTTGAGAGGACTTGGAGCCAAGTACTAGACCTAGCCGTCAAAGCTGCAGCTCCATTCTCGGGGATCCGCAAGAGGCCTGCCACCGACTATGAGACCTTCAAACCTCGGCCGGCACCAACGGAGGAATCTCCCACGGGCATCGACTTGATCGGTGGTCCCGAATTCTCCTTCACGTCGATGATATCCCCCGTCTCGTCGCCCGCGACGCACGCTACTGATTCTCCCCTCGATCGACCTGGCCTCCAAATCCTTTTCTCACAGAGATATATTCTCGAAGCCCCGATTACAAGGTACCTGAGGGCCCTAGACATTCAGGGTCTCCACCAGACTGCTGTTGAGCTTGTCGAGAAGCTTCAGAAAGTGGGGTTCACCCTGTCTAGCAAGAACTGGAATTTCTACATTCAGATGTTGACCCGATCGTCTGACCCGAAACACTGGATTTTGGCCTTCAAGACTTTCGAGGAGAGGTTCCTCCCGAATACTCCACCTTGGCGTCATCTTCGCGCTGGCAAATGGTCGACGCCATCGTCCGCAAAAGACACAACAGCTGGTGCTCTGGAGATATTCCGCCGGAAGACTTTGGAGAAACTCGACCGGGGCCACCTTCTGCCGACGTATGTGACAGCCGTCCATCTTGCGGCCATTCTCCTTGAATCGAATCGTCGCGCCACCCGAGGAGACTCCTCCATCAACGTCGAGCTCTGGAGAAGCGCTCCTGGAACATATCGCTATATTCGACGGATTCCGCGCTCCAAGGACCGGATTCAGGGTGGCGTCCTGCGTGGAAGAAACATTCTCGGCAATCTCCAAAAGCCTCCTCGTCGGGGAATTACTCGTCAACCTGGGCCGAGCAAACCCAAGCTGGTCAATGACTCGGTGGCGCTGGAGGCTGGAACATCCACCCATGATGCCGAAGATGCTACCTCAGGCGTTGATGCGACCTCTGCATGGCTCCCTTTCCTCTCGTCTAACCGTGCGAAGGTGAAGCGGAAGGACAGGCTAGATTCACCTCCAGTCCAGGGCGCTCTGTACAATCCCGACGACAAGCGTCTTGAAAAACGCGCCGAAGCTCAGAATAGAATGCGTGAACATCGAAGTGCACTGTTGGACGACGCTACGCGGCACCGCAAAAGTGGGAGATTCAATCCTAGGAAGCTGGAGGCTGTGGTCCCCAAGTCAACGTCCCACTGTCGACGTCAACATCGCAGTCGGTCTGACTCCTCTGGGACGGACGTCAACCCGGCAAGATCAGAAGCCCCGACTGGCGCAGAGCAGGCCCAGGCGATTGAAGGCAAAGAATGAAGCGATCCCCGGATCGTCTGACCTTGTTTTCAACCAGCGTTCACTCATCTATCCCGCTGAGGTCCTCTATGAGGCGCATCATCATTGTATCGGCGAAACAGATCCCCGCTCTACAATGGCTACAAATACAATGTTCTGTCTGTCTGTCCCGGATCAAGTGTGTAAATACGTAGCATATATTCAATACCTTGGCTATAATATATCTCGAAACAATGTGGACGCGCCATATTAACCCAACATTTCCCGATATAACGTGCTCGCCCGACTTCACAGTCGCCATCTCAAGCGTTGATGATGGCTGACGAAACAATATCAGTTCCCAGGGGTTTTCGAGAAACCGATTCGATCGACGGTCTTCTTTGTCTCCTTGTAAATTACAATTCTGTGGCGACTAACAATCCATGAAGGGGTTCGGTCTTCAACGAGACGAGAGAATGCAGACTCGGGGTAGAGAGAAATGTGCTTCTTCATGTCGTTGTCCTTACATGGGGTCCCCCACGTCTTCACTGTTCAGCGCATATCTTTTCTCTATGGCGTAGTCAAAATGAATGGGGAAAATGGAACTCGTCATTGATCAACCCTGGCTGATCTGGCAGAGACTCAGAGAGGCCCCATGACTCCGTAACGGTAACTCGCGAAAGATAGCAAAGAGTGTTTCCTGCGAGGATGGATTTCGTTGTCCTAACTTCTCACCTTGACAGGCTACAGGCCGATGAACTGACAGGTCATTCATGGTCAGGTGGTCCTATATAAAAGATATCCTGGGTACATGAGGCGAGGGAGAGCCATCTGACGATGGAAAAAAGGTTTGGCCTGGTAATTCCACCCAAAGCTTCACTCAGTAGCTCCTGGTCCCCATGCAAGCGTGGGCGCGCGAGACGAGGCTATCGTGTCAAACGACTGATCCACTTTTGAGCAGTTCATCGTCGATAAGAGATGAGTTCAAGATAACGAAGCCCAGCATAGAGGAAGGACGGTAGATAGCAATAGGAAGTGGTGACGGTTGGGATGATTGTCTCTTTAGGTCACAGCCGGAGGTGTAGTTGGGTCGACACCAAACGGATTGTGCTCTCTTGTTTCACATCCATAGGTCGGTCTTCCTAAACAAGGTTATAGGTTTCGGGATAGGATAAGTCTGTACCATGTTGTCACTTGAGACGTTCGTGTTGGCGAAGTGTGACAGCCAGAATTGCGCAATCGGAGGTTTCCTGCTGTAGATACGTTTCCGAACCGGTTTGTGCTTGTTCGTACCCGGATTGTCTCATCCTAGCGGAAGGGATATCCAGCTTGTAACGGCTACAGCAGGGGTACCCCGGCACACCACATGTCGAGTGACTCGTGCAACTTGGGTAGTGGACCATTCATCAAAGAGAGATTCAGTCGCAAGCAAGTCGCTTTCGTCACATACCCTTCTTGATCATGTTGGAAGATGGTGAGCACCTGTTTAGCGCAATACCGCCTCAGGTGCTCTACGCACGCATTTCATTGCGGATGTAAAGCCCTCACTGCACTTCGTCTGCTGCTTGCACAACGTACCTGGATTGTGACAGCTTGTAGTACATGACAAGAGGAACGGTGATGTTCTCAATGATACTCAACCCTTAGAGAGTTCCCCACCAGTTCGCCTTCACAGACGAGTACCGAGGGACAAGCCATCCGAGGAGAGGGGCACCCACCTCTTGCCTGGATTTGGGCGGGATGCAAGGCTCTTCAAACACCACTAGCCACTTGATGCGGATCATTGCACCATGGATGAACAATCACACGTTGGTTGAGACATTCGACCTCGAAAGATCTTCCAAGAGTCCACTTACTGAAGTGATCTTCAGTATGAAAGGCTACGACACAAAAGTCAAGGGTCAGTTTCGTCCATCGACGGCTGTAGCCGCCGTCCGGGGATAATCATCCGAAGTGACCCCTAAGTTAGTACAGTCTGGCAACGAACAACTCAGCTCACGCCATAGGCAGATAGTAACATACACAATGAAAGTCGGATAGTTGATTTCGGTTCCGGGTCAACCAGCTGCCAACGGCTCATGCGGCACTTCGCACCCTGCGATTGCTGATCAGGATATAGGTGGCCATGCAACATCCAGGCCTGAAAACGCAAAGCTCTATGAGAACTTCGCAAAGCGATCCATTGAATCATTGGCATTGAACATGTCGGGCTGACAAGAAGGATGGTAATCAGTCCGAGCTTGACCCAACCAAGGGTGGCGGGTCTCCTCCGTATGGCATCATCCATCGCCCGTCTGAGGAAAGCTTCGAAGTGCTTGAACACATCCAGTCAGAGGCCGTTGACTGAGAAGTCATCTCGATCACCAGACTTAGTCCGCCCCGAAAGCTTTACGCTTCAGGGGTCGGCCATCGAATGGGGCCTGGCGTCTGGATAGCGCGGGTATGAGCAGTCTTACCTCACCAGATGCGTGGGATGTATAACCCAACAGACCGAGCTTGCCTCTGGAGATTGTGACAGCCAGACAAAAGATTTTGATGAGATGCGAGATGCCTGCTCGAATACTGCGGCACAACATGTCGACTTTCCTCTTTGTGGCTCACCGAAATACGCCAGCAACTCTGCAACGGGTAGCTGTCCGTGTTTGGCACCGAGACCAATAGATCGGCGCCATGCCACCATGAGAGACGCGCAAATAGTCCGATAGCCACGATGAGTTTGTTCGAAACGAACATCATGGGTACCCGACACATCTACTGTCCCCAATTGAAAATTGATCTGAAAGTGAAGATCGCTGGGTCACGCTGTTGTGGGGAGCTATTGTCGGCAAATCAGAGAAGTGCAAAGGGCCAGTGGTAAGTGCGTGAAACAGTTCTTTCTGCTTCACGAGAGTAATCTGTAGATGTGCGACCCAGTGGATACTGGGCACGATTTGACGGTGGAGGCCAACTCGTGCTATTGTGGAGATGCGATTTGAAGAGCCTGCCAGGAGCACCTGAAACACTGCTCCGAGTTTGTGATGGCGGGCACCAGCATACCACGCGGGGTAGACTGGCCACGAGAGCAGTTTGCACAACCTGACCTGTAAGATTCGCAGTTGGCTTGGCTAAGTGGCAGGCTGCTAGGACTCTGAGGGCGCCTCGAGCGTGATTCGACGTGGCTACATGGACCGACTGCTCAAGCGCCAAAGTCGAATTCGTTAGCGAAATTGATATTTGGTCCTGAGAGGTCAGCTGGGTCAACAACAACGACTATGCTCGCCAGCAGCAGCAGCAGCAGCAGCAGCAACGTTCTCCAGGTCAAGGGAACCCACAAGGTGGAGCGTGCAGCAGGACAGACCCTTTGCATCAACGCTGGCGGATGCCCGCGAACGAGCCGAAGCGCGCCCTCGCTGAATTCGTTTCATTACCACCAATCATCGAGCCCACGGGTTACCAAGGCTTGATGGTGATTTCGCCGACCCGGCAGCAAGCAACGCAGTTCGAGTGTTGCCCTCGACAAGTCATCGTTCGAGGCAGCTGTTCACTGGCCGTGCTCGAGTTACACCAGAACAGCCACATGTCATGTTTGAAGCGTTGGAGACCCATGGGCAATCTAGGTGGAGAAGGATGCCAACCACAGACATAGTCCACTGATAAGACGGCCAGGAACGGACAGCTACTGCAGACAACCGTGTAGCTAACCGGCCCATTCCTTTGCATAGTGGGAGATCAGTCGGCCGTCGAACTCTGGTGGGTATCGAACCGACCAATTCGAATCTTTGACTTGGAGGTCCTAGCATGGAAATTCCATCAGAGGCCGAAGATGGTATGCTGACGTCGTTGCGGGCATTCTGAGAGCCGGACCAAGAATGTCCCTCAGTACCACAGTACAACGATACCGAACCAGGGCCAGTCATTCCAGAAAGCTGTCCGAAACGTGGTACTATTCCTGCTGACGGCTAGGACCGGGTATTTTCAAGAAAAGTCCAGGTGAAGAATTTGCTTCTTTGCTGCCATTTCGCCTGTTGTGTCGCTCTTTCTTGATCTGTGCTCCTGTACAAATTCCGCATTGCTGCCAGGAAGATTTCAATGTTGCCCAACCCAGGGGGAAAAGGCCCTGCAGCAACGGTGGTGTGATCCAGCCATACAGAAGGACATAACCCCCCACGCTCTCAATGCACACCCGACGAGGGTTATCGCCTCGGTGCATGGGCTAAGGAGGCTGTTGGCAAGCCCCAAGATGCAAATTTGCTTGGTGCGGGATAGAGCCCCATCAGTGACAGGCCTGGGCCGGTGTCAAACTGCAAGCTATGGTCTGGAGATAGCCCCAGCAGGACAGCGGGAATTTTGGGGTACGATAAGTCGTTAGCACGTTCCCATTCTCTTCGTAACCTAGTACATCACCAAAGTTGAGCCAACAGCGTCTGATAAGCTGGGGGCAAACGACAGACATGACCAGATTTCGGAGAGTTGCCCATAAGATCAGGCCAGGTAAGCATCCTTAGGGCTGAGCAATCATCTAAAAGAGCCAGCCTGCTCGTGACGAGTCCAGCGGTACATCAAACCAATGGGACGTTTCAACTAGGACTGTGTCCGTCAAGAGTGTGTGGAGTATTCATGTCTGGTGTGTTATATGTGAGATGGAGGAAATAATGCGTGTCTCATACTATGCTACAGCCAATTCTCTGACAATGTGGTAGCATCATTGTGCTTGAGACATGATGCATTGTGTTGGAGAGATGCACGTCCATCCATGGCTGGTGCACACCTGATGTTTGGCCTGTTCTCCTGGCGTTGCAACCAGGAAGCGGCTGCTTGCAGGCTGAAGCCAGATTGGATGGTGCCTTGATTACATGGAATTGGCCGAAGGGAGGTTATGGCGGACTCCCTAGCCCATGTTCGTAAGGGCTCTTGCTTTAGCTGCAGGAGAGCCCGCGACGGAGGTGGTCGACGGAGGTCAGTTCGCTAATTGGGGGCTGGTGTGTCTAGGCTGCGTCTGGAGAGGACCGGGGAGGAACGTAGGTTGACGGTAGCTGCGTATGGCAGGCTCCTGTTGTGCAGTGCCCGGTGAAAGCCAGGGCAGGGAGAGAGGGAAATTCTGAAAATTTCCGAGTCTGCATCGACTGGTAGAGCTGGTGACTGGTGTACTGATGGGAGGCGAAAGAGTGAGGACCCAGAACGTGAGGCAGCGTGGAGTGAGCGAGTTGGCAGAAAGAGGAGGACACGAGGAGTGGATAGAAGTTGTGGCGTGAACGATTGATCGATCCACCACCACTTGTATTGTGCGGCAGTCTTGACCACACGAGTTGGCAGGACTAGGCTGTCAGTGCCTAAGACAAGCTGCGACTTGCTCTCCCAACCCTGAACTGTAGTTAGTGGGCGCGAAGAAAACATGGGGGCCCTTGCAGGGAAGAGGTTTTACCCCTCTTATTTTTCTGACCACCGCCTAAACTCGAGTGGTATTAGGGGCGCTGTTAGCCTTGTTAGCATGGCTGTGGGCTGCGGCCACCATCCCAGTGACCCTGCGCCATACCACATCAGGCACACCTCTGGCTCATCCCGGCGCCCATCCTTTTGCCTCTCCACTAGACGCCATACCCAAGGGCAAGCACCTAAACTCACTGCACCCCAAACCCAAACCCTTTCGAGGCAGCATCCTACCACCAGGTACCTACATGCTGCATGCTCTTTATCTCTGCCTTTCCCTTTCTGTGAACATCATTCTTCTCCCTCATGACCAGAGCCACACACATTCACACTCACACTCTCACCCAGGCCTCCCAAGTCTGATCGATACCCTTCGACAGTAGCATCAAACCGAGTCATCCCCCGCCTGGCACACCACCATCCTCCGAGCCTGAGTGTGGGAGAGAGATATTACTTGCTCCACACCCTCTCGATCGAGAATACGTACTCATCGAGCGTCATTTTGGTCGGAGGAGGAGATACAATACTGGTCTGCGTGACCCTCCATTGCTCTCGACATACCATTCCTGCCACACACAGAGAGATTCAGTGAGGGGGATACATACGCTCTCACACACCCTACGTACCACACACCCAGAGTGTGTTGCACCAAGTCCACCAGGTTTTGCCCGACATATATATCGCCCTCCACCACTACCTTTGCTCAGTTGCCCTTGAGCGGCCTATTCTCCGTCGACCAGAGTCGTACCAAACATGGATTTCCTTCTCGGAGACTTCTGCTTGTCCTGCGATCGCCAGACCAACGGTACCGCCTTCTGTTCCTCGGCATGTCGTCTTACCCAGCTGGATGACTTCGCCCTGGCCGAGTCGAGTCCAGTGACGTCCTCGTTATCGGGTTACACAAGTACTCACGGCTCTGCGTCACAACGATCCTCCATGGCCTTTCCTTCCACCGGTCTCTATCTGCCTCCGGCCTACGACTTCTCTTTGCACCGAACTTCCTCTTCCAACTCTCTAGCCATGTCTCTAAGTTCCAGGCCCCACAGTCCCAAGATCTCTGAACAGGCTCAGAACGATCTCAAGGACTATGTCGGATCGTTCGACCAGACCAGGACCCTACGAAGACGAGTCTCCATGCAAGGCAACGACGAGTTCAAAGCTTGTGCCAAGTCCTAACTCCTTCATCACCACTTTAATTAATACAGAACTAAGAAACAAAACGGATCTTCACAGCCTCTCTCCTCTTACTCTATTCTTGAACATGACCTACAGTACTTTTGGAGCCACCGAGTCCAACAAAAGCGTGTTTTCGGAGTTGTTTGGGTTGGTTCCGGCAATCTTGTCCAATATTGCGGAATGAATTAGCAAGTTGAAGCATTTGCTACAGATTGGGGACTAGAGAGAAACTGCATATGTCCGCCTACTGTTGTTGTCGTCGCTATGCATGGATTCTGGGAAGAACGACGGGCATTGGTTGTTGTCGTTGTCGCCATCGTACAAGACTGTTCAGTGTGGTCAAGATGACTGGTTGCCTATGGCATTGGGAAAGAGATTGAGCTTGAGCTTGAGCTTGAGCTTGGTGTCGGTGTTGGTACGCACTGTGAACTATGAACTATGAACTATGAACTATAAGCTATGGGATATGGGATGTGGGATATGGGTATGGATAGGACATGGACATGGGACTGGAATTGGGAATGGGAACAGGATAGTATGATATGGGACAACCAGACCTATGCAAAGGGTTATATGTTTGAAATGGCTGATGACACAACATGATGGGGGATGCAATACAATGCACTGCGTGGATGCATATTTGATTTCATTTGATCTTTTCTTCTATTCTTTCATCTCATCTCTCCACTATCCGACGTGGCAGGAGCGGCATTCTACTCGATTGCCATGGCTCCAAAGGCTGAGGGAAGAAGAAACTCTATGTCTCTTCCATTTTCATATTGAATTGTCCCAAAGAGCAGACGACGAACATAGAAATACCCCAGGGTCCAGGTAGATGGCCCTGCGTCTTGACCAGACCCGACGTTTGACTTGGGTCTATCTGATAGTCATGACTATTCTATACCTATTCTACTCTACTGTCTACTCGTTCTACCTTCTCTAACGCTCCTACTATCTCTACTTTTCACACATTGTCTGTGACATGGCTTGACAACCACCACATGAGGTACCTCGGTTACAGACTTCTTCATCCACTCACTCATGAACCTGGGTCTTATGACCAGTTGTCCTACCCATGACCACTAACGACCTTTTCGAGGCTCTTCCGTTTGTGTAGTCCTGAGTCGCGATCATATGCCCCTTTCCTCACGTCCTCCGAGTCCTCTTCTCTTCGGAAACTACCTCCGCCATGCCCGTGCCTTGCGCATACCATACGATCCACCATGCATCCCCTGCGTAAAAGTCAGGTACCTATCTAGATATAGACATGGTTGGGAATCACGATTCAGAACATGACCAGGGATCCTAGGAGATTATAGATTAGAGATGAAGATTGGCCCTCGGCCACTGCAGATCGATCGGCCATATGACCCGGAACTCTCTTCTCTCTTTTGATCACCGCCAAAGATTAGAGGTCTGCTGTCGAAATGGAAAGCGTCATCACTTTTTATCCGAGGTAAGGTACCTACTACCTAGGTAGCCAAGTCGCCTCTTGATTGAAGTTCCAACAATGCCCACCCTCTCGTAACTACTAATGACACCCAACTAAAGTGTCATTCAGTCTCTGTGAAACCTCAGGTGATAAGATCGCCGGAGGGAATGGAAAGCAAATAATGCTTCAAACACGATACCAGTATCACCGGATGCACGTCCCCCTGGTATGCCGAGAATGAGTACCAGGAAGCATAAGGTAAACTGAAAAGGTGGCCTGGGACACCTCGATTGCCTTCATAAAAAGCAGGGACCCTGCAGTCTAGAAGCCGATACCAAGGAACCACAAACCTAGTATATAACAAACGTGGAGGGCATACCTTAGTTGTAGCGAAACCATCCCAGAGTCTCGACTTTGTGCCAAAGTCCCAATGCCATTGCCGTCCGTGCTGAATAGTTTCATACACGGGCCTCGGGCCCTCGCATGGTTTCTGCTCTTGTAGAAACCTCCTTTCAAGTTTCAGCTCGGGTGCCTTTTCCAGATCTTGTATTGACCTGTCAGAACCCTCGGCTTCATTCGGTCCAGCTGGACCTGTGCTGTGGTTCCTTGGTCTCTGCTTCCCATAATGTACTGATGTCTGTAACCTGTGAGCCTTGGCGAGTCTTCGTTCCCTCGTCCAGAATCCAGATTAGGAATGTTGCTGGCCGTTCGATCGTTGCATCGATCGGTTCAGCTCCATCTGGCAGCCGTGTGAGAACGCAGACCCAAGGGCGTGGCTTTGATGACTCGCCTCCACTCCTTCGTACTCTGGCATCAGGGTCCTGCCTAGTGTATTTTGTATCACCTTGTTGTGTGTGACAGTGTGACATTGCTTGTGAGCACACCAAGATCCATCGTCGTGCCAACCAAGGTCATTGAGAAAGCCCTTGACTAGTTGTCGGAACTCTGTGTAGAGACCGCACGGGGAGCCTCTCTCGCCAGCTGACCAGCTTTGTCTGTCAATCAACCACGCGGCCAGCTGATCAGCTTGAACCAATCTTGGAAGTTGGCCGTGCCTGCCATCACAGCAGTGCTTGAAGACGGCTTGAGTCTTGACACATCTGACATGTTTCTGGAAGGTTTTCCTCAGCCACTGCACTGGGATCCAAGAAAAGGGGGTGACGATTTGGTGAGAAGTGAAGAGAAAGGTACAAGGTAGATAGGTATGTAGCAGTACACCGTGGTTGGCTGCCAGACCTGAGTACCTTACTAGGCGGACACGGGGGATTGAAGAAATAGCTCATGCCAGACCCTGCTATTCCTGCCCACGTCTTTTTCTTTCTTCTTGTGAAGGATGTTGCCCTTGCATCGTGCCACCCTCCGCCTGCATGAAGATTGAAGAGCAGAGGGACTTATTTCTCGACCCTCCAACGCCTCAACTAGTCGACTGACATGCCGCGATCTCTTTTGGGTGACACATCAGCCAGCCACATTCTTCGGCGTCGTTTCTTTTTCTTCTCCCTCTCCTAAATTGGTCCCAATGTCACGCTCGTTTGGGCGACCTAGAAGTCGTGGACCCAGCACGCACTCTGCACAGGCCACCCCCAACTTCTTTCATTCTGGATGGATCATGGGGTGATCGCCTGGATCGGGACTGGCCTGCTGGGCGCCACTGCAGCCACCTATTACCTAACCACAAGGTCAAATGGTCCTCCCTGTCTTCTAGAGTGCCTACCTAGGTAGGTACTAGTATGCCGAGCGGTCCGTAGTTTCCTTAGCCTACGATCTCTAGCTTGACCTCTAGGGTGACACCGGTCCATCACGAACAAATCCTGGGGGATTTTCTGGGGACCTTGTATGCTCGACGCTCCTCGTATTTTGCCTTATTTGATCGCCGATTTGAGACATTTGCAGTGCTGAAGTGTGATAACAAAAGGTCTCGAATGCATGTTCCCCATGCCACGGGCTGAACTTGAAAGGGACGCCGAGTCGCGGCATCGCAAGATGCGAGGTCCTTTCCTGCAGTGTCGATTGACATATCAGCTGTTGTGGTCGTGCTAAGCCGCTTTTGCCGGTGGCCAGCAGGTACGTATATCCAGTATAACGCACGGCAAACCTGTGTTCCCCTCTGACACAGGGGACCCCTCCTTCAACAGCAGTCAGGAATTGTCGTTACCAACCACTTGACCCACTCCTTGTCTTTGGGGGATTTGTTCCTGCGTTATCCGTTGAAAATTTCGGTTGAGCGTCGACCGGGGTCTATGCTTCGTGGTCCCATTTACAGGCTCCGTTCAATCTTTGTGCAACAGGGACGACATCGATCACGGCATGATCCGTTCTGAGCATACTTAGCTGGTGACAGGTGATGAAACAGTCGTCGGTCGATGGGTTGGGCATTATAGGATTCGTCCTCTGCACTGTGCGCTGTTATTTCTGATCGAAGTTCGTGGTTCATGGATGCAGAAGGTTGAGGGTTAAGCGTCAGGAGGCATTGCATGGCAGGAGGCACCGGTAAGTTCTCTCAAAATCACATCTTGACTTGTTGCCTGTCGGGAATCGCATCAACTGTCTATTCTGCGGTAAATACATACTTGGGGGGACTTTGTTCGTATTCGATTATCCACCGGTGATGAAACCGAGCAATCCGAGTTTGCTGCAATGAAACAATGGGCGATGTGCTTTTGCGCAACCTGAAAGGAAGCCTGCATGGACCGGTGTACAGTCCGGCAGAGCCATCCATGCGATCAATGCCCGACATAAGATCGTACCAGCCCTCGTGAAAGATATAGGCGAGAGCTCCCAGATGATTAAGCAGGTGCAGTTCAATTCTATTGAAATCAATTCAGTCCGATGTTTCCCCAGAAATTCAGTGCGTCTACTGCGATCGCATTTAAAATGGCGCCCTCCGAATTCCCTTTCAATTGCAACCTATGTAAGAGCCTTCGGCTGCGGTTCGCTGACGCACAAACTGGACACATCTACGTGAATCTCGGAACTTTCGAAGAAGCCCTTGCCTCTCCGTGCTCGGAGCACAAGAGCTTGGTCCGACAGTTCTGGGACTACTGCCGTGGGACACAGGCTGGAGGCACGGCGCCAATACAAGAGTATGATGACTTCATGTATCTACAAGACACAGAGGCTAGCAAGGGTTCGATCGTGAAATTGGGCGGGTGCGTATGGGTACTAACTGACAAGTTTATGACGGGGTGCTACGATAGTTGGCAACTTCTACTCGTTCGACAGGCTCCATCACCGATTCACCTCGGGGCTGGACGGATTCTGGATCAGAACTGGGTCAATGTGGGAGTCATCCAAGGTTGGAAGGACCGATGCATTTCTCTGCACGGGAGCAGATGCGAGAACCCATTGAAGATCAAGCCAACCCAACCAGATTGGCTAATTGATGTTCAACAAAGATGCATTGTCCGAGGCCACCATGAAAATACCCCTACCGCCTTTGTTGCGTTGAGCTATAGATACGGCAACCGTCAAGGATACAAAATGGATGATGATACCATCCTGAAGCTCCAGAGCCCCGGTATTTTGGATGACCCTGGCATGCCATTCCCACTGACTCCGATTACTCGAGAGGCAATGCACCTGACTTGTGTGTTGGGCGAGCGATATCTCTGGATAGACGAGCTCTGTATTGTCCACAGCAACGCAGAGGCCACTGCCAGACAGTTGAAATTGATGGCAGCGATCTATGCCAGTGCTGCAGTGACCATTGTCGCCACGGACGGGGATTCTCAGGATGGGATCCAAGGGCTCCAAGGCGTTTCTGTCCCTCGCGATCTGCATCAGAGGGTACTACCCTTTGGAGCTGACCAGCTTGTCACCCGCGAATCCAGTATCTCCAAGCTGACGGAGGGGACATTATATCACAATCGAGCGTGGACGTACCAGGAATTTGCAATGTCCCCACGACGTATCATCTTCAACGACAGGCAGCTACATTGGCTGTGCCATTGTGAAGCATGGCACGAAGAATCGACACTGGACGCCAAAGTCGAAGAGTACATTGACGACTCAGGACTGGCCAACACCAAGATTCTGCTAGCTGGCTTTCCGGACACAAGAGCTCTCAGTAAGTTGATCTGCGACTATAATAAAAGACATCTCAGTTACGACGAAGATGCTCTCCCTGGTATTTCCGGTCTTCTCTCTGTTCTCAGCCGTTCCTTTGAAGGCGGGTTCCTCCATGGGCTGCCGGAAATGTTTTTCGACAGGTGGCTGGGCTGGGGCGCTGTCAATGTGCGACGCCGAACTCATTCTCAATACCAAAAACAACAAAAACAAGAGCAAAACGGCCAAGATACATTATCTACCCTGCCGTCTTGGTCCTGGACGGGCTGGCAAGGCTCGGTATACTTTAGCTGTGACGATTCTCCACGCATCATGCCTAGTTTCCATACGATCGCCGAAACAATCCCCATAACAAAGTGGTACACCAGCAAATCGCCGGCTGGAGATTTCAAACGCAGAATTCGGTCACATTGGTACGACGAGCGCAATGCGCACAAGGATCACAGTCGACCTCTACCTGCAGGCTGGAGTCGTCACGATTCGATTCCTCTCTCCACCGGCAACTCGAACTCGTCAACCCAAGAAGCGCCCCTCTGTCCCGACGGATGTGGGAATCACGTCTTCAAGCACTCCAACTTGGCCGGTCAAGATGACGCTCTGAACGCATGGTTCTATCCATTCCCGGTCAGAGATATCCAGGAATCAACGGAGACTTTCCTTCCAGAGCAGACGCCATACCTCTTTTGCAGAACCAAGGGAGTTCAGCTTTGGGCATCCGAGGGACTGAAAGAAAACACAATGTCTCTTCGAGCCACCCGAGATGGTCTCGTCATTGGGACACTGGATCTACATAACCACGCGCAGTTGGATATGTTCCCACAGGACACCTATGGCCGCGCGGGACCCGTGGAGCTGGTCGCCATCTACCGATCCAAGGTGTATACTACAATAGGCAGGTTTAGAGTCCGTGAAAAGTATCGGTTACTCTGGATAGAATGGAAGGGAGGACTGGCATATCGCTTGGGGGCCGCCAGTCTTGATAGGGAGGAGTGGGAAGCGTTGAAGACCGAGGATGTGGATCTGGTTTTAGCTTGATCAGAGATAGAGGTCTATCGAGTACTCGTTGTACTTTTCCCGTCTCCCTCAGGCTGTCCTTGTGGCTGCAAACGGAGCCATTTGCTGCATGCTAGCTTCTTTCAGATCAAGTCTTGTGAAGACGATGAGCTCTCATTCAAGCCGCAAGAAGTAGGTACGTGTATGCAAAAGTGGGAGCGCCGCCTGAACCGCGGCCGGATTCTCCAACACCGATTTCAGGTCGCAAAGGCCCTTAGCATTACAGGAATACTTTTGCGGTCCAAATCTTGCAGGTGGTGACCCCCTCAACTCCGACTTGTGCTCATAACCACACTCACTGTACTCCGCCTGGCAGAGATGTCGTCTATCTTGACTCCTAGTGGAAATATTGATGAAACAACTATTTCATCTTATCGATAAGCAAACCTGGGGTTGTATGTCTTATCGATGGGAGGAAAATGTTATCGACGATCTTATCGACTACCCGATAAGGTCATGGAGAGAAAGAAACTTGGGAGTCAGAGTAGGCGACGACTTCAGGAGATGACTCCTATACAGAACCGGTCTCGTCCCCTCCTACCAGCTGGAGTGCCTGTAAAAGGTTAAAAGGTCGTGATGCGAGGTGGGGCCGCAGGTTCTGTTGCTGCTAATAGAAAGCTCAGGAGACGGAGGTGGTCCCATCTCCAGTAACGTAAATTACTCCAGCCTGCTTCTTTCCAATAGATTTCCCCAAGTAGACTGTGTTCTGATTATATTTCTCCCGATAGGTAGTCTCGCGCCAGCTGTGTCTGGGGGTCGGCATATCTTGGATAGGAGCTGCGCTTTTCCACGCCATTCGTAAGGCCAAGTATAAGATTCGTCGGTTGGATCCCTGAATGACTTCTGCCATCGTCGAGTTGTTGGGGAGGGCATACTTCCACGGGATCATGCGGCCACGCGTGTGATGAGCCGCGAATACTCATATACAGGGTCATCAGAAGTTGCAATGGAATGTAGACCTGGTAAGCCCACCAGAAGGGCACCGGATCTTCGAAGCTGTATTCGTTATCCCGGCAGAAAAGTAAGTGTCTGAGAAACAACTGCAGCGTCCCAAACCACTCGATCAGGCTCTTTTCACGAGTAAGCACTCCCAACAGCGGCGTCAGGCAAAGTTGAAGCAATTCTTGACCGAAGCAGTAGATCCCAGAAGTATTGGCGCTTGGCATGGCCACCTCGGCATTGGAAGAGTCTTGCTTGACGACAGTAATAGACCCCAGTTGCTGATCGCCATCATCCTTGGCCCTGGATGGAAGGCTTGCCAGGTATGCTCGAGTCAATTGGGCTGAACCGGCCGCACCCTGGAAGAAAAGCAGCCCAGCCTGGGCGTGGACAGATACACTTACTGGAAAGATGTTTTCCAGCACTCCAGACACATTGGCATGCTCCTCGACGCAGAAGTCGACGCCGAGGTGAGCGCTGAACCCGGGGCGTTGTTTACTGGCGAACGTTTGCATGAACATCAACATTGATTGGTTCAGGGCCGACTTGCTGTCCAAGACTTGTGCGCCACCCGTGCCCGTGGGATAACTGGCGACAAAGGCCATGACATTCCGCTCGACAATGATTGCAAAGCTAGAGTACCTCTTCAAACCCTCCGTGATCTGCTCCAACCGCCATGGTTTGGCTTTTTGTATGGGGATGCGCGCAACTGTGTTGTAAGTCTGGCTCGGCGTCTTCCTGGGAAGCATGGTCCTGCTGGACTCGGCTGGAATTCCATCCGGGTTGAGACTTTGGAGCAGATATCTCCGTCTTCTCTGAGAATTATGAAGCACTCTGTGCACTTCGTCTCTCGATCTTACCAGGTATGTTTCCAGGACAGGCAGGCCTAGACTTTTGGTGTGCATAAGGAAGGCATCTCGTGTCGCAAAGTACGGGGCATCTGCCATGCTTAGACCAAAGGAGCGGCAGTTGGTGTCTTGCTCAATGATTTCCCTGGCTTGAGCTTCGATGAAGGGATCTGCGCTGCGTGTGCAGTTGATCCAGATATCGACCCGCTCAGTCGTTATAATCTGGACCAGAGCTGCAATGTACGAGACTACCCGTTTCTCTTCAGGCTGCAGGTCCATGCGGTAGAAACGGCGCAATGATCGCGAAAAGCGGGCAGGCATGGGAAGGCCGCCCGGCTCGTAGTCGGCTCCCACCACATTATGGCCCGTCTCATGGAAGGCTCTGGCCAAGCGGAGTCCTTGCGGACTATTGATCCCTGTGATAAGGATGGTTCTTGAAATGAAGCCTGGTGTGCTGATCAAGTGCCGACGAGCAGAGTTCCGAGGTGCGGATGAAATATACGCGTAGTTGATGAGTAGGAAAAGGGTTGAGAGCGGGAGGAGAGAGGCCGCACAAGAGACCAACAAGAGGTACTGTAATCCCTCAGTTGTCGACATATCAGCTTCAACTTGGGGCTTTCAGAACTTGGAGCTCATTCAGATCAGCCGGATCGAGGAGCCCATGTGGGAACGGCCTGCTGTCAGCTCTTTCAGTTCGGATGATTAGCGACGTGACGGGCTCGCAGCAAGGTTATCCATGGCATTCGCAAAGTGGACGCTGCAAGTGATGTGAAGAATCAAGGGAAAGTCAAGCGGATAAATCCTTCATCGTGACACAAAAGGTCGAGGAAGACGGCTCGACGGATGACGGATGAAGGATGAATCGAGATCCATTCTTGGCCCCGATTCATGATCCACGGTGAGGCAAGAATATGGAGTACGAGTAGCAGGTATTTTAGGCCATGATGTAGATACTTTGCCTACCGGTGGGTACCTAGAGGGTAGGTACCTACCTTGGATAGATGCGGAGCTGTTCTGAAGCTGGACCTCTTCATAAAGCTTATAAAGAAATACGTTACCTTATGTGCCTGTGCAAACTGTGCCAGTGGCAGTGGCAGTATTGTGACACAGATCCCCCCTCCGTCTCCCTTTACAGCAACACATGTTGGAGTCGCGAGGGAAAGGCGTTTGATGCTGTGATTGTGCGAATGGAAGTGATTACGTAGATACCAGGTTAGCATTGGCGGCATGTCTCCAGGCTTTCACATGGGCATGGGCCTCACGGGGAAGAGAGGCTCCATGGGCTCGTGAAGCGAAAAGCTTCAACTGGACGGCTTGTCAAATCAAGCTTAATTGTGGCGTCAGTAGGTGGCTCCTTAGGCTTCGTTTACCTGGACAGATCCCGCCCCTCATCAAGACCCTGGGGCTAGGGAGCCCTGTCATACCCACAACAACGCAACAAGATCCAAGCTGAAAGCTGAAATCTAGCCTACAGAGAGAGAGAGAGTACAAGTTTCCACGTAGCAACAATAATTGATAAATGACCGCATCACCACAACATCGCTGGCTGCACTGTCCCACAACACCATCACAACCAGCATCCATCACCACCCACTCATTCTTCATATCTTCTTCTAATACTGTAATACTGTAACACTAATTCCAGTTTCTCCTCGTCCCTCTTCTCCTTCTTCCAGCTTTTTGGCGCCTCTGCCTGTTCGGCTCGCAGTCAGGCTGTCTCTCCATCTTCGCCAATATATTGTTGCGGAGAGAGCATCGCAGTCATGGCCCACCAGGGACAAGCAGCCGACTACTACAATAGCCAGCCGAATCCGGCTGCTGGTGCCCCGTATCAGCAACAAGGATATCAACAGCAGGGCTATCAACAGTATCCTCCGCCGCCAGCCCATCTCCAGCAAGGTCAGCAACAGCAACAGCAATATCAAGCACCACCGCAGCCTTACCCACCTCAAGAACCAAAGTACACCCATCAGCCCCCTACTTATGGCGCCAGCTTTGTCCCCCCGCAAGACGACAAGCAGAGCTTCCAGGACACATTCAAGATTCAAAAGCCGAAATTCAATGACCTCTGGGCAGGGCTACTGGTGTGTACACTTCAACGCATTTGGTGCTTACTTCACGCGACTGACTGTCTCGTAGCTGATCGCAACATTTTGCGGGTTCGTCGCTGTCTCAGGCCTCACTCTCTACCGATACTCCAAATACCATACCTTCAATGGTGGCGGAATCTATGGGGGCGCCAATGACTTCTCGCTAGACACCAACACGATCATTCTCTTTGCCTTCGTCCTCTGCGTCGCTTTCGCCTTTTCCTGGGTGTATTTCCTGTCGGCACGGGCGTTTACAAAACAATTCGTGTGGCTCACTGGCATACTGAACTGCGCGTCGGCAGTTGCTACCGCAGTCTACTATCTCTACCGTCGTCTATGGGGCGCTGGTATTGTATTCGCCATCTTTGCGGTCTTCGCCATCATCTGCTTCATCAGTTGGATCCCGCGCATTCCGTTTGCGGTGGTAATGCTGCAGCAGACCATGGATGTTGCGAGGATGAGGAGGGTACATGTATTTCTGGTGAGCCTTGTCGGAGGCCTCATCAGTGTGGCATTTGCTGCATGGTACTCCGTCACGCTCGTCGCCATTTATGTGTCTTACATGCCTAGCAACCCCGGCAGTACCCCCAATCCAGCCTGTGCCGATGCGAGCTGTTCCAGTGCGAAGGTGATCGGAATGGTCGTGTTCGTCACGTTCGCCGGCTACTGGATCACAGAATGGATCAAAAACACCATCTATGCCACGATTGCAGGAGTCTATGGTAGCTGGTATTTCTGTGCAGGAACACCCGGCGGCATCCCTTCCGGCGCGACCTCCGGCGCTCTGAGGCGGGCTACAACATATTCCTTCGGATCGATATCGTTTGGCAGCCTCGTTGTCGCCATCATCAACATGCTTCGCCAGGCCTGCAGTATTGCTCAGCAGCAAGAGGCCTCTGATGGAAACATCGTTGGCTCCATCATGTTCTGCATCCTTGGCTGCATCATTGGCTGTCTGAACTGGCTTGTCACGTTTATCAATAGATATGCGTTCTCTCATATTGCGCTCTACGGCAAGCCGTACATTGCCGCGGCCAAAGACACCTGGCACATGATGAAGGATCGAGGAATTGATGCCTTGGTCAACGACTGCCTGGTCGGCCCGGTCCTGACCATGGGATCTGTCTTCGTGGCCTACCTTTGCGCTCTCCTGTCCTATCTCTGGCTGGAATATACTCACCCGGCTTACAACGACGGCCGCACCTTCACGCCTGTTATCATGGCATTCTCCTTCCTCATCGGGTTGCAAGTATGCCAAATTTTCATGACTCCGATTGGCGCCGGAGTCGATACTGTATTTGTGGCAATGGCTTGGGATCCGCAGGTGGCCATCACGGATCATCCAGAGTTTTGGGACCGCCTGGTACAAGTTTATCCTCACGTTCAGCAGGTTATTCATGTGTGAATGCCGGACCAGAGGGGTGTTTGGGCGTCTCTTTCGTTGCTATGTTGGCACTGGACTTCATTACTCCAGGAATCCTTTACCTCCGAGCCATTCCGTGGCTAAGGCTTCACTCTTGTGACTAGTCCACCAATCTCACTCTCCCTTTTCAAGACTGGCCATGGTGGTGACCCTCGTGCAGCAGTCGTCGTCTTTCTCCCCGGCCGGCTTTCCCGGTCACAGTGGAGGTACAAAATCTGTCGATTCGGTCGTATTGAACATCGACTAAGATGACCATTGCAAAAGTCGTTCAAATTGGCAGATCCATTACATCAACCTAACCAGTGAAAACGCAAGTTTTTTCCAAGCGAGGAATACAGGCCAATAGCCAGAATATAGCTATCTACCAAACAACCACACCCCTATTCTCTCTATCAGTGGCGAGTTTGCCCTTTGCCTCGTTCAAACCACTTGGGATGGCCGGAATTGACCCCCTTCTACTGCCAAGAGCAATAGAGCGATACTACTGTCGTGTTATCGATCAATGTAACAGCCGCGGGTTGTCGGATATACGTTTTCCCCGACCTGGACCAGTCCGTTATCTATCATATCAGAGATTGATACAGGAGTGCGATTCCTTAACAGGCAGCTCGATAACACTGACCTCCCCGACCTCCCCGACCTCCATCGCCTGACATGACGACAGGCCATATCGCAAGTCCCCAGTGTGCATCAACCATCCTCTCTGGTCGTTGTCGAACCAATCCCGAAATCGGCCTCTATCAAGATGACCCTTGTCGGTCTCTATCATAGTACTCGAATGCAGTGCAAATGGATATGCAGCCATGTGCGGCGGTCTTCTCCTCTGGCTCATTTGGCGCTTCGTCTGGCGACCTGCTCGATTTGGGTTGATCGGCCTGATATGCGCTGCACGAGTGGATCATGGACAAGATACAACACCGGACGTTGATTCCAGGAGAGGAAGCCGTTGTTCAGTGACCTTATATGTATATCTATCATATTCCCAAGACCGGTTATTCATGCTCTCAAACCCGATCGCTTGTCCATTCCGCACATCTTCCATTTCTATTCCACTGTGATCTCCTTTTTCGTGGACCTACCTGCGACCTGTGTTGTGCACTATGGATCTTGAACCCAGAAAGATTTCCCTCGTGGGAGGACAGGATAATGAGAAGGTATCTGTCGTTGATGCCAACCGACTGAACAGCGTCGCCACCTTTGCCTCCCTGGACGAAGCCCTGGGTCAACTGGACATCTCGGTCAAAGACGCCGATGAAGCGTTTACCTTTCTGAAGGACCACCCCAACGCCGATGCCGTCCGACAAGAAGCCATTGCCATCCTGGCCGACCCGAAAGCGACCAAGCGACTGGTGAGGAAGATCGATTGGACCATTGTGCCATGCATGGTCGCCGTCTATTTCCTGCAATATCTGTGAGTGTGTTCCGCATACCTATCCCCTGAGTGGTTAAAACATAAGCCTTCCACAAGAACCAACACCAGTTGTTTTGCTCGAGTTAGACATGGCATTTCCTTTTTATCGGAGAATATCTGTGCTGATGCTTCTGTCCCAGTGACAAAACAACCATCTCCTACGCGGCAGTGATGGGTCTCCGCAAAGACATCCATCTCGTGGGCCAGGACTTTTCCAACTCCGCCATGATGTTCTACATCGGCTTTCTCGCCGCCGAGTTCCCCACGCAATACCTCGCTCAACGGATCAGTCGACTGGGGAAATACCTGGGAGCCAACGTCATGCTCTGGGGCGTCGTCCTGGCCTGCATGGCGTCTGTTACGTCGTACGCCGGATTGATGATCTGCAGGACAATCTTGGGCATTTTCGAGGTTCGTCCCTGCCACCCCGTGCCACCATTGTGTCTCTTAGAGGCATACCGAATCAGATAGCTAACATTCACCTCTTCAGGCACCAGTCGCCCCGATCCTCGTCCTGATCATTTCCATGTGGTACAAGAAGGGCGAGCAAGGCCGCCGAGTCAGCTTCTTCTATGTGTGCAATTCGGTGACTCAGATCTTCGGGAGTGGCGTCGCCTACGGGGCGAGCTTCACCCACGGCTCGTTTGCCAGCTGGCGCATCTTCTTCCTCGTCATTGGTCTCATGACCATCGTGCTGGGCTTTTGTGTCTTCATGCTGTTGCCTGACTCTCCGGTCAAGGCGCTCAGGTTCACCGAGGCTGAGAAGGTGGCTGCCTTGCTGCGTGTCAAGGAGAATCAGTCGGGCACACAGAATGCGAAGTTGAAGAAGTCCCAAGTGCTGGAGTCGATGCGCGATGTCAGGGTGTGGTTGGTGTTTTTGTCGGTCGTGTTGACTGCGATTCCGAATGGTAAGTTATTCTCCTCCTTGGTCCCAAAAGAAACAAAGAAGACACAGCACAGCACAGAACATCACATCTTGCTGCTGCTGTTGTTGTTGTGAGGGGATCCAGGTCCTGCAACAACTGGTTTGGATGCGCCTCCCCCTCTTTCTTAATCTTGCTCCCCGACTGTGTCACCTCTATTTCCATCATGGCCTCAAAATTTGAGTCTGATTGAGCTTGACCACTGACATCTTCTTCCTTAGGTGGTCTCTCCAACTTCTCTTCGATCCTCCTCACCACATTCGGCTATACCAGCCAACAAGCGCTGATCCTCAACATGCCCTCCGGCGCCGTCGGCATCTTCGTGGTCTTACTGTCGGGCTATCTCAGCGATAAATGGAACGACCGCTCGCTAGTCATGCTCATCTGTCTGATCCCCACGATCGTCGCGGCCGGCCTGATGTACGGCCTTGACCCGGACGGCATCCCCAAGAGCAAAGGAGCACTCTTGTTTGCCTCTTACCTGAGCGGAACGTTCGGCGCCGCTTTCATGCTTCTGCTGGCATGGAACGCCAGTAACTTGGCCGGACACTCGAAGAAGGTGACGGCCAACGCTCTGACACTGGTCGGGTTCTGCCTGGGCAATATTCTGGGCACGCAGACTTTCCAGGAGAGCGAAGCGCCGGGCTACAAGAGCGGCAAGATCGCCATCGTGGCTTGTCTTACCGCGCAGGTTTTTGTCTGCTTTGCCATGAGGTACTGCAACGATCGGCTTAACAAGAAGAACCAGAAGACTTTGGAGAACATGAGTGAAGAGGATAAGATGTTGGTTCGGGAGAAGTTGGCGTATAGTGATGAGACGGATTTGAGGAACCCGTTTTTCATCTATACGCATTAAGATGAAAGGAAGGAATGAATGAATGAAGAAGAAAGCAGAGGGGTGTTGAGTATACGAGACAGATGCTGTGTCCGGAGATGGGCAAGGCTGTGAATGTAGCCAGGCTGTTCGGTGAGATAGTATGTGATACCAGGCAAGGAGGTTTTTGAAGTCGTTACCTTTCGTCGAGTAATCTGATACGTATTGGTATGCCCCAGGCCATGTCGACACGCCGATAAGATCCCTGTAGAAGTTCAGGTAGCCAGGGGGTAGGAGGGTACAATGACCATTGACCACGTAGTACAAGTCAGTATTCTGGTCTCCAGCCTCGGCTGACTGCCGACACCAACAAGCGCAACGCCACAAGGTCGCGGTCAAGACCATTCAGACCCGAATCATGAATGCTCTGTGTATCGTATCAGTCAAGATCCATCCCATACGCCCGATGTTCCGCCCCGCCAAGAGGAAGTGTACGTGTTTTGTATACCTGTTTTGTATACCTCAGGTGTACACTACCTGAAACATCGAGTGGTCGGCCGGTGTCCGGGTGATGTTCGTGGGTACGTGGATCAGATCTCATTGTAGTGGCCGAGCCGGGATGGTCAGCCTTCTCAGCTCACCTGCACCTGCACTTCAGATCAGATCAGATCGGACGGACCGGATCAGCTGCGGCTGCGGCTGCGGCTGCGCCACGACTTGACGCGATACGAAAGAACAAGGAGTTCTGGTTATTGGCTCTTGGTATCCGAGGATCCGAGTGAAGTACGTAGGTATGTACCTAATTCAAATATCTGGTGCGCCATGGATCGGGAAATATAGATCGTAGAAATCTTATTGCCTCTCCCAGGCAACAGTGTTTCTTTCTAGCCACCGGTGGCGCTGCAAGACGCGCGCCGCCCTGAAGGCGAATAATGGTGGCCTTCACAGCCCTTGGCTGGGTTTACCGTACTCGGAACCTGACACAGTAGGTAAGTGAGGTACTAGGTACTTGACTGTGCAAGGTCCCTTAAAATGCCGCGGACCTGGCGTGCCAGCTGGACAGGGAATATTTGTGCCGATGGATGAAACGGCGAATCATGATCAGAATCAGATGAAATGGATATGAATATATACTGTGTTATACTGTTTCAGCTGCTGCTTGCTCTGTTTAGTGTTCGTAGTCGTCATCGTCAGCTTCTGCTTCGCCTCTAAGGGCCACATATCATTCATTCATTATTGGATGGTATGTGGTACTTGAGAAAGAGGTTGGTAATTTATGGCGATGAATAAAAGTTCTTATACACTTCGGTCAGTAAAGCGGCGAGGGGTAAACTCCAGTAGTGGAATAGGCGTACAGGGAGCAACGTCAGGCGGCGGCAAACTTGAACTCTGCGGTAGAACTTCAAGCTTGGGTCAAGTTGCTGTCGCTCTAAGATAGCATCATCATCATCGAATACGAAGGTCTCACAGTCTGATGGTGATACAATGAATGGGGGACGAGACGTCGGACAAGAGCTCAACGCCGTTCAGCCCGACTTCCCTCTATCGTCTCATCGCCTTCGCCTCGACCACATATTCATCGAGACTCTCTGTCTTGTCTTTTAGTGTCTGCCAGGTTTCAACATCCCTCCGACCAATCATATATAGGAGACCATGACTCACGAGATGGATCTGAAGCCTGCTTCGACTCAAGTTCAAGTTCTGCTATAAACCGGGTCATGTGGCTTGTTCTCTTTTCACCTTTCGCCTCTCTTTCTGGCTGCCAGCCAGCGAACCGTTCGACCATGAACCATCGAATCTCTGGCAACTGGCAACTGGCAGTTTATTGGCATTCGAGGCTCAGACTCGGAGCGTTCCATCTTCAGTTCCAGTGGTGGCTCCCGTTCCATCTTTTATACGAGCCAACTGAAGGTCTGTCCGCCACTTGAACTGCCACCGCACAGCTATCTATTACCCATTCCCGACCTACCACTGGGTAGGTACCTATGTATGTACACCGTACACCCCGTACACTGACCTCCACTCCACTCCATCTGATCCCAAATCCAGGCATCCACGTAAGTCAGAAGTCAGAAGTCAGAAGTCAGGCATCAGCGGGCCGCGCGACTCATCTCACCCGGCTCGCGTTTCTGGTCAGCTGCTGGGGTGTTCAAGTTGTGGTCGTCTTGTGGAATCCCGCTCATCCTTCTAGCGCATCGCAATCCCTGTATGGTAGGATATGAGTCTATCAAAGAGATGCGCCGCTACCAACCAGTAGCCCCATGATCCGTTACGGCTGATGCATGGATCATTGCTGGCTCGCATGGCCCGGGATCCGCTACCCATCATTCATCGTCTTTCTGTTCTTCTGTTTCTGTGGCGGCCGTAGCCTTCCAGTTTTGCCTGAAGTGGCGCCTGCTGATGACTATTACTCACTGACTTCTGCTCGGCGCCTTCGGTTCCGCGTCAAACCGGTCTACCAATACCGATCTGTCGGGCCAAGGTATGACAGTCTCGATGCCAGTTCCAGTACCAGTCGCGTCTCTTCTGTCCGGCTACGTAAGTATTTGGTTGCACGGGAGGTGTGTGCCCGAAGGACGCTGAGGCCTGACCCCAAGACGCCGAGTGAGTCTTAAACAACCTACGCGTTCCGGATTCATACGCCAGCAAGAAGCACAGCCTTGCAGCCTGCAGCCTGCAGATCCTGGTCGGCCACGAGTTCGTCATATATTGAATGCAACGTTCTCTGTTTCTCTTACACACCTACACATACACTCGCACTCTGTCTTTCCTTGCACCTGCACCTCGGCCCCAGAGCAGTACTGTACCTTCTGTTTGTGCCACACTACTACCTAAGTCACGGTGTTGGTTAGGCGGCAAGAGCGCGATCTAACCTTCCTCTGCGCATACTCGCGCACGAGACAAAATCAATCTCAACCTCAACCTCAGGCTCTCAACCTGAACTTGGAGTCTCGGTCGACGCGCGAATATCCATATCGTCCCATGTCCGGTCATACCTTGGCACTGCCATCATGGTTCTGACATCGACGCACGACTCAACCGATCAATTCTCGCCACCAGCCGGTAGCGATTCGACAGGATCGATCACTAGTCCAAGCACAAGCATAAGCACAAATACGCCTGAAACCAAGAAAGCGCATGTTTTCGACGTCGCCATGGCTGAGCAGCAGCAGCAGCAGCAGCAGCAACGACAACAATACCCCGACGAAATCTCATCGCTATCTGTACCAACCCATTCAAATCCCCAATTCATCAAAACGCACGGCGCTCTCCGTCGTGCCCGGGCGCCTCCTCGCAACGACCGCGGCGACATCTACTGCGACCACCCGACTTGCCGGGCCAGCAACAGCAGCCAGACGTTCAAAAGACTCTGTGAATGGAACAAACACATGGACCGGCACGAGAGGCCATATAAATGCGTCGAGGTCGGATGCGAATTAAACCCCGGATTCACCTATTCCGGCGGCCTGCTGCGGCACCAGCGCGAAGTGCATCGAATGCATCTGTCCACCAAGGAACCCCTGTTCTGTCCGTTCCCCAACTGCAACCGAAGCTCCGGCACCGGGTTCACCAGGAAGGAAAACCTGGAGGAACATAAGCGGAGAAGACATCTGGAGGAAATTGAGGTGTCCGATCCCGATCACGACCAAAGGCGTGCGCAAACTCATCAAATCCGTGCCACAAGATCGGGTGCAGGCGACTCTACCGAACCCGACTCGATCCCCGTGTCCACGACGACATCCTCCCGCTATGAGATTGCGGCTTCGACGACCAAGCGACGAAGACTGACGACGCTGGTGGAGTCTGAATTCCATGGCCATGCGATGTCTTCGATCGAGACACTCAAAGCTGCTGGTAGGAGGAGTACTAACAGTACTATTTTCGTCGACGGGCCGTCGCAAATGATTCCGATGCAGTCACAGTCGCAGATACAGACAAAAACACAACCACAACCACAACCACCGATGCAACAAATCCAACAGCAGCAGCAGCAGCAACATCTCATCCAACGGTTACGTGAAGAAATCCTTAGGAAGGAAGACTTGATCAGGCGCCAGAACGCAGAGATCTCGCGTCTACACAATTTCCTGCACTCGTTGCCTCCACAGATGGTATATGACGTGTTGCAAGTCCAGGCACAAGCGCAGGCGCAGGTGCAGTTGCATATCCCAGCAGGTGAAGGAGGTTGAAGATCGGGTCTTTTTCTCCCAAGGACACAGGTATCATCAGATTGGAATTGAATTGGTCTCAGGACACACGGTTTAGCGGAAGACGAGAGACGGAAGGCAGAAGACAAGAGACGAGATTGCTCCAGCCTATAGGCCAGAACGAGGGAAGCAGTGATTTGGGATGACACCCTCACGCTCAAAAGTAGCCCTGTCAGTGAAGGGACTTCGAGATAAGGTAGGAGTCTCGATGACTTTGAGGTTAGGTAGAATGTCATCTGTATGTGTATCATGTATTATGTGCTATATACTATAATTTGGTCTGCTTCTGGTGTTGTTTCGTTTGGTCTGGTATTTCTGAGTCTCTCTCCCCCGGTCCCAACCTCTTTCTAATGCTTCACAACTCTTTTCTGTGACCTGTCTCTTCTCATATCCCTCCATCCACTTTGTCCCTTGTCGTATTCTTACAGCTTGGACCAAGGCCGACTTTGGGGGGAAGGGCTCTGAGTAGGTCCATGATGGAATGGAATATATGGGAGGATCTGGAGAGCAGGCTCGTCTTGTTTTGATATACGTAACAATGGTAGAGCACACATGGCATCAACGTTGTGTAAAAGGAAAGAAGGATGGTTCGATTTCTCTCAGCCTCGGTCTTAGCCTCAGCCTGATATATTATTTCCCACTTGGATCTGTAGGTGCTGGCTGAATCCCCAGAAAAGAAGTGATATTATACAATCCGTATACATGACATGGTAGGTAGGCATGGTTCAGTAATTCAAAGTTTCAAAGTTTCAAGGGGTATTGTTGCATGCCTCCGGGGTGTTCATTTCATCATCTCTTTCCCTGTTCCGATAGCACATATTCTCTTTGGACACATCTCATCGTACCGCTTTGCGGTCATTCATTTCGTGTTGCTCGCCCCTGAAATTGGCCTTCCTTGTGACTTGGAAGCGTGGGGTTGCTTGGACGACCTGGCCGTATTGAGACCTTGTCTCTCCGACATTGACGACCAATATTCATAACGTAACGTAGCGTAGCTGAACATGGCATGGCATGACTCCAGCTTGACTTACCTTAGAACTCGCGCGCCATGAAGACGCACAAAGTTTGCCGTTGAGGTAATAGTAAATCTTATTACGCGACTCCACTGTGTAATGTTCAACATTCGGGATCGGCTGGTCCCTGCCGTCTTGCGTCTTGCGAGAGATTTGCAGTCTTGTTTGTGGCGTTGGCGGATACCATACTCGCACTGCGTCGAGTTGGTATCGGAAATGCTTGCCACAGCTGAATCTCATCAGACCTAAGGCATCATCATGCATGATCCATCGGTCTGGGGGATGTTCCACTGCCATTGAATGTGAGCTGTGTGCTGAGATCATATCATGGTTGCTGTTTGCCACCTGATCCCAGCCCGGCGTTTCTAGATTCAATCCCCCTTCGAGCAGGGTAGTCCGCACGAGTGAGATAGTGCCGGCACAGAAAGACTTTATGCAGAGTTGAAACGTTGCTGTGCAACGCCAGGAGAGACCAGTCCAAGGTGTCATCTGCAACGACCGATGAACGGACCAGATTGACTCTTGGTTGACGGCCTTGGACCTCCGTTCGCCAGCTCAGGCCCTCGACCATTGACTCATTTCCTCGTTATGTGGTCGTGAGTGGCATATCACTCTGTGCTTCTTCTCAACTCATTGTGACAGCGAAGAAGCCGCCGAATCTGGCGTGGCCAATTCCTCGTGATCTTCTGTAACGGTCGGAGCCAGCCGTAGCCGTCCGGAGTCCGGCACGGCCAATGTCAGCCCTGCTCCTGGTTCAATACTTCAATGATACGTCAATCATGGCTCATGGATCCTGATCTGTCCGGCAACCTCGGGAAAGGCGTCAAGGAAACTGGGACCGACACTCCAGTTGTCATACTCCGATACATGCGCCATGAAGTGAGAAGTCAGCACTCTGGCTCCGGTCACCGGATCCAGCTCGATGGCAGCGTCGAGATCATGCGGCCAATTCACACTCCACCGGGCCTGCATGAGCGGGGTGAGCCAATCTCGCAGGAGATGAATAGCAGCGTCTCGAACAGGAGGACTAATGGGCAAGTAAGGTCAGCGGAGGATACACAATGTAGACGGTGTCACGAGAAGGAAAATGACTCACAGCGGAATGGTTTCGATGGCCCCGATGTGTGGAATCATACACTGTGATGGCGTCGGTTTCATCATGTCCGGTACTCTTTGATACATTTCAAGAGTCGGGACCAAAAGCCACTACCAAGGAGTTAGCACAAGTCTCGTACTTAGTAGGGGCTGACATGGCGATTGTGGGGGAACTCACCTGCATCATGGATGTGAGCATGAAGACACAGGCAAGTCGAATGAACACATCATATTCATAGCTCCGGCTAACCTCACACGCCCACGAAGCGCAATCAAAATTGTCACTGGCTGACCGTGGCCGGAAGAACAAATCCACAGGCACCTTATCCACAGAGCCAAGGACGCTTGACAAGGGCACTCCATTGTCCAGCATCTGCTGGGCCGCCTGTAGATAATGCGAGTATGTCCGGCTCATGTAGGAGTCGTCGTTAACGGTCAGTGGCAGCACCAGATGCACAGGTATCCGAAGCCTTATTGATTGGTTTTCCTGTGCCACACATAAGTCTCTGCTTCCCATGGCATCGCATGACGATGGTGGATATGAAGTTGGCGCAAGGTATGGCACAGTGGGCGAGAGTGCAAGGGTGGGCGAAGCCATGGGAATGTCGGTGGTCATCGTTGGTGTAGTGGAGACATGGCGCGTTGCCGATGTCTGCGAGGATGGTAGACCGCCAGCGGAGACGGGGTCTGACATGGTGGCCACAGGACTTGTCTGCGGTGTCTGCTGTGTAGCAGAAGAGACCTGTGATGGACGAAAAGCATCAGTAGGATGCCCTGGGGTGTGGGATTTGTAAACGTAAACGCCGGGGGTCTTCGCACTTACCTGTGTTCTTTGCTCACTGGGGTCGCTTTCCGATCGAGCTTGTAAGGCCGGGTGCCAATTCGAGCGTTCTTCCGTGCTGCGTTGGATGGTATGGTGTATCACAACATCTGAGGAAATCATGCCACTGGAAGATGGACCAGACAACGACAAGACAATCTCATCGAACTGCAGAGCGAGAAACCGACGCAAAAGTTCTTCCCCGTCTGCGAGGCTGCTGTTTCTCAAGGCGATCAGCAGTCTTGCAAGCTCCGACGAGCCTCCCCGTTCTTTGAGTTTTCTCGCCCTCGAAGAAGAATTGCGGAGCATCTCCGCGTCCTGGGACTGCAGCCCTTCCCGCGTGAGGTTCCTGCCAGCTGCGATATTGTATTGCTTCGATTGATGTATTGGCCCAACTAGGTATGGTTCTTCCGGACTGTCCCCTAATGTCACTTCTCGAGCTGCCTCTTGATCTTCATGGTCCTCCCATGGAGACTGGACGGCGTTGGCGATGTCATTGGAGCTCGCTCCTGCTCGGATGGACTGGAAGAGGCCGTCGAGACGGGCGGAAGGACCACCGCGAATGCCATCCAGGAGGCTGTTGAGAGTGCCTTGAAAGACCTTGGACTCATCCAGAGTTCGCTGCAGAGCTGCGCGCCGTCTCATGTCCAGTGACAGGTCAATCACACATTCGGTGCCCAAGGACTCGCACAGCATGCAAGGTGGCGGGCCTCCGGTGCATTTGGTCTTCCTCTTCTTACACGCCTCGCACGCGGCCGAGATTCTGACACTGGCTTGCCGCTTTTTGAGGGCCGATGATTTGGAAGGCCGGCCATCCTCGGCCGGCTTGAGCGCTCGTTCTTTGTGAGACGAAGGCATTTTGGACATGTGGGATGGAGACTCTTCAATTGAGTCGAGCGTCCATTGTGAGAGACAGGAGTCTTGTCCTGTGTCGGTTGTGGACGAATTCAAGTTGCACATCCCCAGTGGTTCGCCACTTTTGCACTCAGCGGTAAGAGTCCGACGATCAGTCACTTGATGAAAAGCACGAGGAAATGTTGGGAGAGCACGGCATTAAATGTTCGAACTGGCCCGACGAGAGCGCAGCGCCCCCAAGGATGGCACGGGCTGGCTGTGGACTACGAACTGCCAGTGTCAGTGCCACAGCGAATGCCGCTCAACTGCGACAGACAACTGGCTAGTAGCCATTACGGGTTCAAGGGTGCGAGAAAGTACTCTGTAGGTTAGGTTAGGTTAGGAGGCATGCCTGTCTGGACCCCGCTCAACGGGCACCCGCCTAAAGTGGCCCCTCATTGACTGATATTCTGGGACCTAGGAGCTACTGTCATAAGGGTACCAAAGCATCCTTAAATGAAACGGCCCCCACAGGGCTTGTTGAAAGTACCTGAAGCCACCTCAGAGGTACTCCCGTTGTACCTCGGTCCCTTCCCAATTATCTGCGATGTCGTCGTCGGCTCAAGAGTATTGTCATCTACGTATCCTACACTGCAGGCGGGACAACCACCCGCCCCCATCGCCTCGATTAGACGAAAAAACGCATCGGCGCTACTACACAGGACGTCCAGTGAAGCTGTGGCAGGATGGATCGACAGACAGGCGGCGCAGCCGGGCTGGTAATGTATTCCGGCCGGTGGCAGGTCTTGATAGGCGCAGGGATGGCCCTAGGTGCATGCTGGAGCGTTCCGTGAGCCATTGACATCTCTGGGCGACCAGTAACGGCATCGTCTATCCCAAAGCAAGGTGGGTTTTTGGCGGAATGGCAGCGGATCACGGATATATTTTCCATACCGCAACCAACTAGTACAATGCAAACATTGGAGCCATTGGACTTGTGCTCTTTCGTCGCCACAAGCCAGAACCTTCCCCCCCGTACGCCCACCACTGTTGCAAGCGAGCAGACAAGCTGGATTCCAGAGTGCTCCTTACTCCCTCAACTTTGACGTCGTCCATGTGCAGCTCTTCCAGCGCACCCTGCATGGTCAGAAACACCACGGTGTGGGCAATCAGCATCCATGACGTTTCACACTCATTCCATGGGTCATTGACATCCAGGTGACCGCCCGCTGCTTCAATCTCGTCCCGCAATACCGTGCTGTCGGGTTCCGGACACAGCTTGATGAACAGCCTCTGCAGCTTCTCCATCTTCCGAATACACTTCAAGATTTCGTCCACGTGGTTGTAGAAGGGAAAGATGGCAATGAACTCGAAGCTTAGCAGATTCGCAAACATGGCGTTGCCGGCAGTAGAGTTGTTGACGTGCAGGGTGGTCAGCAGTGAAGGCGTCCGTCTCAAGAAGAATTCGTACGTCGTGTATGCAAGAAGGCTAGACCCTTCATTAAATGTCATCTTGGTCCACGGCCGGGCCACAAGGAAGTTGGGGAGGTTATCATAGTCGATCTGGGCTCGAATCTCATCCGCAGATTGATCGAATCTCAGGATCTGCGAGCCCATGTCAAATGCCCAGGCATCAGAGGTGCATGAAGGGGTGTCGGCCAGTCGGGCAAGGACTTCTGGGGGTGCGAAAATGCTCAGCCTAGCGATAGGGACTTCGTTCAGTAACCGGGCCCACCATGCAGGATGGAGATGATTGTAAATGCCCGGCACATCGGCCACGACACTCGAAACATGGTGAATCAGATCCTGCTCCTTCAGGAAGACCAAGAAGCTGGTGAGCCGAGCGGGATGCAGCACCGCATACTTGAACAGGATTGGTAGTGTCAGTGATCGGGCGAGGCGACTTGTCAAAGAGAGTTGTTTGAGAGGATCATGCCAGTACAGTGAGCCGTCAGTGGTGTCGTCAGGATCATCAACCTGCCATGGTCGTTTGATGTTCCGCCATGAGATTGGTTTGTGAAGTAGTAACTCGTCGAACGGGCTGGGTGAGTCGAGGAAGGAGATGATTCGGGAAATGAGCTCGTTAGGCAGATCGAGAAGCGACATGAATGACAGTGGATAGTCTTCAATTGTGGACTTCGGCAACTGAAGGAGAAGGCTATTGCGCAGGCTAGCTAGGTACCTTCAGAAGTAGTAAGACTGACAAGCCGAAGCCATGCCGGCCTTCTTGTGTCGGTGGCGTCTTGTTCCTGACCGAGATGAAGGCGGATTTGGTCTGACAAGTTGGGAGATGTTGCTGAGGGTTTATCAGGCACGCCCAAGTCTCTGAAGTAGGTACCCACGGTACCCATGTAGTGAACAGATGTGATGATGGCTGTGATGGGCGGGAACTGATTTCAAGGAAGCAAAGATGTAGGAGTTCGTTCATCTGGCAAGATGTCGAAGTCGTGATCCAGATAAGTTCAATGTGGCGCAGTGCGGGGCAGATATCATCTTATCTGCACGTGAAGATAATAAAGGGGGCTGTTGGAGTTCTGCAGTGGGATGCTCCACCGTTTCTTTTTGTTGCGCCCATCATTCTCTCTCAGAATCTCTCCCTAGGTTATCCCCTGGTCTATCTTTCGAGACTGTCACTGTCCTCGAACAGCATCTGGCCAAAAAATGGGTGTAGCGCACAGCGACTCAAAGTTCACAACAACGACAGACAGAGAAGCACACGCTATTGCAGGCTGCCGTTCACTAGCCACACCGGTTTCGGCGTTATTGGTGGAGACCTCGATTCCAGAAGAGCTCAATCATAGACGGCGCAGACTTTTTCCCTGCGATCGTGGGGTAATCCAGGTACAAAAAGGGTCTGTGTGGGTGCTTTCAAGAAATAACCTGATTCGACATGCTACTATCCCAATCTTTGCCAGGTAATATCCATCTACTCGAGTCTTTTGAGCTTGTTTACTCCTATCCCCACCGCTACTTTGTCACTACCATTGTAGCACCTTGATCTGCTGCGAAAAACATAAAATGTCGTCTTCGAAATTGCACCGCAACCCTCCCTTTCGGGCCGAACACCTAGGTTCCCTCCTCCGAACCGACAAACTCCTCGAAACCCGTCACGCGTGGGAAGCAGGGAAGAAGTCCGCCAAGGACCTGGAAGCGGTCGAGGACACCGACGTCAAGGAGATCGTCAAGCTCCAGTATGACCTGGGCTACGAGGCCATCACCGATGGCGAGTATCGGCGACACATGTTCTGGGGTTCCTTCTGGCCCGGCCTGGAGGGTATGACAGAGATCGCGACGCCAGACCCGGATCTGTTTCGCATGTACATCCCCGACATCGCCGCCTTTACGGAAGCAGGATACAAACCTGGCGAGACGGTGCTGTGCACCGGCAAAATCAGGCATGTTGGTAGCACATACACGGCGCAGTTTGACTACTTGAAGAGCTTGGTACCTGAATCAAAATGGGCGGGCTTGAAACTGACCCTCGCGGCGCCGAACTGGTACCATCTGAGATACAAGGAGGGCAAGGCATACCCCAAGGACGTGTACAAGAATGACGACGAGTACTTCGCCGATGTGGCCAAGGCGTACCAAGCAGAGCTCAAGATTCTTTACGAACACGGTTTGAGGAACGTGCAATTCGACGACCCCAACTTGGCCTGTAAGTTCTTGTTTTCCTTTCCTTGGACGATACGTTATGCAATCTTGACATGCTGACCATTGGGTGTGCTTTCTCACAGATTTCTGCTCCGAGGCCATGATCGAGGGCTGGAAGAAGGACCCTCTGAACACCTGCTCGCCCGATGAGCTTCTTGAAAAGTACATCGATCTATACAACGCATGCGTCGCCGAGATTCCCGACGATATGCACGTCGGAGTGCACCTGTGTCGGGGCAACTTTGTCAACTCGCGACACTTCTCCGAAGGCGGATATGACCGAATTGCGACCCTGCTGTTCCAGAAGCTCAACATGCATACCTACTACCTCGAGTACGACACCGCGCGTGCCGGCGGGTTCGAGCCACTGCAGCACCTGCCCAAGAACAAGAATGTCATCTTGGGCGTCGTCACCAGCAAGTTCCCCCAGTTGGAGAATGAGGACGAGATGGTCGAACGAGTCAAGGAGGCGGCCAAGTGGATCGCCAAGGGCACAGGAGAGACGGAGAAAGAGGCCCTCAACAGATGTGGCGTCAGTCCGCAGTGCGGCTTTGCCAGTCATTCAAGCGGGAATGCTGTGAAGTGGGAAGACATGATCGCGAAGTTGAAGTTGGTTAGGAGAATCGCTGATCGCATCTGGCCAGGTGAGCCGTGAGTGCCACCTCAAGAAAGGTTAATGTCTTTTGTTCAACCAAAAGATATCGCATAAAAAGTCAATATTTAACTATTATAACGTATCGCGGAAGAGGATGTAGAAAACATGCATACATCAGCATCTACCTGGTCACAAGCTCCCGAAAAGTGGTGTTTTCCCTCTTTTCTTTTTCATGCCGGACTGCAACACGTGATCTGCTCGCTGAACAGCTCGTTGCTCACGTCAGAGGCATATATTGCGCACTGGTCCGTCGATTGCAGTCACCTTGATGCCAAGCGTGGCAGTCGCAGCGATGGTGGTGTTTGTTGGTGAAAGTGATCTGCTCACCCACAAGGCCCGCCATCCCTCGCTCTCACTACATCTCCGACGGCGCCTTCGACAAGATATCCAATCTCATCCGTAAAGGACGTTTCGGGAAAGGGATAGTGGCCCGGCCGCCGCCGCGAAGACAGCTTCCCATTCACGAGAAGCGCTTCACCTCGGGTCAGCGCCAGCCCGTAGTCGTCTGCCCCGGACGCCACGGACCCCGACATGTGCTCCAACAGCCATTGAGCGAGTCGGCGCTCCAACGACGAGGCGGAATTTGCCCACGTATGTGCGGCCCAACGAGTGAGGATCTGGTCGTCTGGACTGACGCTGTCAATGCCCTCGCGGAGGAGGAGGCCCAGGATGCGCGCAGTGGATGTGTGATGCTCATGGCTGCGTAGGGAGCTGGAGCCTTGCATCTTGTCCTGCTCGTGCTCGTGCTCGTGCCCGTCGGGATGTGAGTGGCTGTCAGGATGTAGAGGAGGCTCATGTTGACCATCAGCTCTGGAATCCGTCTCAGATTGTGATTGTGATGATGATTCCCCCATGTGTTGGATTCGCGCCAGATATCCTTCCCCATCCAGGCGTGCTTCAAGTTGACTCTGTGTGTGCGCTCGGCTGGGACGTTCCTTTCCCGCTTCCGCGTCATCCTGAGATGCGTATTTCTGCTTCACAGCAAGATGAAATAAATCGACAGGTAAAGGATGCGCAAACGGGGCCACCAAATATCGTCTCTCCCAGATGCCTGTCCCGTCAAAATGCCCCCGGTCATATGTCGGATGTAGCCTCATGGTGGCGTAGTGGAGTTCCAGCAGTACAAGCAATGCCTGCTCATGACCCTCGCGGATCGCGCTGGCCATACCTTGGAACAGCGCCGCAGCGGATATTTCGAGCACATGGGCCGCAACCAGAAAGCGCATCCCCTGGCGCAACAGCTGCAGAAGCTCTAGTTTCGAGTCTGTCCATGGACTGCCGCACACGATGCGGTCGAGCAGAACCCGCGCCGCAAGGACGCTGGTGGCGTGATGTATGGTTTTGTGGAGCTGGCCGTCTTCATCGATGGAAGAGGACCATTCCATGATACGCGGCAAGGTGTTGTTGTCTCCTGTGGGGCCGAGAACACGATCTCTCGGCTTGGTCTGGGCCTGTTGCTGCTCCAATTTAGCTAGGAAATGCTTCTCCATTCCCGGCTCGTCGTCGATCGCCGGCAATGAGGCCACTGATCGAAGCCGTTCGTTTGCAACAAGTGGTGCAGAGAGCGACGGCTCGTCTGGTGAGATGTTGAGCGTGCGTTCAGCCCGGGATTCGTGATGCCATGCCTGGACCATCTGCAGTCGGCTGAGGGCAGGCATGCAGGACTTCAATAGCCTCGATGTGAACCATTTGCAGCCCAGAATGCCCGTCTGTAGTCGAAGTTTCTCGTCGAGACTGATGCGCCTGTACTCCGCTGGTCGAAAATGATAGGTTTCAACTGGGATTCCATCACCCAGGTTGTCAAAATAGGCGAACAGCGTGAGTGCTTTGTAGATGGACGGTTTTGATAGGACTTGGGCCAGATATGTCGAAGCCCGAGGCATGTTCACTTCGAATGAGTAGAAGAAGATATGTTCTATCAGTTCGACGGGTAGGGATTCGAGATGTGATAATTGGTGAGAGCTCTGTGTCTTTGATGTCGCTGTTGCCCCGGAGGCTTGCGAATGTAGCAGCTGGGCATATTCGGTTCTGGCTTTTCGGGTTGGTCTCAGTTCAGACGCTGCTTTCATCGGCCGTCCTTGCCGGCGAGAAGAGTTTCTTGCTGGCGGATGAGCTTTTGCCCGCCGTGAGCGAGGAGGCAACAACATGGCCGCGAAAGGACGATCCTTGGATTGGTGTGCCGAGATCAGCGTTTGGTGTTGAGACCTAACTAGGTTGGAAAGACCCTCGAGAGCCTGTTTGTGGATGAATCGGGGGACAGATCCGGGTCATCTTCCCATAAGATCCATTGCCTCACTTGTGGCCGGGCGCAAGTGCTGTGATACCTCGACTGGACGAGAGCGTTCTTGAGCGGCTGCGGCAGTGGTTGGCGGAACTCGATACAGTACACTGGTGTCGCAAACCGTGGATGTGAGGAGTACGTCGAGATGAGGGCGGAAAACAGTGATGGTCCCCTTGGCCAACAGCACCCGCACCGAATGAGACCAACAAGTGTTCGACGGTTGCCATCGACATGAGAGTGATCTTTTCTCGGGAGGGAGGAGCGCGATGTTCAGGATGGGTGGGATTCGATTTGTTCTCCGATTGGTGCGGAACGTCACCGTGCACAAAAAGGCATCACAAGCCCTCCCGGTGCGGAACTGTTTACACTTGCTACAATTATATGGTAAAACGCCCACAGCGATAGTAGACGATGGAAGTGTCTGCTTGCTCCATTCTCAGATTGTGGGTAAAACAGTATATATATACACATTATGTAGAAATAGACAGTCTGTCAATCTCGATGGGCCCAGCCACAAAGACCAACAATGATATATTGGATATCCACTTGCGTTGAATTCGATGGTATACTGCCTCGTATACTCGCTGTCATGGCCAAATCGCAAAAGTATTCATCCAGACACAATCCAGCTCAGTCGTAGCCCTTCTGTTGATCATGATTCCTTCTCCTTCCGTCCCGACTGTGGCTTCTTGATCGACTGCTACCGAACTTCCGTTCCCATCTCTCCTGGTCTCGATCTCTCTTTTCTTCTCGCCATCTTCGGTGTTTGGCATAATCTTTGCCACCAACCCAGCCGAATAGGGCGCCGCCGACCGTCCCCAGACCCGGAAAGAGCATATCTCCCAAAAGTCCACCGCCTGCAGCCCCAAGGAATCCATCTGTGTTTGTAGACCTGGAGCTCTCGGAGATGCGCCGTGGTTGGCTCTTATGTTTCCTCCTGTGCCGTTCTGGGTCTGAACTATAACCATTCCCAACACCTAGATCAACACTCGAGTAGTTCGGACTCGATCGATAAGGAGGATAAAAGTGCTGTTGCTGTTGGTATGGATATGCTTGTGGGACGAAGGAACCCGGTTGATAAGCAGTGAGTTGCTGTGCGTGCTGGTTGTGCTGGTTTATTGAATATGGTTGCGGTCTTGACTGATCTGGTAACGACGGCCGATGCTGACTCTGAGCGGCTGGCCTATGTGCAAACTGTGCGTTCGGATTGCCGTCATCCGTATGCGATTGATAAGGTGGGGGTGGAGGAGCATATTGGACGCTCTGAGGTCGTAGCTGTGGACTTGAGTGGCCTAGCTGCGGTGGACGATATGGATGTCCAGGCTGCGAATGTGCTCGTTGAGGTTGCGACGGCGGAAACAGGCTGTTTGATTGCTCATATGGCGGCCGAGCGCCCGAAGCGAAGTATTCCGCGGCTGCCATATCGCGAGCCTGAGTACCTAGGTAAGGTAAGTAGTTATGAGGCGAGGAAATGATGACCTGGACAGCAAGTGAGTAAGAAACACCTTTATACTGGCAGTTGACTGCGAGTCTCTCATCTCGGAGGCTACGTCCGCAATCGCTGCAGGTAAACCCCAAGGTCAGTATGACAAAGAATGCCTGGCAAGGCGAATTCGCCCAGATCCAAAGGCTTCAAACGTTGTTTGACATTGATCGAGTCACAAGCCCCAGTCATGCGCCTGGCACGGGAATGATCTGGCCGGCCTCTGCGATCTCAGCTGATGGCGCCTTACATGATGAGAACCTGACCTGATTTGTGGGAGAGCCCACATCCATGACAGTGGCGCAGACTTGTATGATGGTTGGAAACTCGTGCAAGGGGCCTTCTTCCATGTCAACTGCGCCTTGATCACAACATTGATCTGACTGCACCTAGGACGCCCTACGATGCTATGGAGTAACCATAGACCTCAGGTAGTTAGGCCTCATGCGATGCAGTGATGGTTCGCTTGATGATACTGGCGACCCTATTGCATGGCTGCGGAACTTGAATGCCGTGGCCCTGTGCTGCCTGATGGTTCGCTTCTTGGTTCTACGTCATGTCCAATTTGCCCTGCCTGTGATTTGCAGGTGAAAGCGGTGATGAGACGCCTGCCGAGCCCGCCGAGCATAAGTGGATATTCTCCGTCAGACTAAATGCTCGGCATTATGCTATGTAGGATGCAAAATTTCTCCACCAAACCTTATTTTATTCATTTTGTCAGACAAAATAATATGCCACAGTCACGTGGCGCAGTGGTGGATGCATGTTCTTGTCCGCCGCTACAGTGGTGGTGTGAACGTGTGTGCTGCATCAGCTGCACTACTAGTATCGATGCTGGACAAGATGGTACTGAAGGACATGTATTTCGGCATGGACGTCCAGTCATTCATACGAGCGCATTGTCAACTTGCCAGAAGCCACTCGGACAACATGTCATTCACGTTTTATATTGTTTTGATGCCCGCTTATTGTGTGTAAACGTCAGATCTCAGCAGCACTATGTTCGATGGAAAATGGATCGATCAAGAGATATCCTTGCAACTACTAGATGCCGCCCTCACGGAAGCGAGCATCACTCGTGCAATTGAAAAGCTCTACCAAATTGCTTCAAGCCTGCCCACACCGTCCATTGCAAGATGTCCACCGCCTGACGACCCGATCTCCCCTATTCGCCTCTACTTCAGGAACTACTTCCGTCTTGTTCCAGAGTGTGCACAACACAATGCTAGGATCCCTCATGCAAATGAAAGCGCATGTCAATGCATCCGCCTCGAAAATTTACGCCTCCACTCAGGCGAGGGCGCTGGCCGATGTAAACATTGTCTGGGGCTGGCACAAGAAAAGATAGATCTTCTGGAGAGGACAATTGTATCATTATTGCATATGATTTCATGACTCGAGAGGCCATCTGGCTGTCACCTCGCCATTGTCCACTCCCTATGCGCCCAGAGATGCCATGATCCCTTTGCCCGGCTTAGTATGTGCAACCACTTGGGGAATAAAAGTACACCGGCTCTCAAAATGCTGCTAGTTATAACAAGAATCGAAGACCGGCATTAGTTAGCGATCTCGCCCGGATCAACCAAGATGGGTGTCCAGGGCCTTGCCCCAGGCTCTTCAGTTTCACTGGGTAGCCGGAACTCTGTCGGGCTGTAGAGATACCACCCTTTCATAGCAGCCACGGCTGCGCGTGTGCGCGCCTCATCAAGACTGGCGCCGGCACCCTCTCCAAGCAGATCACTGCCAGAATATATTCCAACCACAAAAACAGGTGTCCTACTCTTCCGCCCAGTCTCACTTAGAATCTTGGCCACAGGGGCTTGAAATCCTTCTCTTGCACATAATCGGCTCAAGTCCCTGGTTGGGTTCTTGATATGGAATAGGCTGGCCATATCTACCTGTCGCGAGGTAATATGGTCGTTGTAGAATTGTTTCGCGGCGGCTCGACCAGCATGGAGATATATAGCTCCAAATACCGCTCGCACAAAATCCGTGCTCGCTCGTTGTAGGGTTGCACCTTTCTCTTGCATGGTTTCCGCACTCCGGGTACGCTCCTTGATCTCGCCAAACTGGTCATCGTACACGGTCCTTGAGCTCATTGTCCGCCGAAAATTGGGATTCTCTTCTTGACGAGTGCTGATAAGTTGTGGGTGCGGGAGTTCGGGCCTTGGTTCGGAAGGAAGTCTTTTGAACTGCAGCAGGCCCGGGTCAACCTCGCCGCCAGGTTCTGCTGCAGCTTCTACACCCCATTCTCTTGCTATCGCAGCCAGAGTGGCCGGCCCGTGGTAAGCGTACATTGCTGCAAACACCACGGCTAGCGGTAACCGTGGGTATTGGCTAAGGAGATATTCCGAAGTGTAATAACCCAGCAGGTCGTTGCCGAGCACGGCAAAACCTTTATTGTTGAATCGTATCGAAGGATCCGCGGAGGCGTCGACGAGGGTTCTCGCCAATGTTTCAAGTGGTAGGCGGGAAGGAAGTGAGAGTCGAGCATGAAGAGCAGCGAGCTTCGCCGATGTCCTGGCCGCTGTGACCGGAGGCGAAGGTAATCTCTGCAGTATCTCTTCTGGTAAAAAGGGGGTTCCAGCTGCCTCCGGCACAGGCTCTTCAAGGGGTGCAGAGGATGCAGCAGCCGTAGCCTGACACCGTCGGAAGGTATGAGGTTGTAATTGAGAGAGATCGGGCCTCGTCCGCGGTGATAATACACTCCCGCTCCATCTCAGGAGCCTCAGTCTCTTCATCACAGCCACAAGGAGCTCTCTCTTCCGCCCGCTGATCTGTACAGTGCGCTAATGGATGGTTGTGAGGAAAGGTGAGTGCGAAATCATGGGCAAAGGATGTTTTGATTGTCCAATGGTCATGGAACTTTTTCTCCTGCGACACGAGATCACGCGAAGAAATTCGATGGGAAGCTGCGCCGAAACAGACTTGGCAAGTACAGTTCACGTGCAGTGTGCACTTTCGAGTATAACTCATAAAGTGCTACTTTTTTGGCCGTTTACTTCACCGTATCGCCATATCTGACGAGCTGGCGAGGCTGGGTACTAGGCGGCGCTTTTCGATGGCTTTCGACACTCATAAGTCTACATGTAGGACATGTAGGACTCCTACGACTTCGTTCGGATCAAGTGTGTCCTTCAAATTCCCTGTTCGAATACTCAATAGCAGGCGTGCAGATTGCTGAAAATAATTGGTATAAGTCGATCTAGTGAGCGAGCGTCTTGAACCGCTGCCTCAGACTGGAGGGTCACCTGCCCCCTTTTTATTGCCCTTAATAGATTGGACAAACTCCTTGGCCCATTCTTTGGCCTTCTGTAACTGATTGTGCAAGAACTCCCACCATTTGCCCTTCCCTCTATCGGGAGCGGCCTCGTCATCGTCCTCTTCAGACGGCTCGTTCCCAGCACCAGCATCTGCAGCATCGTCTGCAGCATCTGAATCGTTATCGTGCACAGCCTCGGGTTCTTTTCCCTCTACATCATCACCAGGATCTGCAGGCGTTTCCAGCTCAGGCTGACCAGGGTCGCTATGTAGACCCTCGGGCTTCAGAGGAAGTCTCAAAGTCCCATTATTTGGATGAGGCGCGATGCCTAATGAGTCGCAGACGATATTGTACACTTCAATGTTCTGGAAGATCGGCAAGCGGCTGTTGGCAGCATGGGGAAATGCAGGACCGCGAGCCACAAATATCGCCCGCATTAAAGGATGTTCATGATCGTAGCCGTGAAGACCTTTGGGCGAGTAGTCTTTCCCGGTCCTAAGGGCGTCGGCGACATCGAAGTTTTCCTTTGTCACAACAGCCCAGCCTGTCTTTGGAACAATCCAAAGCTCGGCAATTCTGGGGTTATTGGAAAAGTGGTATCGCTCCGGCATTGTTTCAAGGGTGTAGACCTCGAAGCTTCCGGATATTTCTGCCTCGTCAGACAGATGCTTGTATAGACTTGCCAGGTCTCGTTCTGGGTCCTTCAGACGCAACCCCCTCAGTGGCCAACCGTCAATGTGATCGATCAGGGAAACGTCCATAATATCGTCAAGCTGTATAAGGCGTTCCGTCGAGGTCGTTGCCATTCCGTGGTCAGAGACAATGACAATGTTGACGATTTCGGTCAGATTCCGGGCATAGAGTCCTTCGACGAGCATAGTGAGCATACTATCGACGTCGGCGATTGTAGCACGAATTTCTGTGCTATTCGGACCGTACTTGTGCCCATCTGCGTCGACATTGGGGACATACGCGGCAATGAATTGCGGTCTTCGCTCGGCGTCTGTATCAGCATCGTCATCATCGCCTGGAAGATCGAGCCAGTGTAACAGCCGCTCCACCTTTCGAGGTAGCGCCTCTGAGCCGTTATACTTGTCTAGATAGCTTGGGTTGACATCCGGAATATGTGCTTCAGATCCGGGCCACATATGGATCGCAGATCGAACTTTTTGATGTTCAGCCGTCACCCAGAGCGGCTCCGCTGTCCACCATTTGGGTTGCATCGACACGCTGAGGTCGGTGTAATAGAATTCCTCCTCGAATTCAGGGTCCCAGAATTGATTGCTGACGATGCCGTGGCTCTCAGGGTAGAGGCCTGTGACGAGGGTGAAATGGTTGGGGAAAGTGACGGAAGGAAAAGATGGAAGCATGAACTTCGGGGAGACGCCGCTTGCAATGAATGCGTTCAGGGCGGGGGTAATGTTGCGATTGAGAAAATCGGCGCGGAAGCCGTCCAAAGAGATCAGGATCGTCGTGGGTCGGAAGATGTGTGTGCCATTGTTCAACTTGGCGAGTCGGTGTGCCGTCGGCGACAGTGTGTGTTTGCGTGAAGCCTTATATGCACCGAAGACTAGAGCCACGAAGAGGCCAATGATGGCAACGTGTATCAGGGCGAGGCGGCCACGACGCGGTTGTCGCGGAGGCTTCCCCTCCCAATTTGTGCCATCCAAGTCGAAAGCGTCCAGGGAGGACTGGGAGCTTGTATCCTTGAAACCACCTTCCATCTCGAATATCATATCAGACGTTTCTCTACCCCGTCTAGACCTTTTGCTTCGACTCCTTTGACGAGTGCTGCCGCTGCCGCCATCCTTACTGCCCTTGTGCAGCCTCAAGGCGTCTCGAGCGGCCTGAAACCTTCCAGGTTTGCGCAACAACCTCTCCTGTTCTTCATTCTCTTCAAGCACGTCTCTGTCGTGATCTGTCACTGGCTCCGCGCCTATGTCTCCCTCCGTGTCAGACCCCGAGTTGGGATCGGAGGCTACAATGGAGGCATCGTCGTCGTAATGTTTCTCGGAGAGGAGGCCGTCACGGTCGCGAGCCATGCTGGAGGCGAGTTCAAGTAAGAGAGTGATTCGAATTCATGTGTAGCCTTTACATATAGTACGGCATAAGAACATATCATATGGTCCCTGGTCACTACGCAGGTTGTTTATCACAGTCCACAGGAGTGATAAGCGGATAGGGTCGACACATGGATCCTGCAAACCCCAGTTGGAGGGAATCCACAAGTCTGCTCAGCCTCAGCCTCACGACTGCGCCACACCAATGAACTGTCAGCCACATCACTTCAACTTCCTTTCAAGTTCTTTACAGCCTTGCGGCCCTTCAAGTCCTACACTATTGTCCTCGATATGTTCAAAGGGATTACTGGCCCCATCTCTTCTCGCCTATGTGACAATCCTTTGTTGTCCCGCGATATTGCTCCTTCGACTGCTATGACATTTGCTGTCCGATCCCGACACTAATGGCCCTGCTCGCCGACGGCATCTCATGATGTTCTGTCTGTACGAGGCCGACCTGCCATCATTATTAGGCATTTGACGCCTTAAAGAAGTCACCAGTGACAGAAAGCCACCTAGGTATACAAACATTTTGCTGAATTATTTGACATCTAGATCCGTTTCGTCGTTGGCCGCTCCTGGAACGGCTCTCCAATCCCCAATCAAGATATGGACCAGGCTGCGAAGATGATCTGCCGAGCACGCAAACTCCCCAACCACGAATTCTGCGATATTTTCCGATCCTCAAATCTTAATTTTACCACCTGGATCTTAGCATGCACATGACAACGACACGTTTAATGAGAAACCCAGCTTCTCCGACAATCCCTCCATCCATAAAGCGCAGACAATTACGCTTCCCAAACGCCGAAGCATGGCCTGCATTGGATCAGACTGGGTCATAGGATTCTCCATTGAAGGAAGGTCCAGGCACTGTCCAGCAAAAATGGTCATTGACAACGAGGTCAACATCGCCAAATGAGTCGAGTTGACTGGGGTAGGAAGCCGGCTGTGGCACAAACATCGAGCCTTCAGGATCCAATAACGAAGCAGGCAGTGAATTCATTGAGGCCATCGATGCCATCGTTGCCTGGGGCTGGATCTGTCGGAGCCCGTAAATGCCTGCAGGCTGCGTTGCTGCCCGCAAAGGTATCCGGCTGGGAATACCATCGTGTCTCTCTGGTGCTGCGAAAAAGGGCGCCCCGTGGGATATTGCCGGCGGCATTGGGGGAGGATGTAAGGGAAACTTCATCTCCGAAGGAGATGTAACAGCTGAGACTGGGCTTTGTGTACTGGTGCCAGAATTGGACAACGACTGTTCAGAAAAGGGCAAAGAGGAGGTTAGGACGCTTGCCTCTTGAGATGAAGTCAACTCGTCGTGTCCGGTTGCAGATAGGCCCAAGCTTGCGAGTATGTCCGTCGTGGTGACCGGTTCGTTCTGTTCATGTTCGACAGGAATGGTCCCAGGGTACCCAGACCGGTCACGGCAAGCCCAGTAGAGGCGGTGGAGAGCTTCCTCCATGACCTCGCGCATTTCGAGGTAGCTAAGTAGTAAGAAGACAACTTGTCAGTAATGCCATCGTTCTTGGAAGATGATGGAGGTCTACTTACTATTTTCTGGCCTCCCGCCCCCTTCTGGCAGTATACACACATCGACTCTGATTCACACGGCAGGTCTCACATTCAACACCACCGTCACACTGAAAAGATCAGTACATCTGTTTAACAGGCGTCGCTGTTGCCACCATACCTTGGCCTTCTTGAGTCTGCATCGATCGCAGGCCCGAGGTGTCCGTTGGTTCGACTTTTCCGTGTTCGAACCGCTCTTCTGTACTTTGTGTGCTGTACCTGGCATCATATGCTCAGGGATTGAATCAACTGTGTAATCACTTTCTCGGTCAGAATAATGATGAGGGCAAGATCTTGTAAGTCTGGTGATTTTATCCAGATTCCAGACCATGCCCACTGCAGAGGTCATCTTCAGGCATGACCAATACCGCCCCTTCCAGACCACCCGCTGGCCCGCATGAGGCGAGGACAGCGGGACATTGCAGAGATAGAGACCCTGGAAGGCCATTCCTGTTTACGGTGATACAGTGGCGACTGTCTGCTCCATCAGGAGAAGTAATTCCGGCGCCGCTCTGTGCTATAACTCGTTCACAGTCCCGTATCAACACAACGGTTGTCTCCGAATTCATGACGTGCAAGTCGCACATGCATTTGTATATACAGAGCACGCGCGGAGCGCAGAGATCTTCAGCTCTAGAATGTGAATGTGGCTTCGCCACCAGAGCTCGAGTTACCTTTCAGCCTGATGAGATATGATCTTCAATTCTAGAGTGTGGCTTCGTTGCCAGAGGCCGAGTTATCGTTCAATCTGATGATATATCCGAGGCGCGCAGATTGAATGATTGATTGAGACGCCCGCAGAGGGCTGACTGTTGAGAGTCGCTGATTGCTCCCAGGTCTATTTAAACTCGGAGGACGGATGTGAATTCTGCAGAGATAATAGGATATGAAAAGACTATCAGTGGACCCCAGGATTAGCAAATGGCGAGGATCGCCTCCTAGAGGGGTAACAGGTCTTCAGTCCCATTACAGAGTTAGGAAATAGTATCGGTCCACATCCATGTTGATCCTCGATGGCGAACGAGCGACGCTCGCTTCATGTCTGAACAGTTTCGACGTTCGTCTGGAGCTCGTCCGCAGCTGGTACTTATTGGGGCCTTGGCTCCTCGCCATTGCCACGCCAGAAGAGCACTGCATCAGATTTGTACCAAGTGTGAACGAGCCAAAGTCGATATACCGGGGTACTAGAGCAGTCGTCTTCCTGCAGGTGGTGAGGTATGGCGGTGGCAAACCTTCAATGGCTCGTTTTGTCATATCCCACAGCCGTCCTCACGAACACTCGCCCCTCCCTGATGGCCTGCTATAACCAAAGCGACAATGTCTCGAACACGGGCAACGGAGGTGAAGATGTGGATAGCCGCAGTTGGCGATCAGGGCTCCTTTGTCGTCGGCTGACATGGTTTCTTCACAATAGTACATTGGGTAGGTACCTAGGTAGGTAGACTCTGCGGGGCGGGGGGTTTAAAGCGGCATAGTAAATGTGCCTGCCGCTATAACTTCCTCTTGACCAGGGTCCGCCAAGTTTTCGCGGGGCGGTCGAGAATTAATTGTCCTCGCCGCAACAATTTTTCCGGGATCGCGAGCGTGTACAATTCAATTGTTGCTGCTGGGTATGTCACTGGCTTTCAGATTCAAGGCCGGAGGTTCAGGAAACCATGCTGCTACAATGTCTTCAACGCACCATCACAGAAGTACGACGAAGGTCGATCACAAGCCTTTCAAGTCCCGATTCTCCTCCAAGAGCGCCTTGAAGGACAAAGCAAAAGGTCAGAAACGAAGCCAATGTATACGCCTGTCAACCTATGCTAACGTCCCTTAGGCAAGGTTGAAAATCATAGAGTCGAGAAGGGTCAGAGAAAAACTCCGCATCAACAGATCATGTCGAAGCTCGCAAGGCGCAACCAGGCGAAACAATTGCGCATGCACCACAAGGACAAACGGGAGGGAGACGAGAATCTATTCCAAGGTGTGGATGGTGCGCCTAAGCATATAGCTGTTGTGCCGTTGTCCAGAGACATTGATGTTCACTCCGCTATTCGATCATTGAACGAGAGTGTCGACCTTCCTGGTCCGGAATCGACCACTGGCACTATCCCCGTCCGAATCGAAAGGTTTCGCCGCAATCTACTATACCTGCCGTCCTCATTCGACCTCCTTACCGCACTGGACGTTTGCAAACTGGCGGATTGGGTGGTGCTCGTGCTTGATGCAAATCAGACGTTCGGACAAGAGGAGGACAAGTTTCTGAAAGCGCTAGAAGGCCAAGGCATTACAAATGTCACGGCTGTGGTCAAGGACGTCGAATCCAAATTGCCGACGTCGAAGAGGTCGCGGCACCTTACCGACTTGAAAATTTCCGTTGGCCGATATTTCCCAGCTTTGGACAAATTGTCCAGCCTTGACAACAAAGCCGATTGCGCGAACTTGGTCAGAAGTTTGTGCACCGCTTCCACCAAAGGGATCCGCTGGCGCGATGACAGGAGTTGGATGTTGGTTGAAAACGTCAATTACCGTCCCCCAGCCGCAGGTGCTTCCACCACTTTGGTCACACTTACAGGAACTATACGTGGGAAAGGACTGAATCCTGATCGACTCGTCCACGTCCCGGAGTGGGGGGATTTCCAGATCAACGCGATCAGACAACTACCCAGTCAAGGGCGTAGACGCAAAGCAGACGAGATGGAAGCAGATGAACCTTTGAGCGAATGGAAGCCCACGGCCGATCAGGACGATCTAGCAGAATTGGCGCCAGAACAAGCGGAGATGCAAGACGTTGCCAGTACGGCTGCGGCGACCGAACACAAGGGTGTCCTCCTGGATGACCACCATTATTTCTCGGACGACAATTCCCACATCCCTCCCCCGCCCAAGAAACTGCCGAAAGGAACTTCCAGCTACCAGGCTGCATGGTACCTAGACGACGTGTCCGACTCCGACTCAGATTACCTCGACGAAGACAACGACGGTGATGTGGCAATGGATGCTGAAGATTCACAGGGTCCAGAAGACGGAGTGGTTGTCCATGGAGATGCCATGACTGAAGGCGGCGCGTCGGAGTATCCAGAGTCGGAAATGCATGTGGACGCCGACGACGAAGAAGAAGCCCGACAACTGGAAGAGTTCCGGTCCAGCCGAAAGCAAGAAGCCGAAGAGGATCTCGAGTTCCCCGATGAGATCGAGCTACATCCCGACGTCCTAGCCAGGGAACGACTTGCCAAATACCGGGGCTTGAAGAGTCTTCGGACAAGTGAATGGAACCACGCGGCAGACCAGCCCTACGAACCTTTCGACCACAAACGCCTGCTCCAGGTTGCCGACTACAAGAAATCACATAGTGCAGCGCTCAAAGAGTCTCTAGCTGGCGGTGTCCTCGCGGGGACAAGGGTTGAAATCGAATTGCGCGACGTGCCGGTGTCTCTCGCATCCAAGCCTCCACCTGCATCCCTGTTCTCACTCCTGCGCCATGAGCACAAACATGCGGTCATCAACCTTAACCTGACGCTGCATTCAGACCTCGAAGGTCCCATCAAATCCAAAGACGAACTGATCGTCCAGATCGGCCATCGGAGACTTGTGATCAACCCGATCTTCTCTGCGGCTGGCCAGACGCCGAACGATGTCCACAAATTCGACCGATTCCTGCATCCTGGCCGTACAGCAATCGCCACATTCACCGGTCCTTTGACATGGGGTTCCGTGCCTGTTTTGGTGTTTCGCCGGACAGCGAGCAAGGATACTTCAGACGACAGCGATGCGCCAGCTCTGGTGGATACTGCCAATAACCCCGAACCTCAATTACAGCCATCAGACTTTGAACTGATTGGCACTGCAACAACGCTTCCGCCCTCATCGTCTCGCGTGGTAGCCAAACGCGTGATCCTGACAGGCCACCCGTTCAAGATCCACAAGAAACTCGTGACGGTGCGATACATGTTCTTCAACCGCGAGGATGTGACCTGGTTCGCTGCCTTGCCGTTGTGGACGAAGCGCGGTCGCCAGGGCTTTATCAAGGAACCACTAGGTACGCATGGTTATTTCAAGGCCACCTTCGATGGGAAGATCAACCCGATGGACGCAGTCGGTGTGAGTCTGTACAAGAGGGTATGGCCTCGGCCTGCGAGGGTGTTGGAAGCATGACCAGAGCTCGGTGGATTGGACATCGCTGAATCTCAATCTGATGCATTACGAACGACACGCATGACAGAAAAGAAAGGAATATACTAGAAAAAGGCATAGATATCAAAAGATGAAGTCGAACACACGCGCACTTCAGCATTATGCCAATACTATCAATCACGCCGTTACTGAACGCAGCATGTCTGTCTCTGAAGCCTTAATCACCATGTTTGCCCTCCTGCGCTCTTCCTTCTGTCCCTGCATTCGCTCCCTGGTCATCTTCTTTTCTTTGCCATTTTGACTTTGGTTTCCTATGGTCTATGATCCGCCCAGATCCATTCCCAGATGGACATACCCCCTGATCAGGTTTCTCTCCCCCTTTTACATAGACATAACCAGCAGCTAGGAGACAGTGAAAGAGAGCAGGCCTACAGCATGACAAACGAGCACATCAACAGGACTGAACTCAAGCTCCTCCATGCAGCCATTGAGGGTTGGTTCCGACCCAAGCAAAGCCTTGTCCAAACAATCGGGATTCTTGAATTGCATTGAACAGATGATGAGTGACAGCATCGACATCGCCATTGACATCGCCGGCGGCAGCAGCATCATCATCATCAGCGATATCCACCACCACCACCACCACCACCACCACCATAACGACAATCGACGATCCTTACACTCGAATCCCACAGTCCACACAATCGCTCTCACTTCTCGATTCTCTCCCTTTCACACCATGATAGCTATCATCTCAATCCCACATCAAGCCATCCATTCCTTCACTTCACTTCGCATTCCCGTTCCCTTTCATGACTTTGCCTTCCAAAAACTTAATATCACGCCTAACCTCCGCAATCTCCCTATCGATATCCCCATATCTCGCGCCCAACCGCAGCATCAGCCTCCCTCCGGGATCGACAGCATCGTTATCATATTCACCCAGTACCGCTTCTAGCCTGGCGAGTCTCTCGTCGGCCTGAGTTTCCTGGAGATCTAGTTCGCGGAGTTGCTCGGCGATTCGACTCTCGCGGCGGCGGTGATGGTGGGGCTCTTCTCTCTTCATTGGAGCTCCGGTGCCGGCAACGATTTTACCGCCGTGATCACTATTCGAGTCCATACCTGTCTCCTCTGTCTCCATCTTCTTCTGGGTTTCAAGCACGAGAACCCGCGCCTTCAGTTCCATCGCTCGCGCGACCGTTGTGAGAAAAGTGAGTCGCGAGAGAGCGTGGCGGTGGAGGATGCCGTGTCGGGAACTTTCGAGATATTGGATATCGCGCTGGAGGAGGGTGCGCTGGAGATCGAGGAGGGTGTGTAGTTGGGTTGTTAGGGCTGAGACATGGTCTGGGACGAGCGTGGAGCGGAGATGGGTGAGATATGTGGCTTGTGCTTCGAGACCGGATTGTAGAGATCGTGATTGTGGTTGTGGTTGAGATGAGGAAGGTTGGAGATGCGATGATATTGCTGGGGTTGGTGTCAGAGGTGTGTGTCTCGACTTTGACGCTGACGCTGATGGCGGTTTGATTCTCGATATTGTTGTCCTCGCTTCTGCTTTTGATGGCGGCACAGTCGGCACTGATGTCTTGTCGCCTGATCTTGGATGTTGGTTTTCTGCTTGTTCTTGTTCTTGTTCTCGTTCTTCAAGTCCAGCTGTAGCAAGCCCAGCAATCTCCGACAGTGCAGTTTCGACCTCGACGACGCGGGTTCCAACCATATCTGCCACCAGAGAGATGTTCTCTTCGAACCGCCCAATCTCGTCTGCGAGGGGATTCTCTCCTGCCCTGATCAGGAGTGCATTGAGTGCTCGAGACCGAGCAGATGGCATATCACCACCAGCAGCACCGCCATCAAGGTCAGGATGAGGGCTGAGCCTGACATCAAGATATGCGGAGATGAGAAGTAGTAGATCTCTCAGTTCACCCTGGCGCTCATCGATCTTCACACTCCCCTGGTATCTCCGTGGCTGCGGCTGAGATGGCATGTCTGTCTCCCACTGATTTGCATGCACGTCGTTCTCATCTGCAGCATGCAAACCGACTCTTGCGCCGTCGTCACTCGCACCATTCTTCCCATCTAGAGTGGGCAGTGCTCGACCCGACCTTCCGTTCTTCTTCAGCGCCGATGGCTGTTCCTGTTCCTTAGAAGCAGGATGATACGCAAGATCACCCAGCAAACACTGCAATATCTGCATCTTCGTCCTTCTGACGCGGGATTCGTGCAGCTGTTCTTTGAACTCCTTCCTCTTCGTCCTTGTCTTTTTTTCTTTTATCTTCTTGTTGCCGTTCAGTCCCTTTCTTTGCAGCATGATCATCATCGGCATCCTGTTGGTATCATTGTCGTCGATTGACTCTCTGTCTTCTTCCTGTCCCGCGTCGAAACTGTCATTACTGTCCTCATCCTCTTCCTCATCACCGGTGACAGAAGCCTCGCTCTCACGTTTTGGCTCTCCGCGTGGTTCATATCCGCGGTTTTCTCTCACAGCGGAATATCCTCCATCTCTGCTCGACAAACGATTCGAGTCCCATCCTGCCCGACCAGTCGCCTTTTCGGTCGCCTCCAATTTCCTCGACACGTCATCCTGCAGAACTTCTGTAGTGATATAATTCCACACACCGGCAAAGGCAGGATTGTTGGCAAGAGTTGAAGCAGCAAGTGGAGGAATCATGACAGTGCCGAATACTCAGTGCCCCTGGACCGAACAAGACCAGATTTCAATCTTTTGGTGATGGTGGTGGTTGTGGTAAGAAGTGTTCCTACCAGTCGTTTCTCTGGACTGGAGTAAGAAAACAAAGTAGCCCAGACCAAGCCAACTATGCTCTCGAGTCACACCTGTGTCCTCAAGTAATCTTTTCGCGCCAGTAGTAAACAACTGTCCCTCAGCGGTCTGGTCTCGAAAGGATCCCCCGTCTAAATGCTGTTCGGTCACTCTCAAGTTCTTCATTGACCAGTCGTCGACTCGTTGAACGCATCAAATCCTTACGCCAACGGATATGACCTTGTCTCTTCAGGGATCGAATGTTCTGCTCACGGTCGTTGGTGTAGTGTTGTTATGCCTTTCTCCTTCATGTCCAGGTTCAGTTGAGGTCAAACGGCCAGATGTAAACAGACTCCCTGTTCCCCACTTTTGCCAGATTCGGACTCCAACAGTGGCGTGAGTGTTCCGAACGTGTGTGTTCGTATAACAAGCTGGTAGAACGAAGAAGAAGAAGAAGAAGAAGAAGAAAGACGAACTGAAACGTGTCACAAGTTAATGACAGAAGAATACACGTGCGTGACGCTGTAAGTGAATACCTAGCTGTGGTGATCCTGCTACTAACTTCACACGACGCGGGATATATATATATATATCTGATCTGGACTTCATTTTTCTCCTTCCTGTTTGATCTTGACGCCACAAGTGCTCGGCCTATCTTCTGCGATCCTTGACGCGTAACCACCCACTACACTTTGGAAGACAACTAAACAGACTTCGATTTGGTCTTCAGACACATTGACTGACGACTGACGAGGAACTGGTTTGGTGCTGTTCAACTACATCTACAAAACCACCAACCCATATCTACTTTTCTCGACATGACAAGATTTCAAAAAGAAGAGGGATTTGCTCAATCATTGTATTTTATGATACTCAATCATCTCCATCAGGATCCAGCACAGAAAGTCTGTCTGTTTTTGTGCAACTCCATACTCAATACACAAATGCTCGCTTTCGGCCATTGCATGAGCACCACCTCCACCTTCGAGGACCTTGCTCCTGTCCAATCGACTAGCCGCCGTTCATTTCCAGCCACAGCTTCTGGAAAGCACCGCTGCTGATGGGTGCTTCAATCCCAGGTCCAAGCCTCTTGCTCTCAGATGCAATGCCATTTGAGACCTAAATCATGAAGGAGGAATCGAAAGTGATGGGTCAGGCTCAGGCTGGCCGGCTCTTCTCCACACAGGTCTACTCTTCTTCACTCTCTTCAGAGTCACCATCATCACTACTATCACCATCTTCGATGGAAGGAACGGCAGTGGGAGAGATGGCACCATGGTAAGCGCCCAGCTTGCCCTTCAGCTCCTCAATCTGTGCTTCCTGCTCATGTTTGCTCATGGGCTTGCTCTTCTTCGTCTTCTGGACCGGGGCGTAAACATCGGCCTGTTCCACCTTTGGCTCATCGGGAGGAGGACCAGCGTATCGCTTGACAAAGTTGAGTAACTTGAGAAGAGCCTGGTTTGGCACCTCTTCGATGTCCAGCTCGATCTCATTCTGGTCGCTGTTGGCCAAGGACGGTACGCTGTTCTGAATGATCTTGAGAGCCTCTTGCATCTGCTTCTCTGGCAACATGGCAATTCCGTTGGAGATGTATTGCTTTTCCGCAAAGGTGACATACCGATCCGGCTTAGATCTGGGGGCCGACTTCTTCTTTTCTTTCTTGTCCTTACCAAGATTGGGAAAGCTGGCTGCTGGCTTCTCCTTCTTGCTCGACTTGGACTTGCTCTTCTTTGTAGGTGGTGACTTGGACTTCTTGTGCTTCTTCTGAGTCAACTCGCCCATTTGTTTGGACATCTCTTCAATTTGTTTCTGCAGTTGCTTGATCTTGTCGTTGCGCTCCTCTTCACTGTCCTCTGCGTCTTCCTCCGACTCATCTTCATCATCTTCCGCTTCGACATCTGACTGGGGTTCGGATTGTGGTTCCCGCGACGCGATCCACTCATCTTTGCCAGCCCACAGCTTGTTGAACAGTTCTTCCAATTGGTGGCCAGCGGTATTGACCAAGTCGCCCTCCGGGTTGAACTTGTAGCAGTTCTTGAAGATGAGCCGAACATCCTCCTCAAAGTCCTTGGCTTTCTCATAAACATTATTGTTAAGCTTGTTTCTGATCGTGCCAAGATCCATTGGTTTCTTGATGATCTGGAAGTAGGTTGGAATATTCAAGGCGACTGGATCCACCGGATGGGTAAAATATTGATTCAAGTACCAGTTTTTGGGGCCCATGAGCTCCTTCAAGACTTGGTCGCAGAATTTCAATTGCAGCTCATACTTCTTCTTCTTCGGTCTGCCCCCTCCAAATTCCTGGTTGCGCTTGGTTGGAACAATGGCTCGCTTGGGTCTTCCATCAGCCATAGTTGAGTCTCGACGGATAAGTGGGATGCCATCGGGGCCCGGAGCAAACGAAGGTGCCGACGGAGCTGGAGCTTTAGGTGTAGTATGTGAGCTGGCTGCACCGGTCGACGTGCTCACCGATGGTCGTCGAGGAGGAGCCGATCGCGTAGGTTCATGTCTCTTAGCTGCCTTCTTGTTGTCCTTTGCAGGTTCTTCGATGGTGGCCTTTGGCAGATTCCGCATTTGATTGTTGAAGGAGCTCTCCATCTTTCTAGCTGACTGTGTGACCCCATGATCGGGGCCGTTGAACTTGACGCAGTTGCTGACGATCAATTGGAAATCACTGATAAAGGCAGAGACTGACGTGTACTCGTTGCGCTTCAAGCGCTGATCAATGGTCCCCAGATCCATGGGCTGGGTGACGACCAAAGGATAATTAGGGATGTTGAGCGCCACCGGGTCCACGGGCAATCTAAAGGCAGCAGAAGCGTTGCTTTTCTTGAGATTGGAAATGACTTTTCTCATGTGCGCCAAACGTGCCGGCGTGACACTATCATCTCCGTCCGTAATTCCGTTTGTGGCAGCAGCAGTGGCGTTGTTGCCGTTGGCCAAGGCTGGAGCGGTCGTCTGAGCAGAGGGCGTAGGAACATCAGGGACCTTGAAATCGGCTTGTTGACTTGATTGTGGCTCTTCTGTTCTGACGCGTTTCGCAGCAGGCTCCGCATCCACACCGACATGGTCATCCTCGCGTCCATGGACTTGTTTAACAGGTTGAGAGGACACGTCTTCCATAACCTGGTCCTTTGGTTCGATCGACGCTGGGGCTGGAGCTGCTGGTGTCGGAGCTGGCTCTTTCGGCTGCTCAGCTGGAAGAGGAGCGGAAACAGGTGCTGGTGCGGACTCTGCAGGCTTCTCCTCGGACAATGTTGCGGGCGCTGGCTGAGGTGCAGATGGTGGAGACTGCGCCGGAGGCGACGGAAGACCAATATTCGTAACGGATGGCTGGTCGGCCTCGCCTGTCAACGCTGCTGTGGCCGGGACAGTTGGGAAGGAGGTATCCATGACATCGGGTTTGGAAGTCGCCGTCAACGCATCTGCAGAGTTGTCCAACTCGTGCTTCCGAGCTTCGACATCGGCAACGGCATCAGGAGTAAGCGCATCCGCATGAGGCGAAGTGCGCAGGTCCGAGATTGGCGCTTGGGCGGGTACGGGAGAGGGTTCGGAGACATCCATCGTTGGCTGAGTCGCTTCCACCGTGGTGGCTGATGATTGGATCTCGGTTGGGATGGACGATGGGACGAAGGATTCGGTGGTTTTTGTTTCAGAAAGTGATGCTGTCGCTGCAGTATCTGTTTCGGTAGGTTGAGGTTGAGAGTCAGGAACAGCTGAGATCGAAGCTGAAATAGCAGGATCTTGCGCTGGTTCACTGACAGGCAGCTCAACTCCGTTGGTGGAAGGCTGTGCCGCCTCAGTAGAAGGCTGAGACGCTGCCTGTGGGACTGACTCGGGCAGTTTCTCTGCGACTGCCTCAGTCACTGCGGGCGCGGGTTCTGGTGGTAGCGGTGACTCGGTGACCGGCTGTTTCGAAGGCGATATGTCAACCTTGGCTTCTGAGTTGGATATTGAGGCAGCCAAGTTCTCGGTGACATGAGAGCCATGTGATGGATCTGAAGTCGAGAAGTGCTGGGGCAGCCTAGTGAAAGTTAGATCAGGAAAGAGGTGATGGGAGCGCGACGCGGTAAGGGTCACATACCCCTTGGACTCCATCTGCGCTTCCACGTCCATGATGCTTGAGAGATCGGAGGTCACGGTACTGCGATTGATCGGAGATCGGACCAGCCGAACTGATGGAAGAGTGAACGGAAAGAAGTGATTAATTAAAGTGGAAATAATGTACAAGGCGGTACAGGTGGCGAAGGGAGAGAAACAAAGAGTGCGCAGTGAATTGGTGTGTGAGGTCAAAGGGCCCGGCGCGATTATATAGATCGGCTGAGGATGCTTTGACAACGGTTGATGCTGACACAATCAAGTGGCAACAACAGGACCTGACTCGATTCAACTGGCGCCTGTGTCGCGCTCAACGTGGACGACGACAGCGACGAGGCGACGATAGGATTGAAGGTCAGATGGAGATGAGGACGGCGGAGAGCAGAGCAGGTGATCTGGACCGGAGATAAAGCAAATCTCTGATGGTCATGTGACTGGAGCGGTGATCAGGCTGCTGACTAACCCTTAGGCTGCCAAGACTCGACCGGCCAACTGCCTGACACGTGACACTGCTTTGCGCTCGTAGAGAGAGGCACGACTCGGTCAATGCGCCAACAGCGTCGCGACAACAAGGCGACGGCAGTGTTGGTGGCAATCGCACAACTGTTGGATGAGTTGATGCGTCTGCAGTTCAACTCTGACCAGGATTGATGGTTGCGCCAAGTAGTACTGGTTCGCAACAACAAAGATCGTGTGATAACAGCGAGTGTATCGCGGTCGTGGTGGTAGTGGTGGTGGTGTGGGTGGATTTAATATCGAGAAAGCGTTGCGCAGAAAGAATAATAATAATAACCGCGCTGCGCGTCGTCCAGAAGCAGCGAATTAAAAGTGGTGAGCTTGGCGGCCAGACGTGGCTGCAGTGCAGATGAGGTTGGTTAAAATAGTACCTGAGGCAGAAGGAAGAAGGACTGCCGAGGGGGAGGGACGAGGGAGGAGGGAGAGCGGGCGACGCGTACTAGTAAAGGGCGGGTGACAACACACAACACTCGATTTACAAGTCACGCACGCTGCTGCATTGACGGAACTGCACTTTTAGGAGCAGTGAATTTCGTCGAGAGCGAAGGGAGGGGCTTTTATCCTCGGCCGGATTTCTGCCAGTCTGCCGTCCCCTGCCCCATGTCCCAATCTCTGCTTCCCTGCTCGTCCTCCCGCTCCACCACCGCCCCTATTATTCGTCATCTCCACTGCGCCTTCCCCAACTCTGCCTAGTCGCTTGCTTCCACTGTCGGCTTCTGTGTCGCCCAAGCTTCAATGCTCCAGTTGGTGGTGCTCACTGGTCGGTGTGCGCCACCCTTTTTTTCTCTCGTCTTTTTCTGCTTTTCGCCTCAGAGTTGGCCCCGACTTTTTACATCCACTCCAATACTTTTACATTTTCACAGTGGTTGATCATCATCAAGGCTGGCGATGAGGGCAACGAAATCGGGTCAGCGTCAGCAACCGGTGCAATATCCCCGAAATGTAGGACCTTCACCATCAGACCTCTTCACAGTAATACTGCAGTGCCAATGCTGGGACGCAGCGTGCGGTATTGCCTTTCGTTGGAGATTTTTAGTCACGTGGACGTCTTGCTCCAATATATCGAATCATGTGACTGCTTGATGACTCACCGACCGGATGATGAGGATGACAGGCTGCAAGGGAAAGAAGGCTGTTGTTGCCAATGTCTCTTCTGCCTGCGCCATGTCTTGTATTTCACCATGTTGACCGACACTGTTGAGAACATTGAGAGCATGTTTCCATTATGGCATTTTGCAGTCATGTTCTTCACAATTGAACTCGCACTCTTGGCCCTGGCCGTGCAGGCTGCCCGCCAACGCGAAGTAATTTCCGTGCCTTCCCGGCCTGACCGGTCGGACCGAAAATAAAAGTGATATGCGTGAGGGAATATCGCTGGGGTAGGGAGTTTCTGCTCACTTGCAAGAAGCTGGCATACTACCATGTAGGTAGCGAGTAGCAAGTTGATGAAGTTGATGACGTTCCTTCGGCGACATTGCCAACTTGAATGAGACGCCCGTCGCCTAGGGTGTCGGGTGAGATGCACTTAGCACTGATGCTCGAGTTGCCTTGCAACGTTCACCCGCCCATTGCTCTTGATTGCACGATTGTAGGGGATGTCGCTCTATAGAGGACTGGTCCGTGTCTCGAAGGATGGAGGCATCCTGGCGCTGGTCAGGCAAGAGGGGAGGAATCTCACGAAGAGGCGGCCCTAGGCAGTTTGTTTAGTAACATCCGGTCCAGATTTCGGCTTGCCGCTTATATGTAAGGACAGGCTCCAATACGGTGGTCAAAGACAATATCAGATATAGACACACAACAATGGATTGTGCACGGGGAGGAGTCTTGACGCAGTGGTATCGAGTAAAAGGGAAGATTTCCAGGGAAGCCCTGCAGCAAGCAAATAGTAGACGGCCTCGACGGACTTGAATAGGACTAGTAAGGTTCTGCACCCATCCACCAATCACAGCACAGCTGCAAGAATGTTCGACGCCAGTCCTTGATAGGTTTGGCGTTGCATGCAATCATTAACTCCGATCGAAGTTGTAACAACTTTTTTTTGCTGCAGGACTGCGTGCAAAGGCGCCAGTTTCAACCAGAGCAAATTGTTCGCACATCACTCGACAATATCTTGTTGTTGAAGTGACTGTCGCGACTGGCTCTTCTGACTTCCTTTTTGCCCCTTCCTTTCACCGCTAGGAAGCCCTCACAATGGGTCGCAAATCCTCCTCGACAGCGGTCGCTAAAACCTCCTCTGCCTCTGCGCCTGCTGTGTCGTCAGGAACTTCATCGACCCAAAAGTCGTCTGTGTTGAGATCCGCCTTTGCTCCGTCGAACTTCCAGTTGCACCTTTTTGCTTCGGTCATTCAAAGTTTCGATTCACACCAATTGCGCATCCACGACACTGACACGGGCCGCCTGCGCTGCCAGCATGAGACTACCCCTGCTGTGAAGATTACATGCCTCGATTGGGGATACTATGGCGCTGCATTCCGAGAACAGCGTCAAGCTTCTTCCAAGAAGAAGCGCAAAAGAGATCAAGACAATGTCACTGGTGCAGTGATTGCCTATGGAACGAATACTTCTGAGATTTGCATGTTTTCGCCCTCAGAAGGCAAAATTGTAGGCACTCTCTCTGGTGTCCACGAAAAAGGTGTAAAGGACTTCAGATTCTCTCACTCAAACTACCTGGAAGCCTGGAGCATAGGCGGGGATGGAAAACTGGTACAATGGGATCTCAGCACAAACAAGCCAATAAGGTTCGTTGACTGTCCTACATGAACGCTGAGCTGTCTACAGACTGATGACTGACCGATGCACAGAACAATAACCCTCCCGGACCCTGCTATAAGCATTCTTGCCCAGCCTGCTCAAATATCTCCTCAGATACTCTGTGCATCCACCACGCCGTTTGCCATTGGACTCAAGTCTTCGGACGACTTTCGGATAGACCGTTACGACTCGTTCAAAAATGCTGTCCATTCGCTACTCAGGTCTGACTCAAGTGATACCACACTATCCGAGCATTTTATAGCTGCAGACTCGGATAGATATATCAATGTCTACGATATCCCGCACAAAAAATTGGTCCGGACCCTAGTGGCTGGAGCCGGTGTTGTCGAAGTCGACCTGTCAAGTCCTTCGCAAGAAACCCCAGAGGTATTGAGACCACAAATATTATGTGCAGTGCTCAAAGATGGATCTGTCGAGTTGTTTCCTCGACCGTTTGGACAACCGAAGCAGGTCAATGGAGACTTGAAATCGAGCAGGAAAAACCTGACCCAAAAGGCATCTGCGTCGGTAAAGCTCGTCAATCCCGGTTCCGAAAGCAAGCGTGTTCCTGTCGTTGCGGCTTGTTTGCGGGGCCCTGACCTCGTCATTGCTTCCGCAGACGGGGGTGTTGATCTTGCGTTCCAGAAGATCAGATGGCAAGACGAAGGCAACGGAGAATTACTCTTTGACGGTGTCAAGGAAGTGGTCAAGGTTAAGAGCGCATCCACGCTGAATCATGCGACTCTCAACGGCGTCAAGGATATGGGCAAAACTCACGTCGATGAATCCAAGACCGTCGTCGTGAATGGCGCTGCTGGAGGACCTGTTTCCAATGCCATCGAAATCTCAAGCAGCGAAGGTGAAGATGCAGAAGAAGAGGATGATGATGATGATGAAGAAGACGAAGAAGACGAGCCCACCAACCAGGGCAAGGTTGATGGGAAAGCCGAGGCAAATGGTGCCGACGTCGATGATGAGTCTTCAGAGGAAGAATCGGACGAAGAGATGGCCGATGCCACCGATGCGAACGCTACCACCAATGACGGCGAAGATGAGGATGCGAGTGACGCTGAAGAACCCACTTTCGGCGAACTGCTGTCGTCAAAACATCCAAACGAGATCTCCATCGCCTCTGCCCTCCCAGATGCCTCTGGCTCGTCGCTCAAAGTCAAGAAAGGCCAGCCGGTCATTCCCTCGGGCATGTCTCTCGGGACTGTCCTCACTCAAGCACTCCGTACCAACGACCAGAGTCTTCTGGAGGCATGTCTGCATACTCTGGACATCAACATTGTCAAAAACACCATCCAGCGACTCGACAGCGGTCTGGCCGGCATCTTGTTGTCACGCCTAGCAGAGCGCCTGGCCAGTCGTCCCGGCCGCTATGGCCACCTTATCACCTGGGTGCAATGGACATGCATCGCCCACGGCGGCGCCATTGCCGCACAGCCGGATGTCACTGCCAAACTCCGCACCCTGTACCAGGTCCTCACGCAGCGCTCGAAGACATTGGACAACCTGCTATTGTTGAAAGGGAAATTGGACATGCTGGATGCGCAATTGTCGTACAGAAAGCAACTCGCTGCACAAAGGCCCGCACGGCGCGACGACCAGGATGAACCTGGCATGATCTACATCGAGGGCGCGGATAACTGGGACAGCGACGACGATCTCGACGACGACCTCGAGCGTCCCACGAAGCGCGCTAAGAGCAAGGCTAAAGCTGGGAAGAAATCTCTGGAAGATCTGATCGGTGCTGCAAACAGCGGAGAAGAAGACGACGACGACATTGACATGCCTGACAACGAGGAAGGAGAAGATGAGTCCGAAGACGAAGACGAAGACGAGGAAGATGATGACGAGGACGAGGACGAACCTGCAACTAACGGCCACCGTGCCGGACTCGTCGACATCGAAGCTGAAGTCTCCAGCGTAGCAGAAGACTCTGACCCAGATGACGACGCGGCCGCCGGAGCCGACAACGGTTCGTCTTCCGACGATGTTTCTTCTTCCGGTTCAGACGATGATGATGATGTCGACGAGGACGAAGATGACTCGGAATTGGACAGTTTCATTAACGATGGATCGGTCGATTTCGACAACGACCAGGATGAAGTGCACGTCCCTGGCGATAGCGAGTCGGAAGACGAACAAGAAGACGTCCCCCAAGTCAAGCAGAAGCAGTCGAAGCCCGCGCCGGAAGTCAAGCGCTCGCCCAAGAAGTCGAAGAAGAGGGTTTAGATGCCCTCGCATTGCGTTAAAATGTCGCCTGCGTTGCCTTTTCTATCAGATCGGCAGACTAATCTATGCACAGCGTTGCGATACCAGCGTGGAATGGAGACGTTGGTGGTGGGTTCAAAAAGTGAAACAGATTCTCTCGAGGTTGGGAAGCCTCTTGCGCCTTGAAAGGTCTATTAGGTGAAGGGGCATGGTTCAGGTATCAAAAAATGTGAAAGGGTTGCCAACATAACCGACTCGTAGTAGGCGGTTGCTTGGGCTTGGATGTTGCTTTTCCGGTGGCATGGCAGGGTGTCTCCTGCGTTGGACGTTCAGCTTCTGACATGGCTAGTGGAAGGGCGGCTGGTGCATTTGCTGCACTACCAGTAATGGGGAGAAACTTCGCCATTGCCTGGCGAAGAGGTACAAAAGTCGTGTCCGGTTCAGGACACTCATTCCACAATGTCCTTGGCAGTATGGATATGATATGAATAGAACGACGAGAATAACTCCTCGTGTCTGCCTTAATGCTTCTTCCAGTCTCTTGCTAAGAATGTTGATATCCGACTGTTGCTCATGATCTTCCAGCTGCGAGAACAAGTGCTAGCGGACGACCTCGCCGGACCCAATCTCATCCACGCTGACACCCTCGCACCACCCTTCGAGGACACGACTACCACCCAGCACGCCATGTCTGTTGCCTAGGCCCCTTCCCTTGCCTTTGCTTTTGCCCGCCCAGATTTCGAAGAACTTGACTGTCTGATCGCAGCATGCAATGATCAAACTGCCCTCCTCCTCTGTGCGGGAGCCCCACGGCTCGCCTTCGCCTCGAAGATCTCTTCGATCACTATCTCGCGGTCGGCTCCAAGATCCCGGTCCGTCATGGGTTCCATTTTCGGTCCCTGTCCTGTCAGTACCAGGCGCCAGACGGCGTCGAGGGTGTAGGTCTGCGTCGGCTGTCACCCGCTCTGCCTCCCGTTGTCGAACTGCTTCCCATGCCGAGAAACCGTCCGATGAGTCGCTTTGCCTTCGACTTGGGATTGCGTCGTTGGGCCCTCCTGGATACGGTATTGCCCACAATGCGCGCCCGACCTCGCCATTCTGTTTCCGGTCCCATGGCACACTGACAACACATTCACAACTTGGCCAGCTAAAGACTGCTATCCTGATTTCATGCTCCGGCTGCGAATATCCGAACGTCGCCACAATTTCCCGCCTTGTGGTGCTCTACACCAAGCTTGTCACTTGCGAGAAGACATTGATCAACGCCAGAAGCGCACCAGAGCCTGTGTGAAAGAAATGGATTTGACGATCGTTGCTACCTCCGCCGGTAGCCAGTAAGCTTGGTTGCCACGGAGCAAAGGCAATGGCTTTGACAGCTGCTGAATGGTAGAATGAGTAAACATGCATGTTCATCTGGCCAGGAATGTCGGGGTTTGCAAGCCCATTTCGCACCAGAGGAAGGTCTTCTCCGAGTGCTCCGCCATGCCGACCTTGCGTCCAACGATGCTCAGATATGGGCGACCGAACAGGAGTGCGACCGCGCTCTAGAGGAGTAGGTGGCGGTGTGTTCAAGCCATGGGCAGGAGCGGTATGGTCTCTTGCGGCGACAAGGCCTGGCAGATTCTGTTGAGTGTCTGATTCGTTCCTTTCAGGCGACTCGGGAGGCGTCATGACCCCAACATCTGCCCTTCCTTGTTGATGAACTTGTCTTAATGCTGAGCTCGGCAACGTTTCGAGGCCCTGCCGGGAGATTCCCTGCTCCTCCACTGTTTCGAGGAAGAGCTCCGGGTCAAATAAGAGGGCTCGATTGTCATTACCCCCTGAGACGAATTGCTGACCGTCAGGAGACCATGCCAGACCGCAGATGTTTTGGGTATGTGCATCAATCTTCGCCAATAACGTCATTGATCCTGGTGCCTGTTCAGGCCACTCCAATGAGTAATAGTATATCCTGCCGGAATCGTCCCCGACAAGCAGATCTTCGCATAGGACAAGGCCAGCATGGCTAGTCGATTGTCGGGGTGTCTGGGTAGGCTTGAAGGAAACACAAGATGCTGCACACGGATGAGGAGCATCGAATCTCGGTCTAGCTTCCAGAAGACTCCATAGTGTAACATTGCCGCTATTTCTCCCGACCGCCAGTATGGCTCTGGCTCCTCTTTCCGATGAAAAGGCCAGGGATGTCACGAAACTCGCCGGTCGGGAAGGAGGGAGCGGAGGAAATCTGACACCGTATTTCTCTGTCCATAGGTAAACCTTCTGCGATAAAGCCACTGCTAATGTGCGGCAGGTGTAGCTGTAGGCCAAGACAGAACAGTAGTAGTCGTCCTTGAGGTTAGGAGCATCAAGGACCCGGAAGGGAACCGTTGGCACGGCTTTCTCGTTCTGTGGCTTCTCTTCCCGCTTGTCCGGTGAGTCTAGCTCTATGTCAGCCGGAACAAGTCTGGGCATGTATATAACTTACTCCGAGGTACCAGATCTCGAGTCCAAGCATTGTCTCTCCATACGAACGGGCTGTATTTGGGGAGGATGTCTCCAGCATTCCTTTGGCTTGGGAAATCTTGGAGCAAGATCCGACTCGCCTGATCAATGTCCAGGGCCAAGGCAAGGCGACGTTGATGCCCCGTGGTCTGATCGTCTGGAGTAGGCTGGTCGAGAAACGTGGCGGTATGCAGTGGTGCGTTTGTGCCGCTGGCCAGGAACCCGCCCGTACCAGAGCTTACCCCATGCAGCTGTCCGACTTGGGCGGATAACTGACCGCCCACGGTCCAAAATCCGCTGCTGATCTGGCGAAGGGACCTCGACGGTGTCCCATGATCTGCATGCGCTGGAGTAGCGTCGGCTCCAGTCACAAATGATGGGATGTAGTGAGGTGGACGAAGATTATAGGCATTGGGCGAATGTCTCTGCCGAGCCAAATTCCTGGATCTCGTATCACTGACGGAACAGAATGGATCAACGCCGACGTCTCTTTGCCTGTTGTTTCTCTCACGACCCTGCAGGAGAGTAGGAGGCGTACTGATCTGGTAAGAGGACCTCTTGTCTACGAGCAAAGGCCTCTGAGGAACGAATCGATCCGGCGAAGAGAACTGATGTCGATAGCCAGAGGGATTGGCCAGGCTGGTGCATCGTCTCCGCTAAGTACGAGAACCGTCGAGACATGGCAACTGAGCAGGGTGGTCCTCAGATGACAGCTTCGAAGTAGATTGGTGCTGTTGCAGGCTGCTGATTGAGGCACGCGGGATGTTGGCTGTGTCCAGCTCTTCATCGGGCCTGCCACCCCCTATGATATTGAATGCGCTAGCCTCTGAAGAGGCCGGTGTTGTCTGAGGTTGGAGGTCAGAGTTGCTAACTGATGCTGCTGGCCAAGCCTCAGAGGAATCCATGTAGTTGCCCGAACGGCTGAAGTGAGACCTCTTCAGGTAGACGACAGGCCGTCCGGTCGGACGTGAGTCAGGAATATGCAACCCTGTACAACTTCCCCTGCATTATGATGACAGAGAGCCTTCGACAGATGGGTGATGGGGGTCAGTGGGAGTCTGGACTCTACCCACGTTCGAGCGAGCAACCCCGGAGGCTCCAAGACCTGTAAATATGTTAGTGACAAGCCATCACTTGTCTGATGTTGGAAGTGGTGGTTGTTTAAGAAATGTGTTCCTGGTGGGATGGATTCTATGTTGCGGAAGGCGGAGAAATATCCGCATCATTCTCCGCCATCGTTCCTTCACCACAGCAACATTCTCTCATGCCACAGCGAAGTCATGCCTGCCTTGAGCTGCATTTGATCACTCAGCGTAGGCTACCGTGCAGGAGCAATTTGGTCGTACAATGACGAGTGTAAGCGCCATCGAAAACAGGCTGAAGGTTTCCAACTCACCCGTTGACAGCATGGTATTCCTCGCTCGGCCACCCGCGAAGAGCGGACAGCGGATGCACGCCAACGGGAGCTCAAAGAAATATCAGAGTACCAAAGGCTAGTAGAAGAGGTCAACCAAAAGGTCTTTACAGCCCAGGGCCCGGAAGGGATGTCGTCGTGCTGATTGAGATTGACCCAAGGTTCAAGCTGAAGAATTCACGCCTGAATTGCTCCAAAAGACAGCCGAGTTACTAAGACGAAACCCGGAATACTACACCATATGGAACCATCGCCGGCGCATCTACGTTCACGAGTTTCAGGACCTCGAGAAGCAGGTTTCTGCAGGCGAATTGGAGGAGGACAGTCGAGTTAGCCAGGTATTGGACATCATCCAGCTGGACTTGCAGTTCTTGTTCCCTCTACTACTCAAATTTCCCAAGTGCTACTGGATATGGAACCACAGACTGTGGCTTCTTCAACAAGCCACTGCGTTGCTTCCTGTTTCCAAAGCCCGCCCTCTATGGGAGGAAGAGCTGGGTCTGGTTGGGAAAATGCTGAGTCGAGACAGCCGGAACTTCCATGGGTGGGGTTATCGACGGATCGTGGTGCAGAGTCTCGAAAGCCCTACTTTGCATGGGCAGAGTATGTCGAGACAGGAGCTTGATTATACGAAACAGATGATTGGTATCAATCTTTCCAACTTTTCAGCCTGGCACAATCGAAGCAAACTTATTCTCAAGGTGCTGGACGAGGAAAATGCCAGCGACGAAGAGCGCAAGAAGATGCTGGATGCAGGTAGCTAGCCATGTGCAACTCTCCCCTTCACGCATGCTAACAGAAACCAGAACTTGAGTTGATCCATCAAGCATTGTTCGACCCGTACGATCAGTCCTTATGGTTCTATCACCAAAATCTGATGTGCAGTTTTGACCTTGACCTTGCTGAGCGAAGCATGGCACCTAACCTTTCAAACGAACAACGATTGACCTATATTGCCTCCGAGAGGCGGTACATCGAGGAGGTCCTTGAAGACGCTCAAGACTGTAAATGGCCATATCAGGCTCTCATCGAATGCACACTGCTGGAAGCAAAACTGAGGCAGGGACTACAGGACGACGACAAGAAGCAGATATTGCAGTGGTTGAAAGAGCTCAAAACCCTGGACCCTCTAAGAGAAGGCCGATGGGTAGACATGGAGCAGTCTCTTATTAAAGGCACCGCTTGACTGGATTCACGGCCAATTTGCTGGTCGACGGGTCGGTGTCAGGATGGATGTCAATCAAGTACAGCTCGACAACGTTCGGAAATGTGCTGGAATCAATTTTCAAAGAGGAGACAAGTGTAAGGATTCGGGAGATGAGATGGAGAGTGTATTATGGAGTGCTGGAACACAGACGTGGGCTCAGAGAACGCGTATGGGCCTTGCTGGTCACACAGCCTCTCGTCGTCTGCGTCCTTCAGGGCCATGAGGCTTGAGGGTAAGGAGGGAGCTTGATCAGGGGTCCAGCCCGCAACTACATGGGGCTTCTTAGGCTCATCAGGCGCCCTGGTGGCCTCTGGCTGGCGGATTGTTTGGCCTAAGTGTGGCTAATAGGGGCCGGCGAAGCACAGGCACAGTGGACACCATGTTCTTGACATTTGACACATGGGGAACGCCAAATGGGAACTTTTCCTCGGTCTGATGTATCCCCTGTCCAGTGTCCAGCATCCTTGGATAGTGGGTAGAAGTAACAAATCAGTTGGTGTGTAGCGAGCGTGGTACAGTACAGGTTTGATGCCGTCAACCGGATCAGGAAAGAGACACAATTGCTTCTTTCATTCTTCCACGAGAACCAGGAGAGCAGAGAGCCAAAGTACTAGGCTACAACTCTTACATCTGTCAATCTTCAAAGATCTTGAAGGTCCCTGCCCGGTCGGTACCTGAGCCTAGCGAGCCTGCTCTTCCCCCTGCGACTGGCTGATGCTCAACGGCAAAACAGTCCTAACAGAAGTGACGGCTCTGGCTTTGCTCTCTCCGCGTCGCCTGCGAAAATCCATTGAGACTCAACAACCGCGACCAACAACATTTCAACCCCAGAGTCAACAATAGAACACAACCATCAACCTTCTCTATTCCAACAAACTACAACTGTCTCGTGGCCATTCTTTATCTGACAGTTAATTGTTACGATTCACACACAAAGGACCTGGTGACGCCTACGACCGCCTCCCTCCGATTTCTGTGCACTCTTTGTCCCTATCGGACCTCCGTTCTGCAGTCCTTCCTGTCCTTTGGCTCGCGTCCCATCCGGCACACTCTAAACCTACCACAACCACGGACCCTGATCCCCTTGGCGAAACGTTCGGGTCGAACCCTTGTTTGGGTATCTGATTGGGAGCGGTCCTGGATGATGGTCTGACCGGATTGAATCGCGTCGAAAGAGCCAACATGGAGACAGTACAATCAAGCGCAGACAATACCGACATGGAAGAGGTAGGTAGACTCCAGTACATTTATTGGGTAATATGTCCCTGACGCTGCTTCAGAAGTTCGAGGACGCCAACGATGTCGCCGACGACGTCAAGGATGACTCAAGGCGGGATTCCATCCCACAGGACGAAACACCTGCGCCTGAGAAACCAGTCGATCCTGAACCCGCATCTCAGGAAGATGAACAACCTAAATCCGAGCCAACAGAGACTGCAGCCTCTCCCGATGAGAAGGCGCCCGATGTCGATGTAGACAGCGTCGCAGTGGACGATTCCGTCTCTGTTCAGCCTCCAGATGCCCTGCAGACACCCACTATAAACACCCCTGAACCCTCTACTGACAATGTCGACCCTGCTGAGAGGGCTCCTCCACCGAAACCTCCTCCGCGCCCTTCAAGATTTCAAGGCTTCTCAGCCGCTCTACCTTCAGTTCCTTGGGGACCGCCTCCTCCTCCCAGAAAAGCCTCCGAGGCCCGCGCACCGTCTCCGCAGCCGCCTCAAACATCGTCCTCCTTTGGGCGCAAAGTGACCACCCCTTTTGGATGGCTGAGCCGAGCCACATCCACGCCCAAAGAAAGCCGCTCTCCTCCACTAGCCTCAAGACCACACCCTGATGCTCGTCGGAACACTGCCGCATCCACCTCCACCATAGGAAGCAATCCCGATCTGATGTTGAAGGCTCTGGATGAAGCACAAGATGGATCGAACGGGCAAAGACTGCCGTCCCGAGCCTCTCTCCGCGAACAATTTAAGATGCTGCGAATGCGAGAAGAAGCAGGCATAACTAGTCTGGAGGGTGAAAAGCCGGAGGGTGGAGCGATCGCGGGACTTGTTGGAGGATCGGCAAGCGTTGGTGTAGGCATAGCCACGCCTGGAAGTGTAGGCCATGACGAGAACATGGTCTCAACTCCGGTCTTGTCGCCAACGACTGAGACGGTTCCCACCAACCCAAATCTACCTCCTGGGACAGTTGCAGGAGTAACAGCTTCTACGGCCGACACTGCCACACCAATAGATTGGGATTTCTGGCAGAATGTCGTCAATGAAGGCCCTCAAGCCGTTGCACGAACGAGTCCCGATGAGTTCACCCAGGCAATCAGTGGTGGGATCCCGCAAACAATCCGCCCAGTCATTTGGCAAGTTCTCGCCGGCAGCAAGAACGAGGAACTCGAGGCGGTATATTGGGACCTCCGCTCCAAAGGCTCCAACGGGGACACCAAGGAGGGCATGCCCAAGTCTCCGTTGCTCAATGGGCACGCCAATGGTACTGTCAAGGACAAAGAGTCGGCAGGCTCGTCCAGGTCGTCGATTCGGTCGGATCATTCCACACCAGCTACCAGTGCACATGTGGCATTGGCATCTCCTTCGCCGTCCCACGAGCTGACGGACCCCATGATCAGCACACGCCTTCAGACCCAGCTAGCTGCGGAGCGCGCAAAAAAAGCAAAGGAGGATTCCGCAGCACTGGCCAAGCTAGAGAAGATGATCAAGCGAGACATGGGCTCGAGGACCAGCTATTCGAAGTATGCGGCAGCGGCAGGCTTGCAGGACGGACTCTTCCACGTCTGTCGAGCTTACGCCCTATTTGATGACGCTGTTGGCTATCCGCAAGGATTGAACTTCATTGTTATGCCTCTGCTCTTCTCCATGCCGGAAGAAGAAGCCTTCTGCCTCCTGGTGCGCTTAATGAACAAATACCAACTTCGTGAATTGTTCATTCAGGACATGCCAGGCTTGCATCTGCATCTGTACCAGTTCGAGAGACTCCTGGAAGATCTTGAACCTGCCCTTTACTGCCATCTCAATCGCCGAGGTGTCAACCCCAAACTCTATGCAACTCAATGGTTTCTGACGCTGTTCGCCTACCGGTTCCCCCTTCAACTCGTTATGAGGGTATTTGATTTGATTTTGTGTGAAGGATTGGAAGGTGCCATCTTGAAGTTCGGCATGGCTGTCATTCAACGCAACGTATCTACCCTGCTAGCGATGCAAGATATGCAGGCTTTGACGAACTTTTTGAAAGAGAAGATCTTTGATGTGTACATTGACGCCACTCCTTCGTCCAAATCGATCTTGGAATCGGGTTTCTTTGGCAGCTCAGGTGGTTCAGATACCGAGGTCTACCGAGCAGATCTTCTTGTCCAAGATGCTTGCTCCGTCAAACTCACCCCAGAAATGCTTAATCGGTATCGCGAGGAATGGGAGACGATGACCAAAGCCGAGAAAGCGCGCGAAACCGAGCTCGAAAACCTCAAGACCGATTGCGCTACCAAAGCCGCCCAGATACGGTCACTCGAGAAACGGGTAGAGAAGTCCGACGCCGAACATATCGAGCTGGCCAACGAGCTGGTAAGACTGAAAGTTGAGAACACCGAGCTCCAAGACCGCAACGAAAGCTTGGCCGGCCAGGTTGAAGAACTGCGCAAAGTCGCGGCGAGTGAAGCTGCCAATGTCGAGGCCAGAATGAGAGCCGGCACCGAACAAGTCATGCAAAGAAACATCGAAGTTCAGAACGAGAACCGTCACATGGAAGAACAGATGGCCGAGATGGAAAAAGAGCTCGTAGAGATGAAGATGAAGTATGCTGAGGTGAGTTTATCCATTACAGAAAGTGGCTGTGGAAATGCAACGTGAATGGTCTTACTGACATGTCAATACCAGCTCAATGCCGAACACGAAGGGCTGAAGCAGAAATGGAACGACCTGAAACGAGCACTCGAGGATTAAACGAATCTGCGTGCATCACTTTTGGCTGCTGGCCGGTTGTTCTACGATGAGCGATGAGCGGATGATATTTGGATCCCCTTAATGACTTTATTCACGACGGATAGGTCGAACGGTGAATACACGATTCCCGGGCGCATTTCCGGTGTCCACCTGGCGTTCAGGTGTGGCAGATGCACATAGATACCGCTCTGTGTGTTATATTCAATATTGGATTTCATTCTACTAGAATGCCTGCCACTAGACAGTTTCTCTTCTGTCTTTGTGTGTCTGATTTATGATCTGGCTGGCGGCCCCGGACAGACAGCCGGTTGGTGCGGTTCGGGGGAAAGAATTGTGATGCCGTGTACTGGAATGTTGAAAAGATATCCAGACTCGACCAAAGCGAAGTCGCCGCTCGATGTCCATGAAGAGAATGGCTGTCCAATGGTTGTTAGCGGGTGGATGGATGGATTCTGCGTATGAACATGTTCCAAGTCACAACAGGTACTTGACTAGGTACTATCATGCCGAACAAAGCACATTAGGCACCCTTGGACCTTCATACATGGTAGTTGTATCGGCAACATTCCAAGGAACGGGAATTGCAGATATTGGTAAACGATGATGCACGAGGAATCGGAAGCGACAGGAACTGACGATGGGAGGCATGAAGATCGATTGATGCACGTGTATGAGCAGCTACATACACCTCGCTCTACCTAGTCTCAAGCTCGAATCGGTGTATGTCGTGGAAACCAAGGCTCCCCTTTGGACTTCCTATATCTCTTGACCATCAGCACATCTCTACACTAGAAGAAGTGTAAAGTGAAGAATTCCTTTCTAGCTCTCTAAAGTTTCACCCTCCCAGCCTTCAAGTCTTCCCACTCCTTGAAGCCATACGGGACATAAGTGTTTGCACCGGGTGGAAGCCAAAACATCCTATCATGCGGACTCGAGTGGCGGATCTTATCGAGATCGACACTTTCGCTTCTCAAGCGACCTTTTTGCAGTTTCATGGTGCCCGTGTATTCGAGCTGCGGCACGACGCGGAGGAAGACAGGCACAGCGTAGCGCGGGAGGACAGAGATGGCATGCTGAGCCAGACGCTTGAGGTCGAGTGCCTCCGCGGACAGTCCCTGAACGGGGACGATGGCCGCACATCCAGCTCTGCCGTCCGCGTGGGGCACCTGGACGCCGTAGACGTTGGCCTCTGCGATCTGCTCGAAGCGGCCGAGCACGTCGCTGACCTCGTTGGTCGAGACGTTCTCGCTGCGCCAGCGGAAGGTATCGCCCAGGCGGTCGACGAAGTAGACGCACCCGTCGGCGTCTTCGCGCATCACGTCGCCCGAGCGGAACCACAGATCGCCCTTTTCAAAGACATCGCGGATCTTGCGCTTGTCGCCCGCCCCCTTGTTCTGGTAGTATCCTGCAAACACGGAGTCTGCGGTCGCCGGGTCTAGTCTGTGCAGAACCTCGCCTGCTTCGCCGGTCTGGCATTCGATCGCGAAGCCGTTCGTGTCACGCAAGATCTCTTCCGTGTCCGGATCGATGCGCACGCGCTTCTCGTTCGCACCGTTCCACCGGTGCCAGAGCAGACCGCGCATCCCGATGGCGTTGCGGCCGAAGTCGCCCCGGTTGGCGTTGAACGATGCCCCGGGTCCGTCTGTGGCGGCGTATAGTTCGTTGATGGTTTCGATATCGAATCGTGACCGGAATACTTCCCACACGTCCGGCCGCATGCCGTTGCCCCATGCCATTTTGACGTTGTGTTGCTTGTCCAGTGGGCTGGGCGGCGCGTTGATTAGATAGCGGCAGAGTTCGCCTACATATTGAATGATGTCAGCGTTGGACTGGCGCACTTCGGGCCAGAATGTCTTGTGGCTGAATCTGCGGCTGAGCACGACCGTCGAGCCCGCAAAGATCGATGGTGTTATACATAAGCTGTGGCCTGCTCCGTGATACAGCGGAAGTGCCGTGTACATTCTGTTATAGGGCTTCAGATGTAGGTATTCGCTGACGCCCCGGGCTGTGTTCAGCTCACGGCCTCGAAGCATGATCACGCCCTTGGGCATGCCTGTTGTTCCGGAGGTATAAATCAGGCTGCATAGTTCATCCGGACGGATTCCTTTCTGTCGTGACTTGGGCAACGGTGTGCAGTCTGAGAGCGAAGCAATGAAGGCATCGTCATAGTATATTGTCTTCACGTTGGAGGCTGAGAGATCTGCTTCGCATGGTTGAACCAGGCTTTGCACAGCCCGGTCAGCGATCAGGTACCGAGCGTCGCATAGCTTGACAGAATGTGTCAACGGACCTGCAGTCAGGTTGTAGTTGATGAACCCCGGACAGGCGTTGATTGCTTCTAGCCCAAACCAGAGCATTAGGTATTCGGGACTGTTCCCGCCATCGACTGCGACGATCTCTCTGGGCTGGATCTCGAGATCCTTCAACAACCAGTTACCCACCCTTTGCAGGTCTTCGAAGAATTGCTTGTATGTCCATGTCCGGTCTTCGAATATCAAAAACAGATTGTTGGCGTTCTTGCCATGAGCATGCTCCTCAATGAGGTGGTAGATCAAAAGTTTGCCCTCAGAGACTCTCTTCGTGATAAACTCCACTGCCTTCTTAGTGCTCCCGGCCAGAGAACCGCCTGTGAGGTCATGTCTGATCAGGTGTTTGGCGTCCAGATAGGCCGCAGTGGCTAGGCCACCGATGACGGTCGCGGCGACTGTGGTGACTGCATGATATACTGGTCAGCGGACGTTTGGACGGTTCTTGGGACAGAGATATACCTACAAGACATCCTGAACCAGACGATCCTCGAAAGGAGTGGCCAGAGAAAACGCCCTCATGGACTTCATATTCCGCCCGCAGCCTCCTTAAGATACACTGCCCGTCTCTCAGCCGTCTAGGGACCTATCGAACCGAGGTTTGAGGCGTCCCAACCGCTCCTCTCCTCCGCGGGGAGATCGGTCGGTTGATGTTGAAGCGCGGGGATAGCGGCTGTTCTCCACGAATGCAAAGATGGAGTAATTGAGGGAGCTGCTAGCAAATCATATTGGACTGTTGTTGCCAGGCCGGGGTCAAGAGATACATACATCCATAAATGGAAGGTTAAGCGGACCGCAAAATAATGTTTGATTGTACGTGCAACAAACATCACCCCTTGATTCTACCCCTGAGTACCTTACTCAACAAGAAACATAAGAGAATGGAGACAAAAGCTTTGAAATCACTTCGCAGGGCTCTGCATGAATTGCCGTATGGCCTTCGTAAAGAAGATTTGGGATATTCAGACACTCAATGACCGTCCGTCAGATGTCACCTCCTCAGCCTCGGGCTGTCGCTCCTCTCTGTTCTCCTTTCCAACCGCTGTCCCATCCAAAAGGGCCATCATGCCTCGGGAACATGCTCATGGTTGCGCCTGCGCCCCATCATACCACCGTCAATGACGGATTGCAAGCAAAAGAATAGATGAGAGAGGAGAGAAAATGCTGGAGCTTCCACGCTGATGGCTGATAATCAAAACGAGCATTGGCCAGCAATGTCTCCGAAACCTTTCGATCCCTCCACGTCCGCTGCTCCACGGATCATCTGATTCACCACCAAACTCGATAGTCCTCCCAGGTCAGGTCCTGCACGTTTCCCTCGTACCAGTCTCCACCCGCCATGGCGGGATAAGCACTGTAGCCGTGTGCCGGGCCTGCAGCCTGCTCACTATGGTCGAATTGAATTGCAAGATCCTCGCTCATATCGCGCTGTTCCTGTTGCCAATCTGGGACGAAAACGGGACCCCATTCACCCAGCTCTGACATTAGCTCTGATCCAAGATAGAAGTTCCCAGCTGCCTCGAAACCAGGATCCTCGTTCATCTCGAAGTTGTTTGCTTGGATCTCATCAGGCTGTGGTCCGGTCGAGAAGATAGGTCCTGCCTGGTCGAAGGGGAGCTGTTTCAAGAACGGCTGGTCTTGGAATGACTTCGATGGTTCCGCTGGAGCACGAGGTGGAGGAAGGAAACGACCACACTTGGTCTTCGCAAGCATACACTCTCTGCTGTCGCCGTTCCATTGCAATTCCCCAGAACTAGGCCAATTGGCAGGCACATCTAGATGTTCAGCTGACCAGATGGTAGGAAGGCCGAGTACGGGACTCAGTCCGTCCTTGAAGACCTTGCCGTCCTTGCCAAAAGCTGACTTGACTTTTCTCTGTTTCTTGGGGATCTTCTCTTGAGCGAGAATCTGTGCTTTGAGCAGGTCGCAGCTCTTCTCCTTCTGGGCCTGAGCGATCGCAAGCACGTCCTTCTTGTGAGTAACCCATTCGGTAACATTGCGAGGGAATATCCCAGAAGGGCCTCGACCAGGCTTTGCGTTTGCACGGAACTGCTCTGGGGCAAGATGTCTGACACGCTGCTTGACTCGTTCGAACTCTTCCTTCTCCTTCACGGCGTTGCTCTTCCAAGTCATCGACGACGTATGGGACGGCATTGGCACTGGTTGTACGCTCTTACCGAAGAATGGCTGATTTCCTGCTTCGCCGCTGTCGATACTTGCATGGTCACTCATGGTGACGATAGACACCTCGTCGAGGGAGACATGTTTGACCCTACGAGGAGGCATTTTGACGGACTACGCTGATGGTTGTAGTTGCCGTGGTAGATGAGAAGAGCAGATGGTTGTGATTGGTAGTTGGCGATGTTGATATTTGCTCGTGGGAGGCCTCCAGTCACTGCGGCTGCGGGCAGCGCGGGTGGGATTTTTTGCAGAGGAGTCTGCTGCGCTTGCGGCGGGATGAGGTTCTGCCTGTTGAATGTGGTTAGGTTTCAGGTAAGCTGGGCTGGAAAAAGATTTCCGAAAAAAGATATCTGTTGTCGTTGTTGTTGTGACATCCAAAGAAGAAGAAATATTGCAGTGTCTTGCTGGTGACTTTGTGCACTGCCAGACTGCACTGCCTGAGGTCAGCTTCACAACTGCGGTTGCTATATCAACGACACAGTGAGTGGGATTCTTGTGAAATAAATCGTGGTTCCCGTCCACGTCCTTGTCTCTTGAGTGCCTCACCTATTTTGTCGATTCTGAGACAAACGAGGCTTTCGGTGAAGCCATATTTCGGAATGGCTCTTCATGAATGACCGTCGTTCCTAGTTTGCAGGTCACAAACTGCAAGACTAAACCAGGCCCCAGTCAATCTTGCTTGTGAGATCTCGTCACAACGTCACAAAGTCACGACACGTGAAACCGCCCTTCACAACTTCATTCTCAAACATGTGTACCCGGCAGCCGACTCCCAACTCTTGGATCTTCACTGGGCAAGCGGCTCATCTTCGGACTGGCTCAACCTCGGCTTCAAGAAACGGAGACACTTCAACCCTCCGTCAATGGCCTTGTGAGGAATGATATCGAGGGTACTTGACTGTTGTGCCTACAGCTCGGCTTTCGTGGCAGGCCATCAACCATGACTGTGAAGCCTCGCGAGATCATCGGCCTCAACGTTCTTGAAGTGAGTGCGTCCGGTATCCCGAACGGGTTTCTAGGTCACACTGTCGCACCAGAGTGAGACCAAGATACTGGTGATGAAAGAGAAGAAGCGTCATTTCTGGAACATGGCGCGATATGTATCATCAGAAATCCGCAATTCTGTGTGAGAAAGAAAGATAGAGACTGAGGCGACGCAGAGCTAGGTGTCGATCTGAGTCAGAGATCCTTCACTGCCGCTCTCTAGTCTATACAAAGATCCTTTCCCTTTGTTCAGCCTCGTCTCACATCCAGGGTTACAGAAGCATTGTCAATGACTTTCGTCTGCGCTCCTGCATGATCAGTGTTTTCTTGCCTCTGATCTTTGTGCAGTTCATGTAGGGCTTCTACAAAATCCACCTCTAAACCTGAATGTATCGCCAGCTCGAGCGCAACCTCAATGTCGACGCCGTCGGCAGCTGGGTCACGTGAGCGAATCTTCTACGGTGCATCATTCATTCTGGCGCGTCATGAACGCGTTTGTTTGCCTACGACGTGGCCGTTACAACACTTTTAGTTTCTCGTCATGAACTTAACCCCTTTGATATCATCAACTTTCAGAAATGCCTGCAATTCAGTTGATGACAGGGTCTTCAGTTACAAATACAAAGAATCAAAACAGCGTTTCCAGCCCGCTTCCGTCTCTACTCCAGACGCCTTCGGGGCTCGCCATCGTTGAAATCCAAGGAACGATCCATGGTCCGTTCCAGGACGAGTCGACAGAGGATCAAGGCCCGGCTACGATGACTAGGCCAATTGGCCGACTGGAGTTCCCTCTCTTCAACCCTGAGGACAAAGAGGACGGGAAATGGATGAAGAAGGTCTATCTCTACGTCGGCAAGCATCAACGCTTGACGGGTGAAGTCAAGAAATTGGCAAAACCTCTCGCTGTGATCCGGAAGATCGACCAGAGTGATGATGCGGGAGATGCCGACTCGATCGGTGGAGGATCGAATGAGAACTTGGATATCCTCGATATCGTCAAGTATAAACTACTCTTCAGCGGGAGGCCGGAGCCTGTGGGGGAGTGAAATATCGAGCGGCTGGAGGAACAATTGAAAAATCGTGCTACCCAGATCGTGCAACTGGCGTTCTGAAGATGAGCGCTATGATTCTGGCTTGGGAATTGTCAAGTTTGCATGGCTCGTACTCGTACTCCTGCGGAGTGAGTCAAATACAGGCAGGCCGCTGGACGGCTGTCATGGGAACGTTGGACTGATGAGGCAGTCCACTCACGGCTCCCGGTGATAACCTGGAGAAGGAGAGCAAGGACTCTCAGGTAGGAAGGTAAGAGCTCTTACATGCCGGAATATTGAGGCAGCACATGGGCATCTTTTCACTGACGGACTTTTTATCAGGGCCCAAAATTCTGGATGTTTGGCTTGCAGTTCGTCCATCGGCCTAGATCTGGATGCCTTCATGGTGATCTCAGCACTCTCTGCCAGGTTACTGTCTCGTCTGAGACTGCCTGAGTATCTAGCGTTGGCTTCCTCTACCAGGAGTCCTCTTTCGCAGGGGAAGCTCCCCTCGGCCAAGACTCATACTCAGATCCCTCTGGAATACCCGACAGAGCAGATCATGACAGCTGGCAATCCCTGATCTTGTCTTTGGCGATGGACGTGAAGGTGTTGGTAACGACAGAGGCCTGGCTCGAGCCATGGTACTCCGGAGCGTCCTCAGCCTCGGGCCTCTGCGCCATTTGCGTGCAAATAATCTCGGATCTGGATCGCACATGGTCGCAAACGGGCAAGTGGAATTCAATGAATTGGAACATCAGCATCGGTGCCGTTCATGGCTCGCTCTATCTAAGAGCTTTCAGTGATACCGGCGGTGCCTGATTGAAGAGAGTTGGAAAGAGTGACACCCAGCTTCACTTCTGGTTCCATCCTTTTACACTGGCCAGGAACATGCTGTTAATCAGGGAGCTGTCATGGGCATAGGGTGAATATAGAAGACACTCCACGAGGGTCTTCGTTCTATCTTGGAGACTGCGATAGACTGGAAACCGACAACTTCACCTCTTTGACTCCTGCATCGCCCTGTAGTGATTGCTATACATTAAATGCCATGATCATGACTGTCAGCCAGATTTAGCTCCATCATCTATTCGTCTTGATCACCCAAACTCAATAGACGTTGTTGGCGAGGCTGGCTTAGTCCGTCGGTCACGTGCAGTCATACAACGATCACGTGAAAGGCTCCAAGATGCTCGCTGCAGCTCCATTCCAAGCACTTGCCCCTGCCGCTGCCACTTGCTAGGCGCAGCGCAGTGTCGGAGTGAGCGATCGTCAAGAGAGCTTCTTGCTCTTTATCATTGGCAGCCTCCCACGTCGCTTGAAAACGAAGACTAGTACGTACTACTAGGTGTGAAGAGCAGCTGCAGCTTCGACTCGTCTAATCGATTTATCTCTGACGCCGACCCCCAAGCCACCTTAGTGGAAAGTGTCAAGATCCTCCGCGGCGCAGCTTGTCCACCTGCATCATCGCCCGCAACCGATTCGCTCATTTGGTTGAACTGCTTTCCTACTCAGCAAAAGAAAGCCATCTACCTCTCTCACCTTCCCTCCCATTGCTATCGACCAGCACAAGGCCGCCACCATGGCCGAAATCGATCATCGTATGGGCATTGTCAAGCCCAGACTGCGATACAACACAATTGGAGGTATCAATGGGCCTCTGGTCATCCTGGATAATGTACGTTTGTTGAGTCCCTGAGCTTCGAGAGTGTCTGTATTGCTCACTAACACTTCGCTTTTCTTAGGTCAAATTTCCCCGATACAACGAGATTGTCAGTTTGACGCTGCCTGATGGGACGGAACGGTCTGGTCAAGTTCTGGAAGCAAGAGGTGTGTAATACGAATGCGCAGTTGCTACGATTGAGCCAGGAGTTGACACTATCGGTACAGGAAACAGAGCTGTGGTTCAGGTGTTTGAGGGCACAACAGGCATTGATGTGAAGAAGGTATAAATTGTTCTGAACTGCCACATGGTCTGATGCTCACACCTCACAGACAAAAGTTGAGTTCACCGGCCACAGTCTGAAGATTGGTGTCTCCGAGGACATGCTGGGTCGTATCTTCGATGGATCCGGAAGAGCCATTGACAAAGGTCCCAAAGTGTTGGCAGAAGATTACCTGGACATCAACGGAAGTCCCATCAACCCATACTCCAGAGTACGTATGCTTCCACCCCAGTCTACGTCGCATACTAACTTGGCCGAAGGTCTACCCGGAAGAAATGATCTCGACAGGTATTTCTGCCATCGATTGTATGAACTCGGTCGCTAGAGGACAGAAAATTCCAATCTTCTCTGCTGCCGGTCTCCCTCACAACGAAATTGCAGCTCAAATCTGTCGGCAAGCTGGCTTGGTCAATCAACCCACCAAGGATGTCCATGACGGTCACGAGGAGAACTTCAGCATCGTCTTCGCCGCCATGGGTGTGAACATGGAAACCGCACGATTCTTCACCCGCGACTTTGAAGAGAACGGTTCCATGGAAAGAGTGACGCTGTTCTTGAACTTGGCCAACGATCCCACCATCGAACGTATCATCACCCCTCGACTAGCCCTCACTACAGCAGAGTACTATGCTTATCAACTTGAAAAGCACGTCCTGGTCATTCTTACCGATTTGTCGGCATACTGCGATGCGTTGCGAGAAGTTTCTGCTGCCCGAGAAGAAGTGCCTGGTCGACGTGGTTACCCCGGTTACATGTACACGGATTTGTCTACCATCTACGAGCGAGCCGGTCGTGTCGAGGGACGAAACGGATCTATTACTCAAATTCCCATCTTGACCATGCCGAACGACGACATTACGCATCCCATCCCCGATTTGACCGGGTATATTACGGAAGGACAGATTTTCGTCGACCGTCAATTGCACAACAAAGGTGTATATCCCCCTATCAACGTGTTGCCATCCCTTTCTCGACTCATGAAATCGGCCATTGGTGAGGGTTTGACGAGAAAGGATCATGGCGATGTTTCGAACCAACTGTATGCCAAGTACGCCATTGGACGTGATGCTGCTGCGATGAAAGCAGTGGTTGGTGAAGAGGCCTTGAGCTCGGAGGATAAGTTGTCGCTTGAGTTCTTGGAGAAATTCGAGAGGCAGTTTATCTCCCAGAGTCCATATGACAAGCGAAACATCTTCGACACTTTGGATCTTGGCTGGAACTTGCTTCGCATTTTCCCCAAGGAGCTGCTCAATCGGGTCAGCCCCAAGATTCTTGAAGAGTTCTATGCAAGGAAAGGCCACAGCAAGAAGGACAAAGGTAACAAAGACACCCGGGATAATGCCAATGGCGAACGACAAGCGAATGGCGAGCCCAACTTGTTGGACGACTGAAAAGAGATGGTGATGGGTGTTGGAAGGACTGTTAGCATCCGCTCACACGAGCAGGGCGGCTGATGTTGTGCTCGAATAGAACCGCGGGGATGAATGTATTGACTCGATTCAGGGCGTGGCACAACTTTGCTCGTCCACTGCTTCCAGTACGGCGGTCAGATGTCTGCGGCCTGATCTCATCATTGCTGTCAGTGGTTTCAATTGCAACGAAACGAGTCATTAAGAGATCGTACATAGATGTATGAAGCACTGTAATTCGGGGCAGCAGTATAAGACACGATTATCCTCAATCGAGTCCGCTTAGCAATTGGTAGGTGTGACGCGATTGGAGTATCTACTTTATCCTCCATGCTGTGTACATTGTTCAAGGTTACCTACTCAGCAGAGGTGAGGACCTAGGTAGATAAGGGATAATATTAGTATTATTTGTTTATGATTGTCTTGTCTATTTTTGTGGATTATACCTCTCTCCTTTCCCGTAAATTGGACAGACCGCGTAATGACTGTCCACTCGATCCAGGAAGGAGATGAGCTTAATCTTGACCTTGACCTTGACCTTGACCTTGACCTTGACCTTGACCTTGACCTTGACCTTGACCTTGACCTTGACTTTGACTTTGCTCTCCACTTCCTCTCTCCGGATCATCAAGACCGGCTCCCGATGACATTGAGCCGTAGCCACCTGCGCTCACGTCTGACTTTGCATTTCCATTTGTATTCGTGGTAGTGTTGCCGTTGAGATTCGGATTTGGGTATCTGGCAGAGGGTTGTAAGAGTGCTCTTCTCTCGTCGGTAATAGTACTGCCATTTCCACCGGTACCACCACGGTTCGCATGACCCGCAGCCGGAGCCGCAGCCATAGCTCGTTCCCGCTGGATTGCTCGTCCCTTGACATCGACATACATGACCAGCACGACGCCCAGCACCAGCCCGGCCGAGGCGAGCGCCAGGTTCAAGGGTTCCGGGTCGTCGTCAAAGGCGTTGTGCACCAGCGCCTGCAGACCTGACTGGGTGAAGGTGAAGAGGCCCGAGAGGCAGATGATGGCGCCGTAGACGGTGCCGAAGGTGGCGTAGCCGAAGACTTTGGCGGCGTAGTCTCTGGAGATGAAAAAGGAAGAGAAGTTGAGTTAGTATAAGACTTGGGAGGAGAGATCGTAGGGATGTGTGTGTGTGTATGTGCGTGGGTGGGTGGGTGTATTTAAAGGCAATTGAATGGAATGAATAGATAGATGGATGAGCTTGGTTGTGTTGGGAAAGGGAAAGGGAAAGGGGTGGATATTGTTGAAACGGATAGGACTAGGATTAGGAACAGCACAGAAGTACAATCTGGTTCTGGTATGCTTTTTGTCGAGTCGAGCTTAGGAGATGGGAGGGGGTCTGAGGGGGCCTGAGTGGTGAGATGTATTTGGATATATCGATGGGTTGATAGGTGGAGGTAGGGCGCGTAGAATGGACGTGGATTCTCAAGAACGGGCTCAATATGAAGATATTGAACCATGGACGTTGGGTTTTGGGAAGGTGATATGTGATGTAGTGTTGGGGCGTTGGTGTTGGGCAAGATGTATGGCGGAGGTGGGAGTGATCTCTCAGTATCAGGTGGTATCAGACATCACTTACGACATGGCAGAGTAATACAACGGCCTGAACAGACAGAACAGCGTGACATTAGCATACGCCGCCCAAAGTGTGGGAACCGCCCCGAGCACTCCAATCAGGGTACTCAGCAAGACCAAGAGATTCAGAACAGCCACGGTACTGGTATGATCCAGCAAAGCGCCGATGAAAGGCACGGTCGCAATGCCTCCGATGGGCAAAGCGAGATCGAAGAACTCGATGATACGCATGGCCTGGGCCTCAGAGCCGAGCATGTACACGTACTGCGACCAGATGGTGGCGATGAAGAAATTGAACCGCGCCATCTGCAAGACGGTGAAGAGGGTGATGAGCACGAACCAAGGCGTGCGGAGCTGTTTGGACGCCGGGACGCCATGAAGAACGCCAAAGACGCCGCTGGTGACACGCTTCTCGCGTTCCTTCTTGTCGTGTTCGGCGCGTTCGGCGCGCGTGCCGAGCAGCTCGTTAATCGAGGTGATGGACTGTCTGCGGCGGCTGCGAAGGTGCCTGACTTCGGCGGTGGCGGTGGTGGTGGCGGTGTCGAGCTCGTCGTCCGAGTCGGTCGCGTCGGTGGTGGCACGTTCCATCTTGAGACCAGTCTCCAGCTCGGTTCGGGTCTCGTAGCTCCGGGACGGCATCATGGTGAGTTGCGAAACGAGAATGAAGATCGGGAACACCAGATACACCAGAAAGATCTGGCGCGGTCCAAACCCGCCGTGCGTGGACTGGTAGAGGAGGCGGAAGATGAGGAAGACCGAGGCCGAGGCGTCGAAGGCGCCCGTCACCAGCGCGAGAATCAGGCCTTGGAATCGCGGGAACGTGTTGGACAGGTGGAATGTCGGGACGAACGTGAAGGTCCCGCCGAGCGACAGGATGAAACTGCCCGCGTAGTAGACGTCGAAGGGCAATTCTTGGGCAAATGCCATGCAGAGACTTCCTAGGGCCAGCAGGATGGCGCTGACGATGCCGCAGACCCGCGGGCCGTGTCGGTCGAGGATCCGGCCGACCAGCAAGGCGGAGATGTTGGTCGTCACTGATGCTATGATGAACATGAGGTTCAACCTGTTTATCAACAGTCAAATGAGCCTGTTGTTGAGAGCAATATCGATATTGAATATCGTTGATAATGGCCACGCTGAGCTCTGCTCTGCTCACCTTTGGTCTTGCATATAACATACTCGAACATTGTCGCGGAGTTCGTCCTCGGTGCAGTATTCTCGATAGACCTTCTCGTCGATCAGGATCGACTTGAGAGCGTCAAAGCCAAAAACGATCCCGGAGGCTGTCACGCACGAGAAGACGCCGACGAACACCTGGGCTGTGATGCCAGGGGGAGAGGGTTAGCCATTTGTGCTTTTGCCAGGACCAAACTTGACTTTCCAGGCGAAAGCTGGACTGGGTTTGGACTGATTGGACTCACCGAATCGTTTACCCGCCGACACTTCATACGGAGCAAGAGTCCGTGGCTTCTCTACCGGATGGCCGACATTGGGGATGGGATCGTAGCTGATACTGTAGGCGACGCTGGCCTGGCGGGATAGTGGCAGGCCCGCGGTATCCGGCTCCTCGTCGACGCCTTCAACTGACGAAACATGCTGGGCTAGGGACATTAGGATTAGAATTAACAGACAAAGTAGAAGAAGAAACGCATAGACCTGAACGACATCAGCTGCAGGGACGTTGTCATGCAGCAAGGATAGAGGTTGATATGGAAATAGGGAAATAGTGTAGAGTAGAATTTGATGTCCCAGAAAAAAGCGGTGGATATTGCGATCGATCGATCCATCACCCACAGATGTCGTTATGAGCCCACAACAAATACACACACACACACACACACACACACATATATATATATATACGGTATATATAGCAAGACACTGAAACTCTTATTCAGCAGACACGTGTAACGTGTCGTGTAATGATCCATGGCGCCAAACAGGGTGTATACAGCGGTGTTGTGTGTGTGCCAGCCTTGCTGGACATATCAATATCAGATACCAGGGAAAATAGACTTCCTATAGGTATCCATCCAATAATAACACTTCTATCCCGACTGAAGCCTCGTCGACCGGCATATACAGTGTTACCAGCTTCATCTTTTGGCCGCTTTCATCCAGAGTCCGTACCGTCCAGGCACCCAATCCGAACATGCGGCACTTCTCTCTCATCATCGATCCCTGGAATACGTTGAAACATCTATCGTGAACCCTACCCCAGTAAACTGTCGGCGGCTCTGGGCTTTAGCCGCTATATCGGTCCTATAGGGCGCCCAGACGTTCAGTGGCCAGCAGGATAAGCTGGATCAACAGAGGCGCACCCCAGCGTAGGACAGCCCGTCGCATAACTGCCAGTTGTTCTCCGGGGTCTAAGGCCTCGAACATCGCGGCCGGCGTGTCGCAGTCAGGGCCCGTATCATCTTCCCCTTCCTCGTCAACGTGGAGCCGCTAGGACCACGAAGGACCTTGCGCTAGTGTAGCATATTCACCCGGATTCGTTTGATCTTGTTGCACACCTTGGCTTGGAGTATACGCTCTAATTCCGTATCCCATAATGTCACGTTAAAGTACGGTTTGAGTAGATCACTGATCTCCCGTAGTTTTGAGGTTGACGCGGGATTAAGTCGTTGGACAGTATATAGATCTTTGTCCACCATCAAGGCACGTAAGGCGGCCGTAAGGTGATACGGCCACTTGTCGGTCTTAGACTGTAGGGGAATCGGTTAGCCGTGAGGGCTAGACCAGATACTGACTGACCAATATAGGAAAGAAGGAAGACCACCTACGAGAAGCCAGCTTTGTGGGAGGCGAAGGTCAGATACCGGGGAAGTTGATGTGCTCGAGGCAGCCATCCTGGCCTTAATCTGGCGGCCAAGTTGCCACGTACCTTATGTACGAGGAAGCTGGTCATGCTAATGGTACAGTCTGTCAATGCATAAAGTAGTGGAGGATGCAACATGGACTTAAGGGGAGGGGAAAACGCGTAGAAGCGCGCCAAGTTGCTAGCGCCACTAAGACATGCTCTAAGGTGACGCTAGTGTCAGGGTTAGATTCCACGAGACTCACTGGAATGTGGAAAATGCTCGGGAATTTTACCTATGCAAGAAGCATGATCGAATTTTCAATGAAGGTGTGATATTGCTGTTGAAATATCATAAAACCCTCTCTGGCACCATAGCAGCAGAGAGTGCACCTTATAAACCGAAGCCCGCAAACACCGTCGCTGAAACCATCCTAACCAGCTGTAAGACCAGCATCGTGGTGACGAGCAGGCCTTCAAATCAAGTTCCAGCCCAGAACAAGCAGAGCGTCGAGACAAAAGCGTGAAAGCGTCGCAATCCGAACTTCGGCTAGCCATTAGTCATTTTGCTGGTCATAACACCACTCCCCCAGGGATTCCCTTCCGATCTCATCTTTTGACAGTGTCCTGGTGTTTGGTGTTGTATTTTGGCATTTTCTCATAAGCATTTGGACTCGGTTTTCTTCCAGATTTGCCCTTGCCATGGTCACAGTCGTCGCCGTGGGCATGGTCATGGTCATGTCTGCGGCCCCTCCGAGCTCCACTCATCCGAGCAGCCCCATCGTCTGGACTATCACTCCCACCGCCATCGCTGTCGCTGGAATCACTGTCACTTGAGCTGTCGTCTTCACTGGAACTCTCTCCGAATTCTCTCGTCTTGTGGTATATGCAACAGACTTTACTCGATTTTCGGCCCAGTCCTTCGTTATCGACCACGTCCTCGGCCCAGGAGATGCCGCGCCGGCGGGCTCGGGCAGTGGCGCCACCGGAGGCGTCGTGGGCGCCACGGAGACGGAGGACAAGTGGTTCGGGAGACACTGAGCGTGAAGAAGCGGATTCAGCCGGGATGATTGTCTGAGTGGCGGAGCCCGTGGCAGCACGGCGGGCAGACGCCGCAGTCTGCATGCCCAGGTGTCTTGTATTGGCGGTTCGTGTAGGGTTGTGTGAGGGAAGAGATGAGGCTGCTGCTGCGGCCACGGTGGAAGGGCCCGCGGACATGGTTGATGGTCTCTATTTATGCTGAGGTATGAAGTTCTGGTTGATGGTTTATGCTGTATGTGTAGATAGTCTCAAGTCATCAGCTGCCTGCACATTCGTCGAGATATCTTCTTGTCAGGTCGTCAGAACAGGCGCAAAGGAGCAGAGCGGCTTCGGTAACGAATGAAGGCGTGTCGACTCGAGTGGCGGTAAAAAGCGGACTTTGGTGAGTCGGTTGGAGTAGATTCGACGTCGGCAAAGATATAAAGGTCGTCGTAGTTAACAGATATGGTGCTCGGTCCGTTGACTTGTTGGTCAGAGCACAAATAGAGAGGGGCAATTTGATTGTTGTTGTGTTAATCCCAAGGAGAGACAGAGGAGATCAAACGATGGCAGTTCAGGTTGTCAGTTGTGGTTGGGCGAACAAACGAATAAAGGTGATTGCACGGCAGAAGCCACAGCATAAAGCGCGCACCAAGTCAAATGACGACCGCAGACAATGTCTTCAGGTTCCTGGTTCGGTGACAGACACCAACTAAATTGTTCAGAAAGATTCAGTCAGACAGAACAATCCACCCACAAAATGTCACGTGCTGAAGAGAGCCTCGAATGGACTAGCACGTGCGTTTGCCAACAAAACCATCGCCAAAGGCACAAAGGGAGATAGATTTATGACTTCCATCTCCATAGGCATTGGTGTTGTATCTACATTGTACGGAGTGCAGTCGAGTTGTCTGCATTGTAGGAAAATAATGGACGGATACTTCTGGCATATAAGTCAACATTACGGCCTGCCTGAAAGCCAAAAGCGGCGACGACTTATCAATACCAGGCACTCATTACCTAGTACCTACTAGAAGGTGTCCTCTGGTGTGGTCTCGAGGCTCAATAGGTATTGAACATGTTTCGAAACGCTTGGGTTTGGCATCATTCGATCAATTCTGAAAGCTCTAGACATTCGTCATTCTTGATAGCAAAAACCTCCCCATTGCAACTTTCCGCCATGATTGCTTCAGCATCCCTGGCTGACGTACCCAGAGGAAGGACGTTCCCATGGAAATCGTTCCAAGCAATCATCTAAACAACCTGCCAGGAGGCTCTGCTTTTTGGTATCACAACATAATTCAAGGAAAACCGTTGTATGCATTTCTTGTCCATGACGGAGGCATGTCCTTATCCATCTCGGCGGAAGTCGTCACTCGTCCGTCCAACGTCAGAGCTCAACACTTGTAGAAGAGCCAGCCGCTCCCATACTCTTCCTCCGGTGTGGTCCGCTCCATGGCATAGTGCTCTACCGAAGGCTCGATGGGTTGGGATGAATCGGCCGAGCGAGTGGCAAATTCAGACCGCAGTTCTTCTTCTAGTCACAGCTCATCGTCCTGATCTAGATCGGCCGGCTTGATCAGACCGCCGACTTTCATGGCTCGTTGCCGTTCCGCATCCGCAAGGTCCTTCTTTTCTTGCTCACGTTCTTCAGCATACAACTCGGCGTTGTCATCGGCAAACTCCTTGAGCGAAATCAAGAAGTCACGCAGATGGGTCTTGAACTTGGTTGCATCCTCGTTCAGGGTGAGAAGTCCGGTGACAAAGTGCTGGACCTGAATTTCCTTGAGATTGGGGAAGGCGCGTTGCAACAGGCTGGCCGTGAACTCGCTAACAAATTGCTTGTTGGACGTTCCAGGAGGGGCTTGGTCCGGTTGATACAGAGGCTGTGAGATCTTGTTCGTCTCCACCAGCTGGAACATGCGAGCCAGGAGCATGGACTGGGATTTGAATCCGGCCTTGTGGTCTGAATCGGTGAGAACATAGAAAACATCCTGCAGGATGGGAATGTAGAATTGTTGGAAGAATATGCCCGAAGTCTGCGGGTCGGTTTCGGCCATGTTGTTGACCAATTCCAGGCACATGGATAGACCAGTGTTTTCAACCTCGCGGTTGTCGTGCTTGCTCGCCCACATGCAAGAATCAATGATCAGCTTGAACTGTCGGCCATCAAGTTTCAAGAGCGCCGAGAAACAGAACAGATTTACTGCCTGCAAAAGTTTGAAGAATTCGACACGGAAGTCGGGGTATTCGTGGAAATCCTTGTTGATCATGTCAAGAGTGCATTCAAAGATGCTATCCATGATCGGAGCAATCTTGTCCTCCATAAGATTCTGCCAGGAGTTAGCAACATTCTCATTTTCAACAACAACAGATCTCTGACCGAATGCCGAGATCTTCTTGGGGACCAACGTACGTGTAGCTTGTGGATGATCGTGGTGGTGACGCTCAGGACCTCGGCATCCCTAGCATCGGGGACGTTGCGCTGGTAATCCAGCAGTATGGCATCAAGCAGGGGCGGTACCATGCTGTCGTTGACCATCTGCAAGTCGTCGGCTTTCTGTACGTAGATATCGACCAATTTCAAGATCTCTTTCTTGATCGTGCGAAGACCCCGAACTTTCGGTGTCTTGGTCGCAACGTTACCTGGACCGAGTCAGCATTGCACAGTGTTTTAGAGGGAATCTCACTCACCTCCAGAAGCGACAGAGTCGGATATCAGCTGGCTGGATGCCCTATACATGTTAAGCATGTCATGATAGATGCGGCCAATCTGCGAGTAGAAGTACGGTCCGATCGAGGAACATGCGGCCACATTGGTCTTCATAATGTTGCCAATCACCTTGATGGTCTCCGCATCTTGCAGGATTGCCGGGTTCGCGTTTGCCTGCTGGATAATATTGTCCCAAGCGGCGTTGGGTAGAGCCATAAGGTTGTCGATGAGACGGTCCTGTACACTCTTCTGTCCCTGGGCAGAAATCATGTAGCCACAAGCCTCGTAAAAAGTGTGGACCTGCTGTGGGCTCAAATCGCATGTGATCTTCTGCATGTTGCGGACAATCTCGTCAATGAATGGTTCTGTTTCGCCCGGTTGCAAAGCCACAAAATGGCGCTTGCATTTGTTGGCAATCTTGATGAATGTGTCGCAAGCCATGTCTTGCACACCTTCGTGCGTCTCATGCATGAATTCGAATAGCTTGTTGACAACAGTCTTCAAGAACTTCCAGTGCGCCTTCAGGAATCGAGGGTATTGTCCGACAATGTACATGATGTTGCTGGCCACCACGGCTTTGTTGTCTTTGCCACGTTTCATTTCGGTCAAGCCCAGGAGATCTTTAATCACAGTCACCAAGAAGCGTTTCTCGGTCTCCTCATTCATGGCACCTGATATTGAGCCAATTGCCCAACACAACGTATTGCAGTTGTTCCAGGACCATTCGGAGCCATCCACCTGTCGCTGAAGCTTTTCGGACATGATGTTTTCCGTGTCAACGACATCAAGATGTGTCAGATACACAAGGCATTCACGGGTGGTCTTGTAGAGCTGGATTGTATCACTTTCCTTGACGAACTCTCGGACAATTTCTCCCTCATCGTTTTCGACGATAAGGACTTCTTCTGGCCGGACCATCTTCTCAACCATGACTTGTCTGAGACTGGAAAGGACCTGGGCGTATTTATGTTTGCGGAGAGGATAGTTCGCAAGTGCGCTTGGATGAGGTGCACCGCCGTTAGCGAGTCCACTGACACCCATGTTGATCAGAGGGTTCAATTCAGTCATGGGAAGTTGTTGCATCTCTTCGTACAACTCTTGTACCAATTTGTTCCAATATTCGAGGCAAATCTTGAAGATCTCGCGGTCATCGATCAAACTGATCTTGATCAAGTAGAAGTGACCGTGCAGAAGGAAGTCCGGGTTGGGCAATCTTTCTATGGTTTGCAGGTGTGCGGAGAAGTAGTTGCACAGGAAGATGGCCAAGTTGAGAATGTATTCTTGTTCGGCCGGTCTGGCTTTGGCGTACGCCTCGCGGAAGTCAGTGTCTAAAGGTAGAGTTCGAGCAACGACTGTCAAGGTCTCGGTGAACATGAGCACAAGTTTCTCGTCATAATCGTACTGTGACCCTAGCTGGAGACTACCAATCTCGGTCAGACATTTGAGGGTAATGTTGCGGAACTGATCTACTTCGAGAAAGCGAGTGACCAATGTGTTGATGAGTTGCGTTTCAAAAATAAAACCCAAGGGGATCCAATTCAGGAAGCGCAGTAAAGTCTCAAGCGTCGCCTTAACCAAGTTTATCGAGTTGGCGGTGGTGAGGACTTCGTTGCACAACTGGAAGATTGAGGAAAACTCGGCGCACATGGTTGTTTTGAGGTTTTTGGCTTTGGTGGAAGTCATCTGATCTTGTGAGAAGTCGAACACCTCTTCTGATAGCAGTCGGAGAATGGTCATGTTGTTTTCGCAGATCGACAGCGAACTGTGGCTTGCAGAGATGATCTCGTTGATGAAGGTGGGCCAATTGTGTGGCCATTCTTGCTTCAGGATGGTGACCAGCGTCAAATCCAGTTTGTTGAGGAAGAGCTTGTTGGCCTTGAGTGTTTCTTCAGTATCCGAAGCCAGTAGAATCTGGTTCACGACGAAGTTGCGAATACCCAGGCATTGCTCTCGTGGCAGAACTTTCCAACGAGTGGTCACCACATCATCCAGTACTTGTAGGCCAAGGTACTTTGTTGGCATGTATGTAGACTCTTGTAACAACTTGTCCACCATCAACCACGCATCCGGGTTCGACTTGAACTCATTGAGCTTCTGCTGGGCCTGTTTCTGCACCTCGCCCTTGCCTTCTTGGAAGGCCTTGACGGTGGCGTCAAGTTCCGCAACGGTGCCCGACATGACTGGAAGAGGAAGAGTAGGAAATGAGGGCGCTCAGGGAGCGTGTGAAAGCACGAGTGGTGTGCCAGTGAGCGGCGGAGGCGGTTGGGCGTGAGGCTCGATTTGATGTCCAACGATGATAAAAGAATCGCGGCAGGAATGTCAACGCTGTGCCCCGTCCGAAGGAGGCACAGTGAACAACTTGGAGTAGAGAAAGCTGACGAAGAAGGAGATGTAAAGGATGAAGATGTCTGCTAAAGAAGGAGTCAAGAGGCGCAAAGGGAGATGGATATTGGTGGGCAATTTGGAGCAGAATGTAGTGTACGCGTGAGTTGGTGGTTGTAGTGAGGCAACAGCGGGCGCGGTCCAACTTAGCAGCGCAGTTGATCTCCAACTGTAATGCAGTTGATACCAACTACCAGTGTCATAGTACTACTAGTTGGATACTGTACTATAGTATGCCCACAGCGGCGGAGGCCAACCACTATGAATTACTAAGACGGTCCTACCTTGCCACCAATAGGATTTGTCGGCGTTGCAAAAATCTCGTGACCTCTATCACCAACCAGCCTGATGGCAACGTGTCGATTTCAACAGGATTACGCAGCTGATGCAAAAGAAGGCCAAAGCCGCGGGTACATTCCCGCGGGTACATTCAAGAAACATATCTTCAGCAGCAAACAAAATACTCTCATTGCCTCGATGTCTGGTTTATCTGGTATCAACCAAAGAATCCAACATATCTATACTGCAAAAGTGCAACAACTATCCGGCTTTGTTTTTTTATATGTCTTTTTTGGATTTGGGTCATCTTTCAGTTGGTTCCGACCCCGGTGGTGTGCTCAGAGGCTTTCAGATCACGTTCTTCGCTGTCTTTGCGGAATTGTTGATACGCGGCAGCCATCTCTTCCTTGGACTGAAGCCCATTCTTCTCGGTGATCAAATCCTTGAGCCATTTGTTCTCCATTTCCAACTGAGATAGTCTCGCTTCTAGTTTCGCATTCACATCTTGAACCTCCTTTACTGTGCGCTCCAGGGCCTGTTCTCTTTGCTTCTTCTTCACTCGAAAACGTGCGCTAGCAGCCGTGTTCCGTCTTCGTTTGTCTTCTTCTGCGGCGAGGCGAGACCTCTCCTCTGCGCCCATGGCGTTGAAGTCGACAGTGACGCTCTTCTTCCGGGATGCCGGGATTGGCCCCGTTGACGAAACACTGGGAGAGGCGCGGTGTTCCACGTTTCCTACGCCGGAAGCCGGCGCGGGCTGAATGGGGGTGTTATAGGTGCTGTAAAACTGCGACGACTCGGCTGCGGATGTCTCGATGTTGGGCTGAGGGTAGGTGTTCTGGACCGGTTCGGGCCCAGAGAGAAGGTCCTCGTATTTGATGTTCGAATTGTGGTTGTTCTTCGCCTCGTTGACGTCAAAGTTGAAGGAACCGTCTTCAGGTAGAGGAGGAATATCGAAATGGGTGAAGTCGGTATTGGTGAACATTGCCAAATCCTGACTCAATTCGATCTCGTCTGGAGAGAAATGCTCCTGATCGTAGGGCGAGGCCAATGTGTTCAGATTGTTGAGATACTCGGAGAAATTGGGCCCCGTGCGGCCGCGATAAGTCGACATTGTCTTCTTGACCACAGCTCAGCAGCAGAACCTATCCCACTCTCTTTCTATACTACCGCAAGGAAACGCCGTGTTCAAGAGGTCATGGATCCGGGGGCCGAAGGGGGTCAATGCGATCGACTCTGGCGGTCGTAGGGCGTGATCTGACAAAGCAGGAGATTGTGGCGGCGGTCGAGGTTATAGGCTCAATCCAGGATGACTGGCCGCACCGCTCGTCTATTGCGCGCGCGTTGATTCTCTTTCGGAAAAAGAAGGTGGAAGGAAGAATGTGTGAGTGAACCACAAGGCGGGAGGTGTGGGTAAGGAGAGAAGATGAGCAGGTGGGCGACGGGGTGAAGAATCGGAAGTGCACAGAGACCAAGCTGGTGGTGGGTGGTGGGGTGGAAAGGTGGGAGTCGATGGCGAATGCGAAAATGTCGTGGGACTGGCGCGGCAATTTGACCGGGAAGCTAACACCGAACTGGCAGTTTTGACTTCACGCGGTTCGTCCGAAACCCACACCGAGGGGGTCATGGCAAATACTATTACTGATAGCTTCGTTGAAGCGCACAGACACCACGCTGTTGAAGTCTCCTTTTTCGAATTGCAGTCAGATATCTTCCTATCTACGGCTGTGTTATCTCTAACAACACCGCACTCGCAGGTTCGAAAAGTGGTGGACATAACTCATGATCTCATGGGCAGGAGGGAGACCGGGGGTTTGCGGGTTTTTGCTCCTGTTGACGCACGAGCCTCCATTGTTTGATAATATTATTAGGGTTTGTGCCGTGCCTTCTCGTGGCGGGCGCTCATCGCCGCCTGTCTCTGAATCATTCATTCCCGTCCCTACCTCTCTCTGACGGGTATGCTCTAGTATTGTTAAAGAAGTACTGTAGTAGTAGTGTCTACGGGCATCATATATCGTGCCCCGTCTGAAGGTGTACCTCTGTGCCTCATATAGCAACTGGTGCCAGCCCACGATAACACGTGCACACGGTTCGAACTGTCCAGCTTGAGGAATTCCTGCCTCTCTCCTCGGATATTCTAATCACAAATCAATTTTGTGATCAAGCATGCCGGCCCTCTAGTTGTGCGGGGTGATTCTTGTCCCTGCTTGCCCTAACTTCTGCCTCATACAGGGGAGAGAGTGCTGTGTGGCAGGGTCCGGGCTAGTACGACAAACTGCCTGATCAGTCCCTGCACTGGCAGTGGTAAGAGATTGCAGCAGACTGGGCACATCGAAGCGAGGGAGGAAATAGTCATGTGATGAGCGTCCAGATGAGGTCATATCAGTCACGTGCTTGTACTGAGTCAAGAGGTTCAGGTAATCGGACGCAGTCCGAATCATGTTTGTTTACACGACAAACTACTCCCAACTGTCGATGACAAGATAGTAAACAGTTCACGATCTTCTCATGGCGCCGGTTCTGGTCAAATCGCTCAACAGGCTGTCTCGAGAAGGCATCATTGACCTTGCACTATTATGGCTCGAGGAGCGACGCTTAACCACTCCCTACCTATTAAGCAACCGCAAGCTGTTCGAAACTGATGAAGAAGATTACCTCCATGCCCCAGCCGAGAGTATCGAAGCGCTGCGCTCGATATACCGCGAACTCCGGCAACGTGGTCAAGAAATCAAAAAGCAGGAGGTTATTGACCGCATTGTCGACGGCGACTGGCGCAGAGGGCTGTCGTTGCAACAACATGCGAGCATTGATTTTGCTCATTTAGAGCAGAACGACACCGCATTGAAGTGGAGTGCCCTGCGGCTCGTACCTCTTGGAAGGGAAGACCAAAATCTGCAAGAAGGAGGCGAGGCATACCCGTCGAACAAGAGACGCAGACTGAATCGCGATGGGCGCAATACAAGCTATCCTCAGATCTCGGCGCAAACGTTCCTTACCGCGCTGAAAGCAGAGATGTCTCCTTTGGTGAAGGCACATTATCACATCCACCGTATGCAGCCGCCCTACAACCTTACAGTTATTCGACTGTACATTACACCAGATGCTGCTTTTCGCCCCCGTGCTTCAGCTATCCCACGGCGCGCCAAAGACGCTACAGATGGAGGAAGAGTCATGTACATCGCCTTACCGGATAGTTGTCCTTACGTATATGTGTCACTGTCGGGATCTTATGGACCGAGTGGGCATGGAAGGGGCGCCAGGGACTCGAAAGGGAGAACGATGGCAAAGGTAGACATGGCCACCATGAAAAAGTTGGTCCTAGAGGCCATCCCGAAAGCACTATCTCGACCACAGGAGAGATGGGCTCTCGAGTCAACAAAGCTCACAGCAAAGTCTCTCCGAAGCATCTGCGAGCTGAGAGGCAATCACAAGCCAGGTACAGGAGGTGGTGCATACAGTATCTTCACGACGAACACGCAAGTTTCTAATAGCAGCCCTGTTGATGTACAAGTTCACAGACAGGAACAAAGCGACGAGGTGAACGGCTCTGTTCAGCAGCGATTCGGTCCTTTGCCAAGTGAACACTATGCGCCTCTTGATCGGATCCACGTCAGAGTCGAGAATCTGATACCGAAAGATGGAGCAACCTTCACAGATTCAACAGCAGAGGAAACGAATGATATTGGGCTCACATTTTCTGGATCGGATGTGTTCCTGGGGTTGCGCAAGCTGGCGGAGATGGGGCAAGCCCATATGAACTTGGATAAAACGCCTGCTTGGATGACTGGAGAGCTGGGAGTCAGCAGCATCACTGCGTAGCCCTCCATTGACGACTCCCCTCCGGATTTAATAACGATGATGATGACCACTGTTATCCCTCGAGCGGATGCGAAAATTGGCTTAGCCGGGAATATTTTGATACCCATCATACATTGGAGAGACTAATGCATAACTCCTCTTCACCGGCCTATTTGGTTTGTGTATGAAGGTTTTTTCCTACCAGGAGCTCTGGCTCTGGTATCTAACGAACATTGCAACCTTTCCTCGCCACATGGCATTTCCATGGGCCTGAGGAACGAGATCATGTAATCTTCAGATAGGTGATTGTCGGCACTAGCCATACTCAACTGGCGCATGTGTGTGTGAGGGACCGCAACCCGCTCTGCAATAACACAAGTGTGCACTTTGATCATTTCATCGAGTGCCCTTGCAGTCTTCCACTGAAAGAAGATGAGCATCTCTCCGGACGAATAGTTGCCGGCTGCCGATTGATCAAATACTTGAGCCTCGAAAAGCCGCCCTCCTCTGCCATCTCCGTCATCACATCTCCCAATAGCGATCCGGCTGCCGCAACCATCTCACGCTGCTTGTTACACAGACCGAGACTGTACTCGATCTACAGCTCTGGGCCAGAAGATGGCTCGGAGGGGGTTTCCATGTCAAAGTATGGTGGGCTATATCGCATCCCTCCCCTGACGCAAATTTCAAAGAGGCGGAGACATGATGCGAGACACCGAAGAGGCGCTGGAGTGCATCTCAACCTCAGCGATCTCGAACAATATCGTCTTGGTGAACGAGAGACACCGCCTGGAGGCCTGGTCTGGAGATGTTGGAGGGAATTGATACCTGGCCTAACCTTTCTGTTGGACTCCATAACTCTTTCGTCACCGAATACACTGTGGTGCGCTCGAAAACAACCATTTCGACTCCTGCTGGTATTCAACCGAGTCTCCACTGCTTCGCGCGAAGCTCGGTCATCTGGCGCCGAGATCTATTCTCTTCACCCGGGGGCGAAAAGACTTTGTGTAAACCAGAGAGAGGACTATGCTATAACCAACATCACAAGTCTCCTCCTTAGGGCAAACTGGCGGTCGGCTCAACATCTTGGACTTCGTTCTTTGTGCTGCAGCGAACAGGACGGCTGGCGTTGAGAAAGGATTCAACTAAGTCATCCGTTACACGCAGTCCTCAGTCCGAACGAGGACTTTAAGTCGTCGGCTGCTCATATGCTGCACCATTCTCTGTGTTGAAGAGCCTTGCGAGGCAGAACGACAGACTTCACGTTGTCCAAGAACTAAGTCTTTGGGCTACACCAGCCTCCAAGTTCTGCAGTTTCGTGTCGCACCCCAATTGGCCTTGCTCTCCGTCGTTCTGGCCATACCGGCCACCCTCCTGCCAATACAATCAAGTCAAGTTGTTGTTGTATTGTTGCATCTAGTACCAATGTTTTGGCAGGGCATGTTTTGGTCCTCACATGATGCAGCCTTCAGCGGGTTTGTTTATGATGCTAGTCTGAGCTGTTGTCCTCATGTCCCCGGAACTGACAGGTAGACCATGCTTTTGACTGCGGAGTGAACCCGAGACCAGGAATGGGAATACATTCCTGTTCCGACGTCGTGACGATCATGGAATTCCGACTTCAATGAGAATATGTGGGATGCTGAAGTAGCTCACTGGCTGGCTATCATACGGACCAGTTCCTGGTTTGCCATTATTCGCAGCAGGGTCTGAGACAGCGCCTGTCAGCTGTGCACTTCTATGATCAAAACTCATTCATGTTGGCCAGCACGCATGCTGGGTCTGCCTATGTCAGCCCATGATGGATGGTCGGGAGGTTGGGAACTCCTTGAGACAGAGCACCACTATTCGTGACGGCGTCCGGTGTACTTTGACATGCAATTCCGACGCTGTCACAGCAATTCCCAACTTGGGCTGTGTGGCAGAGACAATCGTCGTGCAAGGCGCGGTGAAAACACACTTGGACATACTAACCCCATGTTCCGTCACACCGTCCGGTCCCAGCCTGATGAGCTTGTCATACAGTCGACTTCGACCGCCTTCTTCAATTCTACCAGCCTTCTATCTTCGACTACACGCAAGCCCGGTTCCCCGCTCGCCGCCCATATAGGAAGCTGTCTCAGAGAAAAGGAACGTCGCAACCGTCATCACCCGCAACTTAAAATCTCCGGTGCAGATGCCAGCGGTGTTCGGGCTGGGAATTGAAGGGTTTCTTTAGACGAAGCCAATCAATGAAGGATGATGGTATTTCGCGATGGTCTGCATGATGCTCCTGCAGCTCGCCTTGGTGTTTGCTGGTGATACAGGCCAGAGGTCTGGGGAACCCACTATCCAACGAGTCTTCTGGCAGACATCTTCCCACGTCACTGAATGGGGTGAGAGTGTTGTTCAGCCACCTACTGTTCGACTTTGTCGGTTCTCTGGTGTCGCAATCTGCTGGGCTCCTAGCATTTGATGAGCAACACAGGATCAATGCGCAATGTGAGTCAAGGCCAGAACAAGGTCATACCAATGCATGGATATCAAATCATCAGGATCGCGGACCTGTTAGGGACCAGAACCTGTTCCTGCATGTTGAGATCTGCCCTTGGATGCTGGCAGCAGCATCATTCGTCTTCCGCGCCGAGTAGAAGCTCTGGAAGTCGATCTATTCTTGGAGTGGGACCGCTGCAAGTAGCCGAAAAGCCTGCTACCGATGGACAGGTACTTTGGCGGCCACGCTTTTGTTCATGCTTGTACATGGGCCCAGCACTTGCTGGAATCAGATGGCTGGATTCAGCTGAACCAGCATGTCTTCCGCCGTCTTCTCTGGTTCTATTGTTGCTCGACATTTATCGGAGCTCTCTTGCATCATATTGTGCTTCTCCGCCGAAAGTCTGGGAGGTACATCGACAATGACATGCAGTTCAAATCGCTTCTTCCTGCTCGCTCGAACATGAGTGGCTGGGACCTGCTTGAAGACCCGATGAAGTTGTCCAGCCAACCGACATGCGGTGTAAGGATGTTGCCTGGGAAAGCCATCCAGGACGGCTATGCAGCTGGTGACGTCCAATATCGGATGCCCTAGTCCTAGTCCGCGGACTCATTGGAAGAGAATAGGCCGGCAAATTCTGTGGAGTTACCCTGAGATGAGGAACATCAAAGTGCACATTGGTCGTGTTTTGAACTCAAGGGCAGTCAATGTTCCCCAGACTTGAATCGTTCCTGAAGGTACAGCATGGACGATCCCCCGGTTCGAGACAAAGGAACACAGATTCAGAGTCCCCGGCCTCTTCCTGCCTTCTCCTGTGTCATGGATCGGTATGGTCGGAGGACATATAAAGATGGCTCTCTTCCCCCTACTATGAGCTTCTCGAGCAAGTCGACAGGATTCACCCGTCTTCCATTCGTTTGACTCGTCATTGTCAAGGGCATCAAGATCAGCTCTCCATCAATCATGCATATCAACTTGATTCGATCGGCTCTCCTTGCGAGCTCGGCCTTTAGGTAATCCATACAGGCGCCGCTTTCTTTGTTTCTTTGCTGACTTGACTCTAGCATCTTTGCTGGCGCCACCCCTGTGTATGCTCGGGGAGATGGAACGACAACTGCTTGGGGCTATGGCTCCTCAGGATCTGGAAGCTCGGGAGGCGGCAGCACTCCTGTCGGGGGTGGTAGCACCTCCAGCAGTGTAGGTGGCGGAAGTGGTGGCACTACCCCGGTTGGCGGTGGCAGCACCACGGGTGGAGGTGGCAGCACCACGGGTGGAGGTGGCAGCACCACGGGTGGAGGTGGCAGCACCACGGGTGGAGGTGGAGGCGGATGCTCTCCTACGACAACCACGCTCACTATCACGAAGAGCGGAGGGGGCGGAGGGAGTTCCTGCCCTGCAATCCCTCCTTCGACCATCACAGTGACTACTGGAGGCGGTGGAGGAAGCTCCTGTCCCGCTGTTCCACCTTCAACCATCACAGTGACCACGGGAGGTGGTACTACCCCGATACAGCCCTGCACTGGCGCATCGACGGCCACCCAGACCCAGATCACCACTATCACGACAGGAGGCTCCGTGGTGACGTCTACTCTGCTTCAGACTACCACGGTCAACGGGGGACAGACTAGCACAGTTACTCTGCCAGCATCGACTGTTGTGTCAACAACAACCGTCAATGGAGGACAAACGAGCACTCTTACACTTCCAGCATCAACCGTCGTCTCAACCACAACCGTCAACGGAGGCCAAACGAGCACTCTTACACTTCCGGCATCAACTGTCGTCTCGACCACAACCGTCAACGGAGGCCAAACAAGCACGGTAACTCTTCCAGCGTCAACTGTGGTGTCAACTACAACCGTGAACGGAGGGCAAACCAGGACTGTGACTTTGCCAGCGTCAACTGTGGTCTCGACCACCACTGTCAATGGAGGCCAAACAAGCACGGTAACTCTCCCGGCTTCGACTGTGGTCTCGACTACAACTGTGAATGGAGGGCAGACCAGCACTGTGACTCTGCCAGCATCTACCGTGGTCTCAACAACGACGGTCAACGGAGGACAGACGATCACTCGCACTCTGCCTGGCTCGACCATCGTCTCCACTATTACTGTGCCCGCCTCAACCGTGACGTCCACCGTTGTTGAGACAACGACAATCAATGGAGGAGGAACCGTCACTCGAACTCTTCCAGGCTCGACTGTTGTCTCTACCGTGACCGTGCCGGGCTCAGCTGTGACATCTACTGTGGTTTCAACCACCACTGTCAACGGAGGAGGCCCGACCGTCACTTCGACTGTTGTGTCTACCGTGACCCAGGGAGGCGGTGGCAACACCGTGACTGCGACCACCACAGTCGTTGAAACAGGCACGTGCACCAAAGGTGGTTCAACCTTTACAAGCACATGCACCGTCACCTCGTGGGCCACAGTTGATTCCGGCTATGGCAGCACCAGTGGCAGTGGTGGCTACTCCACGACCTCACCAAGCTCTACAGCATGGAAGAGGAGCTTCTACGCATAATGGTTGAAACGCATGAAACGCATGAAACGATGAGAAATGACCTGCTTTGGGAGAAAAATTGCAAAAGGACATTGGCATGTTCCGACCACTGTCACTCCTTACATGTTATGGCCGGATGAACAAAGTACTAGATAGCATTCATATCTGGTGTTAATGCAAAATGATATGATCCCGAGATGGTGACATGCTTTTTACCTTTTACCCATTTACTGAGATGACAGGAGTGCAGGGTATAACACTGCCTGGGTATGACACAGTACTACTACAGGTAAGTAGCAGTATATACTATGGTACTACAAGTACTTCGCCGGACAGCCTCAGGGGGAAAAGCCTTGTCCAACAGTCCCACGGCACGTGATACTGTACTAGTATGGAGTTTGCCTTGGCGCCACCCAATATGACGTCACGATGCTACCTGCCCCAACTTAGGCCCTGGACAAGAAATGTTGCACTCACGGTCTCAGTGGTCTGCCGTGGTATTTGGCTGTCGGTGGTTGGCGGGCAACTTTTGAGAGGCGGCGCCCCAAATTTTCATTCGAAAGAACTGCGACTTTCCAACAAACTGATTTCAACCCCACCGCTTGCCTGATACTTCTAGGCTCACTTATCTGCTGGTCTGTGATTTTTGTTCTCGGTTCTTTAATACAACCTCGAGTTCATCCTCAGAACCAACTTTGAGCAGACCTTGCAGCCTGGTATATCTCCACTGCATCCCTTCGTTCGGCAAAACACGGAGTGTGCCGCTTGGACGATAATTCGAACCGGTCTCCAGGGCTCAATACGCAGCTGATCAACTCCTCATCTTACCAGAATTTTTAAACCTGATCAACATGGCTCCCATTTCTGCTTCCAAGGCCGCCCGCCTTGCCAAAAAGGCCGAGAAGGGCGACAAGAAGACCGCAGCGTCTAGATTGTCTTCCAAGAATGCCTCCACCAATGGCTCGAAAGCCTCATCAGTCGCCGGCGACGATGAAAACCCCATGCTAGATGAAGACGAGCAAGACGTCCCCGCAACCACCGAGGACAAGATGGACAAGGTCAAGAAATTGACCGAACAGATGGACAAACACGGGTTATCCGACCGAGTGACAACCGGTGTCCTCGCCTCGCAGCCGTCAAGTCGAGATGTCAAGATCAACTCTTGCTCTCTGGTTTTCCACGGCAAAGTGCTCATCCAAGATTCCACTCTCGAGGTCAACTACGGTCGAAGATATGGTCTCCTTGGTGAGAACGGTTGTGGTAAATCCACTCTCCTGAAGGCCATTGCCGCGCGAGAATATCCCTTCCCTGAGCACGTCGACATTTATCTGTTGAACGAGGGTGCACCTGCGACCGAGATGGGAGCACTTGAGTGGGTCGTCAAGGAGGCAGAGAAAGAAGTCAAGAGGTTGGATGATTTGGCAGAGGAGATTTTGGAAAAAGAAGGTCCTGAGAGTCCGTCCTTGATGGATATCTACGAGGTAAGATTTGTCTATTCCCCACCCCTTTGGAGTATGCTGACAGGCATAGCGTTCCGAAGCCATGGATCCAAGTACTTTCGAAGTGCGAGCCTCTCTCATCTTGACTGGGTTGGGTTTCAACAAGAAGACCATCCACAAGAAGACCAAGGACATGTCTGGTGGTTGGAAAATGCGTGTCGCACTTGGAAGAGCACTTTTCGTCAAGCCTTCCTTGCTACTGCTCGACGATCCCACCGCCCATCTTGATCTCGAAGCCTGTGTGTGGCTGGAAGAATACCTGAAGAAGTGGGATAAGACATTGATCCTGGTGTCGCACTCGATGGATTTCTTGAACGGTGTTTGCACCAACATGATCGATATGAGACAGCAGAAGCTCATGTACTACGGTGGTAACTACGATTCTTACTCAAAGACTCGAAGCGAACAAGAGACAAACCAGCAGAAGGCGTACGTCAAACAGCAAGACGAAATTGCCCACATCAAGAAATTCATTGCCTCGGCCGGTACCTATGCCAACTTGGTGCGACAAGCCAAATCGAGACAGAAGATTTTGGACAAGATGGAGGCCGACGGTTTCATTCAGCCCGTGGCAAATGACCGTGTCTTCACCTTCCGCTTCGCCGACGTTGAGAAACTGCCACCTCCGGTTTTGTCCTTTGACGCTGTCACCTTCAGCTATTCCGGAAAGGCAGAGGACAACCTTTACGAGAATCTCGATCTGGCCGTTGATATGGACAGCAGAACCGCTCTCGTCGGTCCCAACGGTGTTGGTAAGTCGACGTTGCTCCGACTCATGACGGGCAAACTCAGCCCCACGAGCGGGTCGGTCAGCAGACACACCCATCTCAAACTTGGACTCTACTCTCAGCATTCCGCCGACCAGCTGGACCTGACCAAGTCGGCCCTTGACTTCGTCCGTGACAAGTATTCTTCTACTTCGCAAGATTACCAATACTGGAGACAACAGCTTGGCCGATATGGTCTTTCCGGCGAAGCCCAGACGGCTTTGATGGGTACACTGTCCGAGGGTCAGAGATCCCGAGTCGTTTTTGCGCTCCTGGCCATCGAGAGCCCCAACATGTTGTTGTTGGATGAGCCTACCAACGGTCTTGATATTCCTACCATCGATTCGCTGGCTGATGCCATCAAAGCCTTTTCCGGTGGTGTGGTTGTGGTTTCCCACGATTTCAGGTGAGCTAATATCCCCCTGTCTTGTTGACCATGAGACTAACAAAGCCTGTTTAGACTGCTTGACAAAATCGCGAAAGACATCATGGTGTGTGAGAACAAAACGGTCCGACGATGGGACGGCACCATTGGCGAGTACAAGAACTACCTCCGCAAGAAGATGGTTTCCACGGGTCAAGTCTGAAGTCTTTCCGCAGCTTGTCTCATGGATCTCGTCCGGTCTCTTGTTTGCCATTTTTCGTACCGAATTGCACAGCGAGGCTAGAGGGGGTTTCTCTCTCCCATTCTTGGACATGCATGGTCTTTTTACGAAATGAACTTGACGATGCCGCATCGTCTCTCGGGTTGTTCACTCGTGGAGGAGAGAGAATGCAATGATATGCGGCACTGTGGGCGTATGGGATAGACGGATCGATTCGAACTTGATGTGACGGTTGGAAGGATGGATATGCCTTTTGCGTTCGCACCAGTCTCTCATGCGGTGGTGTGCTCTCAAACTAGAGCATGACTAGGGTACGAGGCGACTCCCATGATGAGACATATCCTGGGCGGCAGGATCGCGACAGACAGAACGGGTCTATTGTGATCCGGATCCAGATCCAGAAGGACAATACTGCATAGGCATTGACTTCCCCGACTGCAAATACCTTGTAGCCGGGGGCAGACCTCTCTATGATCAGTACCTCCCATAGGTCCAACTCAAGTCGATCGTGATAGATGGAATGGCAAAGGCCAATTGATATCAAAGATCAGACATAGCACTCATTCACAACTGGCCAAATCTAGACGTCGTGCTGTCGTCTCCATGGCCCGACGCGCTTGACTACTAGTATATCATCGTTCATCATCGCTGTCTCAATAGCAATGTCGCTGGGACCTGTGATGTTCTAGAGATTGGGGATGTACCACAGTAAATGATATCGGATAGAATTGATTGGCTTGGAGGAATATTGCATTGGATCCATGCCAAAAGAAGCCGATAGAATAGGAAGACATTCCATCCATCCGTCAATCCACGCTGACGTTGCGTTTGCCCTTTCGTCTACTCTGTACACCTCTGTAGAATGCTTGCTGGGCCACTTGCAGTGTAATTCCGGATATCTTGTGCCGACCTGATCAAATGTCCTTAGGAGTCCGTACACAGTCAGATACGATTATTACCTACGGGTGGTTGATATCATAAGGTACCTCTCTGGGTTCGAGGTGCTCTATTCTACATAACACTGCACTGATATTGGATGGCTTCTTCCTGGACTTGGATTTGGAAATCAGTCTCGACTTAGGTACCATTGCAATGATAAAAGTCGTGTCTCCATCTTTTTCCAGGGTCTCGTGTATATTACTTCCCGAACTCCTTGAGGTCATATTATTTTGTTTGCATCATATCCCCCGTTACATCATAGCATAGGTATCACATCCGATCACATCCCTGGATTGAGTCTCTGATATCCCAAGGAACCAGCCCATATACCTTAGGTACTCACTACCTACCATACTTACCATAGATAGCCTGCTCATCCAAGCATCAAAAGTTCTAAAAGAGGATTTATATTCCACTACCATTCATCATCATCCCACTACCATTGATATCCAACATCTAGTATCCAAGACTCCCAAACTTTGACTTCAATCATGCCAAACCAATCCGAAGATGAAAAACAACACCCCCGCCCCGTCCACATCACTCTAACCTCAGATGTCAAAACCGGCTCCGGCCAAACCGAAGGCATGATCCGCCAGGCGGCCATCGTTGACATCTCCCCGTCCATCTGTGGCACCTTGATGCGCGCCCAGCCGCATAGTTCGAGTGCGGTGCACCATCATGGCGAGCAGGACACGATTGTCTATGCTGTTAGTGGCCACGGGAGTATTGTGTCGAGATCGTCATCGTCGGCGGGCAAGTCAACGGCAGATGAGGATGATGATCTTATTCGACAGAACCTCGGTCCTGGAGATTGGGCGCTGATCCCGGCGTATAGGGAACATCAGGAGGTTAATTATGGGGATGAAGAGGTCGTTTGGGTTATTGTGAGGGCGCCGGGGGGTGTTCCTGTTGTGGAGAATTTGAAGGGATGGGGAGGGCAGAAGGAATGAGGAGTGAGGGATGAGAGGAAAGAGAATAGGAGGAGGAGTTACTCACTGATTGAGGAGATTTAGTGGTTGAGGGAGGGAGCTATATTGATGGAAGGAGAGGGAACGGAACGAAGAGGTTCAAATGGAAGGGGATATGTTCTTATGGAACGCATCTTCTGCACTGCACTGCACTGAGGCAAGGAACGGAGTATCGGTCTATTTTAACGTATCTTGTTCGCACGTCTGTCCTCCATCTATCCGAATTTATGTCTCAGAATGGCAAGCAAGCTGCCACAATTGCGCTGGCTAGCTCACTCATACATCATCAGTATGGAGGGCATGTCAGCGTGGTGGCTCAGCCTTGTGCAGCCTCATCCAGAGTACAGCCTTGCCCCGCATACGCCCTTCCTGTCAAACTTGAACCGGTCTTGGAGAGAGTGACGACACTTCAAGGTAAAGAGTTGATAAAAAGTTCTGCTCAAACATGTAGTTAGTATGTAATATCGTACAGTTCATGCTTCTCTTCTCCGAGTTGGTTTCTTGTGGGAGCCTCGACTTCAAGCCAGGCGACTCGATCGACGTTTGCACCAAACAAAATGCAGGAACCCAACCAGAAGCAGCTGACATTGACACACCAACCAGACCTTGCACAAGATGCTAGACGGCCTGACGAACTCTCGTTGACGGTTGAATGCCACTGCCGACTGACCTCCCTTTCGCTCGCAATTCCACGGTCTGCTCTCCCTCTGAAATCGGCAGTCTGTCACTGTAATTCATGCCGACATGCCACAGGACAACTCTTCGCCACGTTTGCCGTGCTACCGGTAGAATTGCCTGAAGGAATTTTCGACATTGGCAGTCTGGTCCGATATGATTCTTCTTCTTCCTGTGAGAGATGGTTCTGCAAAAGATGCGGCGCGTCAGTCCTCAACGTCGACAAAGGCACCACACCAGCAGAGTGGGAGGTCGGGACCGGCGTCCTCCACTTCGACGACGGCCTCGAGGGCAAACTGAACAGGGTGCAGCTCTGGGTTGAAGATGTCAGCGGTGATGGGGGTGCCGTGGTTTGGATCAATAGAGGACAGCTCGCAGGCATGGACCGACATCGGAAAGGTCGGCAAAGCGAAATGGTCAGCTACGAACAGGTCAAGAGTCTCATGCAAAGGAGCGTTGAGGCATCGAGCACGCAAGGATCGCGCGACGGTGAGCGGATGCAGGTTCGTTGTCATTGCCGAAACGTGGCATTCTCCTTGGCCTGGCCGAGTCAAGACTTCAATCACTGCACTGGGAAGTTCGAGGCAAGTCTCGATGCCTGTACCTCCTGTCGAAGAGTCAGTGGCTTTGAGATAACCAGCTGGATCACAGTTCCCAAACAGTTGTTGTGCGTCACTGCGGCCAATAGTCTGGACACCTTCCTTGCTGATAGGACAAGGCTGGGACATTATCAGACATCATCCGATGTGAGTCGCTACTTTTGTGTCAGGTGTGGCGCGACTGTCTTCTACCACAAGCACAACCTCAAGACGATCGATATAGGGGTGGGGCTGCTGGATTCAGGAAACGAAGGGAAAGCTCGGGCAGAAGAATGGCTGGCGTGGCAGCCATATCCCAAGGGTCTGTCATATCCAGAGGATGCGGTGGACAAGGACTTTGTGACAAACTTGACAGAGGGCATGAGATTGGCGGAGGAAGTTGTGGACTGAGGGCCGAGGGCTAAGGAGTCTATCAAGGTCGAAGCGAAGAAAGATACAGCAAGACAAGACAAAACTAGGGAATCATGCTTCTCGTACCAATGTGCCAGCGAAAGAACATTGACTTGGTAGACGGTGGCTTGCGATATTATTCCGACTGATGATCATAACATATACACAACTTTGTCCATGCAGCCATCTAGCTGCCAAATCTCTTCTCCGCAGCCTTCCAGTTGATCACATCCCAGATGGCACTGAAGTACTCGGCTTTCCGGTTCTGGTATTGAAGATAGTACTGTCCAACGTCAGTCATGAGTCCTTTCTTAACAAATCGGAAGCGCAACTTACGGCGTGCTCCCAAGCATCAACACCCAACAAAGGCTTGTATCGACCGACCACCGGGTCTTGGTTGGCATAAGTCTGGATACCAATGTTTCCTGTCTGAGTATCCTTGACCAGCCAGGCCCAACCGCTGCCTTGAATGCCAGCCAAAGCGGCGTTAAACTTCTTCTTGAACTCTTCCAAGCTTCCGTAGGTGCTGTCGATGGCCTTGGACAACTCTCCAGAAGGAGGTTCGCCGCCGCCCGATTTCTTCGGGGCCAAGTTCTCCCAGAACAGAGAGTGGTTCAGGTGACCACCGCCGTGGAAGTTGATCAACGGTTGCAGGGCGATCTTTGTTGCAATGTCGTCTTTGACCTCGGCGGCGGCGAACTTGTCGGAAGCCTCGTTGTAGGAGTTGACATATGTTTGGTGATGCTTGCTGTGATGCAGCTCCATGATCTTGCCAGAGATGGCGGGTTCTAGGGCGCCGTAGTCATCTAGAAGCAAGAATGTCAGAAATATATCAAATGGAACCTGGTCGCTATGGCAAAGACATACATGGAAGGTCGGGAAGCGTCGCTTTGGTACGAACGAATGTTCGGTCCGCGGTGGTCAAGCTTCGCAGGGGTTTGCTGGCTGTAGCGGCGGCTCGGAGCCCGGAAGGACGAGTAGCAGAACGCACAAGGGAAGCCATGTTGGTCTGAGAGATGTTGAGATAGCTACAGAGTCAGAGAAGGGGAATCACAGGAAGTTGAAGCAGGAACGCAGCCGGAAGAGGAGCAATTGATACCACTGATATTAGTATCCGTACCGGTATTAGTACGTACTCTATATACGAACCAGCATCCGGAGCTCGGAGGAAGCTCGCAGTAATTGGATGTTGATGGCGGCACTTTACGTCACGCTTGATGTTTCTCGAAACTCCGCTGAATTGCTCCAGCACCACTAACGGTCCAGAGATACTGACCGAACATTTTCTTGCCTGGAGGATCTCTGATCTTCTTTCCCATCGGCCATCCACTCCCACTCCCACCACCAGCCGGTTTGCGGAACATCCCAGCCCCGTGTCTGAAGCATCCACAGCCAAGATTCGGTGTCTGTCATTGGACGACTGAACAACGCTTTCACGTCGCCTTCGATACGACTTCTCGATGTGCAGGCAACAACTCTGGAGTCAGGACAATTTCTGCATTTGCTAATCGTCCCCGGTCAAGATGAGCGATTCTTCCGAGGACGACGAGCCTTTCAACCTCCGCGATTACGACGACGATGACACCGACGACGAGAGACCCAACAAGCGGAGGAAAACAATGAAAACGTTGCGCAGTCGTGGTCTGGGGTTCGTGAAGTCGACTGGCCAAGACGATGATCAAGAGGAGGAAGAGGATGAGGATGAAGACGTCGACGATGAGAGGCCGTCCATGGGCCTGGGCTCCGGGATGGGCGGCTTCCGCAGTTCTTTCAACATCGGTGAATATGATGAGGAACCAGAACCTGCCGCTGCGACGCCCAGCATGTCTCCTTTACGGCAGCCAGAAAAGACGGCCGGCACAGGCCCATCGGCCTTTGGGACAGGCGGCAGGATACAGAAGAACTCTTTTGCGGCCCGGATGATGGCCAAACATGGATACGTCGAGGGTCAAGGTCTGGGTAAGGCAGGACAGGGTATAACGGCGCCCATTCAAGCCAAGGTGCTTCAGAGTCGCGCTGGTTTGGGTCAGGGCAGCGGTACACCGGAGCCTCCACGCAAGAAGACCGAGTCAGGACGAGATAAAGCGTCGTCGAAAGGGTCTACACCTGGACTCAGCACACCGAGAATCAAAGCACGCCCGAAGGCCAAATATGCAGTCACGGCAATCGAGTCCAGAGGCCTTCACGTCCCCGAGGCCATGAAGCAGATCATCGTCGATGCCACAGGCTCCGAGACCAAGACTCTAACCTCTCTATCCGGCTTTTCAACTCCAACCCGGCAAGCCTCGCCTGACCCCAATCTGGAAGTGGCCAAGGCAACTGCTCGCATCAAACTACAACTGCAGGCCTTTGCCGACGCCTGGGATGCGACTAAAGAGCAAGAAACCCATCTGGAGCTGGAGGATACCCAACTCGGTGCCGCGCTGGCGCTGCACGAAGAAGAAATCCAGCGCTACAACGACATAATATCGGCATTTGAAAGAGTCAATGTTGATGATTCCAACGAGTCGCGCGATTGGGAGACGTCCATCGCTCGCCTACAAGACATCCAAGCACGTTTCACAAATTATATCTCCGAGCTGGATTTACCAGAGCTGGCAGCATCATGTCTGGAAACGCCGTTCCGTCGGGAAATGGCTGACTGGGAGCCTCTGTCCGAGCCCACAATCCTGGTCGTGTCGTTACAAAGCATCGATCAACTCCTCGAGCTCGAAAAATCCATCACATCAAGATACCGCAAGCGCACAACGCCCTTCGAATCGCTACTCCTGTTGCATTGGTACCCCCGGGTTCGCAGCGCATTGGGGAGAGACTGGGATGTCTACGATCCCGATCCAGCATACAAACTCATCACCGCATGGTCACCAATCCTGCCAGCCTGGCTCGTGTACAAGGTCATCCACGAGACCATCCTCCCCAAACTAATCGAAGCTGTCAAGCGCTTCCCAAAGACCGTAGAGTCCAGCAGCCTCGAGGCCAGCCGAAGCGGCGGCATTGGCGGACGCAAATCAAAACGATCCGCCCCAGACCTTCACACCTGGCTATTCGACTGGTGGACATTGCTATCGTCCGACGATCTGGACCTGGAACGGTTCGCAGAGTTGAAGTCGCTGGTGAAGATGAAAGTCGACAGCGACAGTTGGCCGACCTGGAAGCCACTTCTCGGATCACGCCGGCCGAAACCACTGGCTTCCAAACCCAGGGACGTCCCTGCAACTGGTGCGCCTGCTTCGGCTGCTGCGGACTTGGAAGAGATTACGTTCAAGACGCTGGTAGAGGACTGGGCCAGCGAGAACAATCTGCTGCTGCATTCCTCGCACAAATCTGATGCGTTCGGACGGCTGTTGTACCGGTTGCAAGATGCCGAAGGGCGCAGCAGAGGCGTACTCGTCTACCTGCAGGACGATGTGGTCTTTAGCGAGGACGGCGAGCCTTTTGCCTTGGATGACCGGCTGGTTAAGCGGGCATTGGGACGGCCATGATGCCGTGGCTGTTTTGGGTATTCTTGCCAGCATCATGCTGCAGATTGGGAACAAGATTGGGCCAACTGACATCTGCATGCTTTACGGTAGTGCCAGTGGTGGTCAAGGGCCTGGACTTGAGAAGCATTTCAAGAATAAGAAGATCCAGGGACGATTCGATCTCGTCGCAACCAAACTCACTTCGCGCAATATACGCGGAGAATGTCCCACCGGGCCCAAACCTGCCAGATGTCGATGAGGTCTGTTTTGTTGCCTTCGATTCGTACTGTGCCTCAGTGATCCATCTACCCTGTGAAAAGCCCTGTACTCTACGTCGACATGTACATATCTCATACCACGGTGCCCTGAGTCACCACTTTCAACATAGATATATCTGGTCGAAGCAAACACGTTTCGTCCACAACGTCATACCCGTTTCGAGTGATTAGACGTTTGAATGGGTGCATGGTCCATAGGAGGAACTCGAGACAGAGCACCTTCTCCATGTTGCACACTGAACCCGAAGACAGACTTCCAGAGTCCAGGCAGATCTGTAGGATGGCTAGCACTAGGTAGCTGTCTAAGCTACGGTCAGGTAGCTAGAGGTGGATGAGGAGATACCAGTCCGCCTTGTAATAGATAGTTGAAGAAGCGGATAGTATGGAGACATTGAAAGAATGGGAACAAACACAAAAGGGAAGGAAGCGTCAGACGGAAAGCAGATTGGAAAGATTCTTCTATATGAATGAGTATGGCAAATATCGCTTTGAACCAGCTACCCGCAAAAGCACCTCAATGCAGCTCGAATGGTCTAAAGTGCATGTGCAGCAGCGCCTTCACTTTCCAAGGAAAGAGGATAACCAACATATTTCCTCTTCCTCTCAAGCGAGTTGAAAGTGAGAGAGGACCAGGAGAGAAATCCAAGAAGTCCTCATTTCTTCTCTTCTCCTCTGCTCGTTCTGTCTGCTTTCTGTTCTTCTTCTTCTTCATCTCCCCCTTTTTACATGCATGCAGCACCATCAACGCCCAGGATCTTTCCATTGATCCACTCTCCGTCCTGAGAGGCCAGGAAAGCCGTGACGCGAGCGACATCGATGGGCTGGCCGACACGGTGCAGCGGGGACCAGGTAGCGGCGTACTCGTCGACCTGGTCGTCCGACAAGTTGGCGCCGTTGGGGATATATTCTCTACAGACGGCATGGTACATGTCCGTCTTGATGCCGCCGGGGGCGACGGCGTTGACGGTGATTTTCTTGTCGCCGCAGTCGATGGCCATGCAGCGCACAAAGGTCTCAATGGCGCCCTTGGACCCGGAGTAGACGGTGTGTTTGGGCACGCCCTTGGCCTGGCCCGTGATGGAGCCCATCAGGATGATGCGGCCGCCGACCTCGAGGTTCTTGTACGCCTCGCGCGCCACGAAGAACTGTCCGCGCGTGTTGATGGCGAACACGCGGTCGTACTCCTCCTCCGTCACGTCCTTCAGGTGTCCGAACGTCACCACCCCCGAGTTCGACACCACAATGTCGATCTTGCCAAAGTGTTTCTTCGCCTCGGCGAACATCTCGATGATCTGCGCCACGTCCGACACGTTGGCCTTGACCGCGATCGAGTCTTGGCCGAGCGCTTTGATCTCTGCTACCAGCTCGTCTGCCGCTTTCGAGCTGTTCGCGTAGTTGACCACCACGTCGGCGCCGCGGCGGGCTAGTTCCAGTGCTGTTTCACGGCCCATTCCCCGTCCTGGATATAGTATATACCACTGGTCAGTAAAGTTCTTGTTTACCCGGAATACATACTAGTATGCGAGCCCCGAGACGTTGCGGACATGATGAAAAAAAAGGGACGTGTGCGGTGCGGGCGGGGGTTCAGGGGGTGTTTTGGATTTCAATGCTGCGAAGCCTCGTCCACGAGTCCTCTCCTCTCTCCTCTCTCTTTCTGGGCCGTGGTGCAGATGTAAACATGTGTCTGGACATACCGGATCCGGTCACGATAGCGACCTTGCCCGTGAGCAGGTAGCTCGGCACAGCATCGGTGCCATTGGCGACTCTTGTGGAGTTTTGCTTCGACATGATTTCTGTGAGGGACTTTGTGAGATTGGATGCGAATCTGATGTTATGTCGGTTTATACAGGACTCCAAAGAGAGCAGGCAATGTCGAGGATATGGATATAGGAATATGAATATAAGATCGTACGGGCCAGTTGTCAGGAAAGAAAAAGGGTCTTGATGATATTATCCCAGCATTGGAGCGGGAAAGGCCACGAATTTGTGACATTTCTATTTATTGACACGCATCAGCCGCAGGCTAGGAACATGATAAGGCGCTAACACCGCGCAGCGCCAGGGGTGTCCGAGTCGAACTCCAGTGCTGGAGGCGCCTCCTTAGGCTGGAGTGGCTCCCCGAAGCCAGACACGTTGCTGAGTCGCTGACAGCCCCGACCCTTGGCCCCCAAAGGCTGCCTAGTAGCCGGGGAGGGAGCAGCGAGCAGTGAGCACCCCCATTTTCGATTCAGGGTCAGCCCCTTTTCGTGATAGTCATATGGTCAGAGGGCGTCAGGGGCCGCGAACCAGCGTCCAGGGAATTTGTTGACTTCTGCTGTCTTGGGCCTAGTTCCACAGCCCCAGTGGAGGGGAGGGGCATAGACACAGCACCGAGCACCCTGGATGGTGGGCGGTGGACGTTAGGTACTTGGCCCGTCCGCGATCTAAAAGACAAGAGGAGAACACAGGAGGAAACAAAATGCCCGAAATAATGCTCGTACGTACCTGTTGTCAATCTGGTGCGGTTATGGTGTTTGTTATATGCAGCCTCATCAGGGCACCATATCCGATTCCAAGTTCCGCTATGCATTGTTGTCCCAGGAACGTTCGCATCTGAACGGTTCTGCAGTTCCGGCTGCACATAATTGACCAATCTGGGAATGATCCTCACGGGATGTAGGCGATCATGTTGGCCTGCCGGGAAGGTAGCATATTGCCGTAAGCATGGGGAACAAGGCCCTAAGTTGTCGTCCCGCCGAGTGACTGTATCTTGGACTGATAGCAGCAAAGAGAAAGTACGTACTGCGATTCTCCCCTTCCGGCCAGCGTTCGAGTATGTGACTGTTGAATTTTCGTTATTACTCCGAGATCTGGAATGGCTTTCGATGTCTGTGCCTCTGCACCCAACACGTGGCAACTGATCTGTGTACTGAGCCAGATTTCCGTTGCAGTAGAGCATAGGTATAGTACAATTCAATAGGAGTACGCGAGTCATGTTCGCAGGCCGCTGCTGTACGATCAACAATTCTTTCCGTCCTCTGTCCGTTTGTCTTTGTATGCTATTTCTTTCCGGCCTCCAAATTAGCGGGCGGAATTTCCCCTCGCAAGGGGCTCGAACGTGGGAAGAGTGCGACTGGCTTCACTTGCGTGCGTGGCCTTTGGGGGTTAGATTCATCTATAGTAGCCCTGCAGGCCGCTTGGGGGAGAGCGGTGAGGCTGTGAATTCTGGAGATGTTGTAGCCAGTAGCCCCTTCTGGTGTCGTACCAGACCGAAGGAGAGAATCTGCACCATAAAATGTCATTCCGCTGCTAGTGAGTGAGTGACCTCAGACATGACTGCATTGTTCGCTCCTCGGGCTTTCGCAGGGGAGTCCGACTGGGCTTCGTACAACATGTTTAGAGAACGTCCTGTACAGCGTACTCGCCTCAACAAGGAGTTCCGGCAGCCCACCGAGGGGCACCCTCATCGTCACATTGTGGCGTTTTGACGTTTGACGTGAACCGGCGATGGACATGGATAGAGGGAGATATGGAGACACGGCGCGCTTGAAGAAATGAAAAGGAGGCCCGAAGTCCCAGTCCGCGCCCTTACAGAGTAGAGCCCCGGCGCTAGTAGGGAGCCGGACTTGCACGTGACCATTATATTCTTGACACGTGACCGGACCGGATGATGCTCCTCATAAAACCGTGGTACAAGTATACTATCCAGGGCGGTCAGAAACTCTATTACACCTACGAGGATGAGCAGAATGATGCGCAGAAGCGCTGGATATTGTTACCATATTTTCATTGTGCACCACCTGTGCTGCAAGCTAAGCTATAATGGTTCTTGTGCGATCTAGCAGGCTGTCTGTGTTCAGGCCCGGATGAGTATGCGCAGCAAGCTATTCGGCAATACTAGGTAGTATGCCTATGATCTAGCCATGATCCTTTGCGCTTTTGAGCAATGTGTCTGATATGTCGCGCAGGATGTTTCATACTGGTAGACAGTGAGTCTGGTGTCACGCTCTGATTGTGCTGTTATCGTTGTGAAGACTGGGGATGTCGCGCTCTGATTGTGGTGCGTATTAAGCTGCTGGGACGATGCGGGGACGATGACAAGCTCTGATGTTGTTGTTGTGAAGGTGTGCTGTGGACGATTTGCTCGTGCTAAGTCCGATTGTCTCCTGCCGATGAGATATCACAGCTGCTGCGGCTGCGGTATGTGAGGCGACGATGCCGGCTGACTGTTTCCGCGTCTGGTCGCCGTTCAGATGAGAGTCTTCATCCTTGCTCGTGGCTTACTCCTGGTCCGCAGTGTATCCTTCGTCTTCAACTGCAGGTGCCTCAACCTCATCTGCAACATGTGCCTCGGCCTCTTCATGTGCACGTTCTGCCGCAGGCTTCTCAACTGCATCTTCTCCGGCGTTGACCTCCTCATGTCCATCCTCACCTGCAGAGCCAGATTCATCATCCTTGTCACAGGAACATATTTCCTCACTTTCCTCTTGCTCGCTTTCTTCCTCTTCCCTTTCTTCTTCTTCAGGAGTGTCCGAATTGGAGGGATAGTGGTCGGTGGAGTACCAGTCGTCATAGTCATCTGTCAGGTCGTCACTGGAGGAATCATAATATTTCGGCTTAGGTTTTGCCTTCACAGGCACATATTCGATCTCGTGTCCTTCCATCGTATTGTCCTCGGTGAGAGCATCGAAAGCGAGTCGGTGGAGCTTTCTCAGAAGAGCGGGAGAAGTAACCTCGCCTTGGGCGCGACGCCAGCACACCCGATCGATTTTGCGGTAACTCTTGCGCCCAAGCATTCTCATCATCTTCTGCATGTATGTTTCACCGAACCACTCGTCGAACTCAATCTCACAATGCGTGAGCTTGAAGCCTTTGAGACGGCGGAACAAATATACAAACTCCTCTTCGACAAGGAGGCGTGGCATCTTTCTGTCGTCGTTGTACCCGAGACAGCCAATATAGATTGTGAGGCTTCGAAGATTGCTGAAGATGCCCGTCATGTTAGGGTTCATGAGGCTCGTCTGTGGTTCGGTGCGCAAACCGCCGCAAGGCTTCGCGTATGTTCCGTTGGCGCCGATCTGTCCCTTTGGCAGCAACGGCATGTCAATGCAATCGGTGTCGAAGAACGTGGCAATTCGCATGCCTCGAATACGGTGACAGAAGGGTTGGAAAGTATTCATGAGAACTTCCATTCCCGCTGCACCAATCTCTTGCGGGAGGTTCTTCCGCTTCTGGCTGCAACCTGGTTCCAGATCCATCAAAGCTCCCAGGGCCGGCGCGACATCGACGACGGTTATGAAGTTGTTCATGAGCAAGACTCCCAGGGCTTCCATTTGTACCTGCTTGGACACCTGCAGAAGTGGGACCTCTGTCTTCTCCCGGCTGTCTCTCCATGTGTTTTGAATCATGCAGATTTCAATGGCGTCAAGGTGCGGGCACAGCCGATGGGTGAGGAGCTTGATGTCCTGGCCGCTTCCCAGCACTTCTTTCCAGATCATTTCTCGGACCTCCAATGACAGATCTTTGTGAAGAGTGCTGTGACCCAGGCTGTGATGCACGCTGTAGAGTGGGGAATTGGCGACTGCTGTCGACATCTTCGTGATTTCGGTGTCGGTCACCATCGCGACATTTCCTGGGGTAGGCTTCCAGACAGCGAGAAGTTGCCCTCTTAGATCGTAACTCCCGTAACCTTGGATGCTGAAGCTGAGACGCTTATGTTGAAGTTTCTGGTTCCAGGACGGGCGATCACCCTTGCCGAAATCCTTGTGACAGATATGACACTTGATAGCCTCACCCAGGCCGTTGGCAACAATCTGAAGCTCCGTGTCGTACGGCATCTTTGCGACTGTTGTCTGATTGTTTGCTAAGATGTCGCGCAGGGAGCACAGGCCTTTGAGAGGTTCAGCGCGGAAGGTATTTTTATAACTAAGAAGTGTAATCTTTTGGTGGGAGATAGGTGGGAGATGTGTAAAGAGAGATACTTTACTCCCTTATGTTGTTAGGTCCGAGATTTTCCCAGCAAACTCAGTTCACTAGTCCAGAGTGATGGGAGTGAGGTGAAAGTAAGGTGAGGTTTGTTCATAGTGGAAAAAGTTGATCATCCTTTGAGTGATAGAGCCCTAGCGTCCTCAACCACAATTCTAATCATTCTCTTCAACTCTGCCTTCCAGTTGCTTTCACGCCACCGGTCCCAGTGTCCGAAGTCTTCATCGGTCTCTAAGCTTAGTGTCTCATATCCATCCCTGATCACTTTTTGAACAGCAGCCGGGGACTGGTGTGTCTTCTTTCCATGTTGGGCCTTGAGGAGATCGTGGTAGTGTGTGGACACGCTGATCAATGCATCGATCGACCTATTCATCGTATCGAACCGTGGCGAGGGGTCAGTGTAGGCCTGCTTGAACCGGGGGAGCACATCATTCGCCTCGATGAGCTTGTAAAAGAGATCATCATAGCTTGCCGGGTCCGGTAAGAATGCATCGCCCTTGGACAGACAAAAGGCCGCCAAAGTTGCCAGGGTGCTGCACAGGTCCTCTCTGATGCCTCTAAGGTGCTTGAGGTCATCTGCATACTGTGTCAGGAACTTCATCAGAGAGAGGAGTGAGCCCCATATGTATGCCCAATGATGGTGTAGGCGAGATTTGCTTTGTTCAAGGTAGGTGACTATTCTCAGCATGATGCCCAGAGCAAGCCCATACAGGTGAACATCTAGTCTCTTTCGAAGATTGTGACTGAGCGTATCTGTGCAGATGTCCAATATTGCTGTCGCCGGTACTCTTGGGGATGTGACCGAGGGCAGATGTGGAGGTCTTTGACGGCACAGTCGGATAATCATCTTTGAGTCTGCCGAGCATATCCGTTTGGCCAGAACCGAGTCCTCCACCATGATCCTGATCGACAAAAGACTGAGCGTGGCATATGTTGCTGGCCGTGGCCCACGGTATGCATTGTGTGAAATGTATGAAGTTGACGATAAGAAGACAGAAAAGGGGGCCTCTTTATCCTTTTCCGGGGGCAGATTCAATAGGTTGGCAGCAAACAGTCTGTTCGCTTGGACGAACGAATACAGAGACAAAAGGCAAGCTGCATTTTCGTCGGGTAAAGAGGCAAACAAACGTTTTGCATCCTCATCCGAAGGCGGCAATGGCTTTTTAGCATCAGCTGACAGGCTCCGGAGTCCTACCATAGCCAATGTGCTGCTGAAACTCCATCGTGCAGGATAGTCATCCTGAACAGCAACATACTGATCTCGGAGGGCCGCAGACGCCTCCGCCAACTTGCGGACCAGGAGACGAATCGTGTCCTCGTTGACAAAGTCCTGCAGTCGGTGGTGATACACATTTTGCGACTCGAATTTATTGTAACTGGACAGGATGCCAATCACTACAAAAGCATGGAGGCCATGAGCCGGGTCGTCGTGGACATCATGGACATACTAGGACGTAGTGAGTATGGTTCTGGGTCCGAAGAGACGGTCTTACCTTTATCAGCGCAGAGAACAGGTCCCTGTGCATGAAATAGGAGGCGAGACTGGTGTGGAAGCCCCCAGATACTAGCGCAAGCACTGCATACAAAGCTCTCGTGCGGACAGCCTCCTGAGCTTCCAGTCGGACGATCGTTTCGAGCGTCTGGACCAGATCGGACATCAACTTGTCAATGGCATCGAGGCCAGCTAGCACTTCGATCACATCGGTATTCGGGTTGGTGTACTTTTTGGTGAATACCGCACACAGAAAAGCCGTCAAGTTCTGGGGCAGTCAATTTCACCGAATTGAAAGGGAGATGTCAGACAGCGACGAACCTCGAGAGCGTGATCATTCCGAGGAAAAGACCCCGACCCTGACTCTAAAACGGCCCGCTTGAAGAAGGATTGCGTCTGAGCCTGCGAGATGGTCAGAAGGGATTGAGGACGGGATGGACGATCGAGCTAACCATACTTGTATATGGAGCAGGTCGAAAGCGGTCATTGGCTCAAGGATGTCATATAGCCTCTGCTTGTCAGGCTTAAGAAGGAAGAACTCCCTCCAGAAGCCCTCTGACGGTACACCATCATCCGCATCTTCGTCGGACAGCGCACCGAACAAGTGGAGATACAGCTGGACAATCTTTGGCTCGAATGAATCTGGCCTCGACTGCTGAGTCAATGGGGAGTCCATAAGGACCACGAGATCAGGGTCGCGGTGCGGTGATAACCAGGCAAAGCGCACTCATTCTTCCAGCATTGCCACGCGGAACAAACCGATACTGCAATGACGGATGGTGTGTTCCGCGAATCCTGGAAGCAGAGGCTATCGACACAATAGAACTATAAATGCTTGATTGGACGTATTGAATGGCTGACGATGCATACATAGTAGTATTAGCATAGTAGTGGCCAGCTGGCAGCGGCAGATTTCATTCTTGGCAGTGGAGATACAGATTTACTTTCAGTCGAGACCAACTGTTGACGGGAGCATAACCATAGGCGGGATTTGCGGTCATATGCGCTCAAGGAACATTACAGCGGCAATAAGCCTCGTCCCAGATGTAAGTGTAAATGTAAATGTACGAATTGAGTGGTGTTGACGGTACCCGAGGGAACATTGCAACCCAGTTGTCGTCCAAGCCGCCTGTTTATATATGGCTCGTCGCTGATTGGCTGCACGGGACTCGGATACCAACTTCAATTCGGCTGACAAACGCGAAGTTATAAGTCACGAGTCATTTGAATATCTATCTACCTGGACCAACACCTTCATTGCGCCTTCAAACATCCAACCATCAATCCTGACTGCCTCACAACAACACATGTTACAGCCATTCATCTACACAATATACCTGCAATCTATAACATCCCTCCCTTCAATGCGCCGGAGGTAGTAAACGAGAATCTCACGTCCAAGATGTCGGCGACACATTTGATGCCAGCCACGACGTCATCCTCCCTCTTCTTCAGAGCGCTGGCACTCGCCTCAACAGCACGCTCTTGCCCCCATGCCTTCAGGACCTTCTCTTCGACGAAAGCCATTCGCCAGTCCTCGAAGCGCGAGCTATATACAGGCCCATCCTACCAACCTCACAGTCTTCCCGCCGATTTCCCTCTACCTCCCCGAAATACCAACATTCCGGACACCTCAATAGCTGGACCGCAACCTCGTCTCAATGACACTAGGCCTCCTCAAGAGATTGGCACACGGCCGGGAGATATTGCAGAGACCGCGAGTATAAGTGTGCCCGAAAGTGAGGCACAACAACCCAAAGCTGTGTCAGAACCCAAGTCTGTGGCACAACCCAAAACAGAAGAAACGAAGACGACCAAGCCCCGTCGAAGCAAGCTTAGGCCGCGGAAGGCAGCCATGTCAATCACTCCCAGCGCTTTACTCCATCTGCGAGAACTTCTCGACCAGCCAACTCCTAAAATGATCAGAGTCGGTGTCAAGAACAGGGGCTGCTCTGGGCTTGCATACCACTTAGAATTCGTGGACAAGCCCGGGCCCTTTGACGAAGTCGTGGAGCAAGATGGAGTCAAAGTCTTGATTGACAGCAAGGCCCTCTTCAGTATCATTGGCAGCCAGATGGATTGGAAAGAAGACAAGCTCAGTGCTAGATTTGTGTTCAACAACCCCAACATTACAGAGCAATGCGGTTGTGGCGAATCATTCAGCGTTTCATAGAAGGGTATGACGGAGCACGGCATTCTATCAGCTTGCGACCAGAGCGAGCAACGAACTTTATGTTGAGGATCATGACTGCTTCATGAACAGAAGACTCTCTTCAGCGGAAGGCTTCCCTTGCCGGTCTATCCGTCTATGCACAAGCCGTTTCAATATACCCCCTTTTCATAGTCTAGAACTCTGGCATCTTCGAACCTGAGGCTATTCTTCTTCACAAATGCTTGATGAGCTGGGTCCTGAGAGACATAGTAATCGCGATCCTCCTTTGAAGCGAACTCAACGACGAACCCGTGCGTGAAACCGCCCTGCATGTGATTATGATGAGGCCCCATCGAAGAGAGGAACAGACCAACCTGTGCGCCCTCGGGACTGTTGTCGACACCGCCAGAGGACGAGACGATATAGGGCTTGTTCGATGCAGGATGCATACATGTGCCTTTCAAGGAAAGCATGTCATCGCAGAACTGTCCACGTCAGCATCCACTGGTTGAGGGATATCGCGAGGTATAGGATATGGCGTACTTCTTTCTTCTCCGCGTCACTCAGTGAGGACTTGAGCTTGAACAGAACAATATGGACGATAGACATTTTGGACCAGTCGATGTGTGCGTATCCACTAAATCAAATAGCAAACTAGGTCTCAAAAGTATTAACTGAAGGAAACTGAGGCCGGAGATATTCGAGTCGAACTACGCTCGGCCTGAAGCCTCGTTGGATATGCCACCTCCCGCCGTGGTGCTTGCGCGGACAGTTGCGGGGCATGTGTACCTAGGGAAACTTTTACTGTGCCTGTTGATTCATCCCCTCACCACTCGATATCTCGGTACTAGTATCTGAGCTTGACTGGCATTTATACCTCTTCCACGACACAAATCAACCTGCTAAGAGCTTGCGTTGGATTGTGAAATAGCTTTTTCAAAGCGAATCATCACTCCCTTCGCAGACCTGATCAACTCTCTGCATTAGTACAACCAGTCCCTCTACCAGAACCCCCGATCGCGTGTCCGTTCCACCGAGTCCTACCTAGTTACTACAACAGCCTCTCTCCCTCTTCTTCTGTGAATCTACCAGACTGAGAAGTCTGTCGATCTATACATAGATCCTTACTCCCCCCTCTTTTCATTCAAAATGGCGACGCACTCCCACGAGCATGGGTCTTCGCATTCGCACGACCACAACCCCACGAATGGCAACGGCACACCGCACGGCCACTCCCACGAGATCCTCGACGGGCCGGGCTCGTACATCCACCGCGAAATGCCCATCGTCGAAGGCCGCGACTTCACCGACCGGGCATTCACCATCGGCATCGGCGGCCCCGTCGGCTCAGGCAAGACAGCGTTGATGCTGGAACTCTGTCTGGCCCTCCGGAACGAATACAACATCGCCGCAGTGACCAACGACATCTTCACCCGCGAAGACGCCGAGTTCCTCACGAAACATGGCGCCCTGGCGCCCGAGCGGATCGTGGCAATCGAGACCGGCGGGTGTCCGCACGCTGCAGTGCGCGAAGACATCTCGGCGAACCTGTTGGCCTTGCAGGGTCTGCATGCTAAATTCCAGACGGATCTGCTGCTGATCGAGTCGGGCGGCGACAATCTCGCCGCTAACTATAGTCGCGAATTGGCAGATTTTATTATTTACGTTATCGACGTTGCTGGGGGTGACAAGGTCCCGCGCAAGGGTGGGCCGGGCATCACGGGCAGCGACTTGCTGGTCATCAATAAATGCGATCTGGCGGCTGCGGTCGGGGCTGATGTTGACCTTATGGAGACGGAAGCGAAGAGGATGAGGGAGGGTGGTCCGGTCGTGCGGGCGGTCATCAAGAACGGCGTCGGGGTCAAAGAGACGGTTGATTTGATTCTGTCCGCGTGGAAGAGTACCTCCGGCTACAGTGTGAGTCGGAAACGGTGGGCCGCTGGTGCGCCGAGGGGGAGTGGTGAGCAGCCTAAGGTGGTTCGAGATACGAGGTTTCCACGACAGTAGAGAGCATAAGAGAAGAAGGGAAAAAAAATGTCAATCATAGGGGCTCAGCGACGAAGATATGAGACAAAACAGCTGTTGACAGCTGGATGGATTCTTTGCATGGTAGACCTGAGTGTCGAAATGCCATATTGCAGACCGAGTCTGGATTATCAGGGCCGAGTATATGTCCTATAAGGATTCATCGAGCAGTCTGGACAACTGTTGTCTTGTGACCGCAATCATGCCCCTTTCCGGGCAAACCTGGCCAAAGCAGGTCCCAGCTCGACTTTGTCCTTTTTCAATTTCGCATTGTCCCTCTCCGCACGTTGCTTCTTCATATCTTCCAGGCGGAGCCTCTTCTCGTCCACGATATTCTTGCCGCCCTTCTTCCTCAGGAATCTCCTCACCGTGCTGTTCTTGCCCCGTCCACGGTTCCGCTCCTTCAGCTTGGCCAAAGGATCCACAGGAGGCGCGTCAAGATCCTTCTCTCGCCGCCGCTGTTCTGCACTACGGGTGTCCAATGTTCCAATGAAGTTGGGGTCCAGGGCGATAGTCTCGGGCTGCAGCTTGGTGAGCAGAGACTGGATTTCTGCCTCTTGTCGCTGTTTGCGTGTCTCGTAAGGATTGGCTTCAAGGGCGTCGTAGTTGGGTTCACCTGCCCCGGGCACAACGATGCTGCTGAAACCCTCCGAATGTGAAATGCCCAGAATATCATCAAACGGGCAGAAACGAACTCTTTCGACACGACGTCCGTCGTTGCCCCAGTTTAGGTATGGCGACTGGACCTTCATGGGATCAGCAGAAGTCGAGGTGGTGAAGAGATCCTTCCAAATAGTCACTCCAGTCCCGCTGCCAACGGCGGCAAGACCGCGATCTGAGATGTCGATCGAAGACGCGGGTTGATGAGTTCTGTAGGATTGTACTTCCTTCAAAGCACGGATGTCCCAAAGTTTCAACCGGAGGTCCTGGCCACCACACAGCATATAGTGCCCGGACCGGTCGATGGCAATAGACCGAACAGGCCCGGCGTTAGACTGCATCTTGACAAGAGGCGTCGTGGAATTGGGCGACCATAGCGACACGGATCCATTCTGGTGACCGACATGTAGGATTGCATTGTATGGGTTCTGAGTGAGTGCCGTGGGTGCACCTTTCCGGGTCGAATATTCGGCCACGATCTGTCCAGTTGAGGTGTCGGTATATCTCAAGAATCCACTGTTTTCCACACCCGCCAGCAGGAAGTGGTAGGGTAAGAACTCCAGATGTGTGGTTTCCACATATTTCTTCAAGCAATGAATCTCGACTCCGGCATGATCGTAAATGTAAGTGTGCTTTTTCTGAGCCACGGCGAAATACTGGTCGTTGTGCAGCCATTTTGCATCTCGTATGGTCTCATTCAAATTCAACTCGCACCCTGGCTTCCCTGCTCGCCATTCACAGGTGGCGATGTGACCTTTCCTCCCCGCGAGAAGTAAACTGCGCCCGTTCCTCGTGTAGTCCGACACATAGGGCCCAAGATCGAGTTTGAACTCAACGGCTTTGCTTGCCTGCTGCACGCCAACCGCATCGAGTATGTCTTCCTGCCGGACCTTGTATGTCCTCTCAAGTTCGGTCTCGGGCTGAAGAAAACCTTCCTGGTTCTCGTAGAGGATCTCCGCATCCTTTGCGTTCAAAACTGCGGTTCGGTATTTGTTCTCGATCCGCTTGAGGTTTGCACGCAGCTTCTTGTCTTTGACTTCGTTGACTCTGACAGGTCGTCCTCTGCCATACTTCTTTCGTGCTTCGGCGACTTGCTTTTGGTTTTCTTTGTCTTCTGCGGTCAACGCGCTTGTAGGGTTTCGCTTCGCTGGGGGCTGTAGATTCTGGATGGTGAGTTGGCCGGCGCCATTCTCGACTAACGTCTCCATCATCAAGATTCCACGGTCCAGCACACCGCTTGGGCAATCTACAAGAGGGCAGAGCGTTCAAGGAGGAGATTTATTGTGCCTCCTCAACTGTTTTCAAGCACGAACTTATCTGCCTGGTACATTAAACATACGAAATTTCGCCGCAGCCACGAGTCCCCAAAAATTTCTTGCCAAGGTTGGAGAGAACTTCGAATCGGGATTTGGGGAGTCGGACCCCGACTGCGGCTCGTCCCGTTCGAGAACAGGGTGACGCCGCCCTACTTACACCAATGACATCGGTAGGAGCTCATCTCAAGCCTCCCAGCCTTCTCTCTCAGCACCCCAGAGCCCACACCACCCAGGCTTCTCAGACATCTTCTTCCTGCTGCGGAGCTGCGTCCGCATCAGCCTCATGCGCTGGTCTCTTACACTCTGTGTTGATGCTGGCTGAGTTTCGTCCTTCTCATTGTCCACCTGAAACCACGGTTAGAAGTGGGCGGAGTCATCGCTGATCCCCTTAGGAGAGGTAGTCTAGTCTTTACGTGGCCTCCAATTATCCCAAGCACCTATTGCAAATGCCCTGCGTGCGTTTTCCCAGCTCTGACTGCTGGCCCCTTAAAATCCCCAGTATTTCTGCAGAGTCATCGGCGCGGATTTCTTCCGGCAAGCGTTGTGCGAAACCCATAGCATGTTACTCAAATGCCCAAAAGTTCACAACCGCAAGATGCCGACGAAACCTTGACACGAAAGAGTTGACCCGTCGTTGAACACAATCTTCTCCTTGACCGGTATCATCCTAGCTAAGACCTTTTCCCTCCTTCTTCTGCGGATTGGGGCCATTCTGCTGGAAACGTGATCCGGCAGAATTGCAAGACGGGAAGTCGAGTGATGTTACCAGGCAGGTTACACCTCATCCTCATTCCAATATCTGATTCTCGGGTGAGCCTATCCTGGCGTACCTTTGGTGCACATTATGTTTCTGTGTTGACCCCGTGTCGTGATACAGCACCAGGCAACCATTCGCATCACTTTCCTGCAGCGAGCTGTCGTGGCTTGGTTGTACACCCATCACTGGAGTTGACTCGAAATGCGTGAAGGACTCACAGGGGATACTGGGTAATGACTTGCCGCAACAGAAACAGAGTCGCAGCCGCGTTCCCACCAAGAAACGACGTGACCGGGCTGAATCGTTCAGGAACAACGTTGCATCTGGCCCAAGCTGATTGACTGTGGGCGACACCCTGTTGATGTCCAATTAACTTGCGACGGCACCAGAGAGTTCGCCCTATGCCAAGCGGACTTCAGCAGTACTTTTCTATGTACTGCCATTGTACTGATGCGGGTTGAGTCGGCCATAGCTGAAAGCTATCCCGAAGAACGACATGGCAATATCTAAGCTGCAAGCTTGAGAAATCAATCATCTGCGAGCCGCGTGAGACTCACACTAGGCCATTATATATTGAAGCCCTCTCGAATGGCTCTGACAGGCCTCGGGGGATTGTTTCGGCCAAGTCCTCTGAGGTTTCCAGAGGACGATGCGGTTTGGCCGGCCTGGTGACCGCTCCTCGTTGACCTATTGTGCAATTACATGAGATTGCTTTGGGAAGATTTGAGCCGCACTCTGGACTCGTGCTAAAGTGGTGAGGATTGAGATAAAGACCCTGGAAGACAATCAAAGACACGCGCAGGGTAGGGAGCATCTTGGAGGGTGGAACAAACCGGAAGCCAGTACATGTACTATGAATGAAGCCCCCCTGCCAAGCGTCACGTGCAAGGCTGTGGACTCCAGGTGGTTCCCTCTTTATCCTTCTCAACAGGTTCACAATTCTGCATTTGAACTCCCATGAGCCCAAAGGCCATAGCTTGAGTTGCTGAATAGAAATCTAGATATCTGTATGTTCAAACTTTGATACCTGTCACTGCTTCTCCTCATACTTCCACTTCCTGCCTGGAGGTTGCACCAATCCCTGTGGGACCATGGTCTCGCATAGGGCTTGCTATGGACGCACACTGCACTGTTACCGTGGGATTTATGCACGATTATCACCACACACCTGCCTTCCTGGAGACAGCATTACTGTCGGATCTCAGCATCGGTACTGAAACCTGTTTAAGTGGGCGACGAATCCTGTTCAAGTATCACCCCGTTCTATCGCACATTATGCTCTCAAGATACTCCTCTGCTTCAGGCTCTACAGGTACCGCCAGTATCTAATTGGCACAGATGGAGTTCCCGAAGTGGAAAAGACCATGACGATGGAAGAGGAGGCTGCGCTGCTGTAGGAGGTTGAGAAGCTCGTTCAGACCTCGGAAATAAAGAGCAAAGCAGCGTCTGGCAAGCATACGGTGATCAACCCGATGTCTGACGTCTGGATGATAGTGGCAAGGTAGACTCCACGGAGACAGTGGCTGCCCTTGCGCAAAGCCTGAGCGCAAAGTTCCTGCACGGCTTGGACCTGTTTAGTGACTCGATTCGAGACGCCGTTGCGGGATCCTCCATCTTCCACCACCATGGACATGTCCTCTTCAAGGCCAAGTCAGCACTGGATTTGGCCTTGGCCTTGGAAGCCACAAAAGGGAAAGAGGTCCAGACGGTGACAGTGCGGGACATGTTCCGCTGGAAACTGTCTGAAGTTGCATTGATTGGTGGCCAATGGGCCATCATCGGCTGCTGCAGCGGCATGATGTCCATCTCCAGTGCCGATGATATCCTGGGCCTTCCCACTACCATGTTCCATGCTGGAGCCAGCTCGGTCGTCTCAGCCCTGTGACCGGGCGACGACGAGGATGGAGCAGCGTTCACCCTCGAGTTTCTATGGCGCCTTCAAATCCGCAATCAAGGCCGGTGTGCAGGGTGACAAGCTCCGGCTCCGGTTCCGGCTCCGGCTCCGACCCCGACTCTGTCTTTGGGCACACGGTCGACCTGGCTCGAGCAATGCAAACCGCGATCAAATACCTGCGGAATAACTCTGCGAGAGCCAACTATGCTGCGCCATATCACTGGGCAGCGTTCACGCCAAATGGCTTCTGGATGTCTCCGACTCATATATTTGAGATGACATGATATACGTGATGGATAGATAACCAAGACACGCCATCCCATCCTGATACTTAGTCAAGCGTTGTAACTATACCAAAAAAAGTAGAACAACGATATTGGTAGCTGCAAATCGTGGCCAGCTTCCCCCCCTCCAGACCCTTCTCCAGTAACGCCCAAACCGATAGCAACCCCAAAAAACCTTCCATCCTAACAGCCTCGACCAAGCTAGCATTGAAAGCCAAAATCCATCTTCATCAGTCCATAAAGGTTTGCATCAGGCTAATATGACATATATGATTGCGTGGAGGAGCGGTAGGCCTTGCTGGGTGCCTGCCTCAGGCAACGACCACCGCGCTTTGCTCTTTTCCCGGCCGGACCATGTTCCATTTAGTCCAGCTAGTGGCCGTGTGAATAAATGGTCGAAATGATTCGGCGAGATGAAAAGATCAGCAAACATGATGCGATTATGCCTCAGGGGTCTTCAGGTTCAACAATCGGCATGAGCTCTTTGGTAAGAAGATACTCGGTAACAGCATAGTGCCTGCGATCGATTGCGAGGTTGAGTGCCATAAACCCCCAATTGGCGGCGTTAGGATCTAGCCCGTGATCAAAAAAGCAGTGCATGAGCTGTAGATAGACATGCTCTCCGTACTTCCAAGATTTTGCAGACTCGAGAAGAACGACTCCGGCGAAGGCGTGACCATACTCCTCAACGGTGATCGTCTGGGTGAGTAGCATTTCCAGCATGTCCACCCGGCCACAACGGCACGCCTCAGAGACTGCATCATAATCTTGCTTGTGCATCGGTCTGGCGCCATGGGCGACAAGGGTTTCCGCGATTTCGAGTTCACCGCTACTTACGGCGTGAACGAGAGGGGCCTGCGGATCAAAGTTCTTCTCGTTCACGTCAAACCCAAGCTCGATTGCGAGCAAAACAAGGTCGTTGGTATGGTTGGTGATCGAAAGGTCCACGATGTAGTGGAGCAAGGGTAAACGGACGTCTTCCGCGGCGGAGAGAATCAGCAATCGAAGAATTCGTTTGTACACGTCAAGTCTGGCACGGTCGCGGGCAGAGCTTTCGACAATAAGCTTGAATGTCACCTCGTATTCTTCGCTGTCAGTCTGCATGCAGTATTTCGGGTCGAGTAGTAGGTGGATCATCTCCAAATTTCCATCCACACATGCATCTTGTAAGACCATTCTGTAGCCCATGTCCGGGTTGTAGTAGGTCGAATACATGTTGACACAGGCGCCATTTTCGAGGAGAAATCGGGTCATTTCAACGTTGCCCTGCTTGACTGCCATGCGTAAAGGATCAGACAGCTGAAACATCCTCAATTCCTCGGGCTGACGAGCCAGAAGTGTGTCTACCGTCGGTTTGTCATTTAGCAATATGGCTGTCATCATGGCCCAACCCTCCGCCTGGGCTTGCATATTGTAACGAGTCAGACGATTCAGCGACGGAAAATCGGCAGAGATAAGGAAGGCCAAGGCCGTGAGGGCGACCAGCATTTGTGTCCGGTCATACCTATCTCCGTTGCCAAGATGGACTGTATTGCACAGGGCGGCCGGCACTTTGTTATGGACATCTGCGTCCCATGAGAACTCTTCGACATTCTGGAGGATTTCAACTGCACCCTGCATGTTGACAGCCAATTTACTCCTGGGCCGCGGTGTGCCCATCTGACCCTTGAGGTATCTGCACAGGTGCTGGCCTTTCATCAAATGGGTTTTCCAGCCCAGGGCTCCTTGATGAATTGGAACCGACATTCGATCAAAGAAAGCGCATTGGATTTCGCGGTCGAACAATCCTACGGGAAATTGTTAACCTCGGTTTCGGCAACGGGGCCACGATACTGCGGCAAGACTAGACTCACGATTGATCCTGCGCAACCGTAGTCCTTCCGACCAGTTTGAGTGGGTCAACACATTGTCGATGATGGTGAAGAACACGTCCACAGGGAGATTGTTGAAGCCCATTTCGAAAGCGCGTGGAGCCAGCGGCAGCCGAGGAGTCAAGGCCTTCGGGACGCGCGAAGCACGTTGCTCAGTGGTATCGACGAGTCCTCAAGGACGACTCCGGAGATGGATCCACGAATTACGTAGTACTAGGAGTGGATGAATGAAGGTTACGGTCCAGATTAGGTATGAACTATGAGCTCCATAAGGGAGGTAGCTTCCACTCAGCCGTTGTCTAGTTGTAGATTAGCGAGACTTGGCGCGATGTATCGGATGCTGCGGGGATCCAATCACAACTCTCCAGCGTTGCTCAGCCTTGCTGCCGTATCTTTGACGAGGTTGGGCTCACTTCGAGCATTGTCATCAGGATCAAGACATTCCTGGGTTTTCCAGCTCATAAGGAATGACTCCAACGTGGTGGAAATTCTGTACTGGACGACACCGCTTAATCACCTGTTTGTCATGAACCCACAGTTATGGGAATGATGTTGGTGTACTAAAGTGAACTGCGCAGCTCCCCCCCCCCCCCCCCCCCCCCCCCCCCCCCGGCCACGCAGACCTCCCCGGGAGATGCAGGAGCCATACTCGTGATGGACTATGTATAGCCGTGCTGATGCCGTGGTTTAGTCATACTACTCTATGTACAGTAACCAGAATTTTCGTCCCGAACGGTGACTGGGCGACTCCCAAAGTGCGGAGTCATGTCCCGCTTTTCTCCACGCCAAAACCTCGGGGACCCCTCATGCCTTCGCAGAGAACGTCAACGATGCCGACCAGGGATATAAAGTCCCCGCTGGTCGTCCTGTCAGCGAGAAGTCACACATAACGACGAAATGGCTCAGCTTCAAGGCAAAGTTATTGCTATTACTGGTGCGGGTTCCGGGATTGGCCTTGCCACAGCCCGAGAATGTGCACGTCGAGGGGCTTCGCTCTCATTGTGTGACATCAACCAAGATGCAGTCAACAGCGTCGTCTCCGAAATCAAGGCCAAAGACGTTGACGTGATCGGCAGCCGAGTGGATGTCTCCAGTTCGGACGGTGTCAATGCGTGGATCGCTGAAACCATGAAACACTTTGGTAAACTGGACGGCGCAGCCAATATTGCCGGCGTTGAAGGCAAAGCAGATGGGAAGGTGTTTGCAAATATTGTCGACATTACCGATGATCACTGGAACTTCATTCTGGGTGTCAATCTGACTGGTCTCTTCTACTGCCTGCGAGCTGAGCTTCGGGTAATGGAGCGTGGCGCCTCCGTCCTGAACGTTACTAGCATTGCAGGGTTGATGGGAAGACCAGGCATTGCTGCCTACAGCTCGAGCAAGCACGGTGTGGTGGGGCTCACAAGGACAGCAGCCAAAGAGGTTGGTGGACGAGGGATTCGAGTCAATGCTATCGCTCCGTAAGATGCCCTGTCTGTTTTGCTGTCCACCTGACTGACTTCGACAGTGGCCCCGTGGATACCCCAATGCTGGACAGGTTGCGGGCGGACGGGGGAGACAACATACCTGTCACTCAGACATACAAAACCCTGGCTCTGCAACGATTGGGAACGCCTGAAGACATGGCAAAAACGATTTGCTTTGTGCTGAGTGACGATGCAAGTTTCACCACAGGGGCGATATTTTCGGTCGACGGAGGTGTGGTCTGTTAAAGGACGTTCACATTCAAATATGCATCAGGTACTGCCTCACTTCGAGGAATGAGGTTGATGCGTCCGTCCGAAAGCTCAATACTATCCTCGATGCTCGACTGTGAGAAACTCCGTTCGGTGCAGTATGGATTCTCATCCAAAAGCACGATCGAAGCAACCTTATCCAGGTTTTGTGGCATGGGTACCAAAGGGATGCGTGGACCAGGCCGTCTTGCATGTGTCTATATCCACATCCACTTTTTCTTTTTCTTGTGTACGTCATGTAAGCGGGAATGTTGTGCCAGAAAGCTTTTGTCTGCAAGCGCAAATTTAGCTGTATAACTGAGAATGGCGGCTGATACTGGATGTCTCTCATTTCTCCGCCCATTGCCATACCCTGGGCTGGGAATCCAAAGACCAACTCCAAGCTACTGGATGTAAACGAATGTGTGCTACGCCACTATTCTTCAACGGAACCAGAAGTGATTGGTATGATTATCATGGTTGTCACACTCTCAATTTATAGAGAGTGTCTCCCTCATGCCTAAGGTCTACCTCCTGACCTAGACAAGCACAAAGGTGGCCAGAAGAGTCCAAACCCAAAGACACTGTGATAGAAGAAACATGACTCCAGAGGTCTCAGCGTCTAATCAGGGGGAGGGGGAGACTTCTCTACGCCCTTATAAATTGGCAGGTCTCTGATATGGGACAAAGTGAGGTTGGGAAAGTCACCTCTAAAAGACCTTAGCGACGAGTTTCTGCACCTTTGTTCTCTCGCCAGTGTCTTCCGCTTCGAGCGAAGCCTCGTATTTGTCGATGATATCGACATCTGTCCGGAAATCAATTTCTGCAGGATTCACCACCTTGGTCTTTTTGACAAGTTTGACCACCACGTAGACACTATGAACCATCTTGTTAGCTTGGTGTAGTGACAGGAGCGAGGAGACAAAGGAGACCACAGGGTCAATGGAACTCACATGATAAATATGGGGATTAGGCCATAGTTGAATATGCTGCAACACAAAAGGATCAGCACCAAACAGCAAGAGAGCTAACAGGTCGATACAACTCACAATGTGGGAGTGTCCCATTGCCCCGGCTTGAAGACTGCATAGCCTTGCACAAAGAGCATGACGAATGAGCAACAGAAAGCATACCAGGCAGCACTAAGAGAAGAGGTCAGTCTCTGTGGTTCAAGGTCATCTGTCGAGATCAGCTTACAATGGTTGCCATCTTGAGACAGCAGGGAGGAAGTGTTTGCGGTCCACCCCTTGAGCTTTGAGCCCAGCGTTGAAACGAATCCATGTAGCCGACATAACCTAGTATCCTGTTCAGAAGCTTGGTCATGCAGCTCTGGGGAGCGGGTGTACTTACACACCAATTGATCATTTGCGCAGCGGTTGCGAAACTGATGACCCAATTCAAGAAATCGTTCGTTCCTTTACCAAGCGCCATATAGGAGAAACATCCCAAAGCCAGCATGAAGAGTACAGCGATATAGGGTACGCCACTGATGTCGTTTAGCCATATTATTTTCAGAGTATTTGTGTGAATGTCACTCACTTGCGATTTTTCCGGGCGAAGAAACGTGGTGCACTAGGAGGTTATGGTTAGTCTTTTGCTCAAAGGTTTGGCTTTACCTAGAGAATAACGCGACCGCATATACTCACAATCCCTGGTCTACCATTGCCACCAAAGACCGACTGGAAGCGAATACATAGTTGTTACCGGCAGACAGGATCGACGTTAGAAGAGCTGCATTCACAACAGACTGACGCAGGGTTAGCCTTATATTTCTTCTTATCGCTGACCAGTCCTGTGGATATGGCTTACCGGCAGTGCTGGAATCTTCAAGTTGACCATTGAGATGACATAGGGACTCTTAGCAGCGTATTTGCCGCCACCAAGGAGGCTGAATCGTGACCGTCAGTTGGATTCATCCGAAGATCGGAAAGGACGTACCGCTCATCAGTATATGGGACGAGGATGCCGACACAGAGCGCCCCAAAGATATAAAAGAAAAGGAGACGGTGAGGCAGTGTACGGAAAGCCCGCGGTACGACCCTTCTTGGAGCCTCGGCTATGAGAGAGTCAGCTATGAATCAATGTTGAGAAGAAACCATTGGAACAGTATACGTACCTTCTCCGGCAATCATGGATATGAACTCTGGACCACAGATGACCCTATCGTTTCCGTCAGAGAGCACACCAGAAAGAGAAGCATCAGACCTACAATCCGGCCTTGATAGCAGCCTGGACAAAAGATTCAAATTGATGAGCTGAATCGCTGTATCAAGTCAGTAACGATGATTTACATCAGAATTGAGCATCACTTACTCCCCTTTCCAAACACCAGGATGTTTCCAATAATGAAACCCAAATGCCCAGTGTAACGGGTTGCCCCTAAGCAGAGGTCGATTAGCTCACTGAGCAGCGAAGCAACTGAAGTGATCTTTGACGTACCCAACCATGGTCACAAACCTGTATTCATGTCAGTGTCTTTTTGAAATCTCTGAACGACAGGGTACTCACGTGTAGAAAATGAGACCAATGGCAAGCAAAACTTTGCCCATGCCAATCCAGAATTCGACCTCTCCGTACCAGTCCACTACAGGCACCATTAACTGATGATTACAGAAGAAGAGAAGCCCAGGGCTCGCATACCTCGCCACATATTCATAATGAAATAGAAAACCAACATTGCAGATATTGTGATCGCTGGGCTTAGGTCCGCGTCCCAGTATCCGACAACTGAAAGTTTCTTGTGAGCATATCTTCCATAGCAGGAGATTCACTCGAGGTTCGGTCACTCACCAGTATTGAAGACGGTCAACTCAAAGATGATGTCCGTAACCTGCAGGAACAGGAAATTGAAGCTGGCAGCTGCGCCGAAAGCAGGGTCGACGCAACGCCCGGCGATGCGAACGAAAGAGCCATCCCATGGGCTAAACCATTTGATGAGCCAGTTGACATGATGATCTTGGGCAGCGAACTTACAACAAGGAAACCGTCTCCAATTGACATTGGGCCGTGGCAAAGATGACAGTTGACCACCATAGAAATCCTTTTGCATATAAGCAGCGTCCCATTTGCGTAGTGAATGCGACCTTACCCAGAAACAATGCCAGAGGGCCGGAATTGTAAAGGCCACCACCGATTGATACGAACAATGCGCTGTAAAAGCCGTCAACACCTGACACCTGACTGTGGTCCAGTCCATTCATGCTCACGCTCCAATGGTGCCAGCAATAGCAGACAAATGAACCTGTCGGCTAGACAATCGACGGTGAATTTTCATGGCTTGAATGTCGGCGGCTTCATCCTCGGAGTAGGAGACCGACAGGGGGATAATCTCCTAGAGAATAGTCAATCGGCTGTGCTCTTTCGTGCATGAGTACATGACTCGACTCACCCCTAGCTGCTTGTCGTCCGTCATAGGGACCGAACTTGAAGCTGGATGTTTGGCGTCCATTATGCTTATAGTTGGCTAGGACTGTTGTAGTGTGATGATCAGGCTTCTCCGGACGTGCAGAGTCTTTCGAATTATAGAATTATAGAAACATAGAGAGATATCTTCTTCTGTTGAGCTTCATCCCGATTCCCCAGTGTGCCTCCATGGCCGATTGATACGGATAGTGGCGCAAAGAGCCACTCGGTCCCTGATAGACATGTCCTAAAGCAATCCCAGCAGTTGTGCGTTACCAAGCGATTCCAAAGTCACCACTAGAGACACGCTTATCCCAATGACGTCTAATTGTCCCAGATGGGTTCTTGCAAGAGACTGCGGCAGTATTGTCCAATGATAGATGCCGAACCCCGTTTTTATATCAGGGTGTTCGCCCACCTCGTTATCTCGACCGAACGGGTAGTAATCTTTTATCGGTTCCATATAGAGCTACTAGTCTACAGCTGGTTAGTCAGAACCCCTCGGCGCCGAGGACCCAATCGGCGACAGGACCACAGCCTCGGGAGGTTATGGACTGCAGTGGTATGGACGGGTGAGGAGAATGGCGATAAAGTTTCTCACAATAGAGCCAGACCTTTCTGTATGCCTTATGGGTGCTGGCAACAATACATGGTGATTCTGCGTCCGAAGCAGCCCAGATATGGAGCGTCCTTGTAGGTGCCTCTCAAGGTCGTTGTCGCCAGCGACACCATCAGTGGTGCTTTGCGGACGAGCCTATGGACAATATAAGTGGCACACCAGAGCTTCCTAACGTCAGTACTACCCCTTTCCTAGCACTTCTATACCTCCCTCCTCCTACCTGAGTATGAGATAGCTAGGTAGCAAATTCTACTTCTCAAGAACTCCACGCGTAGTAGTAGTGGTAGTAAGTATAGTAAAAGAGAGAGTAACTCCTGTTTGTGCATATGATCGAGGTGGCAGTAGTATACACCTTTCTTGGTGTGCCACTTATTTTGTTAAGGCTTTGCGGAGTATCAGCACCGGGGGCAGCCCCAGTACTTCGGAACCGCCCAATCAAAGAGAGATCAACATCTGTCTGAGGTTCAATGACTACTGAGATCCCAAGTGTAGGTAGGCTGCGGCGTGTATTTGCCGGCCACGGGTTCCCAAACATCAATAGGATCGTAGCCTCCTACCTTACCAGACCCGGTACCACCTTGAATGAAGCCCTTGTCGAGGTGTCAGCGTCAATCTCTGAGCACCTAAAAGCTGAATCAACTCACCACCATGCGAAGGACGATCTCTGGCATCTTAAGCACAACTTCGGGTGGAACACTGAGGATCTGAAGGTCGGGTTGTCTCAGTGTGTCGATGGTCCCAAAGTATCCATACATCATGCGTTCCGCATCAGGCTCACCAGGCTGGCAAACATTTGCACCACTAGAGCTCGGTTGATCAGCCAGTTCAAGCACGCCTTCGATTGCAACTTACGCTCCATGGAAGATTGTCGAGAGCCAAAATACTCCGTCTCCCTTCTTCAATTGCGCAGCCACGGCTTCTTCGGGCCGGGGAATCCGGTCTATCGGCCAAAGATGGCTCCCTGGGATGATGTTCGTACCTCCGTTGCGAGCGGTAACGTCTGTGCCGGCAACAAAGCCCCCAACTAAGTTGACAGAATCAGAATTGATCTATTACGAGGGTGGCCAGTACACACCTCCTATCGGATTCTTGTCGAGACCGATCTCTCGTTGAGTACTCGCGAGGACAGAATCACTGTACCTCTCAGCAAAGTCTTTCTTGAGAAGAGCTTCAGCAAGGGAGCAAGGGCTTGGGGCATACCGATGTAGGTACTGCGCAGTGGCTCCAGGTCGAACCCGATAGCCATTGCAAGCTTGCAGCCAGTCTATGATAGCAAGTCAGCCGCGACGCCGATTGAAGGAACTCAAGAAGCATAACTTACAGCTGCCTTTCCTTACTCGCTTCTCATCCGAGAGCCAATCCCACGTCTCCCGGACGAGGAAGTGCTCCATGACTCCGTGCCAGACAGGATGCTGAAGGCTGCACCAGAGTCAGTATGGTCACATAACCTTCGGCCAACAACGCTTACAGCTTGATGCTGGCGTTGGGAACTTTTCCAGCAAGACCGATGATCACGTCGGAGTTCTAGCATGGTCAGCCATGAGGTTCGGGCTGTATACCAAACCTAATGTGTTGGCGTACTGGTGGTCTAAAGTCTTTCTTGACTTTGGCAACATGCTTGGGATTGCCTGTCTGCCGGACTTTTTCAAAGACGGGATGTGCTTCTGCATTCAGGGCATCGACAAACTCTTCCGGAGCATACTTCTCGACAACTCAATCAGGATCAGTGATGATACTAGATCGCTCTCAGTCAGAAGACTCACCAACGACCCCGTCTTCGCGGAGGATCTTGCAGATCTCTTCAATGGGCGCAGTCACATGGACCTTGCGGATAGAAGGTGTGCTGATAGCCATGCCAATGCTCTTGTTGCTCAGTGGAAATAGCGATGGACGTCTCTGGTTCGTACTAGTTGTCTGTCGCGACACTAGTTCCTAGTATGGTGATATATATCTTATCTGGGATATTCGGGTCTGGTGTCTGCGTGCTGAGCAGATCCGGGTCTATATCGGGGACATGCTGCAACAATACATCGGCGAGGCTTGAAACTTCGAAAGGTTCGGCGATCGACAAGAACAAGCGATATGTTGTCCCAGTACTTAACGAACGGCCTCTACACAGCGCAGTCGGAGACAAGAGATGGCAGTATGTTCGGAGCTTCTACCGGCAGGCCGTGTGGATACGGATTAGTGTCCGTCTCCTTATCGTTCAATAGTGACATCTCTCTCGGCGATACAGATAAGCTAGAGACGGCAACTTACAGCGCTTTTGAATGAAACAGGGTGTTAAGGCCCAGAGACCGTATCAAGAAGTCGATTCTTGGCATCTTCCTTCGGGCACTTTGGACATTTTACAATTGACTGCCGTTCTCGTGGTGATTTAGCCACTCAGGAAATCAGTCCGTTTATGGGGTGCGGCTGTTCAGTGTTTCTGCTAGTGCTACCAAAGCATTCCCACAAGAAATGCACTGCATGTAAGATGCCGTCTCCAGAGGCTTTCTCTCTGAACAGCCTCAAGAAGTCCTACATAAAACCACTTCTCCTGAGATGGGAGGGTAGCAACATGACAAAAGGGGCAGTCACAGCATATTGAGGAGAGGGGCCGCCGCCCTAACCCCCCTTTCCCCACAATGTTGATAAGTACAGGGCGGCGTCACCGTCATCCCAAAAACGACTCAGCCGCGAGAACTGCAAGTGTCGGCACTAAATAATAATCGTTTTGCAGTGTATCGCCAGACCGCGGTGACACTGTGTCTAAAGGCATGTTCACAACTTGAACGCTTACAACTTCGGGCATTCAATAGCACCGCAGACGATAGGGACACACACGATTTCTGCCCCGAGCCCGATCTCCTCGATACGGATCAATCAACAGGTGATCGAGTTCCAGTGATCCACCTCTCCTCGTCAACGAACGATGGCTACCACCGACGATGCCCTTGAGACCTACACGCATCTTCCTCTACACATAGACCCTCAAACTAAACAAGTCTCTGTGCTCTCGTCAGACAAAGCCCTACAGGATGCTGTCGCGAATCTCAACAGCTTGCACAGTGCCCTGAAATCTTTGGAGACCCCGAACAACGTCCCACCGCCTCCTCTGCAAGTAAATCCAAAGCGATCGGGAAATGTCCAAAAACTCCGAGAATCTGCCGCAGCTTCGTCTCGGAAAGGTCAACATGCAGACGCAATTCGCCTTCTTGGAGTTGCCATAGATATGGCAGCCGCGCGGCCTGGTTGGGAACCCATGGGACTGGCAAGAGAAGAACTGGCTCTGATGTATCTGTCTCGTGCAGCAGCAAACGCTGGAGTGCAGAACTGGGTGGAAGGGTTAAAAGACGCCGAGTGCAGTTTGGAGTGTAAGAAAGGCCCTAGCAACGGTCCCAACAGTGAGAAGATCCCGGGAAATGCCAAAGCATACATCGTGGGTGGAAGGTGCTTGATGGAGATGGGTCGATGGAGGAACGCTGTCGAATGGCTCGAGAAAGCCGTCGAGGTCGAGGGTACTGAGGGTGATGACGGGCGAGAGCTGGCCCGCCAGTTGACAGAGGCGAGAAATCATGCAGAAGCCAAAGTCTGAACACTCTCTGATTGACGGGAGAACACTGTTCCAGCCATACCGATGCACCGACATACTGACAGACGGTGTACATCGAAAATGTTGCCTATGTGCAGCATGCTGCCAGCATATACAATGGACGCCATCTGCTCAGGCTTACACATGTTTGTGGTGGATTGCATCATGCGAACACATCTGGCTCGGCAAACGCTCCTACATACTCACTCTCATCAACCTCGCGCTGTTACTTCCCACCAGTGGCTGATATAGGGCATCGAGGACGGCCGGCCCTGGTCCGTAGCTGCAGTTACACATTGTTCCGCTGACTGGCCGAACTGTCTACAGCTCGAGCCCCTGGGCAGCACAAAATACACCCCGCAAGACATCGATATTGTGTATGACGCGGTGTCGCTGCTATCTGGCCGAGTCTCATCGATTATTCCCTGCCCATACATCTCGACAGAAGCTGTGTGGTGTCTGATGGAGAGGATTATGATAGCTCAACAGACTCAACCCGCTGCCGTCGACCGAAGGGTGGTGTTATCACGTCTCCCTTCACCCAAGGATTCTGGAGTTCGGAAGGCTGTCAACAGCAGTACAGCTGAGACGTCAACTCATGTGGGGAGGATCACTACTGGCAGAATGACATTCTAGAGCCTTCAGCTGTAGGTTCGTGCACATTTGCGCCTTTTCCTTTCTCAGGAAGTAGGCATCAGCGGCGTCGCCCCCTGGTTGCTATATTGTGTCGTGGGTGAAAGACCATGAACAAGCGAGGGAGGCTCTCTCAAATCCCCGGCGTAGTGCCCCAAGAGCAGCAGATTGGCAGTCAGGATATTCCAGGGACAGCCGTCTCTGTCTGAAGACCCCAAGCATCACCGGCAATGTTGCAGACGACGTAGATGCATGCCGCTCCAGAAATGTCCTTTGCAGCAAGCCATAGAGCTAGAAAGATAGATATCTCTACTTCAAGCCATCACAAGAACTACGTTCAATCCATTAGTTCCACGTGTCTCTAGAAAGCTGTAAACTGATTCGACTAGCGAGTAGCACTGTGGCCGTCTTGTAGCATCAGTATTTCTCATTTCAGTCGGACTTCACCGTAGGACGGGGCTATATTGACAGCGACGATTGTTTGTTGCTGATGGCTACGCGTCAAATGGAACACCGTTCTGGTAATACCTACAGGAATAGTAAAAAGAGCATACTACATGTCGAGGAGGAAGTGGAAAGCCAAGGGCGCTGTAGGAGCTACAAGACTGATACGATACTAGTACATGGTCTATATATCTTCACTTCACCTACATTCGAACGCTCTCTCCAGCTGTGGAAGTTTTAACCGTCGACCACCACCACAAGGGAAACTGACAGAGGACTTAAAGCACTCCGTCGAAGCAGAGACTGCCCAAATATCCATCAATCTGAGCATGGATCACGACACAGAGGCAGATGGCGATGATGCACTTCTTGCAAGGGTCAGCCGTGCGTTCGCGCCGTATCTGCTACCGCCGAACGATCTGAACAACGTCCGGCAATCACTACGTGGCTACATCGCCGCACAAATCAACGCAACGCAAAATCCCGGGCAGGGCCTCGAGGGACTACGAGCGGAATATGTTAAAGCTGTACGAGCCCACCGCGCTGCGAAAAGTCGGTATGATTCTAGCATCGCTCGAGATCGCGAGCGCGTCACCACAAGTGCTTCAAATACCGCAGAGTCAATAGCACGCGCCGATCCCAGTTCCGCAGTCCTCCTCGGCCAACATATCGAACTGTCAAGACTGCAAGAACAGCACGCCAGACTTGTCACGCTGCAGGATGAACTGAATGCTCTCGCACGCACGAATCGGCGGTTCACCACGCTTGACATTCGCTCGAAAACGACCTCCGAAGCTGTTTCCGCGTATCCGGACACGGAGCGTGAAGTAGCACGATTGAATGATGCACTGACACGATCTGTCAAGGGGCTCGAGAGAGCCGTTGTGGACGCCCACCAGCATGCGACCCGAGAACGAAGTCTGCTACAGGATGTCAAGACGCAGAGGCGGTCTGATTATGACGGTGTCACTCCTCAACAAAAGCTCCATGCACTTTTGGTGACGCGTAGGGAACTGACTGCGTGGTTGGAAGAGAGTCTGGAGAAGTGCCAGGGTAGCAGTTACGAGGCGAGAGGTCAGCAGGAGCAAACACACGACATACGGAACGAAACAGCCTCTGGAGAGCCAGGACAGCTGCTTGACGAGCAATACGAGCAGTATCTCGAAGCACGCAGGCGAGTACTGGCTGTCGTCAGCTCTTTGAAGTCTCCTCTCCCAGAACTACCACAGGAGAGTCCAGACAGCAGTGCAGTCCAGATGACGCGACGCTCGGCGGAGATTAGATGGGCCGAGGAGATCAAGTCTGTGAATCTGATCGAAACGATTCTTCTCCCGGCGTTGCAGCAGCAATCCGCTTCTCGCGCCCTTCTCACCTTTGCGACGGAACGGCAGGCGGATGAGCTCCAGTCGACTATGAACATGCTCGACAGGCTCAGTGACGAAAGTCAGATTCTGCTAGCTTTCCCTCTCCTTGCACGATCAGGACGCTTCGAACACGCAGCGTCGGCCTTTGGGAAGAAACACGCGGTCGAGGATGAACCAAAAGATGAAGTGCTGAGGCGATTAGAGCCATGGCTGTTTGCGGCAGAAGCAGCTGAGACAGCTGCGTCTGGTACGATCGAAGCACATGTGAAACGAGGGAAAGAATCGATGGAACGCTTTGCTCAAAGCCATGCTGAGTTACACCTTCTGCGAGAATGGAATGGCTGATACGAGATGAGAAATCCCCAGATGGGATAAGAGCTTTTTGCACTACGCCTTGGTTCTTCGGACCCCGTCACTGCTTCTCATTCTGGGCAAAGAAGAAGTTGGCTCCTACCACGGTCAAGTCGTTCTCCTCGGCCCAATCCCTGACGCCATGTCGAGGTTTCTCATAACCCCAATGTTTCCTGTCGGATGGTGCCTTCAGGTTGGACGTGTCTCCTTCCAACAAGACGAACACATATCGATGTGATCCGGTCTTCGGTGGCGGGCTTGGTGGAAGATATTCCTCTAACTCGGCTTGTTTAGCTTTGGGCAAATGAGTCGGAGGCTCGGGGATGGGAGTGGTCAGGTTCGTCACAATCCAATGGCACATCTCGGACCAGATTGGGTGGTCTCTTGACTTTGCATCGGGGTCGGTCAGGACGAGAGTAAAGGTCGAGTTTTTGGTAGTGATAGATGAACGTTCAAGAGAATGGAAGGTGAACACAGGTCGCTTGGAGACTGCCTCGACAGGGATGTCATTGCCTAGAAGCACTGTCTCGTGCGACTTGGGGTAGTTGATGTCGAGGTAGTAGGTTGGCTCGAAGTCGTCGAGAACATCGCCGATCACGTCGTTTGCGACTAGAGTGTCTCTGATGGTTGATGCAAGGGAATAGTCGGCGTCAATGACTGCTTGTCGGTGGTCGGGACGAGGTGGAATCGCTGTTGCCGCGATAGTTCCAAGGAGAACGCTAATCGCAACGAAGCTCGCAACGAAACGCATGATGGGCGGGGAGAGAAGTCGTCTCGTTGGTAGTGTAGTGCCTACAATATTGACAAGCTTATGAGGATGGTACAGGAAGATGAATGTCTCTGTGCAAGGGACCTCTCCCCATGTGCCGTGTCGTAATATGACCCCGCCTCAAGAACGCAGAAGCTCCAAGATACAAACCTCACACAGCTGGTGATACAGTACCTTCTCCAGGAAGTTGATGAGCATGAAACACTGCATGGGATGCAACATCCGCCTCGGAAGGCACTACGTCACAGAAGTCGGCAGCATCGCGTTCGCCTCAGGACCACGGTAAGAAATGGTAGGTAGGTAATTAAAATGCCATGTCTGACAGCCACTCTGCTTGACCCTGCTTTGCCCCTGTCGCAGCTGTCACACAAACTTGAAGCCATTTGCGGCTGCGCTGCCTGCGCCTCCTCAACAACCAATCGCCAGCAACTCAACAGCCACTCTTCGGTTGGCTGCCCGTCGCCCGCCCGACTTTCGCGTTTCTCTCTACAACTCTGAAGACAACTTACCTCTCTGCGTGCAGGGTGGTAAACATGTGCCTGCAGGTGGCCATCTGATCAAAAAACAGCTCACCCTTTGTACTATTTTCTCTTCTTCCTCTTCTGTACCCTTTTGGCGACCTGTCTCGTTGTGTATCACCCGCCGCCATCTTTTCCGAAACAACATCTACTCCTCTTCTCGATCCGACTGCCAGCTTTTCATCTTCGAACACTACCATCCATTAACAACCACGGCCGCCGACCATGGCAACCCTCGGCGACGACCTCCTCCGCACCGTCAACAAGCTCCAAGACCTTGTCTTCAACACCATCGGCAATGACTCCCTTGATCTTCCCCAGATAGTCGTGGTCGGGTCTCAGTCCTCGGGAAAGTCGTCGGTTCTTGAAAATATTGTTGGCAGAGACTTCCTCCCTCGGGGTAGTGGCATCGTCACTCGTCGACCGCTCATACTGCAGTTGATCAATATTCCGCCGGACGACGATGACGCCACCAATGGTGACGATGAAGTCCACATACCACACACTCCGGCCAGCGTCGCCGAGCATGGGGAGTGGGCGGAGTTTCACCATATTCCCGGTCGCAAGTTCAGGGACTTCAATCAGGTTCGTGCCGAGATCGAGAATGAGACGGCCAGGATAGCGGGTAACAACAAAGGCATCAACCGTCAGCCTATCAACCTCAAAATTTACTCTCCGCATGTTCTGAACTTGACCTTGGTCGATTTGCCGGGATTGACCAAGGTTCCCATCGGGGACCAGCCTTCGGACATTGAGAAGCAAACTCGGACCCTCATTTCTGAGTATATCGCGAAGCCAAACAGTATCATTCTAGCCGTCTCTCCCGCAAACGTCGATATCGTCAACTCGGAGGCTCTCAAACTGGCTCGTCATGTGGATCCCCTGGGAAGAAGGACAATTGGTGTCCTCACAAAGTTGGATCTGATGGATCACGGAACAAATGCCCTCGATATTCTGTCCGGTCGCGTGTATCCCCTCAAGCTCGGTTTCATCGGAGTCGTCAATCGATCACAACAAGATATTCAGACCAATAAACCAATGTCGGAGGCTCTCAAATCAGAGGCCGAGTTCTTTAGACATCATCCCGCCTACCGGAATATGGCAACGAGATGCGGAACGCAGTATCTCGCAAAGACTCTCAATACCACTCTGATGGCGCATATTCGAGATAGATTGCCCGATATCAAGGCGAGGTTGAACACCTTGATGGGCCAGACACAACAAGAGCTTGCAAGTTACGGTAGCAAGCAGTTCAGTGGCAAGGAGCATCGTGGCTCATTAATTCTGCAGCTGATGACACGCTTTGCAAACTCGTTCATCTCCTCTATCGACGGTACATCGTCGGAAATCTCGACCAAAGAGCTTTGTGGTGGCGCTCGGATTTACTACATCTTCAACTCCGTTTTCGGCAATTCTCTGGAGACCATCGATCCAACTCACAACTTGTCAGTGCTCGACATCCGGACGGCGATTCGAAATTCAACTGGACCCCGACCGAGTCTTTTCGTACCTGAACTAGCCTTTGATCTGTTGGTAAAGCCTCAAATCAAGCTGCTAGAGATCCCCAGTCAACGATGCGTCGAATTAGTGTACGAGGAACTCATCAAAATCTGCCATACCTGCGGGTCGCAGGAATTGTCCAGATTCCCCAGACTGCAGGGCAAGCTTATCGAGGTCGTGTCAGACCTTCTGAGGGAGCGATTGGGGCCCGCCTCGAATTATGTCGAATCGTTGATCTCTATCCAACGCGCATACATCAACACAAACCACCCGAACTTCCTCGGAGCGGCGGCAGCCATGTCTTCAGTCATTGCCAGCAAGAACGAGAAAGACAGGAAAGCGGCGCAAGCAGAAGAAAAGCGGAAACGAGAGAAGCAACGGATGAAGCAGCTAGGTGCCAATGGTACTGCCACTCCGGACGAGGAGGACGCCGAACTGGAGGACAAAGCTACGGCACTCCCGGTGCGAAAACATCCCTCCGCCACTCGCAGCATGTCTCCTGCTGTCGGGCGTGAGAATGGATTTGGTAGTGCCTCTGGCGCAGCAGGCAACTCCGGCACCGCCCGAGATTCCTTCTTGAACTATTTCTTTGGTAAGGACGGAGGAATGCCCTCCGGTGCGCCATCGATGCCGCCCGCGTCTACAAACCCGCATCGCCACCCAACCCAGAACATTGAAGTAAGCTTCTCTCAGAGCATGCGGCGGATGGAAAGGGGTAGCTTCACTGATCGGACGCCTGCGTTCCCTCCTCCAATGCATGATGACTACGCCGTTTCCGAGTACGGCGACTCCCACTCTCTCTTCGTAAGTGCGCCCTCATTCCCTTTCGCGTCCAAATATTTCTAACCTTGAATCTAGCCGGAGCAATCCGCCGAGCCCGTTTTGACAGATCGTGAGGCTCTCGAAACCGAACTCATCCGCCGCCTGATAAGTTCTTATTTCAACATCGTGCGTGAAACCATTGCGGACCAGGTGCCGAAAGCAATTATGCATCTTCTCGTCAACCATAGCAGGGACGAGGTCCAGAACCGCCTGGTTTCGGAGCTGTACAAAGAGGAACTGTTCGGCGAACTACTCTACGAGGACGACGGAATCAAAAAGGAAAGAGAGAAATGCGAGAAATTGCTCGCCACCTACAAAGAGGCGGCTAAGATCGTGGGAGAGGTCTTGTAAATCCTTTGATTTTGAATGTGTATGTATGAGAGAGGAACGGGTTCGAAAAGGAGTTGTGTCTGGTTGGATTCTTTTGTGCTGTTGCAAAGAATGATCTCTTGGTCGTCAGTCCCATGCAAAGCGCCTTTGTCGTTTGTCTCCCCTTCTTCTATGACCCTCTCATCCGCAGGCACTGCCAGCCAGGCGATGACATGGGAAGATCCTCGACTCAACCCACGCCCCTCTCTTACCTTTGGGTCGTTGAGTACATAAATCCTACAATGATACAAACGCTACAATGGAACAATACTGCGCTCATGTTTAAGGATCATGGTCGGATTGACATGCTGATATCGTCCCTTGCCTTTTGTATTTCTGTTCCACCCTCTGCGGAGCAATCTACACAGATACAGCGGGGAGACCCGTCCAGCGGAGGCCCGAATGAAACGTACTCGAGGTCGCTCGCTGTCCAGATTGTTCAGAAGCCATTGTGACCCAGATTGTGACAGCCTGTACCATCTCATTGTTGAGCGCGTCTCCCAGAGCAAGCGTATAATAGCGGGCTGGATGAGAGCTCAGGATGTTTTCGTCTCTCAATGAAAAAAGAGTCCAAAGGGATCAACAGAAAGGCCTCAGGCCCTCGGAGGAGCGTGCTTTCCCCCATGTCTCTTCTATGCAAACGTCGGATGAATCCGCCCAGCAGCTCGATCTAACATGCGTTGTGGCAATACACCAGAGTACCTAAGCCACATCTTGATTAAGAGGCAAGTCCCAAAAGGAAAGGAAAGGAAAATGAGAAGCCGTGAGAGCGAAACAGGAAATCACTTACACATGAATAGTCCACTCGGCCGCAATCCTCCTAGTCTGAGCCGGATCGATGATCTCCTCGACTCCAAACGCATTGGCGGTGCGGATGGGATTCATCAGCCGCCGATATTCATCTTCGAGCCGGGTATACAGCTCCTGCTTCTTCCCCTCCGCCTCGGCCTCGGCCTGTTTCAACTGCCAGCGATGGCCGACTTCGATGCCGCCGTCGAGGGGCAGACTTCCCCACTCACCGCTCGGCCAGGCCACGCGCATCATGGGATCACGACACGCAACCATGACGCCGCCCGCGACACCGTAGACGCGACGAGTCAAGATGTTGAAGAGCGGCACTGTGGTGGAGAGATAGGCTTTTGCGAGCTCGACGCCCCAGCGCATGGTTGCTTTCGTGCGTTAGTCAGTAGCCTTGGGAAGTGATTGATGGTGTTGTTTTCAACGTTCGCTCCGCAGGGTAAGAGAGCAGAAGACGAGAGGCAAGAGGCATAAAAAGAAAAGAGTGGAAGGTCAGTCAGTATTGCAACATACCTTGTTTCTCGGCCACCGTCCCGATAGCATACCCTGGAACATCGACGAACTGAACAACCGGCAAATTCATGACATCGCACAGCTTCAGATGGCGGGTGATCTTCTGCGCCCCTCCCGCATCCAGGGCTCCCGCATTGACTTCGCAGTTCAGAGAGATGACGCCGACAGGGTGTCCGCCCAGCCTGGCGAGGCCGACAATGGCTGTTCTCCCCCACAAAGCACCGATCTCGAACCAGGAGCCTCTGTCAACGACGATGCGGATGATCGCTTTCGCATCGTACATGCGCGTCTTCTTGCGCGGGATGATCGTCCTCAACTCTTCGTTGGTTCGGGAGATCGGATCTCTGCTTTGAATGATGGGTGGCAGCTTCGAGTGTCCACAGTCGGGCAGGAACGAGAGTACAGTTCTGAGCTGGTCGAAACACTCGGCTTCATTGGCGGCCAGGTTGTCGATGGTGCCGTTGGTGCAGTGGATTGCCGGCCCGCCTAGGTCGCGCAAACTCAGGCCTTCTTCAAACGTGGCCAGCTCGACCACCTGCGGCCCGGCATTGAATAGGCTTCCTATGTCGCCCGCCATGACGGAGAAATGGCATGCCACGGCACGCGCTGCGCCGATGCCAATCTAATCAAGTCATCCGTTAGAAAGACGAGATGCTCTCGAGTGGGACCTAGCAAACCGCAGTTGCTGAATGCTGAACTTACTGCTGGACCGAGGACGGCCGCCAGGTTTGGAATTCCCATGTTGAGTCCGTTGATGGCCTCAATGAACCCCGGCACGCCTGGAACATACGACCATCCGAATTTCTTGATGCTAGTCACCGAGCCACCGCCTGAAGATCCGTCTGTCAATTTGATGATGGGCAGGTGCAGCGCTATGGCAAGTTTCTCGGTGTATACCTTTTCAGGAATGTCAGCCAGGGCCCAGAGAGACATGTCGACACTGCCGGGACGGACAGATCTCACTGAACGGCACCAGTTTTACGGATACTCAACTTACTGTTTTGTCGGAGATGGCTCCATCCGCGTGGCCAGCTCGGATGGAATAGTCGTCCGCCGTCAAGATGATCTTCCTGCCGCCCAGGAGTCCGAATCCTGTATGGAAAGTGTCAACCAACAATTGGGCAATGGGACTGACATGCTGTGCAGTCAGAGAGAAGATAAAGACACAAAACACAAGACACCACCGTCTCACTGATCTCAACTGAGAGCCCACACAACTGACTTAAGTGACTGACTTACTCACCTTGAAGGTTGTTCGTCGGAGTAAACCCTACCGGCTCCTCATCTCTCGGTCCCGTCTGCCTCCATTCAACGAAACCACTAGCACTGCCTATCTCCCGGAACGAGTCTTTGTCGAGCAGCTGGTCCAGCCGCTCCCGCACCCACAGTTTGCCCTCACTCTTCTGCCTCACGTAGCCTCTGTTGTTGACGTCAGGCGTGTGCGCAATGGTGCGCAGCTTTTGCAGGTTCCCAAGTACATCCGAGTAGTCGGCTGGAGGACCGGCCGTCCTTGACGACTTTGACCGACGACGGCCTTTTCCCCTTGTCTCGGATTCTGGTGGAGAAGTGTCCTGACTGCCCGCTACATGGCCGGCAACTTGTGAGAGGCGCTCTGTGGCCGTCGACTTTCCGGACTCTGCAGAAGCAGACGCAGAGGCGGGCTTGGATGGCATTGCACAACGAAGTAAGTATCAAGTTGATGAGGAAGTTGGGGGCTGAAGGCGTGCCCTCAGTCCTTGAAATTGAGCCTCACGACTCCAATCTCGATCTAGGTCATGGGCTTACTGCTTCTTACATTCGATGTTGGGAGATGGAGTGCCTTTACGTCGTTCAGTCGCCGGCAGAGCCTCCTGGTATGGAGTGTTCGTAGTAACGGTAACGGTAAAGGAAACATCAACAAATCCGTTGGATAACCTCGGATGTTTGTGATCGTGCGGGTAAACGGGTAACGGTGAAATCCCCAGGCGGGGCCCCGGCCAAAAGTGGACAGCCGGATATGGAATTGCCGATGGGTTACCGGTGGGTCTTGTACCCAAATCTCAGCCTCGAGTCTTCAGCCTCACCATCAATCCTTGGCCGGGGGAGTAGAATGACAAGTATTCATTTCTAGGACATTTCCAAGTCCTGATTGGGGGAATGGAGAGTGAAAAAGCCATGGAGCCGCTGTAAAGGAGTTGTCTATAGTGTAATATTAGTTGACCGGCTGTTACTGGAACTAATCGTCGCAGCAGGCACGGTATAAGCAGCGCCTAGTCTAATGCCATCGAACGTGGTCTAACTTCCTTATTCGGTGGTCGAGCAGTGCGCTCATTTTGTATTCAGTTCAGGAGGTTCCTGGGGAACTGGTAATCTCTGCGATGTGCACAATGATCCCCCATGACAAGTATGCCATATTCTTGCATCTTGTAGGCTTCAACCTCCTCCCAGGGCAATGATGGCTCTAGCTTGCATTGCCAGGGTTCCTCTTGGACGAAATAGTGTCCGCCTCCTGCTTCTTCCATGATCAACGAAGATCTCTTCACAGTTTGGCACTCAAACTCGAACCGCTACCTTGTGCCTGCGTGACCAGCTGTATCTCGCAAACCAACATACCCTCGCCGACAGTCTCTCCCTCCTCAACATCACAGACCCAAGTCAAACGGCCGGCCGTTGGGGCGCGAACCTCCAACTCCATCTTCATCTGCTGCACGACCATGAGGACCTCGCCTTCTTGCACTTCGTCGCCGACTTCAACCGGTAGTTCCACCACGGTTCCAGCAAACGGTAAGATGACGTGGTTCGGATCTGAAGGATCGCCCTTGCGATGGTGCGACGAAGCCAGACCCGACCCAGCAGTTGAGGCCGCCAGACTGGCGGTGTAGGTGTTCTTGGCTCCCCCAGACGAGTCCGTGACCAGCGAAACGTCGCCGGCAATCAAGTTGGGAAAATCATTGTTCACGATCCGCTCTAGGACGATAAGGTGTTCCCGCTCAGGACCGTGCCTATCATCATCGTGCAGTTCCCGCAGCTTGACTCGGAATGAGTCGCCTTTCTTGAAGAGCAGGCTAGACGGTCCTCCGACAGCTACCTCAGTGGAGGAAGGACCGGCTCCGGCTTCAGCTCCAAACGCCTTCTCCTTTGCCGTGAGCGCTGTGGCTTCCAACTCCTGTCCGAGGCTCCGAATTTCATCCAGATGAGTCTCAAGCCACCGTGTCGAACAGCAGGATTCTTGAAAGTCCGCAGATGCCAAGATACCCAACAATACCGACACATTTGTCTTGACGCCGCTGATGGCCAGTTCGTTTAGGGCTCGTAGGCCTTTCAGCCTGACTTCTTCCTGGGAAGGCGCGCTCACAATGATCTTGGCGAGTAGAGAGTCGAACGCCGATCCGATAATCGTGCTTCGGCGGCCGCTGATGTGAGTGTCGACACGTACGCCGCGGCCTCCGGGGCTGTGGAACTGCGTAACTCGACCCATGCTCAGGGCAAATCCTTGCGCTGGGTCTTCGGCCGTGACACGCAATTGAATAGCAAATGCGTTCTTCGCAGGCTGCGCGAGTGAGGCCTCGTGAAGGTCGGACGGGAGGGCCAACCGGTCCAAAGTCGCTCCTTGGGCAATAAGCAGTTGAGCTCGAACAAGATCGACGTTGGCAGTTTCCTCTGTTACTGTGTGTTCCACTTGGAGACGCGGGTTGACTTCGAGAAAGTAGAATTCCGGTCTCGACTCATGGACTAGAAACTCGAATGTTCCCAAAGACCGGTATTGTATCTAGGAGTAGTCAGATAGTCTGTTAGAGGCTTGGACCCGGTATTGAATCTGAAGGAGACACGACAGAACCGAAGTCGAAAAGCATATCTCTTACCGACTTCGCCATTTTGATCGCACTTTGAATCACGCGTGCCACTAAGGACCGGTCTTTGATCGTCGAAGGTGCAAGCTCAACCATTTTCTGGAACCTGGTGAAGTACATCAGTCAACGTGGACGCCTGCGATATCGCAGTCTCAAAGAAAATCATACCTTCGCTGGATACTGCATTCACGCTCCCACAGATGCGACACATGCCCGCGACCGTCCCCGATGATCTGGACCTCCACATGCCGGTACCCGTCGATCGCCGCTTTCTCGATAAATACCTTCCCTCCCGGCGATTCGCCGCATGCTCGATCGAAAGCATCCTGCAAATCCTCAGAGCGAGTGACCAACCGTATTCCCCGGCCTCCACCACCGTCGACGGCCTTGATCATCAAAGGGAACCCGATGTGGGCGATGAAGTCTGCCGCCTGCTCGAGCAGGGAAATGGGCTGCTTCAGCGCTGGTAAGACAGGGACACCGCAAAATTCAGCAAGCGCTCGAGCATCAGTCTTGTCACCAGTGCGTCTCAGGGTCTCTGGCGTCGGGCCGACGAAGCAGATTCCCGCCTTCTCCAGAGCGTCCGCGAATTCTGCATTTTCAGATAGAAAGCCGTACGCCGGATGGACTGAATCAATGTGATTGTCAAGACATAACTGCTTTAGAAGATCCTTGTTCATGTAGTCGCTGGGAGACTGGAGGAGCAACGCCTCGTCTGCATGAATGGCATGATTCGAATCCTCGGCAGTGTAGACGGCGACAGTGTCAATTCCAAGTTCTCGGGCTGTCGAGAGGACTCGGATTGCTATTTCACCTCTGTCCCAGACTATTAATCCAAGCCTTGTGCCTTTAAGGTGTCAACAACTCACCTGTTGGCGACCAGCAAACGCCGAACTTTGGAAGCCGACTCCATAACAGAATAGTCAGGGTAAGTACCAGTAGCGGACACAATGATTTGGGTCACCTCTCAAGACTGGAGATGATCGGACGCCTGGCCAAATGGTGCCATATATGTAAAGATTAGCCCGACGTCGACCAGATTCGTACCTCAGTTCATTACTATCACTATGTTCTCTTTGGACGAGAGCGAGGAGTTAGTTGGTCACCTTTAATGGGAGACGCTGCAAACATGTTCTACAACCACAGACCCGACCAAGTTGTAGCCGGGAAAGAAACCGAGGCTCAACCATGGCAAGTGTTGATACCGCGGGGAAACTCCCCGAGCCAGGAATATGGGGATGAGAGGATGTCCTTCATTATCCCCACAAGCGATTGATTCCCCCAGTCCATCACTATCGACCCACCCAACGTCCTGAATCTGCGTGTTCGAATACCGAGACTGAAATAATCATAACGACTGAGGGACGACGTACTTGCTAAGTTGCTATGCAGTCGTACATATTCGTGGTCTTTCTGAAGGCGAAATAGAATTGAAAATGGCGAGCGACAATTATTGAACTATGGCTCTTCCTTGCGCCGCTTGCGCCGCCTGCGCCGCAACAATGACTATGGCTGACAGGCATCCAAGCGTCAGGAAATAATAAACGGCAGCGACATTGCTCGTACCCTTGGGGCGCAAGAAAAGGGGCAATCAGTCGACAATCTGTAAAACTCAAGCCTAGGATGACTTGTCACTCAATCATGCCCGGCACTGTAAGTATACATGTCAACACAACACCGACACGGATGACTTGATTTCCGACAATCATAAATGAACGAACAGCCATCTTCGCATCGATATCGGTTGGTGCGCGCAAGCTCCTCGAGAGAAGGTCAGAGTGCTCGGTGGCCCGAATGTTGGTCATTTCAAATTTGCTGCTCATCAACAAGTTGCTGGACTGCCTGCCTAACCGAATCTTCGGCAGTCCCCAGTAGCACCGACGTGCCTTTCCAATGCAGAGGCCTTATAAGACGGATTCATTGCTCTGGTCAACAAATCAACGAGATCCTGATGGCCGTGTTCCCGTGCGAGGTCAATAGGGAGTTTGTTCATCAGCACAGCCGTCTTGCAAGGATCAGCACCGTATCGTAGAAGAACTCGAGCAGCCTCAGTATCCCCCTTGACGCAGCAGGTCAACAGTGGTGTCAAGCTAAACATAGTAAGATCGAAAAGCTCGGGATACTCTTCGTACAGGATGTGATTGGGCGGCGCGCCCTTCTCCAGCAGGAACCGCAATATCAACAGAGTTTGCTCGTCGCCAGGTTTTATTTGACACACATAGTTGACAAGCTCCCCACGATCTGCTCTGCCGCCGTGCTGGAACAGAAAACGGACCATTGCGAGAGACGAATATTTGACGGCACGACTCAGGGGAGTTATGGCCTCTTGCGACGCGAAAGCGTTAGGATCGGCGCCATGAGCAAGAAACCATCTGACGACTTCCTCCTTTTTTTCCTTCATAAGGGTCCAGCTGCATATTGATTTGGTTTAGCTGGGTCTTGGATTTTGATGTCAGAAGATGTTGACTCACCCCAGGTATGGAGGCTCCCTCCAGCTCTGTGGTGTGTTGATGTCCCAGCGGTTATCAAGGACAACCTGAAGAGTTGGCAGTGACATAGGGTCGACTGCACCAAAGATCACACCCTTATTTTTTCAAACAAAGAGTTTGTGACCAGTTTCAAAACAGCGGGCGAGATCGTCAGCTCGTCCTTCCTGAGCAGCCTTGGAACCATCATTCCAGAATCGTTCCTGCTCAGGGCTCATTGGGTACAAGCTTTCCTCGGTGTCTTCTGGCATCATTGGATCTTCTGCCAAAGCCGTCACGCCGGGCGTACAGTGTGGTGAGCAGAAGTAGAAACCGGAAATTCAAACCGACGGACGAGACCATAGCCAACAACTTGAACTTGACTGCCACCAGACTGCTAAGATATGGGGATGATGCGCTAGTACTATTATGGACGAGGGCCTCATATAAACTCAAACTTGAATGGTGTGTTGCTCAGTTAAGCTTAATTATGGCCCGGCCCCATCCGGACGTTGAGGGTCTAGCATTCAGTTCATCTGAGAGGGTCTGTATCCACCTGATCATGCCCACAGCCCAACATGTACCCTCCCTGAATATTCCATCGCACATCTGAACCAGTCAAGGTACAAACGATGTAGTGCCTCGATCGGATGAAAAATGGACAACCGCATGGCCCCCTAGTCACTCCCAATCCTCATAGACTTTTTCATCATCTAGATATACAAAGCTGGCCCGAGCTAAAATATGCGTTGGCCTCCCAGGCAGAGGCAGGCCGTCCAACAACAACCAAAAGCTGCAGAAAGGGGTATCAATGAATGAAAGAAGACAGTTTCCCAGCCCTAGTCAACAAGCGTCTGCCTTAAAAGGCAACACCAACACCAGGGCTTCTCAATGGTCCACCAATCTCTTCAATGATGATGCCGTCTGATCGCTTGAGAACCTCCGCATAGTCCGGAGAGACATCTGGGATGCCGCTCATGATCGGCCTCAGGCCTTTGACGATGCTTCGGACAGTGGCAGGTCGGATTTGCGAGTCGGTAGGCGTAGCTATACTCGTGTTCGTCGGACTTTGGTTTCCGAATGACAAAATTTCCGTCGCCACAGTGCTAGCCACGGTCGACTCTGTCATGGTCCGATGATGATGAGCCGGTAACAAGCTCAAAGGTTTCGGTGGTGCCGCGGAGACATGATAGAAATGGGATCGTGTGCGTCGATGCTCTGCAAAAGATGACGACGAGGAGGAAGAGGTCTTGGTGGTGCTGATCGAAGATGACTGACGGTGATCAAGCCATTGCGAAATACGCTTTTGTGTCTGCAGATTGGGATGGAAATACCCAGCTGTGTCATATATCTCGCTTAACTTGGAGAGATTTCTGGCAGCGGCAGCGGGAACGACTGGAGCTGAAGCCTGCACACTGGGGCAACTTGAAAACATCTCAGCTTCATCCATTGCACGACAGTCAAGAATCTTGGGGAACTCGAGCACAACACCACCAACGGTGACTGACGTGTTTGGTGGGCTGAGTTCTTCCTGCATAGGTGTCAGAACCGCAACGGAAGGCTCTGATCGACTGGGGATGTGAGCCTGTGGGGGCAATCCTGGAAGCGAGATCCAGGAGACGGGATGAGAATGGAGAGCATCGTATTCAGAGGGTGGACGAGATGTCGATATGACTGTGGATGAATTATTAAGTCGTGTATGCGAAATGCGACGTCGTTCAATCATAGACACAGGTTTGACAGGGGTAGGCATCATTGACAACTTGTTCGAAATGAGCTCTTCTGACTTGGTTCGCATCAGAGCCCGAGGCGGTACTTTGATCTCGCCCACCTCCGTGAAACTCAGTTTATCAAACTCAGGCAGATCGGACAACCGGTTGTTGGGCATGTAGATGCTTAGCTCCAGAGGACGAAACTGCTGCGCAGTCCTACGGAAGGTGAGTTGGTGATCTGGCGGGAGAGGTGGGCGGGGACTGGAATTGATGGGTCTCGAAGGTGTATCCCTTTTTGTAGACAGACTAGATCTGAGCGAGACCTTGCCCTGGGACACCCATTGCGAGATCCGGGAGAGCGGCTCTGGAGTCGGAGTCGTCGGCAGGTCGTCGAAGACTGTGAGCTTCATGGGAGGGACGAGGTGAGGCTGTTGGTACATGATGCGCATCTCGCGCTCGACGCCTGGCCAGTGTCAATGTACCACCACGATGGCTTTCCTGGAGACCACTAACCGGTGATGATTGAGGTCCGATCAATTTCGTATTCATGCTCTGACTTTGAAGGGGACAGACAATCGAGGAAAACGAAATTACATGTTGGCTCGAGCGAGTCTTCGCGCGACGATTTCGGCTTCATTGCGGCGAGAAGACCAATTCTCAACACCGATGTTTGGAAGGCAGCGTTGCACGATCACACACCACGGCAAGATACTTTGGTGATGCCAGCATCTATCCAACAATCGGCAGGAGGAGGAATGCAGTGAGGAGCATATATGAAATCAGAGGAAGTGGTGATCGGAAACACGCAGTCGCAGCCCGACACCTACTTTGAGAAGGTCCCGACGGCTACACAGATCAGAACGATGAAACAGACCTTACCACCTCGTCGACACACACTCAGAGAACATGTGTGCCTGAGGGATCACGCTCATGGCTGGTTCGCAAAGGCATGTGCGGAGCCTCGAGTCCTTCAATCACATTGTAGTCGGCGCTTGTTGATGATATATGGTGCCAGGCCAGTAACATGAATTGGAGACTCTCGCAACATCACGTACTTGGTTGGCTGAGAGGTTGCCAGCAAAGATCATCCCTTTCAGTCAGCAAATCTTCCGGCACGGTCAGAGTCCACAAGCGCCGCTCTCAAAGCCAGGCGCAGTTGTATTGATGGAGAAATGAGCATCGTCATTCGCGGAGAGCCAGAGGGAAGGGGGATGTGTTGAGATGAAAGCACGGCGCTTAGAGGAACATAGGCCAATTAAGTTGCGACACCTTGTGTTCGGACAGCCTCACAGCAAAAGAAACTCGAGGCTGAAGCATTTCTTGTTCGTGTTTCAGGTTCGAGTTGTTTGATACTCTGACACTGGTCGAGAGAGACCAGGCAGCTCAAGACAGGTTTGACATTAACACTACTAGTATGATGACGATGCTTGTATCGACCCTAGCATTACGTCTTCCCTGCCATGCCAGTCATTGGCAATTTTGTACGAATACACATATTCGCATACAAAGGTGGCCTCCTCGCCACGCACAATCGAGCCACAAACTGTCCTCCGCAGGAGCCGGATACAGAAAGCAATCTCAGTATCTCTCCACAATTCTCCGCTCTCCCACCATCGAGTCATCCATAGGTTCCATTTCTCTGTCCGGCGCATCCAAATATCTCATGTGAGGCTCCACCACACGGTATCGGGGTTCTTCAGCAGGGACGTATCTGTGGCCGACGGATGGCCTGCCCTCTACAAAGACACTTCGTTCGCGCATCACAGGTCGAACACTCTGAGCCCGCGACATCATCTCCATCGGTTGAGACTCTTCATACCGCATTGCTGGGGGTCGTACGCTGCCCATTCTGAGAGGGTCGCGAAAATCGGACTGCTCGTCTGGGTAGATAGCGGATCGCATGGTTCGGTCGATCTGTACACTGGAGCTTCGTGGTAAGGGACCTGGCTCCGCATACTCTCGGGAGACGGCCCCGGGAACAACCGAGGCACGCGAAACTTCCATTGGCCGGCGGTAGACGACGGATGGCGGAGGCATCTCGGATGTGTAGGTTCGCTCTGGTGGAGGTTCAATGAACACTGAGCCTGCGCGGGCGGTGCGGTAATGATCGTAGCCAGGGTCCGCCTCTGTCCTCCGAACCGGTGTAGCCCTAGGAGCGACCGAGGGCCTTTCCTGGATTACTTCGCGGAATCTTCTGCCATATTGGTCGACCACGATCCTCTCGACCGGAGGTGGCGGCATGGGTTCGGCAGCATAGCGTATCGTAGGCTCCCCTTCCTCATATATTTCACGGTAAACCGGAGCCGGTGAACGCATGACTCGCACCTCCTGGGGAGACTGCGCATATTCCATGGGCACGAGCCGAGACGCTTCTCGTATTGCTGGGCTGCCAGTTCTCGCGTAGGATGTCGCTCTGGCCCTGGTAGGCGTATCGTAATAGGAGTCGGCATACTCTCGGACGCCTTCGGCCCGCATGTTGTGCATGCTCGCTACTCGACGCAAGTCTGATTCGTCTCTCATGGGCCTCAAGCCGACCCTCGAAACTGCGCGAGGCTCGCTCAGAGGCATCAACTGTTCAACATGGCGTGGAAGCGGCCGTGAAGGAGAATCCACATACCGGTCAGGAGCTGGCATGTATCGGACGTCTTGCATGGGCTCTTCGTCCAGTGAGATAGGTTGCTCAGCACTACCCATTGGTCGTCCGGCTGAGCCAAGCGGTTGTACGTCGTGGAAAGGTGGAGGGGAAACCTGTTCTTCTTTGAGGAAAGTATCCGGGGAGACTCTGCCGTTTCGCCTAGCCTTCTTCTCGTTCCGCTTTTCAAGCTTTCTCTTCTTCTTAGGGTGCGGTTGTTGAGAATCGTCGGGACTGGTGGGAGACCCTGCCCTGCCGTTGCGGGGGGATCGTCGTTGACGACCATTCTGCGAGAAAGGTGCATCCTTAGCTACAGCCAAAGGAGAGACACGCGACGGTACAGGGGCAAAGGGGGAGGTTATTTGATTCCTTACAATCCGCATGTTGGCCTCCGATGGTGAGATGGGTCTCTTCCAACTGCCGTCTAATTCCGAATACCTGCGTAGGGGCCGGTTCCGTGGGTCTAGGTTGCCTTGCATGACTTGAGATTGGGCAACACTGGGTGTGGGATATTGCGCCGTTGCCTCCGGAGGCGAGTACTCCCCTTCCTCCTCCTCGTCATCAAGGTCGATGGTGGCGGGTTGGGTGTGAGGGTGGGGCTTCGACGACGTCGCGGCAGCAAGTGCAAAGGTGGCATTGTTAGTAGAGACCGCATTCTCAGGAGCCTGCTGCAAAGGTGAGCCCATGACGGCACTCACAACAGGCGGGCCGGGAGGCTCATAAGCTTCTACCTCTTCACCATCTTCGGCAGACGAGCTTTGAGGTCCATTCTCGGGTGTTGAGTCGGGAGCCCGGCTGGAATAAAAAGAATTCGCGTCGACAGAGTCGCTGCCATCAGCATCCTCCTTGGAAGAAGGAGGTTTGGTGGCATCCAACACTTTGGCAAGAATGGCAGGGAGATCAAAGTCGGGCTTGGCCTCTGAGGGCGCAGGCTTTTTCCGGGCATCCTGTCTCTTGTGCTCGAACTGATCTCTCAACGCCTTTTCAAGTCTCTGTCGCTTCAGCTGGAATTCGGCCCGAACTAAATCATCTGACTTTGTCAAAAGGACAGGATCAAACTCAGAAACATTACTGGCGGGTTGGCTGGAGGAGACAGGGGCACCATCTGCTTTTGTCTGTGTTTGCGTAGAATCTTCTTCACGCCTCAAATGTGCAACTGCACCGCGATCTGGCGAAGCACTTGGGAGGATGGGAGGAGGAACGTTGAAGCGGGATTGGGACACGGCCAAGGGTGTCTGAGAAGAAGCGATGCGGAGAGCATGGGCAGGCACTGTGAGTCGTGCATGGTTTCCCGAAAAGACCTCATCGCGTATCCTAAGTATCTTCTCATATTCCGAGGCTTCATTGAAGGGCTGCACAGTCGGATGCAGGGTGCCGTTTAGCAGAGGAGCAGCTGAAGCTGACATTTCTGCTAGTATCGCGTCTGAGCTGCGCGAATTGAGACTCAAGTTACCTGCACAATAACATGGCGATGACCACCAAAGAGGGGAGGGAAGAGTTTGAAGAAAGCCTGCAGACTGGTAACACAGCAATACAGAAGGAGTATCACCGTCAGAGAATGATGGTTGAGATGAAGCAAAGGGGTTGAGACAGTGAGGAAGCGCAGGCGCAGTTGATTGTGAACTCGCGTTTCTCTAAAATTTTGGGGCTCATACCCGGTTAGTAGCACAACCTTACTAGAGACAGCTTCCGCCAAGACCAACAACCAATGTCATTATCACGTGAAGATTGTGATCACGTGATGTGTTTGGAAATTTGCTGCCGCTGTCACGGGTACCGTCTATATTTGCTGGATTGATGTCGACGAGGAGTCATTGATTTTTGGTATATTACTTTTTCATTGTCTGGATACCTCATTATCCTCCAACGTTGATAAGAGCCATCATTCCACAAAAGCATTTGTCGCAGCTTGGTTGCATACTATATCGTTCTCTTCACTGCTCTTCTCTTCATTTCTAGTGCTCTAAAAAATATGGGTTCCGTTGAAGGCTTGTCCGCAGACAGGAGAGCCATTTTTTTCTTTGACATAGACAACTGCCTGTATTCCAAAAGCAAGAATGTTCACGACCATATGGCCCGCTTGATAAACGCCTACTTTATCAAACATCTCAACCTGGGCGTGGAGGAAGCTGCAAGACTGCATCAACAATACTATAAAGATTACGGGCTGGCCATTGAAGGTCTCGTACGTCATCACAAGATCGACCCGCTGGATTTCAATCGGGAAGTGGACGATGCCTTGCCGCTGGACGAACTGCTTTCTCCAGATCCGGAGACTCGCCAAATTATGGAGTCGTTTGATCGGTCCAAGGTCAAGCTGTGGCTCTTCACCAATGCGCACATCACTCACGGCCGCCGCGTGATCAAGCTGTTGAAAATTGATGATCTTTTCGAGGGCATCACCTACTGCGACTACACGCAGAGGAAGTTGATCGCCAAACCGTACCCGGAGATGTTTGACAGGGTCGAACGAGAAGCAGGGGTGAGGGAAGATACTCCGATATATTATGTGGATGACTCTTTCTTGAATTGTCAAGCGGCATATGCCCGGGGATGGACGAACACAGCACACCTCGTCGAGCCGGGAACCCCAGAACCATCAGAGAAGGCGTGCAAATATCAGATCAGCCACCTTCGAGAACTTCTGCAACTTTTCCCGGAACTACTCAGGCAGAAGGAAAGCCATATGAAGGATGGAGTGAGGTCGTGAGAATATAATACATACAGACAAAGACCGTGCCGTCAACCCGACGCTACCACGATGAAAAGACTTTGCTAATCTACTTGCTTGTTCGGACGCAGAATTCCCAATCCCATCAGCATCATAAAAGTCGTCACGTCATATCGTTGCGCCCTACACAACGAGCAGTTGTCGTCTTCGGCCAGACAGGTCGCTCGGGCAGAATCTCCAAGCTCCAGCGTGTTTCCTGGAATGCCAATTTCTGATGAGTGCCTCCAAAATCCAAGGACCCGCAGGGAAGTCGCCTCTGATGCCGTCGATGGTGAATGTTCTGTCCTGACAGCCAAGATACCACGGGAGGTCTCTATACAGGTTTGCATCCTTGATGGCTAGGCGTTCGGCATGCCTCCATATCTTCTTCAGCGCATTGGGTTCCGGAACGTCCAAGTTCGCCAGGCTAGTGATTTCGTCGTGTAAATGCTGGATGAGACTGGGGGCAAATGATTCGATGATATGCCGAAAAGTAAGACCGCAGAATTCTGACGGTTTCGTGACAGAGAGATACTTCTCGAAGAGGGTGAGTCCCTCGGCGAATGATTCGTGTCCTTTCATGTTCTCTTCCATGGCCCCGGGTCTGCCCAGGAGCTTCTCGATCTCTGGGAACAGGTAGTTGTCCTCAACGTGATGGTGCTGGTTAAGTGTTCTCATGAGTCGCTGGTTGAAGTGGAGAAAATCACTGGCTTCTTGTGTGCAAGGCTGAACCAAAACAGCGTGATTCCAAGAGGCATTCAATGCCCGAATGATGGTGTTATGTATTTGTGCCATCTGGCGGGCACACCAGGAAGCACTGTGGCCCTTGTGCCCCGAAGCAGGCACAGTATTCTGATGGACTGTGGTGATGAGTGGATAATGGTCGTCGACGAATCGAAGCGTAGCATGACTGCTTGCTTGTGATGTGCCAGATGTTGACCTCGAGGATGCTGAAAGGAAAGAGCCGTGCGACCGAACAGAACGGAGCGAGGGAGACGAAGGCGCATGCTCCATGTCAAGTCTGTATGCTTGTCGGTCTGCTTCCGAGAGATACAGGAGATGCAAGTATTTCGGTTGAGGAGATGATTTCGGGGGCATCGTCGATAAGGACCTGTCTTTCACAACCGGCTCCCTGATGAGAGGTACTTCTTGCATTCTGAATCTTGCCTTGATGTCAGTGGACCTAAGTGTTGGATCGTACTCAAGACAATGTCACTCGAAATGGGAGCGAAAGCAATTGAGTAGCGAGGGCAGATTTCCCCGGCCTTATGTATATGACACGATCTGATGGGATCCCTGTTCATATTTCTATATTCGCTCGCAAAAGTCCAGGTCCAGCCCTGCAGTGATGGGTGCCAACGCCTCGACGCTTACCTTGTCTCGCTAGTTCGATATCAGGCCAGGTACTTTCTGGGCAGGGGGATGCGTCGATTGACCAGAAAGTCACAAGGGTTACCTAGCCGAGGCTAGACAACGCCATGTCTGGTCACTGCTACCACCAGGTAGGCCAAGACGCGTCTCCAAAGGGTTGCGAAAGTACCTGTACTATAAACATGATTGACGTGGACTTGACAGCTGAAAGACTCACAGAAGCCACCAAATCTTAAGTGGTCAGATCAGACCTGATTCGGAACCCTTGCATTGTTGTTCGTATGGCTTTCAGGTACTGTACCACTGCAAGGGGATTGCCCTAGCCCGAATCCAATGTCGACAGCGACCCTGGTAGAAGGTTTCCGTTCAGGGGTACACCTAAAATGCTCTTCTTTGGTGTCACAGTCTTGCTGGCCACGGCTGGAAGAGGCCGCCACGTGTTGATGTCAAGAGTGCACCGTCTTTCCAGCAACCGACCGCCTTCTGAGCAACCGTTCTTCTCGCTGCAATCAAACGAGGCAAGGAACCCGCCTACTACCGGGGTGATCCGGCCCAAGAAACTGGAGCGGCCTCCACCCCAGTCAGTTTCTCCTCTGTAAACAACCACCTGCGTACAAACCCATTGGCGCGGATGGGTCTTAATTCAATTGGTCTTCGGTTTCAGCTGGCTTCTATCCAGTCGCTTCTGGAACTCGGCATCTGCTCTGTACATCTATGGCAGGTGTCTCTTGCTTTTCCCTCCGCCGGGGCCCTCCGCATCGCTCGCTGTACGAATGAAGCTGCGCCGTGTGGACGGGCCACACTGCTTGTGGAAACATGATCCATCATCTTGGGTGAGCTTGCTAGGCCATGTGAGCTGAACAGGGTCTACGAGGTAACTAGCTACCTTGGGTGAGCTGAGTATGACACCTCCTCATGTATGGCCCTGATAGCAGACTTCTCGCATAAGAATGTTTATTGACGACTTGACACGTTGACACAACAACGTATGAGTATAGAGTTTGTTAGAGGAAGCCGAGGGGTCAATAGTAGTGTTGGCTATTTGTGATCTGGGATAGATGCGATGGGCAGCAACAATAATGACTGAAGACGGTCCGGGATATGCCTGTCGCCTGTCAGTACGCTACAGGTATTTGCTCGCAGCCACAAGGCTAACGGACCATGGCTGCAGCAAACTCGCCTGAGAAATGGCTGGCTGACCTCATTACACGTCGCACTGCCGGGGTGAGACTGATCGAGTCCTTTGCATCTAGACCATGGTTCCTCGTCCATGCGGTACGGATGCTGGGAAGCACGTCCAGCCCATGCCGGCACTTGGAACACACACCTGGCGAGGCTGGTAAGTGGTACGTATGAGCCGAATGTCAAGGATCAGGGACCCGGAGCATACACCTTCGCGGATTTGAGAACAACAAGCTGGTTAAGTTGCACAGCAACACATCCTTGTTGTCAGATCATCCTTGGTCCATTGGGAGAAAATAGGTACTTTTCTGTATACTACCTCCTAGTAGTAGGTAAACATTGACTACTATCTGGCTGGAAGAAACCGAAGCGCAGCCTGCACTGCTTGCTTCAAGTTGGTGATGATGCAGTGGGCTCCTTAGGCAAGCGCAGGCGGGCCAAGATAGTCGGAGTCTCAACTACAGACTTGGTAGAGTGAACGTTGCCCCCTCTCACTGACGCACGTACCAAAATGCGGTCTCTTCCACCATCACGCTTCTCACTTCTATGCTCGATTTTCCCACCTCTGCATCTACTCTTTACAAAGTCCTCTCCACTCTCTAAGTACAGATCCTTTCGCCGGCTGACATCTGACATGAGTCCCTTCTGCTAAATCTTTCCCGGATCTTGCACCTCGCTAATCCAGTCGATCCAAGCTCCGCTACTGTCAGCCTTGTTCAAGCACGGTCCAGATCATCCCATGCAAGAAGCGCGGGCCGCTCTCTACAAGCAGGTCACGCCCCGCGTATAGTCCAGCTGTTGGCAGAGACTGGTGGCCACCACCCTCCTTTGCACGAACATACACTCCTGCAAAAGTCAAACGGCAGAATGGTTCGGGACGGAGAAGGAACAGCAAGCATTATACCTGTCGAACAATAGTGCGACGCAAGAAAGCTGCGGAGACCCCTTATTGAATGGCTTGGCGGGAGAAGAACATCGATACTTCTCTTCTGCAGTTGCCGAGTCACACAAAGCCCGTATTGTCTTGAACGTGGGCTTCTTTGATGCTACCACGCCGCTCAAGCTGCCCAAGCGTAGGGCACTTCGTGGACTCTTTTCCGTTTGCTAGGCACATGAGATGCGAGGCTGTGGCGTTGAGAATCAATGCAAGGCACCTACCCGTACGGTAGGATGTGCCTGATAAGTGCCAGTCAAGAATACTTTGGGATTCGAGCATGCCGGCTGCTGATCGATTCGCCCTACCCAAGCGATAACAACAGCTTTCGAATCCCAGATTTTGGATGGTGCCAACTTCCTGTGCGAATCGATTGGACCTCTATCATGCTTACCATGTCAGCAGGTTTCCGATACCTCAACCTTGTATCGGGTGGTTTCTCCATGAAACAGGAACATACTTTCCGCCGGTGGCCCCCAACATCAACTCCTGCCTTACGATCGATGATACACCTTATTGCAGGGATCATCGAAGCTGCTGCTGGCAATGTATTTCCGGAACCTAAGCACGACGCGTTGATGAACCTGTTTTGCACATACAGTGCTCCCGTTGTAGAAACTTACAAGTATACGAAATTCTGATGCTGGGAGCACGACCAAGCTGTCAGCGATTACCGTTCTGCTTTCTCTCGGCAAGCCTCTTTTCTGCGTCGAAGTGCCCCAGTCGTTGTCGGCTCTTCCCCGTCTGGCATCAGGTGAGTGGGTAAGCGAGACATGCTGACGTGTTGACGTGCAGATCGCGGAAAAGCATATCTACTCCTCAACAGCACATGAGACGTGTGAGAGACACAGAAACTCGACCCGGAAATGGGCTTTTCCAGAACATGTCAGATGATGTGTGCCTTCTGTGGCTCTCACTTGTCGATGCAGCACGCGCTGCCGTGATCGGGTTGTGGTCCATGCGGTCAGTGAACCTTTCTCAGGAGTACATAAGATCTCTTATGGGTGGCTGGGGCTTGGAGCTGAGTCGCCTAGTTTTACATGCAGTAGTGTTTCTACGAAGAAGCACAGGTGTCGCATGTCTGCACCGTGCTCTACCCATGGTAGGTACGTTAAGACTCGAATACGAGACTGGAGGTTTCAAAATATAGACTTTCCAGAGCCGTGCGCGGTCAATCGGGCAGGGGGGGTCTTAGGGGTTCGTGATACCTCGATCGGGACCCTTGCTGCGTGCTTGGTCCAGCGTCTGTCACTCGGCTACCTTAGCCAGGACAAATAGACCTGAATGTCAAGGCGATAAGAGACGTCCGAACCCCAGCCACTTCAAAAAGACAGTACTCATCTGGCAACCCCACAGGAGAGACGGACCGCAATGGTTACTAAATTTGTGATTTGATACTGCACCGAATATTGATTCCAGGAGTTCTGCCGAGCGGCAGCAGCAACAAGTGCAAAGTCGGAGTGTCTAGCTCGTTAGGAGGTGATTACAATGAAACCCATCAGTTCCTCACAGGAGTGAAAGCCTTGGGGTTTCACTCATGCGGGTCTGCTACAGCTGATCTGCGCAACCCAGGTTGTCGGCAGTCAAGCGAAGAGAACATCCGCCTTGTTCCTCGCAGGTATGGCTTGTCTTGTGGTCTGGTGAGCCATTCGCTGACATGAAACAGTGTTGCGTCCCCCTTTCCCAGCGATGAACTCTGTCTGACACCACCAGCAAGCTATACCCTTTTATCGAAATTTAGGACAGTACGAGCCGAACGACGTCATGCTTGAAGCTCAATGGTGTCGTAGATGATTTCTGTGTTTGGTTTGGAATAGACGCCCTGGAGAGATCGACGGATATATTCTCCAGAAGCGATAGGTTGAAATTTGGCCGGTTGTTCAGCAGTGATGAACCTATCCAGCGCACGAAGTTCTGCCTCCTGGTTCGCTACGGACGGTAAGCAAGATCAATCATCTGACCTCCAGAGGGAGAAACATACCACCAAGGAAGAAGGGCACAGAATATCTGGCTTGTTTTGACGTGTTCCGTACTCGATGCATAGTCGACACGAATTGCCCGTTGGTGAGCATCGACATCGAGTCACCAATGTTCACCACGAACGTCTTCGCCACGGGTGTCGCCTGGATCCATCGACCTGTATTCGACAATACCTCCAGCGAAGGAATTTCATCTTGCAGCAATATCGTCAGCAGCTCGAAGTCGGTATGGGGCCGGATAGATGATGGTTCGTCCGTCCCAAAGAGCTCGCCAGGATAATGCGCCATTTTCAAGATCGAATATGGTCGCGTGGCCAGATAGTCGAAGGCGTGCTCGTCCAAATCCAGGCCGAGTGCGAACATGCGCAGAAGAGCCCGGCTCAGCCTCAGCATGTGCGACATATAGACGTTCACGGTGTCCCGGTAGCCAGGAAGGCGGTCTTCCGAGGGCCACCAGTTATCACCATTGTTCTGCGGCGTCGTGGCATCGGCGTCAGGGTCAGCACCGGGCTCATAGCCATAGTTGATGCCCTCATTGAGCTCTGGAAGACGTCAGATTTGTGTGCTCTGCTCTGCCGGCACAGAAGGAAGCAAAAAGAAACGCACTCGCTCCAGCAGGTTGGTCCGGGTTGAGCTTGATGGGATAATATCCGTAGTAATGCTCATGCTTCTCGGTGTCGAACTCCATCTTCTCTTCAAGCGTGAGATCGTGGAAGAAACGCTTGGTCTCTTGGAATATCGACGCAACTGCACTGTCCGGCACGCCATGGTCCCTGATGTAGAAGAAGCCGCAATTGCTGGCCGCTGCGCATATGCTTCTCGCAATCTTCCTCCGACGTTGCCTGTCAGGATGAGTGATATCGCTGATGTCGATAACGGGCAAGTCGGTCGCTGCTTCACCGCTCAGAGGAGACAGGACTCTTCGCCATCCCAGACCCGTTTTGACCTCGTGGTGACCCTCGCGGTTGATTCTAATGATGTCCGCCATCTTGGGAAGATGTCGACTTCGCCTACATTGCTTACCAGGATTATCGTGACTGTTGAGCAGAGCGAAGGGTCATATACCAACCCATCACATCGTCGTCGGGCAAATCCGTGCCAGGGAACTGATAGCCAGAGAAGAGACAGGACAGGATCGCCGCCAGGCTTGTCGCTCACAGCAAGCAGGTCTCTCTGCAACGACTTTATCGACGAAGTGCTGAACTCCGGGGATGTTAGCTACGAGTTGTCGGATCTTATGCTGGATCGCTCTCGTCCGGCTCGCTACTCACAGCGTTCATCAGTTGATTGACTGTGACCATCTATCACCATTGCGATGTGATCAGATCCTGCCCCCGACGTTGACCATACAGGGGCAATTGGCTGCAATAACCACGCTTATCACGAACGACCCGACGAGGCTGTTTGTTTGGACATGGGAGGGCCCGACAACACTCAGACAAGACTACGGAGCCCAGTTTCGCCTATACCCTCCTTCCATCAAATGAATAGCATCAACCACAGTTGACGCATCCCCAGAGCCATACTCCTGGAATGTTTCTTGCCCTTCGAAGCATGCTCCACCCGAACTCATGTTGCGGACAGTTGATCTCAGCCACAAGAAGGGTGAACTTATCGCTACAGTAGCCCCTCTTCCCACCATCCACCGAATCCATCGAGAACAACATGAAACACGATCCCAAACCCACTCCCAGTCTGCTACAATGCGAGATTCGGAATCCGGGGAAGGCCGACCAATTGCTGACTGGTCCCCTGGCCGCCTCCTTGGCAACTAAAACAGCCTGCGACACTTGGACGAGGCTGCGCCCCTGAGAATTGTCTCAGCCTTGCCACACTCTGTTTGGAGACAAGACATATCGGCCGGCGAACTGTTGACTTATTGGATCGATGCTGCATCCCGAACTGATGGCTCATGGCATCGATCAGTTCAATGAAGGCCGCGAGCGAATGATCCGCTCAGCAACGGCGCTTCTTGCTGGATTTCATTGCCAATGGAAAAGGGGAATGAATACCAACGGTGCGCTCGAGTCCTTGTCCCCCAAAGTAAATGGAACTTGACTTTAAAACCAACATCGGACGTCTTTCATTCTTACTCCCTCACGGAAACTTCTGGCGCCCTGCATTGCATTATATTTTGTTCCGTTCTGTCCTGTTGCATTGAAACATCAAAAGATATATAAAATTACTATCAGATCCCGAAACATCACATCATATCGTCTTTCTTCATTTCTTCATTCGACTGCGGGTCCAGTCCAGAGACACTCTCTTTCACAATGCCTTCTTCCACGCCCCTCAAATCGTCCACATTGTTTTTCATACTATTGAATTGTGAGTACTCATCTAACCAGCCTCATCCTGAAGGCTAAACAGACCGGTTCAAATCCAAATCCAAATCTTCTAACATATTTATACCGTTTCAGTGACACTCCTTGTCTTGAGTCAGGGCACACAGTTCATCACCGGTCCATGCACCAGCGACGCTGACTGCGCCTCCAGCTGCTGCGGCTTCAACAGCGGCAAGTGTGCCGGCCCCGTGGTGGCCCAGGAACGCGATGGAGGATGTGGATTCGGGAACGCACAACCCAACGACGACGCCGCCCGTGCGTTGACCGGCGGCCAACCTATGGCTACGTCGCCGGCGACGATGGCTGCGGCTGCGGCTGCGACAAACAATGCTGTCCCTCCAGCCAAATCTGCCGGCACAGCAGCCCAAGGGACATCAGCCCCGATAAACAGCAACCTAGCGGGATCCGCCAATGTCGGCAACGGAGCAGGAAAGCAGTTCATTACAGGCCAATGCTTGAGCGATGCAGACTGCGCTTCGGGGTGTTGTGGGTTCAATACAGGACTCTGTGCCGGCGCGGTGATTGCCCAGACTCGTGATGGCGGGTGTGGATTCGGGGATACTCAACCTAATGATGACGCCGCTCAGGCTTTGACCGGAGGAGGAGATAGTACAGCATCAGCAGCATCGTCGGCGTCGACAACAACAACAAGTGGTGCAGGAGCTGGAGCAGATAGTGGTGGGGACGATACCGGCAGCAATGGCAACACCGCCACAACCACCCAATCCACCGCCGGCGCGATCGACAGCGGCATTCCCGGCTCCGCGAACGTCGGCACCGGTTCCGGCAAACAGTTCATCACGGGCCAATGTTTCAGCGACGCCGACTGTGCTTCGGGCTGCTGCGGCTTCAACTCGGGGAAATGCGCGGGTGCGATCATCGCGCAGACCCGCGACGGCGGCTGTGGGTTCGGCGATGCCCAGCCGAATGATACTGCGGCGCAGGCTTTGACTGGGAGTGCGAGGATGAGGACGAGAAAGAGGGATGTCGTTGGAGGTCGTGGTGGCCGTGTTGGCGTAAGGGAATTCATGGCATGACACGAACCGAGTCGACTCAACTGGACATGCGGTGCCCGAAGATGTACAAGACCAGACTCAAGTCGAGCTTACACTTTTGACGGCACCCAGAAAGAGACAGAGAAAGAGAAAGGAGAAGCAAGAAACGAGCATGCAGACCGAAACTCGCAGACTCTGAATGATGGTCTACCAGATCTGGGATCCCATGTCCATTATCCGCGCCGGTAGTTGACTATATGTATGCGTTTTATGAAATGAATGACAGACGACTTACTTGACGATGTTGGAGCTCAGCCGAAGAGAGGATTTCAATATAACCCCATGTGCCAGAAGTGTTGGCGTAATAGTAATGCTCCCAATAGATATAGGGCTCACCGTCTACATCAGAATCAGCATCAGCATCACCACCACCATCACCATCGAACTCGAGATCGAAATGAGACTATACCAACGCTTCAGCCGATTGGCGGCAGGAGACATGCTCAACAGAGGAACAGAAGATAGCCGTTATGAGCATACAGACAGTGGAACAGATGTTTGCTCTCATTGACAACGCTACAAAGTGACAATCTTACTCCATCCTGCTCATTACTATTGGGAAATCGATCCAAGCACGCACCAGACCGATGGAACAGACTAGCAATGCCTCGTTCCCCAGGCTGTGGTGGTGGTCGTGCCGCTGTTTCTCTGCGCGGCAAGCTGCTCTTTTAGTAATACCCAGCATCACTACGCTCTCGCAGCAATATCCCCTGGAAAACACGCTTGAAATTCCGTCTTCAAGCCCCTCGCCGTGGAGGGCCCGTCGATGAGCATAGTACAATACAAATCATCACGCTGCGACAACCTTTGCCCCCGTGACCCCATCGGCTAGTCACTCGCCCTTCAACTTATCCTGCGTCACGTTGAAGGCATCCTCCAACAGTGTCTGTTCCTCCCTGACGTGCATGGCCTTGAGACCAGTGGCAACCGACGCCGAAGGATCGCGTCCTGCATATATCACGTGGCGTCTGTTGTGATGCTCCGTCTCGTTCAACAACGTCTCGAGACGCGGTTGGACAAAACTCCAAGCACCGGCGTTCAAGGGCTCTTCTTGACACCAGACGATGGTCTTGGCATTCTTGTAGGTATCCAGGTTCTCCTTAAGCTGGGCCCATGGGAATGGGTTGAGCTGCTCAATACGCGTAATGGCGGTGTTCTTGAGACCCTTCTCGCTACGGTGCTTGTGCAGAGCGACGTAGACTTGACCGGAACAAAGGATGATACGATCGATCTCGTCGGGGTCTGCGATAGTTTTGCCGTGCTCTGGGTCAGGGATGATCCACTGGAAGTGGGAGTCGCCGGTAAAGTCCTCAATATCCGAGCGAGCCAATGGGTGACGTAGAAGGGACTTCGAAAAGAAGACAATCAGTGCTGCAGTGGATGTTAGTCAACAGATAGGAAACATGCAAAGAACATGACTTACGTTTTCTGAACTGTCGGTTCATCTGTCGTCGCAGAATGTGGAAGTAGTTGGCCGGAGTGGTCATGTAGGCGACCTGCATATTGCAGTCCTGATGTTGTCTGTCAAGCTTTTCAGGGGAAGGAAACACGCGAGGTTCTTCGTTACAAAGTTGCAGATATCGTTCAATGCGGCCCGACGAGTGCTCGGGTCCTTGGCCATCGTAACCATGAGGGAGCGACATGACCAGTCCGGACCGTTGCAACCATTTGACTTCACCCGAGGCGATGAATTGATCGATGATACATTGGGCATTGTTGGCAAAATCACCGAACTGTGCTTCCCACATGACAAGCGCGTTGGGAGACGATAGAGAATAGCCGTATTCGAATCCGAGGACTCCAAACTCGCTCAAGGACGAGTTGGAGATGGTGAAAGCGCCTTGATTCTTGTCCAAGTCGGTGAGTGGCGTGTAGGTCGCCTCGTTCTCTTGGTCATGGAGAACGGCGTGCCTCTGAGAGAAAGTACCACGTTCGACATCTTGACCAGAAACTCGGACGTGATGACCTTCGAGACAGAGAGTACCGAAGGCCAATGCTTCCGCGGTGGGCCAATCAATGCCCTTGCCTTCGTCAACAGCCTTCTTTCTGCCTCCAAGAATACGTTTGAGATTTCGGTGGAGAGTGAATCCATCCGGGGCCGAGCTGATTTTGTCTCCGATCAAGGTCAACATCTCCGACTTGACACCGGTCGGCGGATGCGGGAGCACTTCAGTAGCGAGTTCCTTGGGCGTCTTGAAACCGTTCCAGGCAGACGTCAACCACTCTCGACCCGAAGGTTGGTAGTCTTTGCTTCGATCGAAACTGTCGTTGAGCATTCCCCACACCCACTTCTTGTGCTCCTCAATGTCCTCCTTGGCAAAAGTACCCTCTTCCAGCAGCTTCTCGACATACTTGTCAATCTGGGGCTTTTGCTGGGAAATACGTTTGTACATCAATGGTTGGGTGAAAGATGGCTGATCGGTCTCGTTGTGGCCTTGCTTACGATAGCAGACAATGTCAATGACACAATCCTTCTTGAAGTCGGCTCTCCAGTCAGCGGCCAACTGGCAGACAAAGTTGACAGCCTCTACATCGTCGCCGTTGACATGGAAAACAGGTGCATCGATAGCCTTGGCGATATCGGAACAGTACGGCGTCGACCGAGCGAATCTAGGATCGGTCGTGAAACCGATTTGATTGTTCACGATGATGTGGATCGTACCGCCAGTGGAATATGCGGGCAGCGCATAGAAGCCCAGAGTCTCGTAGACAACACCTTGCGCCGCAAAAGCGGCATCACCGTGGAGCAACACACCCATGGCCGTCTCGTGGCTTTTTTCGTCATTGTTGTAATGTTGAATCGCACGGGTCTTTCCCAGCACAACTGGATCCTCAGCCTCCAGATGCGAGGGATTGGCGACAAGAGAGAGCTGGACTCGCTTTCCAGACGGCGTGGGACGTTCAAAGTTCATACCGAGATGATATTTGACATCTCCCGAGCCTTCATCACCCGCCTCGGCCGTGCCAGAAAATTCACTAAAAATCGACTCGTTGGGCTTGCGGACAACATTGCTCAGAACATTCAATCTTCCTCTGTGAGGCATTCCGATCACGATGTCCTTGATGCCGTAGTCGACGCTGCGGTCGATCATGGCCTTCATGCCTGGCACAAGCGACTCGCATCCTTCCAGGCCGAATCTTTTGTCGTTGGGGTATTTGGTGGCCAAAAACGTCTCGAAGCTAGAACTCCAGATTAGTCTGTCCAGGATGCGGCGCTTGTCGTCCACCGAGTACTTGTACGGGGTTTCCACCTCCAGTCGGTTTCGGATCCAGTCACACTGTCCTCGGTCCGGGATATGAATGTATTCAACACCGTACGAGCCGCAGTAGATCTTCTCGCAGGCAGCAATGATATCCCTCAATTTCATCTTCTTACGCGTTTCCGTGGCAAATCTAGGTAAGATACCCGGCCCCAGTGTAAACTCTTGATCGAGATCGGCCTCGGTAAAACCGTAATGGTCCAACTCCAATTCCTTCGGTCTGCGGTATCCGAACGCCTCGGCCTCTCCGCGAATTCCTAGAGGGTCGGTCTTCGCCTTGTGGTGACCGGTCGCCTGGTACGCACGAACGAGCAACTGTACTTTGAGATGGTTTGTGACGTCGTCAGTTCCGGGAGCCACGGCACTCGGCACCATGACTGCGGCGCCTTCGGCTTGGGAGATCAGGCCGGGAGGAGGTTGGAACGCTCGAGACACTGGCATGTTGCCCTCCTCCATGTTGTGGAAGTAGGCTTGCCACGATACGTGGACGGAAGAGGGATCGTTTTTCCAGGCGAGGTACATTTCGTCAATGTAGTTGGCAGCATTGCCCGAGAGGAATGAATCATTAGGATCCTGAACAAGAGTCAATCAAAATGCCCATCAACCACATGCACAGAAGACATACTACGCCTTTGTTTGACTCCTCGGCCGCGATGGCATAGCTCCTTCGATGCAGCGAGCCGCGGGCCACGAGGGCCAGAGGTTTCCTGCCGGCAATGAGGGCATTCTGACGGCTGCCCGACAGAGCCTGGGCTTTTGTCGAGGTGTGTAGAGATCTCGAAGCTTGTACAGCCCTCAGCGAGAGCTTACCGGCGGTGCAACGATACATGGTGGAGGAACGTTGGAGAGCTAGTGATACAGCGACTGATCCATAGGAAGAGGGGAGAGGAAAGGAAGGGCTCCTGGTGACAACACCGACCGCCAACGACGGAGTGGAAAAGTTGTTGGTGTACAAGGAGTCCGAGTGAGAGAATGAGGCGACGAGGATTCAAGATTTTGAAGAGAATCGGGAAGTGATGGTGAGGAGTGACAGTAACAGTAACAGTAACAGTGACGGTAGTAAACTGCCAGGAGATGCTTGGATCCGGCTTTTGAGGCATTTCATTCGGTCATGTTGCAGTTCTAGTTGCTGGTTTCCAGCTGCCAAGCGGCATCCCCGGCCGTCAGTCTGTCTCATTAGGCATGAAACACTTGCTGTTTTCGAAGTCACCAATAGACGGCCTGAGCCTGGACAATTATCGGTGCCCTGAGAGGTTGAAGTCCTGTCGCCGCCCTAAGTAGCTCTCGGCACGGGGCACTGCAAGTGAGGGACTCGGATCGGAGCTTGAGAGCCGATTGTTTTCCACCCAGTCTTTTCGTCGCTAATAGTCACCTCGACTCACCTTGTGCTACAACGAGACGGTCTGCTATACTACAAGTACAGGAGTAGTTCATCAACGTCGTTGCGACAGCCTTCCTATCTACTGTTACTATCTGCCGGCCGAGTTATGGGAGATTGTATGCTTCTCAAACATGACACGCCTCATCTCGAACTGCGCCACCAACAAGCTTGAGGTGTGCCGCCTGGCATATGTGGCGGTGGCACTCAGAGCAAAATGCTAGACCCGCAGGTTTTACTTCGCAACTACAGAGGTTACCAAGGTGTTGACGTACACAGCACATATTGAAACGTTGCTGTCACCATTCATCTGCCTAGTACCCTCCCGCTGTCTTCGCAAGACTCACCCTCCAAGAGACATATTCCTCGCCCGTCATGATCGGATACTTCATCGGCTTGTCCTCAGAAACACAAGTCGGCACAGCTTCAAGCTTCTTGGTCTGATCGAAGTCGTAGAGAAAGGGAAACAGAGTACCGCTCTCGGCCGCTCTTGTTGACCACACGGTGCACGGTCGAGACGAAAAAGTCATTAGTCTGCCGCATGAAGCAATCCGCAATGTTGACCACTAACGACCCAGGCACCGGCTTCGCCCGGATCCAGGACCCGCTCTCGCTGAGAACCTCCAAGCCTCCGCAATCATCCTGGTTGACGATCATAATAAAGCATTCAAAGTCGGTATGCCCACCCGTTCCGTTCTGGTCGTCCACGGAGGCCTCTTGTTGTGGGTAATTGAGGATACGCATCCCACCGTCGGGAGTCTTAATATACTCGTCAAAGCCGTCTGCCGGTAAATGCGGGCAAGCCCAAAAATGCGGCTCATCTTGCGCGCGAACATTGCCCGCGAACATCAGCGTGGTCGTGTAATATTGATACATGCCATCACGAAAGCCGGGAAGGTCGGACGGTCAGATGATTCTGCCTTCGTCTTCGTCTTCGGACCATGGATCCTCTTTGGCGGCATAGCCAAAGTCGAAAGCCTCCATCAAATCTACACGTTCGGTGAGCGGTCCAGGTATCTCTTGTGCCGTTCGTCCACAAGATAAATATCTCGTCGAATCAGTGAGTGAGGACGCACCGTTCCTTTGGGGCCCCACTCCTGCAGTTCGTCTCCATGGGGAAGTATCCCAGGAATCGATTTGGGACACGTGCCGTGTCAATCTCCAGCTTCTCGACTGACTAGGTGAAGAAGCGCTTGGCTTGCACGAATGCTTCATCTGCGTGTTTGGCGTCGATGCCCTAATTGTGTCAGTCATGATGGAATTCTACAGAAGAGTCTGCCTGAAATAATCGACTATCTTGGAGGCAGGAATCAGACATGAATAACCATATAAGAGTCCTTTCATGTTGTCGACTCAATGACGACTATTCTCAGGTTGAATATATGAAGTGAGTCTGATGTGTCTAACTATAGCGCTAGGGCAAAGTTCTCGTCACCCACGACCTCGTGACCACCTCTCAGAATAGTCTCGTCCTTGGAGGATCCGGACTGATGGATCGACTGGAGGATTACGAGACCTGTCTCCAACGAAGCTCACAGATGCATTCACGAGTTGCAATATCTGATCAGCGCGCTGAGATATTGTTGGAGAAAGGATCTCCCTCTTTCAATCACCCCTTTAAGGCCATAGACAATCTGATCACCCGCTCGGTAGGTCTACCAATCTTCTCCGAAACCAACCAGTGCTCGGAATCCGGACAAAAGTGCTGGGATTCCTACACTGGCACACATTTTCTGCCATCCTCTTGCAGTGGTCCAGCTCTCAGCAACAACGCGAAATGGATATGGCTCGTGCCTCTGTGCATTCGTCTACTTTCTGTGAAGCGAGGGAAGAGCCTTTCTCCCGTGGCATTTGGGTTGTACGACCCCGGCTATCTCATACTCCCACAGCCTTGCAGGCAACATAAGTGCCCCCTACAACAATAACCCCCACCGGTAAAGCTGCGGCTCCAAGCGTCCCGATTAGGGCTCCCGTCGCGCCCCAGCTCTGTAATGTAGCAAAAATGCTTCCGGCGGGTATGCTGGCTCCATAGACCGCAGCTTGCACTCCTGCCGCAACTGATCCCGCTTTGATACCTGCAGCGCAGAAACCAGCCGCGGGCAGCAAGTAGGTTGTACCAATCGCGGCGAGGGCGCCGGTACCAGCAATGATGACTAAATAGTCCATTAAATAGATTCGGAATGACACAGGAAGAGGAAATACCTGAACCAGCGCAGTTGTTGGCCACGAGGGTTGCGTTCATTGTAGATTCAGAATAGGTACTAATTGTATGCAGGTAAGAGGAAGAATGAGTACGAACGAAGCGGCGATTCCACATGATGAGTTATTCTGTCATACGGGCTTTTCAGTTAAAACTTCACCTTGAAGACAATCCCGCAGTCGTCATAAAGCCCGGGAAGCTATATATTGAGTTAGTCCCGGGGACAGAGGGAGGGAAGGGGTTGGGAGCAACAAGTCTGCAAGCTCTGGTTCCGAGTTAGTTACTCCGGCCGGCTTTTGGATCGACAACCCCAGAGTGAGAGTACCTGACAACTGAATGATGATCTTAGTAATGTCACTCCATGTTTGATCGGTCTACGGCTGGAAATACGGAGTGATCCACAACGATTGAAGTCCTGCCCTGCCACTTGATATTCTCATGACTAATCACAGTTACTCAAAGTTTATCTTCACGTCAGATTGTGAATTCCTTTGATATCTCATCTAACGACCAGCGTCTTTTCTCATCTTCATGTTGAGAAGAATCTTGATCTGATAATGATACTAATGTGATCCCCGGTACAGTTCAGTGTTGTGACATCTCCTCCAAATGCGCCATCGCGGCTCACGGTTGGGAACCGGGTGCTCGTCATGCCGCAGACGCAAGATCAAGTGTACAGGCGAGCGGCCGGTCTGCAAACACTGTGCGAGAGGGCGTTTATGCTGTAGCTATGAAGCACAGTTCACATGGTTGCAAGACGCTACACAAGCCAAACTGGCGCTTGTAAACATTCGCTTGCCCGAATCGATCACGCCGAACATCGAGGATTGGATGTTTCTCAACACCTCCGTTGAGGACGTGAAGTCGTCTGCTACCCCCGGGGATCCTCTCACAGACTTCGTTGCCGATCACGCCAATTTCTCCTCTTCACCAGGACCACATTCGATGATGACGCTTGCACGGACTGAAGGTTTCTCATCTGGCTCATATCGGTCCGCATCACCACCCTCGATCATGTCAATGTCCGACAACCGTGCAATCTCGCGAAATCCGGGTGCATTTGTTTGTCAGATGCACAGGCCGTACCCAGTATTCACTTCTTTGTCTGGCACACCGATGCATTTTTCTGAGAGATATCTGTTGGATTTTTTCCGCCAGTCCGTTGCCCCCCAGTGTCACCTTGCTCACAACGACAATCCTTACGTGCAGCTTATCCTACCCATTGCCCTGTCAGCGCCGTCTGGACCACTCATGCAGGCTCTCCTCTGTGCCTCGGCAAACCAACTACGGCTACTTCACCACCGTCGCTTCGAGAAAGAGGCCTGGGTGTACCGCGCCAAAACCCTTGGGTCGGTGCGAAGGGAACTAGACAACTTCATGACTGGTTTGACTCTGGACACGACATCATTTGAGCAACTTCTCGCATCTGTCCTCATGTTGTGTTTTGTCGAGGTAAGTCAAGCTCACTGGGCAGTTTCTCTAAAATTCCTACGAACGGTTAACCTGGACGAGTATACAGATCTCCAACGACGCTGCCGACACTTGGATGGTCCATTCCGCCTGTGCCCAGGTGTTACTGACGTCAGCATGCCGATACAGTGCTCGATCGCCGGAGCGAGACAACCTTTGTGACTTCATACATTTATATTTTGCGGCTCACGATGCTCTTGCTCGAACTTCCTGGATCGATCCCAGAAGACAAGACTGGTGTTTTCCTGTCAGCGATGACCATAACCACATCAACGGGCTCACGGGGTGCTCCAAAGAGCTGTTGAATCTAATTATGGCAACGACTGATCTAGCAAATGCAATGCCCGAAGCGAAACGACATTCAATGGAAGGATTGAATTGGGATGCTGAGCATAACTTCTACCATATTAGGCAAAGAGACGAGGTTGAAAGGCGCCTGCATCAGCTTGAGCAATGGCTTCCATCGAACTATATGTCACGGCCTGACATCCCGCCATCAACTTCATCGAGCAGGTCTCCAACCTCGGAGCCGGACTCTCTCCATGACCTGGAAGTCATTGCTGAAATAAAGCGTCTAGCCGCTCTGATATATTTCTATGCGCGTATCGACCGAGCAACTCCTGAGCATCCCCAACTTGTCCGACTCACGGCTTCTATGCTCAATATGGTACCGCAAGCGCCCGTTTCGGCCAATGCACTTCTCTGGCCCTTGTACATTGTTGGCACACTTGGAATACAGAGCAATCAAGACGGGCATCGCGCCTTAGTGTTGGAAAAGCTCGAAGCTCTAGACAGACGAAGGCAATTACGCAACGTCAAAGATGTCCGTGAAGTGGTCATGGATATCTGGAAGCAGCGAGACCTGCAGTCACTCTCCTCCAGAGAGTTGTGCTGGAGCGATATAGGTATGCGTCACGGCAAAAGGATCAGCCTCGCTTGATACGAGGTTCCGTTTCGTGCAGAGCCACCCTGTACCTCCGAGACTCGACTCGACGCAGCTCAAAACATTACAACTGCTCAGAATGGGAAGTTGGGCAACGTCGTCGGCTCATCTGCGCACACACCGGCACTGACCTGTTCCGAATGCAAAGCATCCAAATGCGGAAGCAAGACGTCGGCGTAAAGGTGTCGCCCTTTGTGTCTATGTGAACAATGCTCAGTCTCTGTCTCAAGCATTCGTCTGGGAATATTGACTTACGCTGCGAGTTCATCGTCCCAGCTCCTTACAAGGGAAGCAAGCCTGCCTGGGATTCCCGGTTCCTTCAGGATGGAAGCGAGGGGGTTGACGTAGGTATGAACAGACCAAACAATCGTGCCAGACTTTGGGAGCCTGCGAAGCGTTTGCCGCTCTGTTCGATGCCAGAGGCTGGAAATATCCAAGATTGGATGAGGAGGTTTGAAGGTGGTGGCTCCTTTGGAGCCAATGGCTGGACCCCTGATTACTGGATCCCAGTCGTCTTCTGGACCCATGGTCACCTCTGGCCAATGCAACTCGTCGTGGATGGTGAGCGCTGTGGTATGTCTCACAATCGGGCCGTCCACCTTCAACTTAGACAAGAATCGGTCGAGGGGGACTTGAAGCTGTTCCTTGAAGTGCGGCACTTGACCACCGTAATGCAAGTCGGCCAGTGACCTGCCAAGTTTATCTTTTAGTCTCTGGCCACCGCCAATGCCGAACATGACGGCACTTAGTTGGTATTGACCGTCTGGTCGTTTGGTCAAGATATTCAAGTCTGTCGGTTGCAGCAGACCAGCCACTGTCATTGGGTCTTCATTGACCAGATCATACGAGGCACCGAGGCTCGGCATCTCGACACGAGTTATGGACCCTTTTCCAAGCCAACCGTCTTTATCCGACCCAGAGCGGGTGATGCGATACACCTGGGGATACCGAGAAGACAGAAATTCTGCCAGGTCTTGACAAAGTTCCCTTGCCGCATCGGTCGCACAAGGCAGGGTGCCGACGATCTTGTCGCCCCGTTCCGCCAACCTGGCGACCTTGGCCGAGTGGTAGCGCGGAAACTGGTTATCGAGAAGGATCCAGTCATTCAGGTCAAGTTTCTTGACATCGATTGTATGTCGCTTGTACGAATATCGAAAGGCACGGAAAGCAGGTATCGGCGTAGTCTCCAAGTCGAAAGACGCATTCGCTGTCACAGGAGGGTACTGCCACTGGTCCGTGATGACTGTCTTTTTGTCTGCCGAAGTCGACCATCTCTTCGTCAGTAACAGCCAGCCAACAAGGCTAGATTGCACACTTGAGGCTTCACATACGATCTGATGTGTCCAATGGTTTCCCTGTGCTGCCAGCGAGCATTGTGCTCAACTTCGACCACCCCATTATGGTGAAAGCAACCACCAACAGTAGCCATGGTGTAAAGGCGACTTTGGCGCATAACCTGCGGAGGAGCAATATTGTTTCCTCCATGGCCATTGGCGATTCGTTGTTCTCTGTACAGTGTCCGGGGAAAAGGCCTGAGGAATCAAGATTGATATTCATATCTCAGAATGACAGTCGACCCGGCATGGTGAACATATCTGCATGTGTCGAGGTCTGTCGAAGAATGTCCACCACTCACACCTCACGCCACGCAGCGATAACCTACTGATGGTATTGTCGTTAAAGCCGACGAGTGATGGAAAACCAATTGCAACAGTAAGTCAGCACAGTTATATGAAAGTTGTGTCAAGTGGCTCTAGTTACAGAGCGAGCGAATCCCATAGCCCGGGGCGACCAGTCCGATGTCATGAAAACAGCCTATTTTGACAAAGGGTCGTGAACGCGAGGCCAAGTCGAACGACGGAACTCTTGTCGTCCGCTTGTCGAGTCGAGTTGCTCCATTGCCTCTACTGACCCATATACGGCAATATGGTGCCTATGCTATGTGGGTTCTGGCTCCACCCTTATCAGCCCTCGATCTATCACTGGATCCACCTCACACTCTCTCATCAACTGATCCACGTTCCCAGACTGATGAGCATGTACAGATGTTACAATCTGTGTGTGAACCCCAGAAAGGGCGCGAAACACACCTTCTCGCATTCATGAGCCAGCTTTGAAGCGACTTATCTACATCAGCCTTCAACCCATGTGGCAATGTTGAGTCCACAAGGCCTGCCACCTGGAGCCGTGTTGGTCCCCAAGCTCGTATAACTCAAGGCCAGTGGGGCTCTACTGCATCACGTCCCTTAGCTTTCTGGCTCTGGCTATTTTATAGCACTATACCAGTATACGCCTTCCAGAGTACTTGCCCGGGAAAAAAGGATTAAAAGGTTGCTCACATCCTCCTTCGTCGACCTCTTCTTGCACTCACACTTTCTTTGCCGAGCGATTGCGTCGAGAAGTACTCCTCAGAACCTTTTCCTAGCCTGTGCCTCATTGTCATAACATACTCAGCATGCCTGCAGCTTCCCTTAGCGGGCAAGGCTCTGATGGAGTTGAGTCCTCTTTCGTGAAGACCTCTGGCAGTCTAGGCTCTGAAAAGGTAGGCAAACAACCAGAAACAGGATCGAATCGAAGTCTCTGTAGTGATCGCTGACTGACGGCTTTTGTAGATTGATGAGAAGCTGGCCTACGTCTCGGTCGAAGACGGTGTGATGCGTGACATCGGACCAAGAGCTGACGAACAAACCGAGTATGGCACGCACCGAGGCCTGAAATCCCATCATATCCAGCTGCTCGCCATCTCAGGGGTCATCGGCACCGGACTTTTCGTGGGAACAGCTAGCGTTCTGGCTTCTGCTGGACCGGGCGGGCTCCTGATCGGATATATCATCTGGTGCGTCTTTCTCCTGATCGTGGCCCATGCCATGGGAGAGATGTCTGCCTTTCTGCCCGTTCCGGGGTCTTTCGCGACGCACATCGGACGTTTTGTGGACGAAAGCGCCGGGGTGGCCATGGGCTGGATCTACGCATACTCCATGATGATCTTCACCGCGGCCGACTGCACTGCCCTGACGGGACTCTGGGCGTACTGGTTTCCCGATATCAACCCTGGTGTCTGGGTCGCCGTCACCCTGGTTGTGGTGTTTGCTCTCAACTGCCTGGCGGTCAAGTATTTTGGCGAGGCCGAGTTCTACGCGTCCATTTTCAAGATCTTCCTCATCTTCGGCTTCCTCCTCTTCACCTTTATTGTCGTCCTTGGCGGCAACCCGCATCACGACCGCATCGGTTTCCGGTACTGGAACAACCCGGGCGCGTTCAATGAAGCCTACACCACCGGCTCTCTCGGCCGCTTCCTGGCCATCTGGGGCGTCTTCAACACGGCCGCTTTCTCGATCGGAGGACCCGATTTCATCGCAAACTGCGCTCCCGAAACATCGAACCCACGACGAAACATTCCTAAGGCGGTTCGACGGGTGATCTATCGCCTCATCTTCTTCTTCATTCTGTCGGTCTTTGCCGTGGGATTGCTCGTCCCCTATAACGACCCCTCCATGCTGTCGGCCATTGCGAGCGGCACCGGCGTGGCCAAGTCACCGTTTGTCATCGCCATGAAGCGCCTCGACATTCCCTTTCTGCCGGACCTCGTCAACGCCGTCGTCATCACTAGCGCCTGGAGCTGCACCAACTGCCTGCTGTTCCAAGCCTCGCGGACGGTGTTTGGACTGGCCAAACACGGCCGTGCCCCCAAAATCTTTGCGAGGACGACGGCAAACGGCGTTCCCTTGCCAGCCTTGGCCTTATCGGTCGGGGTGGCCTGTTTGGCCTTTATGACGTGTAACACGGCCTCGGCGGAAGTGTTCAACTGGTTCATCAATCTGGGGTCGACGGCCATCATGATCGCCTATATTCTGATGCTGGTAGCCAATCTACGATTCCACGCCGGCCTCCGCGCCCAGGGCATCGACGCCAATACAGTCTTGCCATTCCGGAGTCGCTTCACGCCCTGGGGTAACTGGATCGCGCTCTTCGGCGTCGGCATCATCCTGTTAACAAATGGCTATGGCGTCTTCATTCACGGCTACTGGAGTTTCCAAAACTTCTTCACCGCTTACTTCACCATAGTCTTCTTCTTGGTCGTCTATCTCGGGTGGAAGGTTGTCAAACGGACCAGCTTCGTCAAGGCCGTCGACATGGACTTCTGCACCGGTCTAGCCGAGGTCGAGAAGCACGAAGCCAGCCTGTCGGTCAAACCTCCAGAGACCAGATATGAAAGGTAAGTTTTGTTTGTTTTCCCTTTTTTGTTTTATGCCTGATATTGAGCTCTGTGACGCGATGGCTGACTTGTGATTCTTGCTAGATTGATGGATTGGCTTTGGTAGACAGACTTGGGCAAGCACACACGATTCCACCGCCAGCTACATAGATACACTCTGCAGATCCAAAGAAATCCTTGGACATAGGTCGGGCTTTCCCAGCGTGACAGCGGCTGAAGGGAGAACGGGATGCCTATGTCGGTTATTTGGCGTGTTTGGCGGGTTCTCGGGCAAAAGATAGATCAAACGGAATACGCACATGCTGTTCGAATCCAACATGCAGTTCTTGCATCACGAATGTGTCTTGCATACTCTCTTTCGCAGGCAGCCCACGGCAGGCAATACCCTCCAAGTTTGCGAATCGTCTCGACTAAGACGACCAAAGGAGTGACGGTGGCTACGTTGTTCTTGAAGCAACACCCAGGGGTCGGTGGCGGGCTCCTGCTGGTGTGAGTCTGACATAGCTAAGGTCAGGAGAGAATCTCGAGTCTCGAGCAGGCCACGCTGAGCTCCAGCATTGAATGGTCTCCAGTGTCGTCGTCCAGCTGATCCAGTCGCATGCATCTTGCGCGTACAGCATTCTGACCGAAGCTGACAGCGACGACTGACCAAGCTGTCTCACAGGCCGAGATTGTGACAGAACGAAGGAAGGCGAGGATCCAGGAAGGATTCACTGAATGTATAGGGGGGATATCACGATGCTGCTGCATCCAGATTGTCGATGCACCCTTTCAAGAACATCGGCTCTGCCCGAGGCTGCATGGTGCGACCTGCCTATAATGGCTGATTCCCAATCGATTGATATTGGAATCTACCGCCGAGCTTTCACTTTCAGTTGAGTATCAGGCCAAACTCCAGGATGCTCGGTCAGTGGTCACGAAGCCCCACAGACCTCAAGTCACCAAATACGGCTCATTCGATGTTTGCAATTCTCACTTACGGCCGGGTTATATTCCTGGGCGATGATAACGAGATCTCGGCAGGGCACGTGGAATCGAGCGTGCCCGAAGGCTGCTCGGAGAATGGCCAAGACTGATCTGCTCTTGTGGATCTTTCAGTCCGTGCGTCATGAAGGAGTGCCGCCGGTCCTTCAGGCTTCGGGTACGACGATGTAACGAGTCCAGCCATCATGGCTAATGTAGAGCTGAGTCCTGACCCGGATCCAAGAACTGGCCGACGAGCTGCAATTTGCAAATGGCGTTCGACGAGTTGGACATGGCTGACCATTTGCGGTGCGGAATCTGCATGTACATTGTACAGCTTCAAAAATGTCATGGCTTCTTGTGGACACTGCTTCTGTTGGGAGTGTGTGACTTCGTGGCTGGATGACCCCATCAGCGGGTGGTGCCCTGCGTGCTGATAACGCGTCGAAGAGAGTGGTATACGGCCTCTCTGCCTTGGACCTGGCAGACAGAGCCCGGATGTTCCTCGGGGCGACGACGACGGTACGGACGGTGACGTGATTTGTTGACTGGCGACAGTGACTAGACAGGCATCTATCCACGAAGGACGGATTCGTATATGAGAGTGCTCCAGCAGAGTCAGGACTGGGAAAGACAGAGGGAAAAGAGTGTCTCCCCGGAAACCTCTAGAGCCTATGGTGTGCCAACTGGAGAACTTGTGTCCAACGAATGTCCTGCGTGGGCCTTGCTCAGGGTTCCTCAACGAAAACTACAATCATCTCTTGATACATCAGTAGTCACAATGCCCACACACTCGCAACAACCGCTACCACAAGCCGTGAAGTCTGTGTACGAATCACCTCTCAAACTGTAAGCCGTCCAACTACGATCGACGACAGCGCCGGATTCGTTCTCAGCATTCCTCAGCGTTGGACATGGTGTCCCGAAGTCAGCCTTCCGACAGTGCGCACCAGTGAGGTGAGCGTCTCCGAGACCGACAGGACAGTTGACCCTGCCGCCGGCGTGGAAATTTCCGGATGCGATGCCACGGTGGTCACTGTCTCTTCGGAGGCACTCGGATATATAGCAGCTGGTTCGGCCAGTTTGCAGTGCTTGCAAGATCCAATTGACGGTATCCGACTGAAAGTGGAGAAGCCAGACCAGGCTGTCGCCGTCGGGCATAGCTCAACAGGAGGCTCGGTGTGTACAGCACAGCACGTCTTAGGTGCAGGAACAGACAATCTTAAGGAAGCTGGAGTTCGAGGAATACGTCGTAGTAGTACCGACCACCTCGGCTAGGGCAAACAGCTTCTGACCTTGGCCTGCTTCTTTGTGACAGACTTCATGCCAATGGTGTAACTGGTTCCAGCTGAGTGTGTTGTCCTCGGAAATCCATTTCGTGAGGCCGTTGACGAACGTTCCACGGACGCGGCGAGTGGCGGACTTCAAGAGTTGCAAATGGATCACGCCGTCGAGCCGGATCTGGAAGTGACTTCAGAGGACATCAGAATATTTGCGGATGTCAACAAGTACGTTGGGAAACCGTCGTGATCCAGGATTGTTGAAGTAAGTAGGTAGTATCCGAGACGCGGTTGTTTTCGTACTGACATTTTATCCAAGCCTCAGGTATGTATGTGCCTTGGTTGAAGTGATATGTTTGGACGGCAACGGCTCATCCATGGACAATAGGAGGATCAACCAGAGGGCTGCCATTGGCTGAGAAAAAGATGTCGCAAACCTGGGCACTCAAAAGATGGAGTAGGCAGCGTAAATTCACGCGCGAGCCGGTCGAAAGATGTAGGAAACCGAAAGTTGAAACGAAGTCGGCGATGACCAGACGTAGTGGCTTCTGCAGGTTCAAGAATGATATAGACGAGTCGACTTCATCGAGACCTCAGGAAGATCCTCAGTAAGACCCTCTGCCAAAACGCCGATCTTAGACGATACAAGTAGATGCAGGCCGCACATCATGCAAAACATATACATTTATACGACGACAAAGACTGTGAGTTAAAGAGGATGATTGTGCCCAATTCCCGCCTCGTAACTGCAGGTTAAGGTGCTCAACTTCGTATGGCGGATGAAGTCAATGAAGCGCCGGTGTCAGCCAGTTCAGCAAGACTTAACGAGCTGCATTGGGTTCAAGTTGGTTGACTGATGACAGACTCAGATGCCAGATGGATGTGATCCTCGGGCTAGCAGGCTTACCTTATTGGCTACAACTATGCGTTCTCTGTCAAGCTGCGACAGTTCAACGTTCAACTCCGCCATCAACATACATCATCATAACTTGAACTGCACTTCACTTTGACAGTTTCCTCATTCGAACACGATTCAACATCTCTCCATTGACGACAACACCTACGACGACACTATTGCACACCCTGTCGTACCACGTCCTCGTCGCAATCCTGTTCTTGGTTGACAGAGGGAACGTTGAATCGTCTCCTGATCTGTACTCGACCCCAACGTCAACCAACTACGGACCACTCGATTCTTCCTCGACGTCTAACGACGACCAGGCCTATCACCATCCCTCGGCCATGTTATCTCGCAACCATCCTCCGTGTAGCAATCGGTAGAGCATGTCTGCCCCTGACCATCGTGCTTCGTTCTGCCTTTCCCCGCCGTCATGAGCAACACCAAGATACACTATCAGCCTCTCCAACGACACAGACGAAGATCCGACCATGTCTCTCCCACCTCACCCTCTTTTTCCAGGCGAATCGGCGACCGTCCAAATCGACTCAGCGATGCTATTAGCCCTGTCGAAGCCACCTCGGGTACCGACGACTCGGATAGTCCGTCTCGCAACCTCGCCCTATCTTCTCCCTCCTGCGACCGTTACACCGCCTTGCCCTCTGCGCCTCCTCTCACACAAGGCTTCATCAATGACCAAACCGCTTTCCAAAGAAGCTCCGACGAGACGGGTCGGCCGAGATATCGCACCTCCAACGAGGCTGCCCGCCCGGCCACCAGCGATGCAATAGATCCCCATCATATAACTCCTCATACAAGACCGTCACCCAATGCGCAAGGCTTCTACCACTCGAAACCCTCTCCGGTCTCGTACGTGTCGAGCCCTCCAGAACCTCGTGGAAGAATATCATCCGAAACGCCCATCAAGTCCAGCGACTATGGGTCCTCTCCCAGCTTGCGAACCTACAGCTTTGATCGTGCCATGCACGATGACTCGGGGTCAGCGAAGGGACATGCAGGGAAAAAGAGCCGGTTGAATCTGTTGAACCCGATGAGTCTCTTGGCCCGGCGACGCGCTTCCCAGAACCAGAAGCTGGAAGATGTCAGTCTCAGCATCAAAACCTTGTCAGTACCAGCTCTGCCGGACAATTTCGACCCAAGCATCCGAGGCAAGGTCGTGCATGACTTTTCGGCTCCGCGCGCTCGTCGGATCTATTCGCACAACGACATCACAACCCTCGAGTCTCCGGTATTACGCTCTGGATATGGACCTGATCCCAGCCGAACTAGCGAGTCGCCGAATCCCAGAGTTGGGTCCGGCGGGACACCACCTGTGCCTCATAGCCCAATGTTTAAAGAGCATTTCCAGGATGACAGACCGTCGTTACAACCGGAGCGGACAGGGTATTTGCACAACATCAGTGCCTTCGGTACCGCCAAAGTCTCGGAGGAGCCGGAGCGAGTGCCAGCCTTTGCCAAAAGGCTACCCCCGACGGTACCTCAACCGGGTGCGCAGACGGACTCTCGACAGGGTGGAAAGGAGAATCTCCCATCTCCTGCGCCCAAGGAATCATCACCATCGCCAGCACCGTCTCCGCCAACACCGCCCCCGAAGAGTACACCTTCGCCTAGGTTTGATGCGCCGCCACCTGCAGTGCTTCCCAAACATATGACAAGTACGTCTTCTCGCTTCAGTTTCCAAATCGGCGAATCAGGGTCATCAGCACAGGAGAAGTTACTGGAGGAAAAGCACAAAGAGCATGAAGCGACCAAAAAGTCCACCTGTCCGGATGCTGGAGAGGATGAGGACGACTATGACAACTATGACTTTGATGCGGACGATGGGTTGGAGGAGAAAATCCCCGGGGTCAATGCCGACTTTGATGAAGACGAAGTGATTGATCCGACAGAAGGCAACGCTTTGGAGGCGAGATACGCCGCACCGCACGTCGATGAGGAGCTCTGCACCGAAGCGAACGAGACTGGAACTCAGCGGAGGTCTTTACAAGGCTTCCATTTCACTCCCCAGTCCATGACTTTCAGCCCGACTAGCACAAATCATGGTTCCCAGCCGACTCCGAGAGATCATGACGGCTTTGCCATTGGCATCGCAGACTCGATAGAATCGTCTCAAGAGGAACCCGCCGGAATCGAATCTAAAGACGGGATCGTCGAAGGCGACATGGTATCTATGTTCGACGGGCTGGGAATCAGAACCACAGGCGTGCACGCACGTCGGTCACAGCAGTTCTCCCGTCCCCAGGGGCAGGTGTTCAACGACGACGATCTGTACTTTGACGATGGAGAGTTCGGCGACGTGGCCTTGGACATGTCCGGCACCACGTTTGATGAACAGATGTTTGATGACGATGCGGGTCAGATCCGTGACATCCCAGCGGAGAATGCTCGGAGATTTGAGGAGGCACGACAGTTGGCCGGGATTGACGGGGAAGTCAAAGCGGTTGTCCCTGGAGATGATCAGGCAGATGTGACGGCGTGGTCGAAACCGGAAAAATCCCAACAAGGCTCACAACATTCCGCAGGTCATGAGCCTGTCAGCCCAGAGTCGCCCTCGCCTGGAGGCCATGTGGCAGGGCTGACTGAAACGAACCTGGCTGCTTACCACGACGCACTGGCCTTTGCAGCAAACCAGGCGGCGGCAAGTGGGAAATTTGACCGAAAAGTCAGCTTTGGCCAAACCTCGGATGACTCGTCTCTATCCCGGCTGGAAGATAGCCAACAAGGAGTGATCTCGGATGACAGTCGATTCAGCAACCATTTGAGTTCTGCCATCGCCGAGGATGATGGCTTTCCTTTTGACGACGACCTTGCCGACGATCCCATGATAGCTGAGGCCAATGCGGAGGCTTTGGCGAATGACGATGACGGCTTCTACGGACAGGAGTTTGGGTTCTACGCCCGGTCGCATGGCAAAGGAAGTTCGGAGCCCGTTAACGGCGGGTATTTTGCCGAACGTGGTTCCAATGGCATCAAACGCAGCCACAGTGGCAAAGCCACCTTTCAAGAGCCTAGTTTGACCCCGATCACCGAGCGGAGTGAATGGAGTACGAGGAATTCGGTGGTTTCCCTTCAGCTTCCCGGGGGCGTTCCCGCTTCGGCGCAATCCATGCCCAGCCCCGGGATTGCGCAGCTCCTGGAACTCGACTCGCCTGGGTATGACGAGGACATGAGTTTCAGCTCCCTGATGAAACTCCGTGGACGAACGTTTGGCGGCAGTTCCTCCAGCGTGAACAGTCTAGGGAGTGGTTATGCGCCGAGTTCACCGCTGGCTCATGTGTCCAGTCATCCGTTCGCGCAATCGGATATTGGTCTTGGGCGGATGTCGTCGTCTATGCAGCGCCAGTCGTCTTCGGCGGGGATTCCGGAATCCGAGGAAGAGAATGACGAAGATGGCGACCGGCCAACGTTGACGCAGAACACGCCGCGGAAGCATTCGGGCGAAGTCGTGGCATTGAAGTCGCAGGAAGATCTGGTCTTGACCCCGGCCTCGTTTGAGGGGGAAAGACGAAAAGGTCACCACAGTCGGACCAGTAGTGGCGCGGACAGTGTTAGTTATGCGCGTGACACGGATGGACGGTGGGTTCTGGAGAGGAGACGGACGGATGAAGACAGCGGAACGGAATTTGTCGATCGAGAATATATAGCGGGAGCTCGAATTTGACCAGGACGAGGAGCAGCAGCAGCAGCAGCAGTGAGCGGATTGGAGTTGCGTGCCGTGGGTTTCGGTTTTCGCTTGGATGCGACAACAAAAAGCGTGCATGTTCATGTTTCGCACACGACGATATGATACCCCATAGATGTTGGATTTATTTTCTTGGCCAAATGCTCGATCTATTCCTGGTCATGTATAGTATGGTAATAATAGTAGTAGTATCATTGATCACCCAGCAAGGTACAGACATCTACTAGTATCGATATCTATTTGCCTGCCTCGGCCGGCCCGGAGTTGCTGAGAGAGACACACACAGAGACAGAGACAGACAGAGCGAGAGAGAGAGACGTAGTCGGACCACGGAGGAATGTTTATCCGACCTTACACCAACCCTGAACTTCTAAAGTTCGAATCTTGAACTTCAAGCATCTCGCCGCAGCAATAAATACAGAGGTATCTCTACGTATCAGCCACCCACACACCTCACAGACTGTAGTGTACTAGTACCGCAGCCCCGTTACCAATCGACTGAGACTGGTGACTGGTGGATTGTATCTATATCTTCATCCACCTCATCCACTCAATCCAAAGCCATTCATTCCCTCCAGCAAACACTGCCATCTCATCTCAGCTCTACCTCTACCTATCTCTACCATGGCCACCACCGTGCCCTCCAGATCCCAAGCCTCGCAGGCTCTTCTATTCATGCAGCACTGCCACTGCCACCGCCAGTTCCGCCGAGTCCAACCCTCTCGAGCAATGCCATGGACCTGGCCGCGGCCCCTTCACTCGTCCTCCGAGAGTGTAGCAGCATCGCCGTACTCTCCATCCAACTTCACACGACCGACCCCGAAGCCCTCCCAAGCATCGATCTCGATATCTTCGTCTTCCGAAGTTTCAGGAAACGGAAACGTTCTTCCCGAATCTTCAAGACACGCCCACGCCCTCCCATCCGCCCGACCTCACTACGCATACCCCCAAGCCCGCCGACCCGCGGTGACCGAGATCCCCGGCACGCGCCTGACACCATGGACATGGACGAAATGGATGTTCGGCTGGCGGCCCACGCCGACGTTCAAGCCGGCCCCGATCCACGTCAACAACAACCCGTACCGGGCGCGCAAGCAGTGGCCGCCCGACTTCACCAGCATGGACCCGAAGCAGCAGTTCCATTTGGAAAAGACATACCGGCGGCGCGCGGCGTTGAAGTGGGCGCGGCCGACGTGGAACAAGAGCATCAAGTTGTTGCAGCAGACTTTGATCACGTCTACGCTGATTTATTTCATTTTCATCTGTGAGCCGAGTCATGGGCAAGGAACGCCGTTTGATGGGGTAAGTCCGGACAATTACAAAATCATATCCTTGGGAGGGTTATATAGTTCTCCTTTCTCTTCAAGACTAGTTCTGAATTTGAATTTCCGCTGACTTCCATCTTACAGTTCCGAGCTTGGTTCTTCGACAAGCTAGGCAGTCTGGGTCAATTGCCTGAGTCGACGCGAGAGGAGGCCGACAAGTTGAGCGAGGAGGCCAAGAAGAAATTGGTTCGGACTGCTGATATGTCGAATTCGCCTACTGCCTCTTGAAACGGCTTAATCACGGTCATCACGGCCGTGACAGTCTCACGGTCTCACGGTCTCACGGTCGAGTTGACGAAATGCGAGCTTCCTCCGCCATATTGCTAAAGTGTGATTGCCATTCTATACACCCGCGTATGTGGAGGCCGATGGATATGATCCGTCAAGATATTATATACATTTTACGTCTTGTTGGACTGCCGCCACTCTTTCTAAGCCTTTCCCAAACCCACCAAAACCAGCAATGCAATGTTCATGACCACCAGTACCAGCCAAATAGCCACAGCCAGCGCGGTCGTCAACCAACCGTTGCGCATATTGACCATCTCCTGCCCGTCGACGCCTCCGTCATCGCGCACCGACATGATATTGCTCCGGCAAGTGAACCAGACCAGCGGGGCGGTGACGAACGGCAAAATGACACTCAGCGCCACCTGGCTCGCCGTCAGAGCCTGGTTGAGGCCGTCCCTTCCAACAGCCGCGGCAATGATGATGCTCGGAGTAATGCTGATGGCGCGGGTGATGAGTCGGCGCATCCACGGCTTCACGGACCAGTTCAGCATGCCTTCCGACACCATCTGGCCGGCCATGGTGCAGACGATGCCGGCCGAAGTGCCCGAGAGCAAAAGCGCCAGGGCGAAGATGGTCCCGGCGGCTTTGGACAGGTTCTTACTGAGCAAGTCATGGATGCCGAACAGATCGGCCTCGGTGGCCGCGGTCTGCGGATACAACGAGGCGCCCGAGACGATGAGGATGGCCGAGTTGACGAACAGGGCAAAGGTGAAGAGCGACGTGGCCAGCTCGACGATGGAGTATTTGAGACACGCGCGGATCGCGTAGATGGACGGGACGTATTTTTCCGCCTGGTCCGAGTCATCGGCGGATTCGTCCATGGCTATCATGTGGCCGTTCTGTTGGTCAAACTGCTTCAAGCGGGGCTGCACGACGCCCGAGCCGAGGAAGATGGAGTGCGGCATGACCGTCGCCCCGATGATGCCGCACGAGAGATAGATGCCGTTGCCGTTCACGATGGCCGACGACGGCAGGTACCCTTGGAATACCTCGCCGGCCGTGGTGTTTTGGATGAAGGACAGCTGGACGCAGAAACAGACCATGACCCCCAGAACCAGGCCCATGACGAAGTATTCGAACAGTCGGAGCCGGCCCATGGAGCCGTCGGGCCGATAGAGCATGAGCAGCAACAGGACGTCAACGAGGGTGATGGCACAGCCGGCGACGAGAGGGATGTGGAGGAGTAGATTTAGTGCAATGGCGGAACCGATGACCTTGACGCACGGTGCGATGTTAGCATTGTACTTTTCTAGTATATGACAGGAAATATGCAAAAAGGGGATGAGTTGAGACGTAAAACCACACACAAACACATGATGCGATTGATGGTGGGAACTAATTGTCTTCCTGATCTGTCCGGGGTGGGAAGTTATGGTTATGGGCATGGTGATGGTGATGGTGATGGGATCTGCTATCGAGAAGAAACATTGTTTCTTTCTTACCTCTGCAATATCCGTAGCAATAATAGCCGCCTCGGCAAGCAAATACAACACAATCGTCAACCATTTCGGCAAATGCTTGCGACAGTTCTCGGCCAGATCCAAGCCCGTGACGCTGCCCAGCTTGATGCACAGCGACTGCAAGAAGATGGCGAACAGGTTGGACATGAGGATGATGAACAAATGGCGGTAGCGCGTGGCGGCGCCGGCCTGCACGTCGGTCGCGTAGTTCCCTGGATCGATGTACGCGACGGCGACGAGGAAGCCGGGACCGACGAACTTGACGTATTTCTGGAGCGTGACGACGATTTTGTTGATGATTGCGGAGGGCGAAGGGAAGTTTGGTTGGTTTCGTCGTGACTGAAAAGGTGGTTGATGAAAGGCCAAATGAGACGGAGACGGAGGTGTAGGTGTATTGGTAGTCATAGTCTCCTGGTTATTCGAGGTCATAGTTTCCCGGTGGTTATTCGTCGTCGTCGTCGTCGGATCAACATTGACCACAGCACTTTCTTTAGTCTGCTGCCTCTGCCTCTGCCCCCGCCCCCTCCACCGCCATCCCTTGGGACCAGTGTCCGCTGTCCCGATGTCCGGGACCTGTGTCTGGATCTGCTCATAGTCATAGTCGGTATCGTCCGAGTCAGCCAGATCTCGGCTCGAGTCCGTATGTCGTCGCTGTTCGCGTAGATTGACGATCCCATTGAGGTCGGCTCGGGTAGTCAGATCCCCGCTGAGGGCGTGCGGGTTCTGGTTCCAGTGGGGATGGCGTTCCGTGTTGTCTGGGCGGGAGGGACAATTCATGGTGGGCGAATAGTCCTCTCTGGACACAGCGAAATGTAGTGTGTCGAATTGTCAAATAGTCGAATATAGGGGAATAACTTGAAGCAGGGGAGGTGTCGGTTTGTTGTATAAGGTAGTAAACGGAACGAAAAGAAAACGGAAATCAGGGGATGGTCGTCATCGGTTGCCGTGATTTCGTATCAGTGCTCTGTGGTCCTCCAAGTTCCCGTTGACCTAAGGTAGATAAGGTCCTAGGACTGGTAGTAGTTCTTGGTGAACTGGAGTCACTTCAGTTGGTTGTGGATCTGGGGAAGATTTTGCGATTATATTGAAGAAGTTCAAGTTTTGCCATGTCAGATACTAAGGTAATAATAAATGTACAGACAGAGTCGTATCCGACCGATCTCCATGGATCTGGATCTGGACTCGGTAATAATCAGAACGCGGGTTTTCCCGAAGAATGGACGTGTGGGGAAATACGCCGAAGAGAAGCAGAGAATAAATACTGGAGATGATGATTTCCTACTACCATGATGAAGGTGCTACTAGTAGTAGTAAGGTAAGGTATACTACTAGTATCGCAAGGTCCTCAATGAAAAGTCGTCAGCCGGTCATGGCATTGAGGTTCAAGTTGAGAACCGCCGCCGTCGTCGGTCCAGAGGATTTTCGTCTGGCTTGCACTCTGTGTCTTGTGTCTTTCTTGGGCTTTTCTTGGATCTTACTAGGTACGTACGCAGGTACGTACGCACTGGAGCTGCAGTGGTCCTACTCTGGCAACCCGGACATTTGCGGACTTGGCCAAGTTCTCTCTCTCTCTTCATCTTCATCATCAAGAATTTATTGTACACACATATACACACAACATGATACATCCTACACGCCTCAGCCATCAGGGACTGCAGGTTTCTGTCCCAATACGATATACCTAGAAGCATGTCAGCAACAGTCGAAAGCGACTTCAAGACCAACACATACGTCGGCCAATACGCATGGATCGACTTTCTCGCCAGCTCTCGGCGAAAATCTGCCAGAAAGGCCTGTAGCCTCTCCTCCGACCAGCCCAGGACATCCAGAAACAGCCTCACACTCATCCCATAGACCCCAGCATGGAGGGCGACCAGCCCAAACCGGCCGGCATCTTTGAGCATAGGATCCTTAGGCCAAGGGCCGATGGGCATCTTATAAGCCATGATGCGGGTATTGACGAACCCAGCCTCCTCCATCTGGCATTTTAGTCCATGCGGATCGCACCTCCCGGTCTTACCGATCATCTCGCAGGCCCGATTCCACAGCCGGGCCCATTCAGTCATGGTGCTGTTCTCGGGAATGGATCCGTCGTCGCTGACAATCTGACAGTCGAATTCCTGATTCTCCACCCATCCGCCGGGCCGTAGACAGCTGAAGGCTTCCTGGTAGAAGTGCGGCCAGCTGCTGACGCCAAAGCCATTCATGATCCGGGTGTGCACGAGGTCGAAGCGGTCTTCGCCAAATCCCCACGGCTCATCCACGTCGGCCACCTCGAACTGCAGATTCGGGGGCACCCAGTTGGGTTGGATGGGCGACAGGTCGATCCCTACCACCTCAGCCTCAGGGTAGGCGTCGGCGGCGTCCATTGCCCAAATGCCCGTGCCCGTGCCCATGTCGAGAATCCCGTGAGGGTTGACGACCGGCGCGTGGGTGATTTGGTTGTCGATCGATAGCCGCAGCGCGTGGTAGTGCAGGTCCAATCTCTCCTGTTCGCCCTCGTCGTTGGGCATGATGTATTTGCCCGAGTGGTACGCGTGATATGTCCGGCCGTGCTGGACTTCGTAGTCGAATATGCTCGATCGAATTGACTCGGTCGAACACACTGTGTCACTGTACCCGGAGTCACTGGCGAACGAGCGCGCATCCGAGTCGTCCACCTCTACCTCGAGGGCATTGCCAGTGGTTTCGTCAGCCATTCCTTGGTGAGAGGTAGAGGATAGAAATAGATGGAGTGGTGACGCCTTCGAGCGTCCTCCCAGTACTGTCTTATGACTGATCTGCCTGGGGTAGGATCAGCAAAAGCACAATCGAGCCACGAGCCACGAGCCAAGAGGACAATGGTCGCGTATCTAAAAGACTAGTCATCTCAACTAGCGATGCCCGGCCTAGGGCTAGGACGGCCATGGGGCACCGCGCCGGGCTGTCAAGCCGTCGAACTTGGAGGTGAGAGTCTCGACCTGGATCGACCGGTCCGCTGGGGGCCAAAGTGGCGGCAGGGAACAAGCCGAAAGACAAATGACATGTCGACCTCGGACGGTGGACGGTCTGGGGATTGGACGCGAGACGGATGCCGCCTTCACCCCTCTCGGCCTCTGATGATGTCTTCTGCTAACCACAGGCCACCAGCCGCACAGAGCATGTCGTTATCTATCAACGAGTGAAGAAACATGGAACGGCGCACGCCAGAACATCATGTCACAAACTCACACCATCTGGAGTCCTCCATGCGGTGTGTCGCACTGCCATCCCCTGGTAGGTGGGTTGTCTTGATCCTTGCCGGGGATCTATCTCTCACATCCGCGTCCGTCGCTTCGCTTTGGCACATCTCCAATCACATCCCCGACGATGATAAACTTTGATAGACACCATGGACACCATGGACACCAACCACCACACTATCTTGATCGACATGCCGGGGACAACTACTACTGCCACTGCAACTGCTACGGCTACTACTACGGCTACTGCTAGTACTGCTACATCCCTATCTGCACACACCACCCCGGATGATGGCGATGGCGCATCCCTCGATTCCCATGTGAAGAAGTGGAATGGTACCGGTTTCCTCCCTATCTTCGTCTCCATTAACACAAGAACTTGTGAAGTGTAAGTGTAAGAGTAAGAAATCAGAAGTTGAAGTCCCTTTCATTGCAAGTGACATCCATCCCTTCACAAGCTCAATCCCCTCCACCCGCAATCGATCCCTCTTCCTCCCCCTATCATCATATACATCCGGAAGTCTGTCTCTTCCTTTGCAATCCCTGATCCTTCCCCGGACATTCCGTTCCTGTCACTGAGACATGGCGCTCGCCATCATGTCACTCGTCGGCCTGGCCGTGCTTGTTGTCTACACCCTCGTGACCTGCTATCGCAATTACCACAAATGCCCTCAATTCGACGGCCCGTTTCTGGCCAAAATCTCCGGCGCCTGGCTTCTCTACCACACCTTCTCCGGCAAACTGAATCTGCACAATGGAGCTTTACTCCGGAAATACGGTCAGCATGGACCAACCAACCCTGCGGCAATCCAATCCCTTCACCGCCGGGCACTGACCCGTGTGTGCAGGTTCCTTTGCGCGCATTTCTCCCGACAAGGTCGTCACCAATGACCCCGTCGTCCTCCGGCACATGAGCTCGCCTCGCTCCGAGTTCCGTCGCGGCACCTTCTACGATGCATTCTCCATCCAGCCGCCGCTCAGGAACGTGCTCTCGCAGAAGGATGAGAAATTGCACAACAGCTTGCGCTCCAAGCTGATCCGCGGTGTAAGTCGCCTTCGACGGCTTCTAAACTACTAGTAGTAACCGCAGCGGTCGGCTATGCTAACTGTCTGGGTACAGTACTCCGGCAAAGACCTGCCCAATCTCGAAGCGGACATCGATGCACGCATTGTCGACCTCGTCAACCTCATCCAGACCGAATCTTCCAACAACAAACTGATCGATTTCAGTGCTTCCGCCCAGTACTTCACTCTTGATGTCGTCACGCACATTTCCTTCTCCGCCCCGGTCGGCTATCTCAGACAGAACCGAGATGTGTACTCGTACATCAGCAAAGTCTCGGACTACCTGCAAGTCCTGGAACTGGGCGCCAACTCACCCACCATCCAACGAATCCTCGATAGCGGGCTCATGGCCCCGTTCAGGCCCAAGACCACCGACACCGACGGCATGGGCGCGATGATGGGGATGGCTTCCAAGGCCGTCGCGTTCCACTATGCCCCAGACGCCAAGGCCTATCCGGACATGTTGGGGTCGTTCATCAAGCACGGCCTGACCCAGCAAGAGGCCGAGTCCGAAGCGATGGTGCAGGTGTTGGGGGGAAGTGACTCGACCGCCACCGCCATCCGCATGATCATGCTGTACATCATCACCCACCCGGACGTGTACGCGAAATGTGTGCAGGAGATCGAAGCAAACGAGCACGTCTTCACCGCTTCCCATTCCATCACGTCCGCCGATTCTCGCAAGCACCTACCCTACGTCCAGGCGTGTATCAAGGAAGGCATGCGCATCTGGCCACCGCTGCAGGCGCTCAACTCCAAACTCAGCCCTCCCGGCGGAGAGACTGTCAATGCCGTCTTCATCCCGGGTGGCATTGAAGTCTGCCACAACGCCTACACGACACAACGGCGCGTCGAGATCTACGGCGCAGACGCAGAGTATTTCCGACCCGAACGCTGGTTGGAGGCTGCCGCCGAAGCGGGCAAGCCTGAAGCCGGTGGCATCGACCGGGGTCTCGGCGACGACGGCGTCAGCGTTGGAGCCGGTGCAGACGGCAAGACCCGGCTGGCTAGGATGGAGTCTACGCTAGAACTGATCTTCGGCAGCGGACGTTTTGGCTGCCTCGGTAGACATATTGCCTTGATCGAGCTGGACAAGGTGATTCCTGTGCTGCTGCGCAATTTCCAATGGGCCGTCGCCGACCCCAGCAGAGCCATCGAGAGTAAATGCTATGGAGTCTTTGTGCAGAAGGGCATGTGGTTGAAGGCGACGCCGAGGACAGAATACTGATAGTAGGATGGTTCAACGAGGAGTGTGAGTCCAGCCTTACACTTAGCCTTACACTTACAACTTTTACCGTTCTTGCGCGGATGCGATTGCGATGCCTTGTGCAGCTAGCTGTAGATAGGCATTTTGCAGCGTCAGCCTTACGCGAATCATGAATGATGATGACGGCTTTTGGTCTGAAACTCTCGTTCAGTTGCTCAGTAGTCAGTACCCAGTCTTGAAGTTGCATTTGGTGGTAGCAAGAGGTACTAGTACTGCAGTCTGCGGTTGGCTCGATGAGCGTTAACACCAACCTCCAGTTTCACTTTCAACATAGGCATCCGGCTGCCAGCATTCCAGGGACAGAGACAGGCATCAATGGTTTCTAGGATTCCTACCTTACGTTGAAAGAGAACAAGTTGCCTGAGGCACACACATTCTGGACCCCATGACCTGTACCGATATATTCATGCCAAAATGTGCGAAAGAGATTGCGTGCACAACATACTGTACCTACTATCGTGCTTGCTCAAGAAGGCGCGACACAACTATACGAAAGAATTCCCTCCGATGTCATTTAGCTCGGGCACATCCTAATCGAGCACCATGTGTTCCTGGCATGCGAGCGGCCAACTCAGAGAATTGCCAATCACCAATCACCATGCAGCCTCCGCCTTCAAGACACCAACACGGCAGTCTAGTGTCCTGTTTCTGTTTGCAAAAAGGAAACGGAAACGCCAGGCAATTCTTCGGATCAGTGCCGGTCAGTACCCCCAGAGAACATGCCGGCCACGCCGACGAGCAAGATGGCACGCCTCGTTGTTCAGTTGTTGAAAGTGGCTAATAGATACGGTAATTAGTTGGTGGGTGTCAATGGTCATGGTACAGACTCCAGAAGGAGGCCAACATACAACTCGTCATCACCTTGAACACCTGATACTCCATAGTATCGAGGTCGACCTTGGGTCGTGCCGTCTTAACTTACTTATGCTTGACTTATTTTTAGAGGTCACTCCTCGAATTCACGTGAGTCCTGTCTTTCCTTCCGATGCGCTCCATGGATTTGAGCTGGAGGAAGCAGAAGATCTCTATCTTTCAGAATTCTGCGTCGTCAGGCAGCGACCATCAGAATTGAGCCACTTCTTTCGAGCTCCACCACTCTCGAGATTCCTCTGGGTATGACCAATAGCTAATCCAGACCCGGGAAAGGCCCACGCGACACTCAGTCTCAGTATCGTCGTGGATAAGTTCGTGGACAGATTCGGCCGACCTTTTTGAGCGAGTCACCAAACGTCTTGATCAACCCAGTTTTGGTCTCTGATGGCGACGCCCCATGGTATGGGCACCAAAAATGCCGATTGTGAAATGATTCGGAACTTTCGAATAGAGCAAAGGCATGTTGAGCTAGACACTTTCTCGAAGCCGTCTGAAAAAGAACGAACGTAGCAAGCTTGCTCAGTTCAGAGCAAACGCACTACTGATCCGACTCAACCTGAATAGATCCCTGATGGGCTAGGGTTCGAAGACTTGAAACGGTGAGTCGGTCAATGACGCAGGAGTCGATTCTGATTATATGTGACCATCGGTGGAAGAAACGGCCTTCAGGCAGGGAGCACGCGTACATTAGGAGGGTTATCTCCCGGTCCGGGCGGACCGCTTTTTCCGGGCGGACCGTTCTTTTCCCCAGTCGATCCAAGGGTGATTGATCTCATTCTCGTGGTTACTTTTGAGGTTCAAGATCCTCATTCCAGGTCCATTGGAGCAGATCATCAAAGTAGACTTCGGCCTGGCAAGCAAGGTTCACGTCGAGAACAACTCCACAATCTAAGGCGGCAGAATTTCAGGAGTTTTGTGATCTGTGAATGGCTCCATCAAAAACCCGACGCTGCAGCCCCATAATTGAAGGGGGTTGGATGGAAATGGCGACGTCGCGGATATTGAATATCCAGATAAGTGCCACGTAGTCGGCGTCCACAACCGACTTGGTCGAGTCAGTCAAGGTCCGAACCAGCAGGACGGTTCGATCCCTCAAAACATTGGGGACGATCGCGCAAAGTGCCATCGGTCTTGAATGAGAAACATGACAGTAGCAGCAGGAAAGTTTCGTCGCAGCCTCTAGATAGGAGCTGTCGGTCCGGTGTAGGGCCTTCCAGCATCTGGGAATCTCGAGTGGGACAGCGACCCGGTCGATCAACGCGTAAATGCTACATATGTATATAGTATATCACGACCGAGTTACACTTACAGCTCCAGGCCGAGAGATAATCGTAGCAGCACCGACTCCAGCCCGGACTTTTGTTGTCTTTGACTCCTTGCTTACCACTCTTGTTGTCTCAAAAGTAACACCATGTCGGATACTCCAATTTCTCTGCGAGACGAGGTTGTCAAGAAGCAACCAAGCACAATGACCAACAGCGACGCTATGGAGCGCTCCAACACCGTCGGCAGCGTGGTCTTCGAAACTCACCATCTCGACAAGCTCTGTTCAGCGCTGGAAAACTCCAATGGGACCGCTCGGAAATTGACATCCACCACCGCCATTAGTGAGTCCTTTGTAACGATGTTCACGCTTTGAAATCGAAGCCACGCTGACCGGTCCAGGCTTGGGGGGATTCGTCCTCTGCACCACCCCTTTGTCCATGGTTCTTCTCGGGTGGCAAGGAGCTTCGGGTTCAGGTGCTGGGAATCTGTGAGTTCCGCATCTGTTCGCTCTCCGATTTTCTTCTGCTGAACGGCATAAAGGGGCTCATGGATATGGCTGGGGGGCATTGTCACTATCGTTGGCGCAATTGGAGACTGGATCACTGGTAAGCTTTGTCCCGGGACGGAGGAGGGGGGAGGAGGGTCATGACTGTTTTATGGTTGCTGATGAAACACCATATCTTCCAGGACATATTTTCCCCGCCATCGTCTTCTCTCTCTTTGGCGGATTTTGGTGCTCTTTTGGGACCATGTTGGTTCCAGACGCGGGTGCCTTTTCTGCATATTCGACAGACCCGAACAATCCTGCCGAGGGGTTGACCGAACCCGCCTTTTCCGCGACCGTAGCCTTCTTCCTGATGGCCATGTCATTTTTGTGCCTGATCTTTCTCCTGGCTAGCCTCCGGGTAAATGTTGCATTTTGCTTTGCATTTGCCGGGCTGATCCCAACCAGTGAGTCCGGGCTCTCCTGAACAGGGCGTCAATGTCATCACGCTGACCGCGCCTAGTGGATTTACTGGCTGCCTCCTACTGGGCTGCCGCCGATGGCAAGACTTCCAAAGCTCTGACACTTCAACATGGTTCGGCCGGCTGTTTACTGGCGGTGAGCCTCCTGGGGTGGTATATCCTTGCAGCTCTTGTCCTTCCCACGGTGGATTTTCCGGTGGTGCTCCCACTAGGTGATCTATCACATCGGATCAAAGGGGCGTCTCAGCGTGCACGACGGCAGAATCCTGGCTTCGATGTATAGTGCTCGCCGCAAGCACGACCAGCCCCACCTCTGATCTGGGGTCAATCTTGGGGTTAGGGCTAAGCTGCTGTGGCGATCGTCGCAGCGGTCGGACACTTTCAAACGGGACTTATCTTGGGCTTTGGGGCGGCAAAGGTTGGACATACTGGTGTTGAGATAATCGACGGTTGGCAAGTGGAAACAAAAGGCGGAAAAGAAAGTAAGCAGAGCAAGTAACGGTCTTCTCTAGCTGGAAAAGTGGTGGCGTACTTGTACTGGAATTGTGGAATACTATATTTTTGGCTGCCAAATTTCTCCGACTCAGGAGATATACGTAGTGTAGGTCAGAGTTGGAGATCGGATACAGACAGCACTATGAATATCAATATCGCGATCAAAGTAGCTCTGGCGTTTGTAGAACACGTTACAATACAGAGATGGAGGATATATGCTCCTTTGTCCAGCTACGGCTTTCTCAGGCTGAGCAACTTGAAACATGGGTTGAGATTCCTAAAGCCGGCACAAGCACACACTAGGCACGGAAGGTTCAAGCGTTACTACCAGGTACGTAGTATATATAGTATGGACAGGAGAAAATGGAATGTACTGAATTTCCTTCTACAAGCACCGAACATAGGTATTTTTCATTCATGTTTGTCCTGCTGGGGATATAGATATAGCTCTTGAACCAGGTGTCACCACCGTCCTCAGCGTTATATTGTCGACATGATCGACCCAGTCCATCATCGTCAAAGGGACTTGTTCCCCGTGCGAGCCGAGTGACATGCCTACAACACCCATCACCTTCCGACCATATTTTTTCTCGGGAGGCCATGATGTATAACCGGCAGAAGAGTGTCCAGGGAGAAAGAAAGCGCTTGGCCGGACACGGTGACGAGAACAATCACAGTCAGTGGCCAGAGTTGGTTGGACCAACAAGACACGTGGTGGTATAGCAAGATGTCTCAGCCGAGATGCCAGCCGACACGGATCCCTTTTGAGAGATCGCAATGCCTTGATGATTTACCCTGGACGCTCTTCGACGGCGGCGGGTTTGAGCTTCAGGAGAAGAGAACATCTACTCGGCAACCCAGACAGCAGCCATCCCCCTATCAGACGTCAGCAAAGACCGTGTAGAGAAATGGACAGTCAAAACTTACATGCCAGTTCCCACACACATACTCGTGACCCCAACCTTCTTACCCGTGCGCTTGAGCTCGGTGAACAGCGTGCTGACCTGTCTGGCACCGGTACAACCCAGAGGATGACCGAACGCGATAGCGCCACCTTTAGGGTTGACCTTTTCGAACGGGATGCCCAGCTCCTTGACGCACCAGACGGCCTGGCTGGCAAAGGCCTCGTTGATCTCAAAGATGTCGACCTCGTCCTGCGAGACGCCGGCCTTCTCCAAGGCCACGGGGATCGCCTTCCACGGTCCAATGCCCATCAGCAACGGCGGGACGCCGACTATGGACGAGGCGACGAATTTCCCGACGATAGGTTGGCCAAGGCGCTCTGCGGTGCTGCGCTTCATGAGGAGCACGGCCGCCGCGCCGTCCGAAACCTGCGACGCGTTGCCGGCGTGGATCGAGCCGTCCTTTGCAAATGCCGGGCGGATCTTGCCGAGCGATTCGGCCGTGATGCCAGGTCTGACGCCGTCGTCCTTGGTCACCGTCACCGTCTTGTCCTCGCCCGTCTTGGGATCCGTGTATTTGACGGTGACGGGGGCGATTTCTTGGTCGAACAGTCCCTCCTGCTGCGCCTTCAGGGCCTTCTGGTACGAGCTGGCCGCAAACGCGTCCTGGTCGGTCCGCAACACGTGCCGGTCCTTGGCCATCTGCTCCGACAGAACACCCATGGGCACCTTGCAGTTGGCGGCCTCCATGTGGTTTTCGAGGAGGTCCGAGAACTCGGTGACCGCGCCCGGCCCGTATTGCGACGACATGCTCTCGACGCCGGAGCCGATGCCGATCTCGATCATGCCGACCTTGATTGCGTTGGCGATATCCACGCACGCCTGTAGCCCGCTGGAGCATTGTCGGTTCAGACTCTTGAGGGCCGTTGTCGTCGGGAACCCGGCCACCAGCGCCGCCGCGCGGTATTCGGTCGCCCCGCCTCCGGGAGCGAGCACGCAGCCGGTGGCAATGTCTTCGACCAGGTTCGGGTCGATCTTGGACCGCTCGAGCAGATTCTTGAGTGTATATGCCAGAAGGTCGGCCGCTGGAGTGTCCTTCAGCAATCCCTTGCCTGCTTTGGTGAACGGAGTCCGCAGGGCGCAGGTGACGACGACATCGTCCGGCGATTTCGACAGGATCGATGGGCCACTGTCGGGCGAGCCGCCGAGGTGTGCCGATACTTGGGTGAGCCGCTCCTGCGCTTTGTTGGGTGCTTCACATGTCAGCACGGGATGGACTTGTTTCAATGCATTGTCGCCTTACCTTGGGCCATGTTGAGGGAGTGGAATTGGATTTGGGGGCGGCGGTTGAAGGATAAATCGGTTTCTGGATGCTTGAAGGGAAGGACTGAAGGAAGAAAGTAGTGAGCGAGAAGAAGAATCAGCAGTTGAAGAAGAATTTATGATCACAAGGGAGGTTTGTTTCTCGTTCATGCATGGATTTGTCGACTGTCTCTTCTCTTCATGTGAGAGTGAGCGACCTTGAACCGAGGCATGTCACATGCCAAATCTCGTTTGCTGATGTTCGTTCGAGTTGTCGACGGCAACCGGCATGACCTCATCGATCACATGATTGATTGACGAGCACGTGTTCGACCCTTTCTTCTACCCATTTGCCGACGCGTGTTGATTACTATGATGCAGATTACATGATAACTACCCTCCTTTTTGGAGAGCGAGGATACTGAGAATGTGAAATCTCTATTTCATCTGTTTACTGTTTCAAGTCGAAACAATGATAGCACTGTCAAAACCGTCGCTTGCTTCCCACTAATAATCCAGTTCGCCATGCTAGCAACCCGAAACCCATTATGTTGACAATATCACAAAGTCGTGGTTCTGACCGACCCGACTGTTTCACGACATCTTCGTGACTCTCGTCCCCCTAGTTAAACACTTTTTGACCACGGTCTGGGGTTCTTGATCTTGACAGAGACAGACCACCATCTCTTATGCGACGGAGGTGCAGTGGCGCGGCGGCCCTGGATGGACACCGTGGACGGCGACTTGCTTGGCCTCTGCACATCAGGGACGTCAATGAGGAGGTCTGGATTGAAAAATTGCTGCTTTTTCCACATGCAAAGAGCCTGTCTTGTATGAGTCTGCTCATCGTGGCTGAGGATATATCTGTGAAAGGAGGCGGCTATGAAGCAGTCAGTTATGATATTCACCCATGGCGAAGGTAACGCTTCCGCACTTACTGTCGAGATCGTTCAAGACATCACAGATGCTGATTTCTTCCAACACCCTCATGGTCTGCTGCACGGCTCCAGCTCTGACCTTTCTCGTACGTGAATACAGCTTTAGCCGATCTTCAACCTCACTTGCAGGGATCCCAAGCTCGAGGACGACGCCCAAGGCGAGTGCATCCTCCAGTGCCATGGCGATCCGTTGGCCACAATACGGAGGCATTGGATGTGCAGCGTCTCCAACCAGCGCAAGCCGATGACTCTGAAAGGTAGCGAGAGGGTCCATGTCCCAAATGGGTTGATCCACCAAATCCCGATCGCGGCACTGCTCCAACACGGCAATGCATTCTTCCGGGAAGCCCGTCGCCAGACGCATTAACTTTCTCTTGCTGGACGGGTCTCGCCAGTCTTTGCTGAGGTTCTTGATCGTCATCGAATCGTCGTACAGAAGTTTGATGCAGACTGCCTGCCCGTCCGAGGCCGGGGAAATCAAGAGGCTCCTGTCTGGTTGGTGGTATGAGTGGACATGACCAGTGTCGTTGGCAAATTTGACGGTTCTTGGATCCTTCATGATGCTCTCCCGGGGAATGATGGCCCGGAAAACGTGTCGTTTGAGCCGGAATCTCTCGGTCCTGCCGCTGAAGACATACGACCTGCAAATCGAGTGCACCCCGTCCGCACCTATGATCACGTCTCCGTATGCTTCGGATCCATCGAAAAAGTATACAATACCCTTTGCCGGATCAATCCGATACACTGATTTCGACGAGTGGAATTCAACTTCGGGTCCAGGACATCGGCTATCATGAAGAGCTTCCCAGAGACTTGCAATTATGTCCCGATACGTCGCATTGTGCCAGGGCTGGAAAGGCGTTAGCATGCCGTTGTGTAGTCTGGTCAGAGTCGAAACTCACCCAGTTTTTAGCGTCCATGTCAATTGTCCCGTCTGGTGTGTCGCTGTCTACGTTGAGGAGAACTCGAGTCAACTATGTGAGACAGGTGAGAATGACTTCCGCTCCAACTTTCATGGGACTGACCTGTTGAACTCTGGTCGCGCGGACTTTTGCCAGGTCAGCGCCCAAAGCCTCGAGCGCGGATAAGGCATTAGGATATATCGTGACTCCCGCTCCCGTGTTATCAGGAATGGCTGCTTGCTCGTAGATCTGGACACCACTCTGTAAGCGCTTCCTCTTTGCGTTGTAAGCTTGGGTCATGCTACCTTGATGTGATGGCCTTGTGAACGTAATGCAAGGGCAGTGGCCAAACCACCAATGCTTCCGCCTACAATCAGGACTTGTAGCCCCGGCATGACTTGCCCGGACTTGCGGATTGATGATTGTTGGGTGGCCGGTGTAATCACAGAAAGTAATCGTGGAACACCTGCAGCTCTAAGTACCGATTCTTGACGTGACGGGAAGGTGTTTGTCGGTCTGGGGGATTGCCATCATTATTGCTAAGGGCCTGTCAGATCATATACCACAGAACATGCCTGACAGCCAACGGGTTTCTTTTTCCATGCTGCGCAATATCGAACATTCTTTTGTGCAGGTCAAGCAGTGCTGGTGATGTCAACTGAAGGACGATTCTCGGAGCTCCCCAGGGTTCGCACGGCCCGAACATCTCAGCATCGCACCAGTCATTGCATACGACACCGGGATCGGGGGATTTCCTAAGCAAAATCTGCAAAGGTTCAATAACGGGCCGTGCACAGACACTGTTCAACGCCAACGGATCCAATAATCTGGAAACGCTCGAGCCATCTCGAGCCATTCCCACGATTGCCGAAGATGACCTACCTCTCGCAATTCCGGCGCTGCTGAGAGGACAACGGTGCCCTGCTCGCAGGCTTCGAAGATAGCATTGAGGACGAACGGTTGGGACTCGATGGCTCAACCTCGGTCATTGATAGATTGCTCTGCAACACGCATGAGGCCGTGACACAACGACCAGTGGGCTCCCCATAGTAGTTCTGTGCTAGACTGTCAAGGCGTTATGCACAGGTCGGCCGTCAGAAATGACAAATAATAGGACTAGAGGCCAGCGAACAATCTCTTTTCGTCGGAGATTTCACAGTACAGACCACAGCCAAGAGGTCGAGATGGAAGATTTTGCTGGACTATAGATCGTGCCGTCTGTATCTGGAGCAGACATGCAGATCGGGCGAATCGCACTGATGCACGGCTGGAGCGGGTGAAGCTCAGCCTCACACACTTGGTGGACTTTCCCAGATGAGACGGTCGACATTGGACTTTGGTAGTAAAGATGTGGCGCAGCGGTCTTAGCCAGGCACGGCAGGGCATAGTTGTAGAGGGCCCGCTCCAAGTTCTGGGGTACTGTCCAGGGAGGTCTCCATCGAGGTCTGGACTCAGGTGCGCAGCTTGATGCTGAATCTGGCGGCCAAGATTGTGATCACACCATTTCGGTGAGGACTTTGAGCAGCGAGGGCGGTAGTCGGTGTGTAGAGCGTCGCTTGAGATCGAGCGCACTGCTCGAAAAGGGGCCCGCGCTCTTGTCGAAATGACGCCACCAGTTTTTCAATCCGCACCGTCGGACCTCTGCCAGAGCACTGCTTCATTTGGCAATCGAGCATACAGGATCAGTGCCAACTAGGCCGTCTCTTGCGCCGGGAAATTTCGGTAGATCCGCGCCACGTGGGCCTGAAGCTACCGGTGGCAGATGATGACAACACAAGAATCTGCAGTGCCTGACAGCCCGAACATAGCAACTTGTATAAAATCACCTGTTCAGGCTCAACCCCGTCTTTCTCGAGCTGCTTAAAGTCTGGGTGCAGAGACACCACTCCAGTGAGGGTGATTTTGAAGTATCCTATCCCGGGGGTACACTCGGCCAGAACGGCCAGTTAAGGTTGAACACATTCTGACGAACTTTGGTCTCGGAGCGCGAAGGAGCATGGCGACAACATTTTGTGTATGTTCAGGTGTGAAGGAGGGTTCTTCAGGGGGAGGTGGAACGGCGCTACCCCCCCTTTCGAGCCGGGGTAAGTACTCTGTAGGTATCTTAGGTACCTAAGGAAGGAGCACTTGGAAGTTTGTCTCCAGAGTGCACTGGCTCCTTCCCCGGGTTTTGCAAAAGACCACTCAATAGGTTCCATGCGCAATACACTGTTCACCGTCTGCGTCCCGAAGTCTCCTCTCAACAAAACAAATTTGAGTTTCATGCTACAGTTTCGTCTACTTTAGTCTTTAGAATCGTTCTTCTCTTGCACGAGACCCTTCACCACCTGTCATCTCGCTTTCAATCTTTTCGTTGTTGGAAAAGGATTGAGCAGATTGTGAACAAGCCCACCCAAGGACGACACCTGGATCTTGTCCTAATCATCATGAGCTCCAAAGGAGATTTCCCCGACGACGAAGACCCCCTCGAATCCTTGAGATATCAAACCTTGGACTGCCTTGATGGAATACATAGTGCAGGGTCTTTTGCAACATCTGACCACAATGTCGAGCACATTCACCCTGGTCTGGTCGTCAAAGGCATCGGTCCTATCCGATTTCCATTATCTCATGAGGATGCAAATGCTCTTATTCGAGCGAGTCGTCGAGCCCCTTTTGGCAAGGGAAGAGAAACGTTGGTTGATGAGACTGTGAGGAAGACTTGGGAGATCGACGGCAAAGAGTTGTCATTCGGAAATGCAGGCTGGGACAGCTGGCTTGATCGGGTTCTTGAAAATGTTTCCAAGGGCCTGGGCATCCCTGGCAGTGCTGGACGTGTGCGAGTCGAGCTTTACAAGCTACTGGTCTACGAGGAGGGTGCCTTTTTCAAAGCTCACAAAGAGTACGTCAAAGCGAAAGCTTCACATTCTGCAAAGTCACTGACAGTACAGTACGGAGAAGACGAAAAACATGTTTGGAACCCTGGTCGTTTGCTTGCCCTCGGAGCACGTTGGCGGCAGTGTTCGCTTGATCCATGGAACTGAAGAGAAAGTCCTCGAAACAGACAGGTGGTCTTCTTATGGCGTCTCTTATCTGGCTTGGTAACATAACACCTCGTTCAACATCTTCCAGTGCTAACTGGTTTTCTAAAGGTATAGTGATGTATCTCATGAGGTAGTGCCGCCGTTCCAATCGGGTATTGTATCACAACTCACGAGAACAGGTGTCGCCAGTTCAATCCGGATATCGATTCGTTTTGACTTACAACCTCATCAACACTACTCTTGAACGTTCTCCTTCCGCCGCTGTACTCGATGTTGAACAATCCAAAATCTGCCGGATTCTCGCCGAATGGGATTCGATGCAAGATAAACCACAGGGCATGTGTTACGTTCTTCAGCACAAATATACTGGTGCCAGCCTTCAACTGAGCGGTCTAAAGTGTGACGACTATTACCGCTGTTCTCAGCTTGACAGAGCTTGCCGGTCAAATGGTCGCTTCTGTGTTTTTCTATCCCGACTGGGGCTGACCGTGACCCGAATCAACGAAGAGGCATATGAAGAAGAGGACAAGGAAGAGCTATTTCTAAAGGACACCGTCACTCTAGAGGGCATCCAGCTTCGAGATTCTATGAGGATAGGGAAAGACTGCCTCGTACAAAGAAACTTGTATGAGGCTCGTGAGCACGATGAACAATGGGAGGGGAACACGTGAGCAATCAGTATGCCGACACTCACCAAGCTTACCATGATGTTGTACGCATTGCGCCATTTGCTCAAGTCGAAGCTGTGCTTACAATTCATGCAGGTCGCTATCATTGTTTCTCGGGACCATCTAACGGAGTTCCTCCTCGGAACTGGCCATAAGCTTCCTGAGTACTCGTGATTTCTCTGGAGACTGCTCTCTGGCCTCAATGACCAGAATGGCCATGAACGCCATTTCATTCGCCAAATGATTGCACAGACATGCCAAAAGCACATTAAAGGAGAATACACCGACAGTTACGACAAGGATGCTTTCATGGGCGCAACAGCAACAGCGTCACTATGTATCGAGGACCTTGAGACAGCCAAAGCAGCCCTTCACGCTGTGAAAGATAGCTTCGACACATCTACCTTCGAGAACCTCGGCAGACTGGGGTTCGAGAAAACGAGAGAATTGTAAACCTTGCCTGTGAATTATGCTGCGTCCTCTACTAAGTGACCATTTTAGCTCCACAGAAGTGTTTTCTCGGATTTCGAAACTGCACCTGGTCGAGCGTGGGCTCCGAGCATTCCGCTCTGGGAGATCCGCTATGGTTCGATCGGGTGGTCAGCAAGAATCAGAAGGCGATGTCCACAAATGGGCAGTGAATGTCCTTTGCAAGGCTTCAAATTCGATTGCCCAGGTCTTGCCCCAAGATGCAGGAGCTGTTGTCAGGATCATGGACACCTATGAGGACAAGACTCTGGAAAAGGTAAGTTTTTCACTGAACCAAGGGCTGACCCATCGGTCATTTCTGTCAATAGGGTGTTGGCTGAACATTGATCAACCAGCATCAACGCGTTCGTAGGTCGCTTTTCGGATGACCCGATCTTCGCAAACGCCCTCTTGGTGGAAACCCTCTGCTACTCCAAAACAGTCCAGAGCCCAAACTCGGTTGTGAAGGACCTTCTGCCACTGGTTCTGAATACGGCTATGTCCAATTTCCGATTGCAACAATTTTCGGCTCATTCTAAACAATTCTTCCATTTCCCGTTTGAACAACTATTCCGTGAGGACTATCCTTTTTCTTCCTGGCCAGATATCAGGCATGTTGAAGAAAGGGCCAAAAAGGACGCCACTGTTATCGTGTCTCTGTATCGCCAATTCGCGACAGATGATTTGGGGGACAAAGCGGGACAGCTCCTCGAAAAGATCGCTGATGACACCGCAAACATCGAGTCAGCCGATCTCGACTGCTTCATTATTCCAGTCCTGCGTGAAATGATCGATATCACCGAGCATCAACCATCTGAGGCTTCTCAATTCTATACCAAAATCATCTCCACCTATATTGAGAGGGTGGTACAGAAGGAGCCTCCGAAGCCGCTGAACTGGTGCCTGCCGGACGACTTCCAACGCTGCTATCGGCAAGATTGTGATTATTGCTCCCCCGTGCGCGAGTTTCTGGAGGATCCAGCCAAAGAGGACTATCGTTTCACCGTTCCTCAAGAACGATATTACGACTCCACTAGACACCTGCCGTTTGACTACACTATGAGCCAGGAGGGGAAGGGAGATGACCAAACAGTCACGGTCACCAAAACACTTGTGGGAACGAAAACACGAGCAATGGCGGAGCAGGGCGGACCGTGCCCAATCGGCTCTTAGGTCGCTGCCTGAAACACAACTACGCCAATGCCTTGGAAATGGCGAGTATCAAGACTTGATGGAACTACGAATCGTCAAAATGCCGACTGAAAATATGACTAAGGAGGCAGAAGCAGCCACTATCACACTTGGAGGGTCCGCCAGTCCCGCGACGAGGAAGAGGAAAAGGGGAGACTTTGATCACTAGCGACCTTACCCAGGTAGGTACCTTGCAGTGTGTCCGGAGCCTAGAAATAGACTCCATCACTTGATGACAATCTCTGATCATCTCCCGTGAACGTCCGCGCCTCTCATTGCGGCAAGGAAAAGCCGTTTGACTAGGCCGGTCTGTTTGGAGATACACACGACTTGCGCGAGGAAGATCGGCCGGACTATTAATCCCCTTGGAAGATATTCAACAAATTTATCTGCCGATATGGGTTCGAGTACGACAGCGTCTTTGACTGGACGCTTCGGGCACCTCAGAGGCTGGAGCCTGATGCCCAAGAGCCTGATGCCCAAGAGCCTGTATCGAATGAGAGGACGCCACAAAGCCATCAGGTCGCTACTACAGCACTGCATGACAAGGGCCAGTTTCGCCAAGGATGGGGGTATCAAGACCCGGTGCTCGAAACCTCTCCTACCATTCCATTCATCACTGTCTTCCCTTCATACATCGCATCCATAGCTCTCTTGACTTCTACAATACGAGAACAAACGAACCATCACTACAAACACCATAGTTCAGCAGTAATGGCATCACATGAAGCCAACGTCGCGACCTGCGAATCCATCATTCAATATGTCTTCATTGACAAACGCCTTTGTCTCGAAGCAATTCAAGCGTCTGGTCATGTGCTCCAATGGCAACACAACTTCACCCGCGTGAGCAAAAACGACAGGCTGGCTGTTCTCGGAGATGTTGTGACCAAAGCTCATCTGTGCGAAAAATGGTTTGCCACAGGTCGAAGCAAAGGTCGGCGTACTCTCCCTACTCGTGGTCGAATATGCCTAACCAGCGGCAAGGTCAATGGACGCAGGCAGAGCAGGCTTTGCTATCGAATGCTAAGCTGAGCACCGTTGGCTACGACCACGGCCTGCAGGACTGCGTCATTTTAAATGAGGGCACGCCATCTGTCTCTCCAAAAACCATGGCAACTACCGTGGAAGCTATTTTCGGTGCTGTCTTCCTCGACGGCGGATTTCGTGCACTCGGTGCAGTTCTTGTCACCTTGGGCCTGGCACATGCTTTCCTTGAACTGGTAATGTCAAATTTCACTCCCTGTTTCTTTGAAGGATACGACACTTCTGTCTAGGCTGATCGAGTTCTTAGACCAGACGTGACGGAATTCATGGTCACCTGCAAGGGTGCCTCTTTATTCGGTCGCGAACGGGCTCTCTCCTCATGTTCCATGCTGTTAGAGCTCGTTCGCGATGGAATTTCAAGGCAGCCTTGCGGGTGACCTTGAACCCCTTTACGCCATGGCCCCTTAAGGTGCTTCCGCATTATGTCCTCGGGTTCCGCGTATTATCGCCTGAAAACACTCGCAACATGGACAAATGCCGAAGCAATCTTATTGGAACCTTTTCCTACCTTTGCTACAGAATAGCTGATATCCTTTTGGCTCTAACATGTGACAGGAGCACGACTAGGTCCAACAAGCATGAGCTGAATGCTGGGTGATGACCTCGCCTACTTGGAGTGAAGGCAAGAAGGTGGCAGGATTTCGTGAAATATATGCCAAGTGGTTGCAGACATGGCTTCAAAGCTGGTTCATCCAGCTCCGATTGACCGTAGTGCGCTCATTCAAACTCAAAAGCGCCCTCCGCCATTTGCGCCCTTGTCATCTTGCGGTTGATAGGCAAAAGGACTCTCGTTTTCCTGCGAAACCCTTCTTTACTGAAATTGCGAATGAACAAAGATAACACATTCTGCTCATTAATCTAATAGTTATGACAACGGCAGGACTTGCATATTCCATCCAGTGTCCTGCGTTGGCCACGATCTTTACAAGTGAAGTCATTTCGGTGGTAATAGTATGTGGAGCTCGAATCTATTGTTCGGCGTTTATTGTGGCTACAGGTGTTTGTCAACTTGGTCCACTTGAGGCTTTGGCTTCTCTGCCCATTCCATCGTCGACCAAAACCACACCATCAGGAAATGAACGCTAAAGACCGAACTTGAGTCGCGACGGCCAGCCTTCGACCGCCGAGGCTCCTGGTCGAGCGAGTTCATATACTCATACTTACAACTAGGCCTCTCTCTTCCTGGATCCCTCGTCACTGGTGGCTGATTGAAAAAATGCCGGAGCATTGCTGCGCAGACTCTGTATCAACATCGCCCGTTTCAGCCCATTCCTGGTTTTCTTGGGAGGTTTTGACCGTCCTACTACACAGCCCATGCTGCTGGCTGACTGTGAGTATCGCTGGGAGAAGTCTATTAGAGTACAAAAACTTACCGACTTCTCAGTTTCTTTCGAACTTTCCACCTGTCCTCCTCGCGTCTATTGTCCCTCCTCTCCACGGCTTGAGGTATATGATCTTAGCTGTGACTGTGATCCGACTTGTGGACAGCATTCGTTCTCAGGGCTTCACCAAATATCACCTCCTCCGTGGTACTCTTTGCCTGAGTATCCTAGTGGTTCCTCGGGTTGTTGACTTGATGACGCTCGTGGATACCAGAAAGTCTCATCCTGCCACCTGCCACTGAAAATTGGCCATTCGACAGCGAAGAAGGCCAAAATGGGACTGTCACAGAAGATCAAGATGTTGACCAACCCCCTGCACAGCCGTTCAACCTGGGAAAGGATAGCAAGAACCGCGCAGTCCTGCCATCGGATGCAGCCATGTGGGCTCGTACCAAACGAGACTCTCAGCTCGCGCAGGCATTTGGGTACAACCTCAAGACGAGCCTATGCCTGCGAAGCTGCCAAGCAAGCACCCTTGACCTCAATTGAATTCTGGCGGTCTCATGAGGTGTGGAGTAGAGCCTCTGTCAACACATTCCGCTGTCTCATCGGCTGCACTCTGGGCGACTTCACCACAATGTTCTTTCTGCAGGCAAACTATTCGCATCTTGGAATGGGACCGATCATGCTCTTGTCAAGTAAGTGACCTAGTGCTCAGCACATGCGTCTCGAATCAATCGTTTTGGATTGTGCTAATAGCTGGATTTTATAGTGGCTGGGGGGATTGGTGCTTCAATCGCTCTAGAGACGACTTTCCTTCGTTATGGCCGAGATCGACTGCCATGGACAGCCGCTGCAAGGACTGCAATTGGTATGAGTCTCATCTCAATGCTGGCCATGGAATTGGTCGAAAATATGACTGACTATTGCCTGACCGGCGGGAATGTCGACTTTGGGAATGGAGTATTTTGGCTTGCTGCCGGTGCTTCTATCCTCTCTGGCTTCGCAGCCGTGCTCCCATACAACTACGTACGCCTGCGAAGACACAATAGAGGATGCCATTAGTTGATTTGTGCGACTCTATGCTCAGCTGCTAGCTATGTCATCGGAATTGTATCCTTCACTTTATCTCAATTTTGACTTCATCATGTTATTGGCGGTAACTGCTGTCACACCGATATACTATATCCTACAGTCTCTTGCGTTAGCACACGGGGAGCTCCCTTACAATGGTCTGAGCATTTCGCGTAGGCCAGACTCTAATTCTGGTGATTAACGTTCACCTGACGAGAAAATATCAAGGCCCACACATGAAGTAGGGGAACAATATTTCACGGACAATCTCGGCGATGAGAAATATATGCTCTGGCCCTTGACACTCGCTTACAGACCCATGGTCCGAGAAAACATTCGGCGATAACGACTGACCTTAGGCTCAAAACGCCAGAGTCAATAGGGTTTGTGGTGCTCACTGGGTCGACAGCGTTGACGCCCTACCTGGTTGGTCTTGTACACCCAGGTCTACAGTCTAGTCCTCCTTTCCACTCCACCTCTGAATTGGATATTGGGTTCAACCAGAAAGACTAGGCTGAGACAGCACCCCCTACCTTCGGAGAATCCGAACGCACGACCTCGCATAGCTGTAAAACACCGACTGATCAGAGAATGGCGAGGCAGAGATTTCTTCCGGGCATTCTTGGTTGCGAAACCGGAGCGACAGATGTCTTATATATTGAGATCAATAGGTACGCTTCCGATCTGATAACCTGTCCTAATCTAATCTATCTCAATCGTGGTTACTGATTTTGAAGCATTGAATCGAGCCCTAGCTTGTTTTGAATGCAATATGTCAGGCTGCAAGGATATACAAAGAACCAACTCATTGACCACTGTCAGTGTACCCCCTGCTGCCGAGACAGCTCCCTCTTTCGACGATGAGAAGCCGCCGGGTATCCGCAAGATCGATGCTATTGCCAGCCAGCTGAATCCCTGCACCAGAGCCGTACTATGCCTTGGTATTTTCATATTGACAACGGTCTATAGCCTGGACGTGATGACAAGGCCGTCATACCAGGTACAATAGACCCATCCATTCTCAAGCACATGCAACTCTCGATTGACTCTTGCGAACCAGGCCACTGCTACTGCAAGTTTCGACGAACATAGCCTCTTGGCCACCGTCAATGTTGTTCGCTCTGTCGTTGCTGCTGCAATTCAGCCTGGGCTGGCCAAGGTGGCTGACGAGTTTGGACGGCTCGAGCTGATTTATCTCTCAATCATCTTCTATGTGACAGGTTCGGGCAGGCCCATCGACCACTCTCCCGAGAGGCTTCAGTAACAGAGATACCATAGGTACCATAGTTCAGGCATGCTCCAAGAACGTGGCCACGTTCTGTGCCGGGGCCGTTCTCTACCAGATTGGATACACATCAATCTTCCTGATGATGACTATTCTGGTATCCGACATATCATCCCTGCGAGACCGGATGTTCTACTCGACCATACCAAACATGTCATACATAGTAAGAAAGTCGCAACCCCTGTTGCAGTCTTATGGCCAATGCTGATCAGAGCGGCTTCTGTCCTAGATTGTTGTCTGGGTAAGCGGCTACATAGTATCAGGCATCCTCGATACTTCGACCTGGAGATGGGGCTTGGGCATGTGGGCTATTATCTTTCCCGTCTGTTCAGTGCCGATCATCACCAACTTGACAATCCTGAGCCGTCGCGCCGACGCGGCCACACACCGCCGTGGCATCGGGGGTTCGAGCAAGGACACAAGCACAAGCATCAAAGACCGTGTCGTGACCCTGTTCTGGAAGCTGGATGTGGTGGGGATGTTCCTTCTTGCTGCGGTGCTCGCACTGATCCTCACACCTTTGACACTTGCTGGGGGAATCTCTTCCACTTGGAGGACAGCCCACAGCATCGCGCCGCTGGTTGTTGGGGTCATTTGCATCCCTGTTTGGCTCCTCTGGGAGTCCAGGACTTCATCTCCCATGTATCCCATCGAGGTAAATGATCCGATCCACCCGTCTCCCCAAAGGAGTCGGAGCTCCTCCACACACAAACAAACGCGTTGACGCCTGGTAGATTTTGAAGAATCGTGGAGTTTGGAGCGGCGTCGGTGTTGCCGTCAGTGTGAACATGTCGAACTATCTCCAAGCCGACTATCTCTACACAGTCCTTGTGGTCTCGTTCGGCCAGTCCGTCGCGGTGGCTACTCGCGTCACCACAGTTTTCACCTTTGTCATTGGCGTCTGTGTCATCATTGTCGGCCTGGTTGTGATCAAGACTTGCCGCCTGAAACCCTTCATCTTAGGTGGATCTGTGCTCTATCTCGTCGCCTTTGGGCTCTTGATCAAGTACCGTGGCGGAGCACAAAGCTCACAGATGATTGGAATGGTGGCTGCTCAAGTCTTGCTTGGAGTTTGTACGTTGCTCTATAAAAAGAAATCACTAGATGCAGTGCTTACTTCTCTACAGCCGGAGCAGGGACCTCTTACCCGGCCCAGACAGCAATGCAGGCCGCTGCCAAGCACGAAAGTGAGTGCGACTATCTCTTCATCCTCCTTTGAAGTGACTGATGCGATGATTAACCCGGTGACGCTCCTAGCACTCGCAACCATGACAGCACTCTACGCCACTTGCTTCTACATCGGCGGCGCCATCGGGCAATGCATATCTGGTGCCCTCTGGACACACGTCCTGCCGGGTGACCTAGTCACCAAGTTGGGCAATTCGACGGCGGCGTCGAGAGTCTATATGGATCCGTTTTCTTTCGTCGCTGAGTACGCCATGGGTACACCGGAGCGGGATGCTGTCGTGGACGCATACAGGCACATCCAACTCCTGCTGTGCATCACTGGGCTGTGTCTTGCAACTCTGGTCTGCGTATTCGGGTTGTTTGTTAGGAACCAGAAGCTATCTGGTTCCGAATACTAGAGAAATCCGGAAGATCATTACTGTGTCTGCATTATATGGGAGCTGTTACCACCGAGATCATATGTTCAAGGGGATGGATGCTGGGAGAAGTCCGCTCGTCGAAACAAAAGAAAAGATAGAAGTCTTCCGGGTATCAACCAGCAACATTCGAAGCTTGGAGAAAGACGGGAGAGTAAAGGTGTAGAAGCGTAAAAGGAGAAGGGTTCTACTCCGTTCAAATCGACAACGACTCGTTCGGACTTCAAGTTCTCGGAGACAATACAGATGTACGTAGTCCGAAATCGTCCCCTATATGCCTGACCCACCAATCACAACGGCTACGGCGTTAAGGGTGGGTCCATGAACCTAAAGAGTACAATGCACGAGTAGGGGCGATCGAGGGTTGACACGAGGGTGCTATGCCAAGGGGCCCGAGGAAGCAAGACGTTGTGCTTACAGAGAAGTTTGTAGGGATTTGCAGCGACCACTCGACCCCAAGCTTTTCAACTAAAACTAGATCATGGAACAGGATAGTAGGTTGTCAAGTATCTTATGTAGCTTACTTCGTCAAGTTCTAGTGCTTCTGGATCCGGAAGTCATATTCCACCTCCCATTTGACAGGGATGTCCAAGTTTGGTACGCCTCGTCCCTTCAAGGCCTTCTCGCTTGGGGGCCCGAACTGAATGATAAGGTCGTCTTGTACCGCATACACCGAATCGTGTTCGAGGTACTTGTCGTCACTTGGGAAGACTTGCGTAACAAGCCGGCGATGGCCCTTGCTCTCCACCATGAAATGTATGTGCGCTGCCCGAAACGGCGAGCGGTCCATGAGCTCCAGGATATCTCCTGCCGGCCCATCATATGGGATCGGGTAGGGAACCGGCTTGATGCAGTAAAAGCTAAAGTGGCCTTCCCAGTCAGATGTGAAGATACCGCGCATGTTTCCGTCAGGTTGGCTCGGATCCTGTTGGTCGTACAAGCCATTGGCCGCGCATTCCCATACGTTCAACTTGGCGCCTGTGGGCTGTGAGTCTGGGGCGCAATGCTCAAATGGGTCGGTCTCTTACCAGCTATGGGCTTTCCGGAATCCGCGTCGAGAACGCGTCCATGAAACCAACCAACATCACCTCCCAGATACTGCTGAATGATGCTGGCGCCATTCTCATAGAGGGGTGCGTCTGCTCGGTAAAAGGGGCCCAGGATGCAGGAATCGGTTGTCGAATCTTCTGCCAAAGTCTTGTGGGTGATTCGGTCCACAAGTCTGGAAAAATTATCAGTAGGTCAGACATATTCCAGACGCTCGGTACGGATGTCGGAATGAGAGACACTTACGCTTCCACGCCAAGGCAATCAGATACCAGCAACATCTCGTTACGTTTTGCGTCGCTCATCTGGCCCGCACGATTGAGCGCATCCAATCCCATGTAAAGCTCATCCGTCGTGAGATTGACTTCTCGACAGGCTGCATGGAGATGGCGAATCAACGCCGTCAAAATCTCTTTGGCTCGCGCTGGAGCACCGGGGCCAAAGGAGGCAAGAACCGATGCTGTGAAGGGCTCGTCCTTAGGGGTAGCCATCATGGAAGATCCGACTATCGAAGGGGGCTATCGAAGGCAATGAATTATAAATTCAGACTGAACGAAATCGGAAGCGTTGATGGTGGCAGGAGGTGGTCGAGAAATCTCAGAGGGGAAGTTTGATTGTTTATACTAGTATCCTCAAGGGTAATTCGGCTTGTTAATGGGGACCCCGGCATCTCCGGATGGTCACGAGTCCCCTAAGAGGCGGAGCCCCGTTCTAACCTCGGTGATATCGCCGACCACATCATGGCTATCTTTGGGAGGTAGACATGGAGCTCAAAGCTGTGAGGAGTGAAGATCGAGCTCAAACTGCCGGCTGGCTGAACTTCAGTCGTTTACTCCCTGAACACGGTCAATTCAAACACGTAGCATCTCGGCGATAAGACGTGGTCTAAGTTCAGCGTTTATTTGTGCCATTCAAGTTGCAATAATATCTAAGCTGCCCCCACAAGCGAGCCATAGGGCGGCAACAACCTCGTCCCAAAAGGGGTAAGTTTGGGGGAGCTTTCACTCATCTCCGGCTTGGCATGCTGGAGCTGGCGATTGAGCTTGACGGCATTAGCAAGACTGACCACGGCGCCCAGTGCTTTGCATTTCCTCGTCCCCTACGCTCCTCAACCTGTGTCGTCTTGCCGTTGCTCAGGGCGCAATCTGAGGTGGTCCTGAACTGTCCAATCGCAGGGGAGAAACATCTCTGCCGTTGGGAGCGACCTCACCTCTCCGAGTCCCGACACAATCACTTCCCTCGCATCCCGTTCATCAGATCCCTCCGAGTCGGTCCTACCGCATCCGCCACCATGCCTACTCCAGAGTCCGAAGCCTTCCTTGCCAGGAAGCCCAAGGTTGCTCCGACGTTCCAGGGTGTCGATTTTTCAGACAACCAAGCAGTCACTGACGCCCGCGATGCGATTGTACGAGAACAATGGGTCCAGCAGATGATGCAAAGATTAGTAGGCGAAGAGATGGGTACGTTTTATAAACTCTCAATTCTCCTTTCCAGCGGAGGTGTGCCACATGTGGCCTGATTGCTCGACGGTCCTGCAGCCGTTGGTGCAGGAGCGGAACAGAGTGGTGGTCGTTTACCGGGTTGACTGGGACATGGATTGAGGAGGTCGCTGACTTTGTTCTTATAGGCAAATGCTATCGACGTGAAGGAGTCAACCATCTGGAAAAGTGCGGGAAATACAGAGGTATGTACACCATACTCCCGAACTGTGACGCTGAAGAAGTATTCGGTGCGTGCATTTGTGAGCTGTGTTCAGTGGACTGATTTCATGGGTTGTCGATACAGATCGCTATTTACAACTGTTGAAAGGGAACAAGGAGAAGGGGTACAGAGGCCGACAGCAGAACTATGTTCCCGGCGTCGACGGCCCAGCAGGCGGTCCCGAAATTCTCACCGATTATCCGACCGCACAGCAAGCCAAAGGCTCAAAGGGCTCGGATTTCAGGCCAGGAAACACGACTGGCAACGGTGGTGATGTGTTATATTAAGATCCCAGGAATATGGGACACTGCATTTGTTAGGGGTTTGGGAGACGGGGTGTACATACCGGTTGGGTGATACCAACAAAATTGAAAAAGCAAAACACGCCATCACAATTGTCTTGTATTCGACATACCTTATGCAAGAGCTTTTCCCCAACTAAATCCTACTACACGTCATTCCTCACTCTACGCAGCGTGCTTGAGATATGGCAGCCAAAATACTGACATCGCAATGGAAGACCGTTGAGATCCTCAGATCGAGTTATGGTATCACACTTCCTCCTCCGCTCCAACTGGTCAGCTCCAATCGTTGCCATGCAGCGATGGCGCCTATCATGTACAGACGATCCTCGACATTTGGTTTTTTTGCGCTGCGGTAGCGAATAACAAACAGGGCAATCTGAATGAGACTATGTGATTACTGAACGAACAGGAACATGATCAGTCGTATGTAGAGGTGATGCTTATGCGATCAGAATCACACCCATGTATGTCACGAACTTTCCTAAAACTGAAGAGTGCTAATCCTCGACTTTTTGATTCCTGCTATACGAAGGGTTGTCGCAATGTTCGCTCTCAAGTATTTAAATTCCATTGACCCGAATCACCATGCAAACCGACCGCCCGTCCTGGGACCGACGTCGATACCTTTCCATGTTCCTCCGGCTGTTACCTCACAACTTCTCCTTGCCGGCCTTTTCGGCGGCATGAGTAGCGATAAGATCCATCAACGTCGGGCTCAGGACATCGTAAGGCTCCAAGCCAATGGACCTCAGCCTGTCGCGCACCTCTCCCATCTTGGAGGGAGGGAAGCCCTGCTCGATGAGCGAGGACACAAACGCCGCGAACTGCGGCTCCTGCCAGCCCTTGTCGTCGGACAATTCGACGTGCACGAAGTCGAGGCCCTTGAAGGCGTGGTCCTTCTCGATGCGCCCGTACATGTGGACTCCACATTCCTTGCACGCGTGTCGGAGGATCGTGGCGTCCTTGTTGACGATCTCAAGCTTGTCTCCGTTCGCAGTCACCGACTGGTTGGCGACGGGGACCACTCCGACGATAGAGAACAATGCGCCCTTGGGTTTGTAGCACTGGCTACAGCCGCAGGCGTGGTTGTGCGCCACGTTGCCCTTGATCGTGACTTCGACCGGGTTCTTGCTGCATTTGCAGTGCAACTTGCCGCCGGGAAAGTCGGGATTGCCTTTGGTCAGGCCATTGTCGATGAGAGGGTGGAGGGAGAAAGAAGACATGGTGAGTTTGTACTAGGTAGGTATGAATCGATGGTGTTTCAGTTGGTTGATTGGTTGGTGGACGTGGATCTATGAACGGCGGGCTTAGGGAACAGCTGGTGTCGTTCTTCTTCAGGTAGTAGGATGTGATGGTTGTTTGAGACTCGACCGCACTCGAGCTCGAGCGGACATCCTATTATACCTGATGATACGGCAGCAAAGACGACATCCGGACTCACTACAGCATCCACAAACAGACGCTTCTTCGCCACTCCGGCGTTGAGCTGCCAGTGTCTGTGAGGGGCTATTGCCGCGATGCGCACGTTCGCAATACCGCTCGGTCGCCCTGAAAGCACTGATCATTGAGGGGAAAAGGTTCAAGCTTGAACCTTCGAGATCCCTGGAATCCCGGCCATCCGCAATAATACGGAAGTGTTGTGAGAGCAATCCCACATTTGCGCTACCCATCGCCCGCATTACGTCGGTAGTTGCCTGGTACAAGTGGGATTGGATTGCTTGAACAGGACAAACATAGGTCCGATGATGGTGGAGCCGGACCGGATTCTTCCACCAAAGCCTCATGTCGCCGAGTACTACAGACCATCGGCTCCTCATCAGGATTCTATTTCCCTTGGATGCGAATGTGGGACAATCACGACATCCAGTCCTATATAACAAGAACCGGTAGATCATAACAGCGGCCCCTGAATATCTCCTTCGTCGGCCGTCTCCCAGTAGGCTAGTCGACCGCGAGGACGTACTCCAAGTGTCGCATCTCCCTACACTGCTTGGCAAACATAAATTCTGCGAGCGTGATTGAAGTGCTCATGAGATATTTGGCAGTGGGTTCCGCACTATATGAGAAATCCTGGCTGGCGAAGCCTGTCTGTTCCCAAACGTAGATACATATGTACATGTACCTACCTAGTGTCAAAGGTTAAGCCGCCGGGAAGAATGTTTAACCGACCAAGAGTAGACTGGCCGAGTCTTTAGATACGCATCAAGGCTCCAGCAAGCCTCTCCGGCAGTGGAGAGCGTCGCTCGGCGCTCTACCACCGAAATATGCGATCAGACGGTGTATGAACTGCGAAGGGTCTGACACGGTCGAACGTTGCGCAGCAATGTTCATCAAGGTGTCTCGAAGATACCTTATCCTCTAGCCAGGCCCTGGGATTGCTTCGTTACATGCAGATGCACACACGAGTACCTAATCTTGGTGCTTGACATGCCGCACCCAAATAAGACTGTTCGGCTCTCCCAATTTGTGAAGGCTCTCTTCGACGAGGCAGTGGAAACGAGAAATACGAACACACAATCGTGATAACGACCGACAGTCGAGCCACAAAATACTCCAAGTCAGCCCGGACGACAAAGACGAAAGAGGTCATTATAGTAGAAACCTCCTACGGCTTAACGACGGCACATTGACTGGGAATACCGAGTGCATCCAACACTGGTGTTTCGGCGAGTAGATGAATAGTACTGAAAGATCATGATTCCCGATACTTACGGCTCGCTCTGGTGTACAGCAATAGTCCAGTTAAGGTCTATCCGACTGTCGAACTGGGAAGTCTTCTTGGTGCAAAATAACGATGTCAGTCCATTTCACTACAGGCTGAATACTCCGCACAAGACCCCAGGGAGACAACCTATTCACGTGACTTACTCTAATTCATCTGTCAGACAAGACTATTAAATCAAGGTTGGGTGTGGAATTTTGGCATCCTACATAGTAGCATAATGCCGAGCATTTAGTCTGACAAGTATCTCCACCTTGTGCTCGGCAAGGGCTCGGCAGGGAGTCAATCGCTGCAGTGGCAGTGTTCACCTCATGGCCTGATGCGCCATCAAAGGACAGTGCGGGCAGGGCAACATTCTGTCAACACAGCCTCCCTAGGAAAGATGCGTATGCGAATGCATTCTTCCTCACGTTGGATCAACAGAAAAAGAGGATTGCGATATCGTGCCAGCCGAAAGGGAGTCCGCCACACATGATGCAGTAATGGTACCGCGACAGCATCAACAACATCCTCCCCCTCGTTTAACCCAGCCCCTATCGTGGCCCAGTGGTCGTTAGGACCTTGGACAGCCAAATCATTGTCCTCTCCGGCAAATTATTGACCATGCCGTTTCCCTTTGTGCTGTCAACCACCTCTCAAGTCTCCTTTCAGAGCAGTTTCACCTCGTCCACCCACCCTTCCCTTCCTACCGCGGCTACATCACGCCGTGCAGTCCTTCGGGCGGCACTGAAGAGCCACAAACGGCTGTCGCCATCCGACCAAGCCACCAATCTACTTGCACTATCCACCACGATCAATGATTATCAGCGGTTCCTATTGACTCTGGATCTTGCATTATGTGGCAAGTCGATCGCCGGAGAAGAAGTCGACATCATATTAGCAAAAGAACCGGAGATCGAATGGCGACCTACTCTGGGTGCGAGTGGCATTCCAGGCCGCGAGAACGACAGAGTCAAGGGCAAAGGGCTCGACTATGAGCTTTTCTTCGTTCTTCATACCCTTGCCTTAGTCCAGAACTTGCTGGCCAGACAATCATTACTGGGCTTCTACGCTTCATCCAGCCCGACAACCGAACAGCGAACGGCGCTGATCCAAAATGCGACTAAGAGTCTCAAGGTGGCCCATTCTCTTCATTCCTATGTAGTCTACAGGGCAAACTCTTCAACCGACGGGCCGCTTAGTTTCCCGCCGAGCGCTGTCGACGTATCCACGGCAGTGCAGTCAGCTCTACAGCATCTGACACACGCCGAATTCAATCTATTATGTGTCTTGAAAGACGACCCATATCCCGCCCTACTGGTGCAGTCGCGTAACAAGGACGATAGGGAATGGATGATTCGCGCACCCTCGATCCCCAAGGTCCGCGCGCAAGTGCTGACCCGGCTGTGTATCGGAGCAGCAGAACATGCTTCCGTTGCCGCAGTGTCGTTGAAATCTGACAGCTACAAGGTGTCGAAAGATCTGTTGGACTACTGCGAGGGAATCAGACGAGCCTCTCGGGCGAAGGCTTGCCGGTTTCAAGCCCTCGATGAGGATATGACTGGGTCGACGGGAAGGGCGATTGCATGGCTTCGGGCGGCGCGAAACGAATTGGGCTTCGAAGTCGGCAAGGATGGCCACAAGTCGCTCGGGCTGGGGAAATTGAAAGCTTCCTGGACCGAAAGAAGAGAAGACAAGAGGATCGAGAAGGGGAGCGCGGACTGGGGACTGGACGGCGGCAGGCTTGAGGAGTCACGCATAGTCGACTATCTCGACCAGAAGATGACCAAGGAGAACGACACAATCAATGTCCAGCTGATACCAGAATGGAAGCCGTTACTGGCCGCACTGCCGAGCGGGATGAACATGCCGATCGAGGAGAAGTGGAAGCCAACAGTTCTGGAGGAGGAGGAACTTGCTGCCATGAGAGCACCACCTGAAAATAATGACATGGCGGACGCCTGGAGCTCTGACGATGAAGACGGGAATCCGAACCAGCCTGTGGGCGCCTTTCCAGGAACACACCACGATTATGGCGCAGCTGCAACAACGTATTACTGATTGAGTCATCTGGCCATGATTCCCGGGGACTCTCCGAAGCTGCTTGGTCGTCAAGGGAAGATTTTACAAGGCAACGGTACCCGGCCGAAGCACTGGCAGGTCAATCAATTGGAACCATCCACCAAAACTGATATCTGAGCATGACTCGGATCATGACATCACGTGCTGTGACTGACTCGCGGACACTGGGCGTCGCACAGTCAACAACCCCTATCCATGTTTCAACATCGTTTCAAGTCAGCGTGTTCTCAAAGGCCACCGCCAACCATCTACAGTTGCCATCCCGTTCAACACCTGCACCTTCTAGCGTCATGTGCGATGGTCACAGAGCTCGGATGGGGCCGAGCCACTGTGGCCTGCCCATGGGCCGAAGATGCGCGAAAGATGAGGCCGGCACCGCGGCGCGTCTCGACGGAGAGTCTCGCGCTCCGCAAGTTGTGGTTGGGTATGAGCACTTGTGAACATATTTCATGGCTGCGTCAGTACCACAAGCTGGATTCACGCGACAACCGCCTGTCCACCCATGGCTCTTGACGCTCGTACGATGACGGTTAGGTGAAGGGGTGACGGACGATGTTGTTGCCTCATGTCTATATCTTGCACCGATATAAGGCGAGTCAACTACGTGTTCAACCTTCCTTGTTGTCTTCATTTCCTTCTATTTATCTCGCTCAAGGTTTTCTTTTACATATTCGGTGCTCAACCTTTGCGAGACGAGACGACAACCAAAACAATCAGGTGGGGTTTTCCAACATCACCATGATATCCTTATACCTGGTCAGTGCAGCCATATCTCTAATGGCAACCTTTGCGCATGGCTTGCCTTTTGGACCAATACTGCCCAAGATCACGATCCGAGAGGAGTCCATACCATACTTCCCCCGACCGACAGGTCCCAGCGTTGGAATTCGACGAGATACATCCTCAGCCACGACCGGCATGGAACAAATCTTCACAACAGGTGCTGGAACGCACGGGAAACGAGAGCGAACACAAAGACTAGATGTCGGTGCGTCCATCAGGAGTGACGAGCACGCTTTTCGCAATGCAAGATTCATTCCCTACCGTCCCGCCGACACCCTACGTGTGCACAATCTAGCGTCTCCAACGACATCGACATCGGAGGAAGATCCATCAATAATATACCTATCCACAGGAATCATCAGCAGCAGCAGCAGCCCACTGCCGACGGGGATTCGGACTCTCCCTCCCACCACGGCGATCTCGATAGCTGGTGCACCAGCGCCACTTCCAGCGGCTGCCTCCACGACACCGGCTGCTGCGTCGATTTCGGTTTCGAGTACCAGCACCAGCACCAGCACTGGCTGTCCGTTCGCATCTACCGGTGCAAGTCAATCAGAGCAACCATTGCCGGTGATAGTCACCGTCATTCCCGCTGCGTCGAGCACGAACACAGTCACAAGCACGCAATAATCGAACCATCTACTTCCCTGCGCAGACCGCCAGGTCCAACATGAGGTGTGAATACAGAGACTTAGGATTCCGTGGACAGCGGAATGCGATTGAATGACAGGAATCTGAACATGGGTTGTCCGACTTTGGTAAAGAATGTGGCTTCAAATGTTTTGCATTAGAACCCATTCCGGCTCATCCAGATAGACACGTCTATATCATCGGAGACGATAACATATTGTTGACTCATTATATACAGCGCACATCGTCCAGATGCAGATTGATTCATGCCTCATCCATGTCCCACGCTTTGAGTTTTGGTTCATCCATGCCCGTTTTGATGCGACTCCAAAACCCGTGAATTAATCATGGGATGCTCCCGCTCAGTAAATTTAAATTGCACCAAAAATATCCTACATGTTTGCCAATTCGCCATCAATGGCCTTATCCAGAAACTGCCTCCTCTCGCCGGCAGGTATTTCGCACTGTAATCTTTGTTCAACAAGTGCTCGCACCTGCTTCTTGGTGACCGTATCCAAGTCAATTTCGCTCAGCACCGCGCGAATGGCATCAACGATCTCATGGTCGCTCGGCCCTGCAGAAGGCACGGTGCGGAAATCCATGATCGTTGACGCTGGCCTGCTGGTGGCCATACCCAGCAAACTTGGCCTGCTTGCCGAATGTTGCATCCCACTGAAGCCGCTTTGGTATGGACTCCGAATGTGGTCCTGATACGGACCCGGTGATGGGGAGATAAGACGACCTTGACTTCCAAGGCTCATCATGCTCATGTTTCGCCCATGCATGCTCACAGGATGGTCGCGAAATTGAGTCAAACCAGTCAATGTGCTGGCGCGATTGTTCATGCCAAAGGGTGCGGGCGAGCGCGGTGGTGCCATATATGGATGTTGTTGCCTGGCAAATCCGGTCAAAATGGTACTCGATGGTTTGATTGATGAGTAAGTGGAGTGCATATCGTCCATTTCCATCATTGCCGGATCATCGGTATAGTTGACTTCAAAGCCCTTCTCATGATAAGACCCAGTATCCCCACGAAGTCCTGGAAGATTGTTTGCTGCGGCATAATCATCCCATCTCTGAAGAGGGATCGACCTAGGATCAAAGCCTTCGTCTTGAATTGCAACAACCTTCTTGTCACCTTTCTCCCCAATGACAATTCTGGTGTTGCCCCAAGAGAAGTTGTCTTGGTTCCAGAAAGAGTAGATTGGTAGGACAAAACTGTAGATGGGATATGCGATGATGTAGATGATCATCCAGCCAACGTGCTGCCATTGCCTCTTGATGATGAAAATGATAGCCTGCAACCCATAGACAGCTGCGATCATGACAATCGATATCAAGGGGAACTGCCCAGTATGAGAGGCCACTCGATAGATCAGGTAAACTAGATAGCAACAAGTCGCCGGCAGGATGATAGTTCCGAACAGATCGATAAAGACGACGAATCTCATAGAAAAGCAACAGAACCCACACAAGTCTTTCAGCAATACAAGTTCGGCAAGATTGTGTATAGTAGAATTAATCCATCGCCGCCTCTGTGAAAGCAGTACTGACCATGTTTCGGGTGCGGCGGTGAGAGCGCAGGCGTCAGGAATAAACTTGTAAGACATGGCCGGGAAGTGCTTCGTCATCAAGGTCGTGAGATATCGATCTTCACCAAGAGACAGAAGATTCTTCTTGTGAAGTGTGTCGACGTCGCAATCGGCGTATTCTCGAATCACCTTGTCGGAGATGATCAACGGTCGACCCTTGTCAGCCGTGCGTAAGCGATACATGCAGAAACTGTAGAAATTAGCAAAAGACCTCAAAAGGTTGTCAAATGTAATACACACCAGCCGGGTAAGCATGTGACACTGCCAAATAATGACTCAAAGGCTTTGGCGAGATGATGCGAGATGTAGTACTCATATACTTGAATCATAGTCCACCAACTGCGCTCCTCGTTTTCCAAGCTCGTTTCACCACAGATACCGGCAATCTTTGCATCGTTTGCACATGCAGCAACCAGCCGGTTCAGGGAGTCTTCTTTAACATTGGTATCTGCATCGACCATAAAGAGGTACTCGTATAGCTCTGGATCGACCCCAATGATGTTGTTGATTTGATGGAACATTTCCAGCTCCAAAGGCGACATCGGAGATCTGTGATGAACGCGGTTAAGGAACTGCATCAGCAAGATCTGTGAGTCTCGCTTGCCACGATTTCCAGGCTTCGATTTAGACTGCTCGGATTCCTTTCCAACTTTGACGATGACGATATAAGGGACGACATTGCCTTCGTACTCATATAACCCAGAATAAACTTTGCCATAATTGAGCTGTTCACTGCCGTTGCCGACCGACCGGAAAGGAAGGGCTGGTGGGTCAATTTTTGGATCGACGCCGAGGACATCCAGGACAATCTTGGGTGTAGGCCTGTCGTTGCCACCACCAACGATCATGCCATCGCAAATGACACAAATGAGCTTTCTCTTGTTGTCATATTGCAAGGCCGTAAGGGAATCGAGCGATTTCCTTAGATGGTCTTCACCTTCGGTATAGGCAGGTACTTGGCAGATCACAAATTTGTCCTGTGGTGCAGGTCGGCGCTTGGATCCCAGCTGCAAGGCAGACAAGAACTTGGTCAAGATGACCGCACAAAGGAGGCAGGTAAAGGCCAGAAGGATATAGTTGTTGACCTGACACTTTGCCGAATCGCGGAAGTCAACCTTGCCGACATAAAAAGCATTTGTCATGCAGTTGAGACTGTTCCCGAATGCTGCGCTGGTACCCCATTTATCCGTGATGTCAAGGCCGGGATTATTAGTTATCAAATCCGTGACCTCGTCGGGAAAGAACTTGTAGGTATCGTAGTTGTTCATCAGCTTCAACGTGTAGAAATAGTCGGTGAGGTCGTAGATTTTGTGGTGGATGATAACCCACATACGTTGATCGTCCTCCGCTTGCCGCTTGATTTTACTCTTCGTGACTACCAGATCTCCCTTGTAGTATTCTTCGATTTTGGGCTGGAATCTGTCGTTGTACCAATTCCAACTGTACAATGCCGACTTCTGGTTGGTCTGGAGACGGGGCCCAGAAGTATGGACAGCATTCGGATACTGAATGGCATCTGTGTCATTGTGCTGCAAGAACACGCTCTCATCGACATTGAGCCCAGGGCAAGCGCGGCTTAGCGGCGGCGGAAAGTATGCATCCAGGTTCTGGCCCGCGAAAGGTAGCATGTTCTCAGCGGTGGTCTCGATGCTGGTGTCACTGTGCTGCAGGCGATAAAATTTGGTGATGTCGTAGACTTTCCCATGGATGCTGACATACACATCGTTCGTCCCCGTGTGATAGCCGACTTCTTTGGCGTTCCAGGCTTTGTCGAAATTGGGGCACAGCAACCTTCCGAACTCGATGATGTAGAAGAGAATAATAGCGTTGAGCAAGAAAATGAGGAACACGAGTACCACTTTCTCCCGCCAGGCCATGCGTACATCTGGCCTTTTCATACGACCAATGTATCTTAGAAGCACGGAGGGAATAAACCAAGTCAAGGCCCAGACGACCGAGACCCATACTTGACGTGCACGGGATGTAGGTTTAGATTCGACATTTCTTGGATCGCCGAATTCAGGATCGAGCTCACCGGTATATCGCCCGAGATCAGAGTCATAGTAAACGTTGTCTTTGTGACTGTCGCCTTTTGGACCCAAGCCATAGTCACCACCGATAGACTGGACTGTTTTTGCCATCGTAGGCGCCACTGACCTGGCACGTTCCGGACCTGCTTGTGCCAATAGATTTTCTCGACTGTCGTGGAGGCTCATGTTCTCACCCAAGGGAGGAAAGAAGCTGCTGGCATTGTTGGGTGCATTGGCAGAATAGCTAGACGCAAATGGATTCAGCGGCTGGCCGAAGGTTGCATCGTCTGAAAAGCCGCTGGCGGCAGGCAGCATGTCAAGCATCGACTCGGCTTCCCACCATGCAGATTCACGCATCCAGACACGCTCGTGACCGACCACAACCTCGCCATTCGTCCACCCACGCTCAAGCAGAAAGCTTTCAACTCCATCTTTGCCGTCTTTACACCCAAGCCTGGAATATCTTGTCACAAACTCCTCAACGTCAAAATCTGCGGTGAAGTCAAGGTGCCTGTTCCGATAATTGGCCCACTCAGGTAATCTCCATGCTCGTAGCTGCCGAGAGACTGTCCCAGCAGACCATGCGGAAGTGGGAGAAGCTAGGGTAGCAAGAGCGCTCGGGGTATCGTCCGTGGGGTGTATTGAGAGTTGATACCATGCCCTGCTGCTAACAAGAGTCGCGCTGAGGTCGAAACGCCCCTTTTTGCCAAAATTCAAGCCTTCCCCGTCGACGGGGTAAAGCAGTGTATGCAGGAAACCACCGGGTTCCGCTTCAAGCCCGATCTTCTCCAGGATTGCCTCTCGCCTCTCATGCTCATGCTCTCTTTCTCGACTGAGGGGGCCACCTTTGATGTTGAGATCTGCATCGGCCTCCGCCACGGCGGCTTGCATTTCCTTAATGACGGAATGCCCGGCTGGAACAACCTCAATACCGTCATCCTTCATTTCAGCATTGATCCCGAAAGTGTCGTCGAAAACATTGCGCAGGGTAACAGCCTTTCCGAGCGTCTCGCCAGGGATCTCGATGATGGTGAGGCTGACTTCATCACCACTTTGAGTGCTGGAGTCAGGGGTTAGGGCGCCTGTGCGCAATTCTGTTGCAATTGCTTCATTGGCTTTTGAGATCACCCAGTCCACGAGGGCTTCATACATCCCAGCAATCAGGACTTCCCGGTCGTCAGTGGTGCATTTATTCAATAACACCTCAGGCTCCAGACCGATCAGTGCTCCGACATCCTCACAGACGTCTTCAAGGACATCAGAATCGACGAGAAACCCAACGGTCTCGCCTAATTTGAGCAACCCGGCTAGTGAGGAAAGTAGTCCTCGAAAAGTGGCGCCTTTGATGCCAATGGACTTGAGAGCTGAGCGGAAGTCTTCTGCTGCGGCCACGTCGTCTGCAGCAGGAAGATAGCTCGGGGGCTCATATGTGCCGGATCTGTTCAAGAGTGCGTATTTCGACGGAGGTTGCAAACTGAGAAATTCGCGCTCAGCAGGGGTCGATGCCGACGTCAAAAGATAGTAGAAAACGTCGAACGCCCGGTAGCCATGTTCGGAGGGAATTTTTGAGAGCCCCTTCTCCACATCAATGCCCGATTCTGACAGGGCGAGAGAGAGGCCAGTGACGGTTCCAGAGAGAGTGACGGTATACTTGGCGCTGAATGAAGAATGAAGAAATGTGGTAGGGTTGATAGGTGTAACGCAGGAAAGAAATGGTCGCAATGCCGACAGCGCAGTGTAGACGATCGGGGGAGTCGGTAAAGGGATGACTTGCAGGAAGGCCTGGAATACCGAGGGTGTGGACGGATGCAGAGATGCAAGTATCACGCAGGCATCCTCTGCTCTTCTTCTTGCATGCTCCCACGCTCTTGAGGCAATGTCCGCATCTACCGTGCCACCGACTCGGCCTTGCGCATCAGGGTTGACGGCGGTCAGCCATGTATTGGTTGCGATGCTCGTACTCGCGTCGAGTTGGTATGTCTGCCCCGAGGCATAGACTGTGTGGAGGGCGTTGAGAAGAGTAGTGGTGGAAACCTGTGTAGGTTGCTGGGCGGCTGAGCGGACAGCACCAAGTTGCGACGAATTGGTCGAGTAGGTAGAGTATCGATGGGCCATGTTGAGGACTCGCTGGGCCCGTGTCGAGCAAGAGAGTCGACAGGGCCTTCAAGAGATGGATACAGTGATAGAGGTCAAGCCTGATATTTCCCTCCCTCCTAAAGAACACTCCTTAATATTGAATTCACGCCGTCCCTCACAGTTGTGCAAAATGACCAGGAGGATTCGAAAAAGATGGAGCCAATTTCAAGGAAAGGGCAGCACGGCGTCGTGCCGGCTAGGTCGTAGTAGGTAGCGGCCGCCAATGATCCGGAAGAGAAAAACACCAAACAAGCAATGATGAATGAGCAAACAGGCTGGCTCCGAATAGGACAAAATCGATTCACAAAGCGAAGGTGGTCGTTAGGTAAAGCGAAGGCGTGTAGATTGAGAATGGCGAGAATCAAGGAGGCTCCCGCAAAGTGCAGGCATTGAGGATGTTACCGAGTATCGCCATTGAATTGGTCATAAGTTTGAACCAGTGCCCCTGTATCGTGCGATACCATTACACGGCAGTGTTGACATCCACGGGTGCGAGTGAATCCACCGCCTGGGGTTACGACTCAAGAATAGCATCCAACTGCAGCTGCCAGTGCTACGCCACCACGTCTTTGGGGCTTGGAGTAACTGCCACTGGCCTCCTACTGGTCCCTCGCTGGCCACTAGGCATCTTCGGGGGTTAAAGCCCTCGGAACATGACGGTCACCTTTCCTCTTTTAGGCCTGATGTGTTCGGTTGAAGACAATCCTGCAGGGGAAGTCCGGGCGTTGGCGACTCAGGCTGCCAATCAATAACCTAGCTTGATACAATTGTTCCAGGGCAACGGATTGTGTACGGAATACAGAGCGCAGCACCTGCAATTCGTTGCTGCGTTGCTCCGGCTGATGTTGATGTAAAAGTAGCACTTGGATCAGGCGGAGTAGTGTTGTTTTCGTCGAGCATGAGCGTACGCCTCCGAAGGCCAATACTAGGTACTCTGGATCTAGGTATGGAATGGCCAGTGCCATAAGGTAATCATGATGTCTGGTATTTTGTCTTTTTTTGCGTAGTGGGCCAGCGGCAAGCACTGTCAAGATCGAGAGTCGCGACGGGTCTGGTTTCACTTTTTGTCCAGTCTGAAGATGCCACTCAGGTGTAGTGTCTTTTCAGAAGCGGGTTCGACTTTTCGCCTGAGACAAACGCCAAGTCACGTGAGTGACCCATCACATGCGGCCATGCAGTGACTGCTGACTGCCAGTGCTGCACTGCATGTCTCAACCGGCTGCCGAGGACTTGGGAGGGTTCGCTATTCGCACAGCCACTGCCACCGCTATATTTGTGTCGACTTCTGCTGGCCGTCAGCAGTCATTATCCTTGATGCAAAATGTTGCGTTTATCGCTGACAGTGCGGACATTGGCTCTACGCTTCCCTCGTTGCCCTTGTCAGTCAGCTGTGAGAAAGTAGTCGACCTTCCTCTGCCGGTCACACATGAAAAGCAGAAAGCTGATGGTCAGAAGGAACACAAAAGAACAACCCGCCTGTCTTCCGTGATGGTTACCTACCTTTAGCAGGTGGATACCTACCAGTATACTAGTACGTCTTCCAGTCTCCGCAGCCATCCCACAGATAGCAGTCCCCGTTATTCTCGTCCGACCTTTTCGATATTATATTGCCGCACGTTCTGGACCAGCAGCACACTGCGGCGAACTAGGCTGAGCACAAAGACGGTTGATAAGTCAACAAGCTATGTGCACAATTGACGTGTTGAAGGACTAGACGTGGTACTTGTGAAAGTCAGCATAGTGGTTCTAACAGTAGCCTGGGTAAGATCTGGGACCATGGACTTCTCTGCTGCATCAATGGTAGTTGAAATACCTCACAAGACGCCTGCTAGTATAGCCTTGGTTAGAGGGTGGCAGCCTGTGCTTGAAGCCGATCCCTCGGAGGGACCGAACAACTCCAGTGCTCCAATCGTCATATGGAAAAAGATCTTACAGACTAGTAGACAAACCCGATTTTTAAGAAGATCCCTAGTACCTTAAGCGGGTCTGTCCCCAGCTCTATTCCTGGCAGGGATGTGGTGGTGGTAACGTTGTTACAATACATAACGGCTTACCTAAACCGATTCATGTCAATATGTGCAGCGCCCACCAAAATACTGCAGTGCCTCCGGCTCCCCTGCACCCAAACACACCTTGAATGTCCATGGAGTCGTCCTTTGCACATTTCGTTCGCTTCATCGTCTTCACATTGCTGCAACTCCTTGTTACGATTTGACGACTTATCGTTTCTTCTTCGTTTTTCTTGGAGTGTCGGCGTCCGCTTGCATCGCGTCGACTTCCTCGTCACTCGCTCTCCGCCCCTGCCGTGCCTGATTACGCCCTGATTCTTGTGTCGGCATCTTCCCTCGTTTCAACGACTTCATCGATGCCCAAGGAGTCAGCTGCGTTATAACGGCACATCAGCCGGCAAGATTTACACTTACAACCGTGATAGCCGGCTCAAGCCACTGAGACCCCAATGGCGAGTCGAGGAAACGCTCCTGCACATTCGCAGGCTTCGTTGCCCGCTCTTCCCGCACACCTGCAATCGGACACCCACCTGACCGCCCATCTTGCGAGCCGTTTCCATGTCTCGCTACCGACAGCAAGGCTGTCGTCGCAGGGATTGATATGTCTCAACACTTTCACATCTTCCAGTCGGGGCCCGAATGGAGACAAGGAAGGGAGTGCCATGGGGGAGGCAGAAGACTTGGCTCGGAGGGCTTGGACGAGACTGGGAAACAGGGCAGAAGATCAGGCTGTCGTATTTTTGTATGTCTGCTGAAGGGCTGCAACCAAAGGGTACAACGCTAATTGTGCAACAGCGGAGAGTCTGGGTCAGGAAAGACCACGGTCAGGTCGCACCTGCTTTCCTCCTTCCTCTCCTTTTCTTCAACACCGCTCTCCTCGAAGTTGTCCCTCGCTGCCTTTGTATTTGATACTCTAACGACCACCAAAACTACCACAACACAGACGGCGTCCAAAGCGGGCTTGTTTTACGAGTTGCAATATGATGCTTCATCTACTATGCCTATCCTCATCGGAGGCAAATTGTTGGACCACCGCCTGGAAAGGAGTCGCATCTCACATGTCCCTACCGGGGAAAGGAGCTTTCATGTGTTATATTACCTTCTCGCCGGCACGAGTGCAGCCGAAAAGTCTCACCTCGGGCTTAACGGCCAGGTGAATGTTTCAACAGGTGGTACTGGGCTGGGTAGATCAGCGTCGGTGGCACAGAAGAGATGGAGATATCTGGGTCACCCAACGCAGATGAAGGTGGGCATAAATGACGCCGAAGGCTTCCAACACTTCAAAAACGCCCTGCGCAAGCTGGAATTTCCTAGAACAGAGATTGCGGAGATCTGCCAGGTGCTCGCGGCGATCCTTCATATCGGCCAGCTGGAATTCGGTACCGGACAAGCTACCCTGACCGCAGCAGAAGAGAGTGGCGGCTATTCGCACGAAGGCGGCGAAACGGTGACGGTCGTCAAAAACAGGGACACACTCGCTATCGTTGCGGCCTTCTTGGGCCTGAGCCTTCCGGACCTTGAAGAGAGCCTGAGGTATAAGACCAAGACTATTCACCGTGAGCGCGTCACCGTCATGCTGGACACTAAGGGTGCTCGTGAAAACGCTGACGAGCTGGCCACAACTCTGTACTCGTTGTTGGTCACGTACATCATCGAAAGTATCAACCAAAAGATATGCGCCGCCGAAAACTCCGTCGCGAACACCATCTCCATCGTGGACTTTCCCGGTTTTGCCGACCATTCTTCCACGGGATCAGTTCTTGATCAATTGCTGAACAATGCGGCGAACGAATCGCTATTTAACACCTGCCTGCACAGCTTTTTTGAAAAGACAGCCGAGATGCTGGAAAGCGAAGAAGTCAGCGTCCCGGCAACGAGTTATTTTGACAATTCTGACGCGGTTCGTGGACTGCTCAAGCACGGGAATGGCTTGTTGTCCATCCTTGATGACCAGACGCGGCGTGGGCGGACAGATATGCAATTTCTAGAAAGCTTGCGAAAGAGGTTTGAGAACAAGAACAAAGCTATCAGCGTCAGCAGCTCAACATCAACTATGCCGGGCAGCAACTTTGCCACTACGAACCTTGCAGCTTCTTTCACCGTCCGTCATTACGCCGGTGAGGTTGATTACCCCGTCCACAGTTTGGTCGAGGAGAATGGGGACGTTGTCTCTGGGGACTTGATGAATATGATCAAGGCCACTAAAAGTGACTTCGTAGCCAGTCTGTTCGGTCAAGAAGCCTTAAACACAATCAGTCATCCGGCCGAGAAGACCGCCATTGTCCAAGCCCAAGTCAGCTCAAAGCCCCTGCGCATGCCCAGCGTATCGAGAAAGAAGCACAACCAATTGAGCCGGATGGCTAGTCGAAGAGCAGATCGCTCCCCAGCTCGCGAGGAATACGAGCCCATACCTGGCACAGAAGAAGCCAGGCTCAGACGCACAAAATCCACTGCGACCGGGTTGACCCAGGGTGCTGCGGCTCAATTCTTGTCAGCTCTGGACAATATCACGAAGTCGCTGACAGCCCCCAACGTGAACAATTACTACGTCTTCTGCCTGAAGCCCAATGATAGGCGAATAGCGAATCAGTTCGACAGCAAGTGTGTTCGCCAACAAGTCCAGATGTTTGAGATAGCTGAAATCAGTCAGAGGCTGCGGACCGCTGATTTCAGTGTTTTCCTGCCATTTGGGGAGTTCCTCGGGGTTGCGGATATTGACACAGGCGTTGTTGGAAGCGACCGCGAAAAAGCCCAGCTTGTGCTTGACTCTAAACACTGGCCTGCAAACGAGGCCAGGGTCGGGAATACCGGCGTCTTCCTGAGCGAACGTTGCTGGGCTAGCATTGCACTCACGGGATCACAGAATGCTGCCTACTTTGGTGGAGAGCTTGATCCGCTCTCGGGACCCGATACAGCTGGCCATAATCCCTTTAGTGACTCCAAGGCCCGGTTAGTTTCTACTGATGGGACACCGGGATCCTTTTATGATGACGAAACTAAAGGAGGCGGCTACTTCGGCACCCGGGAACTCGACGCCAAATCCGACGCTGGAGTATCTGCATTCCAATCGGGCGATATGTTCCGGAACCTCGAAACCAAAGAGGAGCTGGCTGAAAAGGGTAACAAGAAGAAAATGGAAGAAATCGACGTTGTTCCCGTTTCGTCCAGTCGAAAAAGATGGCTTGCCATTGTTTACTTCCTTACCTGGTACCTGCCTGACTTTGCGATCAAGTGGGTCGGAGGCATGAAACGAAAGGATGTGCGAACAGCCTGGAGGGAAAAGTTTGCCATCAACCTGCTTATATGGCTAAGCTGTGGCTTCGTGATATTTTTCATCATCGTCTTCCCCGAACTGATCTGTCCGAAGCAACATGTGTACTCGGCAGCCGAGCTATCCTCCCATGATGGCAAAGGCAAGCACAGCTCATATGTGGCGATCCGAGGCCAAGTTTTTGATTTGGGCGCATTCATGCCCAATCACTACCCTAAAATCATCCCTCAGGCCTCGCTCAAGAAGTATGCTGGCGTTGATGCTACTGCATTGTTCCCTGTACAAGTCTCGGCTCTATGTCAAGGCAAAGACGGACGAGTAGACCCGGCTGTTCAGCTGGACTACACTGCAACCAACATCAGCGGATCTGCCAGCGTCATCAGCTCTACTGACGCCAACCGGCGCTACCATGATTTCCGGCATTTCACCAACGACTCCCGGCCAGATTGGTTCTACGAGCAAATGATCATGCTCAAGGCCAACTACCGTAAGGGAAGCGTTGGGTACACTCCCCAGTATGTGAAGACGCTGGCGAAGAAATCGAAGTCCATCGCCATCTTGAATGACAGGGTCTACGATTTCACCACTTACAATGAAGGCGGACGGAGTGTACGAGCTCCGCCGGGGCAGAAAGTACCCACCGGAGTCGACACCGATTTCATGGATTCGCTGGTGGTCGACCTCTTCACTCAGCGAGCTGGCCACGATGTTACTAAATATTGGAACACACTTCCTCTCGACTCGGGCCTAAGGAGCCGGATGCAGATTTGTCTCGACAACCTGTTCTTTGTCGGCGTGACGGACACTAGAAACTCGGCAAAGTGCCTTTTCGCCCGATATATTCTGCTCGTTGTATCGGTCATGCTTTGCAGCGTGATCGGATTCAAGTTCTTCGCTGCGCTCCAATTTGGCGGGAAGAACGTACCCGAGAATCTGGATAAGTTCGTCATCTGCCAGGTGCCGGCTTACACAGAGGACGAAGACTCCCTTCGCCGTGCCATCGACTCTGCAGCTCGTATGCGGTACGACGACAAACGCAAACTGCTCATTGTGGTTTGTGACGGCATGATTATCGGGCAGGGTAACGATCGGCCTACACCTCGCATCGTCCTGGACATTCTGGGCGTTTCTGAAACGGTCGATCCCGAACCCCTCAGCTTCGAGTCACTCGGCGAAGGTATGAAGCAACACAATATGGGCAAAGTCTACTCGGGTCTTTACGAGGTACAGGGCCACATTGTGCCATTCATGGTGGTTGTCAAGGTTGGAAAGCCGTCGGAGGTCTCCAGGCCTGGAAACAGAGGGAAGCGTGACTCTCAAATGGTCATCATGCGCTTCCTCCACCGCGTTCATTATAACATGCCGATGAGTCCCCTGGAGCTTGAGATGCACCACCAGATTCGTAACATCATCGGGGTGAATCCCACCTTCTACGAGTTCATGCTCCAGATTGACGCCGACACGGTGGTTGCGCCCGATTCTGCCAACCGCATGGTATCGGCGTTCTTGCGTGACACTCGCTTGATCGGCGTGTGTGGAGAGACGTCACTCTCCAACGCCAAATCGTCCTTCATCACGATGATCCAAGTTTACGAGTATTACATCTCGCACAACCTCACCAAGGCCTTCGAATCGTTGTTTGGCTCTGTGACCTGTCTTCCTGGCTGTTTCACCATGTATCGCATCAGAACAGCCGAGACGGGCAAACCCCTGTTCGTCAGCAAGGAAATCATTCAGGACTATTCCGAGATCCGAGTCGACACGCTGCACATGAAGAATCTGCTCCATCTGGGTGAAGACAGGTATCTCACCACTCTGCTGCTCAAGCACCATTCAAAGTACAAGACAAAGTACATTTTCCACGCCCACGCCTGGACGATTGCTCCCGACAGCTGGACGGTCTTCATGTCCCAGCGGCGTCGATGGATCAACAGTACGGTCCACAACTTGATTGAGTTGATACCTCTGCAGCAACTCTGCGGTTTCTGCTGTTTTAGCATGCGGTTTGTCGTGTTCCTGGACCTATTGTCCACGATTGTGGCCCCAGTCACGGTGGCTTACATTGTATATCTCATCGTCATTCTTGCCATTTCGTCGGACGTGATCCCGCTGACGGCGTTTATCCTACTGGGTGCGATATACGGTCTGCAAGCGATCATTTTCATCCTACGCCGCAAGTGGGAGATGGTGGGTTGGATGATAGTGTATATTCTGGCGATGCCTGTCTTCTCTCTAGGTTTGCCGTTGTACGCATTTTGGCATATGGACGACTTCAGCTGGGGTAATACCCGTCTCATCCGGGGCGAAAATGGCAAGCAGATTTTGCTCACGGACGAGGGCAAGTTTGATCCCGACTCGATTCCCAAGAAGAAATGGGAAGAGTATCAGGCAGAGCTCTGGGATGCACAAACACAACGCGACGATGCTCGATCTGAAGTGTCAGGTTACAGCTACGGAACCAAATCTTATCTTCCGACCGGATCAATCTACGGCGGCGGGTATAGCGACACACAACAGCTTATACCTCCTTCCAGGTCTGTATCACAGCTTGACATGCACCCACCGGCATACAGTGGTGGGTACAGCCAGTCCAGGCTGTCATTGGCGCCCTCGGAGATGCTGGGCAGTGCAGTGATGCCTAGTGGGCGCTCGGTCGCCGACATGGAGATGGCGGATTTGACCGGGGTGCCTGCGGACGACACACTTCTGAACGAGATCCGGGACATTTTGAGAACGGCCGATCTGATGACAGTGACAAAGAAGGGCATCAAGCAAGAATTGGAGCGTCGGTTCAACATCAACCTGGACGTGAAGCGGGCGTATATTGGAAGTGGTAAGTCGAACCTTGGATCGGCGTGCCACGCTCTTGCTAACGTGACTTTCTAGCTACCGAAGCGATCTTGTCTGGCCAACTATGAGGTGCTGATTTGAGTGTCTTTAGCGCTTTCACATATTGGTATTCATCTGCATTGGGGTTTGGAGAGAACGGAAATCCATGACATCAAATGGAACGGGCGTTATATCGATATATTCACGGTTTGGAGCCTGCCTCAGAAGAGATGTGTGCATCATGAGTACAAGCGTTGGGAATACAATATGTGGGGAGTTATGGCTGGCTCATCAAGATTCAAGAGTCTGGCGATGGTCATATTGATTGTACATCAGAGACGACGGATTGTCCGCACCCCTAAATATAAGGGGTCCAATAATTAATTCGAAACTTTCCGTTTGACAGTTTGATACTCGAGGGATGTCGTTCTTCATGAACGGGTTCGCGAATGGAATAGCTTATAGCCTGTTGGTCTCGTAAGGTTAAGGGGCACGTTCCGCGCAAATGGCAGCTGAGATGTTGGTGGAAGTATTCGGTTTGGACTTTTGCGGGAGTATGCAGTTTGGGGAAAATATATTTCTGCAATTCCGCACAAGAAAGCGAATATCAAGGGTTCAAGTGACAGAACAACGTAATCTTACTACTAATAGGCGGTCTTGACGCATGAGATGATAACATTTGCAAATGTGCCAACTACTAACAAACTATCTGTCCCTCCTTGAAAACCGGGTTGATGTTTGTTAGGCACCACAGAGGAGTGGTGAGGGTGATACCAGACCACCACTGCATCACTATCTATTGTATATACTATATACTAGTAGTAGTGCGGATTAAAAGGGGGGAAGAGCGAGTCTATGAATCAAACGACAGCATCCATCGGCAGGAGTAGGAGTAGGAATAGCAGAGAAAATAAGAGGATGAGGTTCAATCGGAGCATATCATTGCTGCCAGCTGTGACATGTGAAAGGACGAATTGTGCAGTGGTCAAAGAGTTGATGCATAAGGTGCCTACTAGGTAGGTAGGTACCTAGGCAGGTCAGGTGTCTTGAAATCAAGATCATGAAAGATCCGCCGGCGCATTGTTGCAGGAGTTGCGAAGCTGAGGGATCAGTGACGGTTGCGAGGATGTCCTACAGTACGTAGAGGGATCGCGACCTGGGGGCAAAGACCCCTGACGCAAAACTTAGAATGGTCAGATGCTTCTTCGAATCCTTCTAGAAGCGAACGAACGCCTGACTTCTTCGGCATCTGGCGTGGATGGATAAAGGATCAATAATAATGTACGTACCCCGAGTCTGTACTCTTCGTCGTCAGTGATTCAATTGCCACCTCCACTTGCCGCTCCACAGCAAACCAGTTGATGTCAACAGACCACCGAATTCGAATACTGCACGCCGGGTAGTAACCATGGTCGGGCGTTGCGCGATCTCACTAAGCCATCATCAGGTCTAGCGGCCACAGACAGGAAACTGTAACATGATGCCAACACCACTGACACTTCAAGTTGCATTTTGATCGTTGAAGAAATCGCGAGGTTTTCCCGATGTCACTCTGCCACTATTGGGCGTTGAGGGTGGAGGGAGTCTGACTGCTTGACACTCCAGAATGAATCTCATTTTCCCCTTTCTATTCTGGAGTCTCCGCCTTATTAGCCCACATAAACCCCGACCAAACAGGGAAATCGACCGCAAACAAATGTGTCCGCCATCAGACCCGTCCGTGCTCCCAGTCCAAAGATGGTAAAATCGGACGAGGCATGCCACCGCGTGGCAGTATAGTGCGCGAACGCGGGATGGGTCTTGAAGATACCTCGGGCGGGCTCGCACCCCTGGGAGATGCGCATGACATATTGAGATAGATCCCTTGCGCCTTCGTGAGGCCATGGGATCTTTCTCCGTGGTTCACCCCAGATTTTTGCCGTTCGTATTGTTGTATTGCAACCATAGGAGGTACCGACGCTGCTAATGTTCCTCATGCGACATGGATCCTGCACCCATGCCTGTCCGTGAATATTCCGAAATCTGATCTCAAAGTGCTGCCTCAGGGCGCGACATAGTGCCCACTGGGCCACTGGCATGCTTGTGAAGAAGGCTGGGCCATAAATTAAGCCCTGAGACCCCAGGTCGAATGTGCCGGCGATCTGCCCAGATTGGGACTCGGCCGGGGAAGAGGGACGGGGAGGCTGGCTGGCTGGCTGGCTGGGCGAGCTTGGTGTGGGTAACCCATGGCTTTGTTCACTCCCGCATGATTTCCCGAGCTTCTCCTCCTTGCGCCTGTCGAAAGTCAAATCAAGCGAATTGCAGCCTTTCTTGTGTTGTGCCGACATTGAAGCGCCCGTGTCAATATGTAGTCATGGTCATGGTCATGGTCATGATGCATGCAATTTTTGAGCCCCCTCTTTTGGGTCTGCAGCTTCTGGTAATGTAGTCACTCCTACATGATGGAGATCAAAGCAGTATGTCAAGGCCAAGCCGAGTGGAATATACCATTGTCGATTCTTGCTCCTGAATCCCCATTGTCTGATCTTCTTGTCCCCGTGTTTCGAGTTTGGTAGTGTAGTGCGCTGTAACGTCGGCAGAGGGAGGTAACCACGTAACAGGTCAGCAGGGGATCAGGGGATCGATGGCTAGTGTCAATGATTAGTGCCGTGACCTGTCCGGGGAACCTGAAGGGCCTAGAGAAGGAGATGATGAATAACTGGTGTCCACCTCTCGTACCGGCACGCTTTTGGAGCTAGACTTTTCTGCAATCTGGCTAGAGGCTGACTGTGGCGCCATCCCCAGTTCTTTCTCTTGCGGGGACTGTGACCAGTTTGAAGGCGGATTGCAAGTCGGTTGACACTCCAACGTGCAGTGGTGAGCAGTGGACAACTCGCACTCGAACTCGAAGGATGATTGCTGCTCGCTGCTCGAGGGCTCAAAGAATGCTAGTGCGACTCGGCCCCTCCGTTCAGTGTCGATAGCAGGGGGGGGGGGTTCCTCGACCGCAGACTGAGGTCTTGTATTGTGGCTTCCAAGAATGAGACATCCAACCCTGGTCGTTCCCCGGCCCAGATCCCCCAAAGTTGTAGTCGATGACACCCTGCGAAAACCCACCTCGGCGTCGGTGACTCGTTGCTTGTTGTTGGTTGGCTTCGTGGTCGCAAGACCTCTGAGCAGCATTGCAGGGAATGCCATCCATCGAGAGGGGCAACCGGTAGTATGTTACTATGTTCACCCCAGGCAGTGAATGCCATTGGGAAGGCGCAGGTATGTCAAGGATGCAAGTCCAATCACTGCAGAGGAATTCTTCTCAGATCACCCTCACTCTGTCCCTCCATAATCAACTGGAACCCGCACTCCATCTGGGGGGAGCCAACAACCCTCGCCCCGTCTACCCAGCTGGTCTCGTGAACGAACTCCAGTCCCTCCCAGCGTGTGATCGCGCTGCCAGCCAGAACACTCGGTGACAGTCGCTTGCTGCTCGCCTGTTCTTTCGCTTGGTCTGGCGCTTTGTTGCCCCGAGCTCAGCTTCCTTTAAGAATCCCTCCTTCTCCCCCTCTCGGCCGTCGTGAGCTGGTTGCTTCTTTCTCTCGTCGATCCCAGTCAAGAGTCTTTCCTCTTGTTTCCCCCTTGGACCAACCCTATTCTAGCTCGAGGAAGCACAGAACAAGTACCACAACATGCCGGGCGAAGTGCGCGCCCTCTCTACCACCAACGATGTCAATCGCATCGAGGCGCCGGTCACCTGGAAGGCCTACCTCCTCTGCGCCTTTGCCTCGTTCGGTGGTATCTTCTTTGGGTACGATTCGGGTTACATCAACGGTGTCAATGGTTGCAAGGAGTTCATCCAAGTGATTGAAGGCCCCAATGCCACCGCCCTGAAGTCGTCACACCAGTCTCTCATCGTCTCTATCCTCTCCTGCGGAACCTTCTTCGGTGCCATCATTGCCGGCGACGTGGCCGATATGATCGGACGAAAATGGACCGTCATCATGGGCTGTGTTATCTACGCTGCTGGTGTTGTCATTCAAATGGGCACTGGGCCCGGCCACGGACTTGGTGTCATCGTCGCCGGTCGCCTGGTCGCAGGTTTCGGCGTCGGGTTCGAAAGCGCGATTGTCATCCTCTACATGAGTGAAATTGTAAGTCTCGGCTACTGGCATCATGGGCGAGAAGAGTCTCCGGCTAATAAAGACTCCCTATAGTGCCCGAAAAAGGTCCGAGGTGCTCTCGTCGCTGGCTATCAATTCTGCATCACCATCGGTCTGCTCCTGGCTGCCTGCGTCACATATGGCACAGAGGATCGCACAAACACCGGCGCCTACCGTATTCCAATTGCCATCCAATTCATCTGGGCCATGATCCTCGGTGGAGGCTTGGTCTTCCTGCCAGACTCACCACGTTACTTTGTCAAGCGAGGTCAGATTCAGCGAGCTATCAACTCTCTGTCTCGTCTCCGTGGCGAGCCGCCCGACTCGGAGTATATCCAGGTGGAGCTTGCCGAGATCGTTGCCAATGACGAGTATGAACGCCAGATCATCCCGAGCTCGGGCTGGTTCTCCAGCTGGGCCAATTGCTTCAAGGGTGGTCTCTGGAACCAGAAATCCAATCTGCGTCGCACCATCCTGGGTACTTCGCTCCAGATGATGCAACAATGGTAAGTCTAATTCACTCAAAGTACCATCGATGGAACGTGACTAATCTGTGTCTCCTGGTAGGACTGGTGTCAACTTCATCTTCTACTATTCGACTCCCTTCCTGCAGTCGACCGGGGCCATTTCCAACACATTCTTGATCTCGTTGATCTTCACTCTGGTCAATGTCTGCTCGACCCCGATCTCTTTCTACACTGTCGAAAGATTCGGCCGTCGCCCGCTCCTGATTTACGGCGCCCTCGGTATGCTGATTTGCCAGTTTCTGGTCGCCATCATTGGTGTCACGGTCGGCTTCAACCACACCCACCTAAACGCTGCAGGTGACAGCCGTGCCAACAACATTTCAGCCGTGAACGCTCAGATTGCCTTTATCGCCATCTTTATCTTCTTCTTCGCGTCCACATGGGGTCCTGGTGCCTGGATTCTCATTGGTGAGATCTTCCCTCTCCCTATCCGGTCCCGTGGCATTGGTCTGTCGACTGCCTCCAACTGGTTGTGGAACACCGTAAGTATATTCCCAGACTTGCTCTCTTTTGTTGTGGTATAGACTGACTTGGTGGATCCAGATCATTGCCGTCATTACCCCTTACATGGTCGGTGAAGATCATGGCAACCTGCGCTCTTCGGTATTCTTCATCTGGGGTGGTCTGTGTACCGCCGCCTTTGTCTACTCTTATTTCCTTGTCCCCGAGACCAAGGGACTGTCGCTCGAGCAGATCGACAAGATGATGGAAGAGTCCACTCCTCGCACATCGGCCAAGTGGAAGCCCACCAAGACCTTCGCCGAGCAGATGGGCAGCCAAGGGGGTGTTCTCAACAAGGAAATCATTGAGGAGGCCGAACGCAAGGGCTCCGTCTTTTAGGCTTGGCCACTTGTTTCAGGAAGCATTGGACCTTCTAGCCATTGACGACTTGAATTGGTATAGATGGGAGAAGGAGCGTTGGATTTCGTGCTGTGGAGGATATCGGTGTTCCTCAAAAATCACAACACCTCACAATGTTGTTGAGTGACGAGGGAGAAGCATGTGTTCGTGTAGCGTCCTAATTCCAGGCGACATTGCATACTTGATTGAAACAGATTTGACATACTGTTAAAAACTGATCAATTCAGTCCACTTACTCAACCCAAGGATTCTCGATCCTACAACAGATTGTAATTCATGCAAACACACCACGAGTGGCCTTTTCTGACAACCATCAGCATATGAGAGATGAAGTATGAAGTATGGATGGGATGTTCTGAGATGTAGATGTAGATGTATTTTAAGTATCTGAAGTACGGAATACTTACCCGACGTTATGAGAATAATATAAACTACTAGTGCCTTATATCCGGAGGTAGAAGAAGCAACTAAAGAAATCTGGGAATTGATATATAGGGGCGGGAGTTGATATAAATAGATATATTAGTAGATTTGTATAACTGGTCTACTAGTTAGTTGACTTCTCCACCTTGCAAGATCTGATCCAGCAATGATAGATAGACGGTGATGGGTAGATACCTCTTTGTCATAACTTGCCTGCCTCGGTAGTGACCAGACCCCGTGGGAGAGATTTGTGGACAGTCTCCGACTTGACCACTGTGGTGAACATATATCGACAGAATCATTCACCGTGGTCAACATAGCTTGCTTTGTTGTGCAAGGTAGTAAGTATACTATAAGGCAGCCAGGTAATACCTGCAGTGGGAAGTTCTTGTTTGTCTCAAGGATAACCCGATTATCTTAAAGGTGAAAACGATGTCGAGGATCAACTCTTAGACCATGCTTTCCACAGACGGCAGGAGAGAAGACTCAAGGCCCATTAGTCCCATGAGGTAGACAATCTGGGATGCAGCTACCAAAGAATATGCTCCACAGTTCTATGTTCGTTCTATCCACTGTGAGCGCCCACGCCATTCTGACTCACCACGCCATTTGACATGGGCGGCGTCGGGTCAGCACCGATCTTGACTTCCAGCACCGCACACCTGCCGGCCCTGACGGCGTCGACAGCTTTGGGCAATTCCGCAATCAACTCGGCCACTGTCGAAACCGTGGCGGCCCACGCGTGACCACCGGTGGCGGCCTTGGCGATGCCCGCATAGTCGGGGGTCGGCTCGAAACTGATGTTCAACGCCTTGTTGTCCACCTTGCTACCCTCGCCGTGCGGGTGGACCAGGAGCATGGACCGTCTGGGCGCGTTCCAGCCCTTGTTGTTCAGCACGATGGTCAGGGTCGGAATGCTGTAGCGCTGTGCGATCCAGTACACGGACGAGGGGACGGAGAACATGAAACTGCCGTCCCCGACGATCTGACATACCATCTTGCCCTTGTTGGCGCCGGTGCGGTCCCCGGAGGGCAGGTCGCGGTGTTCGAAATCGGAGGCGAGTTTGATCCCCAGCGCGCCGCCGCCGGACCATCCAAGACCGCCGCCGCCGCAGTTGATCCACGTTTTCGGCGTCACCGGCGCAATCTGATCGGCGATAATGGTGGTCAGCGTTACGGCTTCCACGGCAAAGATGGTGTCGGCCGGCACGGCTGCCTTGATCTGCCCACCTAGAACATGGGGATCAATGGCGGTGCGGTGAGGGTCTGGAGGCACTTTGGCCAGCTCTTTGAAATCGTTCCACCGCGCAGTGTAGGCCTCGAGTCTCCGTTGCCGTGCGGCCCTGTGTGCCTCGTCGGACAGAGCCGCTCTTAGTTCTGAATTCCTACCGAGATAGTCACTCAGCTGGTCGATTGCTGTGGCTGAGTCCGCTTTGAATCGTGCAAACGCGGGGATGTAGAAGACCGGCATCTGCTGCTTGAGAGGGTCGACGTCGATGTGGACGATCCTGGCGTCGTCTCGGGGCTTGCATTGAGTCGGGATCCAAGGCACGTCGCAGTCGACCACGAGGATGAAGTCGGCCGTGGTGATGGCTGGGTCGGAGCCATATCTCAGACCCAGAGCCGCGGGATGGTCCGTCGGGAAACACATGTCACTCCCTCCAGTGTCTAGAACCCGGAGGCCCGGAACCCTCTCGGCCAGCGAAACGGTCGCGGCGACGGAATCCGTGTTTCGTCCAGTGTAGCCAACGATCATGAGCGGTTCCTTGGCCTTGACGAGCTCCTCGGAGATCATCTTGACCGCCTCTGGCGGCAGTGCGCCGAGGGAAACGGGCTTCCATACTTCATGATTTAAGTGGTACGGCTCGATCTCCTCCTCCATCGGTTCTCGGGCACCACACAGGTAAACTGGTCCATGAGGATCACTGGTTGCAAACTGCAAGGCGCGATTGACCATCTGCTTGACGTTCCGACCGCCCTTGATCTCACCCACGTATCTGCAATATTGCGCCACAATCTGTTTTTGATCGGGAACGTCTTGAATCCAGTGGATATATTCCGTTCTTGACCCACGATATTCGCCCTCGACGGTGTAAGGAGACAGGCCGGCGAAAATCAGGACCGGCGCTCGCCCACACGAGGCATTGTGAACCGCCGCAGCGAGACCCTGCGTGCCAACATCGACATGGACAATGACACATTGTGGTTTGCCGGTCAGTCGGGCCATGCCATCTGCCATTGAAAGGGCAACCATCTGTTCAGCTATGTTTCAGCACCGCGACCCACCTCTTCACAGACCAATGCTTGCAGCGTGCGTACCTCGTTTGGGCAGGTGATGATCCGCGGGAAGTTGCCCTGTCTCTCATTTTGACCTTTGACAATTGCCTCGATGATTGACGGGTGATCGGAGCCAAGGTTCACGAAGACATGAGTGATGCCAGCCTGAAGAATGATCAGTCAATGCAGACCAACAAGCAGCAAGGTAAGGATGACCGACCTCCCACACGGCCTCGAAGAAGGCATAGGATGCGGTATAATAACTGTTCAAAAGCGTCACCAGAGCACTCCTTCATAAGGGATACGCCAGCACTCTGTTGCGACATACCCCATACTGGGCTCTGCGTCGGCGCCTTGCGCGTTGTCTTGAGTGAGTCGACTTCTGTAATCCCGATCGACCGGTGACTCCGTCCTTCCGGGTGAGTTCTGCTTCGACAATGCGATGCCTGGGCTGGCGGAAGAGAAACGAGGCCTTCGGTGTCCGGTTCAAGCTCGGGGAGGGGAATGCCAGGAACGACGCTCACGTTTTTACTCTGTGATCAGTAAGGTAGATATCAGAGTTCAGGGCACGACAACTTGAACAGCTCGGTTCACACGCGATGCGGCGCCCCTCCGTAATGGGCTTCTAAAAGGGCCTCTGTACAAGATGCCGACCAGCCATACGGAGGAAGGATTTGATGTTATCCTCCCCGTCATGGCGCATTGATTCGGCTCATGTCACCGACCTAGTCACTAGTAAAGGTTAGAATGGACAAATGAGCGAATAAAGGGATAGGAAGAAGATGATCAAGCGGAGGGACGGATTAGGAGGGGGATGGAGGTGTGGATGGAGGGAGGGGAACATTGGGCCGAACTGGCATGCGCGGAGTGTGGAGAGCTTGTCCGTTAATCCTCCCAACCTTATTGATTCGACACCCGATGTCGGGCAGCAATTGATTTGATTGATGGAGCTTCTTCCATCAAATGCCGCACTGCTAGCTAGATACAGAGTAGCTACCTGTATGCTTGGAACATTGGTCGCTTAGTCACGGCTTTCTTCGGTGTCTGGGGTCTCCATCCACGGCCATCATTCCGCACGTCACAGCTTAAAAGAACCGTGGTTTTCCCATGTATGGGGCATCATTTCATAGTAGAATGGATTCAACCACATCGACGTCTTCCATGCTGTTTTGATAAGCGGCAGCCTCGCCAAAGCAACTTCGTCGGTGAGGTCCGCTTGAGTGTTGATAGGTTGAAGCTTCAGACATTGGCGTTTCATGGACGTCTTCTACCGACACAGATGATGACCTGCTGCATCGCAGTCTCTTGACGTTTCGCGCGGAAGCAACGTTTGTTGTTTGATACATTGAACGGATCTAGAACTTGAAGATTGCAGAGGTACGGGAACCTTGAAAGGAATGGAACGAATACGGAAATGAGCCCACGCCACGGCCGAAGCTTCGCATCTGGTGGAAGCTCTGCGGCGACAGCCACCGAGTAAGTCGATATTGCATCTACTGTCATGCTATTCAGGCGTCCTCCTCGTGTCCATCGCCAACAACCTCCTCGGTTGCTTGGCTCGACCCTGCCTCTTCTCTTCGCACAATCTGCAAACAAAGGTTCGAAAAGTGCAAAAAACCTTTTCCTCCAGAGCAGCCACATTTCCTGCGGTGTGCTGGAGGGAAGTGAAACCTTTCTCTATTACTACGATTAGAGGAGGTTTTTCCCGAGGAACAGATCAGAAGTGGCCAGCCCTAGCCGTCGCCTCTGAGGAGTATTCGGAACTGCGGAGTTGCCGTTACACCAGCGGGCCCTAACAAGGCGGTCGTTTCTGATTGTTGTGAATATTTGCGAGCACATAATACTTCACTTCAAGGGCAAATATTGCGTGCGTGTGAAACACAGGCAGGTGAAGACAAGCACCTGCATGCATTGACAGCAGTCACAAGTGCTCCAAGTAGTATTCACTACTTTGCCACAGGTAAGCAACCTCTTGCTCGGATACCCTCTAGCCATGTTGTGGACATAAGGTCCATGCCGTGGTGCCGTACAGTGGGTGTCTCACACAAGGTTCTTGAGGTGCTTAGGATGACACAGCAAATCATAGTCACCGTCCCCAGACCCTGGAGAAGGGAGGAAACAACTATCGAGCCATATTACCGTTCCGTGGAGGCGGTCACAAGGTTGCCAGACTATTATTAGGTTTATGGGAAACTCCCAATAAGTATTTCCGGGGATTGCTTCGTATTCAAGCAAAGACGAAATATTTTCTGCCAAAAGCTTCTCTAATTTGCAAGGCTATTGCAGGGCTTTACACAGGGCTATGCTAATATTGCAAGGTCAACCAGAAGCACGACCAGTCGTTTCTACATGCTTGCACCGTAATCTTCTCTTCGGCGATATCACTGACGTATGCATGGAATTCGAGCACTCCGCAGTTACAGCGGTTTATGACAACCTCATGATAGAATAGCAAGACCACATTCAACTGGCTTGAACGATGGAGAAGACTGCCACGGCTGCATCAAAGGAGAGCCGATAAGGAAATGGTGCATGCAGCCATGTATGGAAGATTACCTAGGAAGGCAGGACATCAAAAGTCTGAACGACAGCTATTGCAAATTCCGCGACAGAAAGAAATCTGGACTTTCTGTCTCAGCGTCAAGCAGACTCCGCTAAATCGCAATAGCATTGTCTTCTCGCAGACCTAAACCACAAGGTGCGGTTATTCAACCACAAGCACGAGCAGAGCGATGTGGCGTTCAGCATTTTCCTGAACTGGAACGTTCGCAGGCCTAATCACAAGGTGCAGTCACTTCGCTATAACCACGAGCAGAGTGATGCGGCGTTCAGCATCCTTCTCAACGGGAATGTGATCACCTACGACGCCCTTCACCCATTCAAATCTCGCCATCTGTCTCGCAAGGTAGAGGCAATAGGTGTAATTCTCTCTCAGAATTCCGTCCGGGCAATGCTCGCGTAGCATGTCGAGAGAGTGACTTCGAGAGAGGTCTGCAGGTCTGCGTGGTTCCAGCATGATATCCCATTGTTCCCTTGACGCACAGCTGAATTGATGAAACCAATGGAGCCTCTCCGACGGCTCGTAACGGTCCCGTGCCGGCAACCTGGCGACGTCTCGGTCAACATCTAACAACTTCCATATCTCCATCCGAAGGGGAAAGGCCACTCCCCAAGAGCGTGTGCTCGAGCGGACCGAGGTGATATCAAGGAAGTTAGTGTTCCATGGCTGATCAAAATTGGTGTAGCAGTAAAGGTTCCGTAGGTCATAGACTAGTGTGACATCCAAGTGTTGAAGAATCTCCAGGAAAAGCCCCGGTAGAAGTCCGTAGATGATGCAACGGCCATGTAGATAGATTGAAAGTGGATAGCGTCGAAACTGCTGCTGGTTGACAAGCCAAGTCAACATCGACCGTGCGTTCAGTGTGACGTTGTGAAGATGAAGTGTTCGTAGGTTGGGTAGTCGGACGAGTTCCGCCCGGAACTCGGCAAACATTGTATTTACCAAGAGACCGCCAAATCCATACTCGTCGGAAAACATCCGTACCAGATCCGTGGCCGTAGTTGTTGGTCGAGAAAGTTCCGAAATTGCTTCAATTTCGAAGCTGTGTCCAGCATGTTCATCGTCTGCGTCGCCCTCATCGCCATTGACAGGTTCTTCCTCCCCTTCCGGAAGTATGTTCATATCCAGTTCTTGGTCACGAATAAAATCCATGTACTGACTTCCACCCTCAACAAACGACGCCACAACATCAAGCTCTTGCAGCTGTCGAAATGCATGAGCATGTTCGAACATGTGCTGAAGCACCTTATCTAGGCGAGGTTGTACAAACCCAAACCATGGCTGTAAACAGAACTTGACTCTGAACTTGAGGGACTTCACACTGGGTTGTTCCAATAGCAATGATAGCCCGTTAAAGCCTCGCCGACCAGTGGTGAAACGTCTCCATAGTAGGTCCCAATGGGAATCCCAGAAATCGACCGTCATGCCTGTGATCGACAGACAGTCCCGGAATGGTCGAATGTCCTGTTCCAGGGATTTGAATGGGAACCACCACCACTCATCAGTAATTGGCACCCGACCAGATGGCACCCACATTTGGGGCTTCAACAGCCAGGCAGAGACGTCGCAAATGAGTTCTGCGTCTTGCTGGACTCTCTTTCTGACAACGGGGTCAATGCAACTGGTTTCCAGGTCGAAATCATCGGACAAGACCAAATGATGAAGGTTGCTGAATGACCGAAGAGCATCCGCAACGCCTTCCATACAGCCTGAATTCAAGGAGCCTCGGAAGCCACTATGATCTTGGTAGATACGTGTAAATGTCTCATAGAAGCGCAGTGTATCCGCATGCGACAAACCACGCAACAAATTCTGATAACGGTAATTCCAGTTTTCGGCATCCAAGCAGTCTGTAGGGAGAGCAAGCGCGTTCCACAGGATCTTTTTGACGAGGGGTGCATATTGCGACTGCGCCACTGCCATCAAACGAGCCCAGCTTCTCTCCCAGCTGTTCACGTACAGAGTCGAGAAGAGACGGGCCGTGCCGATAGCGCACCAGTCTCGACAGACCAAACGGAAGGTCTTGAGGCCGAGTGTTCCCGCGGAGTCAAATATTTGGTCCCAGACTTCGGTGGGCAGCTGAGTCGGTGGTTTCGCGGAACGTGAACTTGCCTTGTAAAAAGTAGCTTCAGAGGGTAGAGTTGAAGGGAGAGCGGCCTGCGCATTTGGTTTGGGAGCGAACGAGAGGAGTATTTGCCGAGTTTTACGGCCTTGACCGTTAGTGTTGACCATATTGCAGATGTTCGCGATGGAAAAGATGAAGGAAGGAGAGAAGATGGGAGCTGACCACAAATTTATAGACTACCAGTCCTACTGTGAAGATAGGTAGCCCAGGGCAGTAATGAAGACATAATGACACTCGGCACCTTCAAATACTTGAAGTTCGACCCAGGCAGTGAATCAGTGACTAAGTCATGCAAGATTGGAGAGGACATTAGGTGCATTAGTCTGCTTGCCTGCGGACGCAACCGTGATCACTGCTCTTAATGCAGCCTTCAACCTAACGTCACATTTTCGACTTCGAGTTCCTCCCTCCAGCAGCTGGAGTGCTGTGCCTGTACACTTTATACATGTATTTGATATTCAAGCTGGCAGTTCAAATTGGCGGAAGCCAATGGCAGTTGAACTTAACGGACCAATAAGCTGCCAGGCAGTACTACTACTACGGCGTAGTAGTAGTGTACTTAGTGCTGCGCCAAGCCACTTTACGCGTGACGCGCCCGCGTCCGACGCGACCCGTGTCGCGATCTGTCTCAGGGGATATCTTCTCAGTGCCAGTTGCTAGGACTCTCGACCGCCATTTCAGATACAGAGAGCAACGCCGGTCTTTTGCCTCCAACACGAACACACCACAGGCAAAAAATCATGGCGTTTACCACCAACGAGCTTCGCGATGAGGCCATCCGCGACAGGATTCGACTCGCTACAGAATTCCTGGACCCGACAGACACTGCAGCCAGATCCTATCGTGCGGACATCGTGTTGATGCTCAACCGGGGCCTGCGGCGACTAGTGGTCAGCATCGACGACATTCGGGCCCATTCTCGAGAACTCGCCGACGGGATCCTATACAAACCTTTCGACTACTCCCCTGCTTTTGACGCGGCCTTGAAAAACGTTATTGCCACGATACCGAACCGCGCCCCTTTTGAGCAAGATGAGGACAGATTATACTATGTGGCATACTCCGGGTCGTTTGGGGATAACACATGCAATCCCAGGACCTTAGGAAGTTCTCTGCTCAACAGAATGGTTTGTCTGGAAGGAATTGTGACCAAATGCAGTTTGGTCAGGCCCAAGGTGGTCAAAAGTGTGCACTGGAGCGAGAAGACGGGAAAGTTCTTGTATAGAGAGTACAGAGATCAGACGATGAGTGCACACGCACCTGCGAGTCTCAGCGTTTATCCACAAGAAGATGGAGACGGCAATCCGGTATGCACTCCCACGACTGCTCCTTGGGGTACAGCGCTAACTGATCTTAGTTGGTCACAGAATACGGCTACTGCACGTATCGAGACCATCAAACAATCAGCATACAAGAAATGCCGGAAAGAGCACCTGCTGGTCAGCTGCCACGCGGCGTGGATGTCATTATGGACGACGACATGGTCGACCGTGTCAAGCCCGGCGATCGGATCCAACTCGTGGGAATTTTCAGGTCGTTGGGAAACAGAAATGCAGGCTCGGGATCTGCGATCTTCCGCACGTTGATCCTGGCAAACAATGTGGTGCTACTGTCTTCAAAGTCGGGAGGTGGCATTGCTCAAGCCACGATCACCGACCAGGACGTCAGGAACATCAACAAGTTGTCCAAGAAGAGTAACGTCTTCGAATTGCTCGCACAATCGCTGGCACCAAGTATTTACGGCCATGATTACATCAAGAAAGCCATTCTGTTGATGTTACTGGGCGGCATGGAGAAAAATCTGCCCAACGGAACTCACTTGAGAGGTGACATCAATGTTCTCATGGTCGGCGACCCTTCAACAGCCAAGTCACAACTGCTGAGATTTGTCCTCAACACTGCCCCGTTGGCTATTGCCACGACTGGACGCGGATCATCTGGTGTTGGTCTAACTGCCGCCGTTACTTCCGATAAAGAGACCGGGGAACGACGACTTGAGGCCGGTGCCATGGTGCTTGCAGACCGAGGGGTGGTGTGTATTGATGAGTTCGACAAAATGAGCGACATCGATCGTGTGGCAATCCACGAAGTCATGGAGCAGCAAACCGTCACCATCGCCAAAGCGGGTATTCACACCTCACTCAACGCAAGATGTAGTGTTGTGGCAGCAGCTAATCCCATCTTCGGTCAATATGACAGCAACAAAGACCCACACAAAAACATCGCTCTGCCGGACTCTCTCCTTTCTCGTTTCGACTTGCTGTTTATCGTCACCGATGACATCGACGATAAGCGTGACAGAGCGATCTCTGAGCATGTACTCAACATGCACCGATACAGACAGCCCGGGACAGAGGAGGGAGCTCCGATTCGAGAACAACCCAACCAGATTCTTGGGATAGGGCTCCAAGAGGAGCAGAGCGCGACACAATCGACAGAAGTGTATGAGAAGTACAATGCTATCCTTCATTCGGGTTTCACAGTCACGGGCAGGAACCGAAAGAAGCAAGTCCACCCGGTCAGCATGCCCTTCATCAAGAAGTACATTCAATACGCAAAGAGCAGATGCAAGCCAGTCTTGACCAAAGAAGCCAGTGAATACGTCGTCAGCGCCTACTCCAATCTGCGCAACGACCAGATCAAGGCAAACGAGCGGAGAACAAGTCCCATCACTGCAAGAACGCTGGAAACTCTGATCCGTCTGTCAACAGCACATGCTAAGGCACGGCTGTCCAGCCGAGTCGAAGAGCATGATGCAATTGCAGCGGAAGAGATCCTTAAGTTTGCCCTTTTTAGGGAGGTTGCCGTAAAGGAAGATGGACGGAAAAAGAGACGCAAGACACGCAATGCTGACGGGAGCTCTGATGAGGACGACAACTCCTCTAGTGAGGACAGTAGCAGCGATGATGATACAGCATATCGTGGCACAAGATCATCAGCTGCGCGGTCAGCAAAACCACAGACCAGAAGCCAGAGGTCAGCCCGTTCGACTGGTGCCGCCACTGCAAGAGGCTCGGCAAGGACGAACAGACATGGGAACAATGCGGACGACGCCTCTGAAGAGTCAGACGAGCCACGGGGTGGCTCTCAGCGCCAGACTGGGGCCGAGTCTCAACTTTCTCGCATGAGCATCGCCAGCTCTATGCCCAGTTCTCAACTCCCTGCCACGCAGACCGACTCACAGTCGCAATCTCGGCAGAGTCAACGAGCTGCTACGCCAGAGGCAGCACCGAGTATCGGACCGGCACGACTTGCCTCGTTCCGCGCAGTTCTCGGTTCACTGGCGCAAACTTCGCTGTTCCAGAATGACATGGCCACAGTGGCGGATCTTTCTGCCGCGGTCAACCATCGTATGTCAGAAAGGAATGAGGCTGAATTCTCGGATGATGAAATCACCACCGCACTCCGGTCGATGGCAGAGGCGAACAAGATCATGTTCTTGGAAGACAGTGGTGAAGTGTACACATTGTAGGACACAGGATTGAAGGGGCTTTTCTGCATGGCGCAAAGCTTTTTGTTACCTATCACTTATGGCTGAATGAATCTCGTAATGAAATTACTATGTTTTCAATGACTCTCGTCGAAGGCGGCTACCATAGCCAAGAAATTCAGGTATGCTTCGACCCGGTGGTCGCCAAAGTGAAGAAAGGTAGGGGGAAGACTAGATATACACGATGGCGTATAGAGAGGTAATATCGCCTATAACACATAGAAGATCATGAAATTGACGATAGTTTTAGAGCGAAGACACGAATCTAGAAAGTCTCCATTCGAAGTATCGGCGGGTGCGAGTTTTCTTCGACGCAGGCTGCATCCAAAAGGCTTGGATTAGCCTTGGGTCCGTCATTCGCGAAGCGATGCTTCTAGAAAGAGGTAAGTATATGGATACTCCCAGACTGAGAAGCGAAGAATACCAAGGATCAAACCGCTTTCGCGAGATATGGTGGGCAATTGCCGGGTCTGAAGTCAAGTTATGTTTGTTATTGAATCGTCTATCATCGTTGCTTCGAAAGAGCAACAGGGCCAGTCAATGAGGATGAGCTTTACAACATTCACATCCAGATCTCTGCTGTTCTACTCGATGCCTGTCATCCCTCGCCACCCTTCGACGAATTCTATGAATGCTTGGAGAAATTAGGGCACAATCTGGAAAGTTTGCGCAATATTCAAAACAGTTTGAAACAAGGTTCTAAGCAAGCACGTCATGCCGAAGACTTAGCACTTGAAGTGCTCCTATTCTCTATGGTTTTACGGTCTAGAATGTGGGAGAAAGAAGCCGGAAAAGCTGTTGACATGGCGGAAACAATCAAGAAGACATGCGAAGATAAAGGGCAAAGAGCCCAATACTGGCCTCACACAGTCGCTGCAGGCTTTGGCACTACGTAGTACCTAAGGTAGCGAACCTCTTCACTTTCTTGGGAGGAGCTTATAGTCACGTGCTAAGGTGAGGCACGCCTGTGACATATTGGGCTACCGGTACAGTAGTGCGCCAAAAAGGGTGCTGGCAATACTCGAATCTATCGAGTATTCAGTGCGCCTGATGTGTCTTGAAGATTGTTCCTCGTATGCAGATGCATTGAACGGTATACACCAAGATATCGATCTGTGCATTATAAACACCCTCCTTAGCCTTACAAATGGCTGGCTGCTCAAAAGCCTCCAAGTCGTTCTCTGTTTTCGTCGCCGGTATATTCGCTGGTGACGTGGTGATTTCTTTCAACAATGAGGCCCTGCAATATGTCTGTGTTGATGCCGAATCAGACTTCTTAGTTGACAGTACTTCTTCGAGCATATTGAACAGGAGAATGGCTGTTCGTCAGTGCCAACGTGCTTCTTGTCGTGTTCTTTGAGACTGGTTTGATCTTTGAACTTCTCCTGACATATTGAACAGGAGACTGGCTATTCGTCAGGGACATCATACTTCTTATGGTGCATACTTTGGTGGTGAGGGAGGCCTTAAAGACTGCTCCTTGACATTGGACACTCTGAACCAAGTAATAAGCTACCGCGTTGTGCCGTGTCGTCGGTAAGAACTTGTTCGTGGGAGATCTGCGGTGGTATGTCGATTGCTTCGCTTTCTCTGGATGCTGAACCATATATTGAGATATCTGTGTGTATATTGTCCTTACTTCCCATGAATACACCTTGGCTTGTATTATAACCGTGTGGTTGCGGTATCGTAGACTGCGGCGGAGTGGGCAATATCGAAAGGTTTTGAGTGTTCCACCCGGTACTGAAGGATGCCAAAGGATATGGTTCCTTCGTAATGGCTTGTTGCGGATAGTCTGGTGACCTTACTGGAATGGAAGATGAACCTTGGCACGACAGAGAGTCCATTTCTCGTTGAGGCGGTAAGTGCCATCGCACTCAAAGGCGGAGTCACCTTCCCACGGGCATCCACATGCCCAAGTGGGATTCGGGAGAGAGTGTAGTTTCATGGTCATATGGGTCATGTTTGCCGTGCCACAAGGGCTGAAGGTTTGCCAAACGAATGTGAAGGACAGAATGAGGCGAAGAAAAACGGACGGTGAGAAGAATGGGAGGTAGGAACGTCAGGTGTATTTTGTACTGTATCTGGAAGCATGTATCGAGGTCTGTCCTTCCAGTCTTATTGTCCCTTCGTAGGGCCTAAGCTTTGTGAATCTGACAACAACGTCAAAAGAAACTAATGAAACCAATGCACCACTAGACCCTTCATTCTGAGGCGACTCTGAGAGATGTGGAGGCTACAAGTCGACCGTGCTTCCTAGCTCCATCAGTGCCGTACCGTACCATGCCTTTCCTCGAGGGCGGCCATCCAGTAGTGTAATCCCGTCGCTACCAACAAGATCCTTTTCCTCGTGTTAGCAGGATGCGAATATAGCGCGGTGGGACCACCCAAAGGAAGGTGTATACGGATAAGAAGACTGCTTGGTTGAAGGGATCGGTGAAAAGAGACATGTCAGACGGCTCCATCTCGTCCGCCGCTCGTGCCGGGCCGAGTGCTCTGATTCGAAATCTGGATACGCCGGATGAGTGGATGGGTTTGACAGCTCAACGCTGGGGGATCAGCCAGGCTTTTCATGTAGATTCTGAAGCACGAGAACGGATGACGGCTAGCAAGAGCCACATGTCGAACATGGGTCAGCGTCCAGACATCATACGCTTCCCGCAGGTGGCGTTCATACACAGGACGCAGCTTGCGGATACTGTCGAGCAGAGTCTTTCTAAAACATCCTCAAACTATTCACCAAAGCTCCAGTCATTAAACCCTCCCAATTTCATGTCATCGTCTGCTCGCAATTGCTTCGCCGTCCTCTTTTCCCCTTTCTTTCTGGTTTCCTTGCCCTCATACTCGACAGTAAAACATCCTCCATCCCTAAAGGGACATAACAACTCAGAATCTTTACAATTTTTGGGCTGCACTCGTTTCCCATGGTCATGGAACCGACACGCGCCCCCTTGTCGAAGAGATTCCCGGTCCCATCGTCGTATTTGCGCCTCAATGTAGTCTGTTGTAAGCGCAGGCACCTTTGACAGCGCCTGGAGCCATGTGTCCTCGTCTTCATCACTACGGTCTGGGCCATGTGCGCTTATTGTGCCCAGCGCAGCACGATAGAGCCGTAACAGCCAACTGCTGGGAGTCAAGTGTTTGTATTTCAGTGAGACTGACTCGGGGGTTAGGCGCCATAAACCAGAGTGTAGCTGCTGGCGGATGCGATCTGACACTTGCCACCCCAGGGCATGGATCTGGTATTTTTCTTCCAGATCTGCTAGTGTATCCACCTCTGCAAAACTAGCATCGTGCCGAAGGTGTGGATCCTCCATCATCGACCAACGGTAAAATTCGCATAGCGTAGCGGAGGAGACGTTCTCGAGAGTCAGCGGACTCTGTTCAGTGTACTCGCCCAATTTGCACAACTCGGTGAAGCTAGGAGACCGCTTGGTCAGGAAGTCCTGGGGAAACCACAGAATTTCTTCGGGCCGTGAGTCAGTCCGCACAGGGACGCGTTCGCTCTGACTCCATCTGCTGAAGTTGTTAGTCAGGTTTTATGGGGAAGTCCTACATACGACAGCCAGTGGCGTAGATTATCCTGCGCAGCAGCTGCGACTCCAAGATTCACCTCTTGATTTCCTCGCTTCATGTCGACGACACTTTTAAGCAGGATATTAAACCGGTGTTACTGCCACAAATAGCTTTGACTGGCAACGAAAAGTGATCCGCTTTCTCGGGTCTCAGAGTATTGAGGAGAGTCGTGCAACAACAGATATAGTGCGTGCAGCTAGAGCCTTGACGGAGGTAGCATTGATGTCTCTGCGCCTCGCCAAAGGCGATTTTACTTGCATCCCTACCTTATGCTCTTTTGCTCTTTTGCTCTCGATTGACCCTGCAGGCGTTCCCCTGCGCCGAATGATTGCTGCCCAATGCCGAAGCCAGACCCAAATAAGAATTATTTTCTTGGCGGCGATCAACTCTCACCCCGCCTAGTGCCCCGCCCAGTGCCCCGCCTGAAAGCCACGTCACTTTCTTCGAAATCACTTGACCAAGTAGGCTGATTATCAACAGGTCGCAGACGACGGTCCCATCTTATACGAGGTAGGGGCAGTTTCTGGTCTGCTGATTTGGTCTTCTTTGAGCTATCGGAAGGATGCAAGTTACAGGCAGTTTCGTAACGAAATAATAAATCATAGCCAAAGCTGAGTTAATCTAGACGACGTGGACTGTCCTTGACTTCTGGTTGGAGCTAGGAATCTTTCATTGTCACTTTTATCGATTTTATCGATTTTCGTCCGGTCAGTCAGACTGAATCACTCAACACTCCTAAGCAAGACGACAAGGCACCAAACGCCGCTCCAGCAGGCAGGAAGAGAGGCTCGAAGGGGCCTTCTTCCCAGGCCGTTGATGGAAAATATGGATTTCCTGGAGTGTAGTTCGCCTCGTGGAGGAGGCCACAGCCCTAATACGGCTTTGCAGACTGACAGCACTACTAAACAGGTAATAAGATCACCCTTTGTCCCCTTTTTCAGAAAAGGCCATCTTCCCGATGAGCACTAGAACGAAGACACACTGGCGCTTCCCATACCAAAGTCCTTCACATCCTCAAAGTGTTGGTTGTCCTGAATACCATTATCATCCTCGGGATACTCACACTTCAGAGGCTTCCCGTTCACGTGTCCCACAGCAGCTCCTGGTTCTTCATCTTCGACAGGTTCTAATTTCAAGATCGCAAATTCTGGGAAGAGAATCACGAACACGTACTGGAAATCTGCAACGATACCAGCATAGCCATTTTCCTTGAATAAAAGGGAATGGTAGTAGCCTTGTGTGAAGAATTGGAGTGCTTTAGCATAGCTTGTACCGGACTTAGATAGTTGTGTTGTTCGCCATGGGTCTGATTTCCTCAGGTTGTCCTTTGTCGCCCAGGTTTGATAGCTCTGTCGATGTGAAGGCAATCCAGGGTTGAAAATTTTCGTCTCAACCTGCAATAGTACACGACGTGCACCGTGCGGGCGTCCATGAATTTGCGAGTAACAGGCACGGAAAGGGACAACCCGCATCCCAGGGAAGTTTTCATTCAGATAGACATTGGTGAAGAGTCCGATTTCGTTCAAAGTGCCGAAGCTCAAATTCTGTGACGTGAGATGCCAGAATAATTTCCGAGTTTCCATGGCGAGAACTTTGAAATGAACAGTGTCTGGAGGGAAAACGCTGTTTGGAGGTGGAGTGCTGTTCAACTTCAGAATAGAGAGGCATGCCAAATTGTGACATGGCAAACTGTCTGAGTTCTGGCACTTTATAGGTTCGAGTTGGTGGCATACTCGAAGGTAACCATCGATGCGGAACGAAGCATGCTCGTTATCCGAGGCTATTCTGAAGTGACAGCCTTGGTAGGCCCCATCAAACAGTAGTGGATCGAGGCAGTGACAGTCAAAGGATTTCGTAACTTTGGCACACTTGCCGTCCCCAGAGGAAGGTTCCATCAAATGAAGCGAGGGTGGATGACAACGCCCATAGCAACTTCGCCATACAAGGCCCATTGTTGTCTGCATTTCTTGCTTCTTGTCATCGAAGTTGAATTCAGTGAAACAAGCGAATATCTTGCTTCCCTGATCACATGTCGTAGACGCAGTTCCAACCTTGGGCCCACTGACCACCACATTGCCGCTGGCCGCAACGATGATGAAGTTGTACAACATCTAAGGCGCAGATCCGGACACTTCGAAGGAACCTGGTATGAGGCGTTCTGTGAAAGACATATTGCTGAAGTGCCTGGAAAGTCCAGGAAGCAAGACATAAGAGATAAGACTCAAAAAAAATGTCCTGGAGACCGAGCAATGGAGGAGAGGATTTTTCCATACAATGTGAGCACAGTCGAGGGGATATTTATGCGATCAACCCGCGGCTACGCATCATTTGCAAGCTTGACCAAGTAGGCTGTTCTGAGACTGTACGAGGCCAACGAGGCGAACAAGGTGACCAGTCAAGCCAGCCTTATGCGTGGAATACCAAGATTCTGGTCCAAACATAGATTTGGACCAGGATCTTGGCTAGGCATAATGACTAACTTGAGTTATACATAGGCGGTCACCTTACTACTAGACTACCTAATTTCGTGTGATACTAGTGGACGACAGGTGCTTACATTATACAATCGACTTTTGAAAGGTGGCCATCTCATATTTAGATTGAACCGTATTTTCTGATGCTGGTGGGCAGCGGATGTATATACTATACAATAGCCTTTTGAAAGGTGGTCATCTCACGTTGACATTAGTGAGCATTCTCTGATATGGGTGGGCGACAAATGTTATATTATATAGTCGCCTTTTGAAAGGTGGCCATCTCGCGTTGATATTGCTGAGCATTCTCTGACATGGGTGGGCGACAGGCACTATTATGATGGCCGAAACCAACCTCGTAAACGTAAATTGGGACATAGATTCCTTGATGCTGGTGGACGTCGCGACCTCAGGGGTTGAACTGAACGGGGAGGAATAACTATATTCCGAAAACAGCTAGGCTGCTTTTGGACATACGGCAACTTATCCGACGAGGCTGGCCCCACTGCAACCATATTTCCACGTATGTTGTCTGATATTGAACGATGTTAACTTCATGTCGGACTATGTTTGAATTATGAAATCATATCGCAAACTATGATGTCGTATTAGCCAGACTATTGATTTGCATGCTGAATACACTTGATTTCTATGGCGCTGCCATACTAACTGAATGCCTCTTGTATGGCTCTTTCGCCCCTTCCAACGCCAAATTCACCTTCTCTCCTAACGCAATTTCACCAACTCCCATCTACTGCAATTTACTGCCACCATATACCATGATGGTCTACACCACTGTCTGGCCGCGTTGATTGGCCAGCCTTGCTCCACTACTTTCTCCACTCCTTGCTCCCCTCCTTGCTCCCTCCTTGACCTCTATGAGGCATAGATATCCTGTGCCAACTGCACCATCTGAGCTCTCTGGCGCTCAAACTCCACAACCCACGACCGAACCAAGCCCAAGTACTGTCGCCATGCTATCCAGGTAATCCTATTCTGGTAGACAGCCATTGTCTCACCCTCTGCCGGATTCGGGTTTCTCATCATGTAAACTCTCCTCAGCAGACTTGCCGGATTGAGAGCGGCCAGGTCTTCATCCCCAGCGAACTCGGCGTATCGGTCCGCGGCCATTTGTGTCCACTGGCCTTGTCTGCGCCGATACGCATTCCGTGTTGCCTGGAAAACGGCGCTTTCAGAGGTCGTCGAATTGCGCAGCCTCTCAATCTCCACCAGGACCGCCATGGCCCGCTCTTGCTGTTGAATGACGCCCTGCTGGAGTTGCTGAACGGTCATGTTGTCCATTGAAGGACCGGCTGGCTGTGAGGCGGGAGGAGCCGAGGACGAAGACGAAGGCAAGACAGGACCCGGTGGCAACGCAGGCATGATAGCCAGAGCTCGGCCAACACCAGCACCGGCAACAGCACCAGCACCAGCACCCCCACGACGAGGCTTTGGGAGAGGCGAGCCAGCTTGTGATGCAGTAGGCTGTGCCGGCCCAGCAGATCCGCCAGCAGATCCGCCAGCATTGCCATCGTTGTCCTTCTTTTCATCGTCGTCGGAGTCATTGTCGGCCTTCCTCTTCTGAGGAACTCTCTTCTTTCCAGTCTCCTCCCGGGTCATCTGGTCTACTTCACGACCAAATGCGGCCTGAATGTAGTTCCACGGCCGGGTATTTGCCTCAGCATGCCTATATCCAGCAGGCAAAGCTTGCCAAATCCCCTCGGCAGTCCAGGATTCAGCCATGAAGATGCGAAGCATCGATCCCCACACATGGTTGGGATACAAACGGCAGATTTCTTCCAGAGACAGTCTGGCCGGCAAGATTTCGTCTGAAGCTGGATATTCGTCCGATGCAGCTCGGCCAGTACGACCACGGTCCACTCGGATCGGGAACATCGTGCGAGGAACAGTGTCGTCCCCAAAGAAGGCGAGCTGGTCCAGTCCTGATCGTCGACCACGGCCCAAAGCGATTGACTGCTGCGGTGGTGGGATGTTGGCTGGAAATCGTTGATGTGGACCGGAAGTTGGCATCACAGCCCGCACTCGAGGAGGTCGAGTACTGTTTCGATTTCGTGACTGAGACTGTGGCTGCACAGGTGTTGCATTGCTGGCGTGTGCTGTATTGCCCTGGGTTATCGGAGTGTTCAACACATTGCCTGCTGGTGCATACATGTTTGGAAGTGGGACTGCCACATTCGATACAGGCGTTCCATTTCTCGAGGTCATCGGTGCACCTTGGCCCATTGCTCCAAAATTTGGTAGCTGATTGCCATGCTGATCGAAGCCGCCGATGTTGGTATTAAAAGCATAGCCATTGCTTTCAATGCCCATCTGCCCTTGAGCATGACCAGTGGTGAGCAAGATTGACTGACCATTTGGAAGAAAAGTCTGATTGCCGGTACCAATGGCTGGCCATCCCGGAGCCGCGAATTGTTGCTGACCACCCATGTTCTGGAATACTGGAAAAGTAGCAGAACCATGAAATCCATGGCCTGAGACATTTGGCAGTGGTAGATTGGTGCTCCATACGACGTTCCCATGTTTATCTTGGAGTACCAGTCTGCTTTGAAATGGACCCTGCTGTGCATCATGGTCTGGTTGCTGGATGTCTCCTTGAGGATGCCGCAAGGTGCTGCCTGCATTGCAACCCATGTCGTTGGCGACGAAAGGATCTGGCAGAGATGGATTGACATGATCATTACCCAAGGGCATGGTAGGATTCGGATCGGTGTCTTGATACACACTCTCGTCTTCGCCATTCCCGATGACCTCGTCCCATGCTGATGCCAAATTCCTATTGCCAGGCACATTGAAGTCTGTCACATCTTGGTTGAGTCGAAACGCCGGAGGCTCCTGGTTGAAGTTGCCTCGAGTATTCATGTTGTTTTGCAGCGAGGCATTCCATGGTGGGTTGAAGGTGTTTGGATCTTGAACAATACCAGAATCCGTATCCATGGCATTCATGCCACCGATGTCTGAACGGCCGTGGAGATTGGCATTGTCACCACCCATCATCAAGGTATCAGGCTGTGTCTCACCATTGCCCTGATACTGGAATGCCTGTGTCTCCGTATCGTCATACTGGAAATGCTGTGGCTCGGCGACATCTCGGTATGGATAAGGCTGTGTCTCGGCGGGATGATGACCTGAGAAAGACCGTGTATTGCCAACCTCTTGTTCTTGAAATGCAAGCAACTCATCATGCTGGACATTGTGATGACCCTGGACATTCTCACCATGCTGGAGAGCAGGAAGAAGGTCTGATTGTGCAGTCTGGGCACTTGGATCTTGCACAGCATATGTGCTACCGATCTGAAGGGTTCTGTTGTCGATCTGAGGGTTCTGAGTATTTTCGATCTGAAAACCCACTTCATTGTCGACCTCATGCTGCACATTGCTGTCGACTTGGTTGTTTGCAGTGCTGCCAATGCTAGGATTGATGTTTCTGTCGATCTGTGCTTGGACAGCATCGTCGAAAGTGCCTGCAGTGTCAAACAAAGGCTCCCAGTCGCCGATACCAGGAGGAGGGAGAAGGTTGTCTAGGTTGACGTCCTGAAAGAGGAGATCATCGTCATAAGTACCACCAGGACGGCCTGGATATCCTGAAGGATCCATGATATGACAGTCGTCAAAGGAAGTGTGTGACAAAGAATAGGATCACTGAAGAGAGAAGGTTGACTGTTTTTGTGACAATGGTGGTTGATGGTGTTGAGTAGAGGGAAACGGAGTGGATTCTTGACTGTACGAGACAAGAGATAGGATGAGAGTGCTTTGCTTGACTGTGAGAGAGAAAAGGAGTCAGTCAGTCAGTCAGTGAGGGATGCTGTGCAAGAGTGCTGTTATGGGGAAGGAATACCTAGATCGGCCTTGTCCTGATCTGATACCGGTCAGATCGACTGAAGTAGCGACGAGATCTCTCCAACCTGACGCCGTTACTCTCGAAAAGGCTGCACTCGAAGACGACTGTGATAGAAGGAAGCACTTGTGATACAGTTTGAAGCTGTTGTCGTTGTCGTTGCTGACTTCTGTGTCTTGAAGCTGTGAGGAACAGGGCGAGAGGTGGAGGTGGAGATGGTGAGGCTGCACCAGCAAAAATTGAGGAGAAATTTATACTGGCTGCACCAGATGCAGATGTTCGGGAACCGTCACGAGTCTTGCAGGTCTGGGAAATAGTATCAATACGGCTATTGTGCTTTTTGGGACAATAAGCATATGCATCTGGAACAGGGGCCTCGAAAGGAAGAATAGGAGACTACAGCACAATTCGATCTCTATTTGATTTCTATTTGAAGGTTCTTCAGCAAACCGAATACGTCTCTACTTCTTCGTCACTCTGAATGCGATTCAAACAGTCCGTCGATACTGCATTGAGCATACCCAGCAGCTGAGCGGTTCCCAGCCTTTCGAAAAGGGTCATGGGATTCTCTATCTAATTGACCCACGACTCCCAGACTTGAGCCTTGTGCCTTGCTAGCACCATAGTGATGGCATGAGGCTGAAGCATATTGTCCCAATACTGGCTCCATTTGGAATGAATCAGATTGTAGCTATAGTCTTCCCGATCTGGAATTGCTGAATGACCCGCTTCCTCCACACTCGGCGTGATGTGACAAGACTGGTCCTCAAACGGGTTAGGTTGGCTCAATGACATTCCTGGTGTGCTATTCAAAGTGAACAAGGCTACGTTTGTAGGGGGTCATGAATATGGTTTGGCAGCCAGTGATATAGCCAGTCGAACAAGCTGATGGTTGGTGAGGTTAATATTGACGAATTATAATTAAGATCGGCAAAACTGCGGAGCTACCGATCTATTGTGCCAGATGCCGAACTTTTATTCACCACCCAAGACACAATAGAAACAGAACAGGCAGCTATATCCGAAGAGACCGACCACGTGACGAAGTAGAATCAGCCAGACGTCCTGATATAGTGGCATTAGCGAAGAGATGGGCCTGGGCGGACCTTTATTGATGTCCCCATGGCCGTCTGAAACCGTCTATTTGCATGAAAAAAGAGAGCAACAGCGTCTCTTGTTCCAAAAGCAGAGGATTCGCCAACCCGCTTCTGGACCTGGCAGAAGAACATTGCAGTCTGGGTAAGACGATCTGTCTCTCTGAATTGGCGATAGCTGGCTATCTTCAACCATCTATCGAACTGATATTATTATTTCGACACATTCTAATATTCCCATTGTGCGATTGTGCCTGCAACCGATCTTGGACAGACCACAACTACAAACCGCAGTCTGTACCGATCTAACTACTAAGGACTTGTCGCCGATCACCAGAATGAATCATCTCAACATCTAACCACTCTTGAACTTACGGAACAGCCAGCCAGCTGTCTGAGCCGATCTAGACAATACATAGCTACACCTGACCTGCAGGCATCAACGGCATGTATTCACTGAAGGTACCTGGCATCACTTTTCTGCTTCGTTCTTCTTCCCCTTCCAAGCTGTTCAGCTTTGCTCGCTCTGCATTCTGTTGCCTTTGTACTGATCTGTCCAGCACAATCCATCATGTTGATAGCTCACAGACACTTGAGTTAGCTTCTTGCGAGGTTTGAGCTACAGCCATCACCTGCTCATCCACCTTCACATCCAACGACACCTTAAAGTTTCTCCTCCAACATCTGCTTCAGCCAGTCTGGGTCAGTACTCAAGACAACCGAACCGGGGTTCTGCAAGACATCCAATGAATAGTACATGCCTGATCCTGTTTGTTGATTCTGAAGTTGTACAGGTGCAGGCAAATATTGGTTCGACATCTGGACATCAGGGTCTCCTGCTCCGTGGATGGAAGATTGTGCTGTTTCGACCTCGTCGAGAATCTCTGGAGGCCATCCTGAATCTGTACTCTCAGCTTTCTGGATATGTTCGTTGTCGAAGACCATGTTATTGCTGTTACCGTTGCTTGAGGAACATTCAGGAGGAGGAATCTGAGAAGGCGGAGGCGAAATTGTGGAAGAAACACCTTGCAACCATTGCACGACATTCTCGCTGCTATTGGTGCATTGAGATATCAAAAGCTGAGCATTTTCTTGCTGCATAAGTGCATTGCATTCGTCCAGTTCCTTGTCGAAGTCGTTTGGCTCGCACATCTCAACCAGGCCACCACTCGGCAGGACCTGGTTATGGTATTGCATGTCGGAATTTTCGAGCTTTACTCTCTTTGGGAACATATCTTCGGTCTCAACCTCCCCAATAGATCGCTTGAGTGATGTAGTAGTAGCAGGAACATCACTCCCTGCCAATCCCGCATTCGCCTTGATAGCCTGATGAACAAGTCCGACTATCTTCTGACCGTTCTGCAGAACATTGTCCAGACCTGCAGTGAGCTCACGCAGCTTGGCACATATGGCTTCTTGCTGAGACAGTACGATAGACACTGCATATTGTCGGTTCAGGCTCAGCAGATCAGCTGTAACTGAATGTAAATTCGTTGAGACCATGTCATTGAAGATAGCCTTGACCTTGGAGTCGATCAGCTGGAGGAAAGCAGGACAAGCTTCAGCCGAATGGTATTGGAAAAGAGTCTGGAGGGTATGCGAGGCAGGTAACTGTGCAATTTGAAGGATCAAGGCATTTCGCTCAGTTGGCCCGATATTGGAAAGATGTGCATCGGCATCAATGATAAGGTCTGCGCACTGCCATTGTTGGGACCAATATTGAGCCATTGCAGTCTTGTATGTGTTGAATGCTTCGATTGACTCCCAAACAGGGAATTCCTGTGGCTTTGGGGCCAGAAAGGCTGGTCGTCCTGCTGCTGTGCCACTTGCAGTTCTATTGTCACGCCGTCGAGGAAATCTTCTCACCTCCTGAGCATAGGGATTGTTGAATTTGCCTTGAAGTTTGGAGCCGCCATACCGCTCAGTGCCGTCGGCCAGGCATTTGCGGATCTTGGGCGCAAGGCAGAGCTGCTTGACCTCATCTGCTGTCATGTTCTTCAGATATGTGTCGAGGCGCTTGAACAGGAAATTCGCTCGATTGTTGTGAGTCGAACAGGTGGCTATGCCGTATTGCTTGAACTCTTGGATCGCTAGAGGGTGGAGGCGACTGAATATGTCGTTGGCAGTCCAGTACCATTGAATGAAGGCATCTAGGTATTTCCCACGAAGATGGTTGGGGTATCTTGCGCAGATCTCCTCCAATGATGCCGAGTCCGGAACAGGTTCGTCGAATGATGGGAAAGACGGGATCTCATGGTATACCTTTGGTTGGTTGTCGTATCTCTTTTCTCGGATACCTGCTCTAACTGGCTTCCTCGGGTTGCCAAATGGAGTCTGTGCCGGTTGTGGTGTCGAGGTCAGAGATGATGGTGTAGGCTGCTGCAGCAACCATTGGTCCTGTGGATAGTTGACCCCTCCTGCTGGGTTGCAAGGTGCGTCTTGCATGTTGGCTGGAAGGTCACCGGAGGAATAGCCACGCGGCGATGGGTATGAAGGCTGAGATCGGTTCATGATGGATGATATCCTGATATTGAGGACCAGGCAACGAAAGCCTCAGTTAGATAGATCACTGCTCTCCAGGCGTTACGTTCCAAAAAACCGTAGCAAAACCTGGTCGGATACTGTTCACGAATAAGGAAAGTCGAAGGAGTTCAGGCCAGCTGGACTCGAGCAAGAATAGGGAACAATAGAATGCAGATGGCACACGCGCAATGTAAGTATGGAACATGATGCGCAGAGTTTTCGAACCTGGACTATATGAAGAAGGCAGATGTGCGCCATGGGTTCACATTGGCCATCGAGGCAGCCATGTCTCATTCCATTCCATTCTCCTATGGACTTGAGACATTCTGGTGAAAGGACGACATCAGACTGCGTTGTATTCGAAGTCACAAAGAGTTTCCAGTCAACATCGAGTCTCTTCTCTCGGAGGCATCGCTGCCGTTGGCCGCCTTGGGACTGCAGATTGGGCAATCCAGAGCTGCGAAGACGCATGAGAGCCGCCGGAGACTCTACACAAGAAAATCTACACTTTTCATCGTCAAGGCTATGACATCTTTCAAACCAGAGCTGACCTTACTGCCAGATACGACGATTTGGAGGATGGTTTGTACTCTAGCCTTATGTTTCACATATGAACAATGGATACGTACTTCCCTCGAGTCCTACAAAACAATGAAAGGACAAAGATTAGACAAAGATTGGACAGGCCGTACCACATATCATGGTCAACAATGGTATTCGACTCGACTGTTGACATACAAAGAACACTGGGTAGTCCACTAGGAAAAACTTTGGTTACTTCACTTGCTAAGGGGTTCAGGGGACAACAGCCTTGCCAAGACATGGAGATCTCTCCCGCGTGCGACCATCTTAGTCAGCGATCACCATTCACATGCCGCTCTAAACCCGCTTCCTTACCTTGCGATCTACACCTGCGCTCTCTGCAACTCTCCACCTTCCTAAATCTTAGCCACCCTCGAAGGCCCATCTAGTGGTCTACAACTTGTCCCACCTCTTCCTCCAAATGCACTGTTTCCCGACAAGAATAGATCGAGTGACGAGCCAAGGCAGGAACTCGGTCGCGGTTCGGTTCGAGCAAATTCGGTAAACGATAACAGAGGTAGTGAAAGAGCAGGCTCCCGGAAGATTCATCAATGACAAGCTTCGCCGACGCTGCAAAACAACAGCAGGTATCGCACGGTGTTGTACATGAGCTGGAATTGTGGCGCTTTCATTTTGGCGCATGCTATGTCCTGTTCACTACCATGGCACTTACAAGACTACGGACAAGCCTACGGACCAGAAGCCAAGAGATCTTGACCACACATTGAGAAGCTAAGTGTACACAGAAGTGCTTGATAGGATATGCCAGGAAGCTTAGGCAAATTTAGTAGGGCTGGCCAAGGCTGAGGTAGGTCTTGAACCTTTCTGGGATCTCAGGCATACTAACCTCAATTTTGTTCTACATTGCAGCCCATACGAACACTCTCTCGACATAACTCATGGCTAAGCATATCCTCGCTGCAGGATGCAATGCGTACACTTCTTCCTACCGCTGAAGTGTTTTGCTCCCGATCATATGGTCGAAGGTATTCGGTACCTGCAAAGCTGCTGCACTCTATTCCGATGGTGTGGAGATCGGCGGCCCATATCGGTATTGCGTGCTGCCAGAGTCGTATAACGCCATTACGCTACTCCACCACGTGAGCACGCGATTGCATGCCTCCGAGATATCTATGCATCTTAGCAAATGAAAAGTGCTAACCCTCAGCAATCAGAAGATCGGCATTGGAGAGTTCCCTCCACTGGCTAGGATTGATGATGCGATGTGCATACATGAGCACATCAACGCGGATTCTGGTAGGGGTGAGACGGAGCGTGGTATATTTACTTCCAGAATCTGCTCGGTGAGGATGTTTCCTCTCAAGTTTTCCTCCCCGGATTAGTCCAGCATCAACATGGCTGCCGAACTTCTCACGCAGGCTGACGGCTATGGCATTATCGTTGGTCTTTCGGTGCTGTTCTGCATCATCATCGTCGTTGCAGTCCGCATACAGAAGAGGTACCTTGCGGAGGACAGCGACCAGTCGGAGATGTTCATGGTCGCGAATCGTTCCGTAGGGACGGGGTTGACGGCCTCAGCAGTGTTCTCGAGTTGGTAAGTTCTAATGGCCAGGACATTCATCGTGTCACGTGCCACGTGTGTATTCACTGACTGTTTGCTGCAGGATGTGGATTAACGAAAGCGTCTTTTCGGCCGCCTACACGTACAAGTGGGGGATCGCGTTGCCTGTTTGGTGGGCAAGCGGCTTGTCTTTCCAGATTGCGCTCATGGCCGTGCTCGGTATTGTGGCAAAGCTGCGAGTCCCCTACGCGCATACCTCGCTCGAGATCATCAAGATGAGATATGGAAGATACGCGCACTGGCTGTTCATTCTACTGAACCTTGTCAACAATATCTTTGGCTGCGGCAGCATGATTCTCGCAGGCGCCCAGCTGGTTACGGGAATGACTGGAATGCACGTCATCGCTGCGTGTATCCTGATCCCTGCAGGAGGTAAGTGACTCGAAGGATCGATGGCGGATGTTCAAACGCTGATTCTGGTACTTTTGAAGTCGTCACCTATACGGCCCTTGGTGGCCTAAAGGCAACCTTCTTGACAGATTTCCTCCATACCACCATCGCGTTGATTCTCTTGATATACTTCTCTCTGGCCGTCTTGACGAACAAGCACATTGGTGGCATCTCGGGCTTGTACGAGAAAGTCAAAGCCACGGATGACTATATTCCTGGCAACTACGAAGGCTCTCTTCTGACCATGAAGTCCCGGAGTTGTAAGTACAAATTCGTCATATCACACCAGGATTTCACACTAATGTTCGTGTTTACAGCGGTCCTGTTCGGCCTTGTGCTGAAGTTTGGCAACCTTGCCCTTGTGCTCATGGACACGGCGTTCTGGCAGAAGTCGTTCGCTTCCGAAGTGCACTCGACAGTGCCGGCATATGACCTGGTCTCAATTGTCATCATCGCCATCCCCTGGTGCACCGGAACCATCATCGGTCTCAGCGCCCGCGCAATCGAAAAGACTCCTATCTGGTTCGACTATCCCAATAGGTTGACTCTTACTCAGGTCAACTCCGGCCTCGTGATGCCATACGTGCTGAGATCTCTGCTTGGCACCGGTGCCACTGCCGGTCTGCTGGTGCTCATCTTCATGGCCATCACCAGCACCGTCTCTTCGTCCATGATTGCAGTCAGCAGTATCATCTCTCTCGACTTTTTCCGCACCTACATCGACCCGCGTGCATCCGACCGCAAGACCCTCCAGGTCAGTCACTGGGGTGTGATCTTCCACGGCTGCTTTATGGCAGGCTTTGCCATCATGCTCGAGTACGCCGGCGCAACAAACAACTGGTCTACTTACTTCCGACCAATTGTTGCTTGTCCTGGCATCCTGCCCATGATTCTAACGCTCCTCTGGTCTCGACAAACCAAGTTGGCGGCCATCCTGGCTCCCATTCTTGGGCTGATGTCCGGCCTTGCAACCTGGCTGTCCCTGTCCTGGGTTTGGTCTGGTGCCATAAACATTCAAACCACGCAGGAACAGCTGCCAGGTCTTTACGGGGCCATCGTCTCTTTCTTCTCCCCAGCTCTCTATTCTGTCATCATCTCTTTGGTCTGGCCGAGCCGATTTGACTGGCGCGAATTCCTGAGGATTGACCTTATCGAAGACAAGAGCCAACCGAGTAGCTCTCTGCAGTCCGAGCTACCCAGTAGCGAAGCCGTCAACGAGACACTCAAAACGGCGGACGGCTCTTCCGGGAAAGGAACCTACCTCACAGGCGGAGAAAAGGAGAGCGGCCCACCACCGATTCGAAAACCAAGTACTCAACTGAATGCTCGAGTCCCCCTCGACGAAGTGGTCCACCCCTTCGATGAACCGACACTCAGACATATCAGAAAGTGGTTCAGATATGCCAGCATTTACTTCGTTGTCAACGTCCTGGTGACCATCGTCCTGTGGCCTTTGCCTTTATACCGGGACTACATCTTCACAAAGACCTTCTTTGGCGGCTGGGTCACCATGGCCATCATCTGGCATTTCGCAGCCATGTTCGCTGTCATTGTATATCCATTCTATGACGGGAGACATGAGATCGCTCGGGCGGTTCGCGGAATTGTGGAGGAGTTGAAAGGAAGGAGGAGATGAGACGACACTAACTTGAATGACTACGAACAATATACTAAAAGTATAGAGAGATGATAGATTACGATTGGATAAAAGCGCCGGATTTAGCATTCTATGTAGACCTATGAAAATCTAGAATAGATATTTAGATAGCCAGCGTAGGTTGGGGAACCAAAGGTCATCAAATTACTACAGGATACATTTACTGATTTGAGCACGCTTCGCGCGGCTTGGCCCAGATCTCACAGAGGTCAAGCTTGGCATTATTGTCTCTGCCACGGCCTGGTTGTTGCATAAGATGGTGAAGTATTCTGCCTCCGATCTCTGCTCCACGCGATCGAGTTCAGGAGGCGTCCTCGCTCGTGACGCATTGATAGTCTCGTCGCAACGCTGGATCTGCCAGTAGCTCCACCGGCATTGCCATCGTTGCCGTCCTTTTTGTCTTCATCGTCCGATTCATTGTCGGCAGGATCCTCCGTCTGCAGCCGAGTGACAAGAGGATCTTTCTTCGTCCTCAGACCCGTCATCGTTGCCGTCGCTGAGCCCCCTCTTGCGTTTTCCTCCTAAGTTTATTTATGGTTTCTTGAAATCGTCCTCCAACAGGTCCAAACCGCGTTCCGGAGGACTGCATCGTTAGAAAGGAAGGGGACACATGAGCAGACCTACCAGCGAGGGAGCCAGACACATTCACTCCATCATGGCTTACCAGCTTGGTGACCATCCAGCCTTGTCCCAGCCTGGTGTGGTCTGGTGCCTGACAAAAGAGGTCGATGCTGAGCCTTCTCTAAGTCCAGTCTCCATCTCGTCAACGGACATAGTATCACATCAAACTTTTATAGCCACAAGCTCAAGCACTGGCAATTGATGTTGTGGGTATCGGCTGTGATCCCTTTCCAAACCAATGTGCCCACAAATCAGTACATACCATGATGTGTGGAACATAATTGTACATGTTAGCGACATCCGCCAGTCCGGCACATATAAAGCTGAGAACTGAGGCGGTCGCATCTGGTTCTGCATTCCAGGCGGAAAAAGGGTCGGAGACCAGATCTTACCAGGGCTATCAGGGTAGATGGACTGGCTGGGACAGGGTTTAGGTGCACAAGCTCATGATATCTTCCAAGAGTATTGACGATCCTCAGGACCAGAGCAATGAAGAGAAAGATGTTGCCGGATGTTTTGATCAAAAGGAATTCGGCTCACCACGTGATCTTGTGGGGGAGATATGTGCACGTGATCTTCGTTGCCAGGCATATTCTGACTAATATTAGGCGGGGTTAAGACTTCATTGCCGTCCGGAGGGCTTGTTTCCGACGGTAGCTGAGATGCCGATAGGACAAAAGCCGTTGAAGCTGGCCGAATTGATCGACATCCCCTCGTCTCTTGCCGAAAGACGCTTGGCTGGTGGAAGTGTTATAAAGGTCATGGCTTCTCTGTCTGCTTCCTCCTTTTGACTTGTACCCTGATCACAGATTTTAATAGGCGAAGGGTGCAATTATCTCCACCTTTGCATCCTTTCCAGATCTTCGTCGGGTGACACTCTTTTTGCAACAGCTCATTAGCTCATCCTCCAAGCACAATGGAGTACCAAAATCTCGGAAAATCGGGCCTCAAGGTCTCCAAGGTAATCCTGTGAGTTCATCCAGCCTGGGAGTGTCATTCACCTTCTGATTCCCATAGTGGAGCTATGTCATACGGCAGCTCACAATGGCAAGAGTGGGTGCTCAACGAAGACGAAGCGCTACCGTTGCTTGAGTATGCGTACAAGGCCGGCATCAGGACTTGGGACACGGCGGATGTATACTCCCATGGCAAATCCGAGGAGATCATCGGCAAAGCGATCAAGAAGTACAACATTCCAAGAGAGCGCCTTGTGATCCTGAGCAAATGCTATTTCGGTGTCACACCAGACACTCCCGACAAACCAATCAGTGCCAGTGCGATCAATGACGGCGACATGCTCAACCAGATCGGGCTCAGTCGAAAACATATTTTGGATGCGGTCGACAAGAGTGTTGCTCGTTTAGGCACTTATATCGACGTCCTCCAGATCCACCGGCTTGATCGTTCGACACCACGCGAAGAGATCATGCGCGCACTGAATGACGTCGTCGAGTCTGGAAAGGTTCGCTATATCGGTGCCTCAAGTATGGCGGCGTGGGAATTCCAGGAGCTGCAAAACATTGCAGACCGCCATGGATGGCACAAGTTTGTGTCGATGCAGAACTATTACAACTTACTTTACCGCGAAGAGGAGAACGAGATGATCCCGTACTGCAATCACACTGGTGTTGGACTGGTCCCTTGGTCCCCTGTGGCGCGCGGAGCATTAGCCCGTCCATGGACCAGCCGTGACAGCTTGCGAGAGAAGACAGACAACTTCCTCCAATTGTTGGTCCGCTCCAGAGATGACAAGGTCGACGAAGAGATTATCGGTCGGGTAGAGAAGGTTGCAAAGAAGCTGGGAAAGAGCATGGCTCAAATCGCAATTGCGTGGTGTCTCAGCAAGAAGGACGTATGTCCTATCGTGGGTCTGAACAAGAAGGAGAGAATCGATGAAGCCGTTGAGGCCGTCAAGATCAAGCTCAGCGAGGAAGATATCAAGTATCTAGAGGAGCCTTACCAACCCAAGAAGAGACAAGGCTATTGAACAACAGTACCTAACTCAGGATGGAAGGTTGATCCTTGACAAAAGTAGGTACGAGGTACTGAATGAATACGACAAGACATTGCCATCTTGAAGAACGAAGACCCCACGTCACTTTTATTAGCATTGCTGTCCACTAGTTTGTCGCATGGTGAGTTTGATGCAACTAGGTGACTGGTTTGTCTTATGTTTGTCTGCGCCTTTCTAGATCTGCTCTCTGCAGGTATTCACTCGCGGTTACTGTCGATCTCACTCTCACTGTCACTTTATTCACTTACGCACCCTAGACGGCTGCATCCGCACCACTGCAGTGCTTCTCACCAAGAGCTCCTCCGCTCAACGCTTCCTCCCGGCCACTCTACTTGTGTCTCCAGCCAACAAGGACCCTGCATGTAGGTACCCTTCTTGATCACGATGCTTGAGGTTCTTACTGCTAATCCTGGTACCATTATTAGTCCTCTCAAGTCGAGAAACAAGTACCCTTTGTGCTTCGACTGCAAACTCTCTACTGTCACCGTCTTGAAGTTCGCCTCCAGTCTCCCTTGTAAGCCTTTTTCTACTGCGGAGGTCCAGAATTGTCAATAACACGTGGAGATTTCTCAGTGTATCTCATCAAGATGGACAAGATGAATCCTACAGTGGACAAATTGTGCGACCACTTTCCGAAGATGGGCAGCGGTCACAAAATCGGGTCCAATCTTGTCCGTTCTCCTGCGATACGTGCTTCAACTATCGTGGGGGACATCTACATGGCCACACTAGCTAGGAACTTCCCACGGTGCACTATAGTGTCTGCAGAGCCTCCGGGACCTGAAGCTTTGACGGGTCGCATGGACAAATCAACTGAGAGTCACGACGACCCGATCTCTACGGACACCAAACGATCAGTAAGTATGCATCTGGGTGCTGAGAAGTCAAGATTGCGGCTGATAAGTCTTGTGAGCAGGGAAGATCATACTCATCCTCCGGTACCGTATCGGGTCAAAGCACGCTCCTAAGTACTACTCTGCCTACAGATGAGAACGCCACTGCTCAGACTGTCGTGTGGGGACCCATCATACACTTTCATGCAACCCATCGGCCTCTGAATTCCGCCAGCGAGGGATTGGGGGCTCACGAGAAGAGGAAAACCAACATAGACAACACGGTGGAGACTCCCATAGGTGATGAATCTGACACAGACAGCAATGCAGCTTCCATGGTTGAACCGCGTGAAGGTTCCTCAAGCCCGGCAGAAAGTGATGACTCTGAGAACGACACTGGAACCAGCTACAGCTCTGCCGCCGAGACTATTGCTACTGATCTCACTGCGCACATCATGAGGCCACCTCCACCCACCCCACCAGATTCAATCTTCCATCCAACTCTGTCTATGCCCACTCTCCCAACAATTCATCATATCTCGGATGCCACGCTGGTTGAGCAGTATCGCCTCCAACGAGCACATGATCCGGAGGCCTTTGACCAAGAAACCCAGTCCATCAAACGGGGATTGATTGCAGCCAAAATCGCCAGGGGTGGGAAAGATAAGCTGCTGAAGAATGAATACACAGTCGAACTTGCAAGCCGCGAGGATGCTGCAACAGCTGAAAGATGGGCCTCTGGAAGAGCTTCACGCAACACCTCCAGTAATCATACTTCAGCTAGTGCGTCGTCCGTCAAGGCAAATGTGGAACTGTGCGATGGAGAAGTCAATCTCACTACAACTGCAGCAGGAACAAGGGGAGAACTCAATGAAAGCCTGGAGACGGCCGAAACCTCGAAGGCCCCGAAGATACCCGAGACGGTCCCAAAGGACGAACATGACCCTGTCGAATCTATCATGTCGGAGGCAATGTCCCACGTTCTTCAGTCTCGCTTTAGAAGCTTCACGTATGATACCGCATACGACCATGGGCATACCTCACTTCGCCGTCAGCAGTGTGTGACGAAGGAAGTGAACGATGGGGTAGAAAGACACACAATCAAAACTTGGATTGAGCTCACAGACGTCTACGATACACCAAAGGTCAGTGCTCCCCAGCCCAAAGGGGACCAAACTGTGGCAGTCAACGACTATCCTACTCACGCCACCGACGCCGTCGAGCGAGGCACCACCGCATCAGAGCCGGAGCCCCTAACAGCAGAAGAGATCCAGAGTATCTACGAGGTCTTGCGTCGTCCTTGAACGGCAAAGACCCAATGAAGCTCAAACCGGGGAAGCGAGACCGTCAAGGCAATCATAATCAGTTTGCTGAGAAGTGCAGCCAAGCCCTGATGTAGATAGAGTACACCAAATGCATGCCTTCTGTTGAGAGTGCAAAGGCACACCCTGGCGAGGGAGCTACTCGTTCCACTTTCGAGCCGAGACAACAAAGGGGTCTGAGAACCATGACGCCCAACGATGTACCATCATGGACAAGGAGACAGGATTCCTGAGAGCTGGACGAACAAAAGGAGTGAAGATGATACACCCTAGCTAGCAGTCATGCGCTATGCTGAGAGAGAATCCAGATTAAGCATCATACTGGACAGGAATCGTTCTTTTCGTCACTACATCCGCGACTGCCTCTCTTTCTAAGCAGTTGTAATTTCTGGAACAAGAAAATGATACTGACTGAATTCGCCGAGTTAAAAGCATTGGTTGAGCAGCATAGGAGCACACCTTGGTCCTCAACATATCACCAAGATGCCCAACTCCACAAGGTAGATTGGTTGGCACCTCATGATGGCGCTTCAAACACTGACCGAGTGAGTCATCAAAGATATTTCAAACAAGAGCAAAGGATAGACAAGGAAAAGGCAAAAATCAATAGTACAGTACGACGAACACCGAATTGAACCAGCCGATTGACAAGTTGTGCATCAACGAGTGGAGCAGATTGTGTCGGGTCAATAAGTCACATAGCTGCAGGGATCAACGGAACCAGAGTATGGGGTTAGGAAGTGTATATGATCGACGAGGACCTAGATTGTGTCCAGTTGGTGGGAGCTAGCCTTGGCTCCAAGCAGAGCATGAGACTGGCAACTAGAGTTCAATCATAGGTATTTAGCCAGATTCCGCTGCTTGAGTAAGGTTTGACAGTGGAAGCTGTTTTGGGTCTGCACATCACAGCGTTCCAGCAGTTCCCCGGACCTATCTTCTCAGCGTATGATCTGGTATGTTTCGAATAGTAGGCAAAACCTGTCAGGCTTGATGCTTTGTCAGTTGCAGGGCAGCAAAACAATGGTGAAAGAGTCACTGGATAATGAAGGATTGTTGATACAAAGGCAATGGGCGTGATTACTACACTAACAATGAACAATGCGCAGGGGTCCCAAACTTGGTTATTGAGTTCACAGTGTTGGTTCTCTTTCGTCGTCTTCTTGACCTCTGCTTGCCTGACAGGGCATTTCTGTGGTTTTGCTGAGCCAATTAGGCACTGACCAAGCAGAGAGGACTTGCACAATGTCGCTGGATGCTCCAAACTCAATCTCTGAACCGAAGAGCCAAACCTTATTGCAGTCTCTTTAGGCATCTTATATGCCCCTTTTGGAAGTAAGCCGTATCAAGCTTCGGCGACCGTTGGTCCCGTAGTTGCTCCCGCTCAAAACTTGCTTTTCATGAATAAACTGCTATCATCTAGAGCTCGTACTCCTGACCCGATGTGCCAATGAGATGCTGTGACCTGTTTGCCTCTGATCTTGCTGAAGTCTGGTCCGTCTCATGCACAGAAGTGCACTTTCCCAATTCGTTCCTCCTACCGGTGCCGAAGGTCAGAGTGCACCCCTCTCCGCTCAGGGGACCAATACACAGTAACCAATGATCTCCGTAACCACTGCTGTGCTTTTTGCACTGCTAGACCAAGCATGGCACACCACGGGAAAGATTTTTGTCGTGACAAGGCTGTGGTGAAGCGCTACCAAAGTGAATGCGGAGCTCTATCCACGGAGGTCCTCGTGCCGGACGATCACAAGGTCCCGTGTAGAGGTGACAAGGTCCATATAACCTCAGATGGCTTCCTTTGATTCTGCTTTGACAAAAGCAAACCCGGAAAGCGATGCTGAAAGACAACAACGGAGACAAGCAATCATTGCTCTACTCCCGTGAGTGTAAGGCATTCAAACACAACGTGATTACACCCTTGAGGTCTCCTCAGGCGTTCGTCAGCGATTCAGCATCCCAAACCTTTGCATACTCTGGACTACGTACCAGCTGAATCACAGCCTCTACCAATCTCCAGATTCATTCTGAGTGACCGGACCTACATTCAGTTCAGAACCCCGTCGACTCAAAATCAAATGGACCGAACACTTACCGTCTCCGGCTGTGAGCCTCAAGCACGGAGCCAGTCATGGACGCCGACCATTGAGGCTACCGACTCCACGAAGGAGATGTACCACAGAACACCGAAAAGGCACAGTTGGCCCAAGATCAAACCTACTAGAGTTGATGATGACGAAGGAACACTTGAAGACGTCCATGCCCGCAGACGCGTTTCGTTGTGCAACAATATCATGCAGTTGAGTCTCAAGGTTGGCAAGGATTGCACCGACATCAACCACAGACTCGACCAGATGGAGACAGCAGCAAGACATCATGCCGCTGAGGCATTGTCGTCATTGACAAGAATGTCGGCTATCATTCGACACGAGCTCGACAACCTGAGGGCATCGGCACAGGGGTTTGAAATACCGAGACTGTCGAGTTTCTGGATCCAGTCGTGGAAGACCATATATGACATTCGCCAACGCATCCTGTTGGTCAACGACATCCTTTTCCAGCTGGACGCTGACAACAAGGTACCGCAGAAGACATGCGAGGATGATTATCATGAAGACCGTTTGGAAGGGTTCAGACTGCGGGCTTTTGTCAGCGAGGTTGAGCAAGCCGTGGTGTCGTACGCTCGTACCTCCAAGGCCCTGCGGCAAGTGAACCAATTTGCGCTGAAGCTGCCAAAATGCAAAGCGCCGTCCACGAAGCTTTAAGAGAAGATCTCGCGGGTATGTGCCTAGGATAGGTGGCGCAAGGCTGGCGAGAGAGGGTGACTAGTCTGTTAGAATCTCACTTCATCAACATAGCATGATGCCTGCCAATGTGCCCCAGCAAGGGCAACAAGATAGAATCAAAGTCCATGAGAAAGAGACAACATACTTTCCAGTATTTTCAATCCCACTTGTTACATGCGTTTTCTCAAGGCTCTGCGCATGTGAATAGTCAAACATTCACTGGCCCTTCCAATGATTGGCTGATGACTTATTCAGTCTTCACTGCAGGCGATAATTGGTGTTGATATATTGCATTCACGAATTTTGTTAACAATCACCAAGACCCCCAAGTGTGGGCTGAAACTGGCTCTCATGGTCTAGTCGTTTCGACGGCAGCTTTCTGAGACTCAGTCGGTTTCAGCGCCGGTTCGAACCCCCATGTTCGAACCCACTGGGCGATATTACTTACCGATCGATCGATCCTTGTTGTTCTAACTAACCCCGCGAACCCGGGTTAACACCAACCAGCGAGCCTACCCGTTTCGAGGGTCGAAGTATAAGAATCCTGCGAACCCGGATTGACGCCAACCAGCCATGAACGGGAGAACCCTGCGAACCCGGGTTTCACTTCCCACGACCCCCATATCAGAGGGGTTCGTGGAAAAAGTTTTTGGCACTTGAGAACTTTGTTTGGGTTGTTCGTTTGTGAAGTGAGCCAGACTCCTGGGCACCAGCTAAACATACCTAGGTATCTAGCATTCGCTCATATATTGTTTGGTAGAGGCTGGATTTATCTTCGCATATGATGCCTTTCATGAATCCGAATTTGATGTTTCCCCGTTGCAAGACAGTAAGTAGTCTTCTTCTCCGATATCATAGAGTTCGTATGGTGAACAGAATTCGTGACCTTCGCTGCATGATAAATAAATAGACTAGGTGTCATAGTCGTGCGGATATAGGCAGCCACAAATATGCTCATATCCTGGAACATAAGCCGCGACGGTGTCGGAGTCCAATGGCGTGTTGGGAAACACATGCAATTTCTCCGGTTGAGGTCCATCAAGCCGCACGGATGATTTGTCTACGCTATAGAGACCTTATTGGAATACCATGATTTTAGCGAGAGGAGAGCAGGAGTATCTATGCTGATACGACTGTTGATTGATGGACGTTCTTTTAAAGTCGTAGAACCGTTAGCCTCGGCTGCTTTTCCAATCTCCACGATCACCAATTTCCACTGCAGTGTGTGGAGAAGGAAGGCGTCATTCAAGTTCCCGCCTTGCGCTCGTCAAGATCTGGATACGGATCCACTACCGCTCAGCCTTATGGGCATGACAACAGTGTAAAATCCTCCCATAAGGACACTAATTCAGGCGAATTTGTCTGAATTTTCATCAGACGAAAGAAGAACCATCTGAGCATAGCAATTTGCATTCGAAATTGGGCTGACTGGTCCCGTAAGGGGGGCCGACGTGCACAAGTCAGAGGCAGCGCTTCAACTTGCCTTGTCCTAGATGCCTCTCCAAGAACCTTGAGTGTATGTCGTATGAAGAGATCGAAGGATAATCTGCAATTTCTATTGCTACATACCCGAGTCAGGCCTTGTCCAACAATGCTATACACAGACCGTCCTATTTGCCTTTTACGAAGGCCCACATCAAGCCATGAAAGGATAGCAACGGACCCGCCAACCATTTATTCCCTTGCCGTCTAGAGACCCTCTCAGGCGAAGGAACCCATCCGAGGCACCACCATGCCGGCAAGCAACGCCAATCGAATAGCTTCAAAAATAACAATAGATGTGCACATGCACCAGACGTGCTGTGCTCTACTAGAGCTCGACGCCTTTTCCTTCGCCAGCAGTCATCACATTCACCGATGCTTCAGTGGCATCTTTTTCGGGTGTCTGGAACCCGAATCGTTGTCCGGCGTTGGCGTTCATGGAGTCCTGCATCATCCGGGTGCCTTCTTCTGCGCCTTTCAGACTTGCTTGTTGGAAAGTTTGCAGCATCTCCTTCATTCGCTTCCGGAAGGAGAGTCGGTCCAGGAATAATTGCTCGCGGCCCTTCTCCAGATCTCTCCGCTCCGCCTGAACAATCTCTTCTATTTCGGCGAACTGGGCCATCTTGAGCTCAAACTTCTGCAAAGTCAGGTTGACGGCCGCTCCAACCAGTCGAGTCATCTCTCTTTCCTCGTGAGAGGCCAGAGCGCTCGCCCGAGCGGCGGTCGTGGCCATGGCCGTTGTGGCGATATCGCTGATGACATCGGCACCCTTGCCAGCCGCGGAGGGCTGTTCAGCCGTATTCTCATCCACTTCCATCGTGTCCTCGGACTTGACATTCTCCTTCTCCTTCTCTTTGGTGGCCTGCTCGACTCCACCCATGCCTTTCTCAAGCTGCTTCCGTAATTCTTTCTGCATCGCCGCAATAGATCGACCTGATGCAGCAGCAACGATACTAGGGTCCGCCATCTGAGCAAGAAAACTGATCACTGACATGACCGGGTTCTCCAGTTGGCTGATTGGAGTCCGGCCACTGAGAAGCCTCATCGCCGACCCATTCAATGCCGAATCCTCCAGGTATTGATCTTGAATGTCGAGCTGCAAGAATTTGAGAACACACTCTTCTCGCGTTCTTGTGCCGACGTGTTTTGCAATCTTATTCCAGTCATCATCAAAAGTCTCTAACGCTTCCAGGAGCAAGAGAATCTCCGAATCCGTCCAGGGTGCATCTTTGTCGGGAATGGGCGAATAGGCGGGCTCCTCCATTTTGACGAAGTCTGAAGAACGGTGGTTGCTGGGCATTCTTGCTTGGAAGTAACAGTTCGGACATAAATCGTACTTGGCCTCGGCGGTGTTTGTGCCGCCCGGGGCAGGATCGGACTTGGCATAGTGAAAACGACATCTGGTGCAGTCAATACCACAAGAATAGCAGTTGAAGGTCTTCATCGGTTCCTTTGCAGCCGATTCCATTGCTTTGATGGCGGCAGTAGCAGCGTCATCCGAGCTGGTGCCATTTGCCGTGGCACTGCTGCCGTTTGTCTGTTTGTCCGCTGGCTCTTCGCTCGTCTTAATCTCCTTCCCTTTCTCGTCATACACATTACGGCGGAGTTCCAGGTTCAAGTCTGCCTTAGCCGCTGGGGTGGCTGATTTTGCCCGATCGGTTGAAGGATGTGGCTTTCCAGGGGCGGCGAAAGTGCTCAGAGCGGGCTGGAATGGCTGAAGTCCTCTCGGTGTATCAGCTGTGACTCTAAAGTGTCCGGTAAACGGTGGTCCAATGTTGGCTGGACGAGTTTGTGGATCAACCTATCATTGTCAGCTCCGGAAAGCATCAAAGCCAAGCAAACGTTGCGCACCTGATAGTTGATCAGACCCCATTGCTCCAAGAAGGCATGTACTCGCATAATTGCGCACACGTCGCCAGCCAAATTTCTCCGACATGCGGTCACTGTGAGGTATTCGACTGGGTTCAAGCGGTAGGTGTTGATCATGAAATCTCGGTAGTCTTTGTATACGGCGGGTGTCTTGCTTCGATTCCGGCCATTGAAGAACTCTGGCAGTGACTTCTTTTCAATGGCGTGGATTGTCTGCATGTCAAACCAAGTGCTGTAGCTCGGGAGAATGATCTGGTGAGTCTGCGCTACTAGATGTGCGTTGGCCGCAGCTTCGAGATTCGACTTTGCCTGTGCCGATTGATTCTCTTCGGCATTGGTCGCGGCCGGTGTCCCTTGAGCGTCCTCCATATTGTCTTTCTCAGCATCTGCTTCTTCTGCTTTGGCATCGTCGTCTACTCCACCCATCTCGGCATCCTCTTGCTCGCCGCTTCCCTCGGTCTTTGCTGGTGGAGACTTGGGCGCGTCTGGAGGATTAGCAGATGTTGTATCATTTGCATTGCTTGGGGAGCCAGCTTCTATTGATATGTGTCAGTAGAGACATTTGCGACATTGAATTGGGATGTGCGAAGGTGAATCCTTGTACCACCACTGCGACGCGTACCTTGAGAAGTCGGCTCCGTAGCGTCTACAGTTGTGGGTTCGACCACTGCGGCGCCGGTGACTTCAGCCGCATCTGAGGTCTCCTGCTTCAAGTCGGTTGGCGTTGGTTGATTGTCGTCCATGGTTGAATGTTGATTAACCAACTTGACCAACAAGGCGTTTAAGGCCTAGGAAGGATTGCGAAAAGTCTGGACAGAGGCACTTCGATCGCGTCAGTGACCAGATGTGAAAAACGGTGCCAGGATCGATGGGATGGTGTGCGGCGTGAAGACTTGTCGCGGCGACGATGTGGCTTGCCCTGGACACAAAGACCTTGATGCCCTGTTGGTAGTCGCGAAACTGCGCGGGCGAGACACGACTTTCCAAAAGTCGGCGGTGCCAAGATCTGAGTCAGGTGACGCGGAGAATATATCCGATTGGTGCCGTCTGTCCTTCATTAGGTATGCTCGGCCACGCTCCAGACTACACATCTCTCACCTACTAGGTACCTAAGTACCTAATCCCTCATACGCATCGAGTTGGTTACAGACGGCGCAGGGCGCACAAGTTGAACCGCTCTGCCATAGATGCTACAATTGCACCTCTTCTGCCGAATGTCACCTTCTAGATGGGGATAGCGCTGGTACGACATCACACCAAACATTCGATTGATTGTGATCTGGGCAATGTATACAACTGCCCCTAGTATCGGTACAACCACTTTGCTTTCTCGCAAATGCATTGAAGGTAACTGCTCCAGAGACCCCTGGCTCAACTCCCAGCTTCGGTAATTGCAATGTTCATGATCTTTGTGCTTGATGGGTTCTTGATTTCATGACCTTGACAGCTTGGTCCTATTATGTTCAATAGCTATTTTCTTGGATGTTCACCATACAGACAGAAGCGGTATTCCTGGAAAGCCAGCACGGCACAGACAGGAAGGATGAATACCGCCTACCTATCTCAGTTGGTTGGGATGAAGTCGTCTACGGGGTCGAACCCATCCGGGACCGGTACCTGTTCTCTTTATATGCGCCTTCGTGCGCGTGTTCCAGAGTGTTAAAAGAGCACACCTGCATACAGGGACTCGCACAGCAGTTTCGAACGACCGAACTTTAAGGGCGAGCTCCGCCAACATAAACGCAGCATTCATCGAGCGCGCTGACCTCGGAGTCTGGTTGTATGTCGGCATTCCTCGACAATGGGTGGCAGGGCATTACAACCCTCCAACCTTATTATGCGGCGGCCGAGGCCACGGAAGGCGCCTGGATTGCCCAGGCGAGATTGGGCGACTGGCGAGAGAGCCAGTGCATGGGTTTGAGGGTAAACTTGGAGCTCCACTGCCCCAACGTTGCACGTATGTTAGCATGTCATGCGGTCGTATTTTGTCAGGCACAATGACATGACAATGTACCGGAGAGAATGATGCTCAATGTCGGGAATCGAAGCAACACCTCTATGCAAATGCGGCGTTGCACGCGCGACCATGCGCAGGATTGCAGACTTGGTATGCTGCAAAGTATGTGCAACCCGGATGTTTCAACTGGATGCTTGCGATGGAGTCTCAAGGGCTTGTGATAGCCCCGCGTTCCAGGCCCTGCAAGCAGATATCAGGAGTGCCCAGGAGTGCCACGCGGCGGATGACAACTTTGCATCATCTTTGAAAGCCGAGCAACCGTGGCACCTTGGGTCCCAGGGTCCTGGCGATCAGGATATGTCCTTGAATTTGACGGTTTTGTGGCAAGTCTCCCCATCTTCATGCTCATGAAATCTGCAGGAATTTCCTTCGGTAGGGTCATCGAATAGTGATCCACCAGTGCCTGCTTTGATAGCATTGATCACGTCAATGGCGAAGTCTGGCGATGCAGCGAAGCAGTCCCTATACGACGACGCATCCCTCTCGGAACCCGGGTCCATTATTTGTCGGGCGGCAATCTTACTCACCAGCCTCCGAAACGGTGAGGAAGGTCGGGTCTTTTCGTAAATGGGTCTCATCTCTTCTGGTCCAGGAACCAATCCAGCCTCATGGCAGCCTCGGCGGAACTGATCAATAGCCAGGTTTTTCAGCTCTTGCAGCCCAATACTTTCGCACAGAAGATATAGCTTTTGACATGTAAATGCATAGTCCCACTTGACGTCCTTGGGCATCCAGGACACGTCGTCTATCTTGCCCTGATAGAGCCACTTGACCAGCAACTCGAAAGCTCCTGGATCCTCGTCGCGAAGCTCCAGTTTCCCGTCCTTTATCTTCTTGTTCTCGCCATTGATGGCGAAGGTCTCATCGAAGAAGCGCGCATGATGGATCAGCAAGTTTTGGTGTAGCGACCACCGCCGGCCCTCGGGCCCTACGAAGATATCCAACACCGGTCCGGACAGTAACCTTTTGCGCGCATCGTCAGCGCAACCCGTGCATCGATCCAGCTTGAACGATTCTCGGAAGCAAAGAGCGGGCAGTTGGACTTACTCCGCAAATGTTCTCGCGGAGGCGTCTGCTATGCTCTCCTTGGGCATTTCAGATTGGTAGGAAGCGGTGGATGGAGGCGTCGGGGGGTGGATTATTTGTCGAATCGGCGAGCGCAAGAGGTCCATTCGAAGAATATAAGATCAAACGATCGAGGCACTCGGAGGAATGTCTCATGCGACATCGCCGGATGTAGGACGGTTGCTCAAACGAACTGCGCTGTGCTGGTCACTCGGACTTCAGTGAAGACGCTCGGACCACATGTGACGAGAACAGCCGAAAGAGGGCATACGGTGAAGGTTTCATGCTAGACGCGCAGCGGTGTCAGAGACGCGATCTGTGGGGAAGCGCGTCGCGTTTGACCCGACGGGTTAATTGACACAACAGGCAATGCTCCATGGCGTCGTTTGGAAAAGACTCTCCTCCTGCGCCGAAATTCACATCCTCGCGAACAAGTCAGCCGTGCTTGTTGATCCTTCGAGTCCGAAATTCACCGATCTCGAAAGCCTATATGTGCAGCGCGAATATCATATCAAAACGACCTCCGACAATACTATGCCCACGAACTTGACAGACGAGAACCTTTCGCTGGGCCTGGAGGAATCTGTACCGTCTCTTTGCAGCACCTCGTCAGACGAAATGCCTTTCTCATCCTCTCCTGTACTCTATCCAGCAAGCTCTTCCCCTCCGCCTGCGACCCCACTTAAGAAGAAGCGGAGGCTATTCCAGTCATTCCCGACGGAGCATCAGCCAAAAAGACCCAGAATAGTTGGAGGGTTTTTGGAGGACAGCGGGGATGAAGGGAGTGAAGAACCCAGGGAGACGTTAAAAGATCTTGGCCAGCTCCAAACTTCTGCCGAACGAGAGTCAATCTTGCCCGCAATCCCCGAGGCCTCCGACAGTACACCAGATGCGAGACACAACACCGAGCAAGCACAACGACAGGCACCTTCTAGTCCGACGCTGCCAGCCTTACCTCGACCACTCTTCCGGAGACTTGCGCCCAAGACAATAAGTATTCACACGAGTTCCGGTTCATCACTGAGCGTCCCACTAAGAACAAAGTCGGAGGCTCTGTCTTATGAGCAAATCATTGCACAACGGTCAACATCCTTGCACGGGCGCGCAAAGAAGTCATACTATGGAATTGACATACACAAACTTATGGACGATGCAAAGGCGCAACACCAGCTCCAAGATTTTGAGAAGCAGAGAAAAGCGGAGGAACAAACTTCCGAGTCTCTACTCCGGGAATCGAAGGTTATCGCAAGCGCCGGTTCCAGCTCGACCCAACACCAAATGTGGACGGAGAAATACCGAGCTAAAAAGTTCACTGAACTCGTGGGCGACGACCGCACGCATCGGACTATACTTAGATGGCTCAAATCCTGGGATGATCTTGTTTTTCCGGGCAGCTCAAAGCCGAAATCAGTGCGGATCTTCGATGACAGAGAACCGACCGAACAACAGCACAAGAAAATTCTGCTTTTAACAGGACCCCCCGGGCTTGGAAAGACAACTCTCGCGCATGTATGCGCCAGGCAAGCTGGCTACGAAGTCCTCGAAATCAACGCAAGCGACGATCGAAGCCGGGATGTTGTCAAGGGAAGAATTAAAGACGCCCTTGCCACGGAGACGGTGCGCGGCATCAAAGAGCACGGCAAAGCCAGAAAGAGCGGACGTCCTGTGTGCGTGGTAGTCGACGAAGTCGATGGTGTCACTACTGGCTCAGGCGGGAGTGGAGGCGAAGGAGGTTTCATCAAGGCATTGATCGATCTCGTTCAGCTAGACCAGAGAAACTCGCTGCCCGGAGGTCAGGGCCAGGACCAATCCCGCAAGAGAAAGGGCGACAGATTCAGAATGCTACGGCCCTTAATCTTGGTGTGCAATGATGTGTATGCGCCGTCACTCCGACCATTGCGAACAAGCTCCTTTGCTGAGATTATCCATGTTCGGAAAGCCCCGATCGAAAAGGTCATTGTCAGAATGAAGACAATTTTCGAGAAGGAATCCATTGCCTGTGACAACGACGCTGTGCGTCGACTTTGCGAGAATGCCTGGGGGCTAGCCATGCGCAAACAGAGAGGTCCAGGCTCTCGAGGCTCCGGAGAAGGTGACATTCGAGGTGTCCTGGTGCAGGCGGAGTGGATTGCACATAAACTGCGGGCACGTGGAAACGTACCCCGGTTAACCAAGCAATGGCTCGAGCCTCAGCTTGAAAATGCCCAGGCGTCACAGGCAACCGGACGTGGTGGAGTCCGAGAAGTCGTTGAGCGAGTCTTTCTCGAAGGAGCCGGGCTACCTGACCTACCCACAACTCTCTCTGCCGACGATGCAAGGCTTGTGGCCGATGCTAGAAGCATTTCAGTCGGAGTTTCGGACCTCAAGAAGCGGGCAGCTATCAAAGCTCTAAGGGAGATGATCGATACGCTGGGGGAACATGATCGAGTGGTCACCGAATGCTTCTCGGTGTATCCCTCACAGGCATATCAGGATGATGTACAGCTCTCGAAACCTAATGCGGGTTACGATTGGCTTCACTTCCATGACTGCCTGTCAAGCCGAGTATTCTCAGGACAAGAATGGGAACTGACACCGTACCTGAGCACAAGTGCTTGTGGCTTCCACCATCTCTTTGCATCGGTCGACAAAGGTACAACTTCATGGAATGAGGAAAAGCCCGAAGAGCAAGATGTCGAGATGCATCCCTTCAGTGGTCCGAGAGCCGATTTCACTGCTTATGAGGCAGAGAAGCAATCTCGATCTGTGCTTACTGAACTGCAATCAAACTTCTCGGGGCCCCTGCTTAGAATGTTCAGCACTGTTGACTCAATAGCCACAGAGCTCATCCCAAACGTGGGCAAAATGCTGGCGCCAGATGTCAAGCCTGTGGTTATCGGTGGATCTGGCGGATCTGCCAGTATGGCCAGTGTTAGAAAAGATACCGAGAAGGTATGCATCAAACATGCAGTCCGGACGATGATGGCCCTTGATATCTCCTTCGAAAAGGTCCGCATCGAGATCGAGGGCGGAGGCGCTCATTCGAATGGTGGTTATGCATACAGGATGGAGCCGTGAGTATAGTTGTGCTTCTTTGGTCATGATTTGCCACTAACGAAGTGTACAGTCCTCTGGATACATTGCTCAGCTTTCACTTCGATAAAGGCACAAAGCCAACAGTCCCTATCCGATACTCTGTTCGGCAGGTTCTTGACCAAGAGCTCAAGAAGGAGAGACTCTTGCAAAATTCGCTCATTAGACATGCTCGATCGGGTATGTTGGACGTCAGAAAAGGTGTGGACGATGACGGAAATAAAGAGAACGAGGGACCCTTCGAAAAGAAGAAGCAGGCACTCTCAAAGTATGCCGGGTTGAAGCGGGATTTCTTTGGTCGAATCATCAATGATGCTCGACCAACGTCTGCGGGCAAGGGTTCAGCGGTACAGATGGGAAAGGAACCTACCGACCACGAAGGCAGAGTGTGGGTGTCCTTCCACGAAGGATTTTCCAACGCTGTTCGAAGACCCATTACTCTGAAAGAGCTGATAGAAGGGTTCTAAGGCAGATACCGCCCATTAGCTGACCTTTTCTGTGGTAGTAGCTGCTGCACATATGATCAACTATGGAGCTATTTCCATCAGAAGTGGTGCATCGATAAGCAGGAGCTTGATTGAGGAGATGTGATGGCCAGAAGCAAAGTGTTCTACTATTGCGGCTTGTCACGTCACCCTTCAAATCTGGCCAAAAGCGTCTGTCTTACTGTCCCTGAGCACGTATCAAGTTCTGCGCCAACAACGATCATTTATCATTCGTAATGCTTGCGTTCTCCCTGATTCGCATCCCGAACCAACCCAAGAAGTATTTCCTCGGATAGTGTCTGCACCCAATGTTCCCGCAATGGTCTCCGACTTGGACCATCTTACGGCGAGTGATACGGAGATCATAAATTGGTGCCGCGGCTACGAACAGAATCGACTGCAGGCAGATCGTCTAATGGGTCCACACACCTCGAACGTCGTTCTTCGGCTCAATGACCACGCCGTTGTCAAATTCGGGCCAAACGTGCGCCCGTCCGAGGCGGCCAACCAAAGACTGGCATACCAGCTCCTCAACGGTAACTCGTTTCTTGTCCCCGCAGTATATCACTACTTCCAGGACACCAGCGTTCCAAAAGAGCATTGGCTTGGACGACCTGGTTACCTCGTTATGGAGTATTTGCAAGGAACCCTGCTCTCCGAGATTGCACCCGATGAACTTCCACGCCCCTGCGGAACGCTTGCACGAGCTATCAAAGCAATGGGGTTGACTACAAGTGCTCGGCCTGGGCCAGCAGATGGCGCCGAACCACGCGGCAATATCTGGGCCCCCGACTATCGCGCATGTGTGACATTCCATACCGTTGATGATGTGGAAACCTGGTTCAACCGGGCCTTGGTCCGCGATGGCACGAAAGTTCGGACGATACCCGCGTGGACAACAGCAGCTTACTCAGGACCCGACTGCCACCACCAGGCCGCAACTGCTGCCATTATAGCCGAGGGAGTGCATGATCACGATCGAGGCGACAGCATAGGGCCGCATTGCCACTGCCTGGGCGGTGCGACTGTTCTTTCCCCCCTGGGTTGGAGTCTCCAGGGCTTGATTCTTCTTCCTATCATCCACCGCCCTCCTTTTTCGTGAGTACCTTGCGTGCGATGCTCACCAAATCTTCATTTTTCAAGGGGTCCTTGTCGAAGCCATTTACGACCTGATCCAGCATCGCAGCGGCAAGCTCTTCCACCCCTATGCTTGGTATAGAGATGGTATATTAGAGCAGAGTTGCCCTCAGCCACGCCAAGATATTGCCAGGTGGCAGGATGAGGCCGGGTTTGGCCACACTAGCCTCCATATCGCCCTTGTGTGCAGAAGCAAAAGCAAGAACCTGATTTTCGGTTTCACCCTGTTGTCAAGATCAGCAAGAAAGATGCCAGACTGTTGGCGTTGGCCACCCACGCGCATAAGAGAGTACTGAGCCATGAAACGAGGCTTTTTGGTCTGGTCACGCTCGGCAGCCACGCCACTGATGTACAAGAAGCGAAACGGTGACGGCTTGTCACCCGCGCGCGCGTGGAAGATGGTTTCGAGGCCGGTCATGGTGTAGTCATGGCACACACGTTTGACCTCCTCCCAAGGAAAGCTGCGCGACTTGGAGGGAGTGATGGCCAGGGTCCTGAAATAGGGGGAATCAACCGCTATTCGTCACTCTCAATATGGAAGGCGGAGCCCGCTCACCAGATACAAGCATCTGCACCAGCCACTTGCCTTTTCACATCCTCAGAATACTGGTCGAGGTCGTCCACAACAACACTGCGCAGCTTTGAGGCATCTGCATCAGGAGGCAAATTGCCCGGCGCAGAGATGCGACGACGGGCGAGTGCGACTACTGTTGTTATGCTTGGATTATTCAAGCTTTGGCGAATGACTTCTGTGGCAACGAAGCCACTGGCGCCGGAAACAATGAGTTTCATGTCTCAGTAGCATGTACCGTCCAGGATCACTAACTCAGAAATAACGTTGAGGTTGAAGAAGCTCTGTACAATGTAGAAGGGCATAATTTGACATGGACTGCGGCATATTGGAGGCCTGACCTACAGTACCAAGGGCCTGCCGACGAACACATGCGGTTCTGCCTTGCAAGCGCTTTTATGCAGTAGTCGAGTTCAAGTTCTGGTAGTAGTAGACATTATGTTGGAATTAAGATTTAAAAGCCGAGATCGCCTGCTTTGGGAGGAAGACGGAAATCGGATGGATTGGGAATCTCGCAGGGTTAAGTGGCCGGCCTTGCCGGTAGGTCGTGGCTTTAAAAGCGGCGTTGTTTATGTCATGGCGCACGTGATCTCCTAGCAACTTTCGCATTGAGTTGCTGTCGATGCCAAGCCATGACTGAAGCTCTGGCGCTGCAGTGGTACCACCTCGTTGAGTCTCGAGTTGAAGAACGTCTCGCAGCTAGGTATTCTACATTTCTCTCCACTCAACCCAGGTCAAAATGTCCTTCCAACGTGTTGGTCTGCGCTTCGCGCAGCAGCTGCGCTCTCCTGCCTTCCGACCCGCCCTTCGATCGACCCTTCAGCGACGATTCGCCAGCGCGCCCGCAGCTCCTGGGCAAGGATCCAGCAAGTTGGTCGGAACCGCCGACAATGCGTTCAACCGCGAGAGAGCTGCTGTGAAAGCCCATGCTGCTGCTACCAGTGGTAAGTCTTCGTGATGTGAACCGAAGTAGGGAGGAGGGACAAGAGCTGACTATAACATAGATCTCTGGCGCAAACTCTCAATCTAGTATGACCACCCGAATATGGGATTAATACACAATGAAGAAACCCTTGATCTGACAACCTTGCAGCGTCGTCATCCCTTGCCTCATCCTCGGAGGAATCAACGCTTGGAACTTGTGGAACGAACATTGGGAGCATTGGGAGCATCTGCCTCCTCTGGAGGAACGAGTCGAATACCCATACCAAAACCTCCGGACGAAGAACTTCTTCTTCGGCGACGGTGACAAGGTCAGCGCTTCCTGTGCAGTACGATTCTTGACCACAAAACCTGGACTAACTAGGTCTCTAGACTCTCTTCTGGAACGACAAGGTCAACTACCACAAGAAAGACAAGCAAACTTAAAAATATATTACACCGTGAGGTTGGAATGCTACTGGTGGGCCGGTGAGCTTGCCAATGTACATATGCAAAGAAGAAGAGAACAGGACAACACCACGGCTATTATCGACGTGGATGCCTTGAGCAAATTCATAACCTCATACTGTCATTTTGTGGTCGATAACTGTGTCATGCATTCCGAGAATTCTTGCTTTGTCCTACACTCGCTCGGCCTCATGTTGCCGCTGCAACTCAAGGTACTGCGTTGCAGTATCGTTTCCGAGCACCAAATCACCCCTCCAGTGCAGCACTGTGGCTTTCTTCTTGAGCATTTCCAACTGACCTTTCAGATCCTCGAGGTATCTGAACTGCATGTAGGCGTGCTCGTTGTTCTCCATGGCCTTGTTTATGAACTCTTTCTGTTTTGTGGGTTTATTCTCTTCCAACCCAGCTAGGCCCATGAACGTATCGGCCAGAGTCGAATATGCTCGAGCAGTAAGAGCACAATCTTGATACTTCAATACCGGTGGCATGATAGCATCAAGCATATCTGCCGCGGCTGCGAACTCTCTCGCCTCGTTCAGAAGTGCGGCGAGGAGGACTATCGATTCCCACAGCGAAGGCAAGATCCTGCCACGGTGTGCGATTTGCGCTGCTTTGATGAGGAGGGAGAACCCTTTCAGTGGATGTCCGCAATCGGCTAGGATCCTGGCTTTCAAGTTCAGCAGCCGGGTCTGCACGGCGATGTCGCTGATTTCGTTGTACGCTCGGCGCGCCAATGCCTCGACATTTTTGAGCGCAGTGTTGTAATTTCCCAACCGCATCGAAAGCTCGATTTCCAAGAGAGACAAGGAGAAGCCGATTTCCGCATCCGGCAGGCCCTGACCTCTCAGTCGATCGAGTAGATGTTCCGCAGCTTGGAGGTCGTCCCGGTGCAACAACCTGCGGCTCTTCAGCAGGCCGGAGTAGAAGTCGAGATAGTTCTGGAACTTTGTCACCCGCAGCACGTGGTCGGGAATGCTATTGAGGACCTCGTCCGCGTCACGATACCGGCCTCGTTGGACCAGTAGACCAGCGGTCCTGCAATTGCACTTGAGGATGTCTTCGATCGGTGCATCCTTGACATGACACTGCAGAAAGGCCTGTCCGCACAACCCGGCCACGTGAGTAATGCCAACCCTGCTATATGTTGCGCTTTTCATCAGCAGAGTTGGCCCTGTGATGCTCTGCGTTGACCGGATCGTGTTCAGATGGGAAGCCTTTGCGATGTTCTCGAAGACAACGGCAAGGCTGTCGCCATACTGCAGACCGAGTTTCGCCTCGCTCAGCAGCGTTGTGCTGAGTAGGCTCCACATTTCCGCATCCTTCGCTCTTGATTTCAAGAACACCAGTCCTTCAACCTCATTTCCCAGGATTCCATTGCCTCCCTTAGCATTCACCTCGCTCGGGAACGACCTGCCAAAGTGATAGATCCAGCTCATGCAGAAGTTCAAGCAGGTCACGTCCCGATTCTCACGCGCCGTTGCGATTGCTTCTTGCATGGCTGGTAGTGCTTCGGCATAACAGCCAAAATCGGCCTGCAGAATTGCAAGGTTGAGCAGAGCGTATTGGTAGAAAGCCCGCTCTCGGCTCTGCATGGCATAGTCGAAATATCTGTGCAAGTTGTCGAATGCCGAGAAATAATCTCCGGCTCGCCAGGAATCAAGGAACTTCAGATAGTGACCGAGTTTGGGAATGACGGTACCTGCTTTGGTCATTTGCCGCAGTCTCGACTTCATACTGTCTGGCAACCTGCCTCCCAGTCTTTGGAGTTCCGAGACTTGAAACTCCATCAGCTTCTCGACATCGTACAGGCTGAAAGCGCCGTGCGTGTTTCGCTCATCTTCGATGAGGCTGCCGTACATCAGTTGTGCCAGGGGATGTGACGTATCGATGCGAAGGCTGGCTAGGTTGGCATCGAGCGCGCCCCTTCCATCGAATCCGTTCTTTTTTTCGTAGGCTTGCCAAGTGGGAAACCTGTATGAAAGGAAATCCTGCCATAGAGCGATGCTGTCTTGGAACTGTAGTCTGGTATATTCCAGATAGCAACGACGAACGAAAGCACCCAACGGAGAAGTTCGGAGAATGCGGCCATGAAGTTCACCTGAGTCTTCTCCCGTCTCTCGCTCTCGAAGGATCTGTTCCCTGGTCTTGGTAAGTAGACAGGGAAGATTGGTGATGAATGCCTCAAAGACGTGGAAACAATCGATGGTCCAGAGTCGCTTCAAGAGAAGGTCGTACAATGACCGTCCCGGCCTCGCGGAGGGATGCGAAGAAAGTGTTGATTCAAAGACTGATATCGGCAGTGCATGTTCGTACTCGGTATTTGTCTCTGTTTCATTGTATGTTTTGTTCCCCGGAATGGTTTGACTAGCAAGGAAAGATAGAACCACTTTTGCCTCACTTGTAGGGACTACGTCTTCGGCGTAGAGTAGAGCCACAACCAGCAGGGTTACTTTCGCTGGCGTCAAGTACCGACTCATTTTGGGGCGACCATGGACGATCAACACGCGATCGAATCAAGTGTATTGCGGAGTATCTGATTGTGCATGGCTGATCAGTCTCCCTGTTCAATTTCCGTTTGGATGGTGGCCATCTGTTTTCTCGTCGAACGATTGAAGTCGACGCGGTGAGACTTTGGGAACTTGGTAGTACGCGCTCAGTGTCAGGTCCGAATGTGATTGGTCTACATTAGGTAAGTAAGGGACAAGACTGAAATTGCTGTCAAGTGTTGCCGCTTTAAAGGACCAGCCCCCACGCCTCACTGCCACACCACAACATGCCGGGACTTCTACTACCTCACGCCTGTCAGTCACGCCAGCATGAGAACAATCCCCCTAGTTTTAGCACTGGAGGTATGTACGTGGTACATACAGCACATGTAAGTAACCCGGTGGAGTCTCGATGCGGTCCAGATACCTTTCTGGGTCGAATTCTGCGCGTCCGTCGAGCATCAACAGCTCTCAGCAGCCGAAGCGAAGATGCCCCCACCCACGTCTATCCCAAACAGGATAGGTATACGTTCTGGCCTCTGGTCTTTTATCCCTCTAGCTTCGGCCGCAACCATGGGTTTCAGCTGCGAAAATCATGGAGATGGCGCTCCCTGTCTCAGATCTTCCATGTAGATCAAGTCCAAAGCCCATGCACTGTTGCAAGTACTAATAGGTGAGTCGCACCCTCATTATCTGCACGATGACAAGTTCTCGGTGGGAAGGGCATTCGCGTGCCAGCAATTCTCATGGAGTCCAAAGTCGAGGCCTCTGCGCCCAAGGTCACTGTCACAGCCTTGGAGGAATCTAATTCTGATTCTTCATCTATCGAGAATGGATTCCAGCCACCCGAGCGGAGAGTCGTGCAAGCAAATCTGGCGATCTTGGCCGGCGTGCTTCTTCCTTGTATCCCTATTGTTGCCGTCTCCGCGGCTCTCCTTGGGATTCTCTTCTACCATCGTGTCGACCTGAACCCGGGCCATGCAGAGCTCCATATACCGACAAATGAAGTGGACAAGAACATCACCAACTGGATCACCTTGATTCGGAAGCAGGGCGGCGAGTGGGCATACTATGTCGAGTACAACCCTTCGACCCTCACGACCATCGCCTCGTGGACCAGCCGAGTTCTTCCATGGTGTGCATCCTCCATCATGGCCCTGGTCGCATTCTATGCGGCTAGGCACATCGTCTTGAAGAGCCACAGAGGCAACGGGTCTGATCTGCCTAACCCGCAACAGCTCACAATCCTCATCAACGTCCTGGGTGGATCCAGCTGGGGCCCTATCAAAGACACGGTGTTGCATCGCTATCGCAGTCGAGAGCGATTGGTATCGCCGCTGCCGTTATCAACTCTGGCCCTTTTCGCCATCACTCTTTTGGGGTCAGTTATTCCTTACATGCCTCTACCTGCACACTGGCAGCTAACACCACACACAGGCTCATCATACCAATCCTTGATAGCTGGTTCGGAATCGCTACAACCGCACCCATTGTAACGCAACTCTACCCTCGAGACGCTCAGTTGTCCTTCGGGAGACAGTTGTCCAGCTCCGACTCCGGCTCATTCTGTCAAGGCAATCCCCGGGGAACGAATGACTGCATACGCCAAAACACCTTCTGGCCTTGTAACGTTTGGAACTACGAGTGCTACCCCGTTGCCAGCTTGCTTGGGGTTGGTGACGCACCCAAGATTACCCAGGACGCCTCATCAAACCACAAGGCGTGGAATTACACCGATGCCTCTGGAACCAATTACTACTACTTGGGCAGTCCGAACCAGGATGCACTGGTCGACTTCAAGGCTCACACTTTCGCCACCAGTACGCAATGTGTCCCCATCACACACAAGTGTTACAAATACTCGCGCGATGACAACAGTAACTTTGAAGACGCTGGAATCTTCAACTGCACTGACGAATTCCATGGCTCGCTGTATAGCAACATCCTTCGTGACAGTCCGGAAAAGCAGGTTTCTCCTAACATCGGCGTCGCGTTTGCCCAAAATCCCGAACTGACCGTCGTGGGGGACGTGGTCAACGGGCCTTCCGCCGATGATGTGGCCTTGCGGGCGCAATACACGTTCCCTAAGCTCTATACAACGAATCCTTTGTACTTCGGCGCTTGGGCTATCGGCTACCCGCAAGCCGACCCCGTCAATACCCTTGCCAGTCCATTCGCCAGCGACGACAAGGGTATTGCCTGGGCAGCCGACCTTGACCCAGGCAATGGCGCCACGTGGCAACTCAATTGTTCAACGACCGTCTACGATGTCAGCTACACGTGGATCGATGGTGCCGTGCACACGTTCAACAAAACCAAGTCTACGACCGACATGGCCGCTCTGCTAAGCGCACCATTCGCGTACGCCGCGAATCTCAGCGCCATACCGCTGGCGCTGTCGTCAGTCGCTCAGACTGCGTCGGTGCTCAACACCTCGGTCGGCCTCGCGAACGCCTTTGCTGACGAGATGAGCAAGACCATGCTGGCGTATGCCATCGGCGCCATGGAGCCCAAGCTCAACCTGCTCGAGCAGGGCCGCAACTCGACGCTGCACGTTGCCCGCGTCCCAATAGTACCGCTGTACCTGCTACTGGCGACGAAAGCCGTCTTTGTCGTGGTCGTGCTAGTACTCGCCGTTGGTGCGTATTGCTTCAGCCACCCCAGCGAGACCGAGGCCGTGCGGTCCGCACTGAGTGCAAAGGGCCTGGCCGCCGCGCACTTCCAGTCCCCAGATCTAATGCAGTCCAACGTGGTCAAGGAGGTCCAAAGCCGGTTGGAGGCCGTGAGAGGAGCTGAACCGCCGCAGCAACCACCAACCCCACACGAAAAGCATGAAGCCGCGCAGCAAGACCTCGACGATGACATGTCTTCTCGGCCCAAACTACAGCACGCCGCGACGGCACCCGTCCAAGGCAACTTGCCCGCGCGCGAGGCCCGAGTCGGCCTGCTTCCGGCGGCAGATGGATCGTGGCAGTTTGTCATGGTGGCTAATGGTGTGTGGAATAGCATCAAGCCCATCGTCAAAAGCATCGTGGTCTCTGATGCGGCCGCCGGAGGCTTGGGTGATGTGGGCAAGGTCATCACTGCGTGGAAATGAAAAGATACATGTGTCGGCAAATAATATAGTACATGGTATATAGTAACGCCCTAGATGAATGAATGCATGATGACTTGTTTGTATCTGAACTGCATAAGGCCATCATATTTGTCGAATAAGGTAACGTAGTCCCATCCTCACCTTGCACCAGTTGGTTGGATACGTATAAGGCGGCGTCACCACATATCCGAATCGGGAGTGTGCTAGCCGTAGCCGCGGGCGCTAGGCGGCCACTTCCGACGACTCTGGCCGGCGGTGCATGGCCATAAGTTTGGGGTTGGAGAATTGATATGCGGACAAGTGACGACAGCCTTGAAGCGGGAGCAGAGCAGAAGTGCAGAGCAATGCGCAAACCGTTCTCTCTCAATTAGCATCTGTCTGACTCGAAAAAAGCTTCAATGATGTTCATGCCGACGGTGAGGCGCTGTGCGCCTGGTTTCTGGAAGAAGACGACTCAAGAAGTCCAGCGAGCCACCAAATTCGGTATGTTGTGATCAGTGAGGACGATGGTAATCCGGCGTAGTGCCAGGATGCGATGCCAGAGCGGACAGAGTACTGACCATTGGTGTTACTGCTGCAGCCCTCAATCTAGAAGGCCTCCAGTTACCGACCACGCCATACCCTATCTTCGACTTTGCCGACCCAGAAACCATTACGACCTTGAAGTCCATGACCGACCAGTCGGTGGGCGGTTTCTCGACAGCAGAACTCACGCAAAAGCCGGCCGACTCCTCTTCAAATCCTCCGATCCCAGCACATCTTTTATTTCACGGCAACATCTCCACAAAACTACCGGCGAATCGACCGGACGTGCAGCGGACCGGCTACGCAGCCTGGCGGAACCAGGACCGAGGGCGCACAATCTTCGGCGAGCTGTTCTGGAATGTGGACCCGTACATGTACCTGGCTTTGCGGGTGAAGAGTGATGGCAGAAAATACGTGGTGAACATCCAAACCGATTCCATCGTTGAGTCAGACCTACATCAACACCGATTGTACACCAGATATCACAAGGGCACGGAAGGACCTGAGGACCCTGGTCAGTGGGAGACGGTTTGGATCCGATTACATGAGTTCGTGAGGACAAACCACGGTATTGTCACCGAGCCACAATCGGAAATGCTGCGTCAGAAGGTGAAGAGTGTTGGAATCGGCTTGCTTGACAGGCAACCAGGACCGTTTGAACTGGGCGTCGCTGCAGTGTGGGCTACGAACTTGAATGAGAGGGGTCAAGTGGATGGCCGAACCGGCTGGGAGGAGGGCGATCAAGGGAGTGCGAGACTGAGCGAGGTAACAGAAGAGAAGTTGGCGCAGAAGCTCGAGGAGAAAAGAAGTCTGCCGGAAGAGAAGAAGGGCTTCAGGGAGAGAGTCCCACACTTTGGCAAAGTGGGCACAAAAGACACATCTGCTGTAAGATAATCTAACATAGCATTGAAGCAGGCGCAGGATTCGAGGCATGTTCATATTTGGATTCAGCCACGAACGAGTATGATGTATGAACCCTCTTTAATCACTTCAATTCCTGTAGCGTCTGGTCTAGCGTCTTGCCGGTGAGAATCTTGAACGCCTCCATGTACTTTGCGCGTGTGGCCTCAACCACGTCTGGCGGCATCGTAACATCGTCCTGGCCCTTCAAGCCATTCTTGGTCAACCAATCTCGCAGAAACTGCTTGTCGAAGCTGTCCTGGCCCTGCCCAATCGTGTATGTTGCCTTGGACCAGAAGCGAGAGCTGTCTGGCGTAAGTACCTCGTCTATGAGCACGACCTCGTCTGTTTCCTCGTCCAGCCCGAATTCGAACTTTGTGTCCGCAATGATGATGCCTTTCTCCTTCGCGTAGTCCCTGGCAGTCTTGTAGATCTTCAGCGCCAGATCCTCAATGCGCTTCGCATACTTTGCGCCCACAATCTGCTCAGCCTGCTCGGTGGAGATGTTTTCATCGTGTTGTCCCAGCTCGGCCTTAGTGCTAGGGGTGTAGATGGGCTCAGGCAGCTCTTGAGACTCTTGTAGACCCTCGGGCAGCTTCTTCCCATTCACCTCGCCGGTCTTCTTGTACGAGGACCATGCTGAGCCTGTGATGTAGCCTCTAACGATGGCCTCGACGGGGAACACTTTGTATTTGCGCACAAGCATGCTTCGGCCTTTCAGTTGCGGAACCAGTTGCTGAGGGACTGTCGGAGGTAGCTCGAGGGAAATGAAGTGAGTTCTCAGATCTGGATGGCATTTCCGCAGGTATTCGAACCAGTGCGCCGTGATGAGTGTGAGTATCAGCCCTTTGTCCGGAACGCCCTATATCAAAAACACCGGTCAGGGGATGATTCATTGCAGGATGTGAGAGGAAAGCGAGGCGCACATTCTTCATGACCACATCGTAGGCTGATATCCTGTCTGTAGCAACAAACAGGAGGGTTTTCGCGTCGACATCGTATAGTTCTCGCACCTTTCCAGATGCAATTAGAGGTAGGGCCTTGCCCAGATCGGTGTTGACTAACGCCATGATGTAGAGGAATTATGAATGCAGCTGTGGTACGCCGGGATCAACAGAAATTTGTACCTGTGACGTCATAGCGGACGTTGGGCGGACGCCTTACCAAAGGGGTATTGGCACCAGTGATAGAGGAGCGGACCCTAACCCTAATATGTACCTCTCCGTCTAATCACAATCAGGGTGGGCTCTACCCTGAAGACCTCCCTTCATACACTATAGAGCTGGCAGCTTCCCAGCTCAAAAGAGTATAGAGGCCTAACAAGCCTATGAAGGCCGTTATTATCAAAAGAAAATCACTACTATAATTGTTTTAAGGAGCCTACTATTAAGAACTACCTACTCTTCTATATCTGAGACTATGAAGTGCGCCTATTTTAGTAATAGCAAAAAGGGAGAATAAATATGGAGGTATCCAGAGTCCTAGTAAGATCAAGAATTAAAATATGGATACGAAGGGTTCCAGTATTAATTTGATTTAGCTACTTATATGATAGTGAGGTGCCTACTATAGGTAGTGTTACTCTAGGTCAATAACTATAGAGTACTCCTAAGCCAAATATAACTAGCAAGTAAGTATAAACATAGAGGGATACTGCTATTCAATAGTATACAAGACCTTTGATATAGGTACAAAGCACACTGGCATCAAATAAAACCAGGCACTCTTATGATAATGGGGCACCAACTATGGACAAAGAAGGCAGAATAAAAACTATGCAAACTGGCAGTAGTAGGCGCCCGATGCACTCATCGATATGGCCACGGCGCGCACTATAGCTACTAAGTAAACGCAACGTAAATGTTACTCCTTGTGACGCGGGCGAACGCCGAGACATCTGCGTTTCCGCCATAGTGACTCCACTCACCTCACTTCATGATTCCACTCGCTTCATTTCTCCTCCCACTTTCTTCCCGTTTACACCATCTTTCTGCATATAAGATCGTGCTTCCCTTGCTTCTGAGAGGTTAGTATAGCTTTCTGTGGGCTGAAAAGCTGCTTCTGGATGATTACTGACTCGAAAAACGCCTCAGAACAGTCAAATTCGGCCTCCACGATGTCCTCTCGCCTCGCTTCCTCCAGCAAATCGCCTCCCAGACGTGTTATCATGCCTGCGCTGCCATTAGTTGGCAGATCGACACGTTCTCCTGCAAATACGCCTGCAAATACCTCGCCAATCGACGAGGTTGAAGGTGTTTCCAAGGCTGTGGACGATCTGACCATCGACAACGGCCCAATGATGTCTGGTAAGTGTATACACATCATTCAAACTCATTCTAGGGGTCGAAAATGGCTTGTCCTAATCATGGTTCATTCATAAATGCTTGTTTATGGACAAAAGCAATATCTACAGGCCATTTTATGTGTTAATTACAGCTTGTTCAATGTATACTGACCGACTTGATGTGCATAGATGCCACTGAACCTCCTGCTCCTACCAGTCCTGTTGCCACAGCCTCTACCGACATCGTTGAGTCTGCAAAGATGGAGCCAGCTAAAGACGATGATGTTTTTGGCGCCTCTGCAACCACTGAACATCGAGAAGATGTCATTCCTGTTCCTCTTGCCCAGAATATTGTTGCTACTCGCCCTGAAGGCAATATTCGCACTCCAATGGCCTACAATGGGTTCGAACCGCGTCCGGATCGCGTTTCTCAGCTCCCCAACGCCCGAAATGCGCAGGGACTTTACCCTCCTGATGCTTTGATCTTTGTGGCAAAGTATGTACGAACAAGACAGCTAATCGAGAACTCTACTGATACATCCTAGCCTATCGAATCAGCGTTCTCCTGATCATCTGTATGTTTCGTGCCAGCAGACCTTCGGTGGCTTTGGTCCTTGCCATATCAAGGTGCTCCTGGACAAGAATCGCCATCCATTTGCTTTCGTGCAGTTTGAGGTACGTCGGCAACTCTAGGGGCTTTACACTGCTAATCATGACTTCAGAACGTCGAAGATGCAAATGCTGCTGTTGATGCTGCCTCAAACATGATGATGGATGGCCGTAAGATCCGTGTTGAGCGTGCCAAAGCTGAACGTAAGCTCCACACGCCTCATTTCTCCATTCATACTCACAGATGTCTAGGTGCGGTCATACTGAGCAGACAGGATGGAGGCAATGTTTCCGAGGCTGAGGCTCGTCATATGCTGTCCAAATACGGTCCAATTGAGCTCTGTGTTCATACCCAGGCTATGGATCGCAGCAAACACAATATGGCTGCTGGGGTCTACGTCAAGTTTGCATACTACCTGGATTGCCGTGATGCTCTTCGTGTAAGAATCATGTCCAGCGTTCAAACGGCACAGCTAACCAGCAGAATAGTCCTTCAACAACCATGCAGGAGGCTACAACCTCTATATGGCACCTCCAGTGGAACCACGTCTTCGTCCTGGTCCAAATGGATCTCCTGTGGTTCGTGGCTTCTCTACTCCTCGCTCTGCTGTCGACCAGAAGTCCATCTATGTCGGCAACTTGCCAGAAGGAACGACTCGTCCTGAACTGGAGGGGTTGTTCAATGAGTTCGGCACCATTGTGCAGGTGAATGTGATCAGAAAGGACTTCGGTAAGTTCACAGGCTCAAAGACACGCTCTACGGGTCAGTACTGATGAATCCCAGCCGAAGACAGCGTCAATATCTTCGGTTTCATCGAGTTCAGCAACCCAAAAGAGGCTGAACGTGCTTCCATGGCCGAAGTAAGTCATTTAATTGATTGATTCAGGCAAATACTGACAATATCATAGCGTTCTTTGCACGGAGTCAAGCTTCGAGTCGAGCCGAAGGAGTATTCAGCTCGTCGTACTCAGCGTACTGCATACGTCCCACCCACTCCTGTTCGACAGAATACTCCACGACGCCACGTCGACGCCGGGTATTCTGGAAATGCCATGAACTACAACAACCAGAATATGTACGGCATGCAGTCAATGGCGACTCCTCCTGGCGGATATAATCAAGGCTATGCAATGCCAGGATTCAATCCTTCTGCCGTTCCATTCCTGGGGACCCCTACTCATACTGCTATGAACAACATGGCTCCAATGGGCATGTTTTCCCCCTCTCCAGCTCATAACGTGAATGAGTACGGCCAGGGACATTTCTACAACTACAGCTCTCCATTGTACCCTGACCAAGGCCACATGATGGGATCTATTCCAGAGGATGGAGAAGCAGAATACTAGCGAAATGACGGCGTTTCAGGCGTAGCAAAGGCGTTCTGAGCACACGAAAGCTTGCTTGAAACATGAAACTGCATGCATGGAATGGATGACAATTGCTTTTGCTGAGCTATTCAATGGGGAAAAGGTGCTGGGCAGACTGGCGTTCAAAAGTGCTGCATACAACAGGAGTGCTATTGACAATATGCTCTGCTGGGATTGTACGAGAAAAGGGCTTTCAGAGCGGAAAAGAGCATGCTGATACACAGCACAGGTGGCTTAGCATGCCTGCTTCTACTGAGTTTATGGGCTGTGCTATTGAGCCATGGAATTTCGAGCAAAACTTCAGCCATAAGCTGAACAAAATTGCTTGAGCCTTACTGAGACATAGCGAGCATGCCAGAATTAAGAAAAAAGTGCAAAAACCAAGTTCCATTCTGCATTACTATTACCCTAAAGCATAAGAACAATGCAGCTCCTTGTCGTCTGCTTGTGATCCCATTTGCATGGCCAGTGCTTGGTAAAACTGGAGCTTTCTGGCACCGCCTTCTCAGCCTCGTCGAATAGTGGGGCCCGTATATCATATTGGACTCTTTCACCCAGTAATGGCAGGCAAAAGGTCAACAAAGCTTCCAACAAGAGCTCTCTAGCAGGAATAGCATCTATACTTCACTCTTTCGACAGAGAACAGACAGAAGAGAGGGTGCAGGCGCGCCCGCGCCCTTGGGAAGACCTGGTGGGGGTTTCTATTCAGCCCGCCTGTAGCCTGTACGTGAACTTCCCACGCCTTCTGTCCATGCCCGTCGATTGCTTACCTGTCATTCCCTCATCTAATTGCACATTTGTGAGAGAACTATGTCTTCTTTGAGGCACTTTGGAAAGAATGCTATCGTTGTCATATCTTTTGGCCTGAAAGCGTTCTTATACTGAGTCTCTTCCATTGTTTTTGAACGAACCTTTCCAAGAAAGCCTTCTTATAAAATCTGCTACTTTCAAAGACTTGATATGTGAGATAGTCTTCGGTCAGAAGCGTCGATAAAGCCACCTCTCCCTTGCTTGCTCCTCCGATCCTGTTCCGTTCCCCGATCCTGTCCTCGGTGACGCCACGCGAGCTCCTCTTCCTCTATTTCCTCCTTACCTATCTTTCCTCCACAAGCAAAACACAGAGTGAGAAGACCTATTGGGTTGAAGAGACGGAGCTGGATACTTATTACGAAGAGAAAAGAGAGAAAAGAGAAAGACAATCACACAGAAAAGGATATAGTGGTGAAGAACAGGAACAAGACGACACACAAATAAGGTGACTTTTGAAAGAGGAGGACTTATACCGGCCGGTAGGCTATTTCAAGAGACGAAAAGAGTAACAACCAGATCCATGATCGAATCTACCTTCCCTTCCTCGACGTTTCAAAAACCAATCTCTATCCCTCTCCCAGAATGGTTGATGCCTCGATCACGATCCCCCGATGCCAATGGCTCACACCATCTTCCAGTGACAGGACATATAAAGTGAAAAAGAGCCGGGAAGACGTAAAAGCTGGAGCAGAAGTCTACACTGGGTTCCATGGGAGCTATATACCTAGGGATTGAGAAAGAGGAGGGATCATACATCTACACTCAAAGAAAAGCATCAGGGAGACCAGAAGGAGAGGGCTTTGACAATATTGAGGCTCTTCGAGCGAAGAGAGTGGGACATATACTAAAGTTATCAATCTACCAGATCGAGACTGAAGGAAAGAATGGCGCTGTTATCTAAGTCTCAAACCTGCACAGATGGACCCCACCATTATGAATGGTTCCAAAACTGGACGAAGGTGAAAAGGCAAAGAGAATTCCTGAATCGCAAAGGTCTCACAGCGTAAAAAGCGACCACATTGCTGACAAGTGATGAGACGAGCGGGAGGAAGACTATACATACAAGAGAAAGGCACTTATCTTCGATCCAGCTTTGGTCAATGGACTCATACGGCTTTGGTGGTCGGATATTAGTCCCACCAGGTTGGTGGAACGATAGGCTGGCTGTGCCTTTGCATTGGCACCGGAGATGGAGGACGAGGCGAAGTCTTCTGCTTGAATTGGAAGAAATCATCGTCAGTTGAAAGAAACTCCTCTACTAAGTTCGGGATTCATGGACCATTATTGACCTCGGTTTGCAGGAATTCCTTTGTCAACAAGTCCAACGCAAACCTCAATCACTGCATTTGGACATCCATGACACAAAGCAAGCCTTTTCATTCTGCAAATCCCAAACCGCAGTTGGGCAAACATCACTGCTGCGCTATCAGATACCAAAAAGCAACGCCATGCTGCTGGGCAGTCAGAAGAAAAACAGCACTTGTGAATGCTGAAGCTGAGGCAACTAAAAACTGCATAGAGACTGCTGCATTTATGTGGAATAGATGTCTCGGTCCACCTTTGGACGAAAACGGCAATGATACAATGGATTTGGCAGGTCAAGCGATCTGTGAGAGGGTCTCCGGCCTCCACTGTAAGGGGTCCCAGCCTCGTCGTGTCTGAACGCTCATTGGATCTTAGGTGAGGGAACGGATCAACTATGCTCCGATCTCCGACCACAGCCTTGCAGATTGCACCCACTCTTTTGTTCTCACCTATTTTGGACGTGCTTGCAATGTTGGATGTGAATGGAGTTTACCGGAATTGTGAAATGATGACACCACTCACACACCTGCAGACCGAAATACTACCTGGCAGACAATGTCGACGAGTCATTTAACGATGCAAGATTTCCTGGATTTGACTACTGACAACTACTGTAGGGACACGGTATGTCTTGGAGGCTTTCAAAAGAGGTAGGAAATCATGTGTCATACATCTCAACCAGCGAGCGTATTATGCCGCACACACAAGACATAGCCAACGCCCATGTCATAGCTCATGATCGTCATCAACTACAGTACAAGATGTGCCAAACCTAGGCCTGTATGCCCGACATATGTGGTGGAGTCTGTGTATCATTGCCCCGGCCAGCCAGTACACTCCGCAGCAACTCCTCCGACATCATGTCCAGATCCTCTTCCTTCATTCCGGTCGCCAGAGCTACTAGCTTTCTGTGCTTGCCGATCTTCTCACTTGTGCCAGCTTCGGCCAGCAGCTTTGCTATCTCCTTTACCAGGTATCTGCGCTTTGCTTGCTGTTCATTCAGTTCGACGGCCCATGGTAATGCCGCGCGAATTTCATCTGGAGATAGTGGCTGAGGGTTTGCATAGCGGAAGGCTTGCTGGCTGGTTTGTTGATCTTGTTGAAACAACTCGGTCTGAAGAGTATTTTGCTCCTTCTGTTCCAACAAGGATTCCATCTCGTTCAGCGATTTCTGGTATTCCTGCCGCAAAGCCGGGACTCGGGATGTGTCTTCTGCTTTTGCCATGAGAAAGAATGTCTCCTGTCGGATCTTGTGTCTCTCGGTCTCAAGGGCGGATAGAGCCTGTTTGGCCTCTTTGATCTCAACATCCTTCTCCTTCATCTGCGAGTCATACATTTCAGCCAGCTTCATACTGCCCTCGTCCAGAAGAGAACCAATTTTGTTGAGCACGACAGATCCGGCGCGTGACACTGATTCCTTCTGGCGTTTGCGACGAAGCTGCTTGGCAGCGAACGATTCGCCGGCACGCGGGGGAGAGGATCCGGGTTGCTGGAGACTCTCCTTCTTTTCGCGAAGAGCTCTGAGATATTCGTTTGCGGTTTCTCCTTTCAGGTTTTGGATGTCGCCGGCTTCCGGACAATGGTTGAGAAGGAATGTCGCCACTTTGACACAGCCATTGCGGATGGCGCATAAGGCAGCAGTATCATGAGATGCGTCGACGGAGGTGAGTAGAGCCTGGACGTAATTCGACCCCATCTCTTGCATCTTATTGATAAGGACCTCGCAATAATAACGGGCACAGCTCCATTTGCTTCTTGATCGTGCTGTCTCGGCAATATGATGAAAGACGGTCGCACCATGCCAGTCGCGCTCTACAATAGTCCCCGCTAGAGCCTGGACAATCTTTGCAAACGTACGTTTGTCATAGTTGTTGGTAAACAGGACGGCGCGGATCAAGGGTGTCTCTCCGGAGGATTGGTTAGGAGCGGCAGCGTTGGCACCGCGTGCTATTAGGTCCCGCACGACCTGCACGTCGCCCATAGCACAAGCCCAGTGCAAAGCGTTGTTCCCTAGATTATCGATCGGTCTGTCGACGTCGAAATTGGCTGGTGGATGTGGAGGTAAGATGTTGGATGCGGCCGGATCATCTCCCGCAGTCACAAAGTAATCGAGCAACTCATCACCGTAGAGCGTATGTTCGAGATCAGTTGCAGTGACGGTGGATTCTTCGATGTCGCGCTTGCGCTTCCTCGATGCGGTCGAGTTCTGTGAGAGTGGAAGAAAGTCGTCTTCGGCCATGAAGGAGGCAGTTTCTGGGGAATGGTCCCGGCTTTCGGTTCCGTTGTACTGCGCACTGGCGGTTTCGTAGTAGCTTTCAGCGGGTTGGTAAGCTTGCACTGGACATGGTCAGCTTACAGACTGCGCAGCTGGACTCGCACTTACCAGGTGCCGGTGGAGGTGGAGGCGGCGGGGCGGTCTTCTTTGGGTGTGCAGCTTGTCTGGCCTGCTTTGGGCGGCTTGAAGCGGCAGTGGTATGCTTTGGAGCAGGGGGAGGGCTTCGGTCACCAGGGACGAAATCAAAGATATTCGAGATGCGACTGAGGACCCCATGTTTCTCGGCGAGCATGCGACCCTCGGTCAAGGGGATCCATGTGCCCTGGTATTTGCCATATCCGCCTTGTATCTTTTCATGGACCCCCTTCTGGACCTCACGTTCCAAGATTCGTGTCCGGGCCGGTTTGTCGAATCCTGCGACTTTCAAGATATGCGTGGCATTGACCCAGTCGTCGGAACGGCGTCGCATAATATGATCGCCTGCGACCTTGAGCTCATAGACGGGTACCTGCAGCAGCGGTCAATCATCTGTCGCCCGACAACAAAGGGCGGGATTTCGCTACATTGCTGTACGTCGCAGAGTAGATTTCTTTGTCGAAAGCCATCACGCTTTAGGTCCGAAGGAGAGGAACAAAGGCAGAACAAAGTGTGCGCGATTAGTAGAGCATAGGACAGGATAGCCAAATCGCGACTGTCTCTGAGTGGGATGATCTCACTTTGCGATGCGAATTTCGCCGAGTGATAAGAGGGGTGTGGCTCGACGCGTTCACGAGCTGTGAAGTGGCGGTCGGAGCGCGTTTTATCCCGCCGCATTAACTTAACGCGCCGGGCTGGGACTGATTATATAAGCTCGTTGCTTGGCAAATTTGCATTGAATGTGGAAGGGTTTTCCATTGCTTAGTAATGGCCAGCCTACATGTACTATACTACTACTACTAGTACTAGTACTAATCCCAGACATCCTCTAGTTGTTTTGGATATCGCCTTCGAAATTCACAAATAGATAGGCGTCCAATTGCCTCGGTTTGTAGCACACAAAGGCGTAGTATGGATTCACTTACGGTCGCGACCTTTGCAAATGGCACAACATCTGGCCAATCGTGATATTTTGTGATTAATTACACATTTACACGACGTCATTGTTGTCAATAATTTTCTCGCCGCTTACATATCACCTCAGCGAGGTGAGAAAGACAAAAGTATCGACAACTGCACTGTGTCATCCTCAGGACGACCAGCATCCCTCAAGGTTAGAGGTGTTGAATCTGTTTGATCTTTCTCCAGCCTTTCATGCAAGCTGCTAAACCTTTGAGATCCTTCAGCGCGGTACTCTCCAGGGCAACGCTGTTGCGCGCAGTTCCTCGGCGGTCTCTTGCTACCTCGCCACCTAGAGCCTTCGTAGCCAGCACAACTCGAACCGCCAATATGACTACGGGCAATTTCAAATATATCGATCCCAGCTCCTATGTCGAGAGCGATGTCCCCTTCGTCAAGCCTTGGTCGAAAGTTGATGGTCCAGGCACTTCTTTCAAATTGACCGATCGCAGGCGGTCCGTGGAAGACTTGCGGGGCCAGGAATCCAAGTTCTCCGTAGACACCTCCGGCTTTGCGGTCTACGAGTATCCGGCACAAGAGAAGGAATTCACCGAGGACCGCAGGGTTCGTGACGGATACTATGCCGAGATAGAGGCCCTGCTGCGGGAGAAAATCCCCGGCATAAAAAAGGTGGTGATATTCGATCACACAATCAGAAGGAGGGACAAGGCGGCACCTCGACAGCCCGTCCAGCAGGTGCATGTTGATCAGACACCCGGCGCAGCGGAGGCGAGAGTACGAAGACATCTCCCGCAGGAGGAGGCAGAAGAGCTATTGAAAGGCCGCTATCAGATCATCAATGTGTGGCGGCCGATTGCAAATCCGGCTTCAGATTTTCCCCTGGCAGTCATTGACTGGCGAACCACGGCCCCAGAAGACTTTGTTAAAGTCGATCTATTATATCCCAAGCGGGACACAAATGATGACGACGATCGAGGCAGAGAAGTCCCTCCCGATCCGAGCTCTACTCATTCAACCGCCGGCTACGAGGTCAGGGGTGAAACATACGCCATCGCTCCAAATGAGAAACACAAGTTCTTCTACCAAAAGGACATGACACCAGATGAAGTCATGTTCATCAAGTGTTTTGATTCTTTCAGTCAGGTGAACCCCGGAGGTAAGCCTGGTTTGGCGGATTGCACTCCACATACAGCATTTGTCGACCCTCAAACACCGGCAGATGCTCCTGGGCGCCAGAGCATCGAGGTGCGATGCTTGGTATTCTACGAATAGATGACATTTGTGTAGGGGAACTCGTGGTACATATATTTCTTCTTATATGGCTAAAAGGATGCACTCCCATTTTCCAACTTACTCATCGTCAATGATCAGGATAATGTTGCTCCTTGTGCGACCCGAACCCCATCTTTCGAATGCTTGCCGATGCTCATCCAACTGGCAAACGCTGTCCACTCTCGCCTTGACCTTGCCTTGACTTGCCAGCTCGGTGCTTTCTGCCAGCTGCTCGCCAGCTACTCACCAGAGGGGTGCATGACGAAGAACTTTCCAGAGATAGTCTTGCTCGCGTCCTCGGGCGGGTGCAGCACAACCCAGTGCATGTCTGCAGGCGGCACAATTGTCAAACCCTGTCCGCCATCCTCGATTTCATGCCATGCTTGCTCGAGTGATGAGCCACCTCGGCAGTCTAGCACGAAATCCAGATTGCGAGATGGATCCTTCTCAGCCAATGTTCTACTGTTGTTCTGCTTGGAGTCAGGGATCTCGTCGGCCCCGAGGTCTCTGACAAAGTCAACATTCGATGTGCCGCAGGTGCCGACGATGTATGCGCCGATCACCCTCGCAAGCGGCATGGCCAAAACACCCACGCTACCTGAAGCACCGGTGATTACAATGCGTGGTGGGGGCTGCATAGTACCATCCGTGGGCGGCGCGAGACCGAATTCCTCAAACCGGGCTTGCCTTGCCGTCAAGGCGCTGACTGGCACAGCAACGCCTTTGCTGGCGAAGGCTCCGGATGTGGCTGTTCACCGAGGGGAATATGTGACCGACCATGACGCGGAGGACTCGAATCAGGGATGGATTAGTACTAAGGTATCTTGGCGAGGGTCAGACCGGAAAGCAACGGGAACATGAAGAAAGAAGTGATGGATTACTATCCGCGGAGATGTGGGGTGTCTGGACGAGGAGGTTATTGCAAAAGGCCAAGGTACAGTAAAACAGCGTTAAGCGTCTATACGAGCCTCAGAAGATGACTAATGTTCAGATCTCGTCCAGCGCCGCAAGACCAGTCCAGTCACAGTACACATGCCGACGTCCGAGGTAAGTATTGACAGTGTCTGGATTGGACGGCTATGGTGGGAATTCCCCTGGCATCTCAAGTTCAGACAGTCTAGGTAGTCTGCAAAGCCTGACCCTTGTGCCTCCGTCGTTAGATGCATTTGCAACCATTTGGGCTGCCACGCCCGTCAATGAACGAAATACCTGGCTATACTTGATTCTATCATGACGATTGCGTTACGAGTGTTGCCCCTTTGCTTATCGTGGTCGATCGTGCTGGGAACATCAGGTCCGGGCGTATAGATCTTCATCGCTCGTTGCCAACGGCAGTGAGGAAACGCCTCATTGGGTGAGTACACTTGCGGCTCAAGCTCAAGGTACCAAGATAGATCCGCTGACGTAGAAGGAACCCCTGCCAACTTATGCTAAGCTCAGGCCAAGCTTCTCGCCGAAAGTCTATAAAGGCTTGGTTTGACGATCGTTGCCCCGCATGCTTGGATCTGACATCATTTTGGATTGGATGCGCTCAGTCAACTTCCAACTTTGTGACATGAGGGTTGTGCCTGACTGTATCTTTGTCCAATCCAAGGCTAAAGCTGAACGCCATCCGGGCGTAAAGATTGCGTGGCCTTTGATCTCCGTCATACTGCCAGTCTGCCGCCCGGTGTGTTGACACAAATATGGACGAGGATATGTTCTCCCCTTCCCCTCCATATTTTTCGTCTGGTTCGAGGAATCCTCCTGCTCGAGACGATCCTCCTTTGCCCACCACTGAGTCGCCTTCGTCCGTATTCCTCCAACGTGGTCAGTGAGAAGTGACAGAGCACGGAAATCTATCTATTTGCATCAGTCACTCGATCTGTTACCGTCATGATTCCCGAGAAAGTTTACGATTTGTGCCAGAACGGCCTGTCGGTGACCGGTGAACTGGCCAAAAACACTGACCTTACTCCTCATGAGGCCTGCAAGAGACTCTTTCGGGTCGACATCGAGGATGAGGTAGTCACAAAGAAAGTTCATGTCTCCCATGAAGAACCCAGTGACCTGGAACAGGCGCAAAGGTGTGGACGATGGGGAGAATCCACTCCTAGCGAGCTTTTCCTTAGGGTAGGCCAACTCATACTCTCAGTTGCGACGTGCTGATGTGCCTTCAGATATACCACGACGTGCTATGCACCCTTGAGAAAAACCCTGTTGCGGGCGTCTGCGCACCGTCTCTCATGGGAAGCAATGGAGTGTGCCCACTCACCATCATGGCTACGGTACCTGAAATCTGTCGGCACATGTCCAACGTGATAGCTAGAGCGGAGCACGAGGTATATCTGGCAACCAACTTCTGGATGTATTCAGAGCCGAGTAGGTTGATCACCAATGCTCTTCGAGAGCTCTCGAGGAAGGCTGTGGAGGGAAATCGGCGAGTAGTAGTTAAGATTATATATGACCGAGGCAGCGTCAAACAGGTAAACAGCTTAACAGCTTTGCCCGTGTGCAAGTCCACCGCCTGACTCTGATAGGTTGTGAACAATCACCTGCCAGTGTCGCCAGAGGAGTTCTCAGATCCGAATGGCAAAATCCGGATTCCGCATCCCGACGACCTTCCGAATGTTGATATTGAAGTCATCAACTTCCATCTTCCGGTTTTCGGAACCTTCCACTCCAAGTATGTGGTAGTGGATCGCAAAATCGCCATTCTTCAAAGCAACAACATTCAAGACATAGACAACCTTGAAATGATGACCCAGTGGGAAGGACCCGTAGTGGACTCTTTCTATGAGGTTGCGCTCATTTCATGGCACAACCGTCTCAACCCTCCGCTTCCTTGCATCGATCAGCCGGCTGCAAGCGCCCCTTTGCCGACGTTCGAAAGCGAAAGCCACGGGACCTTGTTCGACAAGCATGGGAATATAGTCCCAGTGTCACAATCGTGAGTGACCTTGGGGTTATTTTGAGAAAAGTGCTGATCATGACTAGCAACACCACCGTTCCCGACGGCGACGAGAACTTGCGAGATCTTGCACAGCACGGGGCACAATTGGACCTACCTCAACATACTTCCCAAGATCCTCATTATGATCCGGACATAAAGTCTGAAGTATTGCGATCCGTGGCCACATTGAACCCTCGCCAGGGTGAAAGGCGGATTGACGCAATCACTCGCATGCTGAACACGACCATCCAGCCCAACACTAAAGGGAGTGCTCCGGACCTCGAACCAAGCGACTCCATGACGCCACTCATTCCAATACCACGGCATGATCCTTTCCCCATTGCCATGGTATGCAGGGAGCCCTGGGGAGCTCCTAACAAGCAGTCTCTGCACACGCCACAAAACGAAGCATTCATGTCTGCTTTGCGCCATGCAACCAAGTCGGTATTCGTCCAAACACCTGATCTGAACGCCGAGGCACTACTGCCAGAGATTGTCAAAGCCTGCAGACGAGGCGTGAAGGTGACGTACTACTATTGCCTCGGATACAACGATGCAGGCGAGCTCTTACCCTTCCAAGGAGGCCATAACGAGATGGTGGCCCATGGCCTGTATCAAGACCTGGAACCTGAGTATCACCAAAACCTGAACATCTACGCCTATGTGGCAAAGGATCAGATTCATCCAATCCACAACAAATTCAAGCAGCGCTCTTGTCACATCAAGCTAATGACGGTTGACGGGCATATCGGCATCCAAGGAAATGGGAATCAAGACACTCAAAGCTGGTACCACAGCCAGGAAGTGAATGTCATGATTGACAGTGAACTGGTAATTGGCAAGTGGATGGAAGCAATTCACCAAAACCAGAACACGCATGTGTATGGTAAAGTTGTCAATGAAGGCCCAGACGCTGGGTGCTGGAAAGACTCGGAAACGGGACAACAAGCCGAAGGTGCAATTGGCGTAGACCCGGGACGATTCGCTTGGGCGAAAGGGATTGTCGGTGCGGTGCAGAGAGTACGAGGAGCGGGAGGATTTTGAACAAATTTACAATCGGGTGACAGTAAGCCGGATGGCTAGGTATGAAAGTACCAGTACAACGCTCAGAAGATCATGGAATGTGCAGATCTATCCTATCGCCTTTCGACCAGGAAGCTAATCACACCCCATTTGTCCCTTACACGCTTTGGTGTTGATTCGTCAACGCTTGACGTTGAAATTGCCTTACTAAGTACTACTCTCTATTGACCAATCACGTGCGACAGATTGCGGAGGCTGCATTTTGACGGGCATCGGACGGTCGACCACTGCATTGCTCACTCCTTGGTCAGCCTCCCTGCAGTGGAACGACGGCAATGTCCTATGCTCATGCGCAAGGCTTGGTCGACCACTGCTGTGCCTTTGCTCACCGCTACTAGGAGCAGACTGAGTTCGTCACGTCCAACGAGTATTGCCTGCGACGCGCCCTCGACGCCTCCTCCGATTCCCAGGATGACCTCGAGCTCGGCGCCGATCACCTTGCCCTTTTTCACCATCAGCAGGCTTCCTCTCTGACTCCTTTGCTTCACGAGCCCGTTGAGCAACAGAAGATTGGCATCGTGGACGTCTGCGACTGGGACCACATTAGTGTCAACATCATAGGCAGCATCTGGATGCGCGTCCACCAGTTCGACACACGACTGCGCCAATTGGTGAGGACGCACAGGGATTCAGGAAGAGGTCGCCTTTCACTGCACGTTGAGTCGGCAGGGGGGGTCCCAAGACCACTTTGAGGTAAGCGACTCGGAGGGCGCGACGGCCGGCGCACGCGAAGGGTGAAAAGCCGCAACAGGGAGAGGGCGATGACGAGGAGGAACAACAGCAGCAGCAGCAGCAGCAAGAGTCACACCACGAGATATGCGTCTTGGAAGGTAAGTTCGGCTCCTGCCAGGCGCGGTATGGATTGGACTAGATGCCCGACTCACGATCGCGTACCAGCCTGACCTCTGGGATTGAAGAGGCTTGAGATCTGGACATCTATGTCTTCCACGCCGAGACATCACGACCCGGAAAGAAGACAGTCAGGTCTATCGAAGAAGACGTGGTAGGAGCGCTCGAACCATGAGGCGCAGGGTGTTGTTCACGCCTCGAAGGGGACATCGTGTCGATGTCTCGCAGACCAATCAGGGGAGGTCAAGACACCCAGCACCCGGCTGTGCCGGCCTTCATACGATTTCAGAAATCGGTTAAGGTACAAGCCGGACGGACGCCTGCCTGCAGAGAGGTGGCGCCGCTCCAGACCAACCGAAGGTACGGGCAGGTTTGCAAGATCCAGTTGAAAATGGCTCTGTCAGGGTGTCTCGACAATTATTGCTTCGTGCTCCAGGGCATCGCATCTCTGGCTCATGTAGATTGCTGTGTTAGGTTGCTCCTCACTGAGATCAGGGTTGATAGAACATGGCATCTGAACATGTCTGGGTTTAGAGGTATGGCTTGAGAGCGCACCAAAGCAGAATGCAACCTTTCTGATTATGCTCCATGCTTCTGCAGAAGCTTATATTTTTATTCTTTTTGTAGTCCAAGTCGGGGTAACTTCTTGGAAGCAAAGCTGGATATCAGGAGAGCCAGCATCCCTCCAGCAAGACTGGAGAATTATCGAATGATAATTAAATGAGCATATGCAACGTGCGTGTTGATGGGCACCTGAACCTTCAGCGCTCAGCCTTACATTGCAAAGCCTTGCGCCGGCTAGTTGAATAGCCTGGCGCTTTCCACATTTCCAATTAGGCTTAATATTGCGAACCGGTCCCAAGACTTTTTCTAAAATCAAGGCCTGATGACAGGGAGCTTCCTATACATATAATCGCCCCAAGCTGGTTTCGTCCTCTTCCAAGGCGTGTCGGTGCTGAGCTGGAGATCCTCAATAGCACTGGCCCAGTGGATGAGCGGGCCTTCACCCCATTTGGTGCCTAGCAACGCCAGTCCGAACGGCATGGCACTAGGCCCGCCAATGCCGGCTGGAACGGTGATCACGGGATAGCCAGCTTGGGCGGAGACTTGGTAGCTCTGGCCTAGGTCCGGCGGGACGAGAAGAGCATCCAGTTTGACGTGCGAGCCGTTGATAAAGGGGTTGAGGGCGGCGTCGAGGGACTCGGCCGTCACGGTTTTACAGAACCACACGGCTTGCCAGTAGGTTTCGTCCATGACACCCTTGGTCTCGAGCGAGTTTAGGAGCCCATCTTGACCAGAGTAGAATGCGGGATGGATCCCCGGTAGGCCACCTTCAGACCCGAGGTTGTCGAGGTTGGACTGGACGATATCCTCAAGGCTGCGGATGTTGGTGTTTTCGAGCTCGGAGAGGTATGTAGCAATGTTGTTGTAGAACTGCATGGCGGAATAGGGTCAGATGGGGTCTTTGTCAGAGAGAGAGACGGAGGACAGCCTTACATCGACCTTGAGCACAGTGTATTCACTCTCGTTGGGATAGCCGCGAGTAGTGCCATAATCGCCGTCGAAACCTTTCCGGCTAATGAGGATCTATACGTTTTCAAGAAAGGCCAAGGTCAGTAAATGTAGCTTGATACGCGTCCGTTTGGGATATCACTCACGTCGGCATTTGGTAGCTCGGTTCCGTTGATAATCGTGGCACCCGCACTCTGGATCAGATCCAGTAACTCCATTAGATGCGAGTTCTGCTCAGGGTCATTTAAGGACCAGAAAGTCTCCCATGGTAGACCGAAAACGGCACCCTTCAATGCCGATTTGTCGGTAAGGAATTGCGCATAGCCGCCCTCTGGTGTGTTGCCGATCTGTGCGAGGGTATAGTTGTCGCGTGGGTCGGGGCCAGCAATAGCATCGAGTGCGTATGCAGCGTCACGGCAGGTCCGGCCGAATGTTCCTATCGTATCCTGGTGTAAGGTATCGGGGATGACGCCAGCACGAGAGGTAAGTCCCGTGGTAGGCTTGATGCCACAGACATTTTGACGCTGAGCCGGGTCAATGACGGAGCCGTCGGTTTCCGTGCCTATAGAGTCGTCCGTTAGTCGATGCGATCGACTCACAGCGACCAAAGACAAGACTCACCAAGGGCAAACATGGCCTGGTTGGCAGCAACGGCTACTGCAGAGCCCGAACTGCTTCCACCGGGGTTACCGGTCAGGTTATAGGGGCTGCGAGCCTGGCCACCTCTGGCGCTGAATCCTTCAGAGTAGTTGGTCGATCTCCTATGAAGAAGGTCAGTCAATATTCATGCGAGAACCTATAAGGCGACTCACATATCTGCCCATTCGCTCAATGTAGCGTGCCCCAGTAACAGCGCACCAGCATTTCTCGCTTTAGCTACCACGTGAGCGTCTCGAGGCACGATACTGCCGACTAGAGCCCAGGACCCAGCTGTGGTGTCCATTTGATCCTTTGTGGCGATATTATCTTTAACGAGGAACGGGATTCCGTGTAGTCGGCTCCTAACCCGGCCAGCTGCACGTTCAGCGTCGAGTTCCGCTGCTATCGTGAAAGCATCCGGGTTCCATTGGAGAATTCCATTGACGTATCCGTTGACCTGGTTATACCGTTTGAAATAGCATGTGACAATATCGTAAGCTGTGAGATTGCCATGCTCCATAGCATCCTGAAGCTGGTCGATGGTGGCTTCCTCCAGTTGGACACCTTGACAGAGCGGCATGGGGAAGAGTGCTTGAGGAGCGGCATCTTCATTCGGGTAGTAATAAGGCAACGGATCAAGGAGCTCTTGGGTAGAGTTAAGCTCGGAGGTATTTTGGGCAGCCGCCTTGGCGATCAGGAGACCGCCCAGGAGCTCCAAGACAAGAGGAATATGCATGTTTGCCCAGAGAATGTAGTGAACACCAAGCAGCTCACCTGTGCCGTACTATTGTCCGACGAAGTGGAAGGCAATGTACATGGAGCGCGCAGGAAAGGTTACCACACTTATAGCTGTCCCATGGCTCCGATACTCGAACATCACCACATTCGGAAACCGTTTGCGAGTAGCGGCGTCCGGGAACACGATCGTTATCTTGCTGCAGAATCTACATTTTCGACGGCATTGAGCAAAGAATCGGCTTCCCGGTATTGTGGTTCGAAAGATGCCTAAGATGCCCCGACCTTTGAGATAGCTGTAGGTAGCCGATAGAATAGTGGAGCTATCAAAGAGTCCACTTGGCGGGCGAGCCGGTTGACCGCAGCAGCATGATATCTAGGTCCGACCGGATCACGTACCTTTCGAGTTCCTATAGCAGCCTCATCGCACAGGGAGTTGAGATTCAGAGGTAGTTTGGCGGTGACTTCTTATAAACTGATCGCACATAATCGAAATAATGTGCAATCAGCAACCGATGAGATCTCAGGACCTCTTCGAAGCCGATGACTCTTTGGATTGTCACTGGTCAACCGGCCCACTGTCTAGTACCTGTGATAGTTTGCTAGTTGGATGTTAGCATATTCCAAAATGGGAAAGTTTTGAGGTATACCTTTGCCATAATCCGTCGGAAGAGTGGGGTCCTGATATAGTAGGCTACTAGTACATCTCTTTGCCCGTACCTGACCATGTTCGAGCGCTTTTCTGAGGACAATCTGTGCATCGCCGAGACGAGCATATAGCCAGCTTCTGCGGAGAGGACTCTCGACCGGCGCCCTTACTTACCATGACTATCGAGGCACTTGAGAGTCCGGCGAGATATAGACTGTATGTACCCATTTGGGGGCAGGCGGTGACATAGTATATGCTAGTGGTCCATTAGCCTTATCGGCCGCCCGCGTTACGAGGTCCCATATTAACTGCTTGAATATCCCGCGTTCCTTTGGGTTCCGAACGGAAGTGTTCGTTTGAAAGCATAATGGTAGTAACAGGTTGGTCGACTGAGAAGCTAATGAGCTGATATATGACGGGAGAGGCCATGACGTGAAAGTGAGTAGACGTGCGCGACGTGTATTAATACCTAGGTAGGCAACATGCCTTATCAGAGAGCGGAACGATCGGCCTTCAGGAAACCTTGGCCGCTGTCAGTTCTGGATCCGACGAGCTTGCCGATACCGCTCTGGTTGACTGTCAGTTGACATTTACACCGCCACAAAGCAAATGCCCTAAGAGACGCCAAGATCCTGGCTGAGTTACGAGGCCATCCACTCGACTCGCAGAGAAGTTCAGCGTCAGCGCCAAGTCAAGATTTGGAAGCGAGCGGAATGTTCCAACTGTGTTCTCGGGAATTGCCCAAAGAGATTCTGGATCTAATGATACTAGATATACTTGATGAGTATCGCAGAGAGTGAGTCTTGGCATTGTCATTTCTGACCGGATACTTTCATAGTATTAGGTAAACATCATTGCTGTTTAATACGAAATGTGGTGTGCCTGGACCTCTTCAATTCTTGATGCTGGCGGTATCAACACTCGGCCTCGAGAATCTTCGCTACGGCGGCTTCGGCGACGATCATGACGATAGCCTGGGTGTTGCCCGTTGGAAGATCAGGGTGAATGCTTCCGTCAACAATGTACTAAAGACAGTATATATGTTAGAATCTAGATTCATTTTGGGGCAAAAAGGAAGGCAGAAAGAGGATCAAAGGACTTGCATACCAAGTTGTCGGTGCCGTAGACTTTGGTGTTTGTGTCCACAACGGACGTTCCGCCAGGCAGACGTCCGTCATCCAGGCCCATTTTAGCAGTGTGCACATAGTGGATACCTGGTGTATAGGAGTCCATAAGGGCCGTGACATTGGTGTACTCCAGAATGCTAAAGTCGGCGGCAGGGTTTTGGAAGAAATCGAACATCTGCTGCAGGAACCAGATGGCAGCATCTCTGTCTCCTTGGGTCTGTAGATAGGGACTGGTCTCGAATTCGGTGGCATTGCCGGCATCGTTCAACACCAAAGTGCCAGCCGAGGTCAGCCCATGAGTGATGTAGGCGATGATTTCGATGACCCCGGTGCTGTCGGCGCCACCGGCCGATCCTTGGAAGAACCGCGTCACTCCATCGGTTCCCACCTGGGATGTCCAGAAAGTGAGACGGTCTCTTCCCTGGGTCAGAACGCCTGAGCTCCGCTGCTCATAGGCATCGATGTTGCTGGTGTCGGTCCCAATGAACTCCGCGGTAGCGTTCACGTTGAGGAAGCTTCCGTTAGTCTGCACATCGATGTAGAAAATGGGGTGATCCATAACCCCCACGCCGACGGGCAGAGATATCCAGTCCCTCTCCGGGGGGACGGCGATACCGGCTTGCTGGGCCTTTGCGATCTCAGCCCGAGGTCCAATGCCAGAGTTGAAGAGAAGGCGTGGCGTGCTCAAGGCTCCGGCCGCCAGGATGACTTTCCCCCCGGGAGCCAGTCGGACTATTTCCGAGCCAGACGCAGTCTCGAGCTCGACACCAATCACCTTAGGCCCGGCGCGTAGGATGCGGATAACCTTGGACTCGAGCCGTAAGGTGAAGTTGTCCAACTCCTGAGCCAGGGGCAGATACGTTCGGAGTGGGCCCGCGCGCTTCTGGTCCTTAACGTTCCACACAGGATACGAATAGACCTGGTGTTTCTCGTCCGGCTGCTTTATTTGATCAACCGATTTCCAGCCGATGCTCTCGAAAAAGCCCGCCAAGATACCGTACAGGTCGTAGTCATAGCGCTGTCCGTCTGCCGAAGGCAATTCGGTGCCGGGGTTTCGCGCATACAGCCGATCAGCCGCGGGTTGGACGTCCTTCCACAGCCATCCAGCGGGCCACTTGTCGTTAAAATCGGCCTGTTGGGGGTGAATGAATACCATCTGGTTGACAGTGCATCCTCCTCCAAGGACACAGGCGGCCGTACCCGCCGTATCGTCGCAAATATAGCTGGTGAACAGATCCATGTTGCCGTAGCTGTTGTACAGACCGGGCACATCTGGCGCGGTCAGGGTATCATTCCAACTCAGCGGAGTGGCACCGTAGTCAACTGTAGGGCCGGGCCCTCTCTCCAACAACAAGACATGTTTCTTCGCTTCGGCCAGGCGTTCGGCGGCGATGATACCTGCGGGCCCTCCGCCAACGACTATGTAGTCGTAGACATCCAGGCACTCTTTGGGTGAAGGGTGTGGTTGAGGGTGTGGTGGAGGGTGAGCGCCTACCAGGCGTGAGCCCAAGGCCACAAGGCCACCAATCAGAAGCATATGCATGATGGATGATGGATGACAGAGAGAACTGAGGCAATACAGGGATCACACAGATATCGTTGAGTGCAGAAAGACGATATGACTGCCCTCATTCCTGATCCTTATACAAGACTTCATCTTCGCCAGAGCCTTCCCAAGAACTGCTTGCGTCAACAACGGAAAAATGTCTTTCAACGTTAGGCCCTTTTGAGCCGATTAGGAATAGGTCTTCATGTTGTTCTCGTAAGCAGAGACATTGAGCAGATTGGGATCTGCGCCCGGTGCTACAACAACGGTTAGTTTCGCTACAACGTCAGTTTTGAAGCAAGACCCAGTGCGTGGGTACGCTGTACAAAGACTTATGTGTACCTGGCATCGCAGTTCATGGGAAAAGCCACCAGATCAGATCTCATGGGGTAGATTGAGCCACTGCGTTGTCGACAGCATTGCGCCTCCTTGTCCACTTGAGTTGCCGGTTTCGGATCGGATGATCTGTTCCTCTTCCTTCGGGACTGTATACCAAACCTAGGTACCACCAGGTAGGTAGGCATGTGTAACGCCAAGGGGTGGCCAAGGCTGAGAGGCTCCAAAACGGCCTGGCTAGTAGCTGTCTGGCCGGAGCAGTCATAGATCAGGCTATCAGAGAAGGAGGAAATTCTCTTTCTTGATGGGTGGAAATAATTCCATGGCATCCTCCGTTGCGGTTTTCTACTTTGTCAGCAATAACTCGGCTCCATGCGAGGCCAAGGTGGATCTCGCCTCCGGCTATTGCTCTTAGGATAGAACTGATAAGCAATTTGATGCAGAGACTGATTGAAAACTCACAATAGTGATAACACACAATACACCGTCGACAGTCTCAGAGAAACAGGCACATATACCTGAAAATCTTCAGACTTCAGATCCAAGACCGGCGAACCCGAAGGGCACGGAGGCGGGAGGCGCAGCGCAGTGGGCAACAAATTCACTTGGTATCACAATTACCTCTTTGGGCGTGCTAGAAAACATCTCAGCCTCCCTTGGATCAAATGGATCACAGAGTAAAAAGAGTGTGTAATAGCCAGTGAATCCTGACTATGCTGGTAGGTAGCCACTTAGTAGGCGGTGTTATGAAAGCTTCATGTCAAGGTGTACTAGGTTACTACTAGTATAGTACTAGTATATAGGAGGCCTTGGCGTGGGCCTTGATAGTTATAGCACGTGATATATCACGTAATGGAAGCCAAGCGGTAATTGCTAAAGTGTTATCACACTAAGGTAAGCTGCTAGTACGTATCACCGCGCTATTCAAGTTTCCTCCATACAACCAGCAGCCTCGACACTTTTTCCACACTTTGGGCAGGACTGCGCTGTCAATATTCAGCATCGCTCCATACAGCAGTGGAAGCAATGGCCGTATGGCAGGTGAGTTGACTTCATCACTGAGAAACACACACGCGGCATTCTTCTTCACCTACTTGTCCTGGAGCGAAGGCGTCCATCTTCTCCTTCGGCAAAGCCTAAATTGTGCTCTCACTAGCCATTGACGAGAGCGTCACCATCCTTCTAGACCTGAGGCCTCCCTTGCTATCCATACTGACGTTGCTGTGGGATATATCGACGGTAAGAAGAGCGGGTCCATGCTGATAGTATTTGAAATGAAGCCACCTCGGTCTCTGCTACGGCAGCATTGGAATTCGGTCTCCAGTTTTGTCTCCCTTCCAAAACTTCCCTATATACTGAACCCCTCTCCTTATCTTTGGCGCCTAGTCTTTAGAGACTTCATTCTTCCTCGCCCGCTGCAGCAGGACGTTATCGCTGCAGCCTGCAGGAAGAAGCCGACGTTCCGCGCATCGTTGAGATCGAACGGATGGTATACGCCGACAACACGTCGACTCCCATCACGCTCCCTGGCCCGGCGAGAAGCGTGCTGAGGATCTGCTCATTCAGTTGCCACGAGACCCGAATGTGCGATTGATCAAGGCCGTTGACTCGGACACCAACGAGCTGGTGGCATTCGCCAAATGGGACATCATCGAGACTCCCAGAGATCCACAGGGCAGCCGCACCTTCGGGCCCGGCTGCAATCTCGACGCGTGCGAGGAGTACCTTCAAGGCATTCATCGGAAGCGGACCGAGCTGATGGCTGGCAAGGTTTGTTGTCGTGCGGATTCCAATCTGGTTTTGTTTGCATTGTCTTCATCTTTCCCATCGGTGCAATTGGACGTATTTTCCATCCAGCGTCTCACGGCACGCTGACATGGTGCTCTGCTCACATGATAGCTCTTGATCTTCTCCAGACTGACCCCATTGGAGATATGTTGATGGAATGAGGCCTCGCAATGGCAGATGAGCTCCGGATCCCCGCATACCTGGAATCGTCGCCAGAAGCACACAGTCTATATCAGAAATAGGGATCCCGAGATCTTGATGAACTACGGCTGGATCCTAAATGGAATTATGGATAAGCCGATCCGAGCATTCATCTCATGTTCCGACAGGCGAAGTAGGCAAGTACATGTTCCATGGAAAGGCTCTTCGTGAGACAGGACATGTGTCCGTGGTGACTACTTCGGAACCATACACGCCGGCTCCGGCTCCGGCTGCTTATGCTATCGTAGAGGACGCATTGTCATTGTCGGTTATACTGGTTTATTGTGTTGACGACGCACGTCCGTGCCACACGCGCATATCTTTGTCTGGTTTGATGTCCAATATTTATATCTATACCTATGTACATGACCTGTCTGTCATATATGCCGAAAGATCGCTACTATCTATCCATTTCCTATATCTCGAATATATAGTCTGCACCAATATAACATCCCTATGCAACAACCCATTGTTAGGTGGAACAATGTCTCGGCATCGTTTGAGCTGGCCACGGTCTCTTCCAGTCCATGTGTCCCTTCCAGGATGCGCAATGGCTGCAGATACTCGGCGTACCATAGTCCCAAATATTCTCGGACCGGCCTTTACATGGTCCTGATCTAGCAGAGCTCCAGATGCAGGGAGGGACCTTGCAACGTGGCGTCAGCGGTACCCTCCACCCGGGTGGCAATGACACGCTGTCGATCCTAGGCCTGACTGTGACTGGAAGTCTGATCTTCAAGCTGGGCCTTACCATCTGTATCCGCGTCCACATTCGTGCTCTCCGGATTCCAGTATGTCTCGACAAACGTTCTGGCATGGTTGAACGCCTCGGCCTTCAACCTTCGCTCTTCTTCACTGATCCAAGAATCAGGGAACTGGGTCCAACCATGCACGACGCCCTTGACTTCCTCGACGGTGAGATCATTGATCCGTCCTTCATTTCTGACCTTTTCGATCCACACCAGACTCTGCGCGTTAAGCGAGTCGAATTGCGGTAAGAGGAGCCATATCCTTGCTTTGGGATGCAAGCCCTCCTGGTCGCCTGGATGCTTCGGTCTAAGGTCCACCAGACCAGGACTGGCACGTGGATGGCTTCGGAGGTCGGCAGGGAGATATGTGGGCATCAACTCTTTCTCGATCTGCCAGCGTTCAAGAATGCCGTTAGGCGGAGGCAGGCCTTCGGGCCGAGGTCTCTCGTGCGGCAACAACCGGCAGTCGAAACTCGGATAGAACAACAAGATGGGAATGTCGTTCTCAAAGTCCCAGGGAATGGGACTCGGCCAATCCTTGTGGACCGTCGGGTCGTCCTTGACACTCAAGGCCAGGTTCAAGGCCAGATTTCCGCCCGAGCTGAAGCCCGAAAAGGCGATCCTCGACTCATCCAATGCGAGGGGCTTTCGACCCTCCTTTGCCAGATGCTGTTGGATGCCTTCACGGAGCGTCTTGTAGGCTTGCGAGCTCGGCTCAATCACCGCCCGCAGTACGTCTTCGGCATCGTAATTCGCGGCGGGATATTGCGCGGACGGGCCTAATCGATAGTCCACGGAGATGACAACACAGTTGAGCTCGCGGCACATCTGGGCGCAAAAGGGCGCTTGTTCTTGCGGTGAGCCCAGGACGAAGCCTCCGCCATGGAAGTCGATCAGCACGGGCAGCTTCACGTCGTCCGTCGTCTCCGGATTCGCCCTGGGCCGTAGGGATTCTTTCAGATGCGTGCCTTGAGACTGCAGGCGGTGGTAACGAGGGTTGTAGGTCGGCGGGATAAAGATGTAGATTGGAATCATGTGTGCTTCTCTCGAGGGTAGGTCGAACACGACTGGTTGAGGTCCCTCAGGGTTGGTGAAGTGGAGCACGAAGTTTGGCACCAGCCGGGGAACGCTGACCAGCGCTTTGCGCCATGTCACGCCAAACGGCTGGGAGAGCATGGCTGTCCTAGCCAAGAGAAGTTTGCCTGGACCGCTGCAGATCTACCTAGCGCGCCTCAGCTGTTCAGACAGGATGATCGTGGATCGATAAAAGAAGAACTCGTGTCGCACAATATTGATCCGGGACCTTGCGCAGGTTAGTGGCACTGGCGGTGTGATTGTCTGTCTTGCCCTCCGGATGGCAAGCCTGAATGGTAAGTAGAGAGAGAGACCGTGGGGTTCAGGCTGGCTCGTGTTAGCTAGGGAAGTTGGCTGGCAATGCCGGGGATCGTTGTCGGGGGAATCCCGACGGGCGCCGTGGGATGAGCGGACAGGGGCTAGGAGCGCTTTTGGTCAATCAGAGTCGTAGATTAGATCAGGTAGAGCTGCAATAGGTCGAGGAGAGAACGACAGATCGTTATACTAGGTCTCAAACAAGTTTGTCTACTTGTCATCGTCGCCGGCCGGCGGCAGCTCCAACCAGTTCCCTGTCTTCGGCATGATGACGTCAGCAGCACCTGGCCAATGGCCATTCTCTACGAAGACAGCCAATCGTATGCTCAGCCTTGCAATATCGCCGCCAATGGCAGTGCCGTTGTTAATCTCTTTGCTATAGGTCAAGCAAGTCTTGTTGAGTTGCTGCTGGTGGTTCTGTCTCCTTCAATTCAACAAGTGATGGTACACTCAGCCAATGATCCCACCGTGCGGTGCCCTTCGCTGTCATTGACCGCAGCGAGCCGAGCCCATGGCTCGCATCCGGTGCGGCACGAAGTCAACCCTCAATCTGTCGCTTCCAATCGCACCAATCAACAAGCAACGCCTGCATACCAACTTCCACAGCCCCAGCTAACGAGCAGTAGGGCGCGAATTACAGTGTGCCCCGTGTGGACTGTGGCGCGGTTTGTCGTTCACCCGCGGACATATAGTATGATCTCTCATGGGGTCTTTTCTCGTGGCCCTTGATACGGCTGGTCCATGAGACGGTTTCTCAGCAAGTCCTGGTTGGCAACTCAAATGTAGCTCACAGCCATTAGACGCGGCTGTTGTGGCCAGCCGCAGGTTGCCTTGGTCTGTATGAAGAGAGGCCCTCAGCCCCGAACATCGCAATGTGGGCACTTGTGGAGAGGAAAACGGGCGCAGTTGTAGGTTGGTACAGACTTTGGTTGCAAACTAGGTATGTGTACGTGGTAAATATCCCCAGACTATCATTGCTTCAAGTGTTCGAAGCACCAAGACATTGTAATGATGCCGTCAGCGATAGGAACTACACTTTTGTTTTCCTTTGTAAACGCGGGCGCGGTTTCTTGCCTTTGTACCTCCGGTAGAAGATGATGCACAGCCCGGCTCGAACTCTTCGCGGCACTTCAATGGCCCTGGAAAGATAGGTCCTCCGGCGGAAGCAGTCTCATGCTCGGGAGACATGTTGAAGAAGCCGACTGAACCCGGAGGCAGCGGCTCCTGCTGTGGATTAACTCCCTCAAACGTGTTCCGTAAGAAACAGTCAAAGCTGGGTAGCGGATCAGGCTGTAGCTGCGCCCCTTCAAGCGGATGGTTGTGTACTCCCCTGTCGGCCTGAGCTTGCGGGGCTGATGCCACAGTCGAAGTTTCACCAGGACCGTACTGTTCGCTAGTCCACATTTCAACGCCCTGCATCTCATCATCCGTTCCGCCCGGGGCGTCGTCAATGTGCCACACAGAGGCTCCCGGAACAGAGGTGGATATCCCTATTGTGCTGAAGGGGGCAGCTTCAGGCCAAACCCAATTGTGAGCCGGCAGTGGGCCTCGTCCTCCAGTGCGTCGACGACAAGAGGCTTCCAGGCGGCGGACCTCCGCCGCCAATTTCTCTAAGTCAACGGTTCGATCTTGCTTTGGTAAGAGAAAGGGGAGCCAATCTTTACTCGCGTGCAGGCCAAGGTCGGGGAAGTGTTCCCCCTGGATCGGCTCAAGGGTGTGAGTTCCCATTGTAAAGCCAGACTGAGGACCTTTTCCAGGCGAGTTGTTGTTTGGTAGGGCTGTGCCGGGTTTGGGACATAGAATGCGGTGTCCTGATGGAGTGCGGAGAACTGGAGGTCTAGGGGGTCGAGGTGCCAGTGGCACGTACTTAGCATTTCGCACAGCGACATTGATTGTCGATTCTGGAAGGGGCAAGATGTTCTCGGTGAAGTTGCGGTAGAAAGTGAGATCATTCAGGTTCTCTAGCCTCCCTTGGTGGACCTTGAGAGTGTTCATCATGCCAGATGGTATGTAAGTTATGCCCAAGCAGGATGAAGATCAAAAAGTTCTTGGGGTATTGGAAATTGATGTCCTCTCGCAGTAGCTGATGTGACCGTCAGTGTGTTGTGTAACAACGAGTAGTCGGAGGGCGGAGACGTTAGATATAGCAAACACTCAACTTCTCTCCAGGTATATTGTGCCACTCCAAACATGCAGACAAGTGATTGGCATACTCAGGCATCCAGGCGCCCAACCTGCTTGAAAGCAGCCCCTCCCTATTGGTCAGAACAGCCAGCTCATCACTCGATATCAATGGACTCGCTTGTTCACCTTGTTTGTCGTTGGTCCGAGGAGTATGACCAGGGTTGGAGGCTCAGTACGAGAGTGCATGCATGTCCGGGTTGGCATTGGTCGGCTTGCGCCTCTTCGAGACCACTTCCGACTCCCCGCAGCATGGCCTGAATACCCCCTGTCAAAGCAGCAAAGACACGTTGGCACGCGGACGAGGGGAAGACCATGCCCTCTCTGTGGGCCTGACAATATAGTTGGGACGCTGCTCCGGATATTTGGAACGGATGCTGGCCGTCAGATCAAATATCTGAGAGTTCTTCCCATAGATTCTTGCGACCAGGTATTGTCTGGCGGAATGGCACCAGCAGGGCGGCTGTGGGATCCATAAGGTTCAGCAGTCTGCAGCCCATTTCGTACTTCCTACAAGTCCGCAGCCTCAAGCAGACATGATTTGCTGTTTGTTGAGCTCCGTTGGACGATGGAACAGCACGAAAGCCACACTAAGCCTCACTGCGGTGCAGCTACTTAGTGTAATATGCATTGTCCCCTGTACACGGGACTGGCACTGTCTCCATGAGGCCAACCAGCAAGTAGCTGATAGCAAGTCTTCTAACCATTTCCAGGCAACAATCACACCGTCGGCGGATCCCGATCAGACTGTGGGGTGCCAATATGTGCTAGGCTTTCCGTGATCACGAAGAGTCGCCAGGTTATCGTCCGCAATGAAGGGGGCGTCTCTGTGGAATACGATCTGACCATCGCCTAGCTAACGCTTGATAGCCGAGCGCCCCTCTGAATTACCCTTGCCGACCGCGCCGACACAGATATTTCGGCTCACTGTATGTTGGCCTCAAGGCGGCCGAGAGACAGAGTGTTGGAATACACTAAATTGCCGCATAACGGGGAGCGAGGTGTCGCCTTTGTGAGGTAAGAGTTGCCTGAGCATCCTCCTTGCGGTGAACGACTGGCCGGAACTCATATTGTAGATGTACGGTCGTGAGTGCGTAAGGTAGTCACTGTAGCGACAGACTAGGAGAACGGATGTCGCAAATCCACAGGGTTCATCATGCGATCGCTTGCAAATTGGAAATTCATCGAACCCTGCTGGTTTAGGTATCTCACTCCTGAAGCCTGCAGCTTAGTTGGTGCAAAACCATAGGCCCGACCCCCACGGACGGGATTGACAAGGTCGGTCTGGCATCCAGATGACTGGCAAAATCAGAGAAAGCGCCACTGGCCGGATCTGCCAACAGGCATCTTCATATTAACCGCCAGGGTATAGATATGGATGACCACGACGGCTGCAAGTTCTTTCTCTCCCTGGCTCACATACCTTGTTGAAGTGTGCCACCGCTCAGCCGGACATTGGACTCGAGTGCATAGCATGAGAAGACCCTTTCCCCATGGCTTGAAAGTATTTCTTGTCACGCTTGCTGCCAAAGCACATCCATGTCGGATCTTGTGTGATGAGGTTCCGGTAATACGGGGTTGAGAGCACTGTGGTCGCTTCCGAAGCAAGACCTGAAGGCGGTCGTCAATTGAGTTTCCTGTGGCAAGGACTATCGAAGCACCATGGATCCTGCCTGGTTGACCAATATGAGCCGCAGAAGGTACGAGAGGCGTGAGGGCGTCAATGCTCCTAGCCAATAACGGGTCAACACATGCCACATCCTGTCTGAACAGATAGTGGCCACCTGACATACCGAAAGTACGAGGTGAACTAGGGCCCAAGAGTTACCGCAGAGAAAGAGCTGCATAATGTCACAGGTGCATTGAAAGGTGGTGTGGATGGGTCGACCTTCCAATGGTGTAGTGATACTGGTCATTCCGGCTCACAAAGGGCACATTGCGACCAAGGCACTGACCACCGGCGCTTCTCAAGTGCCCTGCACGTTGCCAAACATTGCAGGACATGGAAGGTCGGCGGTGTTGACATGCTGGTTTGGAGCTGGACGGTCTCTGGGATCGCAGCTGAAGGATTGCGTGCCATGCAGTTGAACTGAAAGCCCTCCACTCCAGCGATGCCTTGAGTCAAACATTGCAACCGTCGTCGTCGGTCGACTTGACGCCTGACTAATGCCAGATCCTGGTTGCAATCCTGTCAGGCTGATTCACTGCCGGTCGATGGCCAGAGAAGTTATCAGACGACGCCACGCGGCTTCCTGCTGGTGGGGCGCGAGAGCCGGCCTGGCCTTTAGTAGGTGACGGTTGAGCGATCGTGATCCACCACAGGTGTTGTTCCCTTCAACTCTGAATGCATGGCAATGTAAGTAAAACCAGGGCATTGTATATAGTAGCACCGAGCAACAGTATATGTCAACCGCACAAAGAAACAGTAACCAACGCGCAGGAATGTATCTGGTGTACTCACCGACGATGGCTAGGTTGTTGCTGCATTCGTGAGCTAAGTCAGACGAGGACCATCATATCGGCTCTTAGGGTACATAAGGGACGATGTCGCCTATACCTTGAAGAGAGCCTCGTCGTGCGAGGCGTGGCCAGTACCATGGATTCTGTGTCTCATAGTACCGGGATAGGTCCATGGAGGAGTAAGTTTTGGACGACTTGACATAACCCTCCAGCGAGATCATGTACCGCCGTGCACCGCTGGAGCACGCTAGGTCCTCGAGAGAGGCCTCGGCACCAGCATTGGGCGACAACACTGGCTTATACCAGCCATGGAGGCAACTGCTAGTTGAGATGTTTGACCAAGAGCTGGGTTGTCCGCAGAGATATGGGAATGAGGTTCAGAGTAGCTTTACTTTTCAACGTTCGCACGAAGGAGGTTCTTGTGCTGACGTCGTGAAACTCAGTTGCAACCGCGGTTTCAAACTCACCTAGGAGGACGATACGTGACTGGCGCATTGTGGGGAGGACAAGAGCAGAAAAGCTCCGCAACATCTTGCCGTCGGGTGGAATGCGAGGTGAAAGGGACCCGACGACCATGGATATGGTGAGTTACTACAGTGCGGTAGTAGATCGATAGGTGGTCGGATCGTCCAGAAAAGGTGGAAATTCCTATCACCGAACAGGTTCCCGAAACGCTGGAGGTGTCAAAGGATCGGTATCTGAATCAATCAAGGTTTCTTATACATGCGTCCGTCATATTGACCAACCTGACGAGAAGATTGGTATGACTCCGGTGATTTGGCGGGACAACATGTTCGCGGCAAGCAGCGACCGTCGCCTGAAGGGCGCGGCGGGTGTATACTCACTCAAAGACCCGATTCGAGGTGGCAGAACGTTGTATCAAGAAGGTATTGTGGACGGGGACCGTTAGAAATCCATTTTCATTTGCTCGACGGCGGGCTGCTGAGGCCTCCGACTTGTCACTGTACTACTCGGTATATGTCGACAAAAACGACCTGAATCGTTCCAGAATCCAGATGGAACCATCGTAGAAGGGAGCCTTACTTCCCATTGCCGTTTCCATTCCCGTTTCCATTTCCATTTCCGCTGTTGCCTAGTACTTTTCCCTTCTTGGCCAGCGCATCTTTGCATTCGTCGCAGTACCATTTGGCACTCTTGGGCACACTCTTCAGGCCAATACAGTCCAGATGGAACCATTGTCGAGGGCAATCCGGTTTGTCACAAGCAACCATCTCACCGTAGCTGACGCCTTGGCAATAGCAATACCTCTCCTCATCTTCCTCGACGCCTTCAACCACATCGTCGTCGTCTCCGACATCGTTGTCTATGCCACCTCGCTCGGAAGAGGTAGCAGAATTTGGTGCATCGTTCTCTTCTTTCAGCCGTTGCATGGTTGTCGGCAGTGGCGGAAAGGTGGAAAGGCTGGCATTTTTCTTGTGAGGCCGCTTCATCGGCAACCCTTTGGGTGAGAGGGAATCGTGTAGACCATGGTCCTTGACTCGTGGTCTCGAAGGACGTTTGGATTTCGAACCGTTGTAGCTGTAGCCATTTGCGGATGCCGTTTCGGCCTCTTCAGCTTCGGCGAATGTTCCTGCTACAGGCGTCGACGTTTTCGAGGCTCTACCTCGCGCTGGTCGCTCGTTGCGGAATTCACTTGTGAGTAGTGCTGGCGGAAGGCCAGGTGATGGAACGGCAGTCACCAGCGTTTCATCAGGCTGCGTGTCTTTTGCGCCCTCTTGCCTGCTGCTGGGTCTTTCCAACAGAATGGCTCCTCTTAGAGCTGGCTCGCCATCCGGAGCGTCGGCGGCTGTGGATTTATCTTCCAGCAGTCGATCTCCTTTCTCGGTCTTGGTCTCTTTCATTGTGGTCTTGACTTCGCTCGTGCTCTTTCCAGTCATGGCTGCAACGTTGTTCAATTCGGGTGTGGAGGCAGTCAGGTTGCTACTGTTTCCACCATTTCTATTCGAGGCCAAGGACGAGGGTCGTGCTCGTGCGCTTTCTGCGGCCTGTGTGGAATTCTGGCGGCCTCGTCCGGCTGGCCGTACGGTGGACAATGCTGGGCTCTTCTTGTATGCTTCTTTTCCGGTGCTGCCCGCAAGAGGGGAGGAGGCGAGTTTGGGAGAGTCTTGGGCGATGGCGTTGATCCTGCGGAACGAATTGTTAGTGCAACTTCTTTGACCAGAGCTTACAACGTACCTTTTCCGGGCCACGGTCGTCGCGGCGGTGGACGCTTTCCTCTTCTTGGTGTTCTCCTGCTGCGAGTTTTCTCTCGACATTGGTCGGCCTCCAAAAGCACTGCTGGTTGACCGCTCCATACCGATGCCACCCACTGCTGGCTTGTCTGGTTTCTTCCTTTTGCCGGTACCTGCTCCCGTAATCCCTAGGCCAGCTGGGTCCGGGGCTGTCTCGCCGGCACGCTTTTTCGCGGTGGCGTTGGTCTTCCTCGAGGCAGCTCTGGCCTCGTCGACTTCGGAATCCACATGGTGGTTGGTTCGTTGCCTCCTAGCTAAGAGAGCCTCTCTTCGAGCCTCGCTTCTATGCGCGGCCTCATTCTCGTGCAGGGCGGCTGCGTTCGTGGCAGCCTCTTTGCGGGTTGCAGGAGCGGTCGACTTCTTCACGGGATTTAGATCGGTATATGCCCAGTGTCTGAGACTTCCCAATCGCGCTTCTTCCGATATCTCTTCGGAGACGTGTGGCCAAATTCTGTCCAATCGTCGAATGTGCTTTGCCACCTCCTCGTTGGCGTTGTTGATGACATGGTTCTTTTCGTCCATGGTCACCATGATTGCCATCAGATGTTGTCGCAATGCATGAAACTGCTGTCGCCGCCTTAGCGCGGCTGGGTCGGCCGAACGAGCAGAGGCAAGCGAGGCATTATCGAGGGAACCACCAACGACGCTGTTGACTTCGCTAACATTGGCGGCATCTTCTGCATTGACCGACCCTGGCTCAGTATGCACCGGAGGAACCAGGGTTGGGGTTGAAATGGCCGGATCGGCAAGGCATTCTTTCAAAATATTTTGTAGATTCTCTTCCGCCTCCCAGGCCTTCGCGTCTACCTCTTTCAACAGCGAATTGTGCCTGCGAAATTCTCGAGGCAAGGCCGCGATGGCATCTGCAAAGTGCGTGATGGCTGGGTATAGACGGGGAGGGTCGTTATTTTGTGCAGCTGTATTCGTAGCGGTTGCGGTGTTACTGGAGGATCCCAGAGGAAGGCCACTGTTGGAGGTGAGAGAGTTGTAGCGCTGCTGGCTAGAGTTCAAGCCTCTCGTGACTCTGCCAGGATTGATTCGGGTTTGACGCGCTAAACCGCCTCGAACGTTTGAGTTGCCCAAGGTCGTAGTCATTGTCGTCGCGGACATGAGGATGGGTCGTTCCGACAGAGGAAGTGGAAGGAAACGAGCTGCTCTGTCGTGGGCTCTCGGGAGTGTTGACTGGGAGGATTCTTGGAACGTTATCTCGGCATCGGCGGATTCGCAAGGTAAATATCAAAGACAATTCAAACTAATAGACCCCGATAGCTTGCGAGCATCATGCAGAATAACAGAATGATTGGTGGTGGCAGAGAATAAGGTGGTTGAAAAAGTGCATGAGGAGCAAGTCGACAGAGCACAGCGCAGCGCAAGCGTTGCGCGCATCTTCATTCCCCCCAGTCTGATCCGCCCCCAATTCACCGGTTCCATCCTCTAGTCGGCCCGTGGTGACGCAAAACACCAATAGCGGTATCAGTATCACGTGTAAAGTGGATTATCTAAGCAAGTGTGTATGACCGAAGTTATCCCGGGCAGTCAACTCTCCCAGATAGACGTCAACGTCACCACAACTTAGTATCACAGAACGAGCCTACCTACCTAGGAGGTATATCTACAGCCTGACTAGCTGATCTGGCGATACGCTCGCTGTCCTCACACTCTTGGTGAAACACAATGAATGTGAACCCGGATTCCACTTTACTGATCCCTGACATACGCCACGAGAAGAATACTCTGCAGTATCTATGATCTCGTCAATTGGATCTTGCTGTTTATGGCGTCCACTATCGTACCTAATGATAATTTCGATGCCCCTTTACAAGAAGAGAGAGGAAAGTAAAAGCAATGGTTCTTCATGAACATTAATCTGCATGGTCAACAATGCCACCGAAGTCCTGCCCACACCGCGCATCAAAAGAAAACAGACCCCATGCATGAAACTCGTCTAATCATGAAATGACCCCTTCTTCCCCTTTACCCTCCCCCTGCCATACTCCTTCAATGGTGCTCATATCTAGACTGTGTTGTTCAACGGTAGACGCGGAACATGCTCCAGACCATACATCATTCTCTCGGCGGTATTTGCCGGGACATCGTCAGAACACTGACCTGGGCTGACGGAAGATTCAGGCAAGTCCAGCGTTCGACACCTCCTAAATCCACGAGTCCTCGACTTCCGGCTTCTTCTCCGACCCACAGATATCAACATCCAACGCAAGTTTTGGAGCCTCATCTGCCTTCTTCTTCGTCGGACTTTTGCGTGGACTATACGCTTCGCGAGGGGGTCCTGCCCGAACATCTTCAACAGCCCATCCGTCCGCTTTTGCCGCAGAAACCCAACACTTCAGCCCTTCGTGCACGCCACCATAGAACTTCTCCTTGCATGTGCGAAGGGTGCTGCCCATAACCTTTTCAAAGCCTGAAGTCATCATCTCTTCTCGGAGAGCATTGCGTTGCTGTGGGCTGGGCAAGAAAGCAATCAGCCCATTCAACAAATCTAGGTGAGTGGCCAGATATTGGGTGGCTTCCCATTCAACCCCGCCAACATAGGGTGCAGCAGGATGAGGTGGTCTTGGTGTGGGGAAATGAGCTCGAGTATATCCGACAGACTCGTCAACCTCAATCACAGGGACCACATTGAGATGATGGAGGAAGATCCAAAAGACTTCTTTGGTTACGTTGACGACTTCGCGGCACCAGACTCGGTACGGTCGAGGCACATGCATCTGAGAAACAAACTCCAAGGGTTGCTTGTCGCTTTCTGGCGCAGGGTCCTTGAGGAATCCGAGAATGGTGTCCGCACGTTCCTGCATTTTCTTCTCGTCATAGTTAATAGCGGCGGAAAGATGTGCAAACAGTAGCGATACTATCACTGCTCGCGTTGTAAACTCCGCAGGTCCTTTCCTGTCAGGGTCGAACAACATGCTTAGCAACGGAGGGAAGAATTCGGTTTCCACTTGGTGAAGACGCTGTAGCGCCAATGACGTCGTACAGAGTCCTTTCAGGCAGAGCAGTGTTTCATGCAGCAAACTGTCTTCATGTTCTTCCCGCCATTCAATCTTTTTGATCCGATAGTACAGTTGCAAGAGCTCGTCCATCCCACCTTTTGTCACAAAGTGATCGGTCCAGCTGACGGATTCATTCCTCACTAGGATGCGCAGCTTGTGCAACTTGCTTACTTCAACTAGTTCGGGTTTTTGTACCTCCCGCAAGTAGTGAATGAAGTCGCCAGGGGTCGTGGCACTGTCTGCGACGTTGAGCGATGCCAATGACACTGTTGAAGCCATGGCTCTTGAAGAAGTAGGTCTGGAAGTGGAAGCATCGGCTGACTTGTTGCGAGATTTGCTGCGAGATCTTGACGATGATCCTGGTCTGTCGGATTTGCTGGACGATTCCTCATCACGTCTACTCAAGGTCAAAATGCGACTGCGTGGCCGAGATCTCGATCGGGATCGTTTCCCTTCTTTTCCCTCTTCGCCTTGACTGTCTGGTTTTTCGTTCTCCTGCTTCCGGGGACTGCTTGCCGATGATCGTACCTCTGACGCATCCGCAGCAGCTGAAGTGGTTGATGACCCACTGCCAACCCGTTCTCCTTTGATCAATCCTGCTTTCACGTCTGGTTTAAGGTTTCTCATGTTGTCGCGCATATTCAGAGGGATGTTTAATGAGTCCAGGACCTGTTCAAACGCTGTATCGATTTCCTGGGGACTAAGCGTTGGGCTTGTGGTTGAGGGGTTGTCTGCACCAGAGTTGGCGTTTCGACGAGACTTCATGTTCAGACTTTGGATTGCGTCAATAACTCTGGATCCTCTTTTGGCCTTTCTGTCTATCTGAGACGTCTGTGAGGAACGAGTTGGTAACGCGGGACGGACATCTGGCGTACGCGATGATCCGGGGCGGCTATTGTTCTCATCCTTGTTTTGTGGCTGCTTCGCTTCTGGTTGAGGTTCATCATCCAGATTCTCCGTGAATATGGAGCTTCTGCTAGATTTGTGCTCCAAGAATGGTCGTTGGGGCGGTCTGTGCTCAAGTGAGGTTGGAAGCGCAGGGCCGTAGCCATAGAAGTTCCTCTGCTCTGCCGGCCGAAATTCCGAGTAGTCTTTTGGAGTGTAGAGTTTGATCTCTTCCTCGAGCCTCCTTCGTTGCGACATGGGGTAGAGCATCTTGCCGTCGGGGCTTTCCAATGGCTGCGTTGCAAACTGCTCCCAAATCGGGGTTGGGTTGTCGTCTTGTGTCTGTTTGGAAGGAGAGAAACTCCCTTCGTCGCCTGCGTTTTCTCTTAAATCTTTCTTTGACTTCCTCTTGAGAAGTCCTGTCAGGTTGGCCGCTGACCTCACTTTCTTTGGCTTCTTTTCGATTGTCTGAACTTCGGTCGATGAATCACTGCCTGTTTCTGGACTTTTTTCTTTTCCCAATATGAAGCCTTTCAATGACACTGAGCTTCCAGTCTTCTTGTGACTGCGGTGTGCAGGAGGTTGGCTTTGGTCACCAGATTTGGTCGCGATTCGTTTGGTTTGGGGAGGGCTGTTGATATGCCGTTCACCAAGAGGGTAGGCCGACGCAATATTCTCTTGAGGGTGTTGATATGCTTGCTTGCCTGGGCTTAGGTTCTCCTTCCGTCGTCCGACTAGAACGTCTGCGGTAGAAGGTGCGCGGCTCTGATATGTCTTCCGCCCTCTTTGTTGAGGCTCTGGGTCCTCAAAGATTTGAGAGACCTCGAGTACGTTTGGACCCATGGCGACGGACAGAACAAAATATTGGCGCACGGTGTCTGATCAGATACTACTCATTATTGGTACTTGAGCAAGTGAGATACATGTGCACGGGCAAGACTTTGATCAACGACGACAGACGCAGGCATGAGATCGTGGCGGTCGGAATTGCGCTGACCGCGTAGTGTGTTTACATGGCAACAATCGATAAGGGAGTCTGTCACGTGCTGTGTGTGCTTCACTCAATTCGAATCGCTCCCACTCGCCAGACTTCAGGGTCACTACCATACTACTACTCGTAACCAGAAGGATAACTACGGTACCTCTGAAAAGGACTTTTTGTACAATAGGAGAATCCTGCATGTATATTTGGGAACATTATTGTGTGGCAGACAATGTCATCCCCTGGTCACCTTGGTGGTCCAAGGGAAGTTAATCATGCAAGGCACCAACTGGACTACATATTCTAGTTTTATCCTAGACTTCTTGACATCTTCCTCCAACCTATTATCCAGAGCAATAGCTCCCAAGTCATGGCAAAAGAAAACCATCATTCCTCGTGGCTCATTCGATCAAGACGAGCATTAAGCAATGCTTTGTCGCCATCGGTCGATCTGCGCTCTTTGTTTTGGGTCAAGAGGCGGACCCATCATGGGGTCCTGTATAAACGGCTGGTTGCCATGGCCATAAGGGTAGAAATTCATGGCTTGTTGCATCTGCATCGGGATTGGGGCCCCGTTGAATGCGCCGTTCATATAGCCGTTTCCAAATGCGCCGTTCGCAAAAACACCAGTCTGCTGGGCATAGCCCCAGTTGACTGCCCCGGGGAAAGCATAATGTGGGTTGAAGTAGGCGGGCGGCAAGTTCGAGTCGCGGCCGAACTGCACCAAGGGCGCTTGTGCACGAGACATGAGCCGGTCTGACGCTTTTGATTCCGCAGAAACCTCTCTTGACCTGGCCACAACAGGATGAGCTTGCAGTATACCAGCCATGCTGTGCATAGATCCGAGTCTAGGCCGGACACCAGACTGGCCATCAGCACGCAGAGCTTCCTCTTTCAGCCTCTTCCGCCTCTGCGCCAAAGTCTCCTCAACATCTGGCGTTTTCGAAGTTTGAATGGCGCTAGGCTCAATACTGAGGCCTAATTGACTTGCCACCTCTTCTGCAAACTGTCCTCCTGTGCCCTTTTCCTTCTCCAGCCTCAGTCTTGCGACGCGCTGGGCCAAGGTCTCCTCATCAATATCAGGGACCTCTCCCCCAGAGAGCCCAGGAACATCGTCGATGAAAGGAGCGCGAGTAGTCTCATCGATATGGCTTCTGGTCTCCGACTTCACTGACTCCAATGGCTCGCCTCGGAGTCTTGCGCGTCGGTGGCTTAGTGGCTCGTTGTCTTCCATCTCTCGCCTTTCTAGCAAGCCAATAGGGCGATGGACGTTGACGTGAGTGGCCCGGTCCTTCTCAGGGAAAAGGAGGCCAAGGGGCACATCCTCATCATCGAAATTCTGCTTGTCTGCTTGCTCATGATCCTCCCAGGCCAACGTAACGTGCTTTGTCTTTCGAGATTTCTGCTGAAGTTGAGCCACGGCATCGAGCTCAAGCAAGGTTGAACGCATTCCATTAGGAAATGCGTCTGCAGCAGTGCGATTGCGCTGTTTCTGCTGTTCTTTGCGCATCTGTAATTCGGCGAGTAAGGTTGTAGGTGCAGCAGAGAATCCGCTAGGGGCATCCTCTTTGACTTCGTTCTGTCCAGGCTCATCATCTGAGGCGATAGACTCTGCCGCTGCTTCGTCCAGCTCATCTCCACTGACATATTCATCACCGCCTGACACGACTTTAGAGCCCCTGGACTTTACCCGGCGGAGCCCGGATCCAGAGAGGCCAGTACTTGACCGTCTGGTTCGCAGCATCCTGCTCAAAGAAGTGCGGCGTTTCTTTCCCTTTTCGTCTAACGGTTGCCTGCTTTTTCGCGGCGAATCATCTGGACCATATACTTCGTTTCCGAGCTGTCCTGCAATTGGATGGTCTGTGAATGCGCTTACCGGAGCATAGGCAGCGGCATCCAAGATGCTGTCGAGTGTCTGCACCGCTGAACCATTCTTCAACTTCAGGTCCTCAGTGACGCTTGGATACTCGAAAAAGGCGCTCGCGCGAAGCTGCGGGGGAAGATTCAGTGGTGTCCTTTCCCCCTGGGCGTTGGGGCCATTCGAATTGGAAAGCCATGCAGCTGAGTTGCGCATTTGATCTGGAATGCCGCTAAGTGCTTGAAGTCGACGTTTTTCTCGCTCAGACAGATTAGGCTTGGACAGCCGCTGGGGCAGGTTCAGCATGACAGGTACCGGGGCCGGGTAGTAGATCATCTGCTCTCCAGGCTGTGCCTCTCTGAAAGCCTTAGAATCTCTTGCTCGGGGTGGATGTGTAAGAGAGATCTGGCGCGACATAGATCCCAGGGGCTCCTGGGACACGCCTGAGCCGTAATGGACACCATCAAAATCGTGGAACGCGGATTGCGCTTGACGGTATGTATCATTTGAGGCGGATGTAGCTGGCCTTTCATCGTTTGCGATGTCGCTGGTGGGTGTGTGCGAGGCTATCGCTGCTCCATGCATCGACAGAACGGCAGCGGATGCATCAAGGTCGGAAGTGAATTCAAGAGGGCGTCCCTCCAACAGGGGCTCCGGCAATGATGGCTTGCGGCCACTGCCTTTCGAAGAGTGTCTCTCAAGGTGCTGTTGATGAGACCACGGTCCAGATCGGATTGACCCCGTCGGAGATGTAATGTACCCTGAGGGTGAGTATCCTCCAAACCTGGCTGCCTGGTTTACGCCGATGATTGAGTTGGACCAAGAGCCAGCTGAAATTTGTCTCTGAAGAGATGGGCCAAGAGCATTGTTCAAGCTCGCCGGTGCGGATGACTGGCGTTCCAGACGTTTCTGGTCTTGTCGCATCTTATTCAGTTCATCTTCCAGGCTTGATGTCATGCTCAGACGCTCAGCGCTCTCTTCTAATCGCTCCACATTCTTGACCATAGCCCCTTGCAGCGCGTGCATGTCCGGGGTAGGGTGGTTCAGGGGGAGATGTCGACTGATAGATGCAGTTCTCATTGGCGGCTCTTCTGACTGTAGTGTTATGGTATCGTCCTTTTGTGAAGCAGAGTCCCTCTTTTTGACCTCAAGCCCCCGGGGCGTCTGCATCGGTTCCTCGTAGTCATCGCTCTCCACGATCTCATATGACGGAGTTGTGTTGAGAGATTTGATGAGAGATGCTACGCCTACCGAGGGAGGTCCAGCCTGGAATGCTGCAGACTGGTCGGCATCTCCGGAGACGACATCGTCGGCCGGCGATAATGAAGGACTGGATGTTTCGGGAAGAGCAGGTTGAATCGAGGTTCCTTCGCGATCGAAAGCATCTTGGTCCGCTTGGGAGACAGAGACATAAGCCATGTAGCAGTGCTGACAGACCTGCACCGGGTCCGCAAGATATGGAACCACGGGCGCACAGGCGATCACTCTTGGGACGATTGTCGACACCGCGGGCGCATGTTGGATTGGGTTGCGAGTCTCAGGCGCCCGGATTGGTAGGAATGTGCACCGACGGATGGCAAACGTGAGATATCGGTCTGGAAGAGAGAGAGGAAGAAGTCCACCGGCACGCGGGGATGGATAATGTAAAATGAAGAACGTGACTGTCGTCCAACGGCTCCAAAAAGTATGAGAAGTGGACTCCGGCTGATGGACAAAGGGCGTCTGTTATCTACAACGCAATCAATCGCGACAATGAGATGGGTGGCCTTCGCAGTTTCGCTTGCAGCAAATGATACGAATCGCGAGTAGTAGCAACTACAACTACAACTTGAATGTTAGAGCGCACTTGACTTTTCTGGGGCTACTAGTACTAGGGCTACTGGTGGCATGGCTAATCGGTAGTTGCAACCAAGCGTTTCCACCACTTCCAGGCTACGGAACCTTCAACTTTACTAGTAGCCTCAAGTGGATTTTAGAAGGCGGCTCGTTATGCATAATGCACCAACTAGAAGCTTTAGTCGTCGGCTACTATGTTTGTGATTTAAGGAATCTTTATTCGCCGGAGACACTCCAACACACTAGTATCAGCAGTACTAGTAGACCCTCTCTTTCTGGGACTATCCACGGATCGCAATCACCACTATTGACGCCTTCAACGCCTCCCGGACTCGACATGGCCCCTTATCAAGTAGATTAGTTGGCAGCGACGGGCCAAGGTGTCTCGAACGCGGCTGAGGGTCCTGAGCCACGAACAGCCAAAGTTGAAGCTCACCGCGATAAGTATCTCCCACCAATCCATGATACCACGGAATCCAGAATATTGACGTAGAGCAGGTCGTTCACCCGTGTCTTCTTTCTATCCTCAGGCCCCCATGTTCTGCAGACAAAAAAGCGACGCAAGGGGAGAACAACAAGGCCGAACAAGAAAAACAATCAGTCTTGAGCTGAGTTTCCGGACTTGGGAGAAGAAGAATGACATTGTTGGCACACATGGGATTGATCCAACATGAAGGGAGATGGCCTCCCTAGTCCCGGGGTCCTCTGTCAGGCACACCAATCATCGCTTATCTGCTCCTGTCTGACATCTTCTAGATTGTCCGCCTGTGGGTGTCCGCACCCCGCCGAGATCCCACGCCCACGATACTGCAATACTAGCAGTGTTTGTACCTGGAGCTTGTGCCTGAACCAACCCCCAAAGACAGGATACATGGCTTTCCGCATCCCGCAGCCGCTGCCCTGCCATGGTGTAACAGAAGTTTGTCCCCTAAGCCGGCGACAGGTCGAAGCACCCCAATGCTGAAAGTTACTGTCTCAGTCTGAAACAATTTGAATGGCATGTTCCCTGTCTCGTTCAACTCGAACGGATATCTGCAGCGTCGAGCAGTGATGAAATTGAGCAGGTCGGATCGAAACCTTGTCGGGCATTACAGCCACAGATAACAATGCACACTACGGACTAGTACCGCAAGGATGAAGATCAACGATGCATATGGATTTCTGTCCGACCAATAGCCACATTGAATAGTACGAAAGTCCGAATTGATGTGATAGCATGTCGGCAAGGATTGGTCGCTCGAGGAATCGAGCCTTCGGCATTTCACAGATAAGCACAAGAGCATGGGCTTGAGCATATCTCGCTTCTTGTGATCGTTATCTGAATCGTCCAGGTACAATGTTCACTCGGTCAAAGGTTCAAGGCTGCAGGTCTCATTTCGCGTTCCCCCACTTCGGGTAAGGCTCTACAGCTCGAGCTAGAGCGATGAGGCAGGCTGCTTCAACTCTGATCTCTCTATACCACCGACTCTCCCCGAACCTTCACGCCCTGCCGACGATAAATTTAGAAGGCAGGAAATGCACAGGCAAACTGTGAAAGCCCCGGCTTGCCGTGCAGCTCACATGCGAGGCATGAGACACACGTATGGACATGCACATTGGAACCTCCTGCAGAGTTGTGAAGACTCGCTGCAATCTCGACCTGCTCTTCTCGACCTTTTGAGATCCTTCCGGGGTGACTGTCGGCTTCATTGGAATCTTGCTAACTCCGCTTAACAGCACTTGCAACATCGACCCCCAGGCTGTACATCAACTGGTTGCAACTCTTGATATTGCCCTTCCTGCAAAGCCCCACAACCCAATCTGAAAACAAAAGGTCAGTGCGTTGTCATATTGCCGCTTCTGGCTTCGACATCTGATTGGATCGGGCGGGAAGGGGTCGATTGATCATAATGAATCGTTTGTTGAGCGCGATGCATTGACAGCGGCTAGATCAGTGCCCTTGCGGCGGAGGATCTTTTTGGCCACACGGGTCTGCAGTCGGAAAACCAAGCTTTCTACCGAGCTCTCGGACACTCCGACATGACATCTCCACGTTACGCTCTATCGACAGACAGCTTTCATTTTCCGAGAGACCAGTGCTGATATCCAGTGCTGAAGCGTTCCCTTTGAGCAGCTTTTCCATCTCCACTAACTGCTTTTCGAATCCTACGTAACTATATCAGCAAATCCACGGCCAATTCTAGCTTGACCCTGCTTCCCAGGTCGTGCGTCTCGTCCTGAAGCCCCGAGACCAGCCAATTGGCCCGCTGCACGTTTGCTTAGTCCTTGATGTGCAAGAGCTACTCAAATCAAGTGTTGCTTCGACTTACCTTATGGTTAATCCCCGAGAGCCACTGCGCCGACCGCCTCATTTCTGCTTTCAGGCGTATCCTAGCTCGAACTCACCTCGGTCTTGCTTCCGGGTACATGAAAGTCATCTTATCTAGAGCCCTCTTTCAAGGTGAAGTTATTGCATTGAAGAAGAACCTATCTGCTCGCTCTGTCGTTTACGTCGCCTCTCCAGGTGTTGGAACTACCTATAGCTGGGTCAGCACACCACTCAGCTCGAATTTTAGGGAGATGTCGCTCAAATACTTGCCCTCGGGTAATATCCAACACACCCGGCACGATTTGCATGAACGGGACAACTAAAGAAGGGCTTGATACTCAACTGAACCAGTCAATCATGTGCGGTCGAACGTGGTAACCAGAGTACCCTCGTCATCATCTGGGGCCTCCGAATGATTAACACGATAATCGTAGACGAGAACCACAGGGGCTTCCTTCTTCCTTACTTCTACGAAAAAGCGAAGCGCCGTGACTGGTCCTGCTGCTCGATATCGCCCACACGCTTCAAGTCTGACGTACTGAGCTCCGATTCTGGAGACGACTTCAGTAAGTCGGGCCAGGTGTGGCATTCTGACACGGCTGATCACCTTGCTCTGATCATTCTACACCCGGTCATCAGAATCTGCTGCTAGCAACGACACCGATCCCCGTCTAGGCTCTGTCAGCCGTGTCAGGCCAAACTCGAAAATCGTGGTTTGAACATTCCATGCCCCTCTCCTGAAATGTCTTTACACTCGTACCGTGCACGCCAGGTTCGGACATGGTCTGAGGACATGCAAAACACCGTAGCTGGCCGGTGGCCCTTACGAGCAAGCCCCAAGGATGCTGCATATTCATAAGGCTGTCCATGTTCCTCCCTCCCTCCGACCACCATCTTAGACGGAACAGAAATGGAAAGTTCAATCAAGGCCACCGATCCTCGCCCGTCTCGTCGCTTGCATTTGTCGAGACTGCTACCATACTGCTTTTGTTTGGCAAATCCGACGACAGCTTTACCTCTTAACCTTCGAGATCCAGTGGCATCGTCGGCAGTGGCAGCACTAGCGGTAGAACAAGCCTCTACAAGCTCCCCACCTGTTCTGGACTATGAGAGAAGTAGGCAAGACTGCGAGAGCTGACACGTCAAATCATATGGTATGTACCTTTCCGTGTTCTTAGTTCAGGACGACCTTGAACAAAAGATCTCAATCATCGATTACCCCAGATGCGTGAAATGGGAAGGCCTGCGTGCAAAATCAGTGATAGAGTGCTCTACACCGGCAAACATACAATTCAGACAGGAGGCCTCACAGCAAATGAAGGGAATCTTACTGCAACTCCTACAGCCACGCAAGCAAGCAATCTGCTGTTCGCAATTGGGCCTTGGTATACATTTCCAGGTATCACTTATCTCGTATCATGGGGTGGGACGTTGCCACTGCCATTGCCGAAACAGTCAGTGATAGTCAAGGAAACGTGTTGGCATCTGGAATGGAACTGGCACTGCCCTGGTTTGGGAATGCAAAGGGAGAAACTAACTCGTTCTTCATATGGAGCAGATCCTTATTTGGTAACTGGTTTTCCTCTGAGTTCTTTGGAGCTGTTTTATGGTAATGGCAAGGCAAGCAAGCAAGCAGGAAAGCAAGAAGGAACAGCAAATACCACTGTCGCCCTGTGCTTCTGCATTTTCGGTTGGAAACGAAGGAAGTAGTTCGTGCTTGGTAATGATACTATATGGTTCATATATGATATCTTTGGTTGGTATGATATCTTTCTCCAACCAATTCTATCCATGCCGTTCTGCCATTTCCCTGACCAAAGAAAACAAATGCAACTGTAGGCTCTACGGAATGTGCATCAGAAGAAAGAGCATGCTCCACCATTATATCAAGAGTGATAAATTGATAAATAGGTATCTACTCTCAACTCAACTCGTTTTTTGATGTCATTCTGATATCGCGTGTACGGATGTCTCAACGTCGTAACTCAAGGCCCTTTCCACCATCGTAGATTCTTTGCAGTTGCGGTCTCTTAACATACCGTCGCCTTGCTGTTCCTATCCGATATGCGGCCATCAGAAAAGAAGATGTCTCCTCAGGTAGCTTCTGAGTATTTGCATTCCCCAACTCGGCGCTGACTGGTGCTCGCTTGCATTCAGCCTCACACGATAAAGTCCAGTTTCTCGCCTTCTGCCCCTTGTCGCCTTGAGGTCTCCTTGGGGTCCATCCTTCGAATCAAACCTTCTCCTGCTGTTCCCTCACAGCCTTGTCTTCCTCGCTGGACTCGCCGTGTGCAACATCCGTTTCCTGCTGTCGTCCCAGGTCGTGGTGTGTGACCTCAGCCATGTCCGGATCGTGCTCAACGCTCAAATTCCGACCTCTCTTTTCTGGCCCGATAAAAGTTATGAGGATAGTGTATGCATACACCGCTCCCATGAAAATACAGATGACTTTGCCGTAATTATAGCGTTTGACGGTTTTGCCATTCTTGTGAAGAGGTGCCAGCGGAAAACGTTCGCCGATGGTCGATTCGATGGTGGACGAAGCAGAAGAGGCCAGATTCCCGAGCTGGTAGGAAGTTCCGACCACGAATGTGCGGATGGAGCCTGGGGCTAATTCCATCAAATGCACGGGAATGACGCCCCATGCGCCCTGCACGCAAAACTGCTGGAAAAACGCCGAGGCGATCACAGCCTTGGAGCTCACAAATGTATACGGATACAGCAACGCCCCGCCCACAATGCAGATAAAGATGATGCTGAGACGGCGTCCGAAGATCTGTGAGCAGTACCCTATGGTCGTGCCGCCTGTCATCGCGCCCAGATTCGCCACAACTTGGGTTACCGTAACGGCATCAGCGGAGAAGCGCAGTTGATTAGATAATAGAGTGGGATAAAGATCTTGCGAGCCGTGACTAAGCAGGTTAAAAGATGTCATCAGGAGTATCAAGTACAGCAGCAACAGCCAGTGGCGCTTGAGGGCGACTCGACCCTCGGAGATGAAGGTACCAGCCAGACTACCTTGTTGCTTGCGGAGGGCCTGGCGAGCTCGGAAGGTGTTGGTTTCAGGAAGACACAGACGGAAGAGGATGATGAGGATAGGAGGTCCGGCGCCGAACCAGAAAAGAGGTCTCCATCCGTGGGAGGTGGTGTTGACCAGGCCGCGGGCAAATGCGGTTGCGAGAAGATAGCCGAAAGCGTAGCCTTGTTGGAGCATGCCCGAAATAATCCCGCGGGCGGCTTCCGGACAATCTTCCAGAGCCGTGGCAGCAGCATTCCCATACAAGCCACCCATTGCAATACCAAAAAGTGCACGCACTGCCAGGAACTGCTTGTAGGTCTGACAAAAGCCGGTGCCGAGTTCGAGTATTATGAAGAGGATGTTGTTGATGATGAACGGCCTAGGGTGAGGGTGAGTATGAACTAAAGACATGGTTTCACAGTCTCGACAAACCATTTGCGACCGTACCGGTCTGCAGCAATGCCAAAAATGGTCGAGCCGACAGAACGGAACATCAACACCAAGGTGATACCCCAAGTGATGTCGGTGTTCGATTTGCCAAAGTCCTCGGCTAGGTCGGTGACGGTGAGAGAGACGGTGAAGAAATCGAAGGCATCCCAGGTCCAACCGAAGAATGCGACGAGGAAGAACAGCCATTGTTGGGTATTGAGCATGGCTAACAGCGCGAAGGGGTTTGGAGCCTTTGCCATCGGCGGCTTGAGCGTGGAGAGTCGAGTCGCCACATATCTGGCAGCAGACATTGGCTTGTGGGAGAGTTCATCTTCTTCGTAGGCCTGGTCATCTTCCAGAGTTTTACCCGGGGGTGGAATAGGGCTGGGATGGACGTCGACGTTGGCCATGATGGCAAGAGAAGGTGTATGTCTAGCCTTCAGAACTAGAGGTAGCCTGCACACGGCTTATGAGTTGAAGAAGGCACCTCTGTAGATGACCTTCTTGAGGTCGAGTGACGAGCAGAACAGGCACAAAGTGGGATGAAGGCATGCATTTATCCCAATTCAATGGAAAGGGCAGGTGACCCGTGGAAGAAGGAGGAACTGCCGTAACTCGTTGGGCCGGCACCTGATCGGCGTACCAAGTCCATGCATAGCAACACAAAGATGTATGGTGGTGTGTTACACAGAAAAGCGCCGTTGATGGTTGGCGGGAACATGGCGGAGTGGAGGGCGAATGGTCCATCATCCTGGAGAACGGGAGAGAGGCCGATGTCGAGCTGCGGGGACGGAGGGAAGATCAGGACGAAGGAGCGAATAAGACGAGGCTGGACCAGGGTCAGTCAGTTGCAATGCGTCAAGATGATTGAAAGTAACGTCGTGCGGTGAACTGACCAATGCAGGTAGGACAGCTTTCGGTCCTGCGGATGACAGAGGCGAGACATTGGTTTGATGCATCATCTCAGTAAGTAGTGAGGCTGAACGAAGCTGAACGAGGCGATATTCAAGAGCCGACTGCGGACTTTGCTCGGCTGGCTCTAAAGGAACTCTTGCCGTGGTAAAGCGCCGAACATAGCAATTGAACAAAAGGAAGAACAGAAGCCTACCTATCAAGTCATCGCAGACTTAGGTATCCAAGTCTTTTCATCGGTATCGCTGACAGATGGGTAGGATGAAAGAAAGATCTGATATGGATGAGAGCGAAGAGACTCGCAGACATTGAGGGAAGCGCAGGGGACGAGAGGCTAGTGCGGGGCAATTCCCTGTGAAGTTCGAATTGTGGCATTCACAGCATCTCAGAGTGAAGGCCAGCATTCCTACGATCAATCATACAGGTCATCTTTAGCTAAACGTCGAGCTTTGAATATGAAGGAACTTGAACTGCCGGTCACTACAGCCAATCATGCCTCTAAAATGCTCTAATGATCTACCTGTAAGCGTCGGCTAAGGAGGCAAGCCTCCACAAGCTTCAGGCTTCAGGCTCCACTGCAGCGGGATTGCACCGCAGTCTGGCGCAATTTAAAGTTGCTGGCGACATCATCGGTGGAAAACGGAGGTCAACTTCTCTTCTCCTTGTTGAACATGTCCTCCACTGGCACTTCAACGATAGTCAAGGCACCGACAGCCTTGTCGTTTCCGCCATCCAAGTCCGGTGAACAGGTGCTCCCTCTCATGATGCTCCTCCATCGCCGGTGACCTCGTGCCTCTCCCCCAAAGACGTGCCCAACCAGTCCAGCCAGTCCAGCGCTCGTTTTCAGTTCCCTCGACCGCCATGCGGCTCTCTTGTTCGACTCTCCTGCGCATATCGATCAACAGTCGGCATCCATATCTGAGTTGGTCGGCAAGCCCTTGTGCACGGAGACCAAAGCCATAAGGAAGCCTTTGTCCAGTCTGTCGCGCCAGCTCAACTCGTAACAAAAGATCCTTGGTCTTTGACACAATCCCTTCAAATGTCAATACCGCGCTTCCCAGGTATTCCCTCTCGCCGACATAGTGCTCATTCAAGAGCTGGACGCTGAGCGATATCTCCATTTCCGTAGCAGAGCACACCCCTTCCAGCCTCGTGTCCATTTCTTCTTTGCAGACCTCCATTATGCGCTCCTTTGACGGTGTGAAGTTTTGTTGGATTTTCTTGAATCGTCGTCCTGCTTCCTCCGAGTTGAGTTTGGTCTTGACGCGAAAGCTCTCCTGAGACGACACCTTGATCCAATCCCGGATCCACCCCATAGCGGCGCTGCGGCGTCCCAAGACTCAGTCAAGGCCTTTTGCTTCGAGGCAGTTACAACTTCTGGGGTGCGCTTGCCATGCCAGGGTGGACTGGGCTGACCCGACAAATTTCTCTGATGCTGGCCGTGCTCTGCCGATCTGGGTGTGCGCTTTTGGGGAAAGGCCGAGTTGTTGCCCGGCTTCCCTTTAAGTGCGGTCCTGTCTAGTGACCAGATTCACTTATGGGGATGGAGTGGAGCGGTGCGAGAAGTCCATTTGACAGTGCTTCATGTTCAGAGGCGCGTCAGCCAGTTGCTGAAACGCGATGTGGAAGAGGTTCAAAGTCGTCGAAAGTCCTTGTGAGATTTGAAGACAAAAGGGTCGTCGCAAATCAGGTGAAGAGCAGATTTTCAACCATCAGCCTGCCTTGGGATGGAAGCGAACTTCGGTGTGCGTGAATGCTTAGGTAGGTGTGAAGTGAAAACTCAGGTGAATGGTCTATTCTGTTACAGGCAGGCTGCAACTTTTGTCTAGCAAGACATCCTGGGTTGGTGAGGACCTTGGTCTGGTGGCCCGACTAGGGCGCATTCAGACAGATCCTCAGCCGGTATACCTTTCTCGACCATGGATCTGGGGCGTACCCCGTGGCCAGGAGAGTTAAGGTTGGTGGTTCACTACGATGTCTACTGAGGTCCTCCTGGGGTCTATCCTCTCCTCCATCTGCTTCTGGAAGATGCTGCTTGCCTTGTTTACATGACGAAGTGAGACAGATCGAGCGCAATCTCATCTCACAAAGCTCGCGTCAATCTATCATAACAAGCTCATATCAAACAGCGCGTTCAATACAATCAGTCGACGAACATCATACAATGCCTTCTCGCGCTAGGAAGAAGAAGCCGTTACACGCTGTTCCTGAAGTCTTGCGGAAGCTTCGCCTAGGCCGGCTGTTAGATCGACAAAACATCACCGCCAATGAAGCAAACGTCGAATCAATCACACCTCCCACCAATAACGAAGAAAAAGAGCCAATTGTCTTTCCAGACCCCTCGCATCCTCATGCATTCCCTCCTACCTCTACAAACATCGCCGTCCTGAGTGGCACTGGAAGCACACATACAGAGTCAGAAATCTACCGCCTTTCCGTCGCTCTCGGTGAAACTTTTGAGATTGCTGCCGATCTATCGTCTGGCGAAGGGTCTCACCTTTCCACAGCAGCCGATGAGGCCCGCACAAACGCTACATCATGCTACGTACCTGCGGTCGCCCCATGCACAGGCCAGCATGGACAAACTCGGTTTCCAACAATTGGTGACAATTCAGTACAATCCAGTCCTGTTTGCTCTCAAGCAATCGGTGGGCCATTACAAGGAGATCATAAAGATCCACATTCAAAATCTTCCTCTGAACAAGTTGGTAGACACTCCCAACTGGCCAGTCGCGCAAACAACTTTCATCATGCCAGCAGACTCTCCAGGGTCTTAGAAGATGTCGCAGGCGAACGCAACACACGGTGGCCATCACCACGAAACGACACGTGACCTTTGCAGAGTCCACGGTTCGAAACCACTTGCTGCGCCAAAGAGCACCGGTCAGACCACCTACACCGCCTCTGTATCCTAGATATATTGATACAATTCATCAAACCCCTGGCCACTGGAACAGAATAGGTGCCAAGGCAGCCCTCCAGCACTGGATCGCTGATTTTGTTGTGTTCCACGACGAGCTCAAAGCAGGCATCCGAACATACTTCAACAGATGGACTGATCTGTTTCTCCTTCGCGGGGCAAGACGACTTCTTCGGGCCCCCCTGCACATCTCAAAGATCCTGGAGGTATTATCGGCACATCTCGATCTGCGTCCGTACTGCAATTCTTTCGCTATCGAGCAGTTGGACATGGACCTTCGTGTTTGCTTGGACGAGGGACTGGAGCTATATCAATGCATGGGGAGGCGGAGCCGGTCAGTCGTAGGCCCTCTGCAGGGGAAAGGTTTGGTTTGGCGACGACACATGATCCAGTTTGACCTTGGACCCCGAATGGAGCGTATCGCGAAAAACCTGCGTACGTTGGAACGGCAGGCTATTCAGACCACCAAAAGATTGCGGAAGGGGGCGAATGAGTCGGCCGGCCAAGTTTGCACCGACCCAACAGCCTTGTTGCTGTGATCATGCGCTAAGAGGTGTATTGGCCAGCCACGCATGGGAATTGAAAGATCTGGTTGTGTATGAAGTTTGGAAAGATAGCCAGGAACGACATCAATCACAAACAGTCACGAAAGTGCTGACGACCAGGAGGATTCTGCTGACGACCAAGAACAGTCTGCTGACGACGACCTTCCTAGCCCTCCGTCTGGTTCTCTTCCCAATATGGCATTGAACTTCCGCCAGAAGCTGGACGCTCTCCTTGGCCCGAAACCAACTTTCTCGGCTTCTTCCGATTCTGAGGAAGAATCATCAGATAACGCAGCCGAGAACACCGATTCGCCCCCCCGTCACCCAATCGCCCCAACGACGCCACGCCGTCTCCTCGCGGCGAGCATACCTGACCCAACCACCCGCGACCAGTCTGTCGATTCGGGCGAGGACTCTTCTGATTCGGATTAGGGACGCCGCAAAAAGGGGTTAGCTAAGCTAGGAGGCTAGGATTGAGACATCGTACAGGGCCTACACGTTCTTGGCTTGGGCTATAGTTTTAAGGGGCAGTGTACAAATCCTCCCTTGGAAGTCTACTAGTTCTTCCTGGGATGGGTTGTTGGACAAATACCATTGTATTGTCTATATCAGCCTGTGGTAGCCGTGATATTACCTTTCTTTTCCCTTAGGTCCTAGGGTCCGTTCTACGTATGATTCGCGTACTATTCTTGTCTCCTGTCTTCGTAATATCTCTTTTATCGTTTAGGGGTTACCCTTTTTACTTCTTCTGTTTCTTGGTTCCACTACCATCTGTCTATAGTTTGTATTTCGTTTTTTGTATCTCGCCTAGCCTTCCCTCTTGCTCCTTTGTCTTCGTGTCCTTCGCTCCTGCCTCGTGGTTTCTTTCCTACAAGTCTTCCTCTCTCTCATTGACATTGACTTGATCAGTACAGCGGTCGCGAGGCCACATCCGATGAGTATAGATACGTTGGCAAAGTCTATTGTTTCACCAACATTATCGACTGTTAGCAGCCATACGCCCATTTAACCCTGGCCCAATAGGCCAGCTCAAGAATGGGAAATAGCCACGCAAGACCGTCCACGCCTCCGAGTACATTCGAGACTCATTCCCACCCCGGTCTGGGCTATCACCGGCGGAGCGCATCATCCATGGGAGTAAGAAGCAGTATTCTGTTCCTTGCCAACTTCCCATCGTCTCTTTCATAGCCCACTGTGACCTATACTTATCTGTACTTTCTTACTAACCATCTTGTCTTTCTCTTTTCACAGTATGGGAGCCGAACCCGCTTCTCAAGCACATGTGCCACTCCACCTGTCCTCCAAAGCCGAGACTACGACGACGACTGCCGTGCCCTCCGCCGCACCCTAGGCGCCATACACAAACTCTGCAAGGGCAAGCCGCGCCAGATCGAAGCCATATCACAGTCTCTCGGTAAAGCCTCCGGCCGAGACGGCCCCGACGGCGGTCTGTCAGTGTATATTCAGAATTTTGACAACTCCGTCACCGCACTCTACCGAGTCCTGTCACTGAACATGCATGTCCTCCATTCAACGCGACCGCCTCTCGATGTGAGAGAGTTTTCGGATCATCTTGGAAAACTCGCTGTGGACCTAGAACGATGGCAGAAGGAGTTCAGCGGGCTGGTCTTCCCCAGCATGGCGCTGACGAATGGCAGAAAGAGTGCAAGAGACCTGAGAGCTGAAGCCAGAGCGCTGGTGAAGAGGTGTTACATGGCGGCCGGCAAGCTGGACGCTTTGGTGTGTATGGATGATGCGCATGCCACGAATGGTTTGCTGGGACGGTTGGCGAGACATCACTCGCCTTCGAATACCACGCTCAGAACCCATACTCGGACGCCGTCACCGGTGCCGTCTGCGAGTCCGTCAATCATGCCTTTCAACGGTGTGCCCAGTGTGAGGGGTTCGTCGCCACCAGTGACCCATGGCCATTCGCCGCAGCCTCAGTGGGCTGGAAGAGGGGCTGGAGTTGTTGGAGTTGCATAAGCAGGGGTACCAGATTTCAATGGGCAGATAGAATGGGAAAAGCGAAGAAGAGCAGTTCAAGGGTTATGAAGGGCTTGGTAGGTTGGGTTTGCCTTTGACGGTTCAATTGGGAGTTTGGGGGACATTGGACACTGGACACTGGTAGGAAAAGCCGCGGGTTGACGAGGTATATTCTTATGCTGGAGAATTTTTGTTCACAACATATCCGCCTACCATAGCCAATCCTTTGACCGATCAAACCTGTTCGACTCTCTTCTTCCTTGTTATATCGCAACCTGGCGGATCTCCCCCTTTACCCAGTAGGTGTGCAAAGTGCATCCAGATTTTCGAGCAAGCGTCGCAGTCAGACATTCCGCGATATACCATATTGTGACGGTTGAGTCTGGTCTTCTTCTGAGGTGAACCCAAACCTACAATAACCCTTGTTGTATCGAAGGCATAATCGTTGATTCCTTCTCTTGCAACAAAGTTCGGCACTGACAGCAATAGTATTTCTGCATCGTCTCTCCAAGCCTGTCTGTCAATGATGGTGTAAGGAGACCGGTGTGCCTCGAATCCAGTACGGTTCATACCACCTCATGACCGTCCTCTTGGCACTGCAGAAAACCACCAGCGGCTCCTGACATACCCAGGCGCCATTCGTCGAGTCCTTTCATTGCATCTGAGGTCAGTCTAGTGGAAAGCTGGCCACAGCCAATGCTCTCAATTGACAGTAAGCGCCACCCGCTGCAGTCAGCACCAATCATTGCGACTTAGCGACGACCAGTTTCTTTTCCAACACCGGCTGAATCATTGCTGCGATCCATTCATAGGCAGTAAACAAAATCCCTCCGGCAAGCACAGTCCGGCCCAGACGCATAGTACTGCCCCTCCAGAGGCCCTTGACGCCATAGTCGTTGATGACGCTCGTAAACGCCTCCACGACACCGGCACCCTTGACACTCTGGGCGCGAGTTTTCAGCGTATCGAACGGCTGAGTCGCAAACACCACCACCGTACCGGCCACAGCGCCATTTCCAAACGTAGTCGCCGTCGTCTGCGGGATGTTGCGTAACCGCTCATAGTCCTTGAGGATATTGTACGTGCCCAGCCGCACGGCCGTGGTGGAGGCCTGTTTGAGCGTCGTCGTCACGTACCCGCGATACAAGGCGCGCAGCATCCCGTGTTCCTTGACCAGCGTCGTAGTCGCGTGCCACGCGGAGCGGAATCGCTTGTCGTGCCGCGCGTCGTCGATCAGCGCGGTCTTGATCCGTTCGGTGGGCGTCACTGCGAATGTACTGGCCACAACACCCGCGGAAATGCCGGCGAGGAGATTCCGTAGTGGCGAGAGCGTGCCGGTTTCGGGATCCTTGAAGGCCAGCTTGATGCTGTCGAAGGAGATGAAGCGGATCGCGTCTTTGAGGATAGTGCCCGCCACGAGCGTTTCGCATCCCTTGTATAGGGAGCGCGGGCCTTCCTTTTCGATCACGGTCTTGATCACCCTGAAGGGATTGCGTGTGGGACTGTCTTCGTGAAGCTGGACGCGGGTTTTGGCGAATTCAAATGCTAGGGGATGGTCAGCTTGTGTATGGTTGACCAGATGATTGGTTCGAAGGAGATATGGCAGGTCACGGCTGTCGAAGTAGCTTGCCGCGTTTCGTTGAGCCGTCGATGGTTTAGTGAAGGGGATGAAGGCCGTGAGGAATAACATAGGAGGCTACTCACGATATGTCACTGTCGCCTCGATGCCTCCGGCAGTGCCTCCTGCAATCAGCGATACGAGAGGTGACTTTGGCGAGCCCTGTACAGTGTATGCAAAGTCAGCTTCTATCAAGCCGAGGTGTGTTTGTCGAGGTGCATATGCATGGTGCGGACGAAACTCCACGGATGGAATTGGGAAAGCTCACATCGTCGGCAACCATTTCGCAGCGAGCGCCGCCAGTTGCGCGCCTCGAATCTAAGAGTTGTTTAGCTCCCGATTTGGGCTTGGATATTCGCGACCGCAAATGCAGCAACGAGGCTGATAAGAGAGGGATGATTCAAGAAGTTACGGTGTGCACCGGACGACGTCAGGGGTTCGTTCGCCCGATGCCGGTTGAACGGGCTGTGCCTCGGGTGTTCTCGGTCCAGCGGCTCAGCCTTGCTGTTTCAGCCTTGTTGCATGGACATCTCTCGGGAGACCTTCCCTACCACTTGTCGGTCATGTATAGGTGCTACCATCACTCTCTTCTGAACCCCGGCATCCTTGCGCCTTGGTGTGCGATACTTAGCTGCTAAAGCATCTCGTTGAGCGCTCGATTGGGTTTGTCGTGGACACCGCCCAATATACCTAGTCTTCTTCTCGATGATGAGTTGACACCATTCTCCTAGGTGACTTGGATTCAGCAGACCCTGCTAGCAGTCAGTCATCTTTCGCCATTCTGCTTGGCCCTGAAATTTGGCACGTCCATCACCATCCCGACTGTAGGCGACAATGATGTCTCTGACTCCAGAGTTTGCGACTTCGTCGTGGGATGGGTCGAGAGTACATGTCGTATGATGTATCTACTGGCACTCGATGTGGTTGCTATCGCGTAGGCGGCTGGTACCGGAGATCTACCGCTCACAGCTTGGCATGATCTGGTATTGTGTGTTATCCTCGATCTTCCCTTCAAGCCTACCTACCTATATTGTACCCCGTGCCATTGGTCCCATCGAAATGATGCGTTACCTACCTAAGGATCGGTTTTCCACCGGGACATCTTTGACAAGTAAAGAACCCATTATTTATTATGTGGCCTGGAATGATATCCGTCAAGACAGCATAGCACCATTGGGGATAGTGGGGTTCAACATTGGTTCAGGAACAGCTTGAATATGTCCAAAATTGACATTGTAAATATGACAACTAAGCAGACAAGATCTAATTTGACAACCGTAGCCAGAAAAAGGGCATAATATCATACATTAGCTCTAGTGTAAAATGGAATCTATCTGCATATTCAAGCCGTCCAAACGATCTAGTAAGAATATCTATGAGCCTTATTCTGTACATCTGTGAGATCTTCATCCACGTCGACCTCGCCGAGGTCATGACCAGGCATTGCATGATCACGAGATCTGTTCGCGAGGACGGCCAGCAACCAGTACAAACCACCAGTGGCAATCATCACGGCATAGGACACGACAAGGGCCCAGATACCAAGCTGGTAGTAGGGGGCCTGGCTCGCTCGGAAGAACTGCGGACCAACGATCTCAGCCACCGCAAGCCAAATGCCCATGGACGCGTTGACAAAAGGTCGCTTGGTGCTGCCACGAGTATTGGCGGTGACGATTGCCATGGCCATGACGAAGCCAACGTTATAAAAGCCCATCAGGTACACGCCACCGAGTGCCACCGGGCGTTGGGTGTTGACATCCACAGAGTGAATGATGATGGCACCTGCAAGAGCTGGCAGTGTCCCTATAATCCAAAACAAACATCTCGTGTTTGGGATCCAGTAGGCAAGGATGGAGAGGGCCACTTGGCCAACGATGCCGACTGCAGCCTGGGGTGCAGCCAGTAAGTTTGTGCGTTGCGTTGAATACCCAAACCCCTTGATGATGAGGGGGTTGAAATTAGTTATGCCTGCGGCCGTGATGCCCTGAGCGACGACGAAAACAATAAGAACCCAGTATTTGGGGTCAATCAGAGCCTCGACGCATTGGCCGATCTGGAATTTGGTGGCATGGTCGTTGTTGTGCCTCTGTTGAGTGTCCGCGAGGCGGGCGATGGCAATTTCCTTCTGCCGAGGAGTCAAAAACCAGGCGGTTGCTGGCGACACGGGTAGGAAGAAGAAAGCTAGCGTGCCGACGATGATGGTGGCTGAACCGTATATCAGGAAGAGATACCTCCAGTTGGCCAGGTGGCCGTGGATGTTGTTGATGCCGAAGGCGAGCAAACCTCCAAAGATGCCGGCAAATGTGTTGTACCAAAGAGCGGTGCGTAGTGGCTGCTCGGACCGTCGCCACCAGTTACCAATAAGGATCATGGCAGATGGGAAGGCTGGAGACTCCAGCAACCCAAGAAAGAACCGGACCGTGGCCAAGCCTGCGAAGTTATGGCAGGCAGACATGCACATCAATGTACCGCCCCAGAGGACGGCTGAAACCCCAAACAGTTTGCCAACCGGCAGCTTGGTGATGAGGAATGCAGAGATGGGCATCCCGCCGAGGTACCCAAAGTAGAATACACTCCCCAGCCAACTGTACTCTTGTCCCTTGAGGTGAGTGTCTTTCACCATTCCCAGTATGTTGGCGTACGCGAGGCAGTTTTTGTCCAGAAACATCAGGAATGCGAGGAGGACAATGAACGTGAGGATGACCGCGTCCGTCTTCATCACAATCTTGCGCTCCTCGGACTTGTCATGTTCGGACACCGTCAATGAGTGCTCGGCGATTTTGCCCTCCCCTTTTGCCGGCATTGTATCGAGGGCGTGATCGGCAATGGATTTGATAGGTGCTGCCATCTCTGTTCAAGATATTTGAGGATGCTGAAGCGCTGGGATTTGGGGTGAAGGATAGAGTCGCCTCTGTTCATCAAATACTGATGCAGAGTCAAACAAGACTAGTCTCTCAATGTTCTTCCGGGAGCCTGGGCCTGATGTGGGGATCACTCGCGCCTTCGATCTCCAGGACGCTTAGACGGGTAGGCTGCGAAAATATTCGAGAATGAGTGCCCATGAGCTTTACTTATATTCCAAAAATACCAAGTAGCAACCGGCGCTGCCATGACATTGTCGGCCAGCCATGCTTGTCAAAGATAAAAGGAAAGATTGCGCCATCGTCTGGCTTTGAATTTTTCGATTGCACAATCCATATATTTTGAGCGAGCGGGTGAAGCAACCGTATGTTCGGGAGCTTGATAACGGTGGATAGAGGTGGAGGACGGAGCGGGCTTCCGCATAAGGCTGGCACAAAGTTAAATCGTCCAATTCCGCCGCTGTAATAATATAGTACTAACAGCCAGTCCAGTAAGTCAGTGTAGTCGTTCCCGTTATCCTTATCTTAGCTCGTCCGGTTGCACTTAAAGTTTGCGATAACCATCGACGGTAATGTGAACGCGGGTGACCGTTCCGAGATGACGTGCTCGAGATGCGGGATGCCAGTGGGTCGTTCGAACAAAAATGGCAACCAAACTACGTACATAGGTACGTACCTTCCTTTGGTAGCCCTCCTGAGCGGATAAAGCGACCGCTTTACGCATCCAAACGATGAATGAATCGCTGAACAACCTGTACAATTTTGACCTAATTTGCGTTCTCGAGTCGACTGCAGCCATAGTGTTCGACAAATGACAAGCCTAGCCGAGGACCGTCGGTCGCAGAAACGGGTGGCCAACGCGTGAGGATATCCCTGCCCATATCGACGACAACGCGTGCCCTTCCGCTAATGTGGACATAGCTGCCGATACTGCAAGAAGCGCAAAATAAAGTGCTCGGGCATTGAGCCGTGCCACTCATGTTCTCAACGCAAAATTGCCTGCATTTTTGAAGAGGCGGAAAAGAAAGTCCTTGTTTCAGAAAGGTGAGTCCTGTTACGTTCTGCTATCAACGTCCTAAACTTGTCAGATACCTGCTTGAACTCGAACGCGAACGCCGACGGCGGCGATCCACCGCAACACGTTCGCATTCGACGGGTTCCAACTCCCGCAATTCCCCACGCGCCGAAGAAAGTGGGTGGTATAACGTGCTTGACCATACATTGCGGGTTGCTAATGATATCTAGCTGTTGAGCAGGCAGTTTCAGAGGGTCAAGCACAAGCAGGCCGAGAAAGACGACAATCTCAGTCCTTGGACTCCATTACCAACCCACTAGTCTCGCAGACGTCTTCCTACGTCCAGGACTCGGTTGGGAGATATCGTAAGCCAAATTTCTCGTGCCTGAATACGTTCCCAGTGTCTAACCAACTCTCGTAGGATTTCTGGGCTCATCGTCAACATGGACGTTCAGCCAAAGGGCTTTTATACACCTGCAGCAGGCGTTCCCAGAAAACGAGACGATTGCGATTCCCCTAAACGTCGATGGAAGCGCTTATCAACTAGATTACACCTACGCAAACTCGGACGGCATTCCCGATACCACCGAGCTGCCGTCCATCGATTATACTCTGTATCTGATGAATACTGTGAAATTTCATACGTGCCAGATGCTTCGACCTTTTGACGCAGAGGAGTTCACTCGGAATCTGTATGAATTCTCCGAACAAGGCGTGGCAAAGATCGAGTCATCCAGACTCTGGTTTGTCCAATTTCTGTTGATAGTGGCTCTGGGAAAGGCCATGCTTGTCGTCCTCAAAGATCCATCTACGCCTCCCGGTTCGGCATGGTTTCAACGGGCCATGTCTATAATGCCTGACTCAGTCCGGCTCTTACGCGAGCCCACCCTGGCCATTCAAGTCTTATGCCTTGTGACTCTATTTTTGATGTCTATTGATATGAAGGAGGCTGCTTATGGATATGTATGGAATCTCTGCACTCTCATCGCCGTCAACTCTAACGTCGAGTGTCAACATAGATTGGCCAGGCCGCCCGGATTTGTCTGGTTGAAGGGTTGCACCAAGACACACCTCGACAAGTCATGGGTGATAAATTGGCAAATCGCCATCGCGATCTTTGGTGGACCGTCTACATCTTGGATCGCCGCCTATCATCCATGATCGGGACGCCCTGTTCAATCCAAGATGTCGATATCACATGTCCTCTCCCAGCCACTGATAGCCAGTTGGGCACAGTACTCAACATTCATGTCAAGATATCGCGGCTCATGACTCAGGTACAAAACTGTAAGCAATTTACTTCTGTACAGGCATGCTTTTGCTGACACCATGGAGCCGTTTACAGTGTTGAGCATCTAAGTCGGCCGTTCGTCAAAATTGTGCAGTCCACACTGCGCAATATGGCCGCAATGGCCCACGAGATGGAAACCGTGTTCGCTTCAGCTTCATATGGTTCCATCGATTCTGTCTCGACCGTGGCATGCCATATAAGTCTATCGTATCATCATGTGCGTGATGAAATATGATTCCCGAGATGAACTGGCATCATGCAAAGCCATCTACTGACTGGATGCAGTGTATACTACTGGCCACCAGGCCTCTTCTGCTCCATTTGTTGATTACACAGCTCAAAGGCAACGTGTCCCATCATAATATCGAACAGAACCTCCGTCCGCAGACGAGACATCTCCTGGAGACATCTATGCAGTCAGCACGGATGACGCTCAAAAGGCTCGCCACATTGTATGAACACCATCTGTTAGGTATGTGCCGCGGCATGGAAACCTTTGTACTTGTTGTGCCTAATAATCCCTGGCAGATGCTTTTCTTCCCTTCGATCTCGAAAGCGCATTTTCCGCTGCTTTTATTATAACTCTGGCCTCGGTCATTGTCCCCTCCATGGTTTCCGACGCTGCTGCGTACAGAAGCATCAGCTATCGCATCATAGACTACTTGATTCGTAAAGGGAACCTGCCTGCTCGGTTACGAAAGAAGGAACTCCTTTGTCTCGATCAGATGATTCGCCCTCTACTCAATACCCCAGGTCTTCCGCCAAGGCAGAATGTGGGCAACGCCGACGAACAATCGACTTCCTTCAGCCCTGAATTCGGGATCTTCGGTAATTGGCTCGCCGGTCCTGCAGAAAGTGGCTTCAATCCAGCGGAGATGCTGGACATTGCAGATCAACTTGAGCCGCAGGCCCAAAGCACAAACTCCCTCGACTTTGAGACAGACTGGGGAGACAACGGCCCGCGGACTTGGTGGTTGGAGCTGCCGCATGACCAGGAAAATGTGCATCCCTGATTGTGGTCTGTTGGGTCTACCTATTCCCCTCCCCTGTCAATTGACTCAAGCTGAATCCGGTTGCTCCCACTGTATCGCCTTCTTCCACCACAGCAGTATATAACCCGGTGTAAAAGGCCTGCCCTTCAATCCGAACTCTAACCAGGGGGTGTCCGAAGGGGTGTCCGAATTCATGCGCATCGTGGCCATCAACCGATGACAGGACTTGGACAATAGTTCCGGAAAAGCTGCCACGACCGGATTGCGATCTTGAAAGCAACGAGTGGTAACATCTTCGTTGCCCTTCGGCGAGTCTTCCTGTGGTGTAAGCAAGAGCCGCGCGAGCTGCAACGCCTCCCCCTGTAGGGGACCGATCGATCTGCTGGTTTGCGAAGAAGCAAAGTCCAGTTTCATGGTCGCCACATGTGCTCATGGAGCCACCATGCGCCAGACGAGAGGAGGCGTGATGGTCTGGGTGTGCATCGACAACCAGAACGGAATACAACGCAGCGGCGACATCCATATCTGGGTGCTTTGTGCAAAACGCGAGTTCGGGATTCCCATTGATCGCGTCTTTTAGCAACTTGGTGGCGAAACTCATTCTCGCGATATCCGGCGCAATGAGGCCATCACGAAAGCCCAGCTCCCTGGCGTCTATCAAGCAGTAAAATACGCCTCCGTAAGCGAAATCTGCAACGACAGAGGTGCGACCGCCTAGCTCTGGCCAGCGTTGGGCATCTGACAATGGTACTCGAACTGAGATCCCACTTGCGAACGATGGCACGGAGACAAAAGACACGGGTCTGTGTGGGTCCGACCTACCGTGAGGTAGTACTGGTACAGTGATGCTAATAATTCCGCAGGGGACGTGCAGATTCACTTGGATCGTTGAGCTCTCCTTGTCGACCTTAAACGTCTTCCTTGCCGGGAAGATAGACTCGTGAGCATCGACAAGAAACCTGCCGAGAGCGATTGTTGCGTGTCCGCACATCATGGAAAAGCCCTGGTTGTGCATGAAGAGGACACCCATGTCAGCCTTGCCAGCTGATACCTGCTCGGTTTCAAGCACCAGTATGGCTCCATACATGTCCCAGTGGCCTCGAGGTTCCAGTAATAGTCTCTTTCGGATGTGGTCGTATTGCTGAGAAGCCTGCTCACGCTGCTCAAGCAAAGTCCCCTTCAACCTGGGGAACCCGGAATAGACGATGCGTGTCGGCTCCCCGGTAGTGTGCATGTCGATACATTTGATGGCTCCCCCAACCAACGCTGGTCCGACGATATCCTTCAAGGCGTCCATTGCTGTCTTGTGTCTCTGGATGTTATGCCGCGTGGTTGGGCAACCCGGATTCCAGATTCGAGACTTTATCTACATACCTCATCGTGGATGCGAGGCTTCAGCAAGTTGTTGACGTGCAAAATAAGTCGACTGAAATACCGGCAAGCGGTTCCGCACTCGCTTCGCCGAGGAATCAAGACTGAAGATCCCGGGAGCGAACGACGACAGGTTTTGGAGACTGGACTCCGTTATGGATTACCCTACAGTGGGTTCTTTGCGAGGTCCACAGATAATGTACCATGGTCCACATCTCTGTCGCGGATGGCCCTTCCGTCAACCATATCCATCGCGCTATCCGCATTGTTCGAGCCTGGTCAGCGGCAGCTCTCATCAGAGGACTACAGAAAATGTAGCGGAGAGAATGACAAGACTTATTATTATTGCGTGCACGCCAAATGGATGTGTGGCCTGGCATTGCTAACAAACCATGCCTCAATCCAAGCATATCCTGGTCATTGGGTAAGTCAGCCGTTATGGTAAAGCCGCCTAGTCAGGTAATTGCTAACACATGAGAACCTAGTGCTGGTGTGATCGGCCTACAAACGGCAATTGCTCTACTCGAAGCTGGGCACCATGTCAGTGTTGTCGCCAAACACTTGCCCGGTGACATGTCCGTTGAGTACACCTCGCCATGGTGAGTGATGTCCTTCATCTCGGTTTGGATGAATCGAGGAACCCGGAAAGGTTGATGCATCACAGAAGAGGATTTTACTTGGTGTTTTAATGTTTACTTGATCCACTGACATTAGCTATGAACAGGGCTGCCGCCATATGGCGTTCAAATGCTCTGCCTGAGGAGACGCAGATACAGCGATGGGATAGCCAAAGTTACCGCATCTGGCTCCGTCTATGCAGCGAAAGTGGCAAAAGGGAAGACAATATTGCACAAGCAGTCACGGTACGTCTATACCATAGAGCCAGAGCTGAAACTGGAGTCATCCTCCTGAATCCTGGTTGTCCAATTCCCCCTTCATTGCCCTACCACTGACGAACTCTAGGAATTCCCAATGAGACTTTTATGGTTGGTCATAGTCCTCCTTCTCTGTTCCCATCAAATGTCCTTCTCTCCGGGCTACGGCCAGAATACCCCCAAAGCACATCTGAGTTTCATACTTGCCGTTTCTTTGAGGCAGCATATACCTTGCTTTCTAAGTGCGCAAGACCAGTCAAAGCAAACGCCTCATCCTGACACCATTCTTTCTTGACTCAACAGGACCGGACCACACAAGTTTATCCCGAACGGACCATCCAGCATATGGTATGCACGACACGTGCGGAACTTCAATACCATTCCTCAGACGCAACTCCCTCGGCCCTTCACTTCAGGTGCTACACATGATGGTATTGCCGTCAATACCACACCATACCTGATCGCCCTGGCCGACAGAGTTCAGAGCCTGGGTGGCCATATCTGCCAGGCGGAGCTGTCGACTCCCGCTGGACTCGGCCATGCCATCACTGCCGCCGAGAATGTATTGCAGTCACAAGATCCCTCTCCCACTACCAGACAGCCGGTCGATCTGGTCGTCAACGCCAGCGGCCTGGGTGCTCGTACCTTGGTGCCCGATCTCAATGTATACCCCATCCGAGGGCAGACGGTGACTGTGCGGGGCGAGGCGAAGCACATCACAACCATGTTCTATCCGGACGCCAACGCATCCATCACCCCTCGTGCCGGAGCCGGTGTCAGCCTCTTAGGCAGCTCGTACGAGGAAGACAACTGGGACCCGAAGCCTGACGAACAGACCATCCGAAAGATTATGGAGAGGTGCAAGCCCTTAGCTCCCGAGCTGCTCAACGAGCAGGGCGAATTTGATGTCGTGAGCGTCAATGTCGCTTTCAGGCCCGGTCGCAAGGGCGGTCCCAGAGTGGAGCTGGAGGAAGTCATGAGCCAAGATGCGCACGGTCGGATGAGGCAAATGCCGGTTTGTCATGCCTACGGGCATGCTGGCGGGGGGTAAGCTAATCTGAGCTTCATGAAGAAGCACAACCACCATCATTCCACGCCGTGTTTGTCCGTTCGTCTTGAGCAGAGAACAGAGCTGACATGTCTGGCTGTACAGATATCAGAACTCATTCGGCTGCGCTGCTGACGTCGTTCAGCTTGTTCACAAGTGGTTTCACAATAGCTCTCTTTGAGGCTTTGAGATCGCTAGACCTAGACAACCTATACCAGGCGTTCTGGGAAAATGGAAGGCATCAAAAGCGGGTCCCTCAGATTCACAGTTAGCAGTGGGAATAAGTAAAGAAACGAAAGGCGGCCCTCAACGGAGTCTCTTCTGCATGCGAGACGACAGCATTCGGGAAAAGCGAAGAACGACGAGAGTCATCGGCCGCGCCGTGTGATTACTAGGCTCAAGCAAAGGTGTGATGAAGAGAACGAATAGTGCGATCAAGATCCGAGTTCTCTAAGTCAGACACCATCAGGTTGCCGCGGAGCTTACCGGTATCATCATCAGGCCTATGCGAAGCTTGGGAAACAAAACGGGCATCCCAGGAGGCCAAATTGTTCTGCTTCCCAATGGAGATGGACAAGCCGTATGATGAGGTTTTAAAGATTCGAAAAATGACAAACCAGAGACGGTACAACGTAGTCAGTCATGGTGAATAGATATCATTAAATTTACGCCAGGTAAATGCAGCCCTTAAGGCCCGAGGAAGAATCTACAAGCCTCCATAATCTCCGGATCTCCATTGGCAAAATCCCACCCAATAATTCGAGTATCCTGTGAGCACGAGACGATGCGTCTTGTGTCGAATTGGAGCTTGAAAACGCGAGAACCCGGAGTGTGGTGCTGCGACTGCTGGGAGTGCCCCTGAACCGCTGGTTGCGGCTGCGGCTGTTGCTGCGGATGTTGGGCATCCGGGGCTTGAGGCTGAGGATTCGGCGGATGATGCGGCAGTGCATTTTGCTGATGTGGAGGAGGAGGAGGAGCATGACCATCACCATGATGGTTACTGTTGCTTGCAGCATTGTTGGGACCAGGAGCATGATGAAGGGGTTGCTGTTGTCCCGCATTCAGCATTTGTGTTCTAGCCGGAGGGTGTCCGGATATTCGAACCTGTCCGGCCTGGGCCAGAGCCTGCTGCACGGCCTGATTCACGGCATTCTGCGTGTGGGCCATAGCAGCTTGGGATAGAACCTGCGAGCTGCCGCTGGCTGTCAGGCTTGAGTTGAAGCTTTGCGTTGTCCGATTGGGAGTTGTTTGATGCGCAATTTGAGGGGCATTAAGGACCCTGCTGATGCCCATGACATTGGAAATCCCAGCCCCAAGACTGGCAATAGATGTGCCCACGGCCTGTTGGACGATTTGCGACGCAGACATGGCTAACGGATGAGCAGCTCCGGCAGGACCTTGGTTGATGGAGGATGGGTGGCCTTGGGCTGTTTGGCCTGGAGCAACAAGAGGGTGGTTTGTTGCCGGTTGCGGAACATTTTGAGCAGCAGGTTGTTGGGCGGGACGCTGCCTCGTGCCCGCGACGGCCTCCCGGGCAGCAGGCTCATGGCGTAGCACTTGTCCGATGACCCAGTCGCCATCAGAGTTCTTCCGCCATATGATGATCGACTCATCGTAGGAACCAGATACGATCCGGCCCCATTTGCTGCCACCGCCTCCGGGCGGTAGTTTTGCGCCCAATGCAAGGCGCGAGGTTCCATGCTCACCGTTTCGGATCTCGCGGCTATATTGTCTGTTTTCGACGATCAGGCCGTTCGCAACATCTTCAAGGTACTTCCTTTCGGCTTCCCTGGCTTTGTAATTGTACTCCTCATCTGCTCCCGGCATATCACCAAATCCAGCCTGAACAGTGCGGACAAGGTTGGTATGTCCTTTCAGCTCTGCAACCTCTGCGCTGGTGTAAGGATCATAGATCCTGACGGTATTATCACTGCTACCACTAACAATGCGCTTGCTGTCAAATTGCACGCATGCAATGCCTTTGGCATGTCCTTGCAATGTCCTCAAGAGCTTTCCGTCCCTCGCGTTCCATACCTTGATGAGCCTATCGCCAGATGCAGAAACGATGAGATCCCCATGGATTTGAATGGCATTGACGGCAGCACTATGACCCACTAGAGTCAATAGAAGCATGTATGGCTTCAGGGCTCGGATGGCGCCATTAGCGATCCTTGCTTCCAGCAGTGATGGTTCGATATCATTCGTGTCGACGATGTAGGAAGGTACGCGTGCTGTACTGTCCCGGCTGATCTTGGGATAGTCCCGGTCTGCAGCAGTCAGAGGACGACGGTTCCATATCTTGATGCGTCTGTCTTTTGAGCAAGTGATGAGATATCGTTTATCAAACCGAAGGTTCAGCACTGACTCCTCGTGGGCGGACGGAATCTCGTGGATCTTTTGTCCGGTGGAGAACCGCCACACGATCACGCTTGCATCACTGCTTCCCGATATGATAACGTCTTCATCTTCGGTGGGATCGAACTGCAGACACAGGACCGATTGTGAATGACCCGCAAGCGGCTTCCCGCGTAAACGTCGGGTGTCTAAATCCCAGACTCGCAACGTCTTGTCACGACTGCCGCTCACCAGCCACTTTCCGAAGAATTGGATTGTGTACACACATTCTGTGTGCGCTTCGTTTGGATGGGCTGGGTGAGGAAGCTGAAACGTCGTAAACCGACCCTTCAACCAATTCTGCTCTAGCTTCTGGCGCTGTTTATAGAGGTGGAGCCAGTTGAGCCGTTCTCCGCCACGGGGATCTTGTATTGCCAACCGGGATTTGAAAGGTGGCTCGAGAGATTGTCCTAGACGCTCTTTTCGTTGAACTGGTTCATCTGTCGTCTCTGAAGAGCTGTAATCCATCTCATCCCCCGAATCCTGACTGTGCCGTTTGTTTGGGCGACGGAGAGGGTTCCTGAAACTGGTAGGTGGAGCATCTTGCATCTCCTGGTCATCCGACTCAGACTGCATGTCTGTATCTGCCTCGACAACACCATGCTGTTCACGCCAATGAGCCACATCGGCCGAGCCTTTGCGGACTCTTGACTGCATCCAATCTGATGTTACACGCTTCTTGGACTGTGGCTGACCGAAAACTTGACCCCGTGATTTCTTGGACTCATATCGGGCCCCAGTCGTGTGCGGAGCCTCGAACTGCTTGATTTCCGTCATATTGAGCCCCCATCCCTGGCCTTTGTACAAGTCTTGCCAAAGCATGGAATCCATGATTCTTGCGCGCCAAGTGTGGGATGCAAGCGACGCTGTTAACAGAGTATGAGCGTCGAGGTAGGAGAAGATCTCAGAGGTGATCTCGGGAGGTAGCTTTTCCAAGGGATCCATATGGAGCAGAGGAGTCAGCCGGTCTACAACTGCCGCAACTCTGGAGGTTCGAAGCGTTCGGAGGACTTCGTAGGCGATCTCTGCCCGCGATTCTTCGTTCTGAGCCATAACCCATTCCTGAAATTGTGCTGCCGTGGCATCAAACATGTTGCGCCCATTTTCGTCTTGGCTGGCTGTATCTTCTGAGAAGCCTTCATCGAGTCGGAAGGGAGTGTTCGTGGAGGAGGATGGATATGAGGAACGGTTGGAATCAAGATGTGATCGACCAAATGACTCCATTGTCGAGGTGAAGGCTGCAAGACCTTGGAATCTTGATGAGGATGTCCTGTGTCCCGTGAGGACTGAGCTCTATCGAGTTAACCACAGTACGTCGTCGAGGTTTGATCGCTGTGGGTGCCTAGAATCGTGGTCGATAACTTGAATGTCGTGATCAGGCGCAGGCGCAGACACAACATTTGAATGAGATATCGAGTGGCGCTGTTGGCGAATCGACCGAGTCACAGAGGACAGCGGGCACAAATGGTTGCAGATGGAGGCAAAAAGCTAGGTCATGCAAAGGCGATGGTAGTCAGTGGGAGAAAGATGATTGGCCATGGCATGTTGTTTGGGTTTGAGTTCTATTGCAAGTTGGTGTTCAAGTAGTAGGTTGTTGTGATGAAGTTGGCAGACGCAATTCCAGGTTCCAGATGCGGGTGGAGCTACGTAGTGAGATCTGTTTGTTATCATGGGGTTACCAGTATTATCAGTTGCGAAAGTCCCCTTATCCCTAGGCCTCGCTAGCCTAAGGGGTCTTCCTCAACCAAGCCCCCCTAGCCCTACTAAGCCTTCTCGAATATACAGAGCTTCCTGGTTCCCCAGGACAAGGTCGAATCGACGCAAGTACTAGTTATTAACCACTGATACTTCCATGTCTCCTTGATGCAGTGATCAAGATGCCTCAGTTGGTGGGTGTCACTCCCAACACTGTCCGTCACCCACAGCGACATCTGCCCTCCAAAACTCGCCAAAGACAGGTGCCTGCCAACCCCAGGACCAGGACATCCCCGGCTATATAGATCACTGCTTCATTCTAGGTGCCTTTAGGTACGCATATTTCTCACAGAGGACTGGCGAAAGGGCTGAGGCTACCCTAGGCCTGTCATGTCAGATGTCTTCACTCCCTATCCTACTACTGCGCTTCGAGTCATTCCTCTGGCGTCAACTGTTCGCGGTCGCTTGCGGGATACAATCTACGTATTTTCGCATCGATTGGGCCTCGCGTGGAGGTGGATTTCTGCCTGCTGTGTCACATAAAGCGTAACGATTGTATCTAAGGTAAGGTACTGCAGTGGTGCTAGAAGATCAGTGGAATACACAAAAACTACCGTGCGTGGATCTTTCTGGTGACCCGGCACCCATGAATTTCAACATGGGGAAGCATGGATGAAGTCGATGTGAAGTGTCAAAGTGAAGCTGGTGTTTCCAACCCATGTTCATCATGTAACTAATGTACGTCAAAGTAGTTATGTCGCTATTATGTTCTGGCATCATCATGGCTTGTCTCCTCCTCATTAACGATCTTTCTTGGGCTCCTCATCCTCCGTCGTAGGTGTCACTCGCCCATCTGAAGCCATGTCCCAGCTGCTTTCAGTGCCGGTCTCCACTCCCTCATTTTCACGCTTACGCCCTCTCTCACGCATTGCCCCTCGAATGCGCTTGCTGACTTCGTCAAGGCTCGTCTTGTCGTTGAGGGCGCTAAACGGTTTGAGAGTAGAGGTGAGCGCACCTCTTCCGGAACTGCTTTGGCTCCGGCTTCGGCTCCGGCTTTTGGGGGTCGCAGGCCTGGATGCAAAGAATCCAAACCCACCGATGTTGCCAAATGACTCGTTGGAAGGTAGAAAGCTGAAGGACTTGGAGGTGGATGAGTCGGCCGAGTCCTCAAACCCGCCAGACGTCGGTGTTGCCGGTTCAACCGAGTCAACCAGTCTCGGTTCCTCTGGCACCTGCTTGTACCTGGATTGATAAGCGCCTTCTCTGTATGAATCGGCCACGATCCTCTTTGCATCGAAATCAGGGAAGACCTCCGGGCCAAGGGTGTTGATGACCTCAGTCACCTTGGCAGACAACCTTTCCCGTCGTGCTCGCAGCCGCACTATCCTGCTTGATGAACGAGGATTAAGTGCGATAAATAGTGGTGGAAGCGATTTGACAATGTCCATACCAATCTCACCAATCCTCAGAGCTGCGAAAGTGACGCTAATACACAAGATGAAGAAGAGAATGGCAAACAGCCACATCGGGAGGAAGTCGGGGACATAAGTCCTAGCAACCATCCACCAAGGCAGACGGTAAGTATAGTAGCCGCCACGTCTGTTGTATGCCAGCCACAACGACACAATGACGGTATAATAGATGTAGAGAGTAGGAGCAAAGGCCATTGCGACAAGTATCTTCCATGTCGCAATGACGTCCCGGCCCTCAAGCTTCACCGTCGAAGCCGCGAGGGCTTCTCGAGATTTCTTTGCCGAGATGACCTTGGTGGTGACGAAAACGGGCCAGAACATGGCCAGACCGGGCAAGGTTCCAATGGTCAGGAAGAAGAGTTCGCCAAGTCTGTAGATCAGCGTGCCGAACACATACCAGTAAGGTCGTTTCGCCGGATTGCCCCACTCGAGTTGATGATCTTTAAGACCAAGAGCTCGAAGCTCGCGGTTGTAATCGAGGACGTCCTTTTTCAGTTCCACCACACGTGGATCATCCTTGTACTTTGTATAGCCCTTCACCAGGCGCCGGTTGAGCTCGACCACCAGTGGGAGCGGCAACTTCTTTCCAGTGGGATTATATAGACGCCTAGCAGCTTGCACCAGCATCAGAGTTTCGTAGTCAGGGCATGATTGTGTGACCGACACCAGGCCTTGATAGACTGTTTCCAAGAGAGATCCAACAGCATTCCTGCGGTCCCCGGCTTTGTATGCAGCGACTTGGTCTGGATGGACCTCAATGGGATGGCCAAATTCAATGACGGCCCTTGATCGAAACTTGTGGGCGTGGAAGTAATTCATGCCAACGGGGATGATCTTAACACCGCACCCTGGATAATTCGCCTCTGCCCCAAGCGCCATGATGGCGACACCGGCTTTTAACGGCAGTAGATCTGGTCTGTCATGGCTGCCTCCTTCGGGAAATATCCCAATGCAGCCACCGGCTTCGAGCTCTTCGAAAACAGCATTGTACACCTTTGTCTGGTCCACATGAGGAGCCACCTTGAAAGAACAACCGCGGGGTTCGCTCTGTTCGTCAGGGTAGCCACCGGAGGCAGTAGTATCATAGATGGACCCCACGCCATGCAGGGACTCCAATGCTTCTGGTGTTTTGAAAGGCTTTTTCAGGCGGATTTCGGTAGGAGAGATGATCTCGGCAATCTCGGTGCTGGGTGTCTGGCCTCTAATCTTCGGCAACACTATCAAACCCCCCACTTCAAAATCGGGGCCCGTAAAATCAGTGTCGACGCCGCGGAGGAGGGTTGGGTCGTTCTCGGGATCCGGTAGATATACTTTGCCCTTTGCTGGCTTCACCTTGTCGAGGGCTCTGGCGACCGGGATGGCACCACTTGCCGCCGACAAAGTCCCAATGAATTTGCGCTTTGTAGATTTTTCTGCAATCAGATATGAGATCCGTCTATTGGCTTCGGTTTTGAGAATTCTCATCAAGATCAATGAATCGACAAACTGCGAAGTCAACGTGTCAGCATCCTTTGGCACGTAAGTAAGGTTTTCTTCATACCTGATTTGCATGCGGCGCGGCAACGAGAATGACGGGCCCCTTCTTCGGTACCTTCCATGCTCCTCGAGGGTGCACTTCTCGAAAGAAGAGGTCTATCAAGACGGAGAGCGCCCACAAGACAAGATCATATAACCATGGTATCTGTCGTTTATTGCCCTGCTTCTTGCCCTGTCGAGGGAGCTTGGAAATGAGCGACCGCTCCGAACCGTCGTCCTTTGCCATGGGAGCTCGACAGTGTAGGGATGACGCGAACGAGGAAGGTCTTCAGTGGCCCCGGCCGTACAACAATCGAGTGGGCAGGTGCATACGAGGTGGGTGCTCCCGGAGTAGAGAAGCAATGAACAGGGTGCAGGTTGTAAGTTTGCGAGTCGATTCGGAGTATCCAACATAGGTAGCATGGATAGGTCCAAGGGAACGGTACGTGAAGTCGTGGAAAAGGGATCGACCGGGAAAGAAAATGCTTGGTTGAGGTGTAGACGACTACCAGCCCAACGTTGAGAAACCCGGAGAAAGCTGGCGTGGGGTTGATGATGCTGTTGGGTGTTCGCTCCCTGCAACAACAATTACTACTACGGAGTCTCCGGACTCCGGACTCCTTGGTACGGAGGAACGGAGCGCCACGGTCCATGGCAGCAGCCACTAAGAGACGCTTGATTCTGACGTCGAACGACGACCTTGTCGACGTCGAGGCCGCAGTCTCAAATCATCACATCTGTCCCCTTCCTGGGCCCCGTGTATTTCTTTTGGACAGATATCCCTCTAGGCCATACACTGCTGGTCTTGAGTCGTATGCCTATCTCTCTCGGGGGTCTTCGTTTCTCCATCCTCCTCTATCTAGTCCTGCATCGTGTCTTCTACACCATGATCCTCCCAAACAGGCTCCGCGATTAGGAACTGCGTCATCGCCTAGTATCGATCCGTCAGGGCAAGAGACTTTTACAGATGGGGCAGCTCAGAGGAAAAGACCCTCCATAAGTGCAAGCTTTTGGCGATACATTTATCCAATCCTGGGACGTCGGCCACCGTTGTCAATCTGTTCTTGAGCACGATGTGGGACTGTCAAATATGAGCTTCTATTTACGTCCATAGGGGCCTCTTCCGCAGTCAAGTTGAGCACGTGCGCTATCACAATTCCCCGGATATCATCAATGAGCCACAATCGCCCAACGCCCCGCGTGCTTGGCCGAGTACTACAATTAAGTTCAAATGGATAGGCTTACACAAAGAGTTGCTCGGTCGGTCGTTGGCTGTGGCTGACACAGGATGAATTGGAAGCGGTTACGCTTTTCCACACACGACAGCTTTCCATCGGAGCCGATATTTCTTACAGCTCTGTCCAGCTTTTCCGGCTCTGTCATCGCATCATAGCATACTTCAGTCCTTTCCGAGTGAATACGAATGGAAATAGTACCGAACAGCCAAATCTGCTCACTATTCTCACGCAATACCAACATTGGTGGTGAAGGGTGGGGTCAAGCAGGTCGTTGTGCGCCCAAACATTCGCAGTCAAACAGCTGAAGCAGTATATAAAACCGAGAACGGCATCTGTGATGGACGAGCTTTTGCGGGGTTGCCAGCGAAACACATGCCAGATTGGATGACCGTTCAACTAGAATGGGCAGGCAGAAACGCCCAACATCTTCCTATGGCTGCCGAACAGCAATTCTTCGGAGCTGGCGAGGGTTTCAGGCCGCGAAGAAGAGTATTGCGAGCTGCGTCCTCTCAAACCGCCAGTATCGAGTCATCGTCACCGCTAGGTCTGTGAGGTGGGCTTATCGCCAGGCGATTGGTGAAGCCCTTAGACAGCAGCAGGCCTGTGACCCTTGCACAGCCGACTGTCTGGAGACACTCCTCCGTCAAGGGTCCCACTTCCTGTTGGAAGGTATTCCAGAAGACGGTTTGCAGATTGTCGTAATCTTCAAATTTAACCCAGCCGTATCTAGGTGTGTCCTTCCCTGTCAGCGCTTCGAGACAATGCAGGTTCATGCCGAAGGGGGCAAGCCCAGCCTCAGCCCAGTCGCAACGCCAGTAAGGTGGCACGACATCTCGTCAACCATGAGATTCCCGCTGCGCAAGTCTGGATTCAGGAAAACCATAGGCAGGGAGAAGATTGCATCCATGGAGTCGATGCAATGTTGAACAAGGACATGAAACCGTTCCGGCAGGGATGTGAGCAGAATCCGCAATTCTCTGAGGTAAGTCTGCCGCAGACTGGTTCGGTGACCTTCTTCAATCGTTGCAGGCTGGCGCCATGATAGAGCAAAGAAGCTGTATTACTTGTCCTTAGCACAGTTTCCGCGGCGGGCATTGGCGCAATCGATGACCTACCGTGCCATATCTGTCAACAGGTTCTCACGTTGATCGAAGCGCTGCTGAGTGTTCCAAGGAGGCCCGTGTACCAACAGATGAGTCCTACCCGGTGCTCGTGTCATCACGACCGGGAATATGGTCTCTTTTCCATCTACCTCACTCCCGAGCTCTTCATAGAACGATACGTCTGGTGCCAGGGATCCATAGACCTCCTTTGCCAGCACGGCGTTCTCCACCTTGAGCCTCACTGGTTTCAGCCGGAATTGGACAATGTATTCGAGTTTCGGCCCAGCGTAGACCGCGTAGCTGCAGGTACTCTGGATGTCGAATGGTACGACATCTCCGCCAACAAGCTCTTTCGCTCGGGCATCACAGTTTGGGCGGGTAACCGAGGTCTTTGCGAAGAATTCTGCGATGCATTGATCGAAAGAGTATCCATCAGGTTGCGCCAATGTATCGTCGCCCGCCGGCCGGTCTGTTGGTGGTACAGCGGCCATGCTTGTAGTAGAGAAGAAGCATGATGGGGCTTCTGGTGATCTTGAGGCTGAGATATCGTCCGGTGCCCTCGTGCATATCCAATCTCAATCCCGTGGCGATATAAGGCGGCTCTCAGTCCCACAGTGTATTGTCTCCTTGGACCAGGGTTGCTGTCCAATTAAAGTGAAGGCTGCCAACCTGGAGAAGGTCCAGACCAAGGCCAAATGAGTCTGCCTATCCAGAGGAAACATGCGGTTAAGAGCAGTTTTGAGTCCAGATCTTTATACGATCTTTTGGACCAATGACGGTGGGTCGGATCTGTACTCTTCTCGTTGGATGAACATGCCTCCTGTCAGGATCTCGAACCAAGGTCCACACCTCTTCATGCGAGCCAGTCGTGGTATGCGTCCTTGAATCAGGGTGATTGGTTCATGCCGTCTCATCAGCAGGACCAGGGTCAAGAGAATGATTTGAGAAACAGCTTGACCCTGCTTTCGGGTTACACAAGCTCGCCTACCCGTCCAGGCCACGAGCGTGGTCCAGCTCCGGAGACGAGGGGCGTCAAGATGGAATTTCCTCAACTGGCTTTCAAGAACCCAACAAGCACGGTACTGCATGTTCGCTCAAGGCACTTGCCAGTGGGCTTCTAGACCTCCAGGCACGGGTCTATGGCATGGCGTGGCGTTCACTCGGAAATGTTCATGCTCAAGGATGAAGCTATTCAGGGATCTGGTGAGCCTTGAGTGGACTGCCTTCCCGCACGCCATGTTGCGGATTTCTTATTGAATTTTGCTCATTCTATGGCACTTTTGTTACTGAACATTGCTGTGGAGGCGTCTGCGAATCCAGGACTCCATATCAGAGTGTGTGGCACTGCCTCCCACACCTGAAGCTGATCAGAAATAGCACTATATACCATCGCCAAAACTGACCTCCCAGGCGCGTCCCCAAACCTGCGCAATGGCTGTTTTACCGAGGCGTGAGTAAGCCATCCTGAGCTGTGGCCAGGCTGTGCACACCTATTTTACGCTTTCACATGCTTGAGCAGTCGATCGAACGGCTATATTCGCCAGAGATATCCCCCGATGTGTCTGGTTTGTTTAGTGGCGACATTATCATGGGATGTTGGAAATGTGATTTTCATCCGCTAAGGCAATACCTTCGAGCCTTTCAGCTTTAAAGCAGACGATGCGAACGTTCGACGGTTGTTCGATGGCCATGTTACTGGGAGAACGGAGTTTGATTATGCTTGGTGGCCAAAGAGCGAGTTGAATCAATCAAGTTCATCATCTTGCTATACCGCAAAACAAAGAGAAGTCCGACACCTGGGAGATCTCATGACATTCCCCGGTGCCGAGACAGTTTGCAGAGCATACGGCGTCCGCCACGATTCATTTAAACAACCAGGATGTCGAATACCTCACCACCGTCAATCCTGAACCCTCCGCTTTGGTCGTCACGATGCACCAGCTCTGCATTCATGATTCCATGAACATATGCTTCGCCAACGACTCTCGAAGCCGATCCATCGTGAGAGGGTCGCAACACAAGTGGCATCGGAGCGCCCAAGGCTATGACGATAACATCGCCCTCCTCTGCAAAATCTGGGACCGTGGCCATGTATGAACCTTCGGTGAATGCAATTCGACGGCCTTGCTGAATCAGGGCGACTGCTTGCATATAAGCGTCAGCTTCTGTAAAAAGCTTACTGGGTTCTTCTATCATATTAGCTAGGCCGCCATAATCCTCGGGAGGTTTCCAAAATTTGTAGAATGCCTGGTACACAGTCCAATCCAGTCTGCCGGTTGAGTCTGCAGTCATCGTCCGCCGTATCACATCCTCCAGGCGCTCCTTGGTGGGATAGTCTTTGTCTCGGAAGTACTCTTGAGCTTTGCAATGCAGGAAGGAGTGTAGGCGCGCGCAAGCAAGGAACAAATCCGCGCCATGCTTCGTCCCTGGCCTCTCGGAGAAATAAGCAGCGTCATCATGGAACGAAAAGGTGCAGGGCTCCAGGACCTCACGGATGACATCGACGACTGCACCTCGAACAAGCAAGCTTCTGGGATCACCCCTTACTTGTCGAAGATTGGGCTTGGATCCCGCACTACAATGGTAGCCACCGTCTTTGGGAAAGGGATGGCGCAGATATTCAGACATATCCGGCGCCCATGAAGGTAGGGTCTCTCGTTGGTGACCGGCATGTCGAAGCATATCAATTGCCATATCCGGCTGCGTCAAGGAGTAGTGGGCGAGTCCAAGGTAAACATCTTCCGCGCTATTCGACGGCGAGTAGTCGGGTGTGAGCACGTCAATGACATCGTTGTCCACAATGCTCATGAAGGCATACACCTTGTCTCGGGGATCAGACACCGTCGCACTTCGACCACAACCCAAGGCCCGGTACAATGGGATCGCCTCCTGTGAGCATAGAGAAGCCCTGAGCTGGCGAATGGAGTCCAGGTGTAGCCTGGTGCGCACCGTGGATCGAAAACTCGACCTCACACATCCGCTCGGTGCAGTGGAGTCCATCAGGGCTGAAGTGACGCTCTGAATGCTAGGAAGGCACTCGAGTAGGTCGTCAATGACAAACTCGGTGCTTCCATACAAGAACCGAACGTGCCGGTTCAAAACAACCTCCGAAATGACCCAAGCCCGCGTAAACCAAGGGCGGTGCATAAGATCGACCAATGTAGAAGCGGTTTGCACAGGCAACATCCCGAGATTGACAACATCGTCTTGCCGTTTCTGTTCTTTGTCTTTCTTGTGCAAGTCCTCCTTCAGGGTATGTAGCGTGGTTTTGATCGCTTCTCCCTGAGTCACAGACGAGTCTCCAAGGTACACAACTACCTCCATTGCTGAGCCAAATATGTTCCGCATCAGCCGTAATTGAGAATTGCGCTCCGCAATATGATCCTGGTTGATGCAAATTGCATCTACCCAAATCCAATGGTCTCGGATCGCGAGTGCGCATAAAGCCGCTTCGAGGTTCGCAGTCACAAATAGGACCTTGCCACAGCAGGATACTGCATGTGAGCGCTCTGGCGACCCCCAAACATAGGACAAGGCTATGTAAGGCGGAGCTGTTGCCAACGAGAATGTTTCCAACCCGATTGACAAGGACCTCAATCCCGCTGGGACCGCAGTGCCGATGTTGTCCGAGACAGCGGCGACAGTAGCAGGCTGTATTGGGTCTGTCTGAGGCTCTTTTGCGATACGCACAAGCCGAATTCCCTGTTGATTGGGTTTGAGAGGGGTGTACCGATAAGGATCATCCTGAGGGGCCATTTCCCGCGCAGCCAAATTACCAGATGGAGTATGCTTGTAAGGTCAGCCTGGTTTGGGGATGCTTTCACATCTTCGAAAAGAGTAAGGCAAAACAGTCCTCAAAGGACAGGCACTAAATAGCATTGACGATGCCTGACAAAAGCTGCCTGCAGTCCATCGACAGATCGATGTTGAAGTAAGCTGGGATTCCTCCATGTGGTGCGTGCCGGTGTCCGGGGGTTGCATTGCTGGAGAAGGTATAAGTTGGATGCGGAGAGGACAAAGAAAACTTACGAGTTACATTTTCTGATTGGCAGGTGGGATGAGTATTTGACAGCTTGACGGCTTGACCGCCTGATCAAAAGCAATGACTGAGAGGTTTCTGGAGGGCAAAATACGAGGACTGGTCAAGCCGCAGCCATCCATTGGCAATCCGGGGAAATGTTGATCTCACCAGCCGGTTTCCGCTGCGAGAGCCTGACAGCACATCCCATGGGAAGATGCGTCGTTCCCATGCCTGCCCTTAGGGGACCGACCCCAGTGCCACCGGAGGCCCGCAGGACTTGCGCATTTAGAGCTCATGATTCCAGCCCTGCAACAAAGGATGTCTTGTCTCTTGTCTGACTTTCTTAAAGCTCAGAAGGAGAGACCGTGACGGCCAAGCTGCAATGGGGTATAGAGACATGCTCATTACCTTTGCGAATCTCATCACTTCTTCCTGGCTTTCTGGAAGATGATTGACAGGTGAAGAATAGCAGCTCCATTGTAGGCTGCTAGCAATTGGCGGAACACAAGATGCGAAAGACGCGTTGGCTACTACTATTAGTAGGTAGACAAGGATATCGACTGGGAAGGAGAGTTCGCGGATCCGGTAGTAGGCTCTGACGTTCCAATCCCAAACCAAGGTCCGGTTACATGACTTCTTGAGGTTTCTGACCGCTGCTCGGCCGAACATGAATCGATCCGAGAGCGGGCTTAGGTACGAGATGTGAAGACTGTTCAGGGCGAGCAACGATGATGCGGTTAGGGTTGGCTGTGCACCTTTCGTACTAATAAATGATAAAATGGACCCAATGTTTTCGATGCCTGTTTGGTCGCTGTACTATAGTACGTAATAGGAGGTGCAGTCGCCAGTAGAATTGATAAAAGCGGCGGATGTCAAAAGTTGCAGGTCTGACCTCGACCCGAGTCGCGCCACGACGCGAAACGCAATTCATGATTCAAGCCCCAAAGCGCAGGCAGTTCTACGCTCTTGTTCCGGGGTGCATTGGACAGCACGACAATGTCGTAGAAATACAAGGTGTTTCTGAGGGCTGCGGGACCATCAATGCCCAAACAACACCAGTACGTCCTGGTTACAGGTGCGAACAGGTACGTACCTTGTTTGACCACCCGCTCGGAGTTTGTGGTCAAAGGGGAAGCCGTTATTTTACTGACACCTGAACCCCTTCCGTCAGTGGTCTCGGACTCGGTATCTGCTGCCGTCTGATCGACGAGTATCTCACGTCTTCGCCGCCTGATGGCTCCTCCATGACGATCATCTTCACGACGCGGAGCGTTCGCAAGGGCTCCGAGACGTTATCCCAACTCGAGAAGCATCTCGCAAAACATAACAGCTCCAGCCCCAAGTCTGACCGCCGAGTCTATTTCCGCCCCGAAAATGTCGAGTTGACAAGCCTTCTCTCTGTCCGCGCGCTCAGTCGAAAACTCTTGGCCTCGGATATTCCTCAACTCAATGCGATCGTCGTCAATGCCGGGATAGGAGGGTGGTCTGGCGTTAATTGGCCACTGACAATATGGAAAGTGTTGACGAGCATACGACAGTCTACGACATGGCCGACGTTCAAGCTTGGGCTGGTTGGACTTGTAACACCACCGCAGTTGCCACCGCGAGAGTCTGGCGCGCCCCGGAATGAGCCAGTGCTCGGAGAACTGTTCTGTGCAAACGTTTTCGGACACTACATGCTTGTACACTGGCTCATGCCGCTGCTCTGGGCCTGTACCCCCGACTCGCCAGGCAAAATCATCTGGTCGTCCTCTATCGAGTGTGGCAGACACCATTACAACCCCCGGGACCATCAGGGACTGAGGTCCGCCGCTGCTTACGAACATACCAAACGCTTGACGGACTGTATGGCCCTGACGGCCAACGACCAGCCCGCGACAGCGAGAGTGGTCAAGGAGTTTACCACCCCATTCCATCCGAACTCCATGCGAGCGAGCCAGCAGCGGCCTCAACGATCTGGACCGGTCTTTCTGCTCTCTCATCCCGGGATCTGCACCACGGCCATCATGAGTCTGTACTGGATCATTCACCAGTTTTATCGCCTCGGTATATATCTTGCAAGGCTGTGCGGCTCGCCCTGGGCCAATGTGACGAGCTACCTCGGCGCCGCGTCTGCGACTTGGCTGGCGCTAGCGTCTCCCGCCGAGATCAAGGCTAAGATGGTCGAAGCTACGGGACACGTGGACGGCCGCTCCTGCAAATGGGGCTCCGCATGCGATCGGCTCGGTCGATCATCGGTCCGCGTGACCGACGTGGAGGGCTGGGGTCTGGATGGGACGGGCAAGCCTTTCAGAGATACTTGGTGGGCTGGCCACGTGGGACGGAAAGCAGGCGCAACAGACGCGACCTCGGAGGAAGTGGAGAACTTCATCGCAGAGGGTGCACACGTTTGGAAAGAAATGGAGGCTTTGCGGAAAGACTGGGAGGCTCGGATCGAAGAACTCGAGGCCGAACAAGGACAGAGCCAGACTAGTAACGGACATCCGTGATAGGCAATGTTCAGATTTCCCTCCACGCCCCGAACGACGCCTACGCTCAATCTTTGGGCGCTGCTAGTATACAGATGCTACATTCCTCCTTTTCCCTGCTCTTTCACTTGGTCAGCAACATATGAGCTTTCCAATGTTCACCATCGGGTCGTGCTCGCATATTTTGCATAGTTCTCATGTCCTGCCTAGTGTCCACAACGCCTCGCAAACCAACCCGGCGCGGGGAGAACTCCTAGAACCATTGCTGCCAAAGATCATATGAGTGTGATGACTTCCGATACTTCGGTTCTCTCAGTCATCCCTACTCCTCCCATAGTCATCGACGGTGACGGTCTGCTCGAGCGGTCCCTCGTCTTCTTCCAGGTTGTCTTCAGCGTCACTCTCGGCTTCGTCGTCTTGTTCGGTCGTCCAGCCCTTGGACATCTGGACGGCCTTGTTCCACTTCTTGTACATTTTGTCACTGGCCTTCTGTGTGATTTTGGGTTTAAAGACGAATCGCTCTTCCCTGTTGATTTCTCTGAGTTCGTCAAATGATGCCCACACTTTGACGGCAAAGCCAGCCGCAATAGCGGCGCCCAGTGCTGTCGTCTCGCGCATCCGTGGTCGGTCCACGGGGATTTGTGCCACGTCGGATTGAATCTAAAAATTCTCAGGTGATCAGTTTCCAGTCAAACAGATGATGGAAAAGGCAAAAGCGCAGAAGAAGGCTGCCACAACCGGATTTCTAGCACACCTGGGGATTCGAGGGGCGACAAATGTGGTTCAATGGTTCAAAAACTCACCTGCATGCACAGATCACTGTTACTCATACCGCCATCGACGGCGAGTTCAGCGAGTTTGACACCAGCATCCTGCTCCATAGCATCGAGAATGGCCTTTGTCTGGAAGCATGTCGCTTCAAGCGTCGCGCGGGCAATATGGCCTCGCTCCGTATACGCGGTAAGACCCCAGATGGTGCCTTGGACGTCGTCAAACCAGTAGGGTGCGAAAAGGCCGCTGAAGCCTGTAACAAACACGCAGCCGCCGTTATCTGGTACCGTACGTGCTAGTTCCGACACCTTGTGCGAATCGCGGAAAAAACCCAAATTGTTCATGAGGAATTTCACCGATGAACCGGCCACCGCGATCGACCCTTCCAGGGCATACACTGGTTTGATGCCTTGAGAAGAGAAATCATACGCCACGGTTGCCAGCAAGCCATGCTTGCTAATCACAGGTTTCTCACCAACGTTGTACAGCAGGAAACAGCCTGTACCGTAGGTGTTCTTCGCCCGGCCAGGTGTGAATCCGCACTGGCCCACGAGAGCGGCCGATTGGTCACCAAGGCATCCTGCAATCTTGGTACCTTTCAGTTTCGTGCTGGCAAGCTTGCCATACGCCTCTGGGTCGGAAGAGGGCACGATCTTGGGGAGGTGCAACTTGGGAGTTTTGACGTCGAGTCTAAAGAAATCGATAAGTTTTTCGTCGTATTTTAGGGTGTGGATGTTCATCCACATGGTCCGGGAAGCATTTGTCGGGTCTGTGACATGAACGTTCGCCTCAACACCACCATTGAGCTTGTAGACGAGCCATGTGTCGACCGTGCCAAACCCCAGAAAGCCTTCTTCGTATACTTTCCTCACGCTCTCCGCGTGCTTGAGTAGCCACAGGAGCTTCGTGGACGAGGGATACGTGGACAAGGGCAGCCCGCAGAGATTCTGGAGTTTTTCGGCACCCTCGCGCTGCCGCAGTTCATGGACAATGCGATGTGTACGCGTGTCTGTCCACACTATGCAGTTGTGTAAAGGCTCGCCAGTCCTGGTATCCCACACACATGTCGTTTCCCGCTGGTTGGTGATTCCAATAGCCTTGATGTCCGCAAGTGAATATCCTTTGGCCTCGAAGTCACCGCAAGCTTTATCTATACATTCCGAGACAGTAGCGACAAGTTCGTTCGGGTCGTGCTCGTGCCACCTACAAAAAGGATGTTTCAGCGACAGTGCTGTGAAACATATAATGTTTGTTACTCACCCTGAATATGGGTGTATCTGCTTGAACTCGATTTGATGTGAGGCTACTGGGTTTCCTGCCGGGTCGAAGATCAAGAACCTCGAACTCGTTGTGCCGTTATCGATCGCGCCCACGAAGGTCATGTTCGCACTTCCCGTCTGCGATTTGGTCAGCTGTGTACATTCATACGGGGATAAGACCATACCATCTTGCGTCGAGTATCAATGGAAGTTGTCAACGGCGGGGTATTCTAGAACAGCAAGGGTATCGAGGGAAGAGGACTGGAAAGACTGCGGTTGGGACAGGGGACAGCGGGATCAGTGATATATGGTAGGAGCCGCGGTCACTGTGGGAAAGAAATTAGTGGCTCTCCGGGAACTGGAGCTGGAGCTGTGGGAGGCATACCAGCAAGCGGCACACTGGGACATGTAGCGGGCGCAGCGGAGGACTCCTTGATCATGGGATTGAACGCGTGGGCGTGGGTGCGGGGACCTTTGCGAATTGCCAGTGCTGTCCTACAGTTCTACAGGTTCTTCTGGGAAGTGCTCGGAGTCCATCTATGAGGTATGATGCAACGCATCACTCGCGCAGAGGAAAAAATGACGTCCCCACCATGCCGACCGCCCCAGATGGGCAAGATTATTGCCCGAACCTCCTGCATTGTTCGGTCTCGCAATCACCGAGCAAACTGCGCCAAAAACGGCCCTGCCGCGGCATCCGGACAGCTGGTAGCGAACAGCGGTCGCACAACAGCCCTATAAAGACTACGCACACAGCACAAAACGGTGCTCCAAACTGCCTCCGGTGGAGACCCCGTTCGGTCCTCTGAAAGCCCCGGTCCACCTAGGTACAGGAGGTCACGAGGGTCTCCCAAGTCTAGGCATTTCGCTTTAGGCCTGGAAGACTGCAGCTAATGGGAGCAGGTCACCAGCATCAACACCACTGAAATATATCAGAATCGCGGGTTTTCTGCATTGATATGTACAGGACTGTTCCCGCAAGCAACAATCAACGGTTGTAATTTGATATTTGCCCAAGCCACTGTGTCAGCGCTCTATTCTTCGTCATCTGCTTCCTCTTCTTCCTCCTCGGCATCCGGTTCAGGGCCCAATTCCTGCATCTGCTTTGCTCGGAGCTCCCTCATGCGGTCAGCCGGTCCAGGTGGTCGAGTGACCAGGTCCGCAATCTGGCCACGGCCGACCAGGGATGCGACAATGCTGGCGCCGACGATGAAGGTGAGGACGAATCGGTAGATTCCATACCAGGATGGTGCCCAGCCTGAAGCGGATGCTCTCGCGTCATTGTAGTACAAGAACGTAAATGCGAAGAATTGGGCGATCAAGCCCACTTCAGCTGGGAGCAGAAGCGTCGGCCATGCGACAGCCGTAGCAACAACGCCCATAGCGTATCTGGGATAGCCCTTATAGCCACCAAAGCCGGAAAATTCGAGACCCCAGTGGATGGCACCCAGAAAAGAGATGATCTTTGAAATTGATTAGGACGGGTAGAAAAGAAGGGCTTGCAAACTGATACGCACCGTGGCACCATAACCGAGCTGAATTGGCTCCAAAATATGCAAGAGTGTCTCGGCAGTCTCACCAGACATCAAAAAGCCGGTGCCGTGGTTGGCAGCATACTGAATGTCGAACGACAAATACACTGTCGTCAAAGAGGTTGCCAGGTAAGGAACCACGCCTGCCAAACCAACATAAAGTGCCTGGCGAGGGACTTCGTGCAGACTGAACGTGTCCTTGATAGTTTCCTGCTCCGTAATCAGTAAACCAACTGTGTAGATATGCGGTGTTGACGAACAAAGTCACTCCGGATACCAGCCATCATGTCAACATCTTGCTCTGGGTCGGCAGCGTTAACCTCGCCGGTGATGGGGCGCACACTGGATTCCGTAGACACGATCTCAGGTACAGGCTTCAAAGTCTGATTGTACAGTTCTTCTGCCGCCTTCTTCACGTCGAAGTGGGCGGCTTTCTGTCCAGCGGTGGACTCGTATCGGACCATTGACTTCTGTGCCGTTCGCGCAAGGGTGAGAGAAAGCACCTTCGACGGTCGGACAGGTCTTGCAGAGGTTCTCATAGTGGCTTTCAAGACATGGTTGTAGAGGCTGGCTCGCGGGGTGGGAGCTTGAACAGTTGCAAAGGATCGCGGCAGCGAACGCGCTGCGGTTGTGCGGAACATAGTTGCTGACATATTCGTCTGAGGTGGTCGACAGGGGCAGATATGCTCGCTGGCCGACGAGGACCAGCTGTATGCAGCTGCAAATCCGAGTTTGAGGAGCGGAGAGGTTGGGAGTTGTCGGTTGAAGAGGTCGAAATGAAGATTGAGGTCAGAGCAAGAAGCTCTAGATGGGAATAGGAGCTAGCATGACGGTAGTATTGTTATTACAGAAGAATAACGCAGATTTGTAGCTCTATCAAGTGTCCAAGCTCGTCATTTAGCCGGTAATACGAAGCCTCTCCTGACAGTGCAATTTGCTCAAGATTCATTGGGCGGTGGCGCCAAGAGAATTGACAGATCCAGTATCGAATGCGGTCGGTACATGTACCTTAGGCTAACTGCCTACCACCCTGAGGTACCTCTACATACCAGGGACCTACGTACTACGAGGTAGGTGCATACTAGGTACCTTCAATTAGATCTCTACCACCTGCTGATACCATCTCTACCGCGTTTTCATGGCAGTTTATGCATTTCGCAGACGAGTAGCATCTTATTCGGATTGCTGATGATGTATCGACTACTCCCAGGTCACTCCACTCGTCCATTCGCCGGGGCCTGAGGACAACAAGTGCTCGCTCATCCGGCAATTCCTCCACTGCACCGCACTAGTAGGGTAAGTGCTGTTGTACCCTGCGCATAGTGCCCTCCAGGAAAGACCTCTGTTGCGGCCCTCCAGTTTCCTTTCAGTGTGAAAAGAAGTACCTACCTAAGGTAAGTTGTAGCTCTGATATCCAATGAGCTAATAAGGGTATTCTGATAATGCGACTTGGAGAAACGCACTCGGTTCTGATTGGCGGGGCGTGTCAGTCGGTGGAAGGACCTCGGCCGTTCAAGTTGGACACAGATGTGCTACGTGATGTGTTCATCTTGCATCACAACATGTGAAACAGCAGCATCGCAAGTCCACGGCACCTCGACTTCTGATCACACGAAATGATACAAATCGACACAGCGGCTTCAAGCTCCGCCTCGTAGTCTATTTCCCTTTCCTGCGCGCCGCCATGGCAGCCCAATCGAAGCTGCTCCCTCCAGGGCGTACTGTCAAACAACTCATTTCCGAACTGACCTCCCTCTACCTCAGACATCGCACCAAGATATCCCGGACAGTCTTCATTACCCTGGTCGCTGCGCTGATCCATCGAATACACAATGCCATCTCGGAGCAGAAGGCTGCCGTTCGAAGGCAAGCCGAGATTCGAGCCCAGCAATCCGCCACGATAGGGGACGCAGATGCGGCGGGCCAGGAACAGAAGAAGAAAAGAGTGGAAATAAACAGAGAGTTCTTTCGCAACCTTCTTCGTCTATTGAAGATTGTCATACCCGGCTGGCGGAGTAAAGAACTGCGACTGCTGGTCAGCCATAGCGTCTTCCTCGTTTTTCGCACCCTTCTCTCCTTATATGTCGCCGATCTGGATGGCAAAGTTGTTTCCGCGTTGGTCAAAGGCCGTGGCAGAGACTTCGTGCTCGGTCTAGTATGGTGGATGCTGGTTGCTGTGCCTGCGACCTTCACCAACTCCATGCTGCAATATCATCAAACCAGGCTCGCACTTGCTTACCGGACACGGTTAACGAACCACATCCATGAGACGTATCTGAACAACATGACATTCTATGCCCTTTCGGCGTTGGATGATCGAATCAAGAACCCTGATCAACTCATCACTGTTGATGTCGCGCGATTTAGCAATTCGCTGGCCGAATTATATTCGAATCTTGCCAAACCCATCCTCGATATGGTAATTTACAACTACTCATTATCCAAATCCGTGGGCGGAGAGGGTCTGTTTGCGATGGCTCTACTGGTTCAAGTATCTGCCAATGTCATGCGTGCACTTACGCCCCCTTTCGGGAAATACGTGGCAGACGAGGCAAGATTAGAGGGAGAATTCCGATTCCAACATACTCGGCTCATCGATTACAGTGAAGAAGTCGCTTTGTACTTCGGACATGAAGCCGAGAAGGATACCTTGGACAAAGGTTACTTTACATTGATCAAACATGTCAATCGCATATTACGAAGGAGATTCTATCATGGACTCATGGAGGATTTCGTCATCAAGTACTTCTGGGGCGCCTTGGGTCTCATCTTGTGCTCCCTTCCAGTCTTCTTCAAAATCCCTGGTCAAACCTTACAGGCAGCTGGCGATCACACTGAAAGCTTTGTCAAGAACAGACGAATGTTACTCAGCAGCTCCGATGCATTTGGACGAATCATGTTCTCCTACAAGGAAATCACCGAGTTGGCCGGTTACACTTCTAGAGTGGCAGGACTCCTGGATGTCATGGACGATGTCTCAGCCGGCCATTTCGAGAAAAAATTGGTTAGCTCTGCGAGCACCCAGGAAAATGCTGCAGTATTGAAAGGCCGCGGGACCATCGAAGAAAGCGAGAATATCGAATTCACAGATGTTCCTATCGTCAGCCCCAACGGCGATGTTCTCATTAAGAAACTGAGCTTCCGCATCAGACCAGGCGACCATCTCCTCATTGTGGGGCCGAATGGCTGCGGCAAGTCAAGCTTGTTCCGCATCCTCGGCGGCCTGTGGCCCGTCTATGGTGGAAAAGTAAAGAAACCTAGCTTCGAAGACATCTTCTACATCCCTCAACGTCCATACCTCAGTCGTGGTACCCTCCGGGACCAGATTATCTATCCCGACACTCTGTACGAATTCCGAGCGAAGAATGGCTCGGAAGGAGACTTGAAGGAAATTCTGGAAATTCTGGAAATCGAGTCTGTCCTCAACCGGCCGAATGGCTGGGATGCCGTCGAAGAATGGAGAGACGTCTTCTCGGGCGGTCTACAGCAGCGCATCGCAATGGCCAGGCTCTTCTACCACAAGCCCAAGTATGCTATTCTGGACGAATGCACTAGCTCGGTCACTCTCGAGATGGAGCGAAAAATGTACGAGACTGCCAAAAGCCTGGGCACTACCTTGATGACGGTGTCTCATCGCCGAAGTTTGTGGAAGTATCATAGCATGATTCTCCAATTTGACGGTCAAGGTCATTATGTCTTCAGCAAACTAGATGCGGAAAGGAGAATCAAACTCGAAGACGAAAAAGAGGAGCTCGAAACACTGCTGCGTGGCGTGGAAGGATGGAAGGCCAGACTAACGGAGCTAAACGGATAATACGAGTCAACGTTGCTTTCCCTAGTCGAGGGAGGTCGAAAATCTCACCTTGAATGGATGATGTGCGACATTGACTCATTCCAGCAATTGTGAGCGTGCGTCTGTTTTTCAGATTGTGTGCGGGACCGCAACCAGCCTGCTACAATCGACCGAGCAGCCTGTTGTCTATCTGATCCATGGCAGTAGGGTCCCATCTGTGAACCTCGAGACGTACGGCTGCCTCTTTTTCGGGCTTTTATAGAGCAGGGACCGTCGCTTCTGCTCGGCCTTTGTCGTGACTATCCCGACTTCCCGGCGAATGCGATGACCATGGAGACTAGTTGACACTCATAGCGCCCCTTATCGCTTCTGGAAGCCAACAACCGTTCCTTGGACTTGAAAACCTTCCCTGAGGTTTACCAAAGTATCATCAATTCAAGGGCACCGAGGTTGCGAATAGGATAGCTTCGCACCCTGAGTGCGCTTTCGTGCTGAAAGTCTATCTGCTACTGACATTTGTGTCTACATTATTCCAGTGAAGTATCCAAGCCCTGTTCAAGGCCCAGTAGTCTTGAGACCCTTGCCGCCGGAGCTACATATCCTGTATGCAGGAAAAGAGCGTGTCGGTATCGCTTGTACAACGGAGTTCACCCAAGCCGTTTTGATCCCAGTCTGTTCTCTCCACACGACTTCAGCGCTTATTGTCTGCTGGCCCCCGGCTGAAAGAGTCGTTGTCTCCGGAATGCGGAGGAAGTGTCTCCAACGAAGCACTGCATAAGATAGCGTTGGAGAACCAATACCCCGTGCTTTTACAACGCCATTGGAAGGTACTATAAAGCACATCAACCAGCCACTGCCAACGACTATCTAGAGATCTTCGCCATCTAGTAGGACACTCTCGCCGGTGAGAGAACGCCTCCTCGTCCTTATCCCCACGCCCTCACCTTACACCATTCACATCATGACTTCTTCCACCCCAAGACCGACATACACCATAATTCAAGCAGATGGACTATATTCGGTAAGCGAAGTACTAGTATGGAGTAAACACCAGGACTACTTCAAGTCCTCCTTCATCAATATGGTCCAGGCCGTCATCTCACCAGACCCAAGCAGCATCCCGGATAGGACCGTCTCCTATCAGGTTCCTGAGCCCCAACAACCTGGTTTCCCGTTCCGCTCAAATTACATACACTACCCTGTCTACGTTTTGTACCTACATAATCATGCTTACCACCGCGGCAAACTTAGGACGATATTGTCGAGCAGGAAATATTCAGACCTCTGGCGTGGCAAGACTCTCATGTCGACTATATTCAAACGAACCTCTGGCCGACGGGGGTGTCTGACGGCAAGCCGTGGTCGGACATTGACAAGACCCTACGCGAGCAGGTCGACGGCATCATGCTGCTCAAAATGAGTTTCACAGAGCAGGACTTGGCTTTGTTTCCGAAGTTGAAGGTGTGAGTGAACACTTTACTTCTCTATCTATTTACCTCCGCCCGCCTGGCACATTGTGAAGTTGAGGGAATGGTTCTCGGACAGCATGTGGCTGTTCAAGTCCGGACTTGACTTGCCCTTCCTCCCGATCGGCATAATGCTGATTGGTTTGCAGCACTCCCTCTTGCTTATGCGCCTGTCGTATCTCGAAGGCCACGTCCCTTTCGCATGCTGACACGTCGCGTTTCTGCTCCTACCTACAGCATCGTTCGGATGGGCGTTGGCTATGACACCCTCGACCGTGTTGCACTGGCAAAGCGAGGCGTCACGGTGTGCAATGTTCCAGGTGAGTTGGCAAAAAAGCCCATGTGTGGGACGGCGACCCGAAAAAGAAAATGGCCAACTGGCGCTGCTTCTGCCATACCTCCTGCCATCCTTCTTCTCGGGTCCTTGTCGTCACCTTTACTACTCCCGCAAATTCTCGCAGGATTCTAGCAGGTCCCGTAACACCCGGTGCCAGAAACTGATCTTGCGTTCTCTTTCCTCCTTTACTACCCCGCTTACCCTGGTCTCTTTGCTCGCTCCGACAGCTTTCAGCCTTGATACCCTTTCACTGACCAGTTCTGTCTCTTTCGACCGCATTCAGACTACGGAACCTGCGAAATCGCCGACCACGCAGTTGGTCTAACCCTTTCGCTTCGGCGCGGCATACTGTTACACAACGACGCACAACGCGCCACTCCTCCCGCCGGGTGGATGTACATCGCCACACCTCTGGTTTCACGGCTACAGGGCGCAACGCTCGGCATTATGGGCATCGGCCGCATCGGCACGGCTGTGGCGTTACGAGCTAAAGCATTCGGCTGGCACGTCCTCTTCTACGATCCGTACGTGAAGAATGGGATCGACAGAAGTCTCGGAATCGAGCGCACTAGGGACATTCGCGAACTGTTCCGACGCAACACGACGTTGAGCGTACATTGTCCTTGTACGCCTGAGACAAGGGGCATGATCCGGTACGACTTGTTGAGCCTTTTGCCACGTGGGGCTGTGTTTGTGAACACGGCAAGAGGGGAGATAGTCGACTTGGATGCCATCGAGCGCTGTATGAGGGAAGGGATCATCAGTGGCGCCGGGCTGGATGTGTTGCCGGAAGAACCCGTCCCTGAAGACCGTGTACATCCGCTCATTCAGGCGTACCGGAACAAGGAGTCTTGGTTGACTGGCCGCATGGTTTTGACTTGCCATACCGCCTTTTACAGCCCGGAAAGTCTCGTCGATATTCGGCTCAAAAGTGCCGAGACTATGCGGGACGTTTTGATCAATGGGGGAAACAGCAATGTTATTGCTCCAGAGATGGAGTAGCTGGACAGATCTGGGATCATAGTGGTGGCGGCACACTACCGGAACAGAACAGGAGAAGTGGTATAGACATCTCTATCCCTGAAGTCTGCAGAATCTAATGACAGACATTGAAGTGGACGGAACGAGGAGCTTTGGACGTTTTTCTTCTCCTACTATCGTAGAATCAACCCGCGATCAGTTTACAGTACATACTGGATGCGCACATGACTGCTCTGCGAACGGCCTCGTTTGATGAGAACAACATACTAGTCCATGACCGTGTCGTGTCCAGGCCACCCCAGTCTGATAGTGGAGCTTGCCACGTCAACGGGAGACGACGTTGGACGGTATGACCTGCATAGAGGATCGTGTTCGCCCCATGCTGGAATGAAATGTGAAAGAGGTTGGGATTCCGTGTCAACGAATGCACCGGAGTGTGGATTGACATACATGAGGTTAGGAAGGAGTGAGTTGAAGATGTGGAAGCGGAGAGGAAGAGCTCAAGTCTCGGCAGATAGAAAAGGAGATCTGTGATATGACCCAAGAAGAAGGTATTTGTAGAAGATTGTGGGCAATTGAACGGATGTCCATCCACTATCCGATAGATGCTCATCCATCCAATCATCCAGCACATTGATCTTCTTCCTATTCATCCTCGGCCTCGTCGTCCTCATCTCCCTCCTCCTCCTCATCAGTACCAATCTCACGACTTGGTCCTGCCTCATCCTCCTCATCCTCGTTCTCGTCCGCATCGTCGTCGTCGTCCCAGGCGTCCTCCGCAATCTCAACCTCGCCTTTGATGTCCCACCTGTCCCCTGTGGCCGCTTGGCTCACGTACTTGACGAATCTCAATGTCCCTTTGTCCCTCAGCACCACACTGAACCGGTTCCAAGAGGCCGAATTCGCAAACAAGATGCCGTCGTCCTCATCTTCGCCCGTGGAGGACTTGTAGACGGCCGGGTCGGCTTTCTTGCCCACGCTAGGAAGAGACTTGGAGTGGACCGATGCCTTGTCGTCGTCGTCATCGTCACCGGCCATGTAGACCTCCTCGCCGCCGAACTCGATTTCCTCAGATGTAGTGACCTGGACCCTTTCGACTTCGCGGGCTTTGTCTTTTCCCTTGCCACTGTCTCCATTTGCATGAGACGTTGAAGTAGACATGCTGTCCACAGCGCCGTTGTTACGCGTTTTTCTGCCGTGAGACATGGCCTCCCTTTCTTCCCCTTGCCCGTCCTCGTCGTCGCCCTCATCCCTCTCCCATCCTTTGCTAGGCGTGATCGAGATGGTGAACTCCAATTGCGGCTGCTCGCCCAGAAAAGGATTGGCCAGGGCATAGTCCTTTCCTCGTCGGAATCTCCTGGCAATCATGTTCTGTCGTACCAGACCTTTTGTTTTCAGCCCCGTGACTAGCGCAAGCCATTTCTTGAAGGCGTGCGAATGCAGTAGGTCGGTCAGGACGCGCGAGATGGGGGTCTTGTCTCGATGCAACGCCTCGGCTCCCTGAAGATAGGCAAACCGATGCTTATGGGGAGGACGAGCTACAGCCCAGTTCGAAGGATGACACTTTGATTGGGAAGAGGCAGTATCCGGCCCCTCAGTCTCAACGCTGGAGATGTACTCTTTGAGTTCTTCCGCAAACTTATGACAGAAGAACTGCTCGAGCTGCAGCACAGACATCTCGGCAAATGAAGCCGAGAAGTCCTCGATCATATCCGGCGTCAGGTAACTCGGAGAGATATAGTGAAGCAGGAAAGTCAGGTCTTGCTCCGTGAGTTCAGCCTCGTCGGTGTCTCCATCCTCCCCAGGATCCAGTTCCTTCTTTGACGCCCGACTATCCATCACGGTTCGGGGCTCGTCAAAATGTCGGAATATCAATTGCGGCTCGTCAAATTCGGTCGCCGCACTTTTCAGCTGAGCAAGGCTGGACTTCTGCGCCTGCGCCTGTTCGATGCCTTTTTCGAACCCGTCCTCCCCTTCCTGCGGGATGTGGAACCATCCACTGATAGCCATGCGGATCCGGCCTCCATCAGCTTCAAGATTGGGTCCGTAATAGACCTCCTCGACGTCGTGATAGCTCTCTCCCGGACGGACAGCGAAGAAGCTCAATTGTCCAAAGGCGGGAGGAATGGTCAAGCTGTGCTCTGCCAACGGGACCTGGATGTCTTCGCCAGCTTTGTTCTTCTTGGTCTCCGTGGGAAATAGTCTTAGACCACCACCCCATTCCGGTCGCCATGGATGATCCGGGTCCGTCAGATATAAGATGTAGCTGACTCTTCGACTTCCAATCACATCGTCGTGGCACAGCAGGTAGCTGCCCGGTGTGTAGACATTAACCGCCATGTCCGTCTTCTTCCCCGACACCTTTCCCGCCCCGGTGACGGTAGAAACCCATTCTCGGAACTCGGCGCTGTACAGGGCATCTCGGAGGCGAACCAGGTTGGGAAGATGTTTCAGAGACTCGGAATCAAGGTTGGACAGGTTCGCAAGGTCGCCGGACTGGTGGATTCGATAAATGTCCGTCTCTTTCAATGTGAAATGGATATGGCTCATGATCTCGCTACGGACGGACCGTAGAAGGGGCCCCTGGATTAAGGAGGGCACCACGGCATGAGGATATGGGCCTGCAACCTCGTAGTTCTTGCGAAAGGCTTGAACGGTCTTGCTCTCGAAGAGATCGGGTCGAAAGGCAGACGTGAGATCAACCGGCGCATGGGCAGACACATTGCGCTTTTTCGCAGGAGGCTCATCCTCGCCGTTGACTTTACGCTTCATCGTGAGCTGGTCACAATGGTTTCTCCAGGAGAAAACAAAGCGGAAAGGGACGACAGTCAAAACTGGTGTGTTTTAAAGTTGTATGGAGAAAAGTTGTGGCCGGTGTGGTTGCGGACAAAAATTATTTGGCGATTGCATGTGGCTGCGAGGAGATTCAGTTTACTAGTATCACGCCACAGTACGAGAAGATCAGAGATATCATACGACAATGTACTTCCATTCAGTTAACTAAAGGCCCATTTCGAGAGCAGTATTGCCTGAGACATTGATTTCTGTGGTACATCACTGAGAAAATTGCCCCAAAACAGTCGTCGGCGAATCTTCCGTTCAATCATCACTCGTCAAAAATGTATATCGAAAAGCTCCAAGGCGCCTCGCCAGTCTGGTGACTACCTAACCGTTCATGGATCCTTCGTAAAATGGTCAAAATCCCAAAAATGCACGCCTAAGATTATCCGCCAAATGTAGAGGCGACATTCAGAAGCTCATGCCGAACTTTTATCCTTGTCCTTGCCGAAGAAAGGAAAAGGTTTGTGGAATCTGTTGCGCGGACTCGGAGTCGCTCGTGGACTGGCCGCAGCAACAGGTTTCTGGGCTGAAACAGACGTCTGCTTCTTGCCTTGCACTTCCCAAGGTGTGACTTCTTCCTTAACGAGCATGTTTGCCCGAGAACCAAGTCTGGCCCGCGAACTATCTGGCCGTTTCTCGAGGGCTTTCTGTTTGCGAGGAGTTGTGGAAGGATTGCCGGTTACATCTTCGTCGTTGCCTTCAACATTCTCGGGCAAATCCGCCATGCGACGGTCTGTATCATTATCTGCTAGAGCTAGCTCTTGTGCTTCTCCTGCAAGGAACGTACCGGATGCAAGATTCGTCTTGCTATTGTGTGCAACAGCCGGTTGTCCTAAAACTCCAGGGCCAGAGGACGTGAAGATGAAGTTCTCCTTTGGCGCCGCCGACAGATTGTGGTTATAATTCGGTTGGCCTTCGAAAGTAGGAGTCACTGGAGATAGTTCTGTTGGAGTAAAGACTGGCGAAGCAGAATGTGCCGGCAGTGGCTCATTACCGGGAGATGGCGGTACTTGAGCTGATACTGACTGCCCAACGCGTAGCCGGCCATCGATGCTCGGATTGGATGGACCATTGTCCTGCGTAGTATGTTGCTTCAAAGACAAGCTTCGACTAGGTACAGTGTCAACCTCTCGTTGAAGTCCTCGGACCTTAGGGACACTGTCTACCGAATTGGCTTGGGACTGATTGGTGGGGGATGGCGAAGGTCTGGAGTGTCTTCCAGGCAGAAGCCGATCGGTTCGATGCTGTGATGCCAGGTCACCGGAGGAGTTGGCTGAGGGGGCATAGAACCGAGTTCGCGCAGAAGCAGTGTGTGATCCGCTTGACCTGCCACGGCTAGCAAGTGAATCCGTTGTCGAACTCGAAGTTCGACTATTCAAACTTCCCCGTTCGTCGTCTCTTCGGTCACGGCTTCCAGTCCTCAGGTAAGTGTTGCCAGAGCCGTCACGTCTGGACGACTTGGATCGATCCTTTTCTCTTTCCTTCTCTTTCTTCTGCATTTGTTTGACGCCGTCAGGGATGCCATCCCATTTTGAGTTGACTTTGGGTACAAAGTCCGGCATCTTTTCGAGTCGCACATTGGGCACCTTAGTTGCACTTGTTGATCCATGCTGCGCAACTAATTGTGCAGCAACCTGATTTAAGGCGACCTGTGTCGGTTCTCGAACCTGGAAAAGCCCGCCCAGGATCGATGGCTTCTTCTTCGGCGGCGGCACCGAAGGCGGCGTAGGAGGGTGGGACTCCTGTCGCGCCTGGACTTTGCTTTGTGCTGCTTCTCGAATTTGCCGAATCGTCAGTCGAGGTTTCTCCGGCTGGCTTTGCACATCGCCGTTATTCTGGTCACTTGGCCCGGGCTCTTCGGTGATGGTGAGACAGTTTCCCTGAGAAGTCTTGTTTGCATTCTCTATTTCCCGGAGCGGTTTGTGAAGGTCCTCGTCTGGTGTACAGGGATCCTCACAACGCTGCATTGATCTTGCAGCTGGAGGATTAGCAGGCTGGGATGCGCTGGAAACCTTCTCTTGCATTGCTGAAATAATCCCAGACCAACGGGGAAGAATGAGGATAGGTTAGGGCGACATGGTAAAGCTTATCGAGGTACAAACTCGCCAATGGGTCGTAAGTGCGTGTATAAGGCGACCTGGAAGGACGACCTTGTTCCAATTGGTTTCGTCAAATGTATAGCGGCGGCAGCGTCCAGCGGACTAGTAGAACATGTGGAGAGGAGTTGTAACGGTCCTCGTTGGAAGCGCCGTGGTTGAGAGGCGCATCCGGTGTTTTGTAGGCAACACTGGCGAAAACAGCAGTATACAGGTAGAGAGTATAAGTGTACAAAGAGAAAAAAAACTCGTTTGTGAGAAGACTGAAGATTCCGGGCGTGACAGGCTCAGGATGGCAGGGCGGAAAGGTGGTTCGCTAGAGTTGTCTGGGGATCATCGATCGATGCAAGGTGGATTTGACAGATGCGCGCACGTGGAATGATACCCGGCTGCTGCGCTTTGCCTGCGAACTATCTGGATTGAAGCAAGTTTTCAAGTCTTTGCCACCAACTCTCCGCACGTACTAGCGAAGGAGGAAGAACGCGAAGCAAGACGTCGATTTGTGTATTATGATTGTTGTTGGAAGGATGGAATGAGAGCAGGCCGTGTAGTCTAGCTGATGGAGGTGTCCCGAGACGGCCGCGCACAAGGACTCCAGCTAGGGATAGGATGGATGCTAGTATGGGCGCCGCGTGGTTGACTCGAGGCCGAGTTGACACAGGATTGGTGCAGAAGAGGCGAGCGATACGAGGTACACTGCATGAGATACACGTAAAAGCCGGCAGACAACGTGCGCCCAGCTGCTACTGAGGTTCTCGAACTCCGGCCTGTGTTACTCCAGTGGACAAAAAGTCGAAGGACAAGGAGTTGGGTTTACAGCTGCGGCAAGCCCCGAAGTATCGCAGTGAAAAGGGCGTCCTTAGCGGTGCAAGGTGCCTAGAAGAGAACAGCAACCAGCGGCAGTGACAGGGGAGCAACAGCACCACTGGCATGCCATCTTGACAGATGTGCCAACTTGAGCACCACAAGTGCCCATTCTGCTAGACTATTGACATCAGGGTTGTCATACAGAGCTTTCCCGGAACGCTTACCCATGCTCGAAACCACATGGCTGTGACTCTCGCCTGTGCTGCCCGTGTGTAGTCTGAGGATTCGTCAAGTAGTAGTACGCACCAGAAGCATGGAAAGCACCCGAGTACGTGGCAGTGTGCCAGCGGCAGTTTTGTAGGAGTCTTTACACTTGCCACGCAGGACACAGGGAAGAAATGATGCCTGAGTACCGTAGGCATTCAGGATCTCGATCCTCATCCATCGAGGGTCGGTGGCTGAGAGGGCAGCTGGCGGGCAGCCCAGTGCAGTGATGCGCGGCGCTCGATGGAGTGCATGGAATGCAGAAAGGTAGGAAGGCATGTGTCTTCAGCTCCGGCACAAAAGCGCAAACACGTTTGGTTAGGGAAATGGCAGCAATATCCACCATCCACGGGTTACTTGTATGTCCATGGTCCTGCCAGTGTCTGTGTGCCGGTGCGAATGCACGCACAAGAGTGCCAGCGCCAGCTTGCCAGTCCGCCCCCCAGCCAAAGGATAGGGGGACACAAACAGGGTCGGCCCCTACAACAACCCAGCCGGCAGTGTGCCAGCAGAGAGGGCGCACGTGGCAGACAGATGCGAAACTTTGTGCAGTGAGTGGACTCGGAGACGACAGCAAGGGGATCAATCCAGCACCAAGGCTCAGCTCGCAGCCTGCAGCCACAATAATGCCAGAGTGCTCCGCACAAGAGTGCAGTAGTGAGTGGGCGACAGGGCACGTGATCCATGTCAAAACATTTGATCAGACAGTGATTTGATTTAAGGTTTGGTGAGGAATTTTTGCATCCTACATAGCATAATGCCGAGCATTTAGTCTGACGCTAAATATCCACTTGGGCTCGGCAGGCTCGGCAGGGCCCCTGAGCGCCAATGGCCGCGCGGGTTTTGTGCAGCGGGGCCGCCATTATTTCTCCCTGGTGAAACTGAGTCACATGCAGTGCCCTGCAGTCCTGTGGCAAACTTGCAGCCTGGACTTCAGGTGACAAACCCGATCAACGATGTTTGCCTCAAAGGACAAACATGTCGATACAACTTGGAATAAACACCAATCCTGTGCATACGTTTGTTGTGCAGAGCCAGGCTCTTGTCGACTTGGGTCTGATTTGTCTCGGTCCTCTTCAGTTCAGGGCTGTGAGGATTTCAGACACTCAATAATATCGCGCGCGACTCCGTCTCATCAGCGTCAATCTGTGGTGTTCACTACTCAGGTGTTTCTGACCTCAGTTTCTCAACACAATCAGTCCTGGGGCGTGCATCCAACATCCTGCCAGTGCACCAGCAGCAGTAGCCCCACAGACGCCAGCAGTTGGGCTTAGGCCCGAGTTTCAGCATCAATGCCGGCCGACACGCAGCCTTCTCATGCCGCCACGCCCCCAACTACAGTCCGCCTAAAGTTGGTCATGCCTGATCACGGCAACCTCCAGGCGCAGACTGGCAATCCCAACACACCTGCCGGGGCTCCTCGGGGGTCGGGACACGAGTCTAGTGGCAGCCCGCAGCGCCCATCCTACTCGCCCGTTACACCCACACTGCCTCACGCCAGCCTGCCGCATGCCAATGATCGCGTTGAACTGCCACCTGCTCAGTTCCTGGATCAGCCTGACCCGGTACCCATGAATTTGGACGACAACCCAGATGCCATGGCCTTAAGAGCTACTCTGTCTATCCTTCAACTTCAACGCCAACAAGCATTGCGGGATATGCGAGACCTCGACAAGATGAAAGAAGCTGCAATGGGTGACCCTGAGCAGTTCGTCAAGGACCTCCAGCAGGGTCGATTGACTCGACCTGGCCGAGAAGGAGTAGAGGTGGATGTGCTGGAGGATGCGGAAGAGGAGACCACCACTGCCGGCGGATCTAAGTTTGGCAAATTCCCCGCGGCGCAGAATGTGATGCGATGTCCGCCGGTGGAATGGGCAAAGTATCACGTCGTCGGCGATGCGCTGGATCGTGTACACGAGGTGCAACAGCATTACCCTGGCTACAGCCAAGAGGAGCAAGGCAGTCATCCCGGTCGACCTCAACCCCATACAGTCGCAGCCCCTTATCGACCCTTCATTGATCGCCTTGACAATACACGAGCAAACCCAAAGTCTTGAGCGTCAACTTCAGTACCATGATCGGATCTGAATTTTCATCTCTACTTAAGAGTATCATGGGAGGAGCTGCATGCAGCAATTCAGCTATTGACTGATAGCGCCTCCAGCAGTAGTGCTGCGCATTTGTGGGCCGGCTCGTTGCCTGTTCACCAGGGCCCTCTGGGCAAACTCGTCCTTGTCGTGTCGCATGACCACACTCTGTTTCTGCCACTGTGAGGCTTGCTCGTCATCTTCTGCCGGGTACCAGGCAGAGGATAGACTGCCTACACTGGCTTAGTCGAGATTCCATGTCAATCTCAAGACCTCCTGGTAAGCCTTCTTGTGTTTGGCGAGCTCAAACTTGTCTGCCATGATGCAGAGAGCACAGCGCGGCCCTTCTCTCATGGCTTTCGCGGTTGCCAGCCCATCTGTAACGATTTTGGTGTCTCCTCCCCACTGGCCTCGGTTGTCGGGATGCAAGAGGTCGATGTATTGGACGCAGCGATAGCACAGGCGCAGATTGCGAGGGACCCAAGATTGCAGACGGGTGAGGACTTGGAGACGGTGGACTCTGGTCGTACGCAGCGGCTTGGGGAAGTAGTAGTGGATGCCGTCTCGCAGCTTGATGGCCTTGGTGGCTTCGAACATGGCTGCGTTCTCTTTGCAGGTGAGCGCAAGCGAAAGGCGATCTGCAACAGTGGGAAGCAGTTTCCAGATGTGGTGAGTCACCTCGAGCGGAAGTTTGAAGAAAGTGTTCTGCTGGGCAACCTGCTTGGACTTGAAGATCTGAAGAATTCTGTTAGTACTCTGCTTGTTCTCAAGGATTGTTCTTACTCACAGATGAATTGATCTTTGGTTCGTTGAGATGGTATCGGACTCGCTTCATGATTCTGCCAGTCTTGACCAACTGTCGCTTTGCTCTTCTTACCGATTTGTATTCGATCTCGAGGACTTCTTCAGCTTCAGCGATCCTGATCGATCCAAGTTAGAGGTGACAACATCCAGAGGAAGGGATACCCTACTCAGCTGGAGTCGGAGGCATCTTGAAAGATCGACGATGATCCTGAGATCAGTGTCAGATCAAGGACTCTTGTTGGATTCTGATACCGACCTTGAATTGACCAGCACTGGTGGACTACTCCACGGTCGATGATCGATGGATCAAGTGGATTTTTGGAGTGTGGAAGAAGATCTTTGGAGGATCGTGGGATGAAGAGAGAGACTTAAGTAGGAGGCAAGAGGAGTGCCAAGCTCGACGACGAGCTCATGTCGACGCAGTGCAAGTGACGAGACTCTTGGCTGTGCGTTGTTGACGCTTCACGAGATGATGTCGTCGATATGGTTGCGCTATCGACAACCATGGGTGAGGAAACCTGGAACGGATTGTTTTGTGCAGGGTTGCGGATACATATTGAGAGCGGCCGCAGGACTGGCAAAGACAACCATGGGACGCAAATTTCACATAGCTCATTCAACAACACCAAGTCAGGGCAAATGGGTCACGAGAAATCATACACAATGAATGTGGTGGACATGAATCCGGCCTTTGAGAAAACCCCTGTGCAGTGAGCAACGTTCTCAGCCTTCCTTATGTAATCAAAGCCCGACGAGGGCTCTACATGTCACGTGCTACACGATCCACATGCAGTGTCAAGCGTGGGGAGAGTGACATCACCTGTCGATGGATGAGATATGGTTCTTCTGTCATAGGTAAGTTGCTGACCAGCAGTGAATGACTACATCGTCCCAAGTCACAAAACAACTCGTAGCTTGCCAGTTTCTGAGCATAGTTCTACTTGATCAACCCATTTTGCCATACTCTACACATATCTTGGGCTTTCCCAGAGATACTACAATCACCTTGAAAGCAACAATTCCTGGGCCCGCTGGAGTAGACTTCAGACGACGTCGCGCCTCGAGCACCTCACCGGCTTGAAACTCTGACCACAGAAACCAAGACAGATTCTGTGTCTCTTAGGAGAGGGGTGAGAACAGCTACACTCTCGAGCATTACCTACCAGGCGCACTCGGCCCTACCCAGCACTATTGACCCACTCCTCGCATTTCCTGAGCCACCGAAGATGTCGTCGTCCCTTGACCCAACAGGGCCTTCGCAGCCAACTGAGCAAGCGGGGCTCAACCAAGCTCAGAACCCAGCATCAAAGACTTCCGCCGAAGAATCCACCTCCCATGACCCTGCGAACAAGTCGGACAAAATCATCGACCGTCGCACCTCACATGACGTACCGTCCCAACACGGCGAGGCGGCGCACCCAGGTGCTAGGGGATCAGGGGAGCGTGGCCCTCTGACAGAAAAACTGATACCAGAATCGGACGCTCAGAACTACTCAGAGGGCGATAGCAACCTGGATGGCGAGCAAATGCGGATGCCTGGCGAAGGTGACGTCGCCGAAGCAGTGCGCTCAGGCGGCGGGGGAGGACATGGAGAGGAACAAAGCCTGACGGAGGATGTTGGGAAGAAACAGGCTGAACACGAGCGGGAGCTGCACAAGCGAGGAGAGCGGACAGGCAGAGAGATCGAGGAAGAAGAGAAAGAGGATTGGACGGGCAGGAAGGCAGACATCGCGACTGCTCTAGGGGACGGGAGGGACAGATCTCCTAAGGTTGTGCTCGCTCCGGAGGAATAAGCGACAGCGCTTAGGAAAGGAGTATCGGATTGCGGAGAGACGGAATACCCAGGAAGGCAAGAAGATCAAACCAGAATATCGAGGATCTCATGAAATGCCAGGTAATCGAGCTGACTCCATAGAGCAATGCCGAGTTACACTGGATCTTACACGTTATCGCATAGCCTTGTGAAGGGGCCATCACTTATCTTCTTTGGGAGGCGACATCTCATACATGCTCCTATGCTTGCCACCAGCATACGCTACAATGATGGCAGTTCAGTCGCTTTCAAGGTATTACTTCGATATCCGTCTGTATCGTTAACCCCCTGTAAATACCCTCGAGTCTGCCAGGTTGAACCACCCACTCGTTCGCCCCAAGTTATGACGCAGGATAGTCGCGCTGCCTGCAACGGTGATGAAAAGAGATATCCAGACAACAAAGAAAACATGCTGAGAATAGGCGACTGCTTTCGCCCTTCCGTTCTTCAAATGGGCTTTGTTTGCCGCATCGGGGTGACAAGCCATGGCTCTGATCTCGCACAGGACCAAAGGCAGTGGCAGCGGAACAAAGAAAGGGAACGCAGCATCACATGAACTCGCACGCAGAGTCGCCTTGACCGGTTGTCACCACACGAGAGAGTGAACTCTCGAGATGGACATCTCCCACTTCATCTCGGTTTGTAGGCGCTGTTGAATTGCGGCTAACTGTCGAGGACATTTTGAATATTTGACAAAGACCACGACTCCCTGGAACAATTACCAAGTGAGTGAGGATACGACAGACCAGCAAGGGTACACAAGATGTGTTATTACAAAATTTATATCTTCCAAGCATGTGGGCATGTCTCCATGTCTGGTACCCCGATCAGCAACCCACCTTGTCCCCATAGGAACCGAACACAGAGTCCAGGGTCATCACGGACAGCATCGACAAGCATAAGAGAGAACGGGGATTGCAGCACAGACACCAACGAAAAGAATGCACAAGAGGGACCACACTCAGCACAGTCGCAGCCACCAGGAGCGTCGCCGGTGCAGTGTGTGGAGAAGCTCGATCATCCCTTGCATACTTTCAGCGTCAACAGACTCTGCCAGGCCTGCCAACAGGAGCGCGACATGAGAATGGAGATTCTCGACAATCATGTCAGCCAGGATACCGCGAGACGGATATCTGCCCGAACGGGCGAGCGCAATCAGCGGGGTTTCGAGCAGGGGCGACGCATCTACCGTAGCTCGACTGCATTGCCGATGAAAATGGAGGCCAAGGCTAACCCGAGCCCGAACTTGAGCTGGAACATCAATGTGAAGACGAAGTTGAACCTGAGTAGGGAATGGATGGCTGGATATCTTCAGGGAAGCGAGATCGGCAGCTCGAATGCAGCGTCACCACGGGCCGCGTGCGAAACGGCGGTTGGCTGTCATGGTGAAAATCGACTTGCTCAGAACACCACCGAGTCTCGAGAACTGCGGTTGGGGCAAACGTCGCCTTCATTGCTCTCGATCTCAAGTTCTTGTGGTCGGTCTCTCAGCCTGATCCCCTCGCCGTCGACGCCGGTGCGGTTGTCATTTGCCGCCTTGGGTGATGCTCGTGCAACCGGCGCGGTGCAGACGAGATAGGCTCCGAAAGTCGATCCGGAAGGGTATGTATAGTATGTACAATAGAGATGAAACCTGCTGGTCAGGGAGGTTCGAAAATACTACCTATCCAGCTTGATCCAGATATCCCTGTTTACCCTTCAACGTACCGTGATGAGGAACGCTTCTTCTTGGAGGATGGGCCATCATTGCACAAGCTTGATCCTGGATGGAGCGAGAACAGATCGCTAACCAAGAGAAAGCCTTGACGTCTGAGGGAGCGGCTCGGAGCCATCAGGGCCAGATGGTTCCCTTGGGTAGGGGAGTCGATGTCAAGCCTCGTCTCGGATGTCGCCGCATATGTGTATGGAGCGTGCGGCTCAGCTGGCTGGGAAACAAGACATAGATCTATCAAGATTAAAATGATGAACTTCCTAGCAATCGGGCCTTGACAGTAGTTGGTCCCGGGTTGTATCGAGGTTAGACACGCAAACTGAATGAAGATTGTGGTTTGGTCAAGAGAATAAACTCGAAATTTCCATTTTATATTAACCCCCAGACCAGTCTATCACCCGGCTTTTCTTTGGCTACTTGCCTACCTACTCATAACGAATTGCCGAGAACCTCTCGACATCATTACTGTTCGTTTAGGTATAGGGAAATTGCTCTAGGTGAAAGTAGGTCATACCTTGATATTACTATGTGAGGATTTCTGGGGCTGGAGACTCGGGGCTTCTTCCGCTCCTGTTGCACGTACATGCAATGCCGAAATGACAACGGAGAAGAGCAGATGCCACAGGTATGTCCTGGCCTGTTCTAGTATCGAACACTTTATATCTATGCTATACAAGTTGTGTCAACCTCCACTGTATGTGGACTGTGCTGAACGGCTAGGGCAATTCAAGCGGCATGCACTTTGGAGCCTCTGGTAGGCGGTATACCCGTCGACGTTCGTGCAGCATGTTTCAAGGGTTTCTTTCTCGCCGCAGCCCTTTCCGATCGCTGTTCCTTGCTCTCCTGGTCGTTGTCCCATTGCTCGGCTTTGATCGTACGCCACTGCCACTCCCATAGCACGGGCAGGAAACTCCACAGATCAAAGTCCGGCCACAGCACGTCCAGGAAGACGATCTGCGTGTCCTGATGGCACTGCCACAGCATGAAATCCGAGAGTCGACTTACGCCGCTGGTACGGACGAGGAGGTCTACCGGCGGATCACCCGCGGTGTACATGTGCGCGCTGAGCGTATCGGGGGTGATCAGCTCAGGGGAGGGATAGGTAGAATTTTGTTGATGGCCCTGAGAGCCTTTAGATGGTGAGGTCTGAGTAACTCCAGACGTAGGCTCGGGGAAAGGAGATGCGGTATCAGAATAGCCGTCAGGATGGAGCGTGGTGGAGGTGGATACGGAGGATGTGTCGCGTTCGGAGGCATCTTGCGAGTATGATGAGAGAGAGGTCGTGCTTGAAGAAGGCGACCGCAGTCCCGGCGCCTGTGTGTATGCCGCATCTGAGTTCGTGTGCTGACTGAACTGTTGCGAGCGGATTGTATGCGCTATTCGCTCTTCTTTGAATGTGCTTGTCCGCTCCTTGTCTGCACCTTCTGCAGGTATAGGATGACTGAACTCTTCCACTGTTTCTCGAATGGCCGAGGTGATCTCTTCTCGACTGGTATATGGGAAACACACGTTCAGCACACAGTTGTTGTTCCCCGAAGTCATGCTGACCGCCTGATCCACGACCTCCAGGACGTCGGGCTTGATTAGTTCCCGTTGGCCTAGGATGCGAATGCTTGCGCCGTATCGATCGAGCAGGTCGCCGTGCTCGACGAGTTGCTTCAGTTTGATCTTGGCCATGTCCATCAAGGCGTCGACTTCGTATTTCGACCGTTTGAAGTTCTCAATACTGAAGGCGTAGATCGTGACATGGGTGACCCCGGATTTGTAGCATACTTCGAGAATCTGGTTTCAGTGTCAGCATTGAGATCTGCTGTTTTACGATCATCCTTTTTTTCTGCATACCTTAGCCAATGCCTCGAACCCCAAATTATGTCCCTCCACAGTCTCTATCCTGTGTCTCTTTGCAAACCTCCGGTTCCCGTCCATCACGAATGCCACATGTTTGGGGACAGGGCCCTGTCGTAGGGCTCCAATGAGCAGTTCACGCAGCTGGTTCAATGCCCATTCCGCGGGCGGAGAGGACCAGAGCCAGTTCCGAATGTGCGAAATATGTCGCGAGGTCATTGCGAGGGTCGAACGAGCGTGAAGGTGGAATGATGGTCTTTGCTGCGCATGGGTCGATGGGCCGTGGTCGAGCCCGGTCGGGTTGTTAGGACAAAGCGTGAGCGTTCACAGCACTCTCCTCGGAAGGAGAAGTTTACGTGAGAGACAATCGCTCAAGTAGGGCACTGCAAAGGAGTGTACATAGGTAGCTAGGACGTGCAGTCGGTGTACCAGTGGATGAAGTCGTGATGGTCCAACCCAACTCTGGCCTTTCTCTCACGAATCCAGCGGGTGACGTACAACTCGAGGCTCCACGCTCTTCACCTGGTGGAGTGAGCCACACTGCCACTGACACAGCATCCCAGCGTCTGACCATGGTTTTCCGCTCCGATACCTTGGCACTACAAATTGAACTGCTACGAGTCTACAGGCAAGAGTCACATCTGATACTGACGCCTTGCAAGGCTGCCATCGGATGTAGGGCCACGACATGCTGAGACTCGTCACAATGCACAGTGAAATTTTGAAAGTGAAGACGGATCTCATCGGCTCAATTTATGCTATATTCAAAACAGAAGGGGCATCCTATAAAGCCTATGAGAAGCTTTCGTGATTAAGTACAGCGGCACAGCCAGATGATAGAGGTCCAAGCAAGTTTACCCGCTAAGAGTGCACAGCACAAAGAAACAGCGAAGTCCTGCGAGCTCGTCTCATTGTCACCGCTCACTTGCTCGAGCATTCTCGCTCTCCCCCCTCCGACCGGGCGCGCCAGGCGGAAGTAGGACTTCGGGGATCTTGATGCCTACCACCCCTTTGGGCCCAATATCCTTATCCTTCTTTGGAGGTAACTTGTTTTCTCGACCAGGGCTCCCGCTGTCATCGTCATTTTCTCGAAGTTCCACTTCCAAACGTTTTAGCTTTTCCCCTCGCAAGATCTTGTTGATATCTTCTCGGTCGAGTGTTTCAAACTCAAGGAGAGCGTCCTTCAGAGCCTCGAGCTCCTTACGCTTTTCTTTGACAATTCGGTCGGCTCGTTGTCTGCCTGCTTCAACGATGTCTCGGACCTCACGTTCGATTTCCATTTTGGTTTCGCTGGATAGATTGTTATAGTCCGATGCCAGGTCCACATTCCCAAGCTTGCTGGAGTAGCCGCACTGAGTGACAAGATGATATGCCGTCCGTGTGGCGCTTTGCACGTCATGGGCGATACCGCTGGTCACCTTGTTTGGGCCAAAGATCAATTCCTCAGCCGCTCGACCACCCATGGCAACATCGATCTGAGCGAGGAATTGGTCGTAACCCATGCTGACAGCGTCCATTTCCGGTAAGAAATGGGTAACGCCAAGAGCCCGGCCACGAGGGATGATTGTCATCTTGTACAGCTGACTGCTGGATGGCGTAAACAGGTTGACCAAAGCATGGCCGGCTTCGTGATAAGCCGTCTGGATCTTGTCCTTCTCCCGGATCATTCTGGACTTGACTTCAGCTCCCATCATAATCTTGTCCTTGGCCCACTCGAAGTCCTGAGCGTTGACTCTCTTGTACTTCATGCGTGATGCGTGAACAGCAGCTTGGTTGCACAAGTTCTCAAGATCTGCCCCAGACATGCCACTTGTTGCTCGTGCAAGGACGGTCGCGTCCACATCAGGAGCGACTGGCATATTCCGCATGTGATGCTTCAGGATTTCAATGCGACCACGGACATCAGGCAGAGGAACGTTGATATGGCGATCAAATCGACCAGGTCGGGTGAGTGCTTTATCGAGAGATTCGGGATAGTTGGTTGCGGCGATCAGGATGACACCAGTACTGGGACTGAACCCATCCAACTCCGTGAGTAACTGATTGAGTGTTTGTTTGGCGTATGCAGGGTCCCGCGCGTTACGTTTTCCGCCGACAGCATCCAATTCATCAATGAAGATGATGGCGGGGGCCTTGGCTCGCGCTTGAGAGAAAAGTTCACGAACCCGCTTCGCGCCGACACCGACATAAAGCTCGTCGAACTCGGAACCTGACATGTAGAAGACAGGGACACCGGCCTCTCCAGCAACGGCGCGAGCAAGCATTGTCTTACCAGTACCTGGGGGCCCAACGAGCAAGACACCCTTGGGCAGCTTACCACCAAGCTTATTGAACTTGTCGGGGTTCTTCAAAAACTCGACGAGTTCCTGTAATTCCTCCTTGGCTTCATCACAACCATGGACATCACTGAACCGCACGGTCTGGTGCTGGGGTTGAACTTCGTTACTCTGTCCGGCCCTGGTGCGGAGACTGCCCGACATTTCGACGACCATGGTGAGAATGACCAGGAGAAAGTAGCCGGCAAGGCCGACCCAAAGGAATGTCTTCACCCATTTGAGGATGGTGGTTCCCCATGATTCTTCCACCACAACGTACAGAGGTGCTTCCCTTGCGCCTGTACCAGATTTGTTGCTTGGCATGACCAGTGAGCCACCGTAATTTTGACCTGCAACTGCTTGGCCCACGGCTTGCAGGGTCTCCGGGGGTAAGGCGCCGCCCTGGGACGCGGCTAGGTTTCCGTTCGCGCCCGGAGCCGGCACGGCGCCAACCATCTGAAGAGCTTTGAGGTACGCGGCATCTGTTGCTGGGTTGTTGGCATATCGACCAGACTGATATCTCTCGATGACAAGCTTGGGCATATTGGCTCGCAGAAGAGCAGTATAGAAGGCGTTCTGTGCGGCTGCGCTGGTAGGATTGTTATTTGCAGTCCGTTCGGCGTGGGCTAGCACGTTGTTCTGATTCGCAGGCTGGAATGCGTTTGAAAATGTCCGACGTTGGTACTTGAAACCCGGGGTTTCCTGCCGTGGCCGTGCGAACAGATGATGACTTGTCGAAGGCTGGAACCTATGTTGTTTGACCGTGTCCATTCTCGACATCGTCCGTTTTGTCGCTGTCCCTGACGCAGCGGAGGAGAAGGATCGCTGTGCGGGAAAGGTAGAAAATTGTGATGGGAGAATGGCGCTGCGAACGCTACCTGACAACCAAGGTAGTGGCTGGCGTGAACGGATATTGAGGGGTGCGAAACGTAGGCTCTCGATCGGTACGGTTGCGAGGAACTCTGGTAATTTGGTCACTGGCGACACCTGGGACAGCGTTAGGCTTCTTCATTCTCTCCATAAGGGTTCACATCCACATACCTCCAAACCGTTCATCCTCTTGTCGGCCGTTGAGAGCATCTGCGGAGCAGCCTGGGCATCTCCCTGGGAGCGCAACCGCGCAACGCGGTTACGGCGCAGCGTCTTCAAGGGCGATACGAGAAGCGAAGGAAGGGTAGCCCAGACATCGGGACCAAGCATGGACAGACCCTGTAGCGACATATGTATCAGCGGAAGTGGATTTGTGAGCGAGGCTCCAAGACGTACCGGAAGTTGGGCGAACGGAGCCTGTAAGGCCATCTTGACAACGGTGTAGGCGGCAGCGGCCGCAAAGAACAGGTGTTTCAGTCAATGGAAGGTTGTTGTTGCAGGAATGAATGAAAGAAAGAACCAGAAATAGATGCCTTGCCTTGCCACGCCAACGAGTCGCTGACAATGCAGTGGCGGGCGATGACTGTATTTCTAGAAGTGCTGGCGATGGGAGATGTATTAAGATGGTAAAGAGATCCCATCGGTAAGGTCCCTCTTGTCCTTCCGCCTCCGGCTTTCGCCATAGTATCACTAGTATCGCCACTAAAGAACTCACGTGAGACCACGTGACACGATATATACGGGCTTGGCGGTAAGATGTAAGATGCACTGCAGTGGTTGCCCTCCGCAAGTCTGAGCTCCCTACAACGTTCAACATTTATCATCCTCCAGAGCGCGCCGACATCAGAATTAGTCTTTGGCAGTAGATTACAGACGCCTTTTGGCTCACATACTCGAACCCAATACCTGAAGTCTTCGCCGGTGTGCTGCTATTCATCCTATTTGAAACAACTGAAAACATATATTTACAAGCTTCAAGGCGACGACTGAGGCAGCCTCGGTGACCCCAACGGGGATACAAATGGAGGACTTTGATTTCCCGACTTCGCCGACCTTGGCGTGATAGCAGACATGACGGGCGACTTCTTCTCGGCTCTTGTGACCGGAGTCTTCGGCGGTGAGGGTGGTCGTGTTTCTGTAGGCGTACCGCGACTCGAGTACGCCGGGTGATGCTCGTGAATGTAAGTGCTTCCGGGCAGCTCTTGGGGAGAGCTCAACTTGTTGGAGAGAGACCTCTTCTTCGCTTGCTCGTATGCAGGTGGCGAGGATACTGGGAAGATCGGCCAGTTCGGATTCGCAGCTCCCGGAGACCCAGCCTTCGCCTCCGGACTATCCAGCTCGTGCGTGTTGGGCGCCTGTGACATTTGTAACGCTGGCTCTTCCGGTGGGAATGTCGTTGACCGTGCAGCTTGAGCTGCTGCCTTGGCCCTCCGCCTCCGGATATATATGAACACGGCGATGATGACTCCCACAAAGAGAACTGCGTTGATAATGATCCCGATTTTGCCACCGAGGGGCAGTGAACTATGCGAGGAACCAGGCTTCACAAGCATATACATCTCCGAAAATACATGATCGGTGATCAACGTGAGGCCCGATACCGTTGGCGTGGATGCTGGTATGAATTTTGTCGCCGGGTCAGAATAGCATGGCGTCTGCGCACCAATTGCTGTGTAATAGACCTGGTAACCACTGATTTTGTCAGTCCACGTCTCCGCGACGCAAGGTGGGACTCACATTGGACAGCAACCGTTTGCGGTGGTAAAATAGTCCTGCGGACATCTGGTCAAGCCTGCATTTACCCCTTGGTTGAATGGACAGCAGTCGACTCTTTCGTTGGAACAGCCAATGGCTGGAAACTCGGTCACCATTGCATTGCCGCCTGCCACAACAGCAAAGTACGGTACTGTGCAACTACCGGTCATCAATGGCCTTCCTGCGAATGTTGCTGTCGATGTTCTTCCACCCATGGTCACCATGGTCTCTGGAACCACGTCTCCCGTAATGGTGAAGTACCGGGTATCAACCGAGGAGGAGGAACTGGTGGTGGTGGTGGTGGATGAAGCACTTGGTGAGCTGGTCATCACTGGAATTCCTCGTGCACTCGCACTAGCAAGGGCACTGGACAGTCCAGCCGGAGAACATCCCACGAAATCCGGAGCCGTTTCATTAACCGCAGCACACTCCTGCTTGTTGAACTGGATGGCGGCTAGGCATTGGTCAGCCTTGGAACTTCTATCTTCTTTTCGAGCCTTGACATACTTGCTTGCTCATCATCCGAACATTTCTGGTACAAGCAGCATGACAAACTACTGACATAGGCTGTGTTGGAACAAAGACAAGCAATATCAATGACAGAACATTGTGTCTGCGCTGAGGTTGAGTTGGAGAGGCATTCTTGCTGTTCCATATCAGCACACACTTTCATAAGTAAGGCATGTTCCGTGTACTGACCGCACACTCAGGAATATCCTGCACATTGATCGCCCGCACAGCTCCCAGACAAAGCAGTCCGAGAAGAAGGGAGATCAAGGTCATGGCGAACACTTCAGACTTGAGAATCACCGCTGTGAATAGTTCTCTGCTGCATCATAAGGCCGTACAGCCACGGCAGTCAGTCAGATACGACAACCGAACGAAGACCAAAAGTGCAGACGACTTCATATGGGAGAAGTGGTGGCCCGAGTATCCATTTTGCGACATCTTTGTTTCCGGTTCAGGATTCAAACAAAAGACTTACATGCCTGCGGTAGTCAGGACGACATTCTTCGAACAATGCCGGGTCTCGGCACGCGCTCGAGGGGACGTGCAATCCAGCCACCATTTGAGGCTGCTCGGAATGTGAATATACATTCTTCCCCTACTTGGCTCTTTTCCGACCAACTGAAAAGCGACGACGCACTGCGATGCGTTGTTACGCCGACGACAGCAGGATTTAAAGAGCAGCATCGTTGTGTTCTCAAATCGGGGACTGGATCGGCACCACGCACGTCCTCTCCATCTCCATCGAGCTATCCATCACAGTCTGTGGCCGCGCAAGACGTAGAGACTATGTCCCAAGTCTTGATCTGGACTATTGTATCTCTCAGATGGGACTCCCTTCTGAAAGCGTTTGCTCCCACCCTGTGACTGTTGAGAATCAGGCGGCGCAGCAGCAACACAGTCAACTCATGACCTCAGCTACATCACTGCCCCACCCGAGTTCTGGACGGTTTTCATAGCACTTCCGAATAGGTAAACCCCGTGGTAAACACCTGAGGCCCCCCTTGAATTGTCCGAGAAGGCGTTGATCCATCTTTCTCCACCGCTGTGAAGGCTGCCACGTGCCGAATCACCGAAATCGTCAGTCGTTCGCCAGGCCACTACGGACCTATCATTAAACAAAGTCCTGGAGCACTTGAGTACAGAATGCGGGATATCTTTTGTCACATGCCTCCAAGTGGCCGATAAGAAATGATAGCCACGAGCCCACCAAACATCATAGAGATGATAGTTCTTGCGCGGCTTCATTCATCCGGGTAGGACCGAGCACTTATCTACTACTGTGCGCCCGATGAGCCGCAATCGCTCGCTTGATGAACTTCAGTCTCCAGCAATTGCATGCTCGGCGCCAATCCACGGATAGATATTGCTCCCACGTGATGCCCACCATGCGCCGGAGTCCACCAAGAACTCCCATATCATGATAGTATCAGGAGTCCATCTGACTTCAAGTTGCTTGTATCGAAGTCGAAGAGATAAACATTACAAGAAGTGGAACGCCACAACATAGCGGCCGAGGTTGAGCCCGAAAGCAACAGAATACGGCGCCTGATTCGCCGAATTGAAATCGGACGAGCACTATTGATTGCAACGTCGACTTTCACTCCACTCCTTTATCAGAGCCGACAGCGATATGCTCATGAGATATCCAGATCGCATGGACGTCGAGACGCGACCTAGCACACCTCGAGGAACTCTCGCTCTTTGCTTCGACGTTGAACACGAAGTCACCTTTATAATACCGTCAGAACCTGCCACTTCCAACCCCTGATGTGCGAGTCCGCTTGAGACCGGCCGACAAGCCTTCTTTGTTATCATCAGCCATCACACTGAAGATGGGATCCTCAGCAGACACAAAGCGGCCCGGCCACAAACATGGCACGGCAGGGGAGTCATCCGTGGATTCGCAAGGACCTCTACTGGCACGCACCGTGACCTTCGACGGAAACATCCAGACCTCTCCCCCAACAGCGCGCACACTGTCGCGCATCTCGACAACCTCTTTTGCCGAGTATAAAGTGTACAAACGCCGCTTCTTCGGCCTAGCCCAGCTCGTGCTGCTGAACATCGTGGTATCATGGGACTGGCTCGCCTTTGCATCGGTCTCATCCACATCAGCGCAGTACTTCGGTACGAGCGAGACCAACATCAACTGGGTCTCGACGGCATTTCTGTTCGCATTCTGCGTGACCACGCCAGCGACCTTTCTCATCTTGCATCGGTACGGTCCACGCGTTGCCATCATTGTGGCCGCCGCGCTCCTCCTGGTCGGGAACTGGGTCAAGTACGGTGCAACTAAGGCCAACAATTTCGCCGGCGTCATGGTCGGCCAGCTGATCATCGGCTTCGCACAGCCGTTCGTCCTGTCGTCGCCCACGAGCTACAGCAATCTCTGGTTCAGTCCTGCCGGCCGCACCACTGCGACTGCAGTGGCCTCGTTGGCAAATCCGTTCGGCGCAGCCTTGGGCCAGCTCATCTCGCCGTTCTGGGCAGAAAGCCCGGATGATATTCCCAACATGATTCTCTACATTGCGATCATCTCCTCCGTGGCATGTGTACCAGCCTTCTTCATACCGGCTAGACCACCCACGCCGCCCTCGGCCGGCGCTGTTATGGATCATATGGACCGCACATCTTTGCGGCATGACTTGCACACGTTGACTCGCTCGGTCGAGTTTTATCTTATTTCCATCCCGTTCATGGTGTATGTGGGGTTCTTCAACGCTTTTTCAACCTTGCTCAACCAGATCCTCGAGCCATACGGATTTAGCGAGACCAACGCAGGCATCTCGGGTGCGATATTGATTGTTGTCGGGCTGGTCTGCGCCGCCATCTCCTCGCCCATCATCGACAAATACAAGTTCTACCTCGGCTATATCAAGCTGGCCATCCTCTTCATTGGAATACCATATCTGATCTTCGTCTGGGCACCACAGTCACGCTCACTTGCGTATGTCGACATCATCTGCGCTGTCCTCGGCGCTGCCAGCTTCGGTCTCCTCCCTGTCGCTCTCGAATTCCTCGTCGAAATCCATTACCCGGTCGGCCCGGAGCTGGGAAGCAGTCTGTGCTGGTGCGGCGGACAGCTGCTGGGCGGTATTTTCATTGTGATCATGGATGCGCTCAAGGCGTCTAGCGATGCACACCCCCCACGAAACATGAAGAATGCCCTCATCTTTCAAGCCGTCGTGGCTATGATCGTTATGCCGTTTGCGCTATCTCTTGGCTTGTTTGGTCGTCAGTCTCATGTGCGGAATCGAAGACTTGAAATCGATCGCAGCGCGCCTGAGCACGGTGTTCAGGTCTACGATGAGAATGAGAACGGAAATGTTGGCTAGCCGCTGGACCAAGGTAGTACTGCAAGGGCAAGATTCCCTCTCTATGATCACGGCCATGGAAGGAGTGCACTATAAGCATGTATTACGTGTCGGGGTCGGCAATGGCTGGCTAAGATAGATGATGTAGCCTTTCGGTCCGTAGGGATGATATAAATATACCGATATACTAGTCCCAGGTAGTTTATTTTACGCTCGTGATGAACCTACCTTCGATTTGAAACTGTATGTACATGTCGGGGACCGTGGCAGGGCGTATAACACAATAGATGCAAGAAAGATAAGAGGAAGCTATGTAGACCGTTCATAGAAGTCGAGGGAAAGCCAGATTTCGAGGGACTAAGCCCCAGATTCCGGACATGTCGCTAGGAACACACGGCATGAAAAGTCGGTTGTAACTTGCATGCTGAAGATGATCCTCTAGAGCCCGCTTGCAGGGAATACATGTCGGGATCCGTGTGCAGGTGTAGGTTCATCAATCTGAGCTTTGGCACATGCACCTGACACCCGATGCAAAACAGAGCCCTTGAACCAGGGATGAAACAAGTCTTTCATTTTAGTAGTAGCTGTACAGGCGGTGGCGGTGTGCACTATGTATTGTATCAGGGCCATCTTGCAGAATACACCCCAAGCAAGATCCCGCACTCCATGCTCATCCGGCAGCAAAGTTGGCATTTGATATTCCCGTTCGCAAGTAGCGTATGGACATTGTCTTGCTTTCGAGGGTCTGCGTTCGTTCCGGGGCCATCGAAGGTCTTCGAAATTGATTGCGACAGATCTATTTCAACTGCTTCCACAGTTTAGGAGCAGCGCATTGAGTGGCGCAGTGTTGCAGGTGGAAGACTGGATCCTGGTCAGCTCTCTGTATGCCAATGCGGTGTTTCCAAAAGTGTCAGCCATTGTTCAAGCATACATTCTTCGACACAGTCCTCCTTGGGGCCTTTGTGGTCGGGGTCTTCTTGAGCGGCGGTGACTCTCTCAACGCATTCGTCAAAGTGGTGCTTGTAACCAATGCATTGAGCGGAGCGGGCGCAGTCTGCGGGTGCGAACAATCCGATTAGCATCTCAACTCGTTCACTTTGGCGCCAGAACAGCACGACTGCAGGATGTGTCTCCTCGTTTGTACATACCCTCCTCGATCTTGGGCTTTGGGTCCTCGGGTTCCTCTTCTTCTTCCTCTTCCTCCTCCTCTTCCTCGTCGTCACCACCTTCCTCTTCCTCGCCGCCTTCTTCCTCCTTTGAGTCCTCTCCGCCTTCGCTGGATTCTTCCTCTTCGGCGGGAGCTTCAGCGTGGACCTCCTGCACGAAGGAAACCGACGTCAGCAGGTCGGAGAAGAAATCTGTGATCCCCATGTTGAAGTCTCGTATGCGGCTGAAGGGGGGAAAAGATCAGGGAGTCCGGTTAAAGGAGTAATGGGAGATACGACCCCAAAACGCCCCAGATATCCGATGGTGTAATTGACCGTACGTGTGAAAGTGCGAAGGTGCCCGAAAGGTGTAAGGAGAGCTTCTTCGGAGTTGAAAGCTCGAGCTCCAAAGTTTAGATGACTTGGAATTGCTGGACTCTGATTGGTCGCGACACCTGGATTACATAATACGTTTGACGTCCCACATCACAACAGATATTCACTCAAATTACAGATGAGGCGAGGCGAGCGCCATTTGTGTCTTCCAGAGATCCGAAGATATGGCATAGAACATATAAAAAGGCTACTGTCAGCCATGATAAGACTACAAATCCCATGCATGCAAGCCCGCAGGCAAACAGGAATCTGTTCTGTCGCGCCTAAACACCGTGCTTTCAAATCACCACAGACAGCCTTCCGAAATGCCAATGCGAGTCTATTGCAGAGGTTGCGAGAGCCTCCGGTCAAGCTCTGCCTGTATGCTTTGCTGTTGCACCTCCTCGTAACCTGGAGGCGGCTCCCGCGGTGGTTCCATATCTTCCGCGGGTGAAGCTGTTCCCACCTGACCACCAGCAGAGGATGGAATCGGACCTGCCGTCCCAGGCGACTCTATGACAGCACTGGACTCGAGCGTATCCCCTGCTGCTACTCTATCATGGCCAGATTCTTGGTAGGATGGCAGTTGATCAAGGTGGACATTGTCCAGATTGACATTGCCCAGGAAACTGTCACGTCGTTGTCCGGACGCGTTATTCTCCCGCGCGTTCGTGACAACCTGCTGCAGCCTCTCCTTGATTTGCTCGAACTTGGAGTGGAAGTCGGGCGCGCCACCATCCTTGAAGGTCAATTTGAGCTCGACTACCGCGTGCGATGCAGGAATGTTGCCTCCCGGGACTGGTTGGAGAGCGGCCTGCCAGGCATTGGGTCCAAACCAGGGCACTGTGATATGGGAGTCATGCAGATTCAAGAGTGGTGCGGAAAATGACTGAAGCTCTGCCGTAGGACTGTCGGGCAGATATACAATCTGCGTCCATTGTTAGAAAAAAGGATCAGTCGTTGATGAGCGATTTATCGCTTACTCTCTGATTAGTCAGATAGACCACGCCTGAATTGCAGTTTATGTTCAAAGGATTGCGACCTGGATAAGTCGACGGTGTTGTAATAGCGAGCGACACTCTCGGGGATGATTTGTGAATGACCTTCTCGGCGGGTAACGGTATGAAGCCTTGTTGGCCATCCAACATCACCCAGCTAGAATGCCACAATTAATATGCGAAACATTGACGGTCGGATTTCGGGTCTTACTTGATGGACATGCTGGGATGTTAGACTGCGCTATGGTTTCCCACAGTAACTCTTCTCGGCTGAAGAATGTCAAGCGCTTGTTCGGTGGGCGTTTCCGAGGTTGACGGGTCAAGGTTACGATTCCCGCCAAGGGTACAACCAGTACGATGGGAGAGATTCTAGGTTGTCAGGATGCGATATCGTGTTTCGGCAGAGTAGAAACGGAGTGATAGACGATTCTTGCGTTATAGTATAGCATGGAAGCAGGTCAGACTGGTGGAAGGATATGATACTGTGAACTTTGTAGTACTTGTACTGCTGTAGAAGGGGGTGGAATGGCATTTCGACGTAAGAGGCGGCTAAGACCTGCCAAACTTGAAGTCGCCATCCGCCAGGCAGCGCGCCAAGTCACGGAATCGAATGATCTAATCATCCCGTGATACAACCTGTCGCCGCTCTAAGATGAGCTTGGCGAGAGTCTCATTACACTGCATCGCAACATGAATCTGATGCCTTTGGGACAAGATGGCCATCGACTGACTTGCGCAACAACGCACTATTCAACATCTTCCTACTACAAAATGCCCTCCAGGAATCCTAGCTGATCTGTCATTGGCCTCTTGCTCACTTCTGTGTCAAAGCGCCTTGGCCAGTCCGGCTCGTTTAACCGCAAAGACATGCCACAGGTGCAGGTTCAGCTTGGGCTTCAAGCTGATAACGAACATTACCTTGACGATATCAGTTCTAGAACCCCGCGTAACTGCCACGGCCTATCTCCCAATGGCCGCATCGAATGCTCTTCATGTCCTCGTTGGAATTGATGCGGAAAAGCATGATGTTGACTTGAAGACACTCTTGGAAGCCGGGTCACGTCAGTCTACGAAACAACGAACGTGTGGATGATTATTCCGTGCATCTAGAATGCTTCTTAGCATGAAAAAGATCTCGTGCAGCTGTACGCGATCAGTATTATGCGACAACCCATTGAGGGAATCGTCGAATTATATGAACAAAAGCCATTTGTCCAAGGGCCTGTTGTGACGGCCAATTGACCTTCTTTCCTCCCATGCGCCAGTCAGGTATGGTCATTTTATCCTGACTTGAAGGTTGGTCATAAAAAAAGGTCAAGAAGGCTTGAAGCTGCGGTTGCAAGCAAGAATCTCAGCCACAGAAAAGAATCCATGCGAACGCCTCCAGGATCGGGCTCAACAAACAATCAGATAACAGTAGGACTGGGATGATGTTGTTCCGGAGCCGTTGGGGTCCAGTCACCCCATTGAGGACGTCCGCCTCCGTGTGGTGGGCTCCAGCCTCCTTTCTTAGGAGGACCGCCCCATCCTTTGAAGCCCCATTTTCCTCCGGGAGGACCGCCCTTCCATTTGCCCTTTCCCCAATGGCCGCGACCAGGAGGACCACCGAAGCCGTGTTCTTTTGGACCACCACCACCCCATCTCTTGACCTCGACATGGATGCCGGCGTTTGCGCAGAAGCCTTCAGCAGTGTCGATGACTATTGACAAGTTAACCTCTGTTTCCTGTGGAACGCAAGCAGCGGAGATCTCAAGGGTGACTCACCTGTCTTGTCCGCATTGCAGTCGTCCTCAGCACATTGTGCCACGGAAGGGAAGAACCTCTCAGATGTGCAGATACAGGCTGTGTCACTGGCAGAGCATCCTGTGAGGGCGATGGCATTGGTCATGCAGATGGCCTGGATGGCATGGTCAGCGACAGGAGTCTTGGGAGGAGCCTTGCCCATGGGAGAGATCTTACTGAGCATAGAGGGACACGCATGGCTTGCGAGGCAACAGCCAGAGCAAGAACGATGAAAGCGGTCTTCATCGTGGAGGTGTAGGGCGGAGATGCCCAAATGGTTCGTTCTTGGGTGGTGTCTGGTGTCGAGTGTCGAGAGAGTCGGGGGGATTGTTGAGGAGGGGATATTAAGAGCACCGGGACTCTTAGCGAGTGACCGTGCAAAAAACGAAGGACGATGAGCTAACGAGCGACTGGAGAGCGGGAAAGAGAAGAGTGCAGCAAGCGAAGAGGTCCGACTGCTTTTTGATAAGTAAGTGTCGAGTCCGGTCCAGCGCTGGGCGCCCGGGGGTGGAGTCATGCTCTCCTCAACAACAGACTTGCTCAGCTCATCACAACATGACTCAATATGGTGGCTGTCCTTGTCGCCTCGACCGCACCTTACGAGACCCCCGGCTTAGCGAGCGATGCTCCACCCAGCAGCAACAAATATGGATTATCGAAGGTGCGGCCGGCCCATGGGCCAAAAGTGTATCAACGATCTGCTGGCAATGTCTCGGAGCCACCTTGGGCATTGCAGCGTGGAGATTGACTGGCACTCCTATCAACAGCTGGCCGCTCACTTTTTCGCGGGCTGGATGATTGACAGGGGCTTCCCGTGGTTGCAGACCGGTCCTGCTCCGGTGTCCCAAGGAGACCTAACCCGGGATGATGAAACTTTATACCCACTCCTGGCCATCCTGACTGGCTCCACCCCTGGGGCCGCTTCGCCGGCCGGAGAAGGCTCCGCTCTACTCTTTTAACGCAAATCTACTATCAGGCCACAAGGAACACCATTGGACGAATGGCGCCTGCCTTCGCTTCTGGACTGCATTATCGTCCTGCCTGATTTACATTCTGGTCTCAAAACGGCGCGCCCTCCCACTCGCCCTGGTCCTTACCACTCCCCTGTCCGCAGTACAATTTCGGGAGCCCGGTGACTTGGAATACCGTGAACAGACGCCCGTCCTATGTGGCTGTTTCTTTGTTGGGAGGAAATTGCATCCTGGGCTGATGGACTGAACTCCACCTGGAACTCAACCAAGGACGGTTATTCCTGTTCCTCCATTGTCTCTGGGATTATTCCCACATGTCTGGTTGAAAAACTGCCATCCCATGAATTGCCGCGGGGTCAGCCAGCTTCATGTCGTCCTCATGCCGTCCATTTTCAATAGTCTGCTAATTACGTTTCCACGAAGATACGAAGATACGACTTGCGGACCCACGGAAACGTCGCAAAAAGGCCCAGATCGACCGCTTTGCGATGGGACTCAAGCGGCCCTTCTCGTCCACATCCCGTTTGAGGCGCCCAGCTGATGATCTCCGTTTTCCCCTTCTGGCAGAGCTCCAGGGTAGATCGTGTCGCTGCTCAAAGAGGGGCGGTTGGAAAGACAAGGTAGTTCCACAATACGGCAGCTCCCATGTCATGTCTCTTGTGGATTGAATTTGGTCTCATCGGGTTGGTACCCAGGTACGGTAGGTATCGTTACAGCCCAAACTCCCCGGAATCTATATCCCATACAATGAAAATGATGAGAGAACGCTAATTCTTCCCCCACACACCCGATTTGAAGCCCCAATTGGGCTTTTCGCTCACGCCGCGAGCTCTTTTGTACATCCATTGTGCAAAGTTCACGGTAGGTCCGTCAATGACTTTGGTGACGATCTCGGCCAACCAGAGCGTGACCGGCAGTAACACCACATGTGCCATGATAAAATTGACTTCCAAGCCAAACGGACCCCAGCTCGGGAACGGGCACAAATTGATCCACGCAGGTACAAGTTCCGCATGGGCGTCCCGAATGCGGCCTGTCGCGGCATAGACTCGATCGCCAAGCGACCACAGCACCGGTCCGTGGACCAGGTACAGTCCGAAAGAGACTCTGCCGAGGTATTGGCAGAAGTTGGTCTCGAAAAAGGCCTTGAGACTCTTGATTCGAGGCACCGCAGCTACGATGAATGTGGCGGCCCAGAAGCGGTAGAACCATCGAGGATCGAACACCGCCTGCGGCTTCAAGAACGACAGGTAGTACCAGCCAGGCGACTTTCGGAGGTGGTCGAGGTCGCCGGTAATGGAGGGCACGCCTCCAAGGTACAAAGCGATGCACAGCAGAGTGTAGTAGATGGCGTCTTTGAAGGGCTCCAGCTGCTTGAAGAAGGACGGCAGTTCGTTCCTGATGGCCAGCAAGTCCAGATCGCAGAGCAGCATGCCCATGGCGAACAGGCTGCAGAACCAGCCATCCACGATGTAGAGGAAGTAGAAGACCAATCCGGCTTCACAGCACAAGCGGGCGTTCCTGCTGAGTCGAGCGAAGGCCATGAGGCATGTATAGATGACAATGGAGCCCTTGAATTCCAGCGCGATCGACCAGGTGTGGTCATTGTACCCGAACGCCGGGTCCTCATGGAACACAAAGCTGTAGTTCTTGATTTCGGAGTACCACTTCCACACCTCGTCAATGTACTTCTTCTCCGGCTCATAGGCGCCTGGCGAGAGCGACCTGAGCCCGAACAGGTGCCACGAAGTCATCCAGACGAACGTGGTGGCAATGACGGGCAGATACAGCCGGGCCCAGCGGCGGAACAAGGCTGAGCCGAGATTGTCGGCCACCTGGGTCGTCTCGCCCGCTTGGATCAGACTCATGGGTTTCGCGGACAAGACGTAGCCGGAGATGACGAAGAAGACGGCCACCGCCAAATGGCCGCCGGAAAACAAGACGCGGATGCCGGGTATGCAGATGAAATAGAACTGTTTGTCCCAGCCATAGGCGTTTTCGAGGATGAATTCACCGCCGATGCCCGCGTGGCCCCAGACTTGGTGGTGCAACACGTAGACGAGCAGAGCGGCAAATCCACGCAGGCCGTCAAGGTAGGCCGTGCGGTGCAGCGGTTTCTTGGGCCGGTGGCCGCTGAACCAGGCGGAGGGGCTGATAAAGTCTTCATAGCGTTCTTTGACTTGCTCCAACCAAGTTGACGCTGGCTCTGGCTCCTGCGAGTCGAGCAGGCCCTTTTCGAGCATCACGTCGTCGGACGACGTGTTTTTGTTCATGTTGACGGCATTGACCTCGGACAGACGTGCTGCCATGGTCTCTCAATCGATCAAAGCGAGAGGAGAGGGCCTTAAGCCAAATACTGGTTGTCGTCTAGGTGGGCTCTCGGCGGAATTGAGGTTGTGTCCTGCTTTCAGCTGCGTGTTCGAGACAAAATCAAACATGGACGAGAAGTATGTGTTATGTAGGAGAGGTTGCTAGTCGCTGCCAACAGCATATGGCACGTTGTTGGCTGAGAGTCAAGTCGTGGACAAAAGAACTTGCAGTCAGAGAACGCTCTGACACAATCGACCACTTGACAGTGTTGAAGGACGGGAGCATCGAGCGCTTATCGCGGTGCATGTGGTTGACATTGACAGTGGCACAGACACAGACACAGACACCGACATATCACGCGCGCCGATCCTCAGGTTCCGCGCTTTCGGTGTGAGACACCTTTGAAAGGGAAAATGAGGTTGTGACAGGGGCCACGGCCTTGTGGCCTTGTGGGCTCAGGGGGGCCCAATGAGGCGGACAGATCCACCCCGGGCCGGTGTGGGGGTGCAACAAGTCGCTGCTGATCGTGTCCGCCAGACTAAGATCCCGGCACATGGATACTTCAGACTCTGGCGCGGTTGGCGGTCGGTTTCTTGACTTCTGCATCATATGCTAGTAACCCCCGACCCCTGCCGTAGGACGAGCATGGACCCATGTCTTTCGTCACGGTTTGACTCTCAGCATTTTGTTCATTATTTGCAACTAGCGAGGCTTCACCAGGGCAGTTCGAAGCAAACGGGCGGTCTCGAAAGCCACTTGCCCCCCTTTCTCACCCATTTCCGGGACGTTTGTCCTAGAGACCTGACTCACATCGTAGTCTGGGCTAGTGCTACGATGCTTGTCGAGCAGGAAGCTTGACGGCTGGCTGGACTGCCCATTCTGGCCCAGACATGCAGCAATGGTGCATTGCACATCTTCGGGGGCGCTTCCAAAAGCGGATGAATGTTCAGCACGCCGCAACTCTTCTATTGACGCTGGAGAGGTCGAGACTGTGGCCGATCAGCCCCGAATTTGCTGTTTGGTGGTCAATGGTTCGGACTCGGGCTGAACTGGACCTGGATGCCAAACAAAAGGGATCCATATTCGGAAATCTCTCTGCTGGGTCCCGGTGGATAACCCTACCACAATCGATAACCCCCTCCACGCGATAGATTGGAGGCTCCAGATCTGGCTGGGTCCAGTACCGTGGTGGGATCGTGTCACTGTCAGGGACCTGTCTCAAAAGAACAATCGCACACCAACACTTGTCACTTGTCTTCTGTCAGAATTAGGTGCCTTTTCACTGTCGTTCCCTCGCTCCATGAGCTTCGCAAGACGACAAGCGTCTGGTTGTTTGTGAGAGACTACTTTCACCATCGCCGTTGGTCATGAAGTTCCAACCCTCGCGGCAGGCCTCCGAGGGCTTCGTGGGCAAGCAACTCCGCAGGATCATCCCCTTATGCATCGCCTGCGTCGTCCTGCTCCTGTACCGCAATGCCGTTACTGGCGGCTCGGCCGAATCAGCGCCGTCGGTGGTCGGCCGATTCCCTCGGAAGATTTGGCAGTCGTGGAAGGTCGGCCCTCTTGCGTTCGACCAGAGGGACATAGACCGAGCGAAGACGTGGACGGTCAAGAACCCGGGGTACCGATATGAGGTCCTCACGGATGATAATGCGATGGGCTATGTGGAACACCACTATGGCCCGCAGGTCCTCAATCGGCCGGACATTGTGCACACCTACCGGTCACTCAACGACAAGATCATCAAATCCGATCTGCTGCGATATCTGGTCATGTATGGTACGTGTTTGCCCTCTTCAAGCTCTCATTCGTGCGCATTCTGTGGCTAACGTGAGTACTACAGCGGAGGGCGGTGTCTACGCGGACATCGACGTGGAAGCTCTCAAGCCTCTCGAGCTCTTCATCCCGGATCGGTTCGACGAGAGGGACATTGACATGGTGATTGGGGTCGAGACGGACGAACCCGGCTTCTTGGACCACCCTGTGCTCGGATCGAAATCGCGGTCGTTCGTGCAGTGGACCTTCATCTGCAAGCCGCGACTGCCCGTGATGATGAGGCTGATCGACGGCATCCTGGCCTGGCTCAACGAAATGGCGAAGAAGCAAGGCAAAACGATCTCGGAGCTGCAACTGGACTTTGATGAGGTCATCAGCGGCACTGGGCCTTCGGCGTTCACGGAGGCCATCTTGGCTGAAATCTCGAGCATCCGCGGCGAGCCGACCACGTGGGATCACTTCCACAACATCCTGGAGTCGAAAGTGGTTGGACGCGTTCTGGTGCTCACCGTCGAGGCGTTTGCAGCTGGCACGGGCCATTCAGACTCGGGCAATCACGGCGGGAAAGGCGCGCTGATCAAACATCACTTCCACGCGTCGTCGTGGCCCACCAGCCATCCTCGCTACAAGCATCCGGTGTACGGCGAGGTGGAGAAATGTAACTGGAACCCGGAATGCATCAAGTTGTGGGACGCCAACACCAAGTTCTTCGACTCGCTGCCGGCGCAGGAGCAGGTGAAGCTGATTGCCATGAAGGAGTTGGAGGATGCCAACAACCCAAATCCTGAGGATGAAGCCCCCTTGGGCGGCCAGGGCGCCGCTCAGCAACCTGAGGGAGCTGTGCCGGTCCAGGCGCCGTTCGCGGATGCGCCAGAGGGCTGGTATCAAGGGGAACCGGAAGCTTACGAGGGTGATCCGGAGGCTGAATTAGAAATGCCGGCCCCTAAGCCAGTGGCGAAACCTGAGGCGAAACCGGTGCCGAAACCTGAAGCAAAGCCTGAAGCAAAGCCTGAAGCGAAACCTGAGGCGAAACCAGAAGCAAAGCCTGAAGTCAAGGCTGAAGCCAAACCAGATGCGAAGCTCGAGGCCAAACCTCAAGACAAAGATGCGCAAGAGAAGCCTGATGTCAAGTTGGAGGTTAAGGAGGCCAAAGCTGAACCCAAGCCTGAGGCGAAGCCTGAACCCAAGCCCGAAGTCAAAGATGAGAACAAAGGAGCAGACATCTGGGTATGACGGGGCACATGAAGCAGATGCAAGACAGCGGTCAGGTATAGGAGTTTGATCATAGAGATATTTTACTTGTTACATTATTGAAGAATCTCGGGCAGGCGCAACGGAATACAACAGGATTGAAGACTTTGTGGCGCGGCATGCAAACAGCAGCAACTTGAAGAGGGCGCTTTCGGGGGACGATATCTCAAGCACGGGGCGTTATGTGATGGTATCGACAAGAGACATGTTGATTCTTCGACACCTCGTCATCGTGATAGAGGTTGATGTGGAAGCGTTGGAAGTTTTCGACCTCCAAGGGGTCATATTGATTGCTACAGAGTAGATCTGGAGATTCAATGACAATTTTTCTGTAAAGAGAACATGTTCTGCAACTACTAGTAGTACCTTGTAGTAGATACTCTCCGGTTAATTGAACTTGAATGTTGCTGCTGTGCTGTCTGAGTACCTTAGACTTCATCGTTTGCGTCCCCCCTTTTTTTTGGCCGAGAAATTCGAGTATCAAGACAAGCAGTGTGGCTTTTTTCGTCACATATTTTCAGAATCGTATTCCACCTTGTGCTATCCACATTGACAGCAACTACCTGCGTACTACTCTAATACTATACTAGGTAGTATCACGTAAACCACGCACTTGCCTCTCCTCTTTCCTTCAAGTGGCTTTGCAGCTGAAATGATTGCTCTTTCCCAAACCGTGCGAAACGCCGGTCGTTTGACGTCATGGGATCAATCCTCAATCTTCAATCTTCACTGATCAATTTTCTCCATTCTGCTCCAAAGGTTTTTGTTCTGGAAGAATACTCTGTAGTATGTTTTTTTCTCCATCAGGCCATCAACTCACCAACTCGATCATCCACTCACTCGCTCACCCACTTCGAGCTGCTGCTGCCGAGCCGCTGAATCCCGAACTCCGCACGGTCCTCTCTGACCATTGTCCACTCTTCTTCCCACTAGCATCTCAGCCTCTACTCTATAGTCTGTGCACCTGTCAACCGCTCTCCTGGGTTGCCATGTGTCCGGCACAAGCCCTTCGCAGCCCTACAATTCAATCACGTCCCCGAAAAATCGCCCGGAAAAGTTCTTGGGGCCCCGTCCGGTCAAGATCTCAACTCCACTGCCACGGCCACCAGGGGCAGCTCCTTTATCGGACTGTGACCAAAAGGAGACCTCCTTAGCCCATCATCCCGCGCCTCGGCTCCTATCACCCCTGGCAGTGTACGATTGGCCTACATTGGCTTTCGGTGGCTTGCCGCCAACCAGTTAATGCTACAGAGATTTGTCGATCAACCTCTGGTTCCTGGCTGATCCTTTCCACGTTTCATGGGGCTTGGGCTTGACCTGCCGCTCTGGCAATTGATGCCCGCATAGCGAATGATGGCTGAAGCTTCCCATACAGCCACAACCCGCGGCGGCCACCGGCAGAGCTCATCGCCTGGCGGTCGGGGATGAACAAACGAGGTGATATTCCTGCCGAGAGCGTGGCACCCCTGTCACAAACATCGTGGCTACATCCACCTCAACATTCTCCCAATGATGCTGATCACCCCCGTTTTTGCCAGTACACCGTCGCCCACACATATGTAGACTTGGGAACATCACTGACTGATCAGACCCAAATAATGTACAACGTCGCACTCAATCAATCGACTGGTCCCTGACACAACACAGCATGCCTCGCTAAGGCCTGACATACATGGTCCATCACGTCGTGTCACAACTCGGACGCCGACATTTCGGGCTAGACCCCAACCACCAACGAACCTCTCCTCTGCTCAAACCTTTCTGCAGAGTGGTCATGCCTCGCTAAGGCCTGACATACATGGTCCATCACGTCGTGTCACAACTCGGACGCCGACATTTCGGGCTAGACCCCAACCACCAACGAACCTCTCCTCTGCTCAAACCTCTCTGCAGAGTGGTCTAGTGAGCCCATCACCATGGAGGCGCCTCGCGTCTCCAAAAGCCGTGTAGGCACCTTGTCCAAGACGGCTTGTGTTGGCTGTCGACGCCTCAAAGTGGGTAGTTCCAGATCATGGACACATCAGACATTTGTGACCTGACGCCTCTAGATGAAATGCATTTGGACACCAGGCCAGCCTTGCATGCGATGCCAGAATACTAAACGAAGATGTGTCTTTGCGACGCCCAATAACCAACAGAGGCCGCTTTCTCCCTACACATACGCACAGACAGACGCACAGACACCATCGCCAGCCGTGGGATATCGGACGACAGACCTGAACAACACTCTCCAAGATGCCTTCACGGCAACCTCACATATCAACAACACGCCTCCATCGGCCACGCGACCTACAGCATGGCGGTTAGTGCCAGTCTCACCATCGCAATCCTTCAAAACGCCCTACCAAAGCTCAGCGGAGTTTTATGAGCCCTCGACATCAATACCATTGCCGACCCTCCCAGGGCACGATACGCTCTGGTCCCATCCGGCCTTGAACCATGCGCCAACACCTGCTGTCGCATCCGCAATCGCATCGCCTCCGCGGAGTCCCAATGGCATTGGCGACACCCCTGCGCTGCAGTCTCGTCCAACCTCGACGAAGCTGACCACCCACGATGACTACGGTCTCGGACACGACGTTGGACAATCACAGAACCCGAACTTGCCCACCGACGAAGAGATGAACCACTTGTGCCGCTTCTTCATCGGGAACCTGCTCATCCATATCCCCCTGCTGACCGAAGACGACGTCGGGGATTATGGGACCATGGTGAAGAAGAAGAAACGCTTACTCGCTTGCACCATGGTCTACGTCGCCGCGAGGTATGTACCTGGATGCAAAGCAATCCGCAGGATGCTTCTTCCCGACATTCTCGCCATTCTGAAGCCCTTGCCACGTTATTGTGACGATGACACGCGGTGGACTACTTTACAGGCCTTTGCCGTGCTATACAACTGGGCTTTACCCCTGGACATTGTGTCTCAGGAGGAGACCGGCGAGTTCGATCCCATCTTGAACTATGATACATTAAGAGTCCCCTTGGACACCCTGGCTCGACAATGTTCACTACACAAGGCGGCGGAAGAGCTTGCTATGTTCCAGGAACGAAATCGCGATGGCGCGGACATCCGCCAGACTTTTGCATTCCGGAAATATCTCTTTTCGCTCTGGCTGTTTGGAGTGAGTCATTTCCGTTCGCTGTTGGCCCGCAGTCCTCCACGTGTGCAACCGGACTCGGCCATCCGCTCATGCACGCGTCTTCTCCGAACTTACGCCGGCGACGATCAAGTCCGCCATATCCTCGCACAGGCGGACTTGTGTCTGATATGGTCGCAACCTAGCCACAACGAGTGGTGGTGTTCAATGCCCAATGGTATGGAGGTCGAGTCGACCCTGGCCGTGCTCAAGAACATGGATGAGTCGCTGGAGACCTGGCGCCGCACATGGTTTACACCGGAACAGACACGATCCGACCAGCTCCATTCTCTGGAGTTCCAATACTGCTTCTCTCGCTTCTGCGTCAGCGTATATGTGAGCAAGCTATATCAGTCATCTACTTCGGCGAGATCGTCACCCCTCCTCAGTCTCAGCCTGATCAGCAAATCGATCGAGAGGGCTTCTCAGTCCGGTCGGCTTTTCTTGGATCTACGACCGCTGTCCAAGTCACTGGTGCGGTTTCGGCCCGAAGACACCTTTGGCATGCTGGCTTTGGGATGTTCCTACGTGCTGGGTGCGCATCGACTACTGCGTGATGTGAATCTGGTCAACCCTGGCCATCTCAACGTCGTCCGCTCCCTGGCCGAACTCATGGTCGAGTTGGGTCTTGATAGCAAGCATGTGGCCCGCATTTACGGAGAGAGCGTACTGGGCTGCCTGGCATTACAGCTTCAGGCCATCAATGCGAACGCACCAGCGTTGAATCATTCCCACCTACAGTCACAGTCGCAGCCGCATCCACATCCACAACCACATCCGTCTGGCATGCAAAGCCCCGAAGCGGACCGGACGACATCGGCAGGCTCAAAGGCATGGATGTCGTTCAACGCGGTCAGCCCAGGTTCAGTGGGGTCTCCTCAGATGTTCGACTTGGTCGCCGCGGTTGATGAGGTCTGGCCATTATCGCCCGTCAATCTACAAGACCAACCGCCGGCCGAGCAGCGACCGGTGTGGACGACTGGGGCTGGAGCCACTCCGGCTAGCCAGCACCCTACGATTGCTGGGGGAAATGCAACTGGTGGAACTGGACTTGGTCTCAACTACTATGGCTCGGAGTCTATGGTCTATGCCTCAACAACCGAGGGCATGAGTTATGCGGCGTGAGCTTTGGCTGGTGTTCACGACGGGTCTATGGGTGCTCAATACCGAGTGGACACAGCGTGCTGAGTTGGGTTTCTACGCCTGGGACCTTCCGGCGACCGAAACCAGAGTCGGGAGTCAACAGTCAACATTCACAAGCAGCTGCTGAGAATCAACCGTGGAAACCTCACATGCGTCTGCCTTCTGTGGCGATGACCGATAGCCAGCCGAGAGCCAATCTCATTTCCAGTGGTCGACAACGCATCTTTGCATGAGTCTTGCAGGGCTCGCGTTACAATACTAGGATGTTCGACACGGTCGCGCATGGCCTGTTTCACTACTCAACCGCTTGTTGATTTTCGTTTACCAACCTCCGGCGTGATTGGGCAGTGGGGGAGACAAGGTGGAGTATACAACAACCGGGGTCGCAGCACTGATAAGAGTGCGCGAGGATATTGGGAAATAGTCTGACCAGATTTCAACAGTGACCTCACAAGGACCTGACCGGACCAGAATGTGGATGTAGAATACAGGCAGATGGGTTGCAGCGTAGGCAGGATGCTCGCTCACTCATACTTCACTCAGCATGCAAGCGTTCAAGCGTTGGAGTTGGTGAACATGCATGCATGTCGATATGCAGAGTGGCATGTTTGATTGCAATCGAACATTTGACTACTACCTTGGGGTTTAGAGTTGTCGCTCGTAGCGTTTATTAGTTACTCCGTCTGGAGCTTAAGGCCTTGTGCGAGAAGAGGATTTAGGATCAGAAGTGGACTGACGGTACGTATCATGGATGCATCGGCAGATGGTGATGGACGTGGTGGAAATGCTGTCGATCATGGACGGCGTACACCCGCTTTTCGTTGGGACGCAGAACCGTAAGACGCCTGAGAGACGGCTGATGCAACACGGCACGGAGAAACACAAAACACAAAACAACAAACAGCAAACAGAAAGCAGCGCTCGAAACGCAAAAAGTCGCTGGTGACGATTGAGGATTGTCGATTGTCGAGGGATGCTGTGCCTTGTGCCTGCGCCTTTGGAGAAGATGCGGCTCGAAAAGGGGATCGAGCAAGAAGTCAGCAAGTCAAGAGGTCCACAACCGAACGAATGGGAAATGCGTTTTCTTCCTCTGGCCGGCGTCTACAGCCAGGATGTACAGACTCTACAGAGAGACAGTTGGGGTTCATTGGGTTAAAAGGTTGGGTTGCATTGGCGTCGACGCTGTCTCGCGACTCTTTGTATCCCTGCCCTTGACCTTGACCTTGACCTCAACTTCTCCACCCGGTCCGGACATGCAGGGGAAGAAAGGAAAGTATCGACAGGAGAGAGAGAGAGAGACAATTGATGATGAATGGCATCATTCTCTCCCAGCTGGCAGACTCTGTACGACGACAAAGCTGATCGCTAAAAAAAAACAATAAATCCATCCACCGGGCGGCTCAGCCGGGCTGATGATTCGGTGGATGGACAGGATTCGAAATCCGACTGGGCCGAAAACAGAAGTGAATCCCCATCCGAGCGCCCACGTCGCTTTTCCACAGAGTTACAGAGGCAGATCTGTCAATCTTTCATCCCAGCTCCCTGGGTTTCCCATTTCCCTCACTTGTGGACACCTGTGGACACTGGACAGCAACTCACAAAGGAACCTCTGTGTCCCCCGGCCGTCGCAAGCCCACCATAGCAGGATATCCACCCACACTCCGGACTGGCACCTCCATTTGTTCATTTGTCCTTTTCATGGCAGCGCAGTTATTTCATCATGGCGTAGCTGAGTCCTCTCTCCCGTCCTCGTCCTCGTCCCCGTCCCGTCCTACACAAGGCACAACACCGCACGCACCACCTTGCGCCCCGAATTGACTTTTTCACTGCTTTCCACACGTGTTACCCGTTCGGCGTTCAACCCGGCCAGCTGGGATGACAGATTCCGGTTGTGTTTCTAGCCCTGGAAAACGCACGTCCCTTTTCCGCTTCTGTTTCCTCGATTTGGAGGTGGAAAAGGACGGCCAATTGTCGGTCACTCATTGTAGGTGATCCCAAACAGTACAATTGACAACCACACCAACCAGACACCAATCTAGGTCTGGCCGACTTGCTGGCTGTTTGGCTGGCTGGAGTCCAATTTACACAAAAGGGGATGATTGCTATGAAGTGCCCGCCCCTGATGAATGGAATGGCCCTGAAGGCTGAAGCTGGACCTGAAGCTGAACCCCTGCAGCAAATACGAGCTGAGTTCGGTACCTGCATTTGATGCAGTGGGCTCCAGCACCTACATACTTGGCCTGAGGAGCCGCCGCTCAGTCGTGTTACCACTGCACTTCCCACTGCAGCACTAAGATACTTGGCCACTGGTCACGACCATCTCGCTGCTCACTTGCGCCTCCACGTCTCTCGCTCCACCGTCGAAGTCGTCGGTCTGCTCTGCTCGTCTGCTCGTCTGCGATAACGGACTCTCACCAAGCTGGAATCTATCGGGCGAGACAGACAGAGTCGAGCCCCGTCTTCAAGACGTTGACTCTACACCCGTGACGATAGCATCCAAGACTTTGACTCTACCACCCGTGGCATAGCATCTTGTCGGCGATCATATACTCTCGTCGGCACGCTCCATCGTTTTACATCGACTCGCCGACTCCACGGCCCCTCCTGTCACGATGGTTCGAGCCTCGAGATCACTGTTCGCCATTGTCGTGCCCTTATTTGTCCTCGCCTTTCTGTTCTCGCATTCAAGTCGACATCGCCCCGAACCCACCCCTCCAGCAGAAGCAGAAGCAGAAGCAAAAGCAAAAACCCCAACCGACGACATTGTCCTCACGGAACAAACGCCTGAGGGACTTGCCACGACTGTCATCTCTAATGTCGATATTCTCCCCCCATCCCATCTACTCACAATTGACGACGATGGCCAACCCGTCATCGACAAGGAAGCATATCGCATCATCTATTCCAACTCGACCGTCAGCGGCAACTACTTTCCCATCTTCCTTGGTGGGGGCACAGGCTCCAATCCCAACATCATTCCGCATCCCACCAAATTCGAAGCCTGGATCGTCCTGGTGCAAAAGGTCCCCAGCAAGGCTCCCGAGGATTTCTCCTCCCAACTCATCTGCAACGCGGGCTTCCTCAACGACGTGCTGACATGCATGGCCGAACCCACTCCCTTGATGCTGGAGTCTACCAAGGGAACCTGCCAGGATGAATTGGGCCACTACAACTTCGAACATGGCCCACGAGACGCCCGGCTCTTCTACGGTCCCGTGGCGCCATATATTCTGTACGGCTCGCATTCCCAATATACCTGTCTAGGCATGTGGCTCCAAGACTTCCGCATGCTCCTAGATGACTACCGCATCGAAGCCGTGCTCGCCAAAGACTTTATCAAACCGACCGAGCTGCAACGCCCGCCGCCCTTCAAGGGCATCGAGAAGAACTTCTTCGTCTTCTGGGACATGGCGGGGGACATCTACCTGCAGAGCGACCTGGTCCCCAAGCGCGTCTTTGCGAAAGTCGACCTTGACGGTTCCATCGGACCAGACCTGGCTCCTCTCGCTGCCGATACCGACGACAAGTGTCTGGCGCGATACATGCCCGCGGCCGTCTTGGAGAAGTCGGCAATCCAGCAATCAACCAACTCGTTGGCCATCACGCTGTGTCGCCGCGCAGACCCGAAATGCAAGCCTACGGATCAAAACACGTTTGTTCTGACCTTGTTTCACTATAAAACCGCCTTTGACGGCCACAGCATCTATGAGCCCTATGTCATGCTGTTCCAGCGGGCCGCGCCCTTCGCCGTCCATGCCATCTCCACCAAACCGCTCTGGATTGCTGGGAGGTCGAAATTCTCCAAGTATAGCGGCAATGTTCATTGGGAAGATCGGACTGACTTGCCCGAGAACCATTCCGAGATGTTCTACGTGCGCAGTCTCACGTGGAGGTCTCATGGACAGAAGTATCATGGATACATCGACGATATTCTGTTCCTTGGTTTCGGCATTGAAGACTCGAGGCCGGGGGCTATTGATGTCGTGGCGAGTGACTTGTTGCAGGATCTGGGCTTTTGTGCGGACATCAAATAGGAAAGACCTTGGACAACGACAGGATGCCCGTGTTCGACCATGAAGGGCCGGCTCATGCGAAGGTGCAAAGTTGCAACTTGCAAGGATGGCAGGGATTGTTCCTGAGACGGGTCAAGTCAACTCCACCCCAATATCGACTTGTCAAAAGACATATTTCGTTTCCTTCCTATCACCGTTCGGACAGGTCGGATTGTTGGTCTTTGAGCGGCTCTTAGTCTACGGATGGCATTTTGACCATGTGCCAACAAGATATGCGAGTTCCAGGGATGACAGCGATGCTCGGCGGACAACTACGAAGAGATGGTCCGCGCCATCGTACAGGGACATTCATCACCAGGAACAGCAGCTGCACGGCGATATGAGCAGACCTGGCGGATCTTGTGCTCCCAGGACAGCAAAGTCGAAGTGCCACCCTTTTTTGGCGCCGCAAACGACCTGGATCTCCTATCTACAAGATGAGTTGCCTTGAACAATATCAGCTCGTCGCCGGCCGAGCCAGTTGAAAAAACGCGCTTGGCTTGTACGTGAGAGGGGTTCTAGGATCACACGGGAGACTGGTGTTGCGGAGTTTAGACCGGTGCATTGCAAAGGATTGTCCGAAGACAGCGATCGGTGTCTGGGTTTGGAGTTTCATGTACAACACGGCGATACAGCATATAGTAGGTATCCAGCCTACAGCGTAGGCAATAACGTCGCACAAGTCAAATGGTTGCAAATGTTATATGCTACATATATGCTACACAGATTCTGCGGTGGTCGAGTGTCAATGTCAAGTGTCGATGTCACGATCAAAGCCAATGTCAACACAAAGATCACTACCAGTATCAGTTCCAGCTCCGATGTCAATATGAGTTTCAATATGCATATGCATAGTACAACCTCTAAGGTGCCTTGGATATGTTTTGGCACTCAATCCGTTACATGTAATCTACAGTCCTGGTTCCATCTCGTTCAAACCTCAGTCAGAGGAACAGAATACCGCTGCCTCTTCTACCACCACCACCACCACCATCACGAATAGAATCATAACCCACAAACCCCCAAATCCTTCAACAAATCTCCAGCACGCACATCAATCGCCCCAGCCCTATTATCCTCAATACCAAACGTCACAAACATCACATCATCGATATATCCATGATATGTCTGACCGTTCGTCTTCCAAGCAATACTAGTCACGAAGAACATTTCCGCCTGATTTTCCGGCAATTCGCCATCTTGATCTTGATCTTGATGTTGTTCATGGGGTTTATCTTTACTTTGAGTTTGATCTTCGGCAACAGCAGCAGCATCGCGCTCTTCCAACCCCCTCCTTCTTGTTGTTGTTTTTGTTTTCTCTGCTGCAGCATGTTTGTCCGCCATCTTCTTATGTCCATGGAACCACATCGGTTTCTGCGAAATGGCATGCACCGCAAACGGCGCCGACGACCGCAACAGCACCACGTACGGCCGATAGACGTTGTGGTACGCGTAGTAGAATTTCTGCTGGAAGATGGCCATGATAAAAGTGTTTTCCTCGGTGGGCTTGCAGGCTGGGTCGGCGCGCGCGCAGAGCGTGATGGAGAGAGAGTTTGTGGCTTGGTGGAGGGAGGATTTTGTGGTGGAAGTACTTGTGCCTTGTCCTTTTCCTTTTCCTTCAGCACCGACTGCACCGACTGCACCGACTGCGTCGACTACGTCGCCGCCGCCGTCGCCGCTAGACACTTTCGGCATATACTTCGCCATACATGCCTCATCAGACTCAATCGCCAACACACTCATGTCCTCCCCGATCACGGCGCCGTCGTTGTCGAGTTGGGCGAAACTGCGGCGCGGAGCGAGGTCGTAGTGTGCGTACATTTGGCCGTGTCGGTCCCAGAAGACGAACCAGTTCTTTTCGAATTCGCCGAATGGGCCGGGGCGATGGAGCTCGGTTCCGGCGGAGAAGAGGACCGATGCTGGAGATCTTTTGATGGGGTCGATGTTGGTGTTGGACACGTCTTTTTCTTTGGGCGGTTGTTGCTTGGTGTCTTGAGGCATGTTGTCTGGATTCTTGTCTTGAGGCTTGTCTTCTACCTTCTTGTCTTCTTGAGGCTTGTCCTTCTCGTTCTCCTTTGCTTTGTCGACGGCTTCGATTTTGTCCGTCCCCTTCTCTCGAACAAGCCCTCTGAAATCCTGAATCCACTGTCCAAAACATGTATACCCCGACCGCGACCCATATATGATATACGGCACCTTTGGCCCATAAAACACCCTCGCGTCATGCGGGCCAGACACGCCATTAAACCATTCCAGCTCGCCCTTGCAGAGTCCCCCTTTGGTAGGTTTGACCGGTAACGTCTGCGGCGGGGTCGAACACGTCAAGGTATCGTCTTCGTCATTGAACACCGCTTCACAGACCAACTCGATCGCTTCGAAGTCGTCGTGAGAGCCGCCGCGTTCTTTCTGGGCCACGACGACCCAGGTGTCGGGTTTGCTCGGGTGTGGGAGGATGTTGGGGTTGAAGACCTTGAAGCCCGGGAATTCGATTTCGAAATAGTTCCCCTTTCGGCGCGACACGGAGAACACTTCGCGATATACGCTGGGCGGTTTTGCGGGGGCGGTTGAGACTCCATTCGAAGGAGGAAGAGGTTGGGGGTTGTTGTTGTCTTTCGAGGGAGGGAGAGGCTGAATCTGTGATGGTTCTTTCGGGGGAGATGCTTTCGAGTCGCCTTTCGATGGCACTTGTTGCGGAGTATTTGGTGATGGCAACGGTTGGAACCGACCACTGCCGGTACTGACAGGTTTGGCACTCGCTGTTGCGGTCGCACCCAGTCCTCCTAGACTGCTGCTGAAATGTGGAAGAGACCAGACCTGGTCGTCATAGATATATGTGAAATAGCCGATGATCAGGAATATTGCGGCGAGAGGGATGAACCTCCTCAAGGAACTGGCGGGCATTGCTGTCACATTTGGGGGATATCGTCGAGTGAGCAGTCAATATCACCGTCGACGTCCCCGCCGTCGTCGTCAGTATTCCGTTGTCGCCGCCGTAGTCAATGTCGTCAACGTCGTCCTCCCAGTCAAAGCGCTATACGTATTGTCGTCAACCGGATCGAGAAGGTCGCCAAAAGTCCGGCCCGTGTTGGTCCTGACGCGCAGTCCCTGGTTCAGTCCGGTAGCCAGGAAGGCCGGAAATGCAGAATGCCCTAACTCCCAACGGGCGAGATGAGGACCGGTCGCGTTTGCCTCTGGGGCGGAAAAGAGACCAGCGCTGAAGCGGACTCCGGAGACTTCCTCAGAAGCGAATGAACGTCGCTTGGAGATGGTCGTGTGCCTGTCTGCCTCTGCGTCGAAAGATAGATGGGCGGACAATCAATCACAACCACGGATACAACACAACCCAGGGTTGGTCTGTTGGGGAACGATGGCAGATTTCTTGAGATGCAGGCCTGGACTCGACTCAACAACTTGAAGTCGTGTTGCCCAAAGTATCTCTGGATAGACTATTGAATTGGCTGCAGCAGGACTCAGACAAGCATAGGTAGCTACATAACATGTCAGACAAGCATGGGCTAGGTACATACGGGGATGCAGTTCTGACTGTAGACTCGCACATATGCATCAGTCAGTAACGTCGTTTTCTGCGAGGCTCTGCTTGCATGGCGTTACGCTACGGAGTGTAGTGTATCGAGACTCAATAACCATGCATTCTGAACAGGGCTGGCTGCATCTCCGTTAGAGTCTGGAGAGAGGCGGGAAAGGGGACGGCGGTTGCATTCGAGAGATACGATACCTGTACGGACAGATAGAGGTTCAAGTTGGGGGGTTTAGGTTGCAAAAGGCTGATGGATCATCTCCGACTGGTTGCTGATCTAAGACATTGGTGCATTGGCGGCCGGAACGCAGCATGAGAGACCGGGGTTCATCTTTTCTGTTCTGTATATCCTTGTTCTTTCTTATTCTTATCTCATTCCCCTGCAGCAATCCGGGCCGGAGTGGAGGCGTCTAAGAACCCAGGAACATGGACATGGGTATGGATGGGTATGCAATCCCTGCTCGCCGGTCTTCGTCTCGTCTCGTCTCTAATGCAGGTACTCTGGACGCGACGCCGATCCTGGTCCCATCTCTGCATTCATTGTCCGCCATTATCGACGCCACCGAATATCGTTGCCAGCATGATTTAGGCATGGATTGGCAGCAATCACACTCCGGTGCTCACCCCTCGAATGATTGCAGCTGTGTTTGCCATTCATTGTTCTTATCGTCTCCATACTACACAGTCAGATGAATTGGCTGACTGATTAGATGCGACTTGCAATCACCACCACCAAGAGGAATCTCGGACACGCCGCTTAGCAGTTTTCATGGCACAGCAAAGATCTTGTCGCCATTTCTGATCGACGCCACATTGATCCATTATCGTGTTCTGTGGTAATTGTCCGTGCCATTGAAATACATTTACGGCGTCTCTGTCAATCCAACTCGTCAGCCCATCAGCCACCCTTTTTGATATTTTGGTGTCTCGCCAGCTGGGGATTGTTCCAGCTCTCGTCAACTTCTCCTGGCAGACCCAACTCTTGAACTTCTAACAACACAACTCAATATGGCCTACAAAGAATGGTCGCCAAACGGCGGACGAAGACCCAGCTATCGAATGTGGGTCATCGTCGCCATTGCCTTCATTGTGCTCTTCTTCATCACTCCATTGGACAAGATTCGGACTCTCAGACCAGGCTCAGAATCGATCAAGCAGCTCGAGTCCTATTCGTACAAACTGCCAGACGAGATGCACCCAGCCGGTCCCAATGGTGGTGAACAACCTCGCATCGGCTTGGTCAGCATGGCTTATGGCGACGACACCTCGGTCTATGATCGAGCAATCCAGTCTCACGCGCGCCATGCCGCCCGGCACAACTACCCATTGTTCGTTCTACGCAGAGAGATCGCCGAAGGCTATTGGAGCAAGACTCTGTACCTGATTTCGCTGCTGATCCAAGAACTATCGAAACCCGAAGACCAACGCCTGGAATGGCTCATGTGGTTCGACGCCGACAGCGTGGCCATCAATCGCGAAATCCCGCTGGAGGTCTTTTTGCCGGACAAGGCTGATGCTACCTTCGACGACACCAATGTCGTGATTGCCCATGACAAATGGGGCATGAATACCGGCATTTTCTTCACCCGCGTCCATCCCCGGTCGGTCACGATCTTGACCAAGGCGTTCGGATATCCCATCTGGAAGCCCGACGAAGACTTGAAACATGCCTACGACCAGAGAGCGCTCGATCTGACACTCTGCTCGGCCGAGTTTCAACGCAACGTCCTATGGGTGCCCCGGCCGTTCTTCAATGCAAGACACGAGGAGGTGGTGCCTGGCACCATGTTTGTGCATTTCTATTCCGACGTCAAGCGACCCGAACATATGCTGGAATGGCTCGAGAAGTCCGAAACCGGTCAGGACGCAGATATGCAGATCGCCTACAACGACTCCTACTATCCACCTCAGGTGGAGGAGTTCTGGAACGCCGCCCGTGAATGCCACAACCTGGTCAAGGTCGGGCAGGAGTCCATCAAGGCCGTCCAGGACGAAAGCCTCAAAAAGGTTCTCCAGGAGAACTGGGACCGTCTGGACAATGCGTGTATCTGGAAAACCGAGGATGTGCCTGCTCTGAAGGGAATCATCGAAGAAGTCAAGCTTGCCACTCAGTGGACATGATCGACCGACAATTGCTACTGGTGTCAGTGGCATGTCCCACCGGACGTCCGTGATCTGGTCTGATCTAGACACCGGTCAAGCAACTCCGTCGCTGTCTGGTCCTGCCAGAAACATTCTTGACCTTCACAATTCCGGGCCGCAGATTAGTAGCCGGACAGCCGTGATAGAGTCCCGTGACACAAGGCCGGTCCGCTAGCACAACGGTCCACACCGGGCGCCCATCACGTCTGCTAGAGATTCGGCATACCGGAAATTCCATCCCGGTGCAAGACACCCATTCCGGAGCCAATGGTCGGTTGAGTGGGTCAAGGCAATCAGAGGCGTGGATCCGCCTTGCCGGTCCTCTCTCTCTCCATCAGCAGCCCACCATAGTACTTATTCTTTGGTCGCCGTCGTCCTGAGCAGGATATGCTGATCGGTTCGGATGATTGCTCGGCTCGGTCTTTTGACATCTGGCGACAGATGCCGCCGACCCCTTTCTGATGGGCCAGATCCAGCGCGGCGGCGTTGCGGTGTCCGAATCTCCTACAGTCCTGTCATCGCCCTCATCGGCCCTCCTCTCGGAGATGATTGGGTCAAGACCGTCTCGGCATGGTCAAGCCAGCCGTGGACGTCGTCGTCGTTTCGGCATCAGCCACGGCCCTTCTGGGAGGGCACCGGCGACTGACAGCCTCAGGATCCAACTCTTTTTGCTGAAGGTCGTGGCTATTGGGATTGGATTCCTTTTAGTCTAATACTCCGGCTGACTGGGTCCATGTCACAATATGAGCGTGGGAACAGCGTTCCTTTCATGCATTTAGCGGGCTTGTGGGTGTTCTAGAACACAATCTTCAATACTAGTAGGATCTGTTTAAACTCTAATATAGCATCTTGAATTTCATTTAATCAGTACATGACGGAGACTTGGAACCATGAAGTCGATTTCATTCTGTTCATTAAATACCTAGGTACTGTTCATATATGTATTAGACATTCCATTCCACTTGGATGTCTTGCTCTCGCTACCATGACGTCTGAACAACGTCGAGCCACACCGGCCCACTTAGGCTTGGGCATCGGCAAGATATATTCAATGTATGACTCCTATGTCTGACTCCAATATGTAATGACTGTCGCTGAAGGATAGCTGATGTAGCTCCCTCATGTAAGAAACGCTCGAGATTCATGATATGATGGGGCCATGATTGCCCAAAGTTCCAAAACATCCTAGGTCTCTAAGAGTCCTAGGTCATCCACACCATCAAGATGACTTCAAACCCTGACGAAACACAGTTCCTCGATCTTCTTGACAAACTTGACGCACCGGCCCTCGACTTCTCGCGTCCACACATCTGCCACACACAGACACAGCGTCAGGCTGATGGCCCAGCCAATGAACAAGACGACGAACCAGACGGTATTGGTCGTGTCCACACCCTCGACGCCCATCCCCCACCAGATATACTGCGGGATCATATAGCCGACAGCATGCAACACGGGCCCATGGGTGAGATATAACCCGAAGCTGATCTTGCCCATGTACTGGGCAATATCGCTGTTGAGCAGCCTCCGCCAATTGGACGTCGAGTCGTACGACCGGGCAAGGAGCAGAAGCAACAAGGCCGTGCCGAGGTTGGGATAGAACTTGTCCTTCCGCTCCATCCACTCCGGAATGAGCATGTTGAGCGTTTGGTACCCGATGGCCGTTTCGGTCGGCTCGCAGCCCCAGATCGGGTAGGACAGGAAATAGAAGGCGACCAGAAACCAGAATGTGCGCACATACGCCCGCAGCGTGGTGGGCGGGGTGATCTGGATCCATGCCGAGCTCGAGGTCGAGCTCGACTTGCCGCTGCTGCTGCCTATGAACTGGGTTGACGGCGACCGTGACGGCGGAGCCAGCAGACCACCCATGGTGGATTTCTTGTCCTTGTCCGACTCAGGGTCGCCCATGATCATGTTGATCTGGGCGACGATCCCGCCGAGCAGGTATATCCACACCTCCCAGTGGTTCCAGAGGAAGAACAGGACGGTCATGCAGCAGAGCATGGTCAGGCGGATGTAGGTCCGGCACTGAGCCGTGGCCATCAAGACGAAATACAGACACAGCGAGCCCCGCATCTCCGCCAGGATGGACCACAGGTGCTGGTCGATGAAGGGGTAGTATGCCGTGGTTGGCAGGAAGATGTTGGTCAGTTGGAACATCTCGCTGGCCCAGTATCGCAGTTGGGCGTAGTAGCTGGCCATCAGCTCCGGCTTGGGCTCCTGCCAGACGCCGGGAAACAGTTTCTCATGGTCGTCGAGGTACGGGCGGTTATGCTCGTAGAAGCCGAAGTGGATGTAATGGGTGAACAGCAACGTGATGATGAACGTCGGCAGGTACAGTCGAAACGCTCGCCGGAAGAGCGCCCCGGAGATGTTGACAAAGGCTTTGGTCTGTGATGCCTGGTCATGGCGGTCGAGGATCTGGAAGAGCCGTAGAGACGTCAAGTAGCCGGCCACGGCGAAGAAGATGTGTGCGGTGAACCCGGAGTGGATGTATCGAATGATGGGCAGCTCCAGGAAATACGTATACCGCTCCGTCGTCCCGTACGGCTTGTAGCCCAGATCACTGAATGCAAATGTCCAGTGGAAGGTAAATACTTTGAGAGCCGTCAGGCCTCGGAGACCGCTGAGATAGCTGGTGGGAAACCTCTTGGGCGGTGGGCCCGAGTCGCCGAAGCAATACGACCGTACTGCTTGAGGGGTGAAGCAGTAGGCAAATCGTTTGCTGAGTTTCAAGGCATTTGAAGGTTGGAGAGACGATGCTGCCTTGCTGATGAAGTGCTTGGACGCCCCTCGATGTGAAGCGGATGAGAAGGCAGGGTCCTCGTAGTCTGCGAAGAGCGCTTTCTCTTCCATGACGACCTAGGCCTCAGACACCTAGACCTAGGTACGTAGATAGTCCCAGATGCACCTTATGGTGGTATGGCAAGAGCATAAACAGAACTAGTCATTCAGACACTTGCTCCTTGCAGTTGGACTTTTGGACGAGCACGACTTCAAATTAGGGGTAAGGGGATAGGGGACGGGACGGGGTGGGACGAGGTTGGCTGTCGTGTACCACGAAGTTCAGGTAGAGACGACGATAATGGAAATCAAGTACAAGACATCCAACAGGGTCAACCCAGGCTTCAAGAGTGTCGTACGTGTTAAAACCCGGACTTTAGACCGACATCACCGTCGTGTACAAGCTCCTCACCAGCCCGCATGGTCACTCTCCTGTGGAAATATGAACGAGAAACGATAAGGTACCTTGATCTTTCATTTCCCCTACGGACGTCGCATCAAGTGTTGGGCCTGTCCGCGTCACCCTCGTGCATGTTCTCCCGGATGCTACCCACAGCATCACTTTCCCCTGCAAGCTTGGTGGACAGACAGTAGCTCTGAAGAAAGATGCACATGTCGCCGCAGGGTTTTCCGTCAAGCTTTTGTCTGGTGGTCTGGTTGAACCCACCCCGTGCGGACTAAGGTACGCACGAGGTAAATTTGATATGAAGACCTACCGTAAGGTTCTAATAACCGCTAAGACTGTCATTAGCGACGTGGAACCTCCGGTCCGGAGAGGGCCCGGTCGAGAAATCGCGCGAGTCCACTCCGTTTGCCAAGGAGCCGGGAATTTTGCTGAAGAAATCTGTAACCAATACTGCATGAGGTCTCCAAGTCCCGCCATTGCCGGTCTGAACTTTGGCAGAGATTGTTGACGGAGATCCTTTGCTCCAACATCGTGCATAGAGCAGATCAACTCTTGTAACCACAGGCAAATCTGCAGCCGTGATTTCAGGAGAAGTGCGAGAACGGCCCGTCACGTGCTGGAAGTCACGTGGAGATAGTGGAGGTACGGAACCCTACCTCCAACTCTCCGTCAAGGTATTCGAGCCTGAAGTGCAATATGATATTGCTGCGGAGTAGGGGAAATTGTAGCGAAGCCTCCTCCAACTAGAACGTCATGTCTCCGCCTCCGCAGTGGCCGTGTATCTTGTACATCAAGTGCTGCGTATGGCATATCAACTCCGCAAATTCAACGGGTACGCAGCGTCCAGGTACTCTGCCAGCGTCAACATGGTCATCATCCCTTCGAGCACAACTTCATGCAGGATGTGCGGCGGATGACTCGAAGAACGTCCAGTTCAAACAGGTCGTCCAGCCAGCGGCGGCTAATCGATTTCGAGTCGTCGCGTTTCGGCCTGCGCTCTCTGGCACTTCCACACCCCAATCCTGTGTGCAGTCTGAATCTGACACTGTTGGTGCGCTGGACATGATTTCAGGCGCCAACCTCGCATAGCACCACTGCTGATATAGCCTCGTGGCTATATTTCGGTATAAATGGCTTTCAGACGCAATTCCTCGAGGTCGACGGGTAAGCCTATCCTTCATACTTTCGTGCCTCTCTACGTACACAAAGACTCGTGGCTAACACGCGATTTTCCTCGGCATAGAGGATCACAACATAGTACCTCCACTGGAACAGGACGGCTGTCCTCAGCAAAGCCTATCTGCCGCATTTCCCTCAGAGTCGCCTACATTCGGCTACCTCCAGTCTGACTTCCCTGGGTCCAGAGGGCAGAAGCGGTCGCGTAACACCAAGCATGGTCATTCACACAAGCGAGCGAGAACCGATCCCGACCCAGTGCCACAGATTCTGAGCAAAGAAAACTTGCGGAAGCACACCAAGAGAACTGGCTTCATGAACTCTGAATACAGCTCTCGTTCAAGGGGAAGGGGCAGCAAGCGGTCATCGTCTTCACATTCAACGATCACAGCGACCGACGTGACTCAAGAGAGTGAGTCGGGACGCTCTCACACGTCTTCCGGCATCTTAGCCCAGTACCGCTTTGTTGTACTGAAGGCCGCAATGGTTTACATTGAAGCCCGTCCACCGCCGAGCGAAGTTCAGATTCAAATTGATTCCATCATCGGCGCAGAATCCTCCCTGGAAAGAAAGGAAGAGCTATCTGCAATAGCTGGTGACTTCCGAGATGGATTCATAAAAGTCCTTGACAGAGCTGTGGGAGAAGATGACTGCGTCGAGCTTCTCCATGTCGCCCTTTCAGCCATGGGTTATAGCGATAGCCTGATATTTGCGAGGAAAGCAGGTACTTTCGTCCACTCACTGGCACCATCACTGGCTCACATTGACTTCCAGATTGGCGACCATGCCTAAAACCTCGCTGCCCGATCACCATGGTTTTGGATTTCATGGATGAACCCCCGCGTGATGAGGAGCCTTCCGCAGTTCGACCAAGGAAGCGGCAAGCAGGGGCCTCTCCCATAACTCCCAGTACTTCTGCCGCCGGTACCATAGGCCAAGGCAACCCGGAAGAGATGGAGGTTTCGTCCATGGAGCAACGTCTGATATTTCAAAAGGCTAATGTTAACCCTCAGACAATGCCGCCGCCTCCAACTCCGTCTACAGGCAATACCAGCAAGGACGTCCTCGTCAAAACACCTTGTCCAGACATCACTATTGGCCTCGATGATATCTTTGTGGTCAAGAAGCTCAAGTCACAAGGTCTCAGTAACACCAGAGCCAATTACGTACTAGACAAGCTCCAGCAACAAACTACACATCGACACTTGAGCGCCCCGGAGCCACTTTTGTGTTCGGAGCCCACCCAACGAGCATATCAGATGAGATTTCCATTTCTGATCGTTGAGGGGAAGTCGTACGCAACCGGGAAGCCTATCTTCGAGGCGCAGAATCAAGCTGCTGTTTCTGGCGCCGGAGCCCTGAAAATTCTACATGATCTTGCAGACATTGCAGCCCGGGCGGCCACCTCCACCGTTTCTGCTGATTCCACGTCTCCTGCTACCAATCTCGGCAAGAAAGGCCACTGGTGTTCTCAATCTGCACAGAAGGGCCGTCTCATGAGCTCTGGGCTCATTACACCACTTTGGAGGAGGACGTTCGCATGTTCAAAATGAGCATTGTCAAGTCCTGTCACGCAGCCATTCGAGACGGAGTGTTGGATTTTCTCATTGCCTTGGACAATGTGATGAGGTGGGGCAGTGCTGACTTTCTGGTTGCCATCACGAAACAGCTTGAAACGGTTGCGATGCGCCTCCGACCCGCCGACGAAGAGCCTTAGAGCATGTCCAGTACTGATGTGCCTGTCTATGTCTACGTTGATTCGGACAGGAGACAAGCACATGCCTTAACAATTCACCTATATCAGCCCAAGGACCCCTACAAGCTGGATAAACTCCGTGTCACACACACTATGATCAGTATCCCAAACCACACAGCTCACCAGAGGAGAGATAAATCAGGCCGGCAGCATTGATGATCCACCCGATGGGAGTTTCTGACTCGGTACCCCTCGGTGCCGCGGCTTCAGAGTTAAGGAGGCTAAGACGCCAGGAGTCGAAGTCGGAGTTGTCTCAAACAAGAGAAGGTACATTTCCCAGTGCGGAAAACCAGCGATCCTCGTGACGCCCCCAGGTGTGGTTCGGTCGCCAACCACAGCTGCTCTTAACAGAGTCGACACCACCACAGACGGGAAATACGCGGTCCGGAACGACTAACTATTTCAGACTTTGGGCCACAAAGCATCTTCAGTCTTTTCTTCGTTAGTGGTACCCTCGGCACAATGTCTGACAGACCTCAGAGAGACTGGTTGAGGCAAGCTGGCAGCAAATGAATGTGAAGTTCCTCCATCTAGAATCATCCGGCAGGAAACCGTCGGCTGGCAAAGAAGACGAGGACAACATGGTAAAAGACGTTGTCCACCGGGATGCCGGCTTGGGTTTTGTATCTTGTTCCTCGCGGTCCTATGTGAAGCACTGCAACATGGCAGCGATGCCAGCACATCAGTCAGGTCGGTGGCCATCCCATACCTATGCAAGCCATGCATATACATAATCAATCGATTGGATGTGCAGACGCTGCCAGAATTGCTGCCTGTTGAACGACAGGGAGTCATACCAGGCTGAGGACAAATAGGGGGTTGTCTTGACTAAGCTAGGCCTTGGACCAACGATTTCAAGTCAAAGGAAGGCTCTCCAGGCCGGGGTTCAGGAGGCTAGGGTCCTAAGGGAGGGGTGGTTTGACATTTCCCCAACATCTCCATGCCAGACATCTGTCGCAAGGTCAACCCACCAACAATCCAATGTGCTGGTACCAGCCCGCCAGGGATGCCATAACTTGGAACAGAGGATTACCGTGATGTCGCTTGATCGTTGCTCGTCAACTTCTCGACATCATGGACAGCGACTCCCTCACTGATCGTCTCACTGAGACCAAAGACGACGATCTCACCGACCGCCTCACCGGACCCCTTACCGATTCCTTCACCAATCCTCTTACGGATAGAGAAAGCACTGTTGGCGCCGACACGCAACCTCCCGAAGACGAAGACTCCTTGAAACGATATCTCCGCGACCGAGGAGTCGACATCGATACATTTCTCGAGGAGAATAACCGCGTCGTAATTCCCGTCGAGGAAGACTGGACCGTCCTGCTAGATTTAAGGAGGCTTGTTAAAGCCATACCGGCGGATGCGCCTGTTGACCAGACTCTCAAAGACTTTGCAAAACAACTCAAGGAGGAACATGAGCGGCAGAAAAGGAAGTCAGACGCATCCTCTTCGAGGTATTACATGACAACGGACTTTCCCTACACCGTTTCTGGAAGTCTGCTTGCATTCGTCCGCAGCGAATCGTCAATATCCCGCCATGCAATGACATCTACGGTTCTTCCTTACCTCTTTGACCGCATCGCCGCCGCCCAACCGCTAACGGAAAACTGGTGGACAGTCCGTCCGTGGACGACAAGAGGTTTGAGAGTCACGATGAACCGCAGATTCCCAGTCAAGGGCATAGCAATGTCTCTCTGAATCCACAAATCAAGCAGGGTGACGTGATTCCAGCCTCGGGAAGAGGTGTGAAGCGGCCATTCATATTCCAAGAGGCCAAGACACGCAAAATGAAGCGGCTGGATGAAACCCATGTCCGCAAGAGTGCACGTCTTCGCAAGGAACGGGTGCCAAGTTGAGCGGAAGTATCGAAGTACAATGAGGTTCCCTCCAAGGCAACAATAGGGGCCCTTGTGAGTATGAGTCGACATATGGCGCGCTCGGAAAAGCTGCATGAGGACTGCACGAACATTTCCTTGCATTGCAATCCTTGCATTTGCAACAAGTGACATTCGACTCAGCGGTGAATGTGGTGAAAGCAAATGGGCCCAGCCACCGCAAGATTGCCAGTTGTGTGGTCATGCCTCATGGCCTTTCCAGTGCCAGCACTATCGTACTCGAGGGCTTTCATTGGCGAAGAAGAAGAGCAAGCGACAATCCTTCCGGGATCTTCTCTTCGATAGGCAACGTCAACAATACGAAGTTGGCTGTACAATAGACCATACTACAAGAACAACAAGAAGCTGTGACGCATCTCCCGAACCTCGATCTTCGGTATCGGGAATGGGTTCGGCCTGGCGGCTAGTTTTTTGAATACTATACTGCATTGTCCCATGGCGAGTCTTGCCCTTAGGGAGCTCAATATATACTGGAGCCAGAAAGACTCGCCCCGACCGTGAAGGCTCACGAGCAGCATCTATGCCTATCACTCTATTCCATCATAACGGGTATAGTCATTCAGAGTCGGATCATGATTCGTAACTGGCAGTTGTGCCAGTGCACGGCGCTGACGTCTGATTTGGTCTCCGAAAGCGCCTTAGATTTTCCATATTCTCCTAGCAATGCTGGAGGCAGGCTCGCCCTCGTCGGCATTGCTGGACGTGGTCATACTTTTCGATCACGACATGTCACCGCTTTGCCTCGGTGCCTTCTCCCCCAGTATAGGACACCTCGGGTTTCGTCTCATGGTCCGTCACATCGAGAGCAGAGCCATGATCCGCTGGCCATTGCGGACTATCGATGTTGAAATCTGCCACAGTGCATTTCCCGGGCGGAAAGTTGTCCGAGTCGAAGTCGAGATTTTCAGTATCCCAGGGATTGCGAGGCCTGCTCGGATGACGGCGGGGCGGGAGATTGGAATCGGAGTGCGAGGCGGTCTTCTTGGTGCCATTGCGGCTGGTGAATCTCTGCAACATGGGGAAGATCTTGCGCAAGAAAACCCAGATGCCCGGGAGACAGGCGACATAAACGGCGACCGACGCTTCGCGGAAGTACCAGTACATGTAGACATAAGAGGCGAGTGATGGGGCGATGCAGTAGACCGCTCGAGTGATGGCGGCGGCGATGACGAACAATCCCATGCCGAAAATGAAACCTAGAACGAACCTTTGCTGAATGGATACGCGGGCCTTCATGACGGGAGGGACGCCGAATGCCAGGATCAAAACGTCGCTCGAAATGTTCAACACCGCATTGATGATTTGGTAGTCTCGATAGGTCGCGCATTGGGCTGGTCAACGACAACCTTGGTCAGCACATCAATGCAATCTGGTCGCCGATCTGAATCTTGCACACTCACGGTTTTGAGGAGGAACTGCCCAGTACTGCGACAGGGGGCTGCAGATGAGGAAGAGAGACAGCTCGTCGCCGAGGAATGCGCAAACAACCCAGATGGTGAGGGCCCAAAGCGACCGACGCTGGCGAATACCATCACTACCTCGAACCCTCTCGAATCAGCAAGGCCGTCCAACCGTACGGAATCAACCGAAGCGAACTCGTGAGGCACAACTTACGTGATGCGCGCATAGAGCACCAGCATGGCAGCCTTCATGCTCCAAATGGTAAGGACCATGGCATGCTGGGACACAAAGACCCATTTGCTCCCGCGCACTCGGTCTGCCTTGCTCTCGGGTGTAAGACCTTGTAACTCCTCCTTTGTCATAAGATTGCAGCCGTCCCCCACCGCGATCTTGTACAGCGACACACAGAGAAGCGTGTACCACACCAGACCGAAGGCGATGAAAGCGTCGTCGAGGTCCAAATGTCTGTATCCTGTATGTCGGATCTTGCCCGCGCTGTCGCAGGGGAAGAATGTCAAAGTTCGTCCATTGTCTCGTCGATCGCTCGAGGGGCACCTACAGTCGCGCAAAGATGCAGATGACTCCCACGCCGTACAAAGTCCACGCTTCCGGGATGAAGCCCGGCTTCGCCGCAAGGCCTGCCACGCCATAGTCCATGGTGTTGTTATTGTTGTCGTCTGCGGAGGTCGCAGGGCGAAAAGATCGCGGTCGCGGTCGCAGTCTCAGACATGATAGACAACAGATGGCCAGAGAGACAGACGTCGCAGGAGACCTTCCATCCTTGCTTGGATATGGGTGCCAAGTGACAGTTGAAGGTCTTTCAATATTTCCCAGGCCGTGGTCGCTGATGTCAGTCAATAGTGTGACAATGATAGCAGCCAGTCCTGGCTTCGCTCGGACTCTATACTAGTAGGCCAGTGGGGGTGGGATCAGAGACTGAACGATTGAGCTGACTGGCTCGCTCTGTCAAGCGGTTGGCAACGATACTAGGATTTCGGCAATCTGAGATCCTTCGGTTCCAGGGTCCAAGCGCAATCCTACCAATAACCCAGCATGGCGTGCTTGTTTAGTTGTTGTTGAAGGGTCTGGGACAGCGGAGAGATCCAAGCGTCGTAGACACGCACCTCAGCCTGGCCTGGATCATTGTATGTGATGTGGTCACTGACCGTTTGTGGACTCCAAACACCTCTTTTTGGCTTGGACGATACCCCGGCCGGAAGTGCCAGATGATGAGGTGGCGTCCGAGCCATGGGGAAAGGAAAATGGCATCACTTTGTATCAACGCCGTGTACAGATCTTTGATAATGTCGACTGAGGTGTGCCACGGGAAGAGGAAAAGCCCTGATCCGGGGATGGATTGAGATCCTGGGGCAGATGCGCAAAGGCCCGCAGCACCGTTGAAAGCCCTGCATTATCACTTGTTTGTGCCTTGCCCTTAGGTACCGGTATCGTGGGAGCAGACAGCAACGTCCATGTCAAGTAAGTACAGTCGGTGGGAATAGCAACTGCGAGATCTTATTACCCGTTCTCTGGTGCAATGTTTTACCAAATTGATTTGCACGCCGGGGGAAATCAGGAGACTCTTCTCGACTTGGACCAATGGTCAGAAGCGTTGAACTTCCAGGCCCGAGATTCAATTAGGCGGCTCCTTAGGCTAGACCAGAAAGAGAAGGTCTTATCCGGCGGGCGACCAACGAACAAGTGATCTGGAACTGGAAGACAAAAAACAACATCAAACAAGATCAAATCACATCATATGAGATGTGATAACAAAGTGACATCTTGATAACCCTACACCCTTCACTCCTTCTTCAACAACCGACCGGACAAGATAGGAGTCATCAGTATTATGCCATGCAATCCAGACTGGCGTATAGCCGTCCGTCTTGCCTCCTCCACTGCTTCCACACGATGGGGTTCTTCGTTGAACGTCGTGGATGTCCATGTAGGTCTTAATGCTCGTTCTCAGAGCTGGGCTCATTTCTCTCGCGTCTCTCATGTTATAACCCCTGTTGTAACGCTGTTGACTGCCGTCTTGCTCTGCATGTGTTGTTTTCACCATTCAATATCTCACTATGGCCGACCAACACAAAGAAGCCCCGGAATTGATCTCAAGGGAACCGTCGCACCCTGCAGACTTCGGAGTTATTAACGCTTCCGGACATGCTCAAGAGCTATCCCGCAACTTCAACCTTGTCTCCCTTGCCGGTGTTGGGCTGGTTGTCGGCAATGTCTGGCCGGCCATTGGAGGTTCCATCCTTGTCGCCATCTTCAACGGCGGCCCGCCCGGGGTCCTCTACGAGTTCATCACCGTATCGGTGTTCTATTGGATCGTCGCAGCTTCCATCGCCGAGTTAGCTTCAGCTATTCCCTCCTCGGCAGGCGTTTACCATTGGGCGAGTGTCACGCCGGGGAAACGATGGGGTCGAGTGATTGGCTTCTTCGCTGGGTATTGGAACTGTCTCGCTTGGATCCTGGGGGCTGCATCGATGACCTTCATCTTTGTAAGTCAAGATAGCCAGGACTGATTTACCTGCACATGCGCTAACGGATCGCTTGTGGTACGACAGTCTAACACTGTAGTTCAAATGTGAGTGACCCCCTGCTGTCCCAAGTCGCACGAGGACGGAAACCCTGATCAACCATCTTACCAGGTATGCTCTCAAGCATGTCGAATTCGTTGCCCAACCATGGCACGTCTTCGTCACCTACATTATCGTCACCTGGATTGCATGCGCCGTCGTCTGCTCGTTCAACTCGGCCATGCCGCATCTGAACACTGCAGGCATTTTCTTCATCTTGGGTGGCTTCGTGATCACTCTTATCGTGGTGTAAGCAATACTGCTTGTACGCATGCAAACCGAGTCTGATCTGCATTACTAGGACCGTTATGCCAGGCATGTCCGGTCGCCCGGGTCATGCATCTTCCTCTTTCGTCTGGACGGAATGGAAGGCTGATATTGGATACCCGGACGGAGTAAGTCCTTCTCTGACTCGGTCTAACAGCCTTCCACCTCAAGCCTCATCCTGTTCCCCCGCCAAACAGCGCTCTAATCAGACTGTTCATAGTTCGTTTTTGTCGCCGGCATGCTCAACGGCGCCTTTTCTGTTGGCACACCCGACACGACCAGGTCAGGAACCCTACTTTTCCAATTGCTTGGTCTGTGACCAGAGCACCTCGTTGGCTAACGTCTACTCTAGTCATCTTGCCGAAGAAATCCCCAATCCACAACGAAACGTGCCGATTGCCATCTTCTGCCAGATGAGCATTGGTTTCATCACTGGACTCGCCTACCTCATCGCCATTCTCTACGCCATCCATGACTACGACGCTCTCTTCTCATCGCCTTATCCCATTGCCGAGATCTACCGCCAGGCCACGGGATCTGCAGACGGCGCGATTGGGTTGCTGACGTTGGTCCTCATCTGCATCGGAATCTGCATCTGTGGCCTCTACATCACATGCGGCCGCACTCTTTGGTCACTAGCCCGAGACGGGGCGACACCTTGTCCCAGAGTGTTTGGCCGGGTCTCCCCCAAGCTCGGGATGCCTTTCAACGCCACGATCATTATTGCGGTGCTGGTCACAGTCCTCGGCGCCATTTACGTCGGATCCACCACGGCATTCAATGCTTTCGTGGGGTCCTTTGTACTCATGTCGAGCTCCTCCTACGTCGCCGCCATCCTACCTCACCTTCTGACCGGCCGGCGCAGCATCGAGGTGTACGGCCCGTTCAGACTCAAAGGTGCTCTGGGCTTCATCTTCAACGCGATCTCTTGTGCCTACCTAATTGTCTGGTTCGTTATTTACTGCTTCCCTTTTGCGCTCCCTACAAATGCGCAGAGCATGAACTACGCTTGCTTGATCTGGGGCGGGTTCACGATCTTCATCGCCGCGTGGTGGTTCTTCGGAGCGCGTCGGGACTATCAAGGTCCGCCTGTCATCACGAACGGCGGCCACGTTATTTCGGTTGATCCTTTGGAAAAGGTGGATTTCGCGGCGCAAAATGCAAGCTTGAAGGGAGTGTAAGTGGTATTCGGGGTGACTTCTCAATGGGAAATGTGTTTGAATATATAGGCACGCAAGCAATCACCAACATGTGTGAATATGGAGGGCGCTGCAACAAAAGTGAAAAGTTTGAGGTGCAATACATTAGAGGTTTGAAGGTGTTCAATCGCTACATAGCAACGACATGCTCGCGCCCAAAAGTGCAAGGAAGTTATGGTTATGCGAAACAGATATCAACATCTAGCCGTGAGACTCCCTCGGCTGCCGGTCACTATGCTTGCTGTGAGAAGCGATGTGAGTGCGGATGCTGAAGTGCCAGTGTGAGACGTATAATTGTAGTGGATGCAAGGCTCCAGGCAGCAACATTTAGATACAGGCACGATTAGAACACAAAAGTGATGGACTTACTTTAGTAGCCGTGTGTTATCATAGTTGAACTCCATAACACAGAACCCAAATTATCAGGCCACCCGAATATCTTCAAGGCCATCATCTTATTAGACATGTTGCTGTTCCCTCGACAAAAACACCCACCACCAAGGATCTAGCTGTGACCGATACTTTGGTTAATCTTATGCCACTCTTCACGTCGATGCGATGTTCCGACTCAAGAACGCCATCTCGACGCTTGGAGTGGTCGGCAACGTGCACCCTGCTGACGGTGATGACAACCTCAACTATGAAGCCGAAGACGAAGTGCCACCTCTGACCACGACAATGACCGCTCAACCAGATACAAGTACTATCCACAACATCAGTAGCAACATACCACCCTGGATCAGGGAGCTCAACAACTCGCATACTACAAGACACAGTCGTGCTTCGTCCATCGTGTCCACACGCACCAAATTCTCCACCACCACCTTGCAGGATGATGCGCGCAGCATCGACATCAGCGTCGGAGGACAGTATTTCCGCATCAGTCGCGATGGGTCGCGCATCACAGCCGACCCCCCGCCGCCATACACCGGCCCGAACGAACAGCTTCTCTTCCCAACAAACTCCATTGGTACTGCGATTTTAGAGAGCCCGTATAATTCCGGCTTCGAGTCCGCAGACGACGATCGAAGTCTTGATGCAGATACTGACGATGATGGCGCGCGGACACCTAGATCGACGTTTGGTGTCCTCGACACTGGCTTGCTGGAAGATACCCTGCGTGGCCTACAGCTCGATTTGCCTTTGTCGACACGGACGAGTCAGCTTAAAAACCGCTCATCATCTGTGACAGTGTCCGACTTCTTGAGGCTTGTAAATGACGACGAGGGCGAGCCGGCTCGCAAAGACCACTCGGATGCGGACAGCGGAGAAGTTAGAGCTGGACCAAAGCATATCAACCATGGACCGGGCAATTCGATTGATGGAGGTGAAGGCAGCATCGCAGCATCATCTTTGCCCACGATACGAGTAGATTCCACCACGCTGTCCGGTCCTAGCATATGGACCGACAACAGCAGCCGGGTCAATTCACAGACACACAATGAGCGTGAACCCGCAGCAGCCCTCGCAAATGTACCAATAACGAACTCAGCAGATGGTCTTCTGTTACGAGAGCCTGACAGTTCAGGGGCGCGCCCTCGTAATCCTCCTCCTGAGGGAGGTACAGATGGCTCTGTCTCCAGCCCCGGCAGGGCAGCTGTCCTCAACGGCGAGCCTGACTTCCAAGGCAATGGATCATTGGAGGGCGATGAGCACGATACTCCATTATCGATGGACGACGAGAATGACATCAGTCTACACTACGCCCGCATGATGCGCAAGCTGGATTATCGCCATCGCAAGGCCTTACATCTCAAGGACAAAGAACTGGCGGAAATGCGAGAGAAACTCCATGAGAAGGACATTGTGCTTAGGCAGCAGCTACGGGCGAAGGATTTCATGATCGACGATCTCAAGAAGCGGTTGGTGAACCTGGAAGAATGCTTGGAGACCATGCTAGAAAAGGCGCGCAACCAAGTGGAGGATCTGTGGGAGGCACGGTGGAAAGAGCGGAATGCTCAACTTCTTGACCGCATAAAACGTGTCGAGGAGGATGCCCAAACCACGATTGAGAACATTCGTGCGGAAGCGTCCGCACCGCAAGAGGAATCGAACCTTGAAGTGGTGATGGAGAAATCGTGTTCTTTTGGTAGGGGCCGAATTAAGCAGACGGCGACGATGTAACGATTGACCCTTATCAGGGCTCCAGGTAATTTAATACGACGGAACATAATACCTACTTCAGCTCCCATGGCTATGGCCGACCCCAAAGATCAGAGTCAACATGGTCGTGCTCTGAAATGGTAGACATTGAAGTTGACCGGCATCAGGCTGAACACAAGGCTGCAGTTTTGCACTCTTGTCACAAGTACTTCGCCGTACCAACCGACGTCATCCGGCTGGCTGCTACAACAAGACAACAGACTTGTTGACATCTTTGTAACTCCTTTTCCTGCAGATCGTCTCAATGCCTCGATGGGGACTCTGCAATGGTTCCTCTTTGTCTACCTCCTCGGCGGCATCACGTTCTTGCCATTGCTGTTAGCCGCCGTCCTTCTCCACGCGTATTACACCTTACCGCCACCGAGAGAAGATGTTCCCAATGACCACGATGATCCAGCGCAGTTGGTCCGTCCAGACGATGACAAGGCTGCCTTTAGAAGTGGCACCGATGATCTAGCCGAACAGTTCCACCGCAAGCATGACTCGGACGTGGCTGCAGGCTACTTCGCCGTCTGTCGGGAATATGTGCCTGGCGGTGTTAACGGCAAACCTCCAGACAAGCTGACCCCGGCTGGCGAGGTAGTAGCACAAGAATCCCCGAGCGTCTACCAGAGCATGTACCGGAGTATATTTGACAGATCACAAAAGCCAACATTGGAACCAAACAAGGATTCAACCGGCAAGTCGGTGAAGAAAGCAAACAACGTGTTTTACGTGGTCCTGAGGTTGGTTTGCCTGCGAGTTAGTTCAGGGGCGTGGGGCTGACAGAATGAAACAGACATGGCCACCTCATGCTATATGATGACATTCAACAGTTGGAAGTCCGCTACGTTATTTCCCTAGAGCATCACGATGTCGACGTCTACAGTGGCGAAGGCGAGACACCAGAGGGCGAACTTTGGATCAAGCGAAATGCCATACGGCTGAAGAGGAAGAAGACAGCTGATGGGTATACACCAGACTCACCACCCTTCTATTTGTTCAGCGAGAACCTGTCGGAGAAGGAGGACTTCTACTTTGCGTTGCTGAAGAATCAGGAGAAGACTGCGGCGGAGGACCCACCTGTCACCCAACAATTTGAAGTGGACGATATTGTGAAGCTGGTCCAGAAGCTCCATTCTTCTGAGGAATTTCTGCAAACCCGATGGCTCAATGCAGTCATCGGCCGTTTGTTCCTGGCTCTGTACAAGACGCAGGAACTCGAAGATTTCATCCGGACCAAGCTGACTAAGAAGATTTCGAGGGTCAAGAAACCCAACTTCATCACCAAACTGGCCTTGAACAAGATCGACCCCGGAAAAGGCGCGCCTTTTGTGACGAATCCAAGATTGAAAGATCTGACCGTGGACGGCGATTGTATGGTCGAGGCGGATGTTAATTACACCGGAAATTTCCGGATAGAAGTTGCAGCTACCGCCCGCATCGAGCTTGGATCTCGGATTAAGCCTCGTGAAGTTGACATGGTGCTGGCGGCAACTTGCAAAAAGCTCAAGGGACACATTTTGGTGAGGTTCAAGCCCCCTCCGAGCAACCGAATTTGGTTCTCGTTTGAGAAAATGCCCGAGCTGGATCTGGATCTGGAGCCGATCGTCAGTTCCCGACAAATCACCTACAACTTCATTCTCCGAGCGATTGAAAGCAGAATCAGAGAGGTTGTGGCTGAAAGTGTTTGTTTGCCATTCTGGGAGGATGTCCCTTTCCTCAATACAAAAGGCCAACGGTACCGTGGAGGTATCTGGAAGAGGGAAGATGCAGCAGCCACCACTACTGAAATCCCAGACGAAGACCCCGAAGACGAAGCGGAAGCAGGCGAGGGCGGAAATAGGATACTCGCCGAATCGTTGAGGGACAACGGCCCGATTTCCAAAGATGATCGGGTCAACAGTATGCCAGTGTTGGCGGATAGCAAGTCATCAACAGGCAAGATGAGCGCCGCGAAAAAGTCGATATCTTCCATGAGCGATCTTCTCAGCAGTAGACGCTCCGAGACACCAGAACGGCCTGAGACATCGACTCCAAGATTGATGAGGTCTTCTTCCTTCGCCAGTGCTGCGAATCCGACCATAAGTCCAAGCCACGCTGATGGCAATACCAGCCCGACGCGCGATTTCGAGGCTCCTCAAAAACGCGAGAGTGTCACTTCTTTCTTGAAGGACCTATCTTCCAGGCCGACGGGAAACCCATCGCCATCTACCTCGCAAGCTGGGTCTCCTCCCATTGATTCAGCTATGGCCACATCACTCCGAGAAAAAGGGCGATCTCGAAGTGACGCCTCGAAAATTTCAGACGACAGCTCTGCACGTGCGGGGCCTACGCCGAATACATCAAGCAGAGCATCGCTTCATTCCACGGATACCAGTGACTTAAAGAGTTCAAGACCGGCTTCGGCTCACGGAGACACCAAAGCTGCCAAAAGCTTTACTTTCCCCTCAAGATCGTTGGCCGGCTCGGACAGGAAACAGGCTCTTGCTTCCGTCAACGCAGCAGCCACGGCAGCGCAGAAATGGGGCTGGGGCGTGCTAGCGAGGAATCGACAACGTGAAGCCCAAGCTGCAGCCAACAAGGAGCGGAATGGACAGTCTGTTCCCCGAGAACCCATGGGTCGCGGGAGACCGCTCCCACCACCCGGAACACCATTACCTCCGCCAGAGACTCCTGTCAGAAGCGGGTCCTTCATGATGCCCAAACGAAAGCCTGTACCACCTCCACTGCTGCCGAAGCGTACCGACACCGGCGGCTCAAGCGATTCGGTCAAGTCATCCCTAAAACCACCGCTTCCAGCCCGGCGCAAGCGCCAAAACACCCTGCATCCGGACGACGAGACGGAAAGCGAGGTTCTTGTGGTTGAAGCACCCACCGAATCCGCCCCTACAAGTCCAGTGACTGATGAAACTCATGATGATTTCTTTGGTCATGGCGAAGATACGACGATATCGAGCGACGAGACGACCGAGGCGCGGCCCATACCGCCTCCCCTGCCGATAAGGCGGAGTCTCGAGACGACCCCTGCGTCTCCGGAAGACAAGGATGAAATGAACAGGCAGGAGATCGGCATGTATACATGAGAAGTGGTACCACGGGACTGCCGTGTATGTGGAGTAGATCCTCGCACCCGCAAGCGGCGATTGGGAGTGGAATCGCCGCGGGTTTGCAGGTTCTGGTCAGCTTCAACGCGTTCCCGGCTCTTGCTGTCGCCGGCGAGAGAGGGAAGGCTGGTCAAAGACAACATAGCTGCCGAAGCAACTCCATTCATTGAATCAGCCATGTCCGGAGAGATAGCGTACTTGCTCCCAAAAGTGTTGGACGGAACCAGACGATCTATATTCCTTAACGATGACCAACATGTACAAAAGACTACAACGACAGCTCTTTGACGACTGTTCAAAGACACGAGATCGAGTCAGCCTGGGCTGTCTCTCCTGCCCTTCCACAACAGATAGCTTACAATGAGAACATCAATCTGAAGCAGTATCCTTTTTGCAGTGTGATTGCGATCCCCTTGAATCTCAGACGGCTGTGACGTTCTTCAGGTCGGCTTCCTTCGTCGTCTTCGTCGTCTTCTTGAGGCAATTCTCTGGCTACCTACCTACCTACCTAAATGAAGCACTGCTGCACCGTCATCTGGAACTCTCTCTGATGTCTTTATGCGCCAGGCCACTGCACCTGATGATCGGCGAATCGGACGTCGCTTTCTTCTCATGTTTCCCCATCCCTCTCGTCCTCGCGGGGCATTGCCAGACTGGGAGACAATATCGATCCATGTTGAAGCAAACCGTTGGTCAAGGTCTGGTACAGCCAATGGTTATTCAGCTTCGGTGGGCAGATCGGCATTTTCTATGTGGTCCGATGGAAAACCTTAGTGGACAGCATAGCTGTTCTTTCAGAAAGCATATTGCTCCTACTTGAAAGGTCCTCACGAAAGGACTCGCACATGCTATTTAAGACACCGTCTCGACACAACGATGCAGGAACATGTCTTCGTCATTCTTGCATTCCATCTACTTCCCAAACAGTAGTTGTTACAAGAACGATCGTGAAACCCTTCAGCAATCTGAACCTCTCCTTCAGGACATTGTCGACTCTTGACACCTCGACATCCCATACAACTTAGCAACCACTACTAGCAGCAACGCATACCCCGGCTCGCGACAGAGTTCCGTACACCCGACTTGGAGTCATCGATCAGCACCTTCACTTCCTTCCCTTCCAACACCTCTAGGCACCCAGCTTCGCTGTCACTCTTGACAGAACACAACCAGTCAACTTTCTCCACATCCATCAATTATCCACCGAACGCTTGGAATAATCGACTTTGGCCTAGTGATCGAGCGTGGAAGCCGAAAAAGACTTCAGACCTTTCCAGAAGAAGACAACAGCAATGTCGTCCATGGAACAAAATATAGGTGCCGGTGAATTGGCAGGGGTATTGGCCTTTACTGCTGATTTCGTCGTAGTCATGGGCATTCCTGTTGCCGTTTTCTGCTGGTGGATGGAAAGGGGTGAGCAGCGATGGGACGAAGCTGCGGAAAGGAGGCAGGAGCGGTTCGATGCATATATTTTTGAAAGCCGCGCTTATCGTCAGGGCGTCCGAGGAAGCCGTGTGAACCAATACCAGCTTGGCGGAATGGCGGATGAAGAGCTTGCCCAGTTGTCGGATGAGATTGTAAGAGAATGGAGAAGGAGATCGGCGACTGACTGATCGGCGTGTCATTCTGGAGACCTGGCATGGCACGGATATGGTAGGTCGGATCTATACAGCGGCGGCGGAGCATCGATGTTGGTTGAAAGACGATCGGGAGTTGTCGAATTTCAGTGTGTAGTCACTGAAGGACTGCCTAAGGCAGTGGAATTTCGTTGCTTCAGGCATAAATGGATCGCTAAGGCTGTCCTGTATTGATCGTGTTAGTCAGTTGCAGCTCATTGAAATCGAAATTTGACTCCATTGCTTGGACGTATGACATGGGAGACCCTGACCAGATGATGTTATTCATTGTGATAGAACGCACCTGGTTCCAGCTTGGAGTGTTGCATGTGTCTGAGGCTTCCTCGATTGTGTCATCGTCTCGACGTCTCTCGGGACAAAATCTGATTTCTGCGCGGCAGTCTCCAGGTGGCCGGTCGACTTGTAGACAGTGGTCCACGTTTTGACACTCGGCGCTCGTCTTGACCAGGTTCCGGAGGACTATAGTATGTCCTCAGAGCTGCCTCCCCGAAAGCCCCGAGAAACCTTTCTTGCGCAGCAGTGTTTTCCCCTTTTTTTTTTCTTTTGGCCCCTGAGAGAAGTGTCAGTCGAAGTCAGGACGGAGATCATGCAACAGCGTACTCCCTCCCTCTCTGTGCCTACCTGCAGGTTCACGAGTGGCGGTCAAGGCTGTCCAGACTACTGGGAGTCCGACGACCTGCCCGCCCTGAGCCTGAGCGACTCAAGCTGGACTTTGTGCTCCAGCTTGGCAATTGTCATGGCACGCTCATGACTCAGGCGGGCATCGCGGCGCCGCTCCGCGTAGCCCGAACTGAAACCGGTCAGCACCAGGAAGCGGAGAGACAGAATGCATCTGGGGCACTTACCAGAGCGAGATCAGCCACCCGATCCCCGTACAGGTAGGCACCACAACGACCGTAAACAAAGTACAAGATGCAATGGCGCACTTTGTTTGGGTTGACTGAAGTTAAGACGCGAGCGATGACCCGGCAGTGGATACCAAGATCAAGAGAAAGTGAGGTCTGGCATGTAATGCAGAGAAAGATGCGCGGAGAGATAGGGGAATATTGGATGTATGTGCAGAGCGGCTGATGAGACCTTGTGTAAGAACAAGTCGAAGTTGTAACGAAATCAAAATTGCGAAATGGAGCAGAGAGGAATCGAATAAATGTTTTTGTTATTGACTCTGCAGAACCCGAAACTGTCGCCACGAACAGAAAGAAGGCCATCCACCATGCTGGGCAGTTGGGCTGGACGCCATGTTCCTCCAAGTATCACCTGGACTCTGCGACGTCTGCGATGTTCAAACGATGAACGAATGTAGGAGTAAGTGATGTTGAACGTTGAAGTTGTCGTCCGAGTCTTTGGCCATCGCATCGCATTCTCATTCCATTCCATTCATCTCATTGGCTGAGCTCCAACTAGGATCCTGGTTTCCCCAACAACGAGAAACGGACAGCGGATGACTCAGCGACTTTGGCTTCGTTCTTTCATTGAGTTTCAGATTCAGTTCAAGTTTCATTCCCTCTCCAACATTCACTACTACTGAGTATTTCACTACTCTGTATCATTCTACACACGACTCAGCATCTGGACTGAAAGCAGTCTTCGGTCCCCCAGCCGTCACACCTGCCAGTCCAACTCGCCTCCTCCGTCGCTCACGCTGCGAGGAAAAGCAACCATGGGCCGAGAGTCGCGGTAGGTCATCCTTGCACACCGCAGAGACCAACAGGAGAGACATGCAACTGTATGCTGCGCTTGCTCTTGGACCTCTGCATCCTGCTGGCCCGCGTAGTGCCATCATGTTCCGGTCCCGCGCTGCAACTACCTGTGCCTGCCTGACTTCCATTGCATGCCATCGCTTGTTGAAAGGGCCCTCCCAATGCACTCTCTGTCCTCGACAACTCACCCTTTCAGGCCATCCATCCCGACGCCAATCTCCCAAGCGGGTCCCATCTGATCCATCAAGTACCGTGTGGTCGCTAGCTGGGGCTTGGACGGCACACAACCAGTCCTGACGCACCCTCTAGGCGACTTGCATCGAGCTCCAGGCCATATAGAGTCCGATGAGGGGATTTTCACCCTTGCATATAACCGCCACAAAATGCTTCAAAACCTCAGCTGGCTGGGCGCCGAAAATGCCACTCCAGCCTGGCATATACATCCCGCATGCACGCGTTGCGGCCCCTAGTCGAAAAGGAGACCACGACTCATGACAATCTCTTCCGCACTGGGAGTGGAATGTGACCCATGGACCCTGTCGAATATGCATGGACTGTTGCAGTCGCGCACCTTATGGGCTTGCGGATGCGCTGTTGAGTTCATCGACCCACCACAAACGACCCTGATGTGTCGAAGCCCGTGAGCCATGGCTCCTTCATCTCGCGCGCAACAGGACTTCCGCGGAGATGCCCTACCGCAACGCCACCTTACCGACATCCACGGCCGATGAGCCTGCGTCCACGCGCGGACTGTGGGTATTCTGAGGTCTCGACCTTCTCATGGCAGCCAATATTCACTCGCTTTACGTCTAGCGGCAGCCTCGTGGAGAGGACGACAGAGTAGAGACAAATGCCTCGGGTGTATGTGCCCTCTGCTATGGCTGCGGCAGAACTCGGCCAACCAGGTTTCCACGATCAAGAGCAGGAAATGATCGCTCTGACTACGAGCTTGAATCGAGGCCACCAACTGACAGCCCGGATCGACGCCGAAGCGGCCCCGTGGGGCAGGTGTGGCATGTGGACGCACGATCCCACTACAGCCGCTCTGAATTTTCTCCAACATCCACCGAGCTCGATGGGCCGATATTCAGCCAAGCAGGAGCCATGGATGGCGCCCATTTGGCTGACGTGACTTGTCCACCGCCTCTCCTGCAGCGGCATATCGACTATTGGATAGTCAAGAACATTTCAAGGCGAATGGTCTCGGATGTCCGCCCCTGAAATTGATCTCAACATCAAGTGCGCCCTTGCTGTGGAAGGACAAGGATTTGCCTGTCATACGAAAGTAGAAGCTGGCCTTCGGGAGAAATGGGAAACGGCACAGCGAAAGTGACCCAATGCGTCCTGCACGGGGCTTATTTGCGGTGCTGGACATGTTCGTCCCCGTCACCGCATTCTGGCTCTCTGTGCCATCTTCGAGAGTAATAAAAACGTCCATGACTGGGCACGACCAAAGGTGGGCCATTGCTCTCTAGGATTGAGAGCATCCTGGTGTATATTTGACTTTCCCGCGATCGCCATCTATGACTACAACAAACGAGCGATCTAGCCATGCGGTCAGGCTGAGCCGGAGTGAACGACGAATAGCCTAGTGGAGAAGATGCCAAATCGCAGCCCGCCCGCACGGTCCACAGCTACAGCCAGGCACAGCCTCCACCAGAAATGCGTCACGGCTCGACCAGCCGCAAAGGCAGGGGGCCGGGGCGGGAACCGGAGAAGAACATGGGCCAGGACGGATCTAGTGACAGCAAGATGGCATGGACTGGGGCAGATCAACCACACCTTTGACTGGTCTCACACGAGAACATCTGGGGCAAGGTTCGGGTTCCCATTGCAGGCTGACAACACCGCATACGCCCTGCTTCATCCTCCGCCGAGCTTATGTCTCTTTCCTCCTGATGCACACGCGGGACACACAGCATACCTTTTCATGACTCGCGGCATCTTTGTCGCTTCCAAACTAACGTAATATGGAAGGTCAAGTGTTGACATGGACCAGGCAGCGTTTCCGCTTCGTGTATTGACCAGTGGTGACCCCGTCGAGTGCGTTCGAGCGATAAATCGACGAAGGGTCATTGGGTTCCATTGCCTCGGGACGGTCAGAGGCGGCCTGAAAGTCAGAGACGGGATATTATTCAAAAGGTGAAAAGGAGACAAGTAGGTGGCGCGAAAATATTGCTCAGTCGCACAGCCAGAAAAAGGAGGAGACAAGGTCAGGGAAAAGGCTACATGTATGAAAAGACTAATGCGACTCGGGGAGGGAGACCACCATGTACAGGGCAGCGTGCTCTGTGGACGACACACCAACGTGCATCGATAGCGACCTGCACAGACCCTCGATGGCGGCACATTCCCTCTTCCCCGCTATCAGCTGGCGGCGACGAGCCAACCACGAGATGGCACGCCGTGTAACAGTAATGTGGTGAGCGCCAGTGGTCCGATGTGCTGATATCGATCCTGGACGATTTCACAAATACCGCGTGCAATCACGCAACGAGGGAGCATCTTATCACGCTAGACGCACGTCGAGAGATGAGACGTGAGACTCGACCACTCAGTGGTGCAAGCTGCTTCAGCTGCAAGCCATACTGCACCAGTTCCCGAACCCGTACTAGCTCTCTGGAGGTGAGAGAAAACCTGGAATCTGGAACTAATGGGAGGGTCAAGAGTCGATCAATATGAGGTAAGGGATGGAGCGTGATGTGATGAGGAGTAAGCCACCAATAACGCGGGCGAGGGGAACGGAGCGAATGAAGCAGGCATTTAAACGAGACGAATGCCGGCCCCCCAACTGCAGCATATCGCGCAAGAGCTCGTCTATCTCGTCGATGGAATCGCCGTAAGTGGTTGCTTATTATCTCGAGCGTTGGTCCGATCATCTCCTCCAGCACTTTCCCCCCAACACCAATCGAACCCACGGCGACAGCAGCAACAACACCGTCCAGAACATACCTGCGTCTCCAGCCCAGGAAGGCTCCCCCACCGACGGCTCGATCACCAGTGATTTCCACGGTAGCAGGACCAACACTGCCACCGACCCTCCCAACAACCACGCCGATACTGGCAGTGTCGACAGCGACCCCCCAGAACAAGTCGGATCATCTCCTCCCAGCCCAAAGATCCCAAGTCCAGCCCCGCCCGCCATGGTCAACGACACAATTGACATCCCAAGCAGGCGCGACGTCACGTCCGCCGAGCTGTGCGCATCCTTGGGCATGACGGCGCAAGATTTCGAGGAGTTCCGGACCATCACGCGCCAAACGCATCGTCGATTTCGTCGGACCTCCTTCTCGACCATCACCACGCCGTCGTCGCGCATCATCGCCGACGCCACCATCGATTGGGATAAGATCCCGCCGCACCTGCAGCAAGCCATGACCGATGATGTGATCCGGCGCTGTGGCCGTCGCAGCTTGTTCCCGGCCATATGGACCATGGAGGTCATCGAGCACGCCGTTGGGCATCGTCTCTCGATTCTCCGTCGCCAGTGGCAGTCCACTTGGGACTCCCGCTTCGATGTTGAGACCAGGCCATCTGCCTCGACGGGTCAAGGTCAAGGCCCTGGTGAGAATGGCGACCAGAGCCAGAGCCAGAGCCAGAGCCAGAGCCCGAGAAACCTCTGAAGATGAAGCATGGGGTAGTCGGCAAAGTCGCAGAGTGAGTCCAAGGCAATATCCTATGTCCATCACTATCCTACTCTACCATGTCCTACCCTACGGTGTCTTGCTATGCCTTGCCACATCGTGCCTGATTATGTCGTATCCTATCACATCGTACCAAATCATACCATCCCCCATCCACCCTGCAATGCCATACCTTTCCCCCTTCTTCTCCATCGGTCTATCACCCGGCCCGAAGCGAAGCCTGCGCCATGCCGATTGCGACTTGCATGCGATCTGTTAACCTTCACTTTCTTGGAACTGCCTCTCCTTCACCAGGACAACCGACTAACACCGCTGCAGCCAGAGCCAGAGCCACGGACAAGAGACAAAACAGAATCGAGCAGGAGTGCACTGACATGGTGCGCTCTGTGACCAACACATGTCCGCGCACTACCGGGCTCCAGCCATGCCAGGCAACACGCCACACTCAATGTGCCAGCCCGGCCACTGATGCACGATAACAGCGCTACGAGGCACACAGGTAAGATATGATATGAGATGAGATGATGAATGACACGAGACGAGATGAGCTGGATATCCAGACAGTATGCGACAACGAGTCCAAATGGAATTTAAGAACAGAAAAAGTGAATTTTCCATTTGTCTTCTATCGTTTCGGGTTACCAACTATATCTCCTGTGTTTGTGTCGCGGTTGTCTTTCCTTATTTTCATGTTACGTCTTGCAGGACTCGGGTGCATGGTGGTGAATGTCCTGACGAATGTATTGGAAGGAATTGGTGGAACACTCATTGTTGGTTACGGTTTCATAGTGTCAAGTATCAAATATCGAATATTGAGTATCAAGTATCAAGTATCCATTCATTCAATCAAAACCACAAGTTCTAGCAGCAGCAGCAGCAGCAGTAGCAGTATCCGTACTAGCAGTCAGGACCCAGCGAGTCTCTATAGTGACTCTATAGTGGTGGCGGTCGAAATTGAATTCCCAAGTTCCCAAGGTCAAAATATACATTGGATCTTAGACTTTGGGCCTGTGGGGCGGCAGACGGGATCGAGATGCTGATGGGACAATTCATCAAAGTTAGAAAGTAGGGAAACTTTAGGTAACCAGCAGTAATAAGTAAAGGATAAGGATAGGTGCAGCGTAGTGTAGTGGTCTAGGTACGTTACGTACCTTAATAATAATGGCATGTCGTCAGTCACCCTTCAGTCTGCGCATCAACAAAACATTTCACTTTCCACCGTCCCCTTGCCATGTTCTCTCTACCAACATCCACGTTCCGGCATATTTCACCCATTGGATATCATGTGCGCAACTCTACAATGATTACGGCTACATTAGTTTGTTCCTGTTACAACTTACCAAGACTGTGCGACCCGTAATGCGCCGCCAACATGGTAGAGACGCGTTCACACGTCCATCCCGCTGATCCCCATGGATCCGTTTCGAGTCCGCCTCAACTGCATCGATCACTACCAAGCTGTGCCCCTTGACGAATTCGATCCGCCGGTACCCCAGGGCCTGGTGCACGAAAATGCCAAAGAAAGACCCCGAATCTCCGTCATCCGCGTCTTTGGCGCCACCGAGACCGGCCAGAAGGTGTTGATGCACATTCATGGCGCGCTGCAATATACATACATCGAGTACAGCGGGAGTCTGGTCCCGGAGGACGTCGATGTTGCCATACGGACGCTCCAACTGTCCATCGACCACGCGCTGGCCGTCAGCTATCGCAAGAACATCTACGAAGGCAAACACCGCTATGTCGCCCACATCTCGCTCGTGAAGGGTGTTCCCTTCTACGGCTTCCATGTCGGATACCGGTTCTACCTCAAGATCTATCTGCTCAACCCGTTGCACATGACCAGACTGGCCGATCTTCTGCGCGAAGGCGCGGTGATGAAGAGGGTCTTGCAGCCCTACGAGAGTCACATGCAGTATCTGGCCCAGTGGATGTGCGACTACAACCTTTACGGCTGTGGCTACATCGAGTGCGACAAGGTCAAGTTCCGAGGACCCATCCCGAAATACTTCGACATGACCAGTGCCATGCACCAGTGGCACGACCATTCCATTCCGCCAGAGTATATCTCCGACGAGGCCGCGCTGCCGAAACAGAGTAACTGCTCGCTGGAGGTCGATGTGCATGTCAAGGATATCCTGAATCGGCGGGACGTCCATGCTCGCGATCTTCATCATGACTTCATTGAGCGTGTGCATCTCCTCTCCGCAGATGCGAAATTGGTTCAGTCCATGGCGGGGTTGTGGAAGGATGAGACGCGACGCCGGAAGATCAGAATGGGTCTCAAGGATAACAACAGCAGTCCCTTCCCGCCTGAAGTCTTGATTTCGATGTCTGCGGATCCCAGAGATACGTCTGCGGGAGGCTGGATCCATGAAGAAGAGTATCGTGAAAAGGTCGAACAGATCGTCACAGAAGAACATGCCAAAGGCGACGCCGCCAAAGTCTCCTTCGACAACTTTGTGAAACCGGTCTCGTTGGAATCGACTGTCAAGACCGCCTTGGAGAGCGTGGAAGATTTGTATCCGCACAACATGCGTGAACCTGGCTTTGGCAGCAGAAACCACAGGCCTTCCACTCCGAACCAGGAGAATGTCGCACATGAAACTGTCATCGATGGGGCGCAAGCCGAGAACGTTATAGGAGGCCTGGACCACAGTCTAAGCGATGCTGTTGCCTCGAATGAGGGAAGCTTCAGCATGTCGAAGAGCAGCGATGACTCCAGCGCCAAAGATACACACGACAATGGAAGGGTATTGACCCCCATCAGCTCCTCAGAATATGAGAAATATGGGATTCGACGTGCAGGGGACACTGCTCGTCTGGCCGAGGATGTCTTTGAGGTGCCGGAAGAATACCTCGGGCAAGACCCGGTCCCTCCCAACAAAGCCAAGCGAGCAAGGTTTGCCGTTGCACCAAGTTTCAAACCTAGAAAGCGACGGAAGCAGCTGATGGATGATGACAATGTCTTTCCGGAAGTCAGCTTCTCCGGCTCGGAAGACGATCCAGACTTTGTCACGGATGCGGAGGGCATGGATCCTGCCGCAGAGCCGACGTCTGAGGAAATGCGCAGTGTTCGGCTATCTGGCACCAATCAACACCAACTACCGTTTAGCACGCAAGCAGCCAGGTCCAAAGATACGTCGGTAGAAGGACCAAATGCGCTGCTCCTGTCCCAACAGTCGACATTGTCCTTTTCAGCGGTCAAGAATCCAAACGATCCCACGACAATCCTTCGCCTCAGTCAGAAGAGTGGCACTTCTCCCAAATCATCACAGACCGCTAGTGTCAAGCCTCCGACCTCTCCGGTCATACAGAAAACCCCTGCGGAGAGTGTGCTGACCTCCTCACAACCAACGCTACGTCCGCCGATGTCAGCTGAAAGTGTCAAGCCAACGGCGCCCGTGGATATAATCATCTCAGGTCTGTCGTCGGGACGAACCGGAGCCTGTTGGCACACATATCAGATCCGTCCACCAAGCTTTCACGAAGTGGAAACGACCTTGCGACAGCACGGTCTGCCCGATGTGATCTATCAAGAGGCGTTCTACAGCAACGAAGACGACGTCCCGGACCAGGCACGAGAATACGCCGGACGTGAATTCAAGCTTGAAAGCGCCACTGTTCCGTATCTACCTGATTTCGATTCATCTGGCGCGTCGCCCGCTACTTACGGTCGGAAACCTGCAGCCTTAGTGGATGTTACTGGTGAGAGTGTCCGAGATAATCAGAGGCGAAAGCGGTGCACGATATCAAACTGGGTCATCTCCGAATCACCGCCTCGAAAGGCTGACGTTGTGTCCTGGCTCAAGGAAGAGCATGCGGCGAAAGAGCATGATACATCCTTTAGGATGAAGTCACGCCGCCCGCTCTCGCAGATCGACGGCCCGACACAGAAGAACAAATACGGGTTCAAGTATTCTCAAAAGCAGGCCAGCACCAGCGTACATCACGAGACGCAGTACATGAGCATCATGAGCCTGGAGGTGCACGTCAACACGCGTGGCTCTCTTGCGCCTAATCCAGAGGAAGATGCCGTCGCTTGCATCTTCTGGTGTATCCAGACGGACGACGATGAAGTCGAGACGAACGGAAGCAAGGATGGCATGCATGTTGGAGTGATCGCGGTCGCCGATGAACCCCATATGGGCAAGAATATTGGACGCATCCTACCTTACGACGTGGAGGAAGAGGCGACAGAACTCGACGTGCTCACCAGACTGGTCGATATTGTGCGGCACTACGATCCGGACATCTTGACCGGCTATGAGGTACATAATAGCTCGTGGGGCTATCTGATCGAACGGGCACGGGTCAAATATGATCTCAACTATTGCGACGAGCTGTCGCGCATGAAGTCGCAGTCCCATGGCCGGTTTGGCAAGGACGACGATCGATGGGGGTTCAATCATACATCGACCATCCGGGTGACTGGCCGACATACAATCAACATCTGGAGAGCGATGCGTGGAGAGTTGAATTTGCTCCAGTACACCATGGAGAACGTGGTGTATCAACTACTGCACCAACGCACCCCCCATTACACGTTTGCCGACTTGACACGCTGGTACCGCAGCAAGAACCCACGCGACCTGGCCAAAGCGGTCGAGTATTTCTGCTCGCGGGTCCAAATGGACATTGAGATCCTCGACGCCAACGAGCTGGTGCCGCGTACTAGCGAACAAGCGCGGTTACTGGGTGTGGACTGGTTTTCTGTCATCTCACGTGGCTCTCAGTTCAAGGTCGAGTCGTTGATGTTTCGCATCGCCAAACCCGAGAATTTCATGCTAGTATCGCCCAGTCGTCGACAGGTGGGTGGCCAGAACGCATTGGAATGCTTGCCCCTTGTGATGGAACCGCGCAGCGACTTCTACACGAGTCCTATGCTGGTGCTGGATTTTCAATCGCTATACCCGAGTGTGATGATCGCCTACAACTACTGCTACTCGACATTCCTCGGCCGGGTGGTGAGCTGGCGCGGCACGAACAAGATGGGCTTCACCGACTACCGTCGCGAGCCGCGTCTTTTGGAACTGCTGAAAGACCATATCAACATTGCACCGAACGGAATCATGTACGCCAAACCGCATATCCGCAAATCGCTCCTGGCGAAAATGCTCAGCGAGATCCTCGAAACGCGCGTCATGGTCAAGAGCGGCATGAAAGTGGACAAGGACGACAAGACGCTGCAACGCCTCCTCAACAATCGACAACTCGCGCTCAAGCTGATCGCGAACGTCACATACGGTTACACATCCGCGTCTTTCTCCGGACGCATGCCCTGCTCCGAGATCGCAGACAGTATCGTCCAGACCGGGCGCGAGACTCTTGAAAAGGCAATTGCCCTCATCCACTCCGTGGAGCGCTGGGGCGCCGAAGTCGTCTACGGCGACACGGACAGTCTCTTTGTCTACCTCAAGGGCCGAACCCGCGACCAAGCCTTCGACATCGGCGAAGAGATCGCCGCAGCCGTGACCAACATGAACCCGCGACCCGTGAAGCTGAAATTCGAAAAGGTGTACCACCCGTGTGTCCTGCTCGCGAAGAAACGCTACGTCGGCTTCAAGTACGAATCGCGCAACCAAACAACCCCGGACTTTGACGCGAAGGGTATTGAGACCGTCCGTCGCGACGGGACACCGGCGGAACAGAAGGTCGAAGAGACGGCGTTGAAACTACTCTTTCGCACGGCGGACTTGAGCCAAGTGAAACGCTTCTTTCAGGCGCAATGCTCCAAGATCATGCGCGGCAACGTCTCCGTGCAAGACTTCTGTTTCGCCCGCGAAGTCAAGCTGGGCACGTACAGCGACAAAGGCCCGCCTCCACCGGGCGCCCTGATCAGCGCGCGTCGCATGTTGCAGGATCCCCGGCTGGAACCGCAGTACGGCGAACGCGTGCCGTACGTTGTGGTGACGGGCGGTCCTGGCGCACGGCTGATCGATCGCTGCGTGGCGCCGGAGGTGTTGCTCAACGATCCACATGCCGAACTCGATGCCGAGTATTACATCTCGAAGAATCTGATTCCGCCGCTCGAACGCATTTTTAATCTTGTCGGCGCCAACGTCAGGCAGTGGTATGATGAAATGCCGAAGTATCAACGCATCAGGCGTGTTGAGGGAGTTGGTGTCGGGGGAGATTTGAATCTGCATCAGCATCAGAATCAGAAGAAAAAGGCTACGCTCGAGTCGTATATGAAGTCCTCGACGTGTTTGGTTTGTCGGGAGTTATTGGATACCAGCACGACTACTACGGCGGCGACGACGTCAACAACAGCAGCTGCAGCATTATCGGCAAACCTGGGTCTCTGTTCGAATTGTATCCGAAACTCGGCGCGGAGTATATTGACCCTCCGCACGCGGTTGACCAAGACAGAACGCCGAGTGAACCAATTGGCGAAAGTCTGTCGTTCGTGTTCCGGGCTGGCTTGGAACGAAGAGGTCAAGTGCGACAGTAAGGATTGTCCTGTGTTTTACTCGCGCACGAGATATAATGTTTCGTGGGGAAATGAGCGGGCGCAGCTGGGTCCGGTTCTGGAAAGTCTGGAGAGACATGACGATGATGATGGGAATGAACATGTAAAAGTCAATGAGAGTGGGTTGGAATGGTAGATGGTGACAATGGATAGCTTGTTTGGGTTATGGCGTTTCATTACAAGAAGCATCGGTGGAAATGCATTCAAGGTTGGGAAAGGAATGGATTACACGGTACATGGACAAGTCCTCAGCGGAAACATGAATTCGTCAAGATGTTCATTCGGACGAACTAAATGCCTTTAATACCCAGGTATATTCGCAAGAATGGAATTCCACTTTGACCTTGACTGGCGGTTATAAACGGGCTGTCCTTCAGCCTCGTACTTGGGTATCTCCAAATCGGAGGCTCAACACGTGACGCTCATCCCGCTTTCCCCGTCACTGTCATTCTGGACTTTTTGCCAACCATGTCGTCGGTATCTTGATTCCCATCACTCTTCAACAACCAGTCCTCAACCCTGACGGAGACGTTGGGTCTTCCCTTTACGACAGAACTTGCGGTTGAGTCAACCCTTCCTCCTTCGGACGCCCGGCCGCGCTTTAAAACCCCCCCGCAACAATGGCGCAAAACAGCAAACCCCCCGGCCCAGACCAGTCACGCAACGAGTACATCCCGTCCTTCATCTCGAAACGACCCTTCTGGGCCGAAACGACCCCGGACGCCGACTACCTTGAACATCAACGTCTGCAAAGCGCGCCGAAAGACACGCTCGACCAAGCGAAATGGTACGAGCGCGGCAAGAAAGCGGGGCCGGCGGCGACGAAGTTCCGCAAAGGCGCCTGCGAGAACTGTGGCGCTATGACACACAAGACGAAAGAATGTCTCAGCCGGCCGAGGAAACTGGGAGCGCGCTGGACGGGGCGGGACATTCAAGCAGACGAAGTGGTTGAGGACGTGCAGCTGGGATGGGATGCGAAGCGCGATCGGTGGAACGGCTACGACCCTCGCGAATACACCGCCGTGGTCAAGGAGTATGAGGAGCTCGAAGCGCTGAAGCGGGCGACAGCAAAATCCAAAGACGGGGACAAGACGCTGGAGAATGGTGATGTTGATACTGATGGGATCAACGAAGAGACCGCAGATTCCGACGCTCGATACGGCGAAGAAACAGATATGGGCCGGTCGCAACCGACGTCAACACGACAGCTGCGACTGCGAGAAGACACAGCGAACTATCTCCGCAACCTGGATCTCGATTCGGCGAAATACAACCCCAAGACACGCACGATGGACACGACGGCGCTGAAAGAGGCCGGCGAGATGGACGCCGAGGAAGGCTTCATCCGGTCCTCGGATGAGGCGGCGGAATTCGAACGCGCCCAGCGCTACGCCTGGGAGACGCAGGAGGCGGCGGCGGCCAAGGCCGGCACGAAGAAACTACATCTACAGGCGAACCCGACGGAGGGAGAGATCCTGCGCAAGAAACAGGCGCAGGAGGCCGCGGAGAAGAAGGCCGCGGCGCGCAAAGCCCTGCTGGAGAGATACGGCGGCGACGAGTTCCTGAAACAGGATCCGATGAAGAAGGCTCGCCAGGTCTTCGAGAATGAGAGGTATGTCGAATACGACGAGTCCGGACGCGTCAAGGGCGAAGCACGCCAGATCGCCCGGTCCAAGTATACAGAGGACGTGCTGGTCAATAACCATACCTCTGTCTGGGGGAGCTGGTGGCGCGATTTCACTTGGGGGTATGCTTGCTGCCATTCCACCGTTAAGAATAGTTACTGTACGGGCGAGTCTGGGCGCGTTGCCTTTGAAGAGGCCCAGGGGTTGAGAACGGGCCAGGCGCTGTTGCTTGAAGATGACAAATCGCAGGACAAGGAGACAGACCTGACGCGACGGAAGGTGGTCGCGGACGAGGACAGCAAAGCACAGTCGCGTATTGAAGCCGTGGTCGGCGACGAGAAGGAAAGACTTCGTCTCGAGCAGACGGGTGATGCACGCGAAGCTGATGGGCACCATGGCACAACTGAAGCAGGCTCCAATGCCGCGACGACAGCAACGGCACACGCCAAGAAGCGTACACTGCAAGAACTCCAGTCCGGCATTTCCGAGGAAGAGCTGGAGTCGTATAAGCGGAATCGCGTGGCCGCGGACGATCCGATGGCGGCATTGCTTGGGAAGGATGAGCTTGTTGAGTTGCATTGATCATTGGTGAGATGGTGAGATGGTGAAAGGAAACCATCAAGCTCATCGAGTTGCTACGCTGTATCACAGACATACATCGTGATATGATGCATGGTCGCAATGACCGACCAGAGACCGCGCTGAAGCAGAACACTGAAAACGGTGGTGGTGTGTACTAGTACAGTGTTGCATCATTTATCCTAGCGTTCAAGCGACTTTTTGATATAAACTATGGTATTGCGATATTGATCTTTTTCCGATGGGCAATACCTAAGCATTCGCGAGTTTTCCCAAGTCGACCACTGTACTGAGTATACACGGGTTTGTCAGTGCAGTGGTGGCTGTGTCTGTGTCTGTGTCTGCATGCAGGATGGGAAACTGTGGTCGCATTATGTCATCATCAACTTCCAATTTCAATTGTCTCCACGAATTTCACGCGCGGTCGAAGCCGCATCCTTCAAGCAATTCGGATATGACATGAAGTTTGACCTTGACAGATTGGACTCGATTACACAGTGCAGTCCGCTCCAACTTCTGGATCTCCTGTTCTGCCGGCCGAGCGTAATACTCTCTGCCTTACAGCATTGGATCGTACATGACTGTTGGCTTCGGTAGCGAACGTGAGAGTTGACGAGAACGTAAAACCATGTGGAAATGCAGACCTGGGTTGACGACCTGGAGAAATTAACGGCCAGAACTTGTCCTGTCAGCCACATTCCTGTGGAGCTGACGGCAATCACACTATAAACAATTACCTGTCTTCGCTGTGATACTGTGTGAGATGGCCGCAACACGACCCGGCGTTTAATTGGCTGTCCCGCTGCGCTTTATGATGCGATTCGTTGCTGACTTGCCGAACGCGTCTGCCATTGATTTTCTGAGCGAGTCGCTTCGCGCCTACTGTCTGTCTCCTCAGTACGTACTCCGGCTGCCCAATTCCTGCCGACCAAAACCCCTGATTTATTTGGTGCTTGAGGAATCACCGTGGATTCCACTCTGATCGTCCATATTGGCGAAATCTCCATGCCGAGTGAGAGTGCCTCTTCCCCTTGACAACCGATGTGTTCCCTTGGACTTCATTTTGGTCAACCTCCTTTCCTGTCGTCTCTTCCCTTGCCGTCCACATGACATCTGACCCCGCGCCAGCCTCGGAGGAATAGTAACGACATGCCATGGCACTCTGAGTCCTCGATTCTGGTACAACCCGAAACGCCTATGCTGTGAGATTGGAGTTTGGTAGAGAGAAGCAATTGGATATTTATAAAGAAAACACCGGTGTTTGGAGAACACAAGTGCACAATGCAACCCTTCAGGTTTGGCATGAGGGACTCCTCGGCCGAAAGCGTCGAGGACACTCGCAGCCGATATGTGCCGAGTTCAATCTATAGCGGTCCTGGACCCATCGACGAGTCTCCAGCCATCGGTGCTTCTGCCTCTTTCATGATGGGTTCGTTGCGCGCACCGATGGAAGAGGACCAGACTCCTCGTTTTGCGCCGGTACATCCCATGGCACTTCTCTGATCGCGACGATACTGATTTTGAACAGCCCACCCGACATGCGCCTCGGAATTCGACTCTACTGAACATCAATGACCCCGTGGCAATGCACCTGTTGACCGAGACCGCAATCAGCGACAGCCGAGAATTCGAGATTCTATCTTTTGAGGAGGTGGAACATCTGAAAAGGGAAAGGCAGTATCTCAGGAACAGGGTCGACACGACGAGGAGGAAGTTGGCTTTGGAAAGCAAGTTACGGGATGCGGCCCAGTCTCTGAATCGATTATACTCAACCCGCGACAAGGCCATTGCGGCAGGTAATTCACCCAAAAGGTCGCGGCGGAGTCTTCTTGGAAGTAAACCCAATTCAGGGGAAGATGTCATGACTCGTGCCGATGATGAGTATGCGGCCAGTGATCGCAAGGTCCACGAATTCACACAAGAGCTGTCGGAGCTGGAACGGAGGCTGGAATCTACGGAGAAGCGTCTCTTGGAGCATACTGCCGGCGTGCTTCAGATGACACACAAGGGCTTGAAGAAGAATCTCCGACGAACTGAGTTGCCCCGAAGCCCCGAAAGCATGACCAGTCAGGCGAATCATCGCAACTCGGGGATGGACGGGATCGATGATTTTGACGAACGAAGCCTGTACCAAGTACCGGACTACGTGACGAAGTTTGGACAGATCCCACCGCCACTCAACACGAGCAGGGCTCGCAACAGCGATCCGAGAGCTGTCGACAATATTGCAAGCCGACTGCAGGAAATCAACAATCGACTCCATTCCATGATTGTCGAAGCCGGCTCTCACGAGCACTTCGATCCACCGCCTCAACCAACTGACGAGCACATGACCGGACCGGTTGACGCCCAGATCCAAGCCTATCTGGGCTATCTGTCACAAGGCCTCCATGTCATGGAGGCTGCCCAGGCTCGCGGACACGCCGAGGCACAGAAAACCATCTTTGACTCGGAGGATCAGCTCGAGGATGTCAATAACAGACTGCACGACATGCTGGAGAGGACAGACCCGACCGGCCACAGCCCTCAGTTGCAACATGATGAACCTAGGGGGAAGGACCTGCAATCTCAGCTAGCATTTTCTACCGTTGTGCTGGACCGCCTGAACCAGCGCATCGAAACTCTTGTTGAACAAAAGGACATTCTCACTCGGCAGATCCAGCAGCAGCGGGATCTTAATACAAAGACGGACGCCCAGCGTGACGCCAAAATCCGAGAGCTGACCGACCAGTTGGAAGAAGCCCAATGTCTCCAGACCGTGGGCGAGCAACAGGCTCAGCACTCTCGAGATCAAATCAATCTTTTGATGGAGCAGTTGGACATGGCCAAACAGAACTCTGCTCTACTGGAGCAGCAGCGAGGCACAAACGATGCCGAGGCGTTGGAGATGGATCGATCAGCGCGCAAGGAGATGGAAGAGAAACTGATGGCCGAGTTGCAGACCAAACAAGAAGAGCTCGGTCAGCTGCGATCGGAGTTGGGTCAATTGCGGCTCGAGTCGGAGTCGAAAGCCGAGCGATTGCTCCAGCAACTTGAAGAGGTGCAAGCGGCAAAAGGCCAGGCGGATCTGGCGCTTGAAAGCCATAGAACAGAACTGGCTCATTTTGAGACCAAGTTTGCAGCGTTACAAGCCGAGCGAGATCAAGCTTGCACCGATCTTCGCCAGCAGATCAACCGCCTAGAGACCGCCAAAGCCGGCGCTGAGGCCGAGCTGTCGAAAGTCCGCGAGGAGATGAAAGAGTTGGAATCCGAGGTGGTTCGAGCCCAGACCGAGCTCACGATGGTCAAGGCGGAACTCGACGGTGCCTATGGGACACGTGCTCAAAGGGCCGCAGATGTGTCCATGAACCCGCAAATCCAAAGAGTGATCGATGAGCTGAATGCACGCAACAAAGACCTCGAAAACCAGCTCGATTTCCTTCAGACACAACACGAAACCAAAGGCGTCGGCAGCGCGGAGTTACAGAACAGGGTGAATGCACTGCAAAAGGAGTTGAAAGAAACCATTGAAGACTACGAACTAATGACCAAGCAAAGTATTGACGACGAAAAAGAACGGGACCGGCTGGAGGAATCGGTCGATGCTCTTCAACAACGATGTGAAATCCTGGAGTCCCAATTGAATGAAGAGAAGGTTAAATGGCTCGGCGTCAAAGTTGGTTCACCCAATGAAACGACGTCCACGATGGTCCTGAAGAACGAATTCAAGAAGATGATGCGGGAGACAAGAGCAGAGAACCTCCGGACGATCAAGGTAAGGCAGTGTCCCGCCCATCGAGGGAATCTCTGTAGGCTGACTTTATAACAGGCTGAACAAGAAGAGCGACGACGTCTTGAAGGCATCGTCAAGAACTTGAAAAAGGACCGGCAGCAGACTCGGTCGTCGAAAGATGTTTCTGAATCTTGACAGAACTCTTTACTATCCACGATGTGCCGGGCTGAAAAAGAAGGTTTCCCAACGACGAACTCGGTCTTCACCCGAGAAGCCCGCTTCTATCGCCCGAATTATCATCTTTACCCCTATAATGCAACCACCTTGGGACTTGTATCAATGTTACACCGCCAATCGGGAGGCCTGGACATTGTCGAATGGAAATGTACCTACTTTCACTTGATAGCATTCTCCGTGGTCCGTCCCCGTCACCAGTATACCATCTTTGGAAAATGATAAAATGGCATCTTCATCTGCTCAGGATGGTGGTGCCTGCCAATTGGAATTCAGTGCTGAGGGTCGCAAATTGACACTGCTTCATCGCAACTGCTCTCTTCGTGTGCTCTTGTCGAGCTTGATACTTCCTCTTGATCTGGTGATCGACATGTCAACATCACGGTGTTCCTCGTTGCAGCCTCATTCTTACCCCCATCACCAAGTTATTGTGCCATCCATTCGCTTATCACGAATCATCACTTTGGGAACCTGGACCGCCGACGTTCTTGAATGACGACCTTATTGTCCCATATGCGCCGCCGGCCCAAATCCTTTTCGAATTCCTATCCTCCTAAGACGCAACATGACACTCCACAATGGCATTGCTGTTGCCACATCCCCTGACATTCACGCCATTCCCCCTGCACAGAAGGCAGTTCGGAGGACGAGGTCGGCGCAGTCCCCAAGTCGTCAGCTCGACTCCTCCCGAAGCCTGGATTCGGAACCAGATTCAATATACAACGCCGAATTGGTGCGCTCAAGGGTCAGGCTTCCGTCGGGAGAACAGGGGTCAGCAGAAGCTGAAGCCGCACCGAGTCTAGATGCTTCAAGTTCGTCGCCTCCGCCACCTTCTCCGTCGCGCAGCCCTCTCGGCGACCCTCCGGCAGCCCACAGCCACTGGCCTCCCCCACAGCTGGGCACCATCCTTGAACAGAAATGCATTCGTAGCGTTTTCCCCTCGGGCTCCTTGCCTCGACTGGCACCTAGTCCGGAAAGGAAATCTCGAATTGTTCACGCTGAGCGATCGATCCATTCACTACATCCGCAAACCTCAACCTCGCTCTGGCCTTTGAAGAAGGGCTTGCCTTCTGTGTCTTTGCATTCTGCTTCCTTGCATGCGGCGTCCTTACATCGCCGCCGTTCCCTGTCTTTGAATGACTTGGACAGTGTCTTGCAACCTGATGCGTTACAGACCAGTCCTGGCCATTCATCTTCTTCCGGGAACGACATCGACCGGAGGGACTGGTGTCCCACACTTCCGAACATGCCAGTCCACTCTCCACCTCATCGAGTGCCCACTCCGCCTGGCCTGCCGTCATTTGGAACGGAGGAGGCCAATGAGTATAGGCTTCCGGGACAATTGTCTCCTGGCAGATCGCTCTGGAATCGGTTTTGGCGACATTCCCAGGAAATGAGTGACGACTTGACACCCGCAAGTCCACGCATGCTTGGGTCTCCGATGCTGGGGCCGCACAGCCCACCGAGTCCTCAAAGCCCGCCGACAGGTCCTTCAAGCGAGATTCTGAAGCGGACCTTGGCGATGCTAGGAATGGCACGGGTGGTGAGTCCACCGCCACCGTCTCTTAAGCAAGGACGCGTCTCCTTGCCTCCTGGTGTCGTGACCTCGGGCAACGGGTCTGGTGCACTAGCTCAAGCCGAAGACGGTACCTATATCAGAGGTAGATTCGGTCCTCGGGCCAGCGGGCATGGTATTGGGGGAAGGAGTCTGGAGGCGCATCCCATTGCTCGTACCGCCCAACTCAGCGCCATCGATGAACAAGTCAGAGAAATCGACAAAGCTTGTGAAGTGGTAGACCGCGAGAATGCAATCTCTCAGTTTGATCTCAGCGATAGGCGCCGTGGGCTTGAGCATGATACCTCTTTCCACCATGATTCCTCCGAGGCGGCAGAGGCCCAGCCAGCCATTCCAACATCACCACGGGGCCTCTCAGAAGATGGAACGTCGAGCCCCGCCATCTATCTCTCTCCTCCCTCCACATCACCACCGAGGGTCGCCGGGACTGTCCAAGATGAGAGCATATTGCCGACGCAAGAACACCAGTATTTCGACCAACCAAGGCTCAGATCACAACGCACGCTTCCTCATTCGGCCATGAGACAAGGCCCTGGGTATGCTCCGTCCACTCTGATGGCTTTGAGGAGTATGGAGAGCATGCCAGTTCTCTTCAGCGCCGCCGAAGAGGCCGAGCGAACACGAGTACGAGAGTTAGTGTTGGAGGAGAAAAGAAGAGAGCAAAGGAAGCTGTGGGTACAGATGTGGTGCGCAGCTGAAGACTGTTGTCATGATGTTTGGCATCTCTGGACGTGCGCCAGTGTCTGTAAACATGACCATGGTCGTGAGAGATCTGGAAGTGAGTGGTAGGGCTCTTTGGAACGGCACGTTTTGGAGACACCGCATGATTTCCTAGCGTCAAGAATCTGGTATCAAAGCATCCCAATTCTGCTTCAAGGGCATCTGACGTGGCTCCTCGCCATCGGCGGCAGTTTGGACACTGCTATGGCTTGGTCGGCTGACGACAACTCAGAGAGACAAGAAACGCTTGCAGGGTTCAGGACAAATGGATATTGGGCTTTGAAATGCAAGGCCGGATTCGAGATGTGGTCGGTTGGATCCAAGATAACGATCAGCTGTTATTCCTTTCCTCCATCTCTCCATCTTTCCTTTCGTCCACGTCGTAATCATGACCAGAATACACCACGGCCGTCGTACTCTGTACAAAGTATACCACGTTGTACCGTAAGTATATTGTAGGTGGCACCAGCAGTGCCTAAAGCAGCATGGTTCCGGCTCTGCTAGCTTCCGCCCATGTGGACTTGCACGTGATAGCCACCTCACCTCGAACTCCACGCAACTTACGACAAATACGCGGCTGAGCTTGCACTTGCAGTCTTACTGTGCTCCTCTACATGCTAAGCCCACTGCACGCGTGGGTCTGGAAATTCGTCTGCCTATTATGTCAGTCACGAAACCCACTGCTGCTGCCACCGGTTGATTGATTGCCATTACCTACTAGCACCTAGTCCGTTCCACTCCATCAGTCACTCTGGCGTTCTTCGTGCCAGCAGCTCCCTACAACGCGGCGCAGAGGAGGAAGTCGGCCAGACCAGGAGCTGTATATGACGGCTTCGGCAGGACGCAAGCTGTCGAGGACCAACACCATCGAGCCTACTCCAACACCATGGCTTCTTACCCGGCCCTCACGGCCACCGGCACCGGCCGCAACATCGACTTGACCAAGTCGGAATCCGAGTTGGCCGTCAACATCCGCAAGGCCACCAACATCGAAGAGACGGCGCCTAAACGCAAACATGTGCGCAGCTGTATCGTCTACACGTGGGACCACAAGTCGTCGCTCTCCTTCTGGGCCGGCATGAAGGTGCAGCCGGTCATGGCCGACGAGGTGCAGACCTTCAAGGCCCTGATCACCATCCACAAGGTGCTGCAGGAAGGTCATCCCGTCACGGTTAAAGAGGCGCAACAGAACGTAAACTGGATCGAAAGTCTGGCCCGCGGCGTGATGGGCGAAGGGCTCCGAGGATACGGCCCGCTCATTCGGGAATACGTCTTCTTCCTGCTGGCCAAGCTGGCGTTCCACCGCAACCACCCCGAGTTCAACGGCCTGTTCGAGTACGAGGAGTACATCAGCTTGAAATCTATCAACGACCCCAACGAAGGCTACGAGACCATCTCGGATCTGATGACCCTGCAGGACCAGATCGACACCTTCCAGAAGCTCATCTTCTCGCACTTCCGCGGCGGCACGAACAACGAATGCCGCATCGCCGCCTTGGTGCCCTTGGTTCAGGAAAGCTACGGCATCTACAAGTTCATCACGAGCATGCTGCGAGCCATGCACACGACCACCGGCGACGACGAGGCACTGGAACCACTGCGCACGCGATACGATGGCCAACATTATCGTTTGATCAAGTTCTACTACGAGTGTTCCAACCTGCGCTATCTGACTTCGTTGATCACCGTCCCCAAACTGCCGCAAGATCCGCCCAACTTGCTTGCCGACGATGACGAGCGCCCGGCTCTGCCCAAACGCCCGACCCGAGAACTCGAGCAGCCTCCTACCCCGGTGGCCAAGAATGGCACTCCGGACCCTCGAGACATGGAGGATTTCTGGTCAAGAGAAGCACAAAAGCAACAGGAGGCCTACGAAGCCGAGCAGCGTCGACTGCAACAGGAGTGGGAGGAACAACAACGAGAGCAGATGAGGCTACAACAGGACGCGCAACGAGCGTTTGAGGAGCAGCAGCGAATGCAGGCGGAACAACAACGGTTGGCCCAAGAACAGCTGCTGCGCGACCAGATGCAAGCCCAGACCCAAGGTCGAATGGCCGAGCTGGAGCGAGAGAACCTGGCTGCGCGGGCGCAATACGAAAGAGACCAGTTGATGCTGCAGCAGTATGACCAGAGAATGAAGGGGCTAGAAGAACAACTCAATCAACTCAACAACAACTTCCAGATGCAATCGCAGTCCAAAGATGACCAGATCTCCGCGCTACAAGAACAGGTCAACACATGGCGACACAAGTACGAGGCTCTGGCGAAGTTGTATTCGCAACTGCGGCAGGAACATTTGGATTTGCTGCAGACCACCAAGTCGCTGAAATTGAAGGCGGCATCGGCTCAGGAGGCCATCGATCGCCGGGAACGACTGGAGCGTGAAATGAAGACCAAGAACCTGGAATTGGCCGATATGATCCGTGAACGTGATCGAGCTTTGCACGAGAAAGATCGTGTTCAAGGTGGACATCGCGAGGAAGTCGAGAAGCTGAAACGCGAGTTGAGGCTTGCCATTGACCGTGCCGAAGAGGCGGAGAAGGCCAAAGGGTCAGAGTTGTCTGCGATGCTCGCCAAGTACAACCGTGAGATGGCGGACCTCGAGGAAGCCTTACGCAACAAGTCAAGACAACTCGAGGAGATTCGATCGAAGCACACTGGCCGCGATGTGGATCACGAACAGGTGCTCCGTGAGAAGGACGAGGAGATTGAGATTTACAAGTCCGGAATGGAACAGGCCCTTGAGGAGCTGGAAGAACTCAAGCTGGGCAGCAATGATGCCGACGGCGCCCTTGACGGTGCAATTGACGAAGTAATCAAGGCGAACGTGAACAAGATCAACGACATCGTTGATTCGGTCCTGCAGAGTGGCGTGCAGAGAGTGGACGATGCCATGTATGAGCTCGACTCTCCCATGCAGGCTGGTAACCAGAATGCCACGGCGCCGTATGTGTTGTCGCAGATTGAAAAAGCATCTGCCAGCGCGACCGAGTTTTCGACCGCGTTCAACAATTTTGTGGCCGACGGGCCCAACAGCGATCATGCCGAAATCATCAAGACAGTGTCAATCTTTGCGGCATCAATTGCCGACGTGCTATCCAACACCAAGGGGTTGACTCGATTCGCGACGGAAGAAAAGAAAGGCGACCAGCTAATTGACTCGGCTCGGCAAGCCGCTCTTGCGACGATCAGTTTCTTCCGAAACCTCCAGTCTTTCCGCCTGGAGGGACTTGGGCCGATGCAGAAGAGTGATGTGGTGATCAACAACAACCACGATGTCCTGATGAAGCTCCAGAAACTGTCCAAGCTGGCGGATGCTTTTGCGCCCAAGGGCAGCAAAATCAGCACGACGGGCGATCTGGGCGACTTGGTGGATTCCGAATTGACCAAGGCGGCCAACGCCATCGACGCGGCGGCCCAGCGCCTGGCCAAGCTGAAGAACAAGCCGCGCGACGGGTATTCGACGTATGAATTAAAGATCAACGATGCGATCCTCGAGGCGGCGGTGGCGGTGACGAACGCGATCGGGCAATTGATCAAGGCGGCCACCGACTCCCAGAACGAGATTGTGCGTGAAGGCCGTGGATCATCGTCCCGAACCGCCTTCTACAAGAAGAACAACCGGTGGACGGAAGGCCTGATTTCGGCGGCCAAGGCGGTGGCGACGTCGACCAACACGCTGATCGAGACTGCCGACGGCGTCATCAACGGCCGCAACAGCCACGAACAGCTGATCGTGGCGTCCAACGATGTCGCGGCGAGCACGGCCCAATTGGTCGCGGCCAGTCGGGTCAAGGCCAGTTTCATGTCCAAGACCCAGGACCGGCTCGAACAAGCTTCGCGTGCGGTCGGCTCGGCTTGCCGTGCCTTGGTGCGACAGGTCCAGGGTATCATCAAGCAGAAACAACGCGACGAAGGGGAAACGGTTGACTATACTAGTCTCAGTGGGCACGAGTTCAAGGTCCGGGAGATGGAGCAACAGGTATGTCGAATTTGGTCTTCTGTTTGGTTTCCAGTTTGGTTTCCAGTTTGGTCTGGAAGGACAACTTGTGGAAGAAACTGTGTGCTAATGACGTTTTGTTCTACAGGTTGAAATCCTCCAGTTGAGAAACGCTCTGGATGCTGCTCAGGCCAGGTTGAGTGAGATGCGCAAGATCTCGTATCGAGAAGACTGAGGCAGTGGTGGCCGAGACGCGGATTCGTCTCCCTTTGCTTCAGGACCACAACCACGACCCTCGGGTGGTATCTCGGCCTAGAGAAATGGCCAGGAGGGTCTACGATTATTGATTACCGTGGCTGTTTGGAAGGAAGTTGATGTGCGGACTTCGCGGTTTGGGTTGCACAAGAAGCCTGAGACGATGTTAGAGGATGCCGTCGTTGAGACATGGGCATAGGCATATGGATAGGTCACTGGACGACCTCTTCTTTGAAGCGAAAGCGACCGCACATGTGGAGATTAAATTGTGAGTGGCCGTTGGCTGGGTCAGAGGATACTGAACAATAATGTCTTCGAGGAAGCTGTCTTGCTTACGTGCTAGTATGGAGGACGGCATGGGGGCGCTCAAAGGCTAGCTGATGTCGAGATCAGGCAATACTATTTTCTAGCCATGGATTGTCATGGACCAGACAGAGCTTTTGGTCTTTACCAGATCGAACCGAGCAGATGGAGTAGATAGCAGCAAGAAATATAGGGTACCGAACACGACCTTATCATATAGGGAGCCCATCTTTATTTGCTGTTGAAACCACGATCATTGATGGAGACATCGAATTGTCCCGTCGGCCACCCTAGCCCCGCAAATAGGTCAAGGCAAGGCCAACAATCCGTCGCACTAGAGCGGTCGCTCCATGGTCGCGTCTGCCGTATATGGCAAAAACCTAAGCCTTGCGACGACGGAAAGCGCAACACTCGAGGAGCGTATACAAAAGCAAAATAGGATGCTGAGAATGTATACAAAAATGCAAAAACAATCAACAGTTAGGATTCCCAGATGGTCACCCACTCTAGTACTAACTAACCGGTATCAAGCTTAAGTACCGCTGAGCGAACGGGAAGCGCTGTTCTCTTGATCCTATGGTCGATTGCAAGAGTAAGTTTGCGGCTTTAGTATATAAAAGAAGGCATAGTCCCTTCCCAGAAAGCATATGTTGGTTGATTTACGGTTTGCCTTGTTCAGTAATATGGTGAAACCTCTGGGACAACTCAACTACCTTACTTAACAACCTCACACTACTTACTACCAAGGTCCACGGTCATTGCTGCACGTTTTGTCGTCTCAGTGCCTTTCGGTTCTATCGAAGTTGATGTTTCCACACTATGTGCAGCGAAAACAGGCTCTCGGTATATACGAAATTGGTGGTGAAGTTGCTGCCCTGAGTCAGTCCCCAGAAAACTACATACGAAAGCCAAATCCAATCCACTCTTCAACCAACTTATCACTTCCTTGATACGACTTTTTATCTATACGATCGTGATGGTTGTCGGTTGTATGCGAGGCTGGAGAAGACACCAAGCCGCTGCCCTTTTCAAGGCAAAGGTATATACGCCATCTATTTCGAAGGTTCTTCCCACCGTAACTGAGATCTCGATCAGTACCGCTGGCGACCAGAGAATGTGGCTGCCAGGGGCAGCCCAAATGTTCGCCAGGGCAGAAGGGATGATCTTTCGACGCACAAAGATGCATGCAACTGGACAAACTATCTCTTCTGCTTTGAGCCCTGCTTAGTCCGTTTGTCATCATGTCTGCTGCTTGTTGCTAGTCATCGGGAATTATGCGAGATCGCAAAAGCTGAGTGACTCTGCTCGACTAGCACCATCCAGACCAAGCTAGACCATCTACCCTTCTCGCTACCGATCCATGTCCAGATCAGGCGGACGGCTTGATATGCATCGCATCCGAAGCAATGCAATGCAAGTCCAGGGATCGGTCTCTCTTTCCCCGCTAGACCAGGCCTCGTCAGGTCCAAAACAGAGCTGGACCAGGATGCAGCCGGATTCAGGATGCGGTAGACGTACTATACAAAGCCACTAAATCCGTCATGAATCATTGAGATGCCGAAAGAATCACGAAAGGAGACTCGATGGCGCATGTGGCCTCACAGGAGTGTTGCCGCATTGGGCTGGGAGAGCTGAAACTAACTTTGGATAGTTAGGCTGAGCCGCTGAGGCTGACGCTACAAGATGCAGGAGTGACATTGACAGGCAAATGTCACGTCGGAACTGATAACTGACAACTGACAACTGACAACTGACAGAGGACAACTTTCAAATTAGGAAGGATATGGGACTTTGACAGGAGAAAGATACATGGGGGCTCTTGATCCGGAAGTACCATCTGCGACGGATTGACAATTTGACACTACTTCTACGGATATATGATTATGTGGCGTCACGATCCGATCCGACCCTTGCACCAACGACCCAGCTCGCCAGGCACCAAAAGAAAAGATGTCGCGCTAACCCGCTGCTCATCCTCTTCTGATGCCTGGCAACCTCCTTACGGAGTGACAAGTGTGGAGGGCTTGCAATCGACCGATCCAGTCCGCCTGGGCTGGCATTTTGACGGGACTCTCGAGGTATGTATATCACACTGCCGAAGGACGGTCCTCGGTACCATCACACCACCGAGTCGATTCTCGATCTTCTATTTCTCCAGTGGATCTGTGGTACCTGATCTCCTCTTATGTTGTACAAGCCCAAGAGTCCATGACCACTTTGAGTTTTCGAGATCATTGAGTCAACGGCCAACATATCGTCGTATGATCAATCGGCGATAATTGTGCTTCCCTTTCTTGACTCTCGTCTGCTCCTCTGACAGCATCGTCGCCCAACATGGTCCGCGCCGTCGAAATCGCACATCTTCTGAACATTCCTGACGAAGCGACTCCCACTCGCTCTCGCACGATCAGTGTGGATAGTCTCCTCAACCCGTCGCCACGGGAAGACCTACCACGACATACTCTTCCTCTTCCTCCTGCTGTTGCTACGCTGCAACTTGGAGCAGCAGCGTCGTTGCGGACCGACGGTTCCAGTCGACGACGTCTTGCATGTGATCCCACCGCGTCAATCACAAACGACTCTACTGGCCGTGACCAAGATCGAGCCTTCTCTGCGCCTCTGTTCTTGTCCGCGGCGGGGTCACCATCATGTCCATATCATCGATCAGCCGACATGATGTACGAGTCAAACTATACCTATCAGCCGGATCCCCAGATGACGTTCCACCACTCGCCATATGATATGGGGCAGTACTCACAAACCTATACCGCCAACTACCCTCAGCAGATGGGAAATCATCCGGCGACATCATCTTTCTGTCCAGATGAATCAGCATCGACCCACATCCAAAGTCAGGGCCTTGCCGCTTCTGGACCCAGTCGGACATCGACATGGCTCGACCACGAGTTAGTAGCAGAACAAGGCTACCAGCTGATCATCCCCATGGAAGACGGCGACATGATTGTCCCGGTGGACATGCAGACTTCGCCCAGGTCGCCGTTCGCGATCCGGCGGCGCAACGCTCTTGCTTCCGCGCGGTATCGCAACAGAAAGAAAATGAAGGCCGCGGAAGAAGAAGAGGCCCGAGCCGCTGCTGAGTGCGAGCTCCTGATTCTCGAGGATGAGGATAAGGATGACGATGACTGGTGATAACGCCGGCATCGGCGTTGGCAGCGGGGACACTTGCAATGCCGTGAGAATGATGACGTTGGTGAGGGTGATGGAGTACAATAGGTAGGGACTGAAAGCGAAAAGAAACACGGAGTTCTGGGCGCTTGGGCGTTGGCCGTGGCAAATGAACGGAGCGTCGAGCCTTGCTGGTAATGGTATCGCAGCAATGGGGAGACTTGCTGACATATCTACATTGTCTGAACTGACTTGGAATACAATCCCAAACCTGCTACACTGCGTACCTTGACCGCCGGGGCAAAGTAAACAACGTAGGCCATGATGATACCGCACAGTACCTAAGGTAGATAGATCATCAAATCTTTCTTCAACCCTCTGCAGCCATCATGAGGATCTGTGTATCCATGGTTGGACATGGTCGACTGAGTAGACTGTGGACGCGCCGCAAAGTATGGCAGAGTGTCCACATTATCCGGAATTACGACGTAGGTCTCCTATATATGGAGTTTGGCACCCACTCCTCTGAGCTGCTGTTGAAAGAAGCCCGTTTCCCTACTCGCTGCCAGAGTGGCTGTCGTCGAGGATGGTTTCGTTTCGTTTCACAGCTTGACCTCCGTCCAACCTCTGCCCACGGATCGATGATTCGCAAGAGCCTCTTCGCCTGTTTGGATTCTAGGAATCAATGTATCCGTGCGACTAGTCTCTTCAGGCCCTCTCTTGTTGGAGTAGCCACTTGGTCTTTCACGAGAAGGCCGATACCTGTAATGGTCGTCGTCCATGTCATAGTAGCGACCTGGTCTTTGACGAGAAGGTCGATACCTGTATCGGTCGTCGAACACGCTGTCCGTGGTGTAAACCGCTCGTGGAAATCTCGCCTCAGAGGGCCTGCGACTCCGTCTGGAACTGATGGTGGAACTATCAGCCTCACTCGTGTCTTGCTCCTCTTCAGCACCGCTGCCTTCACGGCTCCCTTCCTCGTTTTCCGCTTCGCTCTCCCCGCCTTCTAGCGGGTCGTCCAAGGCCAGAGTTTCGACCCGACGGTTCCTCTCGATTCGAACACTCTCCCTGTCTTCTACCGGGTCGACCGAGGCCCGCCTTTCGATCTCACGCCTCACCACAAGTTGAACGTCCCTCCCGTCTTCTACCAGGTGCGCCAAAGCCAGGGTTTCAATCCGACGATCCACCACGTCTTGAAGGACTTGGAGCATTCCCTCTAGCTCCTCGTTCCGGTCCCCGATTCGCCAGCTGTCGAACTTATCATTGACAACCTTCAGCGTATGCTCTTTTCGAGTATGGAGTTTCGCGGTCATCTTTATCTCCCATGGATCCAGTAGAGTCGAGTCCAAACTGTCTTCAGTCGTTGCATGACTCCACAATCCCACGAAATCGACGTTCGCCAACAGTTTATGGTACTCTATCGTCTGCTCACCATTTTCGACGACATCAGAACCGAGCTGTAGTTGGTCACCTTTGTGCAACATGTAGGCTGTGCCTTTGGAAAGATGATGCCCATTGATGAATGTTCCGCCTCTCGAGCCCAAGTCCCGGATATAAACTTGACCAGTATCTTCGTTTGCCCAGACCTCAGCATGTCGCCGTGATACGGCGCTGGCATCGAAGATACCGTTTTTGTTGTCCGCTCGGGCTTCACCTGTTTGCCGTGCCAGGACAAGGCGATGTGGCTGGAATGGAACATTGATCTGCTTCCAGTCGAACAGCCCGTTGACGGCGTTGAGTGGATGCAACTTGAGAATCGCGAGGGAAGGGCCATAGACGGCATCGAAATTGAGTTCTGGGAAATGCTCGTTGGCAAGGTCCTCTAGCATTTGCACATTCTCCTCTCTCTCTTTGAGGATCTTCGTGATGTTATCAGAAGCTTTTTTAAGTGCTGCACTACTCCCGTCCAGCACCCGATTGCGTAGCACCAAATATGACCGAGCAGTTGCACCATCCACTTCCGACGCATCAACATTGTGCACCGCCCCAAAGACGCCCCAGCCCCTCCAGCGCTGGATCCGAACACTTGCGTTCACGTAGAAGCTAGAGCCGGTTGTGACCATGACCATGAGCTCCAGAGATGGAGGCAAGCCGCTCTGGCTCTTAGGTTCCTCGTACATTTTCCACCGAGCCCTATCCGGGCCGAGGAGGAAGCCGTGGAATAGCCGGGATCCCTGAAACGTTGTCTTGTCGCCCCAAGATCGGCCTGCGTTGATACTGATGGCGCCCGCCGCTGGACCTGGTGCCCCGATCGTGACACCAACGTTCTGGCCAGAATTGACCTCGTGCTCGGCCACACACACGAGGTTTGCTTCGGGAGTCAGGCCCACCACGGTTGGTCCCTGACGCCTATCGACTCTGATGCTGGCGAGGTTTATGTCGACCGCAGCCGATCGAATACGCTTCGACACGTCGAACGGGCGCGCAAAGTCCAGCTTGAACCTCAACTGGTACGCGGGGCTGCCACCAAATGTGGTGCGTTCGACATGCGTTATTTTGATGTCGAAGTAGCAGTCTCGACTACTGTGCCTGGCGAGGACACATGGCAAGTCGGAGATGCCATCGTCCACATCCCCCGAAATTGACGCGGCAGGGCTGCTAGGTTGACTGTTCTTGGACATTTTTCAGATCCTTGTATGCGCCCAGTTAGTGTCTGCTTACTTGATTCTGAGGGTCCTCTTGTGAAATGCGTCCCGATAACACGGAGGACCAATGCAGAATGGGAACTGCCTCTTCTGCGCCTCATGGATCGCTGGCGTTGCAACAGACGCTTCCTCCAAACTTTCTTCCAGATCAGTCAAATGAAAACGGCGTCGAGGAGTGTTAGCTCAGCGTGTTATATCATCATGACCGAGAGCTCTGGCTCTGGATGGGAGCGTACACATGTACAGAGTACAATGCGGCTTCTGGCGATGCTATAACCCACCAGAGGCCTAAGGCTCACCGCCAAAACAGACAGCGGTTGTCTCAGCAGGGTGGTTCTGAGATGACCGCCATCTGTTTTGGCGTTGAGCCTCATCAGTCTCAGTCTCAGCCTCAGCCTCAGCCCTCGCTAACGTGGCGTGCGGGGATAGGCCGATTTTGCCTGATAATCAGCTTGGCACATTGATTTTACGAGGTGGCCAATGCGAAGCCATCATGGACAAGAAGTACAATAGATAGGTCCGGGAAAGAAATCTTTGTGGAATGCGGCATGAGAAGTCTCTATGTCCAGCCTAAGTAGACATTGAGATGGAGTAGAGCTGCCGGAATATTTAAGGGGCGATAGGGGACAGAACGCGGTTCAAGTCGGTTTTGTGGAGGTCGGACACCGAGCTCTCTCTCTAGCACTAAGTAGATTCAGAGGGACTGTCCCCCCACGTTCTCGAGAACTGATGATCAGGGTAGTGCAGTCAAAGCTACCCGTCATTTTCGGGGGTGGGACGGATCCGTCCTGTTTCTGAAGGGGGAGACTGTTTCTGGTCCCTGGTGCAGGTTGCGTGGTGCATATCAAGACCAATTGAAGTTGAGACGGATGCGAGGGGGCTAATTTGAGAGGGGATCAGGCGATCTTGGCATCGAGACCTCCAAAAGCGGCGGCAATACCCACCAGGAACGGCGAGAAATTTCCACCTACGTTGACCTGCAAAGCCTGATTGATCGGAGCCTCTGGTCAGCATCCAGGGTTTCAACCCTATCGAGATATCAACACCGCGGGATCGCCGGAATTGATCCTTGCAAATAATTCGGCTATTTATTTTCCAAAGGGAAACTCATCCGTGGAATGTTTGACCGGCCCACCAAGCATGAAAAGTCTAGACCTACCTAATCACAAATGCTCGTCCTCTGTCGTCAAAAAGAGGATCTCAAGGCTCCGCTCTGTACCTGATACCTGGGATTAGTAATTAGAAGCCTCGGCACATGGAGTGACCTACAGGTACCTAGTAGGGACGGAGTTACTCTGTGAGGCAAGGTGCCCGCCATCTTTCTCTGCATTTCCATCAATCCCTTAATAATAATGAGCGTGAACTCTGGCTGAACTCTGCTCAGGGGGAAAAGCCTCGACAGATGACGTAAATTGATACTACCATTTGTCGCGATGGAACCTCGTCCGAGCTCGCGCGATAACAGCATAGCTATCACCCTCTCGCCACTGCAGTGAGGTGCCAATGCCTGGACCACAAACATGATGTAAATCACCATATGCGACAGGCAGCGGAGCTCAATCGTCACCACTATTTTTTTCTCCGAAAGCAATCGAAACACTTAGGTATCTACATAGCGTCCATATATAATCCTGAAGGTCTTGACTACCAAATATACCCGTCTCTACCATCAGACACCTACCCCTATCGTAGTATTCGCATCATCTCTTGAACAACTCTAGATTTCATCACAAATCCGTCATTTCCAGTTTCTCAGTCCACGCAATCCTCATGGAGGCCATCAAGAACACTGTCTCCAACCTGGTTGGGACATCCACAGACGCCGCTGGGAAAGGCACTGTGCTTGTGACCGGCGCATCAGGCTTCCTAGCGACACACGTCGTGAAGAACTTCCTTGACCACGGCTATCACGTACGCGGAACCGTGCGGTCCGAAGAGACAGCCAACAGAGTGCGACAAACGCACAGCCAGCATAGCGACCGGCTCAGCTTTGCCATCGTGGAGGATGTCGCAGCACCGGGCGCCTTCGATGAAGCAGTCAAGGGCGTCGACGGAGTGATCCACACCGCATCCCCGTTCGTCACGACCGTCGAAGATGTTGAAAAGGATCTTCTGCAACCGGCCATCCAGGGGACCACCAACATTCTCGAAGCCATCGCCAAATACAACCCGAACGTCAAGCGCGTGGTCATCACGTCATCCTTTGCCAGCATTATCGACATGACCAAGGGCACCCGGCCCGGCCACACGTACACCGAAGAAGACTGGAACAATATGACGTACCAGCAAGCCAAGGAAAGCGGCAACGGCACCGTGGGCTATTGCGCATCGAAAGCGCTGGCGGAGAAAGCGGCCTGGGACTTTGTCAAAGAGCGCAAACCCAACTTCAGCCTCGCCACCGTCTGTCCGCCTATGGTCTACGGCCCCATTCTGCACCACGTTCCCAGCCTCGACAAGCTGAACACCAGCTCGGCAGACGTCTACCGACTGATGAACGGTTCCCTGAAGGAGGTGCCTCCGACAACCTTCTACGCATGGGCCGATGTCCGCGACGTCGCGGAGGCCCATCGCTTGGCGTACGAGAAGCCCGAGGCCGCGGGCCAACGCTTCTTCATCACCGGAGGTAACTTCGTATATCAGCAGTTCTGCGACATCATCCGCAAGAATGTGCCCGAGGTCAGGGACCGCACTCCCGTGGGCAAGCCCGGCACTGGCGTCGGCGACGACGTGTATAGGGTCAATGGAAGCAAGGCCGAGAGGGTGCTCGGCTTGAAGTACACCAGCATGGAACAGTGTGTCACCGACACGGCCAGGTCATTGCTCGAGTTGGAGAAGAGCACAGGCAAAGCCTAAAGGGTTTGGGTGTTGAATTGATATTTTCAGCGGGCGAAACTTATCTAGTCACTGCACTCGAATGCTGGCGATTTCAAGCGAATAGAATTGTTTTGTGTGTCAAGCAACCAAGATATTCCGAATTGTTCTCTTCGATCCATTCAATAACATGTGTGCTCGAAGCTCTGCGATACCCGTGACTTTGCTCGCGTTGATGTGTGTAAAGGTGATGAGCACGCAGCAAGCTCTGCGATGATTCAAGTTAACGCCAGAAATTGGTTCTTTGAGCAGCACCAGTGAACCATCCTGCTCGAAGGTACATATACCTAGCACCACGTAAGCCGCGCCGGGGTGGCGTAATTGTTGACTAAGCTGTCACGGTGCCTTTAATTGCAGTGCCACACGAATGGGACGAGTGAGGCGAGACATACCTACCTCCGATTGGGCCGTTAAATTCGAGGGTTCTGCCAAGAATCTCGCAAGTGGAGACTGCCCACTGAAAAGAAAAATCAAACAATATACTGATACCTCGTATATTTTCTTCCGCAATCGACCATAGGATCAAGAAAGCAGCGCTTCCCGTTCGCTCAGCGGTACTTAAGCTTGATACCGGTTAGTTAGTACTAGAGTGGGTGACCATCTGGGAATCCTGACTGTTGATTGTTTTTGTCTTTTTGCCAGACGCTGTTTGTCCTTGCCGATCCTACAGAGTATAAACCGTGGGAGCCCTGGTCAAGTTTCGATTGGGTACCAATTTCTGGGGATGCGCAGAGGCTTTCGAACAAAATTCACGTTCTAAGCGGCCCAGTATATGCTACCAGGCAGTCTTGATTGCTGCGGCGGATCAGGTCCAGCTTTCAAGGAGGGCTCGTCCATCAATACAAAGGTGTTATACAGAGCAGGTAGTCGGCCACAGCTGTTGAAGTACGGCAAGCCACCGTTATTCCACGAAGCACCAGCATTTGGGCAATACTATTGAACTAGTGGGCGCTCGCCTCTTACCTGCTGTGCCTTTGCAGCTGCACGAATGACTTGCTTACGCCGAGATACACTGTTTCTTTAGGTAACAAGTAGATTTGTGTCCTTTGTCACTTATAAAGCGATGAGCAACGACCATTGAGTAACCCAGTAATACCTAGCCTCGACGTGCCTTGAAGGAAGATTTGCGCCTACGGCTTGAGTGCTCCGATGTCGCTACGCATTCCAGAACACCTAGTAACGAAGCTAAGCCTGTTTGGGAAATCTGTCGGCCGAATTCAGACATCTGAGAACTTCATGCACCGGCAGCATCAGTAGTGCTCGTTACGAGGCAGACCCTACCCAGATCTGGCTAGAACATGCGATCGAGTCCGCCAGATCCGATGGTTAAGCTTTCAATCAAGATTTACGGCAGACTCCCGAGACTAAGAGCTCCGATGCTCTCCCGACTTCCACCATACTGGCTTATTCGAGCTAGCATCACAACTGCATTTGTCTTAGTCGCAACGTCCGAAACACCTACACCCCGTGCTACTGTAGCGCTGCTGTGGTGGTTGGAGTCCTCACTCCGTCTTGCGTGGGAACTTGGCTCAGCTGGTAAGCACCAACTTGCTTGATGGAGGCTTGGAGATTCTGGTCTGCCAGCCCAAGTTGATATCCTCAGGCTGAGGTTTGATCTGGAAGTTGACCTTTCAAGCTTACCGTGAGAAGCACCTGCCCCGACACATCTACTATGAGTTGATGTGAATCTTTCAACTGAAGAAATGTAGCAGGAATCGCTCCATGGTTGCCTTCTGTCGATGCCCGGACTTCTCATCCACACGTTCCGCAGAATATGCCTTGCACCTTTGTGACATCGTTGGTTATTTTCCTTGGACCGCTTCAACATTCCCGTCCAGCTCTCCATCTACTGACATATTCCCTGTCCCTTATGTCAAAAGCCCGGCGTCGACGCGAACGATCTCCCAGAGCACGCTAGTCCGCCCCCAGGATGGGACATGGTGATTGAGAGTTCCAGACTGCTTCCGGTATTCGCAGTAGATGAGAGGGATGCTCTTCACACTTCCTTGATGTTACAAGGCGCTGAGCGCTCGAGCGTGATCAATACACAGGGCACTGTCTTCTTCTGTGCGGCACTTGTTGCTCAAATGTGCTCGATGGAATGCGGAACATTGACAATTTCTTCAGGCCGCGACAGGGAGATGGTGTGGTGTCTCATTTACAGAGACCGGAAGCGTATTTAACCCCGTTGACCATTACTGCAATAGTCACCCTTCAACTCTTGCCTCAACATTCGACATGCTCATATTGGAACATTGACTCGGATTTCAAGCCCAAGATATGTCCACCATGCGCTTGACCGAGTATAAATCCCCATGTCACAACAGATCGAAGCCACATGCCGGCTGCGGATAAAGTGGGAAGATTGATGAATTACCATGGGAGAAGATAAGCGTCAATGTGGGTTGGTTACTACCTCGTTGAATGACCATTAACTGGCACGAAACCGCTCTTGATGACCTGATTGAGGTCTCGACTCAAGGAGTGGTACATTGAAAGCCGGGGAGTATCGTGTGCGATAATCAGTGGGACAGGACAGGGAACCTACGAGGTTGAAAGTCGGTTTTGGGAGTGGGGAAGGTAGCCAGTCCCATATTACTTGATCCAGAACAGGAGTATGATTAAATTACTGACTGACCCACCATGAACTTTGCTTCAACCCTCTATGTACATGGAGAGTAGGTATCGTGATAAGACGTCTTTCTGTGCAACCTGCACTTTGTGTAAAGGCGGCACAGGCATGCCGAGGTTGAGGCAACAAGTTGATGCCTGGCATAATACTTCGCAACATGGCATGCTGGCGGGCGACAGCCAATTCCGTCACAACTCCTTCTGGCACCATTCTACGGTGAAAAATACTGCTCAGCTTTACTGGACAAGGCTCTCACAGCCCGGAACACAGGTAGCACCAGTCAGAGCGTACATTTGAAAGCGTGTCAAACTAATGTCGTGAGATTCCACCACGCCATAGAAGGCGGTGCCTATCTAAGAATATTACCGTATGGACTAGTGCACCTGAAGAAGCATTCGACAAGGCAGGGTATCATATATTGCAGCCAGATAGACTCATAGACACAATCCACTGCAAATTACTATGTCGCCCCCCTCTTTTGTATTTTCTAGATGGAGTTTCTGCGAAAAGCGACCCCCACTTCTGTCTCGCGATACTAACCTGTTTAGTAGCATTCAGCGAGACATGGACCAATCATGGGGATCAAGACCGTGCGGTCCACTGCGCACCGAGAACAAGCTTTGACCCATTCCTGCTATACAGAGTATAGGCTAGCTCGTTTCAGGTCAATTAATCAATCAATCAGGCATGTACTACCTTATATTGACTTGCTTCCTCTTCATCTCGCGACACTAGCCTTTTTTGTAGCATTTAACGAGGCATGTGTCACTGACTAGCTGCCTCGTCGTGACGACCGCGTTGCTGCATCTATGAATTCCACGCGCTATTGTTCTGGAAATACACCCTGTGATGAATTTTTCGGAAGATAATTGCTGACGCGGCAGGCAATCTACCTAGGCCAAAATCAGCAAATATCCCCAAGGACTGCAGTGATAAAGTCAGAGGCAGCCGCAAGCCGCTGTCGAATATATCAGTCCTCATTCATCCTACGACTTGCCAAAACACAGCGCCTTCGCGATAGAATAGACAAGATGGGACTTCAACCACGGTCCATCCTGTTCATCATTGTGATCATTTTTTTCGTTCCTGCACTCTTCTTGTGCTTATGGATTTCCTTCAAGCAGGGCATGAGCCGCAACGCAGGTTGGCTTTACCTTATTCTCCTTTCCCTGCTCCGCATCATTGGGGGCGCCGCAACCGTCGCAGCACAATACCATCCCCACTCTCGAGGTCTCAGCGAAACAGCACTCATTACAAGCACCATCGGAATATCACCACTGTTGATGAGTTGGCTCTCTATTCTCAGCCGAATTAATAAGGGCCTCCAGAGACACAGAATTGGGTCTATCATCTTCAGGATTATGCAGCTCATGGTCCTTGCTGGCCTTGTCTTGGCAATTCTTGGAGGCACCAAGGTCTTTGACGGCGATCCAAACACAGTCAGCAACGGCCTCACCTACTCAAGAGCGGCGGTGATCATATTTCTGGCTGTGCTCGCCGCTGAAGCAGGCATCAACCTCTACCTTCTCAGCAACAGACGTCAAATTCTTCTTGGAGAAATATGGTTGGCCTGGGCAGGACTGGCTGTCACCCCGTTTTTCTTGGTGCGCATCATATACTCGATCATCTGTGCCTTTGAATCGGGGCATTCTTCTGTTTTCAACTACGTGGGCACGGGAAACTCGGCGGTCATTGTTCAGGGTATCATGTTCGTTTTGATGGAGTTCATTGTTGTGTCCATCTGGATTGTTGCTGGGATGTATACACCAAAAGTTCCGAAAGAGCTCCTATATTAGAGACGGTGTTTCAGCTTATGGGATTCCATATCTACGCGGCGGATGTTACACGAGTCATAGAATAAATAGCCTATCACTGTTTCGTAGAGGCCGCTTTCGCCATCTGCGGCAACCATGTCGGTATATCCTCTCCTCACAATAATGGAAACCAGATTGCCATGTATCGAGCAATGACGGATATGGCAGCTCTCATCGCCTCTCGACCGAGCACGATTCCAATGAGGGTACAGTGATCATAGGTAGAGCTTCTAATATCAGGCTTCGATCGATAAATAGAGCTCCCCCGTGGCGATGATAGGGTTAAACATCGTGCCCAAAGCACATGCATTTGTCGAAGCATCCGGCAGAGATCCAGTCTAAGCTTTATCACATACTTGAAGTTATCACATGGTCCAAACTTCGTGTCCAACTTTGCCTCTGTGCTCGTGATTTCCCAACAACTCCTGTCCCACCTTTTTGTCGGCCTGAAAAGTCTTCTAGTTCGACCTAAGATGCTCCTCGCTTCAGTGTCTTCTCTCATGCACCTGTCTCTCGTAGTCCGCTCTGATAGCCTCCTTTCGCTGCTTCTTGCGTGTCATAATCCCACTGGAATTGTTTCCTTGTTGTGAAGTGGCTGGTTCCGAGGATGAGCCCCATTGTTGGTCGTCCGTTGCATTTTTAGCCTTTCTGTTCTTGATTGCTTTGTAGATAGAGATAGCGATCATGTTGAATAGCTCTGAAATCCCTGAGTGTTCGACAAGTCCCAACAGTGGTTGTTTTGGAGGAAGTGGTTGGTCTGGAGTGAATCGTATAGCAGTCAAAAGACGGGTGGTTAACTGTTTCTGGTGACTTGTAATGGAGTGCTCACAGATGCTGGAGATGAGACGAACTGAAAGGTTTGATACCTTTCCCTGTTAGTCCCGAAGGTGTCTGGAAGGAAGGAAGCAAGGAAGAGTTGTTTTTCGAGAAACTATGGAGGTAGCCGGTGTATATAAAGGGTCAGCACTAGTGCGACAGGGTCAGTCAAGAACCCATAGCATTCAAACGACCTTACCAACTATGGTAGAATGCACGAGGTCGAACGCGTCTTGTGACTAGGCCATCCGTGCACATAAACCCAGGCAGCAGCATCTTGCAACACACGTTCCACTTTCGCATTTTAGCAGAAAGTACAGCTTCTTGTTAGATCGAAGCTTGATATTTTTTGTCCCAGGGACAGTTCAGCTGCGACAGTATCTCAGAGGGAGTCTGTGCCTATCACGATTGACTGGAAGAGGAAGAGAGAGCTCAAGGCCAGCAATTGATGGATTGCTCTCTCCCTCCACCTCCCTCCACCTCCCTCACAATGATATTGAGGGTGCTAGGACTATGATGAGGACCAGCAAGGCTCAGGACATATGCAACGATAAAACGACACCATTGAGATATACCATACTATAAAAATAGTTGCGATTACGCGTCAACTAAGCGACGTACTATTTCTCTTCCCATCTGGTTGTGACTCGTGAGTAGAGCTTTATACAAGGTTATCAGCGTCTACGGCACGAGCTAGAAGCAGAGAGTAGCAGAAGCCCATCGACACCTCCCTCTATCAGGGTAACTTTTAGGCTACTAGAGTCCCAAATAGCACATAGAATCGTAGTCCGGTCGGCTGTGGCGCCGATCCACTTACAGAGGCCAACTACATAACGTTCGATATCGTTGATGTCTCATTATGCCGAAAGTCGGAGTGCCTATGCTACCTACAATTGGAGTCAAAGATGGCTACCAGATTCCGATACTCCAGATATAGGGTGGCTAAATGCGCATATCTACTTCAGATTTCGGATATCAACTTCGAAAAGGATTATCGAACGGGAGCCAGATCAAGTCAACATGGGGGACAGCAATTCCTACTGCGAGTTTCCTCTATATCGAGAAATCCATCTTCACGCCTGTTTCCAAAGCATTATTGCTCTTGATCCTTTGGGATGATGGGACCTACGAAGTGTTCACGTCGTTCTGTAGAGCGCTGAACTTGGGTCTTCGTCCTGTCGCATCTGGTCGAGACTACTGATACCGGGCCGGAAGAGGTTGACAGCATCCAAATAGTACAAGTTCCCACGAATTTTGGAAAGCAGTTTGCAGAGTGAGGATCTTCTTATTCCAGTGGTACTAGGACTGTGAGTACAGAAAAGCTCCACTAGCAGCAACAGACACCTTAGCAGCGGGTTGGACCTTCTTCTCCTCTTGTGCCGGCTTTCCTCCTTCACCTCCAAAGACAAAGCCAGACCTGCAGTGACGGAATGGCATTGTCCCACAAAGCTGCAACTTCACGTTCCCGTCCATGGTGATATGTAGACTTCTTGTTGGTGCGTGATATGTAGACGATTGCTTGAGAGAGACATTTTCATCCTAGGTGAGGCGAGTTTTTCTCAGTCAAAGTGACTGCTTGACTTCCATCGTGACAGATTCCACCTTCATGGTGATTGAGGGTTGCACGTTTGCTCCACAGAGTGACCCAGATAGCCTTTGTTCCAGCACTGAAGTATTCACAGCTTGTTCACAGCGACGACGTAGTAGAATCTGTATGACGTATGCCAACCTTGACGCTAGTCCTTGTTGGGCCACTGATCCAGCTTTATGTTTGATTGAATCTCTTGAAGAACCTTTCTCTTCTTACACACTCTTTCCTGTACCTCTCTCGTTGCTCTTCGATCAGTCTTCCTCCGGGCCAACCTTGGTTTTCTTTCCCTTGGTCTTCTTGCCCTTGGTCTTCTTTCCCTTGGCTTTGATCTTTGCACGGATTGGGGGTCCGCAAGGATCTGGGATCCGACTTCGACCAGACGGCTGGCCTTGCGACTCGGGGACGATGTTGCCGCTGTACTGGTTCCCCTGCGCGTCCAGAGCGTACCAAGTCATGTCGGCCGGCGGGTTGGCGTGGACGATCTTGAAACCGAGTATGTCCCCGGTTGCGTCATTGACATGGCGGTTGAATTCTGCGCGGTAGCGGACTAGGTGAGTGCACCGGTGACATTGAAACTTCCACTGACGATCTCGGTGCTCAGTCTTCTGACCAGTCACACCAGGGAAGTTTGGAACCGTGCTGACCGGCCCGGATCCCTGTGTGCCGATGGCCGGCGTCGCTGAGGGTGCCAGGGTTGGTGCCTGGTGGATGCCCGCCGGTGGTTGTGGCGTAGAGGAGGATGAGGGAGGTTGACGCATGGCGGCAGGGGGTTGAAGGCCAGTTGCGGCAACGGTAAGGTTTGAACGGCCTGGGCCGAGGATGTCTCCAATGTCGTATGCGTGGTGCAAGCTTGCTAGGCCCAACTGGATCTCATTGCTCCGAGTTGTCATCAGTATGGCATCGTCGACGAGATCGGTCAACAATTGGCGCTCAAAGTCCCCCATTGCCGCAGGAGGGACGGTCAGCAGCATCTGTTCTGTGCGCGCCAGCCAGCCGACGTCGTCGGCATGATCTGGCCCCATGCTGGCTCTTCTGGTGAACGCAATATCTCGGGTTTGGTGCGTTTTTCAAGTGAAGGTAACTGATCGTCGATGCCTACGCAGGGAGGAAGTGAAGATCTGAAGGATTAGTGAGAAGATTTTTCAAGCCTACCGACGGCACGTGGTTTAACTTACTGACGACACGTGGTTTAACTAACTGGAGCGGTTGAAGCACTGGTGCCCGCCATCTTCGAAGTGTTACTACCCCTTCCCATTGCCGTCACCTGCCTACTTGCTATTGGTATTTACTCCCGTTGACGTTGATGAGACGGGGATTTTTTTGGACCTTGGTTCAGGGCCTTGGACAGGTGCACTCCCTACCATGAAATGGTAATTCTCCGGGAGTGAGATCCTATTTACAAGGGCTCGTTTGCAAAGCGTTCTCGTCAGAGCTCGCCAGGAGGACATGGTACATCAGCGCCCGTCATGCCCGTGGATCTTGCCAACTGCCCGACAAGGAAAGGCAGCTTCGATGGCAGAGTGGAGGCAACGCATGCGTTGAAGGGCAAGAAGGGTGAATGGACAGCATGAAAGCGTCCGGATCAGGTGGGTAACAGCGAGGCTGCCAGCTACGTAAAAAGAGAGTACTCGGTTTGCATCACGGTGAGAGCCATGCATGGACTGTTGACTATGCCGAATGGCACTTGTCTATGTTTCGCGTGTCCTGCAGGGTGCCACTGCAAAAGAGCGATGGTTCCGGCATTATGAGATGGATAATGCATGTATGGAGTCAGAATCCAGCTGGCTGAGTCCATCCAGAGTTGATGCAGCCTGAGTGAGCGCAATGAAAATTTCTAGTGCCTGTCTCCGGACCCTTGACAATGCTATTGCATGTAAACATTAGTGTGGCAGAGGGCGGAAGGAACGGGTTTGTGCTTCGCAGCTTTAATTTATTGACTAAACTAATGGCATCTGGGGCTATGCTCGGAATTGGGCTGTTGGCCTTGAGCTTTGCAGTGATCTGATCCACGAGCCGCAGCTGTGTTATCACTATGAACCACGCATTTCTATGCACCATGATGCCTTCCCTCATCTCTCCATGCCATAGACCATTCCCAGCCCAGTGAGCCTCAACAGAGGACAACCCAAGCCCAATCTCAATGGTGCAGTTGGGCCACTGTTGAGTCGCACATAGAACAACCAGGCGCAGTGGGACACCTTCCTCCCTTCCGGGTCACACTATGCTTCAGGCCAGTCTGTGCATTGCGTGGCATGACATAGTGTTGCAGACTTTGGATCGGCGGTGACCGTGACTTGGTGTGTCTTCGTGTAAAAGTGGTGCCAGCCTATTGCTGACTAATGATCCCGTCTATAATTCTGTAAAAGGCAACGCAAGCTTTTTTTTGGGTAATAGGCTGGTATGTTTTCCGTGTGTTTTTCCAGTGTACAGTTGTTTCTTGCATCGTGCTTCCTCGGTCGTGTATCAAGTCTTTGTCGACATCACATGGATTGCGGCACAGTTATCGGTCCTTGTGGCGCGTTGCAATGCCTGCGACAGAGCTGTTGGTTCACATTTACCACCATGACTGCGGGTCATAGAACTTGGTAGTGTGGTCCATGGCTAATGTGGCAGATCATGCTTCCCAGTCGACAAGGCCGCTCAGGTCCAAGTCGAATGGGTCGAAGTCGTCCTGGATGACGCGAGGATCGAAACCGAGGATGGGGGGCTGGATGCGGGGATGGAAGTGCAGAGCCAGAGCGTTGCTTTCGAATGCGGCTTGCTGATCTGCGGTGACGTGCTGGATGGACAGGTAGGCCGGGGTACTGGTGATGTCGTCGACAGTGAGCTCTCCAATGTCTCCTTGCTCTTCAGATCTGGAGCCTTCGGAACCTAGTTCTTCCTGTGTCTCAGAACCCGACGCAGTCCGGGAGACCATGACACTGTTGGCAGGAGACGCACTTGAAGTCGCGGTTGGAGTTGCAGTTAAAGTCGCGGTTGCAGTCGCGGTCGGAGTGCTTGCATTCGGCACAGCTACGTTGACCTGTAAGAGTGGACGGGTTAGCAACCACGGTGAGGTGACATGAACACGAACGACTGGACCAGAAGGGGAGGGTGTGCACTGATGATAGATGCTGGTAACATTATTCGCATCGGAATTCCTTCACTTACTTGTTGAGGTGTGACGGCGAGGACCAAAGAACCACCACATGATGGAGGTGGTGGTGCATTTGCATTGTTGTTTCCCTGAGGAGCCTGAGTTGCCTGGGCAGGGCGAGGGGGTGGGGTGGCACGGCGAATGTTTCTGTTCAACAAGCCTCCTTCGTAGCAGTGATTGATGATATCTGCCATGGACATGCTGGTACGGGCTGGGTACTCTGCGTACAGGTTATCTGCACCGAATGTGTTGTTTCGAGCGAGCGTTAGCTCCCCGGCATTGTTCTTCGTAAGCTCCCATCCCATCTTGGACAAGTACTGATCAGCTGGGACGATGGGCAGCAACGGTACAGTGGCAGCAAGAAACTTGTCAATGGCCAAAGATTCGTCATGATGGTCTCTGAGGTCGGAGTACGCATATCCGAGAAGTGTCCACATCGGCTTCTTGAGATCCGCACCCCACATCACACGAATGAGGCCAGATTTGTCCTTCTGGGTGAGTCCTGCGAAGAGGGTACTGTAGTATGCTGAGCAACATGTTAGAGATTGTACTTCGTCCTTATCCTCTAACTTACATCGGAATGTCATGAATCCATTGAGAGGTTTCTTCCTCGAAGCAGCAGCTCGACCACGGCGTGCAGTATTTCGAGGGTTGTTGATGGGAGGAGTAGGTGCAGCTGCGGCCTGAGGAAGGTTGACTCCTGTGGCCATGGCCCCAGCGGTGACAGGCAATGGGTTTGCACCAACAACTGCTGCAACCGAGGCTGTCAAGGCACTCAATTGAGCAGGAGTCAACGAATTGATGGCGGTTGCGAGGGCAGCCTGCCCTGATTTGTTGTTTGCGGCCATTTACGACTAGTTCAGGCGGCTGTAATTGGAGGATTCGGATTCTTCTGGTGCTCGGACTTGTCAACAAAGAAACTGGAATGTGAGACAGTGGTTTCAGCGTACGATCATGAATACCTGGGCACTGAAGATGAGCCTCTGACAAAAGACAAGAAGATGAGTTGGGAAGAGGAGAAGTAAGAGGATGAGATGGATGAGATGGATGAGATGGATGAGATGGATGAGATGGATGAGATGGATGAGATGGATGAGATGGATGAGATGGATGAAAGTCGCGGATGGTTGGGAAGCAGAATTTTCCACTTCACTGCCTCAAATGCTTTCGTGTGTTGAGCATTCACATCAAATACACTTCGAGATACTGCCTCACCTTCACCTCAGTTTAGCATTGTTCTTCTACCGCCAAGCATGATACTCCTTTCGCTACGTGAGCAGTGTCTTCCTCAGTCTGCTCCATGCTGTTCTTCAAATCCAATCCCTACTGCTTATGCAATACTCTCTCTCTGACACATTTGCGCACACTGTGATTCACATCGATACAGAATTATCACGGTGTCCAAGGTCTAGATCGATTCCTCTTCAAGCTGAATCAGGGCCGCACTGGGCATGGAGGCAGCAAGTGTCAGCCCGAAGGGTCTTCACATTGGAAACCTGAGCGATGGGGCTTCAGACAGAGGAGCCATAAATTGTATGTACAAGGCTTTATAAGGAACGTCAGCTAATACACCATTCCAGCAGAAGGAGAGGTTACAAGGGTCTGCAGTCAAGCATATCTCATCACCGTCGTACTTGAATTTCTTCGAGCGAAGGCGTTTCCAGTCGTCAAACAAGGACGACATTGCGATTGGGTAGCTCAGATCGTCCGTTTTCGGTTCCTCGAATCAGAGATTCCCAGACTGTTCCAGAACCCGGACTTATTTCCCTCTCCTGCTGCCAGAGTCAAATTCGCCGCAATGATGGCACTGGACACCAATCTACAATTCATCGATGCGGTTACAGATCTCCTACTTCGAGAATCTGCCAATGATCTCGCCCAGTTTTCGCGTGATATCTGGAGCCACTGTACGTATAGAAAAGGCAGCAAGGGCTGGGAAAACTTCCTCCTCAACTGGGCACCTGGAGCACCGGAATTCGACCAGCGATTGGCGACGGATCCCAAATCTGCATTCCAGCTTCTTCCAGCTGTGGGGATGAGGGTCATGGCAGACAATAGGGATGAAGAACGATTGTTAAGACGCTGGATAATGGAAGTGAGTTCAGATGAAATCTGGAAACCCAGAAACAACAATGGCTAACGGTAGTAGACCCCAACTCCAGTTGATGTACAACAAGCATCAACCACGAAGCTGATCAACTTGGTTAGTTTTGGCTTCTTTCTCAGTTTCCACATGCTAAGGTATGCTAGGACCTACAAGATGACGAAAAAATTTCGACAAAGCGCGTCTTGAATCAAGTAGCCGAGAGCGTTAGTTACATTCTGGCATTCATCTGAAATTCGCTGACCATCTCAGCACTTTGCACGTCCAAATCCGTTTGACGAGGTACGTACACCTACTATTCATTCTTTTGATTCTAACGTCTATGCCTTGGCAGGCACTTCGGCTTCGCCTCGATCTGCCAATCCAAGAACCAGAGCGCTTGGAGGGATACACTCCTTTTCTGGGTATGCAGTGTCCTCCCACCAACTTTACTACCTGGTACCTACTAACTGGATTTCAGGTCGCCTGGAGTCTGTTCCCCAAAATCCAAACCTTCCCGTCCTGTCACTGAATTCTCCAAATTTGTTCCCAATGGTAGGTATCCGCTCCTGGCGTGCGAGGATCTATCCATGGAACATGGAATATCGCCTCCTAAATGAGCCGCGTTATGAAAGTGCGGGCAGTGAAACATGAAGGAAGCTATCAGAATTGTCCAAAGACTTCCTGAGCTAGGAAAAATCAATTCCTATGCCAAAGCAAAGAAATCTAGGCAGGCACAAGGACATGGAGTGGGACTCCACCTTGACTAGAGAGTGCGCTTCTTGCGTTGGCACTCTTGAAGGCCAGAAAGATCGACAATTCTACAATATGGGTACGGCATTCAAGGGATCGTTGGCATAGACCACTCTTACGGCGATAAGACACAACAAGCACTTAGTACCTTATAGAGTCATCCTATAATAGAGCGAGAGGAATTAAGCGGCTTATAATCCAAACATCCCGTCAAATTATACGTTCTCAGTAACCCCCTTTCGCGCCGACACACCAGCATAACTAGTCCTCGCCACAGCATATTTCCCAGTACAACTATCCCCTTGTACGACATCACGAGCAATATAAAAGCCAGGCACGAGATGCAAAAGGCATGGAGCAAGAGTATCGGTTGGGTACCAGATCTCGAGGCGACAGCAACAGAAACCACCACAGTCCATGGTTTGTTTGAGGAACGCGGGTATTTACACGCAAAGACAGCGGGTTGACCAAGGCAAGCAAGGAGACCGAGGCTCATGAAGTGATCATTTGATTCATCATGCCGTGACCCTCCTTCGCCGTTCTCATCACCAAAGATGTGAGGCAAGGTAGCAAGTCTTCATTGCAGCACACAAGATGCTGCGATATAGGTGTGGCGGGACTGACCGCACTTCCGTTGAAAGAGGACAGCTGATCAAACCTTGAGTCAGGGAGAAAGCAGGGGAGATGCCACCACATTCTTTGTTCAAGAATGTAGAATAAATTCTGGTTCTCCCCCAAGGCCATCCCCGGGCAGGTCTGTCTCTTTCGTCTTCATCGTCTTCATCGACGGAGCCTATCACTGTTATCATGGGGCAGCGTACCGAACACACACAGCTGAGATACATTTAGTCTTTCCAGATTGTATTCTCTCTTAGGAGTTCGATGCAATCGAGCAACAGAGCATCTACCAAGCTGAGTGCATTCTGAGGCTTTGCGCACCGACAATCACCCTTGAAGAGGGTTTGAAGCTGAGATCTGCGATCGTTGCTTACCAACTTGCCCAGGAAAAGCCTTCAACGATTTGAAGTTTATTCTTGTATTCGACAATCGGATCTGGGCTGGAAAGATGCTTCTATATGGAAGATGAGCGTGAAAATGTGCCAGATGCATCTTGAGTAGGTATGTCTAGGGATGTCTGGAGGCACATTGCTCCTGGTGAGATGCTAGAAATGCCTCTGGGATTCTCCCTACCTCCGTTGTTGAACGCGAAGTGCCATGTAAGTAAGTTAATGGTGACGAGAGAATCTTATTGAGACCCAGATGTGGAGGGTGCGGCAGAATTGCCTGTGTTTGAAGACCCAATGTGTGCTAATGCGACAGACTTCACAGTCGTCGCGCAACCGACCGATGCGATCTCACTTCACTTTCAAAACATTTCACCTCACTTCACCCCTCTGTTACTCTTCGAAATCTGCGCTCTACTTGGCCTTCTCACCCTCTTCCACCTCTTCGACTGCTTCAACCTCTTCGACCTCTTCGACCTTTTCCATCATTCCCATCAATCACATTCATCAATCATCAAGTCGTTCAATCCTCAACATTCCTCGTCATCTCCAGCAGAGATTCCTGATCAACTCTTCAGAAAGAGACCTCATCTCTAGCGTAAGGTGTCTCTTTCCTTTCAGATAAATCAGATCTAACAATTCATCAGGCAATCCGCTTCGATGGAGAGCATGGCATCTCTAGTTGGCGCTGAGACAGTTCAGGCAAACCCTGGACGTCTCGGCTACAGCAAGGATGAGCTCAACGTTGTCTGGCAGATGAGCGCCGCAGCCTTGCCGGTGAACAACAACGAGATCATCATCCCCAAGTACGTCGCCACTAGACTTAGCGAAGAGAACATCAATGCTCTCAAAGCTCGCCTGAGGTAAGAGAGAGCCCAGTGCCTGCTATATTTGTTTCTGACCTCATCAGTGACTGCCTGGATGGTTGTCGCACCGAGACTGTTGTTGATCACGCTGCTCAAGTCTTTCGGATTCGTAAAGCTATCGATCCCGTTGTCTTTGGAGACGATCATGCCACCTACCGCAGCTTGTCATCGCCATCCAGTTCACCGCAGTCCCTCATGTCGGCTTCTAATCCCATCAACTCTGCTTTCTCCGGCCAGCCCACCGACATTGGCATGAAACCAAAGCCAGCTAAAGTGGTCCGATTGCCTGGCAAGAAATCCAAAATTCCTCGTCCACCCAACGCTTTCATCCTCTACCGTCAGAAACACCACCCGAAGGTCAAGGCTGAGAATCCCTTCATAAAGAACAATGACATCTCAATTCTCCTTGGTCAGCAATGGAAAGCAGAATCTGAAGGTGTCAAGGCACAATACAAGGCATTGGCAGACAAGATGAAGGCCAAGCACACTGCCGAGAATCCTGGATACCAGTACGCGCCTCGCAGGGCTTCGGAGAAGAAGCGTCGCATGACTGTCCGGAAGCTTGCCCAGCTCCGCTTGAGTGATGCCGTATCTGATGAACAATCCAACCCAGACACCGAGATGGCAGACGTGCAAGCCACCGAGAGAGTTGACCTCTTCGGCAATGGATTGCCCAACCGTCATGCAGCTCCCTTCATGTTACAAGCTCATGCCGCGGTGCCGGCTTCTGCTTCTGAAATCATTGGCAATGAGCGTCCAGACTTTCCTAGCCATATCGAGCATCACGGAGATGGTCAGATGTCTCTCAATTTCCCCACCGGCCACTCTCTGGTTGAATACGACTACATGATCAAGTTGGATACTGCTCGTGATGCTGCTGTTGCTGAGAATCCTGCTGCCGATGTCCCCGTATCTCATACCATCACTTTTGACAATGCTGGAAGAGCCACCATCACCGCAATTCAGAACCCTCATGCTGTCAACGGTACTATTGCTGTGAATGATCTTATCGACTGGGAAGGCTTACGAAGAGACATCGACATCATTGCTACCATGATTGATATGCCAGAACGAAGACAGTCACCAGCGCAGCAGTCTGCAGCAGCTGTTCAGCAAGCTGCATCACAATCCGCTTCACCTGTCCAGCAGGCCTCTACCACAGAACCCGCTGCAACCATTTTCGGCTTTGATGATGAGGCAGAGCGTTTGGAATTCCAAGATAGACTCGACGACATCCTCTGGATGTCTGAGTGAGCTTCCTCACTAAGGTTACGCTGCTTGATTTGTCCGCGCAACCAGATGTCTTCTTTGGACAACATCAAGTCGACATCCTTCATGATCATACAGCGCCACACGCTATCTCATGAGTGACTGGTTGCCGATCAATCAGAGTCTAGCAGTCTAGAATGACTGTCAATCCAAATGGCTTGTGCGCAGTGTGCAAGGGAAGATTCCGCACTCCACTTTGACGGCGACAAGAAACAACAAGCGACTTGGTACTACAGAGAGTCGTCTTGTGACAGAGCGAGAGAAATTGAGCGGCTTGAATTTCCAATATCCCCGTCAAATTGTACGTTTTTAGCAACCCCCTTTTACGTTGACACACCGGCACAACTAGTCCTCGGCACAGCACATTCCCCAGCACAACTATCCCCCTACCATGTAAATGTTCCTCATGAATTCATAATATCAGCATCAGAGGAAATCGTGGGTGAAATTGGTAGAGAAGGCTGCCGCACGTGTGGTGCCATATCGGGAAATGCAATCTGCCAAATTGCCTAATGAGGGAAAGCCTGCGGAGATCTGAGATCTGTTTCGCGTTTTCGGTGCATGAAAAGTCACGAAAAGCCGAATTGGGAAAGCTGCTTTCCCAAAGTGGGCTTAGCTGTGAATGCGGAAAACGTCGATGGTATCACTGACGCCCGCCAGACCCACGGTCAAACCACACACTTTTGAGAATCATACTTGTTGTAAAGCCACACCTTTGACCTTTTAAGGTGGTCGAATAATCATGAATACGTGTGGCTAAGAACGGAGAGAGGCTAGTGAAGCTCAGGAAAACAGAAAAGGGAACACGACATAGCTCACGTCCGCAGAAACGACAAGCGGGAAGGGTGCTAGTCGGGTGGTTTGCAACAGGCCTCACACCGTTCCAGTCCACGGATTGCGAACCTATGTGGAGAACATATCGGAATGCTGTTCGCCTTGAGATAATGAGTCATATTCCGAGTCGAGCCAGCTGAGATACGGAGCTGCCCTTCGACAGTACGTCGCAATCTCGGTCAAAGCTTAGGGGTGACCAACCCATCTCGGCTGAGTGATACCATGGCGCTGCATCGGGGCTCCACCTCCTGTGTACGCTCCATTGACATAAGCGCTGCAAGAGGAAGTCAACCAATACGAGGAATGGTGCTACGAGTGTAATCTGCCATGCGTGCTGGACCCTTGATGGCCGTGGTGCGTCGGTGCACCTACGGCATGCTTTGTTTCTGATTCTGAGACATGCAGTGTCCACGAACAAGACATCAAGAGGTAATCCATGTGGCCTCTGACTCCTCGGCCTTGAACCGCATGTGTCGAAAGACAGTACCGCTCTAGGTGGGCCACAGGCTTAGGCCCGTGTTGGATGGTGCAGGAGGGAGCGACAACCCTTGGTTGCATGATGGACGAGAATAAGACTCCCCAGTTCTCGGTAACGTTAACTTTACGCAGGGGTATGTGTATCCCAATCGCTAGCCCATATAAATGTGTTGCATCTCCATTGCGTTCCTCTCTCCTGTTTCCCACTAGGGCCCAGGGGGCGATTGCACATCCAGAATGATCGACCACAGTTGACGCCTGGTTTCTTGGTTACCATGATCTTGCAAGGCTCGTCATGTTCGCACTTGGGGGCCACCGGCTTCGAGAACAGCATTCCCCAGGTTTGTTTCGGTTTCGCTGGCGAAGTAGTCACGACCGTCGTTGTGCTAGGCGATTGACGCGCAGTATTATCTGCTGGTAGAAGATCAGTGGCGTCATGGTCTTTTATGGGCGTGGAAGCCCCCGACGTTGAACTATCCATGCCTGCCACTCCGTTATCTGTCACCGGCACTGCGGACAGTGGAGTCATATCGCCTTCTGCGAGGGCTTCGGAGTGTAGCTGTTCTTTGCCGGAGTTGGCAGGCACTTTCGCTGAAAAGAAGCCTTTCAGGCTCTGTTGGCCTTTCCCAGTGCCATTGGGTGTCCCCTGCGACGCTGATTTAACACGCTTCGCCGTTGGGAGGTGCTCTTGCGGTCTCGCGGTGCGTTTGCCGTTGACCGGTTTCGAAGCGAGGGAAGGGTTGGACATAGATTTCGACAATCCAGGGCAATCATTCTTTTGTGATGATGTCTTTTCCTGCCCGATTGCGATTGTGGAAGGAATTGGCTGCGGTGAATCCTGGTGGCTTACCCTATCTTCCTCAAGGGTACTCTTAGATTTCTGCAGTGTTGGCTTCCTTGTGAACATATCTCGAATGCTCTGTCTCTTGTCGAATTCTGGAATCAGTTTCCCTGACAATGGGAGCAAGCACTTTGTTGACCATTGTCGTTGCCGGACGCCATTTTCAAACATGCCGGGCGGATTGAGTATGTCCAGAATGTGTACTTCCTTACCATCAAGGATCAGCTTTTCTTTTAGCACACCGTAAACGGGACAATGATCCGAGCCTAACAGACCCTCCTGAATGTTTGACTCACTCCACCAGTCCTTCATGTCGTGGCTGCAGATGATGTAGTCAATCCTGGACCCATAGTTGCCAGGCCGAGCATTGACTTTTGTCTCCCAGCAGGTGTACATGCCTTTGCGGCCTTCATGAAACGCGCGGCACACATCCCACATGACTGGTGTCTCTCGCCCTTCGTCTCTTTCACCATGAACTTTTCCGCCGAGAAGCAATTGATTCAGAAGCCTTCTTGCAGGAGTTGAAATCCACTCCGTAGCATTAATGCCGTTCTTTTTCATGTTTTCCTCTACCGCGGCGCTGTCGATTTGTTCGCGTGATATGTTTATGTCGCCGGTCCATATCACCCTCTTTCCCATCTTGACAAGGTTGCGAATCCTCGCATCCAGGACATTGAGAAAGCTCGTGCGATAATGCGTACGGGTCTCGTCACGCTCTGCCGGGCAGTACGTGCCTATGAGGACGAAGGCTGGGAACTCGAGAATAACGCATCTACCTTCTGAATCGAGGGTAGCAGGATCGCACGTAGATGTGGACAATTGCTCGTAATTTGGATACCCGCCAATCTGTTCTTCAGCCGGCATGTCTCGGAAGCTTATGGTGGAGTTTGGAGGAGTGAGGATGCCGGTGATGCCTTCTTCTGCCTTGATGGGGGCGCAACTGGAATTTCGTGTATAGATGACGACGCCCGAGTATCCTGCAGAAGTCAGAATATATTGCACATTACATCAATCACATTTGTACCCTTCTTGTGCTTCGGAAGGCTCCAATAGTTGTCCCACCCAGGCACCAAAACCATGTCATCTCGTAGGTCCTTTCTCTGAATCTTTGTTTCTTGGAGTACAACAATGTCAGCCTCCAGGGTCTCGAACATGCCCTGGAACGTCTTTTTGTCTCTCCATGGTTGGTACCCAAAGGGATTCCGGATGCCATTCACATTCCAGGTGGTGATTCGGATGCCCATGCCTGGCTAACTCGGGCCGCGCAGCCACATGGTAGGAAGGATGACTGCCGCCTCATGTGAGCCCGCAAGTGAATAGGTGAATCGCGACTCCCAGCAGGGAATTAGGGTAGAAAGTGACGTTGTATGGTACTTTTGTCGCGAAATCAGGTGGGTAGGCACCTTTGTACCTCGAGGCACGTCAATAGGACAGCATTGGTTGGTAGGTACCTTAAGTTGCACTCTGTAAACTCTGATGAACGCGAAGTGATTCGTACTCAGCATGCCGGCGCAGTTGGATCACGTGGGAAGGCAATCGTGTCACGTGGTGAAGCAGCTGGCGTGTTAAGGTGACGTAACCGCGACCTGACACGGCATCAGGCAGACTTTGACTTCCAAGTTCATATCAGTTAGTTACCTGTATCTTGTTTTGTCGCATCTCAATTGCTGCGGTCAATTGTTGCGATCAACCTTTGCCTCATCCAATTGAAGAGGGAACTTCTGCTTTGGTTCATTCTGTTTGCCGCATCGCGCCTGGTTTGGGCAGCAGCTCTAGGTCCTCTCCCCACCATTGAAGGTGGCTGTGTGGCATTGACCTTGGTCCAAGTGCATGAATTCCTGGAATCCCATCACCAAGATATCAGTTCTGCCTCGCGCCTCGTGGTGAATTAATCAAACGGTCCCTATGTTTCAAACGTTGAGATAGTCCAGACTTCTAACCCCGCCTGGGTAACGGCCGACACGAGCCAAGATGTTGGAAGGATTGGTCGCCAACCTGCTCAATCGCTTCCTGGGCATGTATGTGAAGAACTTCGACCCGAAGCAATTGAATGTTGGCATATGGTCCGGAGACGTCAAACTACGGAATCTTGAGCTCCGGCGAGAGGCATTAGATCAACTGCACCTGCCGATCAATGTGGTCGAAGGCCGGCTTGGAGAACTGACCCTATCAATTCCTTGGTCAAACCTCCGTGGCAAACCCGTCAAAGTCAACATCGAGGATGTGTTTCTACTCTCGGCGCCCAAGCAGGAAGATGACTATGATGCGGAGGAGGAAGAAAAGCGGGCTGTGGCTGTCAAGCTCGAGAAGCTCGAGAGCGCCGAGTTGTTGAAGGAACGCAACACTGAAGCCATGAGCCCGGAAGAACAGAAGAAGAATCAATCTTTCACACAGAGTTTAGTCACTGCCATTGTCGACAATCTCCAAGTGAGCATCAAGAACGTCCATATCCGATATGAAGATTCAATAGCCACCCCAGGCCACCCATTCGCTGTCGGAATCACATTGAAGGAGATGAGCGCTGTCAGCACCGACTCAGAATGGCGTCCAACTTTCATCCAATCTACCTCAGGAAACACCCACAAGCTCGCGGTGTTGAATTCTCTGGCACTGTACTGGAACAGTGATGCCGACCTCTTCGGAACTGGCAAAGGAGGAGATGTCGGCGCAGATGCACAAGACATCGACAAAGATGAAATGATCAGAAGGTTTCGCGAAGGTATAGAAGAAACTGCCAATTCACAATATCTTCTGAAACCAGTGAGCGGACGCGCCGGGATTGAGATGGACAAGACTGGAAGACTTGATCGACCCAAAATAAAAGCCCGGCTCTTGTTCCAGGAGCTCGGGTTCATCCTCGATGAAGACCAATATCGTGATGCGTTGATGCTTGTTGATCTCATGCATTATTTTGTCCGTCATCATGAATTCAAAAAGGACCAGCCCCAGAAAAGCCCCAAGGAGGATCCGAGAGCATGGCTCAAGTTTGTTGGGAGTGCGGTTCTGAATAGAATTCATGACCGCAACCACAGATGGACCTGGGGCTATTTCAAAGAACGCAGAGATATGAGACTCCAATATATCGAACTCTTCAAGAAAAGGAAGAGGGAGCAGAAACTAACGGAGCAAGAGACAAAAGACTTCAACGATCTCGAGTACAAATTGAGCTATGAGGATTTGCGATTCTGGAGATCCCTTGCTCGGAGCCAATTGAGGAAGGAGGACATAGGAGTCAAGAAGGAGCCCCAGAAGCAAACTTGGTCTGCTTGGATATGGGGCTCGAAACCACCGGACAGTCAGAGCGACGATCAGGCAGGCATGACAGAGGAGCAGCTCAAAGAGCTGTACAGTGCGATCGACTGGGACGAGAAGAAGGCCATCGCCGAAAGTGTGGAACTGCCACGGGAAACCATCAAGTTGCAAGTGGAATCAAGTCTGAGAACAGGCAGTTTCACACTGAAGAGAGACCCACATGGAGAAGGGAACGAAATTCTCCAACTTGTCTTCGACAACTTCAGCGCTAAAGCTCTGCAACGCCCCGACTCTATGCTGGTTGATTTAGCTCTTGGTGGTTTCCGAGTGTACGATGGAACGACCGAGGGCACGTTGTTCCCACAAATAGTCAAAGTCAAGGGAGTGGAAGATCAACCTAAGGACGATCTCGCAGAGGATCAAGCGGAGAATGGCCTTGAGAGCGGAAGTGACGCTGGCGACGGGGAAACTGCACTTCAAATTGCAGGAAACAGCCTCTTCCACCTCGTCTTTGAGAACAATCCCTTGGACGAAAGCGCAGATACAAAGGTCATGTTGAAGGTGAAAAGCCTCGAATTCATCCATAATCCTCGGTTTGTGGTTGAAATAGCGAAGTTTTTCAAGCCCCCCGAGCGTCAAATGGAATCAATTGGTGCTCTGCTGGAGACTGCTGGCGCCACTGTGGAGGAAATTCGCCAACAGACCCGTGCAGGACTCGAATTCGCCTTGGAAGAGCACAAAACTATCAATGCGAATCTAGACATCCAAGCGCCCATTTTCATCATTCCAGAGAGTATCACGGAGGAAAGCACTCTCTGCATGATCCTGGATGCCGGTCATGTGAGTCTCAACAGTGAGCTCGTCGACAAGGAGACCATGCGGGATATCCATGGTAAACAAAGACAGCAGTATACCGAAGAAGACTTCAAACGACTTGAAGGACTAATGTACGATAAATTCCACCTGAAGCTTGACTCCACTCAAGTCCTCATTGGACCCGGCATTGAGGCAACCAGGGCACAGCTGGAGAATCGGGACGACTCCAAACACATGCACATCATCGATCGTATCAACATGGCGTTCCTGCTCGAGAACTCCATAGTCCCCAAAGCCCCAGATATCACGAAGATACGTATTTCTGGGACGTTGCCTGTTCTTCAGGCATCAATATCCGACAAGAAGTACAAGAACCTGATGCGATTATTGGAAGTGGCAGTACCAAAGTTCGAGAGCGAGGATCCGAAAGCGAACGGCCGCGTTGGTGAACATCAGGAGGAAGACTATGCCGATGATCAGAAAGCGAAGAGGAAATCAGTGCAGCTGCTGGAGATGAGAGATGCTCCTATTCTTGAGCCAGACTCAGACTCCGAGGATGCATCAACTAAACCAGCTGGCAAGCCCGAAACACCCGCAAACATTCATCAACGCAACTTCGAAATCAACTTCACTGTGGAGAAGCTGCAGGCTTCCCTTTACAAGTCAGATCCAGAGGGTGAAAAGCCAGATAAGCTATTGGTCGAGTTGGTTGCGGAACATTTCTTCCTCAGTTTTTACCTCCGCCCGTACGATATGGTGGCAGAAGTCCTGCTCCGAGCTTTGACCGTCGATGACCACATCGAAGAAGACCCAATCCCAGAATTCAAGCAAATAATCTCTTCCAAGGGCTTCAAGGCTGAGGAGGGCAAGGACTTATTCAACTTGAGATTCGTCAAGGTCAATCCTGAGTCCCCAGAATTCAATTCGACTTATGAGGGTATTGCCACTAACCTTGACGTCTCCGTGTCTACTATCAATGTCATAGTGACAAGAAGGACTCTTCTGACACTTCTTGACTTCGTGCTTACCACTTTCGCTGGAAACGATCAACAACAGGCCGGTGTCGTCGAGGAGAAGGAAGATACCCCGGCAGCAGATGATCTGGATGAATCTCCACAAGATGGCAGTCAGCAGGCGGATAAGATCAGAATCAAGGCTCAACTGACCAGTATCGCTCTTATCCTGAACAACGATGGCGTGCGTCTTGCGACATTGTCTTTGAATTCTGGCGATGTTGGAGTATTCCTTGATGCAGGCACTATGCAGGTCAAAGCAAGGCTCGGTAGTCTGTCTTTGGTCGATGATATTAATCAGGGAGCGCCTGAAGATTCACCTCTCCGCCGGCTAATCGCAATTGAAGGGGATGAACTTGCGGACTTCAAGTACCAGACCTTCGATTCTTCCAGGAAAGACTACCCTGGGTATGACTCGGGGATCTATTTACGGTCTGGTTCTATCAAGTTAAACTTCGTGGAAGAACCATTCCGGAAGATCATGGAGTTTGGTGTGAAGTTCGGAAAGATGCAAGCTATCTTTAATGCTGCGAGACAAGCTGCCGCGAGCCAAGCTACACAGGTCCAAGAAAGTGCCCAGAAGATGCACTTTGACGTCTTAATCAAGACTCCGATTGTCGTCTTCCCGAGGGTGATGGTTGATGACAGGCCGCGCGACAATTTGACAGCCTACCTTGGTGAGATCTACGCAAAGAACAGGTTCGTGGGAGTCCAAGGACAACCCGGAGGGCCTCTCGTGAACAAGCTATCGGCAGGTATCAGACATATCCGCCTGACAACAGAATTTCATTATGAAGATGGAAGGTCTCAAGAACTCGAAATGATTGATGAGGTGGATCTTGATTTCAAAATACGATATCTCGAACACCAAGCTGGCCTTGAGAGACCGGACCTTGAGATCGATGGTACAATGTCACCAATCAATCTGAGAGTTTCCCAGACTCAATTCAAGTTCCTCATGGAGCTTTCAAAGACCATCCCGGCCGCATTTGCAATGGAAGAGGAATCAGACGATGAGATTGCCGAAGAATTACCGGCTTCCACGACGGAATCTGCTATGGCAAGCCAGTCAGAGGAGCCGACTTCAAAGGAGCTCACACCTCCGTCATTCCAAGGCCCAGAACTCGGCGCTGGTGACGACGTCTGGACAAAGTTGAACTTTGTGTTCAAAGCACCGATGATCGGCCTGGAACTCGTTCTGGCAGAGGAGGGTGAGCCGATCGAGAGCTTTGAGGCCGCAAGCATCTCGAAGTTCTCGTTGAATGAGACCAACATCAAAGTACGGATGGTCAGCGACGGTGCTTTGGAGGCCGAGCTTCTCATTCATTCCTTCACAATCAGGGACAGTCGCACTATGGAAACCAATAAGTTCCGGAAGATCATGTCATTGATCAATACTGATGTTCAACAACAATTTATGGCTAGCGTTTCGATATCCGGAGGCGCTGACCGGCATATGATCGTCATGCTTACCGTTGATAGTCCACGTGTGATTGTGGCGCTGGATTATGTTTTCGCTCTCCAGGCCTTCGCCAACACTGCACTTCAGTCCGACGAACCTCAATCGATCGCAGAAGTCGAAGATCTGAACGGGGGTAGTGAGCAGAGTACATCTGAAGAAGAGGAACAAACCACAATCACGCCAAGCACAGATGAACCGAAACCAGAATCTGCCATGAGTGTTTCATTCCGCGTCAACATAGTTGATGCCCAAGTTATCCTAATTGCCAACCCAGCTATCTCCAATACCGAAGCTATTGTGCTGGGAACCAAAGAAGTTCTGGTGTCCCAGCAGAACGCCACTACATTACAGATAACCAGGGTGGGAATGTTCTTGTGCCGCATGGATAAGTTTGAGACCAGTCGTCTGAGGATTCTTGATGACTTCAGCATCCAAATGTCCATGGACAGGCGCAGTCTGGGCAAAGACTCCTCTCTTACGTCCATCCATATCGACATCGAACCACTTGTGCTGCGTTTGTCCTTGCGTGATATCCTGCTTGCTATGCAGATCGTCAGCAAAGCATCAGCAACTATGCCGCAGGCCAACATTCAAGAAGACTCTGAGCCCAGAAAACTGAAAGAGGTCAAAGGAACGTCGAAAGCTCCATCCACGAGGCGCAAATCAATAGCAGGCAAGACGATGACAACGGCAAGGAGATCGAAGAGATCAAAGTCCGTGTCGAAGCCCGAAACGGCACAGTCCCCCAAAAAATCGGTGGTCATGAGCAGAGAAGAGCTGATCGCCCAGTTCGGCGGCATACGAGTAGTTCTGATTGGAGATCTACATGAACTTCCTCTCCTTGACATGAGCGTAAAGAAGTTCGACGTTGATGTTCGCGACTGGTCTGGCGCCATGACAGCTGATACCAAGCTTGACACCTTCATCAATGTGTACAACTTTTCCAAGTCATCATGGGAGCCTCTAATCGAACCCTGGACACTGGGCTTTCACGTTTCCAAGCAGCTACAGCCTGAAGTGATGTCCATCGAGTTGTATTCTCACAAGACAATGGAGTTGACACTAACCTCGGCCACGATAGCACTGGCCTCGAAGTCATTCGACTTCCTCTCCACAGACGAAGACATACTCTCCAAGCCACGGGTTGCCGATGCACCTTATCGTATCCGTAACCAGACGGGCTTCGACCTCAGTGTTTGGGCGGACGAGAAGAACGACAATGCCTCGGCAGCCAAGCTGAAGGACGGAGAAGAATACCCGTGGCGCTTTGAAGATGCAACTTCTATGCGTGAGAATTTGTCGCCCGAAGGCAATGCTGGTTTGGTCGGTGTTAAACTCGAGGGAAGTGGCTTTGATAGCATCAGCCGTATCGCCGTTATCCGTGAGGGTGAAACACTATACAATCTCAAACCCCGCAAGGAAAATGTACAGCATCGGATGCTCGTCGAAGTGAGGCTAGGCGCTGATAATGTCAAATACATCATCTTCCGGTCGCCCCTACTGGTCGAGAACAAAACTCAGATCCCAATTGAGTTAGGCATCTATTCTCCCAAGGATGGTCACCTTCTCAAAATCGAGAAGATCCCTCCTGGCGAGGGCAAGCCGGCCCCAGTTGGGGCGGCTTATGTGCATTCTCTGCTGGTCCGGCCAGATCAGGGCTTTGGGTATGGTTGGTCGAACGAACAGCTGTTCTGGAAAGACCTCCTCAAAAGGTCCACCAGGTCGATAACCTGCGAGTCAGATGGCAGCGATGGGTCGCCTCCGTTCTTCTTCCAGATGCACGCGTCTTATGACCCCAGAGATCCCATAACAAACAGCTACCCCTACATGAGGATACAGATATCAGCGCCAGTCGAGGTTCAAAATCTCCTGCCCTACGACTTCAAATACCGAATCTACGACAGGAACACAAAGAAAGATTGGACTAACTTTTTGCGAAAGGGAGGCGTCAGCCCCGTCCACGTTGTCGAGCTTTCCCACTTACTTTTGCTGAGCGTGGAGATTGAAGACAGCCCTTTCAAGCAAAGTGATTTTGCAATCATCAATAGTGACACCCAAGAAGAGTTCCGTCGCGAGAAAGTACTCCAGTTGAAGGATGATAACGGTGCCCAGCTAAGGCTCAAAATCCACTACACCAATATCAAGGACAGTGGGGGAGCATTTCGGGTGTCTATCTACAGCCCATATGTTGTCCTGAACAAGACGGGGCTCGACATGAGCGTACAAAGCAAAGCGTTCTTCGGATCTTCTAAGGCCGTGACATCACAAGGCACGAGAACAAGCTCGGGCAGTGGTAAAGCTCTTCCGATGCTATACTCTTACGCTACCGATGATCGCAAGAACCGATCTCTTCTCAAGATTGGCGAATCCACCTGGAGCAAGCCTCAGAGCTTTGACGCAATTGGTAGCGCGTACGAAGTCGTTGTGCCATCATCATCCGCTCAATCAGAACTTCACGTTGGCGTGTCAGTGACAGAAGGCGAAGGCAAGTACAGTTTGACCAAGGTTGTCAGTATAGCACCCCGCTATGTGCTCAAGAACAAGATCGGAGAAGACCTGGAGTTGCGCGAACCTGGTTCCTCTGATGTCATGAAGATGAAGAATAACGACCTCCTTCCAATTTATTTCATGCGACAAAGCCCAGAGAAGCAACTCTGCTTGTGCTTCCCCGGTGTCAACAACCATTGGTCGGCACCTTTCAACCTTTCGAACGTCGGCATGACTCATGTCAAACTGGCGAAGCATGGCCAGAGGCAGCGGCTTATACGAATTGAGATCATCCTTGAAGATGCCACTTTGTTCCTCCATTTCAGCATCGAGACCAAGCACTGGCCGTTCTCGATGCGAAACGAAAGCGACACGGAATTCTTATTCTTCCAGGCAAACCCCAACCTTGCGGAAGATGAGGAAGAGGACCCCGGGAGTGGGTGGAAGCCCATCCGGTACAAATTACCACCAAGGAGCATTATGCCTTATGCTTGGGACTACCCTGCTTCCAAGAACAAAGAACTCGTCCTGACTGCTCGTGGGAGGGAAAGATATGTCAAACTCGTCGAGATAGGTAACTTGATACCCATAAAGTTGCCTCCAAGCCAACCTGGGGGACCTCCGAAGGTCATCGATGTCAACATTGTCGCAGATGGGCCAACTCAAACATTGGTGCTTTCGAACTACAAGCCATCTAAATCGTTGTATCAACAGAAGGCAGGGCAGGGCACAGCTTCCCAGACCAGTCTCAATCAGGGATTCGAAGTGAAGCAGATTGAATCAGAAATCAACTTCAAGGCTGAACTTCGCTTGGCAGGTATTGGCATTTCACTGGTCAACAGCAAGCTCAAAGAACTTCTGTATCTCACTTTCCGCGAGATCGAGTTCAAATACGGGGATTCAAAACTGTATCAAACATTGAATGCCACCATCAAATGGATCCAGATTGACAATCAACTGTACGGTGGTATCTTCCCTATCCTCTTATATCCCAGTGTGGTCCCAAAGACTGGCAAAGAGATGGAAGCGCACCCCATCTTCCACACTATGGTCACGCGTGTGAAAGATGACTCTTATGGTGTATTGTACGTCAAATACGCAACTCTACTGCTTCAGCAAATAACCATCGAGCTGGATGAAGATTTTATTTTCGCCATGCTCGACTTCTTGAAAGTGCCGGGAGCATCTTGGGCAGAAGAGAAGGAGGGAAAATTGTGTGACGAAGACCTGGACGTGCCCGAGCCTACAAGAGAGCAGCAAGGACAAGACGTTTATTTCGAGCTGCTCCATCTACAACCAATCCAGCTGGATCTATCATTCGTCAGAACTGAGCGCGTCAACGCCGAAGACACCTTTGTGGACAGTCCGTTGATGTTCTTTGTGAATGTCATGACAATGTCAATTGGAAACGTCAATGATGCCCCCATCAGGCTGAACGCACTGATGCTGGAAAATGCACGGATATCAGTCCCGGCTCTCATGACAAATATCCAGAACCATTATACGCAGGAGGTGCTTCGACAAGTTCACATGATCCTCGGCTCAGCAGACTTTCTCGGCAATCCTGTTGGGTTATTCAACAGTGTCAGTTCAGGTGTTGCCGACATTTTCTACGAACCATACCAAGGTCTGGTAATGACGGACCGACCTCAGGAACTGGGCATCGGTATCGCCAAGGGAGCGAGCAGCTTCGTCAAGAAATCGGTCTTCGGGTTCAGTGACAGTATGGCGAAATTTACCGGGTCCATGTCAAAGGGTCTTGCTGCGGCGACGATGGACAAGGAGTTCCAAGACCAGAGACGCATGTCAAAGAGCCGCAATCGTCCGAAGCATGCCCTTTACGGCGTTACTTCTGGTGGCAACGCTTTCGCGTCGAGCCTGGCAAGTGGTATTGGGGGGCTGGCTCGGCATCCGCTTGAAGGGGCAGAGAAAGAAGGAGCTTTTGGTTTCGTCAAGGGTGTTGGAAAGGGTATGCTTGGTCTTGCTACCAAGCCAGCAATTGGCGCCTTTGATCTTGCATCCAACGTGGCCGAAGGGGTCCGCAACACGACTACTGTGTTCGACGCCGAGGGTCTCGACCGTGTGCGGCTGACTCGCTTCATTGGAATGGATGGAATTGTTCGCCCATACTCCCAACGCGAGGCTCTCGGACAATTCTGGCTCAAGACTTGCGATGATGGCAAGTACTTCACCGAGGACTACATTGCCCATCTTGAACTCGAGGGCCGTGATATGATGATTGTGATCACGTATAGCCGCATTCTCATGATCCGGACCAAGAAACTTCGCATGGAGTGGGATGTCAGGTTGACGGACGTGCAAACCATCAGCAAAGAGAGAACGGGTATCAGCATTGGTCTCAAGGGAGGCGCCAATGGCCCGTTCATTCCCGTCACAGATGAGGGCAGTCGGAATTGGTTGTACAGGCAAATTGCCATTGGTAAGTCCCACGGGAAGCCCATTTGATGATGAACCTAAGGACTGACGTGACTGTTAGCTGTCAATGCTTTCAACGACAAGTATAACGCGAAAGGATGAATGGAACAGGATGACTGATGAGGCATGCCGAAGCAGCCATGGAATCACGACAACAATGCTTGCGCAGCCAACCCCGCTTTGTGGATCGGCTTCTACGAAGCTTTTGTCAGTATTCAATTTGTCCGATGTGTGTAAAGAATAGCCTTTCTTCACAGGCCTCCTGCAACTGCATCATCATTGCAGGTCAAGGCGACTGAACATAGGTTCGAAATATCATTTATTGCATACAGCCGGATGTTGTTGTATGACTTTGCCACACTTTTAACTAAGTGTATTTTCTTTCTGTCTAGTCATGTCTGTCTCCATCAGATCCTGCCAGTGGGATGTCATCCAGAGGGTGTCGGTTGGGCCGTCTTGCTGCTGCTTCCAGAGCCAATGACGAGGCCAAGTCGATTGGGGCAGGCAGTCAGTCGTTGGTTTGCTGGATATCCTTTTCTATAGCACTTCTAGGAGCAAGAAGGAAAATGTGTAAGACGAAGAGGGAGAGATCCTAGAGGGAATATATTCTTTCAAAAGCATGGATGGAGTTTTGTGGACAGTATTAAATATTCAGTCGTTGGCGGGTGTACATTTTGTGGCATCTCAAAGGGGAAAGCGGACGGCAGGGGAGGTGGCTTGAATTCAGATACATTCTGTTATTGGCTGAACTGGGAGAAGCGTACCATTCTGGTTGCACATAGACTTGGGCGTATAATGGAATGAGAGTCGGGATACACAAAAATCATCGTCCTGTTCACCCGACATTGCTGGGCTGAAGGGGAATGGGAAGGCTGCAGGTTCAGAACGCAGGCAGTCTCATCGTAGGCGTTGGCTCTTTGGCGTGAGATAGGACGGTGTCAGCCAGCCCCGGATCGTTGAATTGAGCACGAATTGGGAAAGGCAGGGTGGCAGAATGGCAGGTAGGGTCATCCCTACCAGGCCGGGCCCGGAATCGCTCTGACATTGTGGCGTATAGCGGTCAAGAGTCTTGCTGAGCACCGAGTCGTATTTTCACCATGAGAAGAAGGGACACCGCAGGGATCTTATGATGAGACTGTTGCCTTGAAAGGCCTCTTGCGAAATGTTGAGCGCCAGTCGAGGTCCGAGGCATCATGATGTCAATTTCAAACCTGTACTTTACTCCCACATGAGTCTTACAGTCGTTTGCATATTTGGGTTGAGTGGCTTTTGGCCAACCTCCTGCTTGAGCAGTCAGCGGGTTGTTCACGTCCAGACCATCTACCTACTAACTACCTGTCGTCCAAATGACGGCGATGCATCTCTATCCTTTCCGCGTGAATGCGGGTTTCACATACCTTGTCTGCTGTTGCATAGTTCCGCAGTCTTATCTTGATTTGCCCTGCGGGGATCTACTCCATGGAGGCTCCTTCTGCCTGCATTTCCGGCAACTATGTGCTGTTTGCTCCCTCCGCCTTGGTTCTAAGTATTTCTTATTGATATCGCTGCGAGCCGGTATCTTCGGTCTGCCCCCAGACTCATCGGATGTTGTGAGCTCTGAGAAGGGTCCATGATCGACACGCCAGATTGCCGACCCGGTCCTAGCCTCGCTCTGGCGAAGCGAAACAATGCGTTGGTGTGGGGGATAGGGGCCAGACATTTGTATCTGACATACTTGTATATGTTATTGTTGGTGGAAAGACCTGTCATATTCATCAATTAGCGCCCAGAGTCACGGTCATACCTTCTCGTCACGCATTCTGGAAAAATACTGGACTCTTTGTCTGACTGTCTTTTGGGGATGCCTGAAGTTGACGCCTCACTTTCGCGGATGCGGAACGACTGGTTTGCTGACAGCTCAGCCGAACTTTACGCACATATCTGTTAACTCACTGACCGCCAGATCCGAAGTATCTCATGGCCCCCAAAGTGCTATCTGTCTCAGTCAACCAAATGTCTTCTCCGGCCCACGACCACATGCTTCTCTGTTTCGTATTGATCGGAGTCATCTGCCAATTGTCTAGACTTGCTTTCCGTGGCCCGGCTAGCCATGCCTCGTTCCCAATGCGAGCGTCAAGGAACTGTACAGAGTACCTACATGGATCAAGGCCATACATTGGCAGTGCCATTGCCATTCCAGGGGTTTCCTGGTTGTCTTCAAGGGTGATAGTTTAACCACTGACTTCACACATGCCCAACGTTATTCAACAATGGGCTGCATCCATTCCAGGACCATCGCCATCAATGGCACTGGACGACGCTATGAGATAGCTCTGATGAAGTTTTCCGCAGCCGTTACAATATCCTTCGATATGCCACTCTTCTGTTGCCCTGTGCAGTCCCATCTCAGGCCAGCCTTGTAGGAGAAGCCGTAATTTGGGCCCAAGGGTTCCGGGGCACTCCAACTCAATCTTCTACCCTCTGACACTGACACTGACAGGTCCGGCGCATATGACTGGGGATGGTGGTCCCTTTCTCTGCATCTTTTTTACGTGTATACTCGTACACTTCCACGCTGCATGTCCTCTCCTACTCCATCTGAGGCTGCAAGCTGCTCTGCGGCTTGCATTCATCGAATTGACCTTGTTTCGAGAATTCCAGGAGGCGGGTTGAACAGCGAATCTATAAGTGTCGTCAATTGCGACACTGTCGGCCGGATCGTTCCTTGATGTCTCCAGCCGTCTCGAGTCGTCCTTCAGACCTGTCATACACGGAGCAGCTATTGATCAAAGTCAAACCTTTCGTCCAGTCATTTGTTCCTCCCCGCAACCACGTCTAGGGAACCACATTATATTGGACTAGTCCACCAGGCTCAAGGCTGACTAAGGTATTAGCCTCTCTTGCCTTCAAGACTGAAGCATGACTGACTGCGCCAGAAGCAAAGATGTCGGACCACATATCCTCAACGGAGGATTCTTCTCTGGTCCTTCTTGTCATCTCCACCAGTTTCACTTCCCTTCATCTCTGCAGCGATCTCTTCAGCCTTGTCCACCACCATGACACGCAAGCAGGCGACTACCAGGCCACCTGTGTGGTTCTTCTGCGCTTCGCGTCCCTGGTAGCCGGCATCTCCCTACTCAAGCTAGCTCACCATGACCATTGGCTTGACTTTTGCGTCCTCACCTCTCTTCTTCTCCTTCTGGTTGGAGAGGTAACAATACCAAAGACATTTGAGGAGAGCAGAATGCTGATTCCACAAAACATAGTCACTGTGTCGAGCGAAGATCACGCCGAGAGGTCGACCGCGGAATAACGTCTGCGTGGTGATAAATACCTTGGCGATAGGTACAAGGTTCTTCAGTGCTGCAGCGAGGTGAGTCTTCTTTCCACCTTCGAGCACAATACACCCGACACATGGAGTAATCTTGCAACTGACATCACAAGTCAGTCTGCATCTCAACACTTTTGCCATCTTCATTTTTGCCCACCTGTTAGTCGAGTACGGATATTCTCTGCTGCACGACTGTATGGGTGAAAGCACGCGGGTCCCGTGGGCCCGACGGTTTGATCTGCTTCGCCAAGGTCTATGCTGTGTGACGATGGCTACCATACTTTTGGTAGCATGCGTCTGGCGACGGTGGTACAGCACTATGTTGATAGTAAGGCCTACTTGATCCAATGCCAGGGATCAGCGGCTAATATGTGTGGGTACAGGTCGCCGTGATGTGCTGTTCGTTCTTCAGCCTTCCCTTCTACCCGTGGTTGTCGGGATGCAGCAGCTTCGGCCGACGCAGGGAGCTCGTTTGCGAAACAGCTGCTAGGCTAGAGAGCGTGAACTCGTCGCCACGGTCTCACGATGGCTGGTGTCGCTCTGCCCGGCTGTATAATTCGACTTCTTCTCAGCAACTCCGGACCACGACTGCGGTTGGAGAGATCGTTCATCCACATCTGCTTCGAACAGCCAGGTCCTCGGGTGACATTGCAGCTCCGGCTTCTCTTGGTGGAGAGATGGCGGTTATGGGAGACCGACCTCCTCGGGGCTTCCTCGGCACCATTGGATTGCAATGTCCCAGTCCATCGACGCAGGCCCAGCCAGTAAATACTGTGCCTACCGAGGTGCAGCTCCAACCGACGGTATACTACAACGACGTGGTCTATCCAGAAAGGCAACAGCGCTCTGGATGGGTTGGCTGGGTGTGAAGGATGTTTGTTCAACAGACGTGAATCGTGATCGACGAAGGACTCCGGCACTACATGCTACGAATCCGATCGGGCCACACTTACTGATAGAGACTTGCAGGCGCTGGCAGCCTCGCAACGGAATCCAAAGAACCCACAACACAAACTTGTATGAATCAAAATGAGATATCAGTGTCACTATGTCATGCCTGGAGAGAGTTGTTATCTGTTGTTCCTTGCTACGATAATCCGAACTTGGTGTTGAAGTTGGTGCTCTGAGACATCCCCCTACTAGTACTAGTAGTAGTACTTACCGGGCCAAACCCCAGCCTCGCCGGCATCCGGAACAATCATTCCCCGGCTTCCACCGGCAACGCTGGGACCAATTGGCGACTCCCCTTTCACCCCAGCCTTGCCGGTGTGGCACAATGATGTTCCGGTTCATACCGCCGTCGCCCCAAATGTCAAGAACAAACAGGTGGCACAAGTTTGTACAAGTTCGTCCCCAGCGACCTGTCAACTCGCCCGCCAACTCAACCTTCTCCATTATTGCTCACATCTTCACTGGTCATTTCTGCCTTCGTTATCGGAACCCGCACCGTGCCGCCAGTCAGCAATCGCCATATCATCTCGTGAAAATGTCCGGCTGTCTGTGCTTCGCCTTGACATGCAGCAACTGTTTGACAATGGTGTTCGACGACATCGCCCCAAGTGACGTGTCACAAGGTTTCACCGTTGGTTGTTATCTCTCCGAGTCCGACTTCAACTCATGTAGCTTGATAACGCATCCAGAGCCAGATTGAAGAAACCCTCTCTTTTAACATATCACAGCCTCAATTGGACGTTTCTTCATCTCCTCTGTCAGTTTCCACGTTATGGCCGTCCTGCAACTTTTCCTATCTCACATAAACTCGCCGTCCTCCCTCGCCGTGACGAGTTTGATCCTATGGATCGCTTATGCACTGTTGCTGGTCATTTATCGACTGTTTTTCAGCCCTGTTGCTAGTTTCCCTGGCCCAAGGTTGGCCGCAGTGACATTCTGGTAAGTTCGCGCATTTCAACATGATGGAATCCACAATTTTACTTGATACCACGATTCCGGAACCCCGCAAGGCTGCAGGAGTTTGTACTCATCGGACCACCGATGTAGTCAATCCTCCCGACGCCTATTTTCCTGACGTTGTCTCACAATACCTTCTCAGGTACGAATTCTATTACGATGTCATCCTGGGTGGTCAATATACCTTTCGCATCATGGAACTTCACAAACAGTATGGTCCTGTCGTCCGTATCAACCCGCGCGAGCTGCACTTCTACCCGCCACACTTCTACGAGGAGATCTACGCAGGTCCAACCCGCCGCCGTGACCGTTGGGAGTACTACACCAAAGGCTTTGGTATGCCTGGAGCCGGGGCCAGTACCAACCCACACGACCTGCACAAAGCCCGACGGGCGGCGTTGAGTCCGTTCTTCAGCATGCAAAGTGTGCGGAACTTGCAAGCTGTGATCGAGGAGAAGGCCAACCTCTTGATGAAAAGGTTCAAGACGTTCGGAGAGTCAGCGCCGGGCGACACGAAGCCGGTCAACCTGGAAATCGCTTTCGCCGCTTATGCCTACGGTACAATCGTGACCCGTTCAAGCTCCCTCTTCGGCACCCCTGGCTAACTACTGACAGACGTCGTGATGGAATACTCTTTTGCCAGAAGCGACCATCATCTTGAGGCCGCCGACTTCGAACCTTGGATGCACAACGCTGCGATCGGCACAAGTTCCCTCGGCCAGATTGCAAAGAACATGTACTGGTTCTTCTGGCTCATTCTGCATATCCCAGACTGGTTGGCCAGAAGGCTGGATGCCAATGGTGAGTCAAGCTGTCCGATGTGGTTGGGTGTATCCAAGCTGTCGAACGCGGCTGATGACCATTCTTAGCCAGTCGGTACCTGCAGTTCAAACGAGTAAGGCACCGTCCATTTTCGCTTTTGCACGCTTTGCTTCGTTGATCCTATGGTGCCTCCTATGATTGGCCCCCATACCACCTGCTGGGGTCATTGAGCCGCACGACGTGAAACTGGCCTCGCCCCCGTATGATTGGTCCGACTGGAAAACAACATGATTCCGACCGCCGCGGCACAGACACTTCCCTGACCACTCTGCACGGCCACCCTGGCCTGCTCCGGAGACAGCTATTCCTAGAGTCGAATTCTCCCTTCCTCAAACAGCAATCCAAACGGACATTCATTCACCAACAACGGGCTGTGCCGTGTCTTAGCCTGATCCTAGTAGCGGCCCCGGACGATACCCCAACCAAGCCTGGCCTGGCCGTATGCACAGCCTCACTGGCCACTATGCTGAGTGTTGTGACCCCTTGCCTCCATCCAAGATCCAATTGATATCTCGCCCCTGGCGATAACGCGTGTATTTTCGGGGCAATCGAGATAATGCGGCCGATATGGAGCCTCGGGTCTTGAGACCTCATATTGTAGAGACGAAACTACTCTTTGTTCTCTCTTTGCTAGAAGCATGCTGTATCCAACTCATCTCCCTCATTGTCAATCTCTGTGGAAAGCTGACTGCTTCCCCGATTTCAAGACATTGGCAGGAGCTAACTCTGCCCTCTCCAGGACATCAACACCCAGATCGAAAACATCCGCTCCGGCCTGAATAGCTCCCACAAGACAGCCTCCCATCCGACCATCTTCCACGAAATTCTGTACAGCTCGTTGCCCGAAGTTGAAAAGCGCACATCCCGCCTCGCCGACGAGGGAGCCACCGTTGTCAGCGCCGGGACCGTCACCACAGCATGGACGCTACCTGTCACTGTATTCCATCTGCTCTCCAACCCAGATGTCCTAAGGAAGTTGAAAACAGAACTGTACGACGCGATCCCGGTCCCGACTAAATCCACTCCACTGCCCGTGCTTGAACAACTGCCCTACCTCACGGGTGTGATCCAGGAAGGCCTGCGCCTCAGTTACGGGATCTGCACGCGACTGGAGCGCATCGCACCGGACGAAACACTGACATTCAAGGACGGTGACAAAGTATGGACAGTACCGCCCGGCACACCGGTGTCCATGACCTCGGTCCTCATACACCAGAATCCAGATATCTTTCCGCAGCCATTCGAGTACCGACCGGAGCGCTGGGTCGAGAACCCGCGGTTGGACAAGTATCTTGTCGCGTTCTCCAAGGGCAAGATGCAGTGTTTGGGGATCAACCTGGCCTACGCAGAACTTTATGTCATGTTGGCGAAGCTGTTTCGTATCTATGGGAGCCAAGACGTCAAATTTGATGGAGACGTCGGCCGGCTGGAGTTGTTCGAGACGACTTTGAAGGACGTCCAGATCGCGGAAGATCGATTCATTCCCCTGCCACATCGAGACAGCAAGGGCGTGCGGATCGTCGTGGAGTGTTTCTAGCCAGGCAACTCGAGCGAAATGGAGGGCGGAGGCAACAAAGAAGCCGCAAATTGCAAAAAACGCCAAATCGATGGGACACAGCCGCCGACTCAGATGAGACCAATGGCGACAACTATAAGTGCGACACCGGCTGGGAGTACTTTGGAGGAAAGCGGGTGACGGGGAGAATGCTCTGGGCTCTCTGCAGAGACATTTATGACGACCTCTTTTCTGGTGTCTTCCCCGTCGTTGTGAGAATGAAGGCCAGAGACCATAAACTAGAGGCCAGAGGCCAGAACAAACCCAGACAAAGCGGCTTGACTTTCATGTGCAATAAATAAACCTATCGAGTTGATCGTGAGCGCGAAGGCACAACAGAAAACAGACAACACGCTTTGCCCCCATACTGTCTGCCATGTGACAGTTTCCATGTGCTACATCGCTTTCTTTTCTTGTCCGTGTCTTCATTTCTCGATCATCAATCCATCGTCACACATAAGACTCTTTTCCTCCGTCAGTACAAATCATGTTTTGGGTTACTTAAACAGACTTTCTTTCTTTTTCCCACCCACAGCCATTTTTGGCTTTCAACCAACAAAAGGAACAAGCACACTTTCTTGGCCAAAGAACATCTCCTGTCCCTTGGCGCATCTTCAAACAGTCACTGCACGCGGAATGATTCAGTGTTGCTCGGGAATCAATCAACAACTCCGTCAAAGTTGACCTATCATCCCAGTCATGCCTCCATACACACACAGACAAGGCTCATACTTCAACTTCTTCAGGTGGGACAGGAAGATTCTCGACTTCTGAACTTCCGACAAGACCGTCCTCCGCTTCGCAAGAAACATCTGCCGCGTGATACGGGCATGGGATCTTGACATTTTCAATGGGCTCCGCCGGCTGCAACCAGGACGGCAACGGCCCCAGGCCCTCCCTCGGATCGTCCGGGTCCGGCGGTGGAAGACGTCCACGCCGGTGCAGGAAATAGCGCATGTCCCACTTTCCGCGCGACGGCCACATGTTACTCGGATCCATGAACAGAAACCCTCCTTGGGGGACATAGTCCATATCATCGACGGAAATGACGGGGAACTCGGCCGTGGTGCCATTGTGTCGAGCAACCACGACCACGCCGCCAGTCCTGCAGCCGTCGTCCAGCTGGGTGAAATCCAGCAAGATGCCGAACGTCACGCTGAGGCCAAAGTCGCCCTCGAGAAAGCGGAACAAGGTCTCGCCATTCTCGTCGTGCTCGACTTCAATGGGATGGCCCAGGTGTGAGGTCATGTACAGATCCAAGAACCGTTCGCGCTGGTACTGGGCCAGATTCCCACCGGTCGATGGCATTGTATCGTTCGTCAAAGAGACCTCGGTACTTTGCGATCGCCGGCTCCGCCAGACGCCGCAGCTGGCGGTAGTTGTCGTTGTCATCGTCGTCGTTGTTGTCGTCGCGCCCTTCAACTTGGGAGGCACTGGGGCTCCGATTCTCGAGATCGTAGATGATGCGCCACAGAAGCCGGACGATCACGTCGATCTCGACCCCGTGGTACACGGCTCGGAGGGTGCGCTTGTCGTTGCGCCGCTCCCGGTTGCTACACAGCAACAAAGCCGTCGGGTGCAGGTGGCATGTCAAATCCGTCGCCAGAAGCGGCTCCTGTGAGAAGATGTCCACCTGTCCGGGCTCGAGCGGGGCTGGCGGTCGTCGAACCGTCGGCGTGTCACAGACAAGGTCGGCCGCGTTGAGCCGCCAGCTCTGCATCTCCGGCTTGTCGCCGAGGATGTGGCTCAGCACTTTGTTGTGCATGTGGTTCATCTGCTCCGGCGTGTAGCGGGCAAGCCGGGCGTTGAAATCTTCAGCGCTCAGCCTCGGGCGCATGATCCAGCGGTAATACTCGTTGCGGACCTATGCTTGCGATTCCGGCTCTAGAGAGTCGTAGAGACGCACGTACTCGGCGAACTCGGGCTCGACTGTGGCAGTTGAGGGTGGGTTTGCGATGTTGACGATCAGCATGTTGAACTTTTAGTAATGCCCCCGTATACGGGATATTCTTGCCCAGTGATTAGCCAGTCTCCGCGCGGAGCGGGGAATGTCGAATATTCGGGCTCAAACGACTGTATCGCCGATGAAGCTTGGGGCACTGAAGCTGTTTCTGCTACAGGGTTGTACAGGTAAGACTCTGGAAGTGGCTGAAAGGAGGTCGACTGAACTGTACTGTATCCGTACGATTCAGATCCGGGATCCTGCTGGGAACCTGAACCAGTTGTGCGGTTCCAGTCGAAAGCAGCGAATGAATCAGAAGGGATGGATGCTGCTGGTTCGTACGAGAAGGAGCGCTGATAGCCCTGGACTGAGGCTTGGGGCTGTTGTGACAGTGGCTCCTGGCGGAACACGCACCACGGCCCTCCACAAGGACACGAAAACGAGTATTGCCCTGTTGCGGTAGCCTCCTGATACCAGTTCGGGTTCGCGAATTGGCCGGCAGAGGTCGTTTCGTTGACAGGTGACACTGACACGGGCACCAACTCCGGGACTTGTGCTGATTCCGACCCCGGCACGGAGGCCGATGCTGACGATCGGAATGCGAGCGACAGTGACGATTGAGGGAGCCTCCGAGAAGACGGCGAATCTTGATGTTGATGTTGCTGTACGACTCCAAGATATCTCTCGAATAGGATGGACTCCACACGCGACCACGATCTCGTCTGTGCTTCCTGCTCGCGTGCAGATGCAGATACAGATACAAAGTCCGACTGCCCAGGAGATGATGCGTGCTTCGACAAGATGCCCGGAGGAGTTTCCACCAGCGCGGATGTCTCTGGAGAAGAACTTTCGGAGAAGGGGTCTTCAAGATCTTCAGGAGCCGAAGATAGGTCAGAATCCGATTCTGTCGTCGCCGTGGCCGGAGAGTTGTTCGAATCAGACAACCCTTGTTCTAGTTGACGATCTACCTGGATCTCTTTTCCTGTGATATCCGGCTGAAATAGACTGCTGCGGTGGTCGTTGTTGGTGTCAGTGTTACTGGAGGGAACACGATTGACGGAGGTTTGGCTCTCCCGAAGACACACAGAGCACACGGCGTGGGGAACAAATATCGGAGAAAAGACGTCAAAGGATGTGGTGAGCTCGAAGTCTGCTGTGCCCGAGAAGGATTCTTGAGAGATCAACGCGGACCAACTGGATTCAGGGTCAACAGAACACAAGGGCTCGTCCACTAAAGATGAACACGCTGGACAAACGTTCTGCGGACCGAGATGGCAGGTGATGTTACGGTCGAGATCGTCCAAACCCAACTCGCCCGGTAGCCCGTAGAGGTCGCTCTCTGAGTACTGCCACGCGGGGAAGTCTTCGACTGTGACACCACCTTCTCGTGAATCAACGGGGAAGTAAAGAGCAGTGGTGTGTGAGGACTCTTGTACGGGAGAGGGTGCTTGACCGCCCCGACTGACAGGACTTTGTTGTCGCTGTCCTTCAAAAGGAGATTGGCAGCTACTGGCACCCTCAGGCTCGAAGCTTGCCGGTGATTGGTGGGGTCGTTGATGTGACACTACCCAAGCAAACCGAGCAAGATTGCAACACACACTGGGGAGGTAAACTTCTGGAATGCGCTCCTCGGTTGGCACGAACCACGGGTACGCAGAGAACAGAGGTTCTCGCCTTGTTTTGGGGATTGGTTCTTGGAGAGGTTGTCGAACAGGTTCTTCGACCACTTCTTGTGGAGGTGGAGGTGGAGGTTGAGGCTCTTGAAGGGCTTCTTCTTGATGTTCTGATTGGCGGGGACCTCGCTTTCTTTTACGACCGATGGTTCGACCGTTTGATGAAGACGAGCTGGCCTCAATGGATGATGAGGGACCGGGTTCTATTGAGCTTCTGGACGGAATTTGTTTGGAAACACGCTTTGATCCAGATTTCAAGGCTTGTTTCTTCGGACGGGGCCGAGTTGCAGACTTTTGTACTGATGCAGAAGTGGAGTTTAGACCCACGTCGAAGACTGACGTTTGCGCCTGGAATGATGGCACTGCGTCCCGGAAGTGTGGGATGGCAACCTTGTTGGGGGGAGGGCCTGGTGATTCTTTCCGAGGCTCTCGATGGGAGAAAGGTATTGACTCCTTGCTTGGGAACCCTTCCGGCTTGGGGACTACTGCAACTGGTTTGGCAGCAGCGGCGGGTGCTGCATGTGGACGTGAAGATGGACGAGCGATATGTTGAGGACGAGGAGGATATCGAGTGGGATGTTGACGACGGTTCCGTTCGTAGTATGGTCGCGACCAAGGAAGGGTCATCAAGGAAGCCTGGCGCTGGGCGACCAAGGACCAGAACCAGCAATATTCATACCCAGAAACGTGGGCAGTGGAAAGAGCAAGGAAGTGTTTGAAGCGTGCAATGGGGTTTATACCTGAAAGAGTATTGACACACACAACCACCACGAGCTGAAGCTGTTTTGGGATCACGGACACGAAACAGGTCCAAGAAGGATGGAGGTGTTTTAAGGAGTTGAAAAACAAGAGAGTTTGTTGAGGTCGAAGCGGCCTTGATATAGACGAGCCGTTGGGTTCATGTCTTGCTATCTTGGCCGTCTATCTCTGGCAGAAATGGAGAGAAGGGCTGCAGAGTCCGTCGAGTCGTCGACACCTTCGTATCGCTTGGCGTGATGAGAAGAAGCCTCACATGCAGCAACAGCGTCGTGATATGCAGCCCCAAGGCAAGGAAGGTCGACGACACCATCATGGATGCAAGCCAACTGCACGGGCTGGCTGATCGGATCAACCGTGGATCGAGCGCCTTTGACACAGAGCGAGCCGACCAGTCGTTCGGTGGAGACAAAGCGCGCAGAACACGATACGCGAACGGGCTCGCCTAGTGTACATGGTCTATGCAATGGGGTTGCTGGTCGAATTGTCAGGGGCAGCTTCAGCCTGACTGCATTGCCATTGCCATTGCCATTTCCAACCTCTTCGCAACAGTACAATGAGGCGAGACTCAGGACGACAGAGTACTAAGTTGGGCTGCTCTCCTGGACGAACACCAGAGGGAAGGAGAACTGGCAATGCTGAAGAGATGGTGTGGCAGGACCCTCGTGAAGAACGGTGTCCAGACAAGACACAGGTGCATCGAGACGACAAATGTGGAGACCGAAGTTCGCCTCGGAACGTACAGACTTCAGAGGTCCCACGTCGGCCACCGCTCCAAAGAGAAGCCGGCGAAGAAGCCGCCAGATCTCCATTGGCGCGATGGAGCGAGGGTACGATAAAGGCACCGCAGATCGATTGGAGCAGAGACGCCAGCGCACAGCTGGCCAAGGAGAACGGATCGACTCGCAGTTGAACGGAGCTGGATCCAGCGTATCAGCACGGGCAGTGTACGGGATCGGAGAGGCTGGCACACCGCAAGCGAAAGAACAAGCTGTCGCACCTCATTGGAGACTTTCCCATCGATAGCGACTAAGCGACGGACAAACACGGTTAGACTGAAGGGGCGCCCCTGCACAATGAGGCAAGGGGCGAAGCGGGCCATCCCCAAACGACAGATAGGCCGCCAGGCACCATATCGGTAGACGTTGAGATTAGTCCCAACGTCACCACGGGAGAAAGGGAAAGCCGGATAGAAAAGCCAGGGGGAGAGCGAGAGCGAAATTCGACTTTCTGATGATCCCGCCCTTCCTCCCCTGAAGATGGGCTCCGCTTTTTGGCATCAGTCAACACAGCCTATATCTGGAACCCAGGCGATTTCGAACTACAAACCAGACCTGGCCAGGCCAAACCATTCCGCTGGGCATTGAGTCCTGTACGCAACATTGGCAAGTCCGCACTGGAATGCACTACACTGTGACTTAACTTGCTCATGCCTCAGATGTCTATTTGCAAGGACAAGGTTCGTGGCGAGGATGAAGACGAGAACTGGTGGCAGGGGTCATGTCAAGTCAGGAGCAGACTGACGGCAACGGATTCATGTTCCAAGTGCTGTCCTACATGGAAGAAAAGCCAGGGTCATGGGGTTGGGATGGGATGGCATAAAAGGTCGAAAGTCGGATAGACAGTCCGCGGGGGAAGTGCCAGTGGTGGTTCGAGCGGCCCTCTGGTCCCGTGCCCGCTGGCTCATGCAACGGCTCGTAGTCAAGATCTAGACAAGCAAGATCAGACAACCCCACCGAGAGCTAACTTGGACGTGCACCCCCAGGCCACACGATCTACTAGTAGGAATGTTCAGCTCCTGACATGGGTATCAGGGGAAATGAGGCGGTTCGAACTTCGAGGCAAGCCAGTGGGGCTGCCTCAGCGACTTCCTTACGAGGACTAGGGCCTTGGCCAAGTTACTGGATCTACACACAACGGTACGGACGGTGGATGGAGGATGAAAAGAGTCCCTCGTATCATGATCCATGTTGTGGTCTCTGGCTCACAGAAGCAGCGTTGCCAGGACTCGGGGGTCCATGAGAGGTGGGATCAACCATAGAGATGAGCGCCAAAAGCCTGAAAGAAAGACGAAATCCAGTCACAGTCAGGGGTAGTGTCGGTGTCGGTGTCGGTGTGCCAGCGCTCGGGCCACACCGACCAGGCATTGGGGTTGAAGCCGATATCTTTCAGTCGACGGGGTGGGCAACTGTTTAGATCGACTAGCGATGGCCAGAGATGGTGATCTCAGATGGATGGCCTGCTGGCTCGATTGCCATGGTGGTCGATCTGATCGAGCAAAAGGAAACTTTGAGAGCGGCGACAGAGAGAGAAAGCAGGCCTCGAGAAAGGAGGGTGGTAGAAGCGCTCGATTGGCCAGGAATACGGGACGTGAACCTATACGATTTGTTGCGCGGTCGGGCAAGACATGATGGTTGCAACTTGCAAGCGAAACTGATTATTCAGTCGGGGTTAAGGAGCGAATTTCTGTGAAGGAAGGGAATCAGGGGCGCTGGATCGGTGTAGAGACTGAAAAAACTTGTCTTCTCGCGATCTGCATGGACAAAATGGCGCGAAGCGAGAGGGCAAGGGTCAGCCGTATACTGTACCTCTACCGAGTATCTGTTCCTCCGGGGGTTGGGGAGTGGAGACAGGGCTGGTATAGCTGAATCGCATCGGGATGGTATACCATGGGATGGGATGGGATGGCACTATCTGCTATGACTCGATAGCGCATGGGTGGAGGGAGGTACGGGAGGTGAGGTGATGGAAGGGAAGCAGCCTTTGGAGAACAACCTAGTTCGTCTGGACAAGGATGAGCACAAAGCGCAATGTGCTGCGACGATATCTACAAGGATTCATAGGAATGGGAATGGGAATGCGAATGCGAATGAATCGCTACTCAGCCAGAGTTGGTGAGCTGGAAGAAGTGGGAAGCGACAAGGTCATACTTCTAGTAGTAGCAAGCATCACGGCATGGGAGACGCCACGACACGGAGCGAAGGGATGAGGAACCTGAGCAAGGTACAAGGATGGGTGCGTGCCGTGCCAGGAGTCTCGAAATGTGTCGTCACCTCTCCAGGAGAGATTGAATGAAGCACATGATAGACACCCTGAAGTTCGGTTCGGTGGTGGAAAGCAGGGGTGGGTGTAAGCGACTGCAGAGGATGAAAGAAACAAGAGAGAGAGACATCGACAGACTCGGAGACCAAGACCTGCAAGTTGTTCTGCTGTAGATCAGGATTCAGGGAGATGGATGAATTGCAGCAAGATAGAGTAGAGCCATTCGAGGAGGAGGAGGAGTAGTAGTAGTAGTAGTAGTAGTAGTAGTAGTAGTAGTA